GCGGGTCTAACCCGCGTTGGAAGTAAGGGACCTGCTCTTTATCGGAGATGTCGGCATCGGCGGCGATGAGAATGAATTGGTTGGAGTATTCATCAACCGTCATTCGTCCTTGGGAGAAGGTCATGAGTGCGCTTCGCGCTTTGTCGGTCTTGCCCGTCTCCCTAAACTGTAGCTTGAACTTTGCTAGGAAGTCCTTCCAGGTGCCTAGATCGGTGGGAGGGTCCGCTCCTACTGATTTTAGGAGAAAGTTTTCCGCCCAAGCTCCTGCCGTGCCATATCTCATGCATGAGAGCACAAGGGATATTTTGTCTTGATCGGTCTTGTACCGATCGGATTCTGCTGCGAAAAGAAGGAGGCATTGGAGCATGAATTTCTGGGATTCAATGCGGTCGCCTGTGTAGTTGTCTGGGAGTTTGACTTTTCCTCTTCCGGGTTGTACTGTCGCGGAAGGGGTGTTTGTAGAGGTCGAAGCTTGTCCCGACATTTCGGCGAGTGGTTCGTTTCGGGTGTTGATCGGTGTTTGGTCTGGTGAGTCGGAGTCTGATTCCGAGGTTGTTTCCTCTTGCTCCGAGTCTTCGGGGATTACCGGCGCCGGTTCCCTGTATTGTGGGGCTAGTTCCCACTGAGCTTCTGTTTCGTTCCAGATATCCTCCTCTTCTGTTCCGTCTTCAAGGGTGAAGTAATAACGCCCGTTTCGGTATGAGCAGTTATCGTAATTCGGAGGGGCAGTTCCGTTATTGTCTTCGTAGACCCAGAAGTCCCCTTCGTGCCGGATAGGGCGATTGTTGTGACGGAGTTGGTTATTGATACGTCTAGTGCCGGGTGGGTATTCCTGGCCTAGGTCTTGCTCCAGAGTGTGTGCAGTAACGCTTTCTCAATGGGGGTCTATATCCCCACTGAGCAAGGTTATGAGAGAGGGTGTGGCAGCAAGCTAGTGCGAGCAAGGTAGGGGCAGAAGAGTCTATTCTAGTGTTACGACTGCTCGTCGGTAACCCCAAGAGTAGGAGGTTCTTCCCTAGGTCACTCGTGGAGGATGTGTGGAATGGTGGTCTCGACTGTACGTGTAGCACAGGAGCCAGAAGTGTATTGCGATGTAGCAATGAAGACTGCAGTAGGAAGACTGCAGTGGACGAAGATCCCTGTATGTGAAGATACAGGGGGACGAAGGGTACTGTAGGAAGACAGTACCAGAACGAAGAGAATAGACTGAAGATCGTCAGCCTATTCTATGGGCCTTTTATACTACTTTGGGAAGTAGGGCGTGAGAATACCGAATATGTATCTGTAGGTATTCTCTAAGTCGTCTCTCTCAATAACGACTACTCTTGTGCTTCTCCGTTGGTCTCCTTCCGGCCAGGAGAGACTAGGAGGTTCATGCCCTGCGTGTGAGTAATTTATAAGGCGGCGTTCCATGCCCGCTAATACAAAGGCCCGTGATACTCGACCAATGATTGATGATCCATTGGGAGTGGATGACCAAGGTTAATATCTGTACCTTGGTGTACGCCTCAACCTGTGAGGCCGCTTGATATTTGGGATGATCGTGTCGGTATAGACCGCCGTTAAGGCCCGACAGAACGTGATCATAACACTTATCTTCCCTGATCGCTAAGGCTTGGCACCCATTCGACATTTACTTTCATTTCTTGTTTAATATTTTACTTAGGGGTTATGTTTACTATAAAAACCTACATACAACTCTGGAATAAACCAGCTTTTGCACCCCACCATTCAGAGCTCATTCGCACTCGTCTCAACCATCAAAATCGTCTTCGTCGACTTCCAAAAACTTGTCATCCTTGTCATTCGGCCTCGTTTGTGTTCGTACTCATCTCTTTGCTCGTACCCTTCGTCTTCCCTCATATATTGTCAGAGTCCCATGTGGCTCTTGAAGCACGTAGTTGTCGGTTGCAACACTACTTTCTCGTTACCGACCGCATCGCCGACATGACCGACCAAACATTTGGTTGGTGTTTGGAGCAGTCCCGAAACCATTCGGGCACTATAATCTCACACTCCCCGTTGCTTCTCAGTACACCTTCCCTTTCTAAAGTCATCACTAACAATTCCTTGTGTATTAGATACTAGCTCCAGCACCCCTGCATTAGAGGTTGTTTTGGTGTTGTGCTCGGCACTTAGAGCCACCTCTAGCGTATCAACGTGAGTAATTGTGTGATCCTCCCCTAGTTTGTGCAGTGACATTGGATGATTTCCTAGTGGTTTCGTCAAGGAAGGAAGATGTTGAAAAGGATTATAGTTCAATGGCAAATAGAAAGATAACATAGCGATGGGAATACTTGAAGAGGAGTTTTGGGCTTGGGCTCAGTAATTGGAGATCCTCATATCAAATGTAGTCTCGTCCCGGAGACTTTCACTGAGGACCCCTGAAAATAGGTGGGGAGGCCTGGTGGCCAATCCAGAAAATTTTGGGCCTTTTTGACCCCTTAGGCCAGGTGCATCTGTACAAAATTTGCCCTACATGGCAGGCAAGGCCTGTCTGTGCATCCTGCTAATCGTGGTGTTGGGGTGATAGGCCTGAACAGGGTCTGGTCAATTCAAGCTGAGATGGAGTAGTGGTAGGTTGTGTAGTATGTAGCAAGGCAATTTGTGACAGGTTCATGGGTTCAAATCCTGCACATGTACTTCTTTACTACTTTTTTGTGCTCATGTTTCAGATCTCCAAGCTGTCAGCTGAAATGGAAATTTGTGCTCTTGAAGTGGTGTGCATACATCCAACAAAAATCCTGCACACAATGTCAGACAGCAAAGTCATTGGCCTTGACACTATTCACTTAGAAGCTCTACACAATGTTCACATTCTCATTCCTTTGGAACCCCCAAAAATACTGCTGCATTGTCATCTCTTGATTACAGATCCCCTCAATGTCAACTTGCCCACACAATCTTCAGCCCTCATTCTCCTGAAACTAACATCCTTGTTCAGCAAATTTCCCCCTGAGCAGCCTACAGTACAAGACATAATGGATTATACTCTGCCTCCTAACAAATGGCTTTCTGAACTAGACAAAAAAGTCTGATAGGAGGCAGTATAAGGGGCTTGCTCTTTTGAGAATCCCTTTTTGAAAGGACTGTGCCACCTATTACAGACAATCACCTTCTGGAAAAGGATTGCGACAGTGCAATGAAGCAAGGATCTATGGCAGCGGTCAGATGAGTGGCCTCTGAAATGGACATGGACAGATGGCACATACATCTCGATAAAGCCTTGGTCCAACTATTCTCACATTTGAATAGATACCTCTCAAACCTTGTAGCAGTGGTCCAATGTCTCTAGGTGTTATGTCGGTGTGGGGCAGGGGGCAAGAAGGACAATAGTGGCACAAGGGAACATGGCGATGGCTTGGCGCATGAAGTATCATGCTCTGTAACATCTTTTCAATATCTCATGTGCTCTATGTGTTTGATTCTGATGGCCAACAGCTTAATAGATGCTTTCTGGCCTTTCTGAGCATCAAAACAGACCTGAACTATGTGATCTGGACAATTTTGAGAGCTTACAAGGCCAGATCTGGTCAATTCGGACGATTTTGAGGGCTTATAGGGCCAGATCTGGCTAATCCGGCCAAAAAATGTGGTTTTGGAGGCCTGGCAGTTCAATCCGAACATTTTGACTCAAAATTTGGCTAGGCCCGGTTTTTTCCGGACAAATGTCGCCGATTTTGGGACTTTCTATCCGTACATTTTGGCCGGCTTTTAAGAAATTTCCACCCGGCCTCCCCCCCTATTTTCAGGGGTCCTCCTCACTGGCACCGTCGAACGAACGCAGGAGAGATCGGTTGTCTGCTGTTGCCGTCTGTCGGCATCTCACATGTGAATATAAACAAGTGTGATTAGGCGCGCTCCTCGGTTTAGTACCGTTAACTCCGGTCAAGCACTTGACTTAATTCAACTTATCGTTCTCAAGACCGCCGAGCTTGAACCAGCTTGAAACTTTGCACGGTTACATCTTGTATCGCATTCCTGTCGATTACGGCTAATGGCATCTGGTGACTAGAAGCAGTGCTGCCACGGCGCAGTCCGGCAGGCTTCACAATGATATGTCACATTCACTTGTTCCTCGTATATAGAGTTGCTAACGGATGAATCTGGATTCTGGGAGTGCTATTATGGAACTCTGGAGAGGGAACAAAGCTATAAAAAAGGTGATATGTCTTCGTTAACCTCTTCACACTCATTCCACTAAGGCATACTTTAGATAATCTCATAGAGTTCATCTAATCACACCACAAAGATATGGTCCAAACCTCAGCCAAATTCATTATGGACACCCCGCAATGAAGCCTCGAAATCCTCCTGTGTTGAAGGTGCGTATATCTTGATTTCGTGTCAAACGTCGAACTTCAGCTCTTTGGCAGATTTGGATTCATATAGGTGCCATGTGGATGGCGTGACTTCTGGTCTCACCTGGTTTCTGGTCTTCGAGGAAGGCACTTAGAAACATTTTGGATCACGTTGATGACCGGAATCGAACAGGCATAGGGCAATCGCCATTTTGCCTTATGATGCACCTGCACCTGCAGCATTTCGAGATTCGTTAAGGCTGTCACTCGCAGGTAGTCTCAGTTAACCAAACTCCGTGCAGGTTGTTGAAATTACTATGAACGCGGTCTTCACTGTATATTCTCTGTTAGCCTGGTCGAATAATTGACCGGCTTGACATCCTCTACTTCACTCGTCGCAGGTTTGAGTATTCTGAAATTGTACTTCCGTACCGCCCTTGCGATGTATCTCATATTGCTATCATTTGATCAATACAACCTTGCCAATATACACCGTTGGATCGAGTCTTGTCAGTCTCGCGGAATGCCCTTCTCATCGTCGATGCTCAGTGCGACATAAGCAAGGACATGCAAGGAGTTGACTTGGTTGAAAGGCCGGGAGCTGTATACTTTTCTGATATTCCAAAATGATATATACATTTTCGAATATACACTTCCCGCTTGTGATTCTACTCACGATAATGTCCAAAGCGGGTTCAATTAAAGATACAGGCTTGGGTCCAGGCTGCGTAGGTTTGCGCATTTGATTTTGCCTTCCAGCACAAGTTCACTCACTGCTTTCGCGGTACCTGGTGCGTTGCAGATTCCCTAGAAGAGAAAATAATGTCATCATTCCCATTGAACAAGGCAGGCCGCCGATCACATACCCAACACGTGTGGCCGGTCGCAACCACTAAACCCTTCATGTTTGGTACATTGCCGATAATTGGCCCTCCTTCATTCTCAACAATGGGTAGATAGCAAGCTTGATGCTTCTCAATCTCTCCGAGTACATTGCTTTGGATGATACCTGTCTCCGCAACCCACTCCCAAATTTCTTCACACGCCAAAGGGTCCGTTTTCACCTCGTCGACAGTCAGTGGGAGGGCCTCGCGCGTGTCACCAGGCCCGCAGACATAGATCGTAGAGTCAGGACGAGGGTAGATCTCGGGTGTAACATTACGGCCACCCGCAGGCAGCGCGATGGACGTGAACAGGACATATGGGGCGATCACATCTGCCTGCATGGAGGGACGAATTATGATACTATGCGCACGTGTGCCTGTAATGGGAAGGGAAGAGAGCAGAGTAGGAGACCAAGCCCCAGCCGCGAGGATTACGGTGTCGGCTGCGAGGTTTACTTCCTCCGAGAATGCCCCCTCGCTTGAGCAGTAGCGTACACCTGTAATTTGGCCCGAGTCACTCTCGAGGGAGATGACCTTACCTTTAATAAGACGCACGCCCTTCTCCGAAGCTAAGTTGAGCATGCTGGTGGTGAAGAGATACGGGTGCACCTGGGCAGTATCACCAGAAGGTGCAAGCGGCGTATATGAATCTGTGAGCTCCTCGTCGACCCACGCGAGATCAGTCGGCAGACCCTTTGCTCGCCGAGATTTATTTGATCCTCCCGCTGCAGGTAATCCAAGCTTTTTGCTTAGCGTTTTTGTCTCGCCTGAGGATTCTTTCACTCGCTCATCACTCGCCTCTCTCCCGCGTCCTTCCCACTCGCCGACACCCGTCCATCGCCACCCCCATCTCGCTTCTCCATCAAATTCCCTCGCTAGTCTAGCATGCTCTTGAAAGCTCACTTGGGCAAGCTCCTTTGGATAGGCCCATTTAGCGACCAAACCACCAGCTTTTCCCGACGCGCCTTGTGCGACACCTTCTTTCGATGCCTCCAAAAGCGTGATCGTCACAGATGTGCTAGCGGCGTGATGAGCTAGATAGAAGGCGGTGGTACTGCCTATGATCCCTCCACCAATAATAACGACATGCTTTGAAGACATGCACAAGTAAGGAGGACTGTCCGATGTCGTGCAAGACGTGATGTTTGAAGCTTTATATTGAGAGTATTGCAAGCTCTCTTACATGAAAATTCTCACGGCTTCATCGATCGTAACAGTATCGTAACGGGGCCATCATTGACATGATCTTCTGTCTAATCAACCAAAAGTTCGCCTTCAACAATCTTCTCGCGAAACAAGCATTGGTGACTCTGCTCTAGTCCTTCGCCCGTTCGCTTCGACTGTAGAACGTTATTTATACATAACTCGGCATCTTCAAGAGAGCAGGCGGGCTACTTAATGGCCGACATATGATGGCCGACTTCTCTTCCGTGTTCCTCATTGTTCCACCGTTTTGGACTTCTACCCGAGTCGTGCACGCTTCATTTTACGTCCATGGCTCACTCGATGCACCAGGCTGCGCCTGGAATACAAATCAGATCGAGGGGTCGTCTTTTCAGTGCTTGCAGATGCATGCAGACAATTTCGATCTGCTGGCGTTGTTTAGGTTGATGGGCCTCAGCGGTTGCGTAAACGACAACGGCCCTCTACCCTGGACACGATGCCTGTCAAGATGCCTGTCAAGATGCCTTCATGCTGTTGGACACCCAGTGATCTAAACGCGTTGACGAGTTGCTTGCTTTCTGTCTTTGAACGCCAAATTCCCATCTCCTTCTTAGCAGCTTGCCGTTCATTTCGTACTATTTCACCCCATGTTTGTTCCGATCATCACTCAGGAGCCCTTCGTAGCAACGGGCTGCTAAAATGAGGATACAGGCAAACCTGGGGCTGGCTTTGCGTATCATGATTCAAGGTTCAGTGAGTTAGGAGAACGACATGTCGCCCTCTCTGATTAGACTACGATAACGTTCGCATCTAGAGCTTTCATCACGACCACATGCGGATCTTCATTTTCAGTACGACGCCCGCGCAGGACGGTCAGAGCCCATACTTGGTAACAGCATGCACAACTTTCTATATCTCGGCGCATACGTTCGAGATGAAATGGATCAAGAAGTCGAATCTCGCTAACTATGACATGCTGAGTCTGCAACTCAGGACATGTGGCGTCTTGGTCATGTCGCCTCAGTTTGCAAGGCCCTCTGCACAAGTCCTACAACTGGGCTCCTCCTCCTATTTTTACTTGATGCATCGCGCATGTAGGAGGGCTTCGAGCGCAGTACATGCACCGCTCATGTTTGCACTGCTCATTACCATCCCTACATCTGAGAACAGTCGTACGTGATTACTATGTCGGACATGACTTCTTCACGCGTTCTTGCATCTTCCACGCCTGTAGGATTCGTTTGCTCGAAATATGGACGTGTTTGCATGATCTTTCGGGCACCGCGTACTTCCTTGGAGTGACATCACTGTCATGTTTGGCGAGGCCCTCCCAGAAGCCCCTTATCCGCGGGTTCCGCCTGGCATGGGGCCTGAACCTCCTCAATCATTCTAAACTTGTTATCGCCTCGTTGCGCAGAGGATAGCTGAACAGCAGTCATGACGCGCGCACAATGATTTAGAAGACAGTGCTGTAACTAACAAGACATGATAGCAGCTGACGCTGAAGCGCTGAAGCGGAATGACGGTATGCCTCGGAATGTACATGGTTTTGCGCAGGGGCAACAAGGTTCTGGCATTGCACCAATCACCGGCGGCTTCTGAGATACCATCGGTTGGCGCAGCAGACCCGCCCAGGCGTCAAATCATCCTTTTGCCTCGCGGTTTCGAAAAGTTGGCACGCTCTTTCCTTCGCAGGCGTTCCGCTGTTGACGTATCCTTACTTCGCAGTGAGGCACCCTTTTCAAGATATATTCATTCTCCCATGATGCACCTACACGGGCTCCCTATTCCCATAGTTCGTTTACACAGGGCCTGCGACCACATTGGTCTAGACTCAGAATGTGTTTGACTCCCGAGATCTATCTCCTTATAATTACTTCACATCGCCTACAGGAAGCGCTGTGTCCGAGGATGATCGAGACGATCCGTCACCCCTCTGCGTATCTTACACGCGTTGTCCACGATGCAACACCCTTTCTTTGCTACCGCCGTCGCTACGCCGGTCTAGATCAACAGTGAATATAAGACAGAACCTTCGCTCCATGGATCCTTAGCTCATTCCCTGTTTCCTCTCAGCCAGCGATTTTGGTGACTGCAAGCAGTCATCGACATATCCCTTTCCAATCGACTCAAACTTGCTGATGACATTTTCCACTCCACCAATGGCACTCACGTACGAAGATTCCTGTCGTCTCTTCTCCATTCTTCCTCCTGCAGAGAACAAAATCATCGCTGCTGCCTCGGCTCGCGTGTATCATGCTTCCTTCGGCGCTCTAGACTCCGATTGGTCTTACTCCGGCCTGAAAGGCATCATCGTCCTCGGCTGTGACAATCAAATTCACGTCGGCAGGCATGCCCCAAACTTGAACAGAACCACCTATTGGTTCCGTCTTGTCGACCTTCTGAAGGGTCGGGTAGTGTGGGTTCACCAGGTACATGAGATCATCGAGTACGAGGCGGAGAAGCCATTCTTCCATGTCTTCTGCGGAAAGGTGGGACCTCTGACTCTCTGAGGAACAATGTGCGTGTACTGACATCATCCTACCTCTCTTAAGAGTCGGAAATTCGGCTTCCGCTTTGACGAAGACGATGAAGCTTCCGTCTTTTTGAAAGAAGTCACACGTCGCGTTGTTGATATCCGTAAGCCTTTTTTTGCTCAAATTCTTGCCAATTATCTTCTCATATCATCACTTCCGAATAGCTGTCCCAAAGTCTGCTTTCTCGCTTCGAAAACAGAAACCGCAGTCAGCGAGATCACCACGCCGTCCTATCAATGGCTCCATGATTTCGTCTCCTGTCCCTGACTCTTTCCACCATGTGGCGCACTTGAGCATCGACGAGAAGGGTTCTCTTGAGTCGAGTTGGAATGTAGCGCCCGAGTGGACCATGCTTTTGCAGAAGTTGGAGGGTTACGGCGTTGACGTTGAAATGGTGGAAGAGAATCTGGAATTCGTCAAGGGATTCCTGGCAGGCGCGGAGGCAGTGAGAGGGTCAACATCGGCATCCTCCGCAAGTTCTTCTGTCTCATCGGCTGGGAGCGACGATGGGTATGGTCATTACAGTCCGGAGCCTGGTGCGTCCTTCTTAATGTCTGCACACTCGGAAAAATTGCTAATGCGCAGTTTATGTGTTCATCGTTATCTATAGTCCGCGCGAAGAGGCAGCGAACAATCCACCGGAAGCCCGTGCCAGAATACTCGCGCTTCTGAACGCAAGTGCCTCAATAGGCATCGTCTTTAGTTCAGCTTTCTGTGATCTCTATCTCTCTCCCCTTATGAGGCTTCTTATGCACTTTCTCTTGATGAGACAGGTGCTACTCCATGACGATCACGGCATATGTGGGATATGGACATCATCACATGTAGGATACGGACATCATCGCATGTAGGATACGGACATAATACTTCTCTAGGCTCGATGGGTGCCGTAACTTATAAGGACTTGACATGCATCGCTATCTCCTTGTAATCTAGGTTTATGTTGAACTAGCTAGTGTATTATACTACCACTACCACAAAAGTACTTTTTGCAATGGTATCTATCACACTTCATGCACGCTGCATGAACAACAGACCTAGTGATTTTGACACGAAATCAATTGCAAAAATGTCGACGAAAGTTGGAGGATTCTGTACAAGAAGAGTAATGTAAGACCACTGGGCAAAGATGACGGTGTCGTCTTGATTAGAGTTATATACGGGTACGGAATAGCGAAGACGGTGGTGCTAAGATAATATAAAATGTATTCGAGAGCGATATCTACATATCAGGTGGCACATAAGCTGGAAAGTTGATAGAGAGTATTCTATATCTCTGTATGTGAACGAAAGGTAATCTTCAATGAAGCTACGGTGCCGGTGCGTACAGCCACGATATTATCACGTTGAGGTTCGGTACCGCCTCGGGATCTCCGTGCGTGAATCCCCGGACACTGGAGATCATCGACTAAGAACTCTGCGGTACTTAGTCCTTAAAACCGGTTCAGATCGCGGCCAAAGATCCCTAAAGGCCGGAATGTATAGGTGATTCAAGAGGAGAGAAGGGCCAAGCAGTGTTGCTTACAATTCAAGAACCTGCCAGGGACGACCGGTGACCATTGTGCACGCGAGCGGATTATCGCCCACGACAACGAGGCCATCAGCAATGCTGAACCATGTTTTGCCGACACATGTACGAGGTGGCTTACCAGTATGTTGGGATTAAGATCCTATGTAATCACAAGATTATCAGAACGATTTGGAGTCAAAGGAAGCATAGTTCCAATGCTTACTTGTTTCGCACACTGACGGTCATTGTGAAGTATGCGGAGCGCCACAAGAGCCATGCAATGCGCCCTGATTCCTTTGTCTTGGGACCTGAGTCTGCGTGACTGCGATCGTATATTGCCTTCCTGGCTCGGGATATAAATGGTTAGTGTTCAATATGGAGCAATGTCGGAAGTTGAAACACACCAATCTCCGAGATATGCCAACGAGCCAAGGTTCTTGAATTCAAACGGTTCAGGCGAAGCCTTGTCCTTGACTATTCTGTTTAACTTCTTGGTCAAATATTTTGCTTTCTGATTGGCCACTGTTCAGTAATTTCCAAAAGAAACCAGTCATGTCAATATCCAGATGGAACAGCCTGATCATAGGGGATCGACCTTGTGCGGTAGCAGGCAACAAAGTACCCTCGCTCCTTGCGGCGTCGCCGATCGCCCAGACATCAGTGTCAGGAGAGCCATCCTCACGGATAACGTTCAGATGATCGTTGGTAAGTAGTCTGAGACCAAATTCCGATACAGACGTCAGTCACGCAAAATTTATGCCGACAATACTGACGTTCTAGTTTGCTTGTCTCTCTGAAGACCAGAGATTGAGTCGATGAGCGGATTCGGAGCTAGACCAGTGGACCAAACGAGGAGTCCGAATGGAACTGTGCAAAGGGCCAGTGAGCCGTGTAATACACTGAAAAGGGCATGTGATATGAACCTTCGCCATCCTCCCGCACGTGAAGCTTACCCTGTGAACCCGCATTTCATGAGCAAAGTCATGGTGCTCTATCAATATGAAATAGCTCACCGGTTTGACCCTGTCGACATGGTGACTGGTCTTGATCGTGATACCGTTTCTTTTAAACTTCTTTTCAGCATATCTGTGAAGAGGATTCGGCGCTCGTTCAGCATATCCCCTAAATCGTGTCAGTCAGATGACTTACTCTGCCAACCCCTTATCGAAGTTGCCCAAAATATTGGGCGCTACGTCGTACAAGGTGATCTTAGCGAGCCGCGCCAAAGTTGGATAATACTGAGCCATATCGGTTTGTAACAGATCATGCAACTCGGCTGCAAACTCGACACCAGTCGGCCCTCCACCTTGTTTTCATGAAGGAAATGTGCCGAACTATCAAAATAAATCCAGCAAGAAAGAGAAACGCGCAGGCACACGCACCGACAATGCAAAAATGTAACAAGTTTCTTCGCTCAATGTCGTTTACGATGGGTTGGTTGGCCTGTTCGAAGCCTGAATGATAAGCGTCAAATCTCGTTTTCCGTGAGAAGATGGTTGTAATGATGTACATTCCAGGACACGCGTCCTTATAGACCGTGCATCCTTGACATCCTTTAAGAAATGCGCATGCTCCTTCACCCCAGGGACGTTGAACGCTGAGATGCATCGAAGCCAGCGTGAGACCGACGTCGGTGATGAGTGTGACAATCGGTAGTAATCGCTCACTCTGAGAATACGCTCCTACAGCGATCACAAGCTTGTCGTATTTGATCATGAAGGGCGCTCCACTATCCGAATGATTTGTAACTGTGTTATCTGTTTGCTTGGCTGCGAGCGTCTCAGGGTGAATAGGCGGCGTCGCAGGCATCTATATGTTCATGACAGAGGTTTCGAGACATGCCACGATAGATGAGAGATTTCGGCGCAGTACGTACGCACTGCAAAGTTTTCTGCTTGAAATCGATGGCGTCACACCACGCCTGGTAGTACTTCTAAAGAAACAAAAAACATTAGGCCTTGGCAACGCTACCAATCACAGAGATCAATCACCGCATCAGGGGAGTATCTCCGTACCTGTCCGGGACAAAGAATGCCATGAAAGTCAGAGATTATTGGGAGCAACATTTTGGATGGGAAAGATATACCGGTTCAATGGCGCACCGAAATTCCAAGGTGCCGACCGCACAACTAGCCAGTAGTGGAGTGAAGTTGAAGTAGTTGATTGGCGATATCAGAGTGACATCTACGGGGCAGGGGAGATGAAGATTAGGATCGAACGAAACTATTGTGTCGAAGAGAAATTTGGCTGCCATAGAAGGTATGCCTTGAGAGCCGTAACATGCTCGTCATTAAGTTGGGGTTCCCAAACTCATGTACGGATATGATTCCATCGAACTTTTCGAGGCAAAATAGCTAAGACTCTCCGGCCGCCACAAACGCGCGCAAGACCATATATTGTATGAATAGGGAAACGAACACTCACTCCATCGCTTCTTGTCCACATTTTTCAGGACTTCATACCCTCCCCATCCAGACCCCAGAACTACCAAGTTCTCCTTGTTTCTAGGCACCGATGAGCTGAAGCCTCTCACGAGTCGTATGATCTTCGTCGAAGCGAGCGCACGAGTATTCGTTCGCAGCATGGCCAGAAGATGGGCCGAAGTTTGTCTAGAGGATGTCAAATCAAAAACAAAGCAGATGTACTGGATGGGCAGTAGTCTGAGAATGGATCATATAGCTCCAACCTGAAACTCGGAGCGGAACATCTCGGAGGTGGAAGCACGTCAGAGGAGATGCAAGCAGTTCACCGGCTGAAGGAAATCATCATCTGCGTCATTGTGATGAAACAACAACCGAGGGCCGTGTCTTCCGCGGGAAGTCACCGCACAATTGGTACTTCGCGAGAAACGGGCTACAGATGAGCCCAGCTCAGGCATCCAATGACTATCCAATGCCTTTTCGATGTTCGAAACAACGCAGTGGGGCGAGTCAGGGGCCAGGATTCGAGGTCCATGGCCTGAGCACGTGTGATTCGTGATTATCTAAGCCCCCCTTAGCGCGGTGGCCGACGTTGAAGTCGACTCCCACATCTGCGTGCACACCACCTCATCATTATGCCATCCGATACTGAGACACCAGACGTCGAGACGTCAGAGAAGATGACAATGGAGCAGCGGAAGGAAAAGATGGAAGAGCTACGAGCCAAGATGGTATGTATCATGACCCTCAGTCCAAGGACCAGTAGCCAATACTAAACCCCACGCTCACGGTAGCGCTCCTCTGCGAAAGCCAACCGCAAATCGGTTATAGAAGAGTCTGCGAGAGCGAAGATCAATGCACGAGATGCAGCGCGGTTAGAAAAACAAAAGAAGCTCGCCGAGGTGCTACGGACAAAGGCAGACGCGGAAGAGCGCGGTGAAGACGTTGAGCGAGCGAAGAACTGGGAGTGGACTATCGAGGAAAATGATGAGTGGGAAAAGAAATTGGCGCGGAAGGCCAGGAGAGCAGACTTTGAGTTTCACGGTGCGTTCTCTTTTCTCTCGTGATATCGAAGAACTTTACTGAGTAAGTGCATGAATCTCTTTCCGCCGTGTAGATGACGCACACGCTGCCCGGCGGAGGTACAAAAAGGACCTGGACCAGATAAAACCTGATTTGACACAATACAATCGCCAGAAGGAGGTGGCCATGGGTCTTGCTCCGGGAACGCTCACAAAACGGGCAGGTGTATCGGGGGCTGGCACATCGTCGTCAACTACCATTACGAATTTCGATCCTCAACAAGGCTCAAACATGCAGGTGCGTTATTGACTGACTTCTCGATATACAGCTTATTAGGAGTATTAATCATGGGTTTCTCAGCTTGTACCAACAAGCCAGCAACAGCAGCTCGCAGCGGAGAGTTTGTATCGTGATGCGAACAGCTTGCTCTACGCTGATAACAAACCGACCGAGGATGCGATCGACAGGGTCATTAGCAAGATCAATAGAGAGTGCGTCATCGGTTTCCATCCATGTGTATTTCCGCGGAACGCTGAACCGCTCGATCTTAAGTGTTGATAAGAAACGCAACTTCTCGCGGAAGCGTGCGAACGAGGACGAAGGTGATATCACGTATATCAACGAGCGGAATCGTGTGTTCAATAAGAAGGTAAGCCTGTTACCACAATGTCACGCGATGCCATACCTTATTGCAGAGTTTTTTTTTGCCAGATTGCTCGATACTACGACAAATACACAGCGGAGATTCGGGCAAGCTTCGAGCGCGGAACTGCGTTATGATACGACTGTCTTCCCTACTCTCACTTCGGATGTTGTATTATTACTATGGACTGGGCGGCGCTCTCGTAACGTCTACCTTTTTTAATTTTACGGGGTAAAGCAGAGTGACTAGCCTGGCCCTCAAATAGCTCACTCGCAGCCTATCATTGAAAAGTATGTGCACGGCGGCCTACTTCTATCATGAGGTACGTTTACGGAGCTCAACATTGACTTTCAATCAAACTCTTTGATGCGCTACAAATGCTCCCCGTTGCTCGACAGCTCTTTGCAGTAAGTCCCGTGCACCCCGATCAGCGAATGAACGAGCGATATACTTACAACTGGGACGTGGACAACCGTGGGTAAGTTTCTGTCTCGCTCAGACGGGCACAAGCCATGGACATATGACAAGGTCCTCAACGTGTTGGTGAGCTCTACTAAGCATATTCAAATATTGCGCCAAACTTGTTCACGATCGAGACATGAGCAAGTTCTCGTGATCAAAGTTCGATATACAACAACACGACCCTTGATATTCAGTAATTTTCTGATCAGGCGCTCCTACCACTCCATGGAAGCCGTTCGTAAATCACACAGACAGTGCATAGTGGATCGGTTGGCGTCACAGAACACGAGTTGATATGGGCGTCCCACCAAGCGCCGCCTCATTCCAGTTCATCATGTGTGTCTGTGCAGAAAAACAAGTGACTGCCAATCGTTTGTATGAGGTCGCTTCTTATTCCCCATATATCGTCAAGATTACATCCAATGTTACCGGACTCCACGGCATGAGAGGTGCGCGCCATACTCGTGCTACATCCTCCTCCTTCTCTAGAAGGGTTTCACGGAACATCGCTGTTAATGTCCGCTTGGAGTACAACTCAATCACCCAATTCTATCAACTGTTACATTAGCCAACGGTCACCCGTTTACGCCCAATCGCTTCATCGAATTTCATGTACAGCACCCGACTCAGGCCCCCCCCCTCCCCCCCCACAGGAACATTGACTAGGCGACCATACGAGAGTGAGATATTAATACACCTTGAATGGTCTAAGTATTTGAAGGCTTCAGCTGCGGTCGTCTGAGAAGGAACAAATTGCCTTGCATTCATTTCTCTGGTCCAGCTTTAGCTCTCCATGGGAGCATTGAGAATTTCTTTCTTCATTTTCTTGGCTACTGCGTTCTGCACTGTCCGTGCCATATGCACCCATCCTTCCGTTCGTAAAGAATGGAGGCAGATGACTGTCACGGAGAGGAGCAACTGGGTATCTGCGGTCAATGTCAGTGCTCGTGATCCGTACATCGAATATGACTGCTCATCCTCTGTGCCAACGTTCAGTGCCTATCTCATCACCCTCATGACCCTAGGTTAATGCCGACAGTTAATATATCCATTTCTGCGATCCCTCCTGTGAACACCACGGGATCCTATTATGATGGTGAGTTGCGACCGTCTTTATGCGTCAACGTTCTACTCATGAGATGTTCGGTAGATTTTGTCTACATGCACATGGACTTGAATGTTCTGGTAAGGATCCGCTGCCTTGTGCCCACACATTTGAAAGACTCATCCGTGATCGGAAAGATCCACTTCACCGGTCTCTTCCTCCCTTGGCACAGGTGGTACGTAGCTGTCTACGAGACCGCACTGAAGGAAAGATGTGGTTACGAAGGGTCCTCGCCTTACTGGAACTGGAGCATGGGTATTTCATTGCGATATCCAGCACATGAATCCGCTTACTCACCCTGTGCACGCAACAGACTCTGGCAACTTCTTCAGTTCGGCATTCTTCGAGGACACTGACCCGAAGAGTGGGCTGGGCGGGTGGGGCGACCCCACGAATGATTATCAAGTCCCTGACGGTGGATTCAGCGACTTCCGTATCTCTTATCCGGCTCCGCACACCTTGCGTCGTAATTTTACGTTGCAACCCTACCTGGGTGCGCCGGCGTCGATGTCGCCGTTCTTCATTGACCCTGGGAAATATGCGAACACTTCTTTCACACCGGAGGAAGTGTCGAAACTTGTCAATGGATTTGTTGGCGATTTCAAGTCATTCCAGGCATATTTTGAGGCATTTGAAGTGAGTCAGTCTGGTTTCACCCATTCGTTGCCTATGTTAGTGTGGATAGACGGCTGACCATTAGATGTAGGGCGCACATGGGTCTGTGCATGAGATAATGGGAGGGTAAGCGTCAATATTGCTACTTATCTGTTCGGATGACCTGGACACGTATTTGACTCCATAGTGACCTTGCAGGCATGTGCCCAAAGAACGCACCCGCGAACTGCACTCCCGGACCCACCTGGTCTGCGAATGGTACATTTAGTATTATTTTTGAGCCCGACTTATGCTGACATCTATCCATTCTCTGTAAAACGTATGACTGGTAGAACCTCTGTTCTGGATGCATCATGCTGTACGCACTCTTTTTTAATTGCTTCGTAATATTGCTTATGAATGAAGTAGATGGTCGATAAGGTGTGGTACGACTGGCAGCATAAGAACCCTTCAAACTTCTGGTCCTACTCCGGTGGCTCCGTGGAAGCGATTACGAACGTAACCTACTACAATGAGTATCCTAACGGCGCGCCTCCCTACTTGAATGTGCGTGCCATTGTCCAAACCTATCAAATTCACTTTTCATATTGAATGTGAGCAGTTCCAATCATTGATGCCAGCCGACGGTCTATTCCCTCAAGCGACTATCCATGATGTGTTCAACACCACGGATGGGATCTTGTGTTATGTTTACGAATGATGATCCAGGACAATCCAAGCCTGTGAGTCTTTCGAGAACAAATATCCTTCTCTCATGACATTTTCATGCTTGTCTCATTGGTGCTCAGTTATACCTAATCGTCGATACTTTTCATAAGGAACGCTGTCTTGTCGTGCATGTCTAATCAACGTCAATTTGTGTTCATACCCAATCACATTGGCTGCAGAGCAACATCTAACATCTACGAGTTGACTAGACGATCAACATAACGAGGTATGAACAAGGATAGCCACTATACTAGATAGCATATCGAAAGTCTCTAGTTTTGACAGATCTCCCGTGAGCATCCGAATCCGAAGAGAATCTATGAAAAAAGTTTTGATGAGCTTTCGTTCAAATACAGACATGGATGAGAACAGAAGAAGAAATCAGGATTGCAGAATATAGTCAGCAGATGAACTAGGTCCATTAGACTGTTGAGCTTGATAATTGTGATTCGGAATCATCATACATCGAGGGTAACTCGATTGAACAAGAAATAATGAGATCAAAACATACACATAACCTCAGTCCGACTTGAGGTAAGCATAAACCGGCCAATAAAGATATCGAAGAGACTTGATAGTCGAGGCTCACCAGCGTCGGAAGACGATTGAGGGACGGCAAAGCATGGGAAGGAGAGGACGGTGAGGCGGATGGGATGAGTGAAAAAACGAAGCCGCTTTATTAGGAGCGTTGCTTCAAATCCCGACCGGCATTAGCCGGAAGCGGTCTCGTGCGTTGCGTTCGATCGAGCCTCAAGGCCTCAAGGCAGACTTTCCAATGAGATTCACTGTGCTGCAATCAAGAAATAAATATGGGAGTATGGTAGAGTTGCATGATAATTTCCGGGATCACTAGGACCAGGTCTTGTCTCTCAGGGAGTAGGATCTCAGTCAGGGCACACATTTCGTCGATGGCATAAAGATAGAGAACTAGTCTCGACCTAGCTAGGATCAAGACTCATTGGTCCCAGGCGTAACCGGTGGTATACAGTAACTGGACATGAAGATACAGTAGAGGCATCACATCGATGCAGTTAAAAGAATATAGCTGACCATGATGCACAACAAGAAATGGAGGGGGGCTCTAGTACGAGTCAGTGGGTAGAGCTAAGTCCGGGTACAAGAACTCTGATGCACGAGTTACGGATAAGGGGTCAAATTTGAACATGCACCTACGGAGGAAGACGTTACGAGATGATCCCGAACCGTTGAGCAGTCAACGAACTCATCTGGTTTCCTTCCCTCTTCCCCTCCCTCGCCCGCGTGACTTTCCAAAGCCCCGTCCCCTCGTCCCCTCGGCACCAGAGGGTGGTGTTGGAACGACGGCATTGCCTTCCACATCCAGGGGTCTGGTGAGAATCCTTGGTGTTACCTGCGATGCTCCTTCTCTATGCAATATCGCCGGAACAGTTGGTACGGCGGGAGTTTTTTCCGCTTTAGCTTGTTTAGTCGACTTCCCCTCCGCCCTATCCTCCCTCCTTCGCTCTCGCTCCTTGCCCTTAGCCCCATCCTCATTCGGATCTCGGCTCTCCACTCCTTTATCCTTATCCTTCTCTCTATCTTTACCCTTATCCTTCTCGGCGGCTCTTTCGCGCTTCGGCTTAGACACGCCTGCACCACTTAGCGCGGCTTCAAACTGTCGAGACGCCAGACCAAGGATAGGGCGCGGTCTCCTGCCAGTCGCACCACTTCCCGTACTAGGAGGAGCGGTTTCTGGCAATGCAGAGATAGAGGCAGAGGGAACGGAAGTGGCAACAGTAGTGGCAGGTGTGATTGGACTCCGAGGAGGTTGAGTATCTTGGGCTTGAGCTTGCGGCCGACCGCTACGTCCACTCTTTGGCCCGGTGGGTGGAGCCTTACTCACAGTCATAGGTACAGTCGTCGGGGAGCTCCCGTTCTTGGGCTGGGAGGTTGAAGAGCTTGTTTGTTTCTGGGCGGCTGAAGTTGCCTTCTTCGATCCCTTTTTCGACCCCGCCGATGGTATATCGCTTTGTTTTGCAGGTGCAGGGACAGCCCCTCTTCTCTTTGCATCCTCTTTCTTCGATAGAGCGGCGGCATCCTTGTAGTGAGGGTGGTTTCGAAGAATGGCTTCCTTGTCTTTTTGGGCGCTTTTTTCAGCTTTTAACGCCTCGAGAAGGGGAGTAGACTTTGGCATGGGGACAGGTTGTGTGGACGCGACTATAGATGAGATGAGTTAATCGAAATAGTCTAGATATGATCTGTGCCCAAGGTAATACGAACTCAGCGTATCCAGGAGCTGTTCTGTGTCTATAAGTTTCGCAGATGACGCTTCGAGCACTTGCATGAAAGAGATGAAGTCTTCATCTGAATTCACTTGAGGTCAGTTGCTAGCTCGACGGATGTGATCTCACCACAAGTTAAACACACCTTTCTCTATCGTGCCATTTCTGCTATCAGCTTTCTTCTTCTCCAAAGGAATCTTCTGATATGGGGCAAATTCTACAACAGCTTGAAATTCGTTCCCTTCGTCGAATCGTTGAGGCCACATGCGCGCTTAATAGTGAGCGAAACGAACCAGTTTTATCCCTGAAGATATGGCCGTCATATTCGCGACTGAAAGAGGCCAAGATATCCTCAGTCTTGAAAGCAATATACGCTCGTGAAGAGACGTTCTCCTTGTTCAACCTGTTATCACACTAAATATTAGGGCGCGAGGACACTGAGGCGATTGCTCACTTCTTCCTGAGCTTGCCTGGGTAGAAGGCTTTCCAGCTCACAGTATCATCTGTGACCCAACTCTGCACGCTCTGCCAAAATATATCTTCAGGTAAGTTTGGGGGGAGTCTGCGCACAATGGACTTCAAGCGTTCATGTCCGCTGGGCCTCGACTGCGTCTGCCGCTTCTCCTTTGGCTTCAACTTTGACTTCGAGGATTCCATTCCGTACCTAATTCGGTGGATGAGAGTGATTGCAAGTAGAAGACTTTCTCGTCGTCTTGGGGCTCTTGAGAGTCAGATAGTTGAGTCTGTGACACAATCATTGAGCGACGAGGGCACCGGAGATCTCCGGGCCGCTCTACTCATAGAGCAGTGAGACTTCCAATGTTCAAATTTGCTGTAGACTGGACATGCTGACTACAGATCTCGTCATTTTCGTTACTGTCACGATCCTTAAGTACATCAATGTTGGTCTTTAAACAATTCTTTCACGTCATGAAGACATAGCGCGGATCGTGGTCGGCAAGTTCGCCGGATGGTGGCTCAAGTTCGCCTTCTGCTTCTAGGACTGCAAGTTTCTCAGCATTCTCCTTGTTTTTCCTGGATAAACGAGTTCGCAAGATGAAGGCGCAAGTAAATGATACCAGGAGGCATCTACGGATGGATGTTAATTTGGATTATTCGTGGAAGATTTTCGATCTGGACGCACGCGGCAGAGATAGCATGGCCCTTACGGTAACTGTCCTCCGGGTCGAAGTAGATCTGAGGAGAAGCGCTGTCGAAAAGGTAATGTATGGGTCAAATTTCTAGAAATCTAGCACTCACATCGAAACACAATTCGATATCGAGACAATGAAAGCCGTTCCGACACCTCTCTTTGACGTAGGTGAAAACGTATTTGCTGCCCAGCTCCTGTATGTTATATGCGGTGAGATCAAAAAAGTTCAATAATGACGGGCCCGGCACCCACATCACCAGGGGGAATAAACTGTAATTCCCGCCAACAACAAGAAATAGTGCGAAGTATGCTGCACCTACGCTCTTCTGAACGGATGTGGCCAGGATGAGGTATCCAACAAAGGAGACGAATGTGGAAGCCATGACATGCCAGCCACGGTCGCTTGTACGATCAGAATGCCAAGCCTGGAAGAAGACCATAAACCAGCCAACGAGGTATGGAGCTACGGTCATTCCTTGGGCTTGAATAGAGGTGAAGCCGAGTTCTCTTATGAGCTGGGACATGCTTTAAGTAAATTAGGAATGATCACGAGTGAATGCAAACATTACCGTCGGTAAAAAGTATGACACAGTCGCGACACCAATATTGACTGCAAAGAAATGATAAAGGTAATGACTTGGTGGGAAATTAGCAGCGGTACGGAAAGGAACTCACACGTAGCATAAACCATCATCAGAAGCCATGCGTTTAGGTCTGTAACTATAGCCTTGAAACCTTGCCAGCCGGTCATACCGCCATGAGACTGCGGTTTATGATCACGGTCAAGTCGGGCTTGTGCAATCGCTCTTTCTCTTGCGTTCAGAAAGGTCGATGAGAAGGGGAAGGAAGGCAAAAAAAGCAGAATCATGACAGCCATGATAAGATCCGGAATTGCTTCAACCTGTGGAGGGGTTAGATCTCTCGATATCCCTTCCCATCTTTGATTGGATGCTCACTAGAAATAAAAACTGCCAGCTGAGAGTTTTAATTAACTCGGATCCTAAGACAACAATTGACAGAACACAACGTACCCTTTCAGGACGGATGTGTGTGCCCGAACAAGACCAAATGCCAATAAACCCTACAGTAACAGTTGTCTGAGTATCTCTCAAAGAAAAGACGCGTGATCACTTACACCTATAGCACCAGGAAGTGTTCCAGTCATGCAGAGACTGCGAATTGTTAGACTACGCGCGAATAAAATATGCTACCCCAACCTTATACGAGTAGCTAACTCGCGCCTATGCAGCTAGGGATGTCAGCGAATTATTGCGGGTAATTACAGCCTGGTGCACCTTCTATACCAGAACGACAGGTAATAAATCATGCCGGCATAATAGCCAGCCTCCCCAATTCCAAGTAAAATACTGAGAGAAGATATTAGTAATACGCTTCTTCATGATTTCAGAAAATCGTGCACACCGCAGGGCCAATAATGCTGGATACCCCTTCGCATACACGAAGGAGAGTGACGCCAGACCCCAGAAAGTCAAGGATATAAAGAAACTTAGCACAAAAAAACACGTTAGATAGTCAGGTTTAAAGAATGCTGACCAAGCTCACAATCGATTGGCACCAATTTGTCTCTGGAGGACTAGTACGAGAAAGAAGATAAATGCCAAGACTATCGGGAATGACAAGAGTGTCTTGGCTCTTCACTGACCGTTCGCGGGCATTTCCAAGAGACCTGGTGAGGATATAGAAGAATCAGAAACTGTAGATGCTTTTAAAAGATTTCTTGACTTGCAGTATCCAACATAAAAGATACTGAGAGCGAGTGTCCATTTGTTATTATTTGTGATCCCCTATAGGAAGCAGATTGAGATGATGTACTTTTGAAATATTACGGCACTCACAAAGTTCGCATTGAAGGCTGGAAGAACATGTGCATTTCCACTGAGCAGTGAATGTCAATTACATCAAATTCAAGGCAGAAATATATGAGCGCACATGTTTGTTCGATCTGTGAGACATGATTAATGATTAGGAAAACCCTGGAAACCGCCTCGGTCAAAATGTCGTTACGGGCTCACCGAATTGATTGACTGTCCCATGCGATGTTAGAGTTGTATCTGGCAGGTAAATATGGAGACGCACAGGTATAACTGCAGACCACCAACGAAAGAACACGCAAGTCGATTTTATGCCTGACAGCTTTCTATCGCCGGGGACAATGCATGATAAGCTGCCCCTTGCTAATCAAAATTAAGCACTGACTTCTTCTTCTTCAGTGTACTGCACACCCTCCGCATCCTTATGCACGGCCTCCGCAAAAGCAGGATCGAGTGGAGAGAAGAAGTGCTTGCGGATCGCCTTTTCACTAAGCTGAGACTGATACATCGTCCCCTCCACATTGGCTTTCTTCTGCTCCCTCTCTTCGACCTGTACCTTTTCTACGTCGAGATCGAGGCGCTGACTAGGTTCGCCAGCCATGATGGAGGAGTGAACAGGGAGAAGGAAAGGGAAAGGAAGGGCCAAGCCTTGCTTGACTCCGCAAACAGGCTGCCCCAGGATTTATACCACGAGTCCGATTGCGGGGAAGAAGACCGAGGCAGGGGTGAGGCGGCCGACCGGCAGGGTGGGTTTCTGCCGCAGAGGTCATGGGACTCGACGTTCGCTAAAGGTGCGAAGACTGTGCGATAGGGCATGATTTCCAGTGACGAGCGCTAAAAGATCTCCCAGAAAGGGCCAGAGGGGAAGGGGAACCCACAATCACATATAGCTCAGATGACCGGTCACACTAGAAGGGCTTCCAATCGCAAGTGACGATGAGCGACGATGTCTCTGCAAGAAAAACGGATGTCCGTGCCGGTCACAACAGCGCTACGGGGCACAAAGTGGGCACAGTCAACAACGGATGGGACAAAGGTTTTAGACAGGAGAAAATGCCGGCAGTACCTTTCGAGTGCCCTCGGATGGATATTGGATGGATACGCATCGCAAAAGCCGCACCACAGAAGATCAAACTGATGAGATTTGATCAGTTTAAATATTGTTGGCGCCCTTTGCGGTAACGTCGGCGCCGGCGTGCCTTCGATTTTGCTGCCACTCATGCTTGAGATGGAATATCTGCGACCACGGGCTCCAGAAATGGCCTCATGTAAAGGCTTCGACTATACGTACGCTCACAGGTCACAAGTCCCACGGAAAGGCGAACGAAGGGGAGTTGTCTCTAGATTCTCATCCTCAAATATAACGACGACACGTATACTTAGATCACTGGAGAGCCGTGAGTGTAAATCAACCTTAGAGGCATGCCTCAAGCAAGCGCGACGGCTGGAACATGGGATAGTTGGATGAGACTGGACGGGTAGAGAGAAAACTCTTTAGCCCGAAAGTCAGAGCGTACGTACATGTAACACCGCTCAATCCATAATTAGAGAAGAAAACCATTATTCAAGTAAAAAGAGGATATAGACCCGATTAGAAGAAGAGAGTCGATGCTGCGACAGCAACACCGACAGCTCCGAGCACGCTTGAAACTACGACGTGACCTGCACCGCTGGAGCTGGCGTTCTGTGCCTTGGCAGAGGAGCTTGCAGAAGCCGCGGACGACCCTGTCTTAGAGGCAGCTGATGAGGATGCGTGCGACGAGCTGGCAGCAGCGCTCGTCGCAGATGCGGCAGCAGAACTTGCCGCAGACGGGACAGCAGATGCCGAGGCAGCATTGGCGATCTGGGCTTGTACAGTCGCGTTGAAGGTACCAGTCATGCCAGTCATGCTGTATACCCACACCGTCAATGAATCAGTAAAGTATATGGCCAAGTTGGGGATACTACGGACGTGAATTTAGCTGTGAAGGCCTCGGCGGGATACTGAGAGTTCGTCGTGTCCTTCAGGTTAAGAGATGTAAAACGAAGGAAGCTGCAAGACGTTTTATAATTGCCTCAACGGAGGAAATTTATTAGGAATGCTTACTATTCGCTACCGTTCGGACCAATAGTAGCATCCGGAGTGAACTGGACGGAGCTGGTGGTCGAAACATCCACGCTAGCGACAATGAGCTGGAGGAGAGTCTGACACAGACTGGTTCAGTAAAAGTTGGCGCCTCAAAGGATGATATATCTCACCTGTTGCTGCACACTTCCAGCATAGATGCCGACAGATGCGGCGCCAAAGGATGCTAGGGTGGGAGCGGAGCCATCATCTTGCCAGCTAACAGTAACGGGCTGTCCTGCCGCCCAAGAAGTGGAAGCGACCGGCGAGGTGGTCTAGATAAATCGCAGTAAAAAGAAATCAGACGGGACAATCGGCTCATTTGGGGGCAACTCAGCGCACAAAAACAGTGGCGAAAGCCGAAGGAGCAGCAAAGGCAAGAACAAGGGCGACCGTCGAGGAGAACATTGTTGAGACGGGTTTTGTTGTGGGTTGAAAAGAAGGTAGGTGTAGAGAACGTGTGGAACGACGGACACGATGTTTGAGAGGAGCTCAAGATGGGGAGACGGAGAATCTCGTGGGCGGTTTATAAGTAAAACAGATTCGGGTCCGTCAGGGTCTATCTGAGACCAAATTTAGACCTTGGCGCATTCGTGCCTGGAACTCCAGACCTCATCACAGTCTCATCACAGAAGACAGAGAGAAAACTCCGGTTTCGTTGCGACTCAAGCAAACAACGAAGGTCGGGAGGAAATTGATTTCCACAGGGGGTGCTGGTGATTATCGGACAGCCTGCAAAGCGGTGATGGAGGTGGCCACGTCTGAAGCTGTCTGAAGTGCCTGATGAAGCAACGATACGTAATCTACTTATTCGTTTTAACTCCAAAAATACGACCGTTTTGATGCATTATGATGCCATGAACCAGCATGCACCACGTAACATGCTTTTCAGACTTTTTCGGATCCACCGGTGACCACCAGTGACCTACCCTGATTTTCATTGAACTAAGCATATCTGATGAGACGAGTATGAGACGATGCCCGCATCATGGTCGATCGAAGTGAGTTTCAAAGCTAAAATCATATAAGTTGAATATTTCTCACGATGCTCAACAAGGCAACTAGCAGCTAGGTTGACAACCATTATCGCGTACAACACGTTCAGCAGCTCTGCGCATCATCTGCGTTTTCCCTTGTTCTGTCACGCATTCGTTGGGCTGAGCCTAATCGTCTTTGCTTTGCGATCACTTTTCTCCTGTAACCGTACTGAATACCTTTCTCTTCACACAAGCAATGCATCTCACATGTCGTGCATCGTTACTCCTGCTGGCCTTGAACTCACTAGTATCCTCTGTGCTGGGAGCGTTTTATGTGGGTTTTGATCCACGAGTCCATTACGACATCTGTGTTTCTCACTCATTTTTCTAGGTCGTCAATCCTATGACAACCACTACCTGCCATGGGGGCCAGGATTGTACGATTGAATGGCTGGATAACGGTCAACGTCCACTGCTGAGCGATCTCGGGATCTGCACCGTTGGTCTTTATACAGGCGAGATGGTAAGCTACAACTTCCTCCGTGATGGAGCAGGTGCCGTTATCTCATGCCCCTGCTTAGCAACTATTGCAACATATTGAGCCCATCGATGTCTCGCTTAACCACTCGTTGACTTTCACGGTCAGTCACCTCGTAATATCTGTTTGTCAACTAACCGATTCAACCACATCTCACAACCAGCCTAATCCAAATGCGGGGCCCAACTCGAACGCCTAGTAAGCGCATTGAACATGCATAGCGTATTTTAGCTTAATTATGTATAGCTATGTCGCGTTCTTCTCAACTGAGGTCAAAAATAACTCTCAGCCGTACATATCGTTCACCCCAAACTTCTCGTCTGTGTCTATGATTTCTTATGCGCTTTCTTCCCACTGAGGCTATGCATGACTCAGGATTGACCAGATGAGCGGATCGTTCGGGTCTTCCGTCGCCTCGCTCACCTCGACTGTCCCCATACCGAGCGCTATCCTTACAGCCACGCAAGCGCCAATCCAGACGACAACCCTCTCGGGAATTATTTCTATTGCTACAGCCGCTACTTCGTCGGGGTTTAACACGGTCACCAGCTCTAAATCCTCTATTCCTACGAACGTGTCTGGCAATTCCAACGCTGCGGCGGCAACGAACCCAGCTTGCCGAATTGAACAACCATCCTTTTTCATCACCCTCGCTTCATCGATGACCTTGCTCACCACCTTGGCCTTCTTGCCTGTCCATCTCTGATTACATGTTTTCTTAAATCCCTGGCGGACATCAGTTGTAGGACCTCTGATAGTTGGGCTTTCAGAAAATCTCTCGGCCTTGCTCATCATGCAATATCTATCACATTATCAATGCATAGAAGAATATGTATTCTAGACTAGCGCATCGTAGACTGTGTCCTTGGAGCCGAACGCGAGCAGCGTTGAATTTAAGTTATTTAGTTTCTTATGACACTTGATAGCTTGATACCCCGTCGTTTATACTCGGCTTGCTTTTGAACTTTCTGCAGATGAACCATCGGTCTGTCAAGTAAGTTGAGACGGACAAGCAGTTTTGAACGTATTTCTAGACATTTACTGGAACAAAGGGCCAGCTGAGGCTCAGATTGTTTTAACAATAATCAAAATGATACCGAACACATATTTATTGGCCACTCGTTCGGACGAGCGCACTGATTGCTGTTGACACCAAAGTCAAGACAAGAACCTTAACCTATATGCAAGCATCTTACCCGGACCAAACAAGCTGTTCCGGCATATTCAGCGATCTTGTTAACATGATCAAAACGCGAGGGCTTACGGGTCCAGGCTGGGTATAATTGGCTGTTGGATCGAGTCAGCAGGCTAGAAAATCATGGAACGATGAGAAATCACCTGGGATGGGATACTACACATAGAGCGTCTATGATTAGCTGCGCAATTATATCAAAGTCACGACAAAACATACATCTATATTGATCAGGATACCCGGCTCCTGAATTTCGAGATGGCTGTGAGTGCCTAACACGTCGGTCAGTCTCGAGAAACGCTCACGTAGCCAGTGTAGACGCCTGGAATAGCAACAAGAGGGCCTGGAGCACCGCTGCCTCCACCGGTGACGTTGATTTGGCCGCACGAAAGCTGTGAAACAGAAACATGAGAACTGGCCAGGCGGTGAGTAAAGCAATGCACGTACATAAAATTGTGCACCACCAAATGTGGATGCAACGTGCAGAGCAATGGCTTCAAGTCGCACGAGATATTGCCCAGTTGGTAGAGCCGATGGAAGGGTGAATATCACGCTGCTCAGATCTTGCGCAGGCCAAGAGATAGACGTTCCACCGTTGGTGACAGCACTGATCTGGTAGACCTTGAACCAAACTGTCCCCGAACCGTCGAACGTGGAGACATCACCATCGGGAGCCTTTGCCATGTAAACATTAACCACACCAGGATGATAGATCGTGGTGTCGCAAGCGACACCGAGCTGTGTGCCAGCGACGACGGTGATCGTTGAAGCGGTCGCCTGCGTCTGCGTGTCATAGCAACGTAAATCGAGGCTAGTAACGTCTGTTACCTAGAGTTAAAAAGTATCAGGTACGGGAGCCAGGGAGATACGAGGGAAAGGAAATACCGGGGCCTGGCTTTGTTAATTGTCCGTCTCACGAACGTTCACCCATTGCGGAGTGGTTGTTCCCCCAACAATGAGGGAGAGGAAAGTATCTTCAAATAAAGAACCAGAAGCTCAGATAGTTGAACAGCGAGACCAAGACAATATATACAGTGTGCAGCTGTTTGAGCCGCAAAGACAGCAAAAAATACGAGGGATGCGAATAGCTTCATACAGACAGGACCGAGCAGTAATGTCGTTCCAGCCCGTTAGACCCAAACAATTTATATCACTTAGCATCTTGCTATCCTTCGTGCGCAGGGAGAAAACCCGTGCCATGGATAGGGACTCATGACGCCAACATGGAAAAAAAGAAGCAAGATTGTTCCATGCCTGACCAAGCGTAGAGCTACTTTTACTGATAGCTCGCCAACCGATGATAACTTTAGCAGCGAGCACATACACATTGCCATCTAGCCTGTCAAAAAAAGAAGATCTACTGACCTCTTATTGCCTGAGGCCGTTCAACAAGAATAGGTTGCGCGGAATGAGAGCACACCCAACACCCGATGATGGTCCTTTTTTCCGAATGCCTGCCGGAGAGTAGGCGGTATGATGAAGAGATGGTGACAAAAATAGGAGGAAGCGCACACGAGGGGAGAATGCCTGGCAAGTGCACTCCAGCAGTTAGCATCATGCAACGATTCAAAATCAGCGAAGATTCCGATCCTGTCGCTCGAGTTTCCATCACGGAGAATGTGTGTTCTTGATTCGTTAGAGCAGAAGTCAAAGGGTAGCCCAATAATCATGCGGTGCAGTCGGGGTATCTCGAACAGGCTGGAGTTAGTGGTGTGTATGCCTACATGAGCTGTTGAGAATAAAAAGAGTTCGTCTATGACGCCGGATCGTGCATGGTCTAGCACAACACTACCGTGTGGTGGCACTGATGCAGGTGACTTCGGAGGCAGAAGGATTTCAGGAACGCACAGCAAGGAAAGGAGCTTACCAAGCAGCCACATGGCAGTATGGTCACCTCCGAGGTGCTACAGTCGGTCTTTTGGTAGCATCTCTTGCTCGGAATCCTGAGCTATGTCCTCAATACCGGCTCTTGACGACTTGAATCAGGTATGGACATCAATTATATCAATAATTCTATAACACAATCGAAAGATATTCTGTTTTTTAGACTGTGATTTACATACCTTACGAGGAAGCAGGTGTGGTCTCAAACTACAAGAATTAACATATACACCGCTTGTTGTGCGGGCCTAATTGTCATCTTCTAGACGAGGCGCTTGGAAAAGAAACATTGGTTGGCAAAGAGATGAGCGGCTTGAGGCAAGAAGGCTTGTCCTTCAGAGAACGAGATCTACGCGGAGGATATGACATTCGACTGAAGATTTACAGAGATGTTTGGCAAAAGTGCTTAAATCGTGTTCAGGTACGTGTCTTCTTTTGTTACTGAATGATACACACCCTTGACGCACCCTGTCAGAATATTTTGAACGCGATTTACGAGCCTGTGGCAGACGAAATTGTTCAACAAGTGGAAGCCGCGTATCATGATGTCTTGCCAGGTCTCCCATATTCCGAGCTTCCAGTAATATCGATTTCTGGTAAGCACTAAGAATTTTGCTTTGAATCTGGCTATAAGATTGGTGATAGCACCGGCTTCTGGTTCGACATTCGTCAACGAGGTTGCAAGGACATTAGGATGGCGGGAATCAGGCGAAACTGATAACGAAGAAGAGGCCACGCTCCCAGCAAACTATGTCACTCATATTCGTCCATCCGATTGCACGAATATCATGTCTGCTATGAAAGCTTTGGTCACAGGCTTCATAGACCGACCGCCAGGTGGATTTGACGGTGCGCCACATTACTCGGTAGCTGGTCTGACGATATCCAGGGAACTTATAGCAATTGTGGTTTTCTCCGTTATGTCAAGTAAAACGCAAGCCGACGACTTCATTGGTCAACTGTGATATTGCCCTTTTGAACGCTTGGTACACTGTCATTCGCGAATGCCATGGTAATATACACATCTGCTTATGAAGAACAGGTTGCTCACTTCCGGGATACAGATATATCCGAGCCCTTGCCACAGCTAGTTGTTTTCATGCACGACTTTGAACAGATGGATGACATTGTTTTACAAGACCTTTTCTATATTTGCAGGTATGTCATCTTCGATTCTTAGAAAGCAATGGCCAGCACGTAACGTGTCTTTCCTAGCCGTCATATTCCACAACTTCCTCTAGTCTTTGTTCTATTGCTTTCATCCCCGCCTTCTCCATCCTATCTGCATTCGGCATACCCGCGATCTACTCTCTCCCTACTTCGCGTGCAAAATTTCACTCTTCCTTCCGGTACCGAAGTCCTCGAGAAGGTATTGATGGAGGTAAATTCATTGCAAAATATTCACCGCTACCACTCACATGGCAATCCCGCTTAGACCTTTTTCGATCCAAAATTCGAATCGGATATCATTATAGGCCCCACCGTTCTCGAATTTCTCGCAGATTTCTTCACCCGCCACAGCACTTTTGTTGACGGTGTGCTGACAATACTGCAGGTGAGTATCTGGCCTTGTGAGCGCTGAATCTTCCTGACTTTGGCGTAGGTAGCCTATCTCAAACATTTTGAAGAACCCCTGACCATATTCGCCCAGAATACGCTCTTTGAAACAACTTCTCTTGATCATTCCATTCAAAAGCTGGAAGATCCGTCTTCGTTTCCATTCGTCTCTCACTTGGTCTCTCGGTTCCTCAATCGGTCTGTCAAACATGGTTGGCCTATCAAGGAAATCTCTGTCCTTCTCGCGTCTGTCACCGAAGCTCAAAGAGGGCTCTCATCCGCTTGGAGGACTTCGAGGTCTGCATTCGCCATCATGCGATTCGTACAGCGCACTCTACTAGATATGGGATACCGCAGTGCAGAATTAGGCCATACCGTTTTCGAGGCAATGGCTGCTGCATTGCAGGGACAACTATCTAGTGAGTCGATGTATCTGGGGGCGATGATTAAGTGCGCTATCTCAAGTACTTGTATCATCGGCTCTTGACATCTTTCCCCATACAGAAAACTTCACACGGAGAAGCTTCTAGTACTTTTGACAGAGCTTCAGACTTTCTTGCAAGATATTCCGTTGGACTTGCGTGATCCTGTAAATCATTGCGTCACGGATGCTTTACAATCCCTTAAATCAGGCGGCAAAAATGTCGATGCTTTTGCCACGGCTACTACGGTGGGCAGCTGGCTCACAAGATATTGGCAGTGCGTCTTCGTCTATCAGATATATTTCCGCGTTTGAATTACTTCCACAGGTCCTCGATAGTGAACCTTGAAGGTTTCGTGCTGTGGGATGTATGGTACATGGGATCTACACCATATCCTTTTGAGGTCTGCTTAGCCGCTGCTTGTTCGTCGTGGCAGACTTTGACATGTCTGCTTTATAGTTGATCAACCCTTCACCTCATGCTGCCGTTCTTTCCGGCCTCCAGAATCCTTACGGCTATATCGAGGATTCCTCCAATGGTCCGCGACACACCATTTGGGAGCTCCCAGATGTCAGCATTCTCTTCCGGCGTTACCTTGAAGCTGGTCGAATGGTCAACGTGTATGACTGGTTTGAGGCATTTGCAGTCGTGCTAGAGACCCAGCGCAGACATGCCCACAAAAGTCAGGGTAGAGAGGTTGACGATAAAGCTATCGAAGGACAGGATGAATGGAAAATGCATGTGCAGGCGCGGTTCATCCGTGCATTGCACACGCTGGACCTCCTGGGATTTATCAGGCATACCGGTAGAAAGGCGGACCATGTCATGAGGACGACCTTCGAAGTTTCGGATTAAAATTTGCTGTCATCTCGCGTCGTTGGCTATTAGACTTTAGCTTCAGCTTTCAATGATCATGGTAGGTATCAAGTCAACACAATCCGTGCTCACCAGCAGGAAACCTGGATAACATGTGTGTGTCCTTTTGTAAACTTAGGCTCGACCGAAAATGTCCTTGGAATAAAAGCAGGGACTCAATTAGGTCTATACTATCTGATCTTGGACTTCCATGCGAGTATGATCAAGTAAATAAATCCTTGGAACTGAGAATGATCAACATCAGGAAATACACAGGTTGTCTTTTATGACTTATATGACTTGACAAGTGAGATAAGACAGTATAAGACACAAAAGATAATAAGGAAAGTGTCTCATGAACAACAGGTCTATATTACTAAGAAACAGCACAAGCTATAAGACATAAAAATAAGCTGTCAGATCAAGGGAAAAGGCCTGAAATTAGTGTCTTTCCAATGACTTGCCTATAGTAGCTACCTTTATATAAGCCCAATGCCACAGTGAATGCAATCATACATATTAGGCAGGTCCTTTGGGATTGTTACTGTGGTTTATAGCCATGACACTATGCACTCCACTATGAGGGCCTATGCTACTCCATGACAATCTTGTGGCCAAGCATTACACCCCCCTATTACTGGAGTCATATGCACATCCCACCTGCAAGAAGTAATCATTGGTGGACATCCTGGAAGAGCTTGATGTAGTTCAGAAGAGGTTGAGGTTCCTAGAGGAGGAGTTAGTCACTAGTGCTGATATGCTTACCTAGTCAGTTATTTACTCACCTATTTGACCATCTTTTACAGTATCTGACAATTTGGTGTGTATGACAGCAGGGTCTGCTCATTAGAGACAATGATCAAGCCTATTGGGATCACTTGGATGCCAGACTCAAGAAGATCTATAAGGACACACTCAAGAAGTATCCTAACAATATGAAGGCCATAGAGCAGGCAATTCACAGGTATGGTCTTTGAAACATTTGATTGTATAACCATAATGACATGACTTTGAGCCAGACAGATGTCTATGGCCCTTAAATGGAGACTACCAGAAATTTGGATTACCTCAAATGACAGTGGAGATTTTTAAGAAGATAACACTGGATCTCTGACAGGCCACAACAGAAGATGCTACAGTAGCAGTAAGTGGCAAGAGTGGAATGCAGTCATAGAAATGGCAATGCCATCATGCCAATTAATATTATAAGGCCAAGCATAGTATACTGAATCATTACAATCTATAATTTTTCACAAGGATGTCCATATCCTAACAGCATCAATGAGTATGTCTGATGAAGCAGCAGAAAGTGGTTATGTTTTGCATGAGCTCACAAATTCAATATTATTTAATAAGTGAAATTAATGATTATATTCTAAAACCCTTCATATCATAGCCAGATGGTAAACTGGGTACATTATACATAGACCCAATGCCCGGCTACCAGACAACCTGGAACCAGCCTAGTACCATTTCAACAATTAGCTGGATGTGACCCCTCATCCATATAGAGGCCATATAGTCCTAATGTGGTAAGCTGGGATTGCATGTGGCATAGCTGAGACATGTCATTGCATATGAGGTATAGTTTGCCCCCCCCTTTTTTTTTTGACAAGCAATGTATTTGCGTAGCTACTCACAATTGGTTCAGCCCTATGCAAATCACTATAGCAAAATTGCCCCGCTTTGGGTCATTTTGGTCGAGGAAGAAAAATGCCTTTATGCATGCCCTGTGCCGGGCAGTGTGGGGCTCGGGACCCCAGATAGGCCCCTTTCCAGTTTGCCCCTTTTTGCCGAACATACCTCTGGCAAGATTGTCGGGGGTCCTCCGACATGTCCCCCCTTACCCACTCCGCCACTCTACATTCTATCGGAGCCTGAAACCTTAACTCTCTGACTGTACAGGACCAATCCACGAACACTACTGTCGTTGTCGTCAAAGTCATAACCGTCAAGAAAAATGGGAAAAGGCTTGTGGCACTCTTCTCATGCCTCATGACACGTACTAATCCGCGCCGCCGTTGTTAGTTCACGGATCTCTTGCCCGTGCCGGCAAAGTCAAGTCTCAGACCCCCAAGGTCGAAAAGCAGGAGAAGAAGAAGACCCCCAAAGGCCGTGCTAAGAAGAGGATCCTGTATAATCGCCGGTGAGCAAAAGCTGCAGAATGTTTGTGAAAGTGTTTCTGAATCATTCGCTTTTATCAGCTTCGTGAACGTCACCACCCTCCCAGGAGGAAAGCGGAGAATGTGAGTCTTTATAGCGTGCATCTGGTCCCTTTTTTCTTCTGCCACGCTTCCCCATGCTACCTGAGTTCACCCCTCTCGGCCAATGCCTGATGATATCAATTGAAACAAGCATAGTTCACACTGAAACTACCGTGTTGACAAACATGCATCTAAACGTCTTTCGCTCCTATCTGATCAATATCGCCTTACCTTCTTCATTTACTCGTTATGATCTCAATCTCACACGACTACATCTTTCAGGAACCCCAACCCAGAGAAATAAAATCGTGCATTCTCCATGACATTATTTTGGCTGGCGCGCAACGCCTGTGCAGGAGAATTATCACTCCAAGGGACTGGCATTGGGGACTGAGTCCGGTTCCGGTTATTATTTCACTGTATTCGCACCGTCTGCATCATGCTATCTCTCGCCTATACTCGCCATGTCCAATATCATCTATGTGTTAGGACAACGTTCCATCTTGGCGTGCCAGTGATCTCGACTGAGCAGTAGAACAAAGTTTTTATTCGCTACTACTTTGTTTTTGACCTCCATAACGCATCAGAAATCCTCACCACATCTCCGAGCTCCCGGACCTGGTGAACTCTCACAACCGCCGCACCTTGTTGGACCGCGCACGCGATAGCAGCAGCTGTCGCCCACCCTCTCTCCATAGGCGGCACCTCCCGTCCAGTGTACGTTCCCTCTTCATCTTTACTCGCCAGAATAGCAGCTAAGAAGGACTTCCGCGATGTACCAATGAGTTGGGGGAACCCGCGCAGCGGATTCGCCACTCTGCCAGGCAACACCTCGCCAGTAACGACCGACGCCTGTCTCAGAAGGGCCAAGTTGCCCTCAACAGACTTACTGAACCCAACGCCGGGGTCGACCATCACTAGCCATCGCCTAACACCGCCTCGTCCGCATACGATGGCGTTTACTTTTTCTCCCAGCTCGAGGGCTACTCCCTTGAGGACCGCGTCATCACGAGTGCCGACGACGTCAGGATTCTCGTAATCCGAATAGTCCTTGTTGGTGCTTGCATCTCCTCGCGAATGCATGAGTACGACGGGCACCGCGAGTTCACGGGAGATCCGCCGCATCTCAACAAGGTGCCGGACAGCATCTTCATTGAGGGGATAAACGGGACCCGTGAAGGCGTACACATCGTTGATGCAGTTTGCGCCGGCAAGCACAGCAGAGCGGGCAACATCATGGCGGAATGTGTCGACGCTGATTAGTACTCGGCTTATTTCTGGGTCAGGAGAAGCCCGGATCGCCTCGATGATAGGGACAACTCGGGCGGTTTCGTCCTCAGCAGAGACATATGCAGCACCAGGTCGTGTAGAGCACCCTCCGATGTCAATCATGTCTGCGCCTGCATTGACTGATGACTTCACATACGCAAGTGCGGTAGGAAGCGTGTTGTGTATGGATCCGTCCGAGAAGGAGTCAGGCGTCATGTTGAGAGTTGCCATGATGTGAGTTTTATGGACTGCAGAGTGTTGGGTCCGCGAGTCACGAGAAGGGAATTTCCAGTAAGTGGAAGTCGCAAGTACGTTGCCAAGTAATGCGGACGATGCGGACGATGCGGACGTGTGAGAATGGATTGGGAAGGCCATGACTTTGTTCATGGTTGGTATGTCATTAGATTGTGTCGACATAAGTTCCGAGAGTAACCGTCGAATAGACTTTTTGTGTACTGGATGAATGTTTTCCGGAATCATGCTAGAAAGACAGAGCTTAGGACCCACTCGAAATGAAGTACATGATACGACCTACTCGTTCAAGGGCCGAAGGACGAACTCCCGTTCGGCCATGCGAGGGTGAGGGATGACAAGATGGCCTTGCATGTTGTCCAACGATCCTCTTTCATTCTCAGGGCGCGAATCGTGCATGATGTCATCGTATGTCAATATATCCAGGTCAATCGCTCGAGGGCCATTCCGAATAGTAGGCACGCGTCCAACGATATTCTCTATGGTCTTCAAAAGATGAAGAAGATCATGTGGTGGCAGACTTGTTTCGACCTATGAAGTGTTGATCATAAAGCACCAAATCGCCAGCTCCTATTGTTCCCACTCACGATGCAAGCGCAGTTAATGAATTCCGGCTGGTCGGTGACATACATTGGTGCTGTCTCGTACATAAAGCTGGTATTCACCACGGAGACGATGGCTGACCCTTTCGGATCGCCATGATCTTCGCGGAGGAGAATTGTATCATCATCGACATCGAGGATTTGGAGAGCTCGCTCAATGTTCGCGAAGCGGTCACCGAGATTAGAACCGAGAGCAATCGTAGCCGTATGCAATTCTTGTCCTTGAGCCGTCAAGTTTGATGTCACTCGGCGGACCATATTCGCAAGGCCTAGTGAAGTCTGAGCTACTCCAGAGTCAACGGAGCTGGTGATTGCTGGACTACCAAGAGGGTCCCGATTTGTTTGATAGTCTCGCATCGTCCGTACAATTTCTACTTCCGCAGCCTCGGCAAACACAAGGGCCTGGGGCTTCATTGCACGTACCGTCACAATATCGCTTTCGCGGTCAGTATGTCGAAGGACGCTTTCCGCCACAAGTGAAGCTAGAGATTCAACTGAGATAAAGGCCGATTTTTCTGCCTCCTGTTGAACGCACGTTATACACGACGGAGCGGGTTTCAATCGAACAGAAGAACAAGTGAACGCACCGTCCGAAGATTTTTTGATAAAGTACGCCAGTCAAATACGTCTCCCTTCTCGACAGACTCAGTAGCGATATCAATGTCAAAATCCACAACCTGCTTGTCCTCGCGCTCGCAAGCATTGAGCCCCACGACAAGGTTGCAGGATAGCTGCTCGAGTGACAGTACGTCCACTATGCCAACGCGTGAACCGTCTCGGACACGTGTCGAAGTGATGCTGACGTTCTTTGCATAGGGAAGTGCACGGGGCTTTATGATATGCACAGTCATTTGGGCTATCGCCTTGAAGGCTTGGAAGCATGTGTCAAATATATGGTCGAGTAACCGTTCCAAGGAGGAGAATCCGGAGGTGGCATAGGCGTCGAGAGAGGTAGTAACGGTTTTTGAGAGAGAGCCATAGTTTATCGAGCTGTGATGGCGTTTCGATTGATATTCGGAATAGGATAGATAATTTGCGAACCTCAAGATATCGTCTCTCGCCGCTGCCGTCCGTAGGTCATAGGGGATTGTGAAACTGACATTTATAGGCTGCCGGACAGGTGCAAAGCTCGAAGAGGGCCATTGTGCGCCATCGCCAACAGGTACGACGAGCAACAAGTTTTTTACGCGCACGACGTCCGACTGATTGCCGAAATGACTAACGGTGACTTCGATATTAGGTTCAATTTCCTGGAATTTGACTAGATTTTGTACCTACTGGGCTGTCGTCTAGGCATAGTGGCAGATGGAAGAACGATGGGATGGGATGGGATGGGATGAGTCAAGATGAAGCGGAAGAGCCAGTCGCGACTGATTGTCTTACATACACCATGTCGAATGAACTTGCCTCCGCCCTCCAACGTCTTGCAAACTACCGTATACGCAACTGCCGTGCTTCTCAAGATATATTTGAGAGTGGCGTCGTAGTGTTTCGCAATCACGCCCTCCACAAGTTCGGAGAAGATAGTGAGTATTGTGCTTGATCTATGTGACACTGAGCACTCACGCCAACCACGTACACCCTCTGCCGAGTAGGTTGGGCATTTTTAGAACAGCTAGCTCTTGCATCTATCGACGTTGGCAGATTAGACATTGCAGAGGTGCGTTCATCCACTAAAGCTGTCAGATAGAGCAGACGGAAACTAACTGAAATCTAGCAATGCTTGCTACAACTCTCTGAACAGTTCCCTGGATCGCCTAGGGTTCAGTGTGTGGAAGGCATATACAAAGAAGCCACGGAGAATCCGGAAACTGCTCTGGGTTATTATACAAAGCTGCTGGAAGAGGACCCTGCAAACGTGGTGAGTGACGTGATATCGTCCTTCACGCAGCTGTCTGATTTTCGTTCGTTTTGTTAGGCTGCATGGAAACGCCAGACATCGGTCCTCAGACGAATGGGAAAGATTGATAGAGCCGTCGAAGAGTTATCACAATTCCTGGATACGTTCTATACTGACGTGGAGGGATGGCTCGAGTTGGCCGACATCTATGCGTCGTGTAACCAGTATGCCATTCAATCACAATTCTCAACTTCCTCGCTGACTCTTAATGATTACTCGTGGACTTGTAGATACAATTTCGCCTTACAGTCCCTCTCGCATGTTCTCTTGCTAGCACCACAAAATCCATTCTACGTGCTGCAAGCTGCGGAGACAGCTTACACGGCGGGAGATATCTGTCTTGCCATCAAAATGTTTCTCATAGTTATCGATATGACAGTTGAAGATGATGATGCCCGGATCAAGAACTCGACGCCTACAGGCATTACTGTCCGTGCGTGGTATGGGGTGGAACTAGTAGGTTCATTCGCTCAGTGGTTGATTGTCAAGCATTGCTGACCCTTCTCCTAGTCAGCAAAGCGGCTTCAGAAGGAACCGAATTTGATGTCGCACTCCCCTTCCCATACTTTAGCACCGGAAAACTTGCCACTCATAGCGGCCTTGGCAAAGGACGTCCTTCGTACAGCTTATCGCAGCGACACAGGTTCTCAGAGTCAGACGAAGCAAGAGCTTTCGAGATGGCTGGCAGCGAAGTAGATAGTTTTTTGGGTTCATTTGGATTTTTTCTCGTCCAGCGTCTCTGACATAATAAGGTCCCCGAGAAATTACGAATAAGTATGCACCGATAGAGCAAGCGGATGAGAGTGCCATAGAGGTGATACGAAACCGTTCGCCTCCAAAATGTAAGCATACGTTCCACGTTTTTCGCCGTATTTGAGAGCAAAGGTTAAGCAGTACTGCTAAGCCAATTGCGTAGAAGTACCGCGCAGCCCGAGGCTTCCTGCCACCGTCTGCCATCGGTACTGCAAAAATTCTGTTGCAGAACACCAGAAACCTCAAAGTCAAACAAAAAGCGGTATCATGTTCCTCAGACCACCTGTAAATCTTGAGGATTGCTTCGATGACAATTGCTCAATGCTCTCCAGGATCGTGAAGTTCTTGGACATCTTTCAGGGAATTGCAACCACAAACCACTCATAGATTTCTCACCGCGCACAATTCTGATTCTTTGAAGATCGTGTACTTTGGAAGCAACAGCTGTGAATTATTTCAGGAGAAACCGTCCACTGTTGCTCTCAGAAACCCAAATTTGCGCCTCTTGTGCTCTTCACAACTCCGGGGGCACGCAAACCCTAATCCTAGCATATGTTTAGCTACGTGTCCACTTCCGCGGCTATTCAAACGTTCACGTACACGTTCAATAGTACTCAATCACGGTCTAACTTCGCTGCATCATCTTGTTCGCCACCTTCATTCGTGAAGTCCTCCTGCCCTCTCGCCTCATTTCCAGTCATCGTCTCAGAATGCTCGGTGACACATTGAAAACCGTGCGCAAACTGGGGATACGATATGTACGTATCGTCGCCATGCACCGAGGAGGTGTACATGATACAGCCCCTAGGTCTTGCTTCAAATGCTCAACTTCGCCTCCGTCATTGCTTCCGGACTCATGATATGGAAAGGACTTGGTCTCCTCACGAACACAGAGTCGCCAATCGTCGTCGTTCTGAGGTCAGTGTTTGATGATCTTTGTGCTATCCCGGCTAACAGTGTACTGGATGGGCGGTGACAGCGGCTCTATGGAGCCCGCCTTCTACCGCGGCGATCTCCTTTTCCTCACCAACCCACCGAATACGCGGTATCAAAATGGCGATATTACGGTGTACAAGATACCAGGACAGGACATCCCGATCGTGCATCGTGTCCTCGAGACGCACGACGTGTCGAAGAAAGTGAAGGGGTAGGTACCTATGTCGTGGTCGCTAGACTGCATATGATGTCGGCTGAAATGTTTCCTGTCCTGCAGCGTAAGGTTGGAGCCTAAGCCAGAAGACCAGCTGCTCTTGACGAAAGGTGACAACAATTACCTCGACGACATCGAGCTTTATCAAGGTCTCGAATGGCTCGAGAGGCGGCATATCGTAGGCAAAGTCAGAGGGTCAGTGATAAACCTGCCTCTTTTTTCAGACCGACGTCCCTCTGACGCTGTTGTCGTAGGTTCCTCCCATACGTGGGATATGTGACCATTGCTATGGTGAAACTATTCAAACAAAATCGAGGAGCCAATTGCTGATTCAGTATTGATGTACACGATCTAGAACGACTTCCCGCAACTCAAATATGCGCTTCTCGGGGGTCTCGGGCTGCTCGCGTTGATACAGCGCGAATAGTTGCAAGTGCAGCGCCTCCGTTTGCATGACCATGAAGCCGATGTATGTAATGATATACCGCACCGTCAATTAATGGGTTCAAGGCGGACGTTCTATTTGGAATGAAGCGATGAGCACTCCCGGAGATTCTAGACCTTGCGATATGAATGAGAAAAAAGACCGACACAACATCTTGTACTTCTCTGATACGACCTAGAAGCGCTATGAACACACTGCGAGGACTTCCTTCGAACACTATGAATCGAAAAAGTTGCTTTTGATAGGAACTCAGCCAATACCCACGAAAATACTGTAGACAATGAATGATGCAGATCGATCCGAAGAAAAGTCGAGCCTAGCTCCAAACGTTGTCTCGCAGCGCCTGGATAAGAATAGCAAGCAGGAGCTAGGGATACACGGGTCCGACACGACAGACGACAGAGATAAACAAAAGTGGAACGGCAGATCGATGCAGATGTCGAGCGCAGTAGGGTGTAGAATACACTATCCTATGTGGATTTTAAATAGAGAGAGATGCCACAGGTTCTGGTGGGCGAGGCGACATAGAGACCACAGGTGGAAGAACAAGCAAGGCTAGGGACGTATGAGGTAGTATGATGCTCATGAGAAGACGAATCAATCTAGAGAGATAGCAAGGATGGATGCATAAGGTAGAATAAAGGAGGTCGAGGGTACGATAGGTCACAATCAATAGTATCCGCTCCACGGCTGTCCAGAACCTGATGGTGTGACATTCTCTGTCGGCCAAGATTGCATACTCTGTGCCTCTTGGAAAGACGTTGGCGAGCTATCCATGTTATTCGGAACTTTGAGCGGATGAGCGGTATATGATACTGACATCCCGCCACCATTCATGGCATAGGACGGGCTATCAGTCATGGAAGTCACCGGTGTCGAAGCGGTCCCAGGCCGAGAATCGCTGATACCCAGCCCAATCATCGGCATCGACCCAACTGACCTCTCATATACAGAGGATGGAGGGCCGTTGGGCGGGCCGAAGGTAGGGATTGCATAGAATTCGGTGTCGTAAGGCAAAGTACTGTGGGTGGGAAGGGCTGCCGAAGCAAAAGAAGGCGTCGACTGTGGAGAAGTAACGGTCATCCCGAGACTATCATAGACCGAACCTGTCGAAGTCGATCCCCGCATCTGGGGGATCTCGGCGTTGGCGTACGCCGCGATAGGGGCATGCATGGTTGCGCTCGGCGTGTGTGTGCGAGCACCCTGCTGCTGCGTGGGCGATGCAGCAATAACAGAATCTGCTCTGCTGTACCTTCTTGGGGGCATGACATGTGCGCTCGGCCTTACATCCTCCACAGGACTTGTACTGAAAGGGGTGGAGAACTCGATGCGGCTTTGCGCATCTCCCATAGGCACATCCTGAGGTGTACAATATCGCAGAGATTCAGGAGTCTGTGACGGAACGATGCTATGAGGCTGTGGTGGGTGTGGTGGTGCAGGCATACGTTCATTCTTGACTCCTGAATTGGACTCGCGCCGTCGGCCGGTCATCATCGAGTCTTGTCGAGGGCGACCACGGATTGGAATCTGAGGCTTCATATCCTCCTGTACCTCTAAGCTCGTAAGCAGAGGCGTCGATGCTTGGTCAGCCCGACCAACAGGGCTCTCTGGAATTACCTCGTATTTCGGTCGAGAGCGAGGGGTGTAAGACGTCGATTCCGAACCCATAGAAAGCCGGCTGTCCAAACTGGAGGAAACGTCCAATGCAGGCGTCGAACATGTCGCTCCCGCACCGGCATATGGAAGGTGGAACTCTCCTGATGGCCTTTGCTCCGCATCAGAACGTTTTCTTTTGGTGCCTGCGTGGAACGCTTGGATCATTAAAAGGGCAGGATTTCCTTGCCGCGCTCCGTCTGCCTTCGCTCTCAATAACTCTATAACCTTGACAGCTTCGCTGACGCCGCCTACTTGATTATCCCTAGATGCGCCTGTAGCCACCTTCGGATCTTTCATGATGTTCAAAGCAATATTCAAATCTGCTAGAGCCACGGTGGAAGATGCCCCTGTAGGGTGTGAGATAACTGCACATGCCGCCATCACTGCCGCGTCGAATAATGTGCGACCGAATGAATAAAATGCGAATGCCGCAGGTCGCATCTGTCGCCATGTCTGATGGAGCACCTGTATGGCTTGAATGATTGCATGTGAAGCGTCGATGACACTGGTGGCGATACGGCGAGGGGTGATATCGGCTGGCATGTCCATCTTCAGGAAGGGGAGGAAGAGTTTGAGGACAAGACGGTTTGCAAGGACTGCCAATTCACATCTCTGAGCCTGAAGATTTGGAGAAACGGTTATGGGGCGAGTAGATAGCGGGTCAAGCGAGGGAGTCGAGCTATCTGCATCCGTCTGTAGACGATATGCTCTTGGCAGATCAGAAAGCCATCTCTTGACTTCGTGCTCGAATTGTTCAGCTTGATGCAAAGCATCTTCTACCGAAGAATCTTCTTCCAGAGGATCTTTGAAGCGACGCTTCTTGACGTTCTTGACCAATTGCGCTAGTCTGCATATTGATGGTTCAAGAGCGGTCTAGATCAGAAGACAGAACCAACGCACCTGCACTTCTGAACAAAGTATGCGAAGCCGACTTCGCTAGGATCTCCGCCAGCACCTCGAGGTACAGGCACAGGCAATGAGCTTGACGATGGTCCGAACTGTTCCTCATCGACATCGGCGGGCATTTTTGTCGTATATGTGTTATCTTGTATAATGGGTGCTTGGCCCATGCAATCTGACACAAATCTTGGTAGAGATATTCAACAACTCCGAAACAGAAGGGAAAAAAGGAGAACATACACGTCGTAAAAATACACGTCCCACCAAATCCGCCTCCTCATCTCCGTATCGAACACACTATATTTGCCTGGATATTCACTGGGATCTGTAGAGAGGCCCATCATATACGAGATATTAACCATCTTGCCGACAAGAGGATACACGAGATGCGACACCCGAGGCTTGCCATCGTGCATGAGGAATAAGACATGGAGGATAGTGGTGACTAGATAGTCAAGGTCATAAGTCTGCGCCGCCTCGAAGACTGACAAAGCTTGGCAGGAGAGCGCGTAGAGCCCGTGCGCAGAGCATTTCTGCCAGGCCGATGATCGTGCGGATACCACAGGCGCGCGGCTATCCTCGGTCCGTGTAGATCTTGACGATTTGGACATCTCGGCCTCGCTTACAGCTTCGTTCTCCTTGCAGGCTAAGACCCCTAGCGCATATGCAGCAGCGACAGAAGCAAAAAATGACAATGTTGGGACGGGCTTCGGAGTGTGCTGATCGACATTGAAGAAAATCGACCGTGCAAGATCGGCCTTCGCGTTTGTGCTACTGCTAGCGCCCGCGGTTGACGTTGGGCGAGATTCCTCTTCTTTAGCCCAGTTGAACATCATATCTATGCGTGAACGAAAGTTCCTGACGTTGATACATGGGTGCATGCGCATTGTTTCCTCGAGCGCTGTAGTAATTCTAGACCTCGTCGATGGTGCTGAAGGCAGAAGGGCGACTAATGCGGGCGTGAGACATGGTGGATCGTTCCAGGCATGATAATAAGAATTGAGGGGCGGTAGATGAGCTGCAGGAGAAAGTTCGTCATGGGCTACAACAGTCGGCTCCAATCGCATCTGGGACGATCCGGGCTGAATAGTCATGTTGGGAGACAGAGCCTGATCCAAGTCAACGTGATCCAACCACAGCGCTGTAACATCGTCAAGAGAGATCGAGATTGAGGACCCAGATTTGCCGGTCGCGAGCATAGTATGGTCGTTATGAGGGAACGGGAGATGGCTGGACGGGGAAGCGGCGGACGTGGCGACTCGCAGTCCACCGGCGGCTATTTGGGCTACTTGAGATTCAACGAGTTGAAGACGGTTGTGCAACGATTGTACGTCTCTGCGAAAGTACCGTCAGCATCCTGATAGGTTCCGAGCGATAGGTTCCGGGCTTTGCTCAAACGAGCGCTTACGCACATCTTTTCTGCCGCTGCGGCAGAGTATAAACATCTATGGACGGTGTCGCGCTTCACGCACGATCCACAAGGCGTCCGCCTGTCACATTTCAGTTTCAAGCGTTTACACTGAAAGCGACTGAGGTTGAAGAACTGAACGAGAACGTGCGAGACTAACCTCAGCGCACACCACCGTGATGCGAGAGCGAATGTGACTATGGGCAGAGTGAGGCAGCGAAACAAAAACCAGCTGAGAACACGAACGAGCCGCTCGAAAATTTGGAACTGCTAGGAGGGTGATTTTGGATGCTTGGTGGGGTAGCTGAAGCCGGAGGGTTCAATTGTCCATCGTCGCATGACGAATTATCCTCCATGTTAGGGGTTAGACCGAAAAGCGTCCGTAGTATTCCACTTCCAGAAATGTGACTGCCGGTGTCGAGGACGGCACGAAAGATGTGGAGGAGAAGATGGAGGGACAAGTGGGAGACCAGGGCCGCTCGTCGACCGCCCGAGCTGGTCCAAAGCTGGTCATATCCAAAACAGCGGCCGCTAACAGCCCGGGACCCCAGAAACCTTCCCCGAGCATGAATTATACTTCATCTTCTCTTTCGTCTTCGACCATCTCCACGTTCTCCCGCTCTGCTTCCAAATTGCATTTCCTTCCAGGGACGCATCTTGATCAGTTTTTTGCTCAAGACGCGATTCCTACGTGCCGTTTGAGCAGTCGTTTTGGGGGTATTATCCCATGCATGTTCCCTGTCATATTTAGCACTTCAGGGACCTTTGATACTACCATGTCGACCCTTCCCCAGCGCTTGCTGTAAGTGTTTTGTTCGACTCGTATTGATGATCTGAATACCGTTCCAAGACGATCTCGTGGCGCGCTGACAGTTGGAAGTTGCCGTCCTGACACGCATCTTTTTCTCTCACATGGAATGCGCGCTCTCCGGGCTCCCAAAGGAGGCATGGATCCACATCTGCTGGCCTTTATCTATAGACCTTTCTCTTTCCGACAGGCGTTATTGTGCCCTGCAATAACGCCAAGTAGCCGCCGGCCTTCCGAAAAAACTTTGCTTGCCACCTTCCAGACTCCTTCCAGTCGCTCCCATCCTGTCCACGTCGCTCGAACAAACGGAGTCCTGTCGACGAGCAAAATCCGGCATACTAATCAAAATTACTAACCTTTGGCAATTCACGGCCAACAAAAGGCATAAGAAGCACATCCCCGTGAAATGCCGAAACCATCCTCTTTGAGCCCTTTCGCCGATTTAAAATGATCCCTGACATTCCTACGGTTGTTCACCGGCCGGTCACCGATATTACGAATTTTTGGAGTGGGCGGCACTGCATGACAGGTCGATTTCTATCTGGTTTTACGCTGACATTGTTCCCTTCCTGAATCTCGATCCCACGCAGAAGAATCTTTACTCACAATTGACTCCCGGTTCCCTTCTCCAGGCACTTGTACGACCGTACCTTCAATCAACATCAATGGAGCGAAGTACGTCTTGCGCAGTCTTCTGCCGTGCCTTGTCACATAGGCTTTCCCAATCATCCCTATTCAAGACCGTGCTCGATGCAATCCACCCGAGACCCTGATCTGTGGGCCTTCGACAGCCGCCAGCCCTTGTCACTGCAAAAAAATGCATCGTGGGCTTCAATCTTGATCGAATCCATTCTAGCTCACGATCATTCTCCAACAACTCAGATGCAGTGCATACGATGGCCACCGAAAGAAACGGTCATCCTAGCTAATTTGTCAGCTCCCCGCACGACACATGTATCGTACATCTACTATGAAACCTACACTCAATAGCCATTCCAGCGTCTAGGTCATACAATCCAAATATTGGAGCTCCTAGGCAATGATTGCCCCGTGCAATTGACTCAGCGCTTCGTGTCAATTCCTAATAACGATGAAGGCGTCTGCACTCGACGTATCCCCCCTTCAACCCCCTCCACAGTAGAAGAACGACCTTTGAAAGCTAACGGCGAGCCGAGAGCCTTTATTTGGAGCAGCATCGACGCAGCCGACTCATCCTCTGGCGTCCACGGCGGAGAGTTGAGAAGGTTTGTCCTCGTGAATGGACCTGACTGTGAGGTGGGTACACCGATAGTGACCCGTGAACTTGTGGAAGTTGCAAACGACCGACTGAGCGCGCTGGGAGGTGGAAGGTCCAGTAAGAGTGCAGGAGGGATCGAGGGGCTCGCGACGGCATGAAACTCTGTGGATGTGGGCGGAGTGTTCAGCTGCTGTTGAGAAGAACGTTGCATGTCCGGTAAAATGAGGCTCGCATCCATATGCGGGTTCGGGAGCCAAGCGGAGATAGAGGGAAGGCGAGTGCCGGAGACCTGAGATGTACGGGCAGACTGCGTGTGCGACATCCTAGGTCTCTTAATATGCGGCGATCTGGTATCGCCTTCCGCGACACCTATAGATAATGGATCTAAGAGTCGGATGTCAGTCGTGATAGGCTCCGGGTATTCCTCGTCTTGTTCGGAACGCTGCCTCTTCCGTGTGATTGGCAGCTGCGTCTTGGGACGAGGCCCTTTCCTCTCAGCACCGCAAGCGCAAGGATGCTGCTCGAGCAGTCGGATCTTCTCCTTTAACTCCTTGACATAGGCTACCACCTTCTCCAGCACCTCTAGCTTGAACTCCTTCTCCTGCCTTTTCTTCCCAGCACCTTTCTTTCCCTCGGCGTACTCATCTTCATCAGTGTCCTCGTCTTTCTCCTCGTCAGCCCCATCTCCGACTTTCCCACAAGCTGGGACAAGCGCCCGCAGAGCCGCAAGCGTGTCATTGATCTTCGTACGTCTCGCCTTCTCTATCCTCGAATGGTTTTGTCTGCGTATTGATTCGCGTGTGGCACGCGAAAGAGTGGAAGGCTTTCGGCCGCGGCGCTTGGGCGGCGGTGCAACAGGAGTCCCGGGTTCTTCGCTGTCATTCCCTGCCGAGGCGGCCGCCGACGGATCTCGGTCGCCAACTGCGGCTGACGTCGTCGACACGAGTTTGGTAGGATCAGTGAGAGATCCCGTTCGAGGGCGTTTCGCGCGACGGGGGGGATTGCAGCTGGCCGCATAAGATGTCGCCTCTTTGAGAGGGCATTCTGTGGTCATTGTTGACAAGGGCAAGGGCTTGAGGGCTTGAAGGAATGTGCTGCAAGCGGCCTCGGTGCGCTAGGGTGCAGAGTGGTGCAGAGCACTGAGAGGGTGAGGGTGGACGCTGGGACGAGGGGGAGGTCGAAGTCAAATTGAAGGACACGGTCCAGTTATACCGAGCACAAGCCAGAATGATGCATTGGGCTGGAGAAAGTGCTCGTGTGCCCCATTAAACGTGCGCCGCGGACCCACAAGCATGCAGACGACCAGAATGGACCGTCCTGATTGGCTGAGAGGCGCGCACGTGCTCAGATTTATCAATAGGGCGGGAAGCGCAGCATGCCCAGAGACCCGTTCCAGATCAGCGCTCTACTTTGCGTCGGTGTGTGAGAGACGATACCAATAGGTCATAGCTTGGCGGAAATACCGCAGGAGAAGGGCGATCACTGCGGGACGCGCGCGTAACGCATGGTCAGCGAGATGGAGCTGACGCCTTACTAGCTGAGTCAAATCTATGCACCCTCGCTTTAGAAACAGCTGGGCGCTTTGTCAAATATACCTTTGATATTACCGAGTGGGAGTTTCTCGAGGCTCGACCAGACCTAGACTCGAGTCTGAGATCTTCTGCTGAGCGTCGTCGGGATCTGGGATCCAAACCCCTTCTGTTCAAAACCCGACGTCTGAAATCTCTATCATTTTGAGCCCAACGGTGATACACTGATCACTTTGGCGGCGGTCAAGCAAGGACGCATGTGCGTTGATCGATATGCATATCAAACAAGACAGAAAGGATCCCTTGAAGTAGCTCAACGTACCGTAGACCAGGGATGCAGATATCAAACTCGTCACGGGAATTGAACGCTGACGAACGTGTTCATGGTACACCAGGTGCGTCGACAAGTCAGGTAGGAGATATATTCCAAGCAAGCCTGACCTGATGGATTCCCACATATGAATGAGAAAAATGTGCAAGAACTTACCTGGATAAGATGCAGTCTCAACGTTGGCTTTCATTCTGCGCATAAATGACGGTAAGGTTTCAATGAATGAGACGCTGAGCCGATGCGTATAAGTGGATACATGTTCTATTTGGTCAAGGCGAGCTATCAATGTCCAGTTAGAAAATGACTGGGGCCCATATGGTGAACGACTAGATGCTCACCTATCATGGAGGAGATATCCTGGCGGCCTCAACATAGCGTTGCATTAGGTGCGCGATCTTTCCTAAGTTTTGACTGTATTTGCCGGATACCGGCACCACATCCAACGTCCGTCCGTCGACGCTCAGCTCCCGCTTGACGAAATCTTCTAACTGACTGAGCTTCTGTCTCGCAGCTTCTACCTCTGCTGCATCCCCTGACGCTCCGAATAAATCTGCCTTGTTAGCGATGACCATCCGCGCCTTGTTGCTCATGCCCGGCTTGTACTTCTCCAGCTCTTCGCGCAAGACCCGAATTTCGTCCCACGGGGCTGGGTCCGAGAAGTCGACAACGTAAACCAGGGCCAGCGAACGCTCCATAGATCGCAGGAACGAGTGTCCAAGCCCAACGTTCTCGGACGCCTGCGAGATCAGTCCAGGATTATCCGCGATAGTAAAGCGGAAACTCTCCACCGCCCCAGGCACAAATCCCTCAGCTTCCTCTTTGTCCAGCTTCAATTGGTTTCGTGTCCGTGCTTCCGCATAAGCGCCGCTCTCCATCAGTTCCTTTTCTCGTTCTTCTTCTATCCACGTCTCATCATGGACCATCTCCTGGTCATTGCCGAGGAGCGTCCCATCCCCTGCAACGCGGACCACTCCCACGACTGGATTCAGCGTGGTAAATGCGTAGCTCGCGACTTCGCTCTTCGCCCGTCCTCTCGTGAGAGCCCGCAAAAGCGTACTTTTCCCCGCATTCGGCATGCCTACGAATCCAATGTCGGCCAAAATTTTCAGCTCCAGGGCAAGCGTCACGCGCTCGCCGTCATACCCGCGCGTCGCGAACTTGGGTGAACGATTTGTCGTTGAGAGAAAATGAGGGTTGCCGTACCCGCCCGGCCCGCCTGTGGCCACCAGATGCCCCAAGTGCTCATGTTTGCCCTGACCAAGAGGCGCCTCCACTGGTTGTTCCGCGTTCTGCATCGTATCAAGATCCAGCGAGATGGGCTGAGCGGCGCGCTGTTTTCGCGCGATCCGCATTTCCCGCTCGGCCTTGACGAGATTCCACTCGGCTTCTTTGAACGCCGAACGCTCTACGTTGTCGTCCTCGTATTCCGGATAATGCACCCACCGACGCTCTCGCCACTTCTGCTTCCGATCCTCCTTTTCCAAGCCCTCGTAGCTCTCCTGCTCCGATTCCCACTCATTTTTCTGACGCAGTGGGTCGTCGCCCGTAAGCTCACGCACAACTGTCCCTAGCGGAACCCTGATAACTAATGGCGCGCCGTTTCTGCCGTTCTGCCATGTGCCCATTCCGTTTGCGCCGGGTTCACCGCGAATTTTTCTGGGAACAGTGGACAGTGAGGTTAGATGAGGTGTTGGAAGAATGTAGACATCTCCTCCGCGACCACCGTTTCCACCAGACGGAGGTCCATATGGCACAAACTTCTCCCTATGAAAAGCAACGCATCCGTCCCCTCCTCTGCCTAACAGATACACGGTTAGAATGAGTCTGAATGTTAAAAAGCAATTGAACGGACCAGCACGGATATTGATAACTAGATGGTCAAGAAAAGTTTGTCCCTATCATACAGGTCATATCAATCAGTTTGTTCTGAGGGGAAAATATGACAACCAATAACTCACACCTTGTCTCCGTTTCCAGTCTGTCTTTCTCTTGCGAAACAATGCCTCTCTTAGCGCGTCCTCGTCTGTCTGTTGTGATCCCTGTGCTCGAGAACCTGATGGCTCCGAAGAGGGCGAAGACGCGTATCGCCGGGCACTACAGCATGGACGTCGAAGGATGTGCGCGAGTGTCTGCAACTGGAAACAGTTGATCATGGCAGCCTAGCTGCCGTTCAACAGACAGAGCCAGCGGAAGCGAGGGAAAGGGGTTTCCCAATATGGAAAATGACGTGACGACCTTGGCTGGACTGCTCGCGCAACGGACACCCGATTCCCCTCACTGTGCTCATCAGTCAATGCGAGGAACCGCGTCGACATTTATGCTCTCTCGCTTGCTCTCTATCACTCGCCATCTTCCTGCAGTCTCTCATCCTTCTCGGCGCATGTCTACCACATCAGTCTCAGAATTCGACTTTCCCTTGTCGCCGGTTCCTGCGAACCCACTCGGTAAGGGGCGGTATATAAAGACGGCAGCAGCGCTTATCATCGGGTGCGTGGGCAGATTATGAATTGATTTTAATGATATTAGGTCTATTGGACTCACCCGGCATCACCGCTACGCTGTTGCTCATGATTGCAGGGATGAGATTCTGAACGGAAAAACGCTGGACAAGAATTCAAACTACTTCGCTCGTTATTGCTTTGAGAATGGAATAGACCTGTATGTAGCCCCCGTGATTTATTTTCAAATTTTGAAACCCTTGTCTTGTAGCAAGAAGATTGAGGTTATCCCCGACGTGGAGGAAGATATGTGAGTGACCCACACCCCTCACGAGCATGTATACGGCTACGCTTTATGCTGGCGAGGTCGCCCATAATCTCCGTTGTGCTGAAACCCAGCTTGCCGAATGCAAAAGTATCGAGGCATCCCGGAGGATGGTGCAGAAGTATGACTTTGTCATTACTTCTGGTGGAATTGGCCCCACCCACGACGGTGAGTGAGACTTATCCCACAAGTGATGTTACCACCTTCTCTCTGTTGCCTCAGTCACAGAATAAATGTCGTGTCACGAGAAAAATAACCTGTGCATTCTTCTGTCGGACAGTTTGGATATCGTTTTCTCCTACAATGGACTTGGTGGACAATGGGCTGGTCTTTTCATTCAATCTACTAATTTCCCATAGTCTTCGCATTGAAGTAGTCGTTCAGAACCATCGCAGCTTCATGCGACACTTACTGAACCTATCTGCAGATATTACCTATGCATCCCTTGCCAAGTCTTTCAATCAATCGCTTGCCTATCATGACGAGACATTACGCCGTATGGCTGCCATGAGTAAGAATCGCCCTTGGGTAACGCAACAAACGGAAGAGCAGAAGAAGGCGCGAGATCGCATGGCCCTGTTTCCCGACTGCGCTGAGGTTTTGTTCATTGCGAAGGACATTTGGGTGGTGCGCTCCCAGGACTGCTTTATCTGACTTCATTGTTTCATTTACAAGGATGCCATGCTATAGCCAGTGATCCGGTTAGAGGGAAAGCTATGTGTGTTTCCAGGCATCCCTAGTTTATTCCAGAAGATGTTGGATGGCTTGACGCCCTTCTTACCTTTTCCACCTGCGAGCGAGCGTCCATTCCGGCAGCAAGTTTTTACATCGTCAGTGTCAGGTCTCCTGCGATTCACGTCGAAAATTATTGAACTAATGAGTAGATTACCCGAGTCATCGATCGCGCCATACTTGACGTCCTTGCAAGAGCGTGTCAAGAGCGAAGGGGTCCGTGTTGGCTCGTACCCACTCCTCATGAAAGGCGTGTATGTTTCGCTCATCGGACTTGATGAGAAACGGGTCAGGATTCTGAGTGAAGAGGTTGGGAAGGAAATTCAGGGCCGGTTAGTGAGTGAGGCGGAGGTGAGGGAGTGGAAGGCTGATAAATCTCCATAAACTCCCTACCTTTTCCGTCTTCTTTTTCTATCTTCGGCTCTGCACAGTATCTGAGTTTCGAGACAATAAGCGTAGACAAGCCTGCCCTGAAGCTGCCTTGACGCGTCTCGTCACATGCTGTCACGCCTCTTCGCGTTACTCATTTGTGCCGTTAGCACTGATCGCGTGTTCACAACCATCATGTCGTCTCCACCACCTATGGATTTTGCTACCTCAGATCTTGAAGATTCCGAAATGCAGGATGTCGCTGCGGGGAAATCGATGTCCCAGGCGCCCCCAGCGGATCCTTTGTTCTTACTATCTCCTGCAGGCACCCCAGCACGGCCAACACGCAACAGCAGTGCCCTCAACACACCTATGCGCGGGATCGTAGCTAGGAGAGCCGTAGAGATGTCTACACCGAAACGTCCACATCCTTCCACGCGTGAGTAGCTTGAACTGTGCTATGCGAGACGAATTTTAACGCTCGACACGTCGCAGCCGCATCATCATCACCATTACCATATAACAGTTCTTCGCCAGTGAAAAGGACGCCTGTCCGAAAGCCGCGCGCCTCCCCAAGCATATCTGGGTCTATGCAGGACTCAGAGCCTTTAGACTTCCCCGAGTAAGCGCGACCTTTCTCCACTTCGCGGATTCAACTCTAATCGAGAGCAGGACTCCTAAACATAAAACTCCGAAGAACAGGCGTGGAGATATCCATTCGTCGCTCAGCCTCACGCCTAGTCGCCCGCCCGCTGCCCGACCGCGCACTAACAATCTAAATAACAACCTGTCCTCTGACGCGGAGCATCTATCAATGCCACCTTCCTCTGCTCCTCAACTCTCTGCACCTGCGATGCCCTCCGAAGAGCCTGACGAGATCCGTGCTATTTGGGGAACGACAGTTAATTTAGCAGACACGATGAAGACCTTCCGCGATTTCTTGAAAGGGTTCAAACCCAAGTACCGTATCGCGTATAACCGGGAGAACGGTATGAGAACGAAGACCTCTCTTGCGCCTGCAGAAGTCGAGGTGGTGTTATACGAGACATACATGCGCCGGATGCGACAGACCGGCGAAACCAACCTGAACCTGGATATGGTCAATTTACTGGCATACCCGCCAAGTCGTAAACTGCATGGACAACTGGTGAAATATCCCCAGGAGGTGGTGCCTGCAATGGACCAGGTATTGAAGGATCTGATGTTAGAGACAGCAGAAGACGACCAACAGGCAGGGGTGGAGGGGATGGCAGGGGATGAAGGCGAGGAGGAGATCGCGGAAATTATGGGCAGGGTGTACAAAGTGAGGCCATTTGGCTTGCCATCCGTCAACATGCGAGAGCTGAATCCTAGCGGTACTATTTATCTACCTCTATGCTGTTTTTTTACTTACACTCGTCACCACAGACACGGACAAACTCGTGTGCATCAAGGGTCTAGTCATTCGTGCTACGCCAGTCATTCCTGACATGAAAGTTGCCTTCTTCCGCTGCCTCACATGTTCGCATACAGTCCAGGTTGAAATCGACCGAGGAAAGATCGATGAGCCCGCACAGTGCCCTCGGGACGTATGTGCGTCGCCGGGAACGATGTCTCTGGTACATAACCGTTGCGAGTTTGCAGATCGGCAGGTGATTCGCCTGCAAGAAACGCCTGACGCGGTGCCAGATGGCCAAACTCCGCACACGGTATCGCTGAGTGTATATGACGAGCTGGTGGATGTATCAAAGCCTGGTGATCGCCTCAATGTCACTGGCATCTTCCGGAGTGTTCCAGTCCGAATCAATTCGCGACAGCGCACTATCAAGAGTTTGTTCAAAACATTCTTGGACGTCGTGCATATGCGTCTAGGACACGATGGGAGACTTGGTTTCGATGAATCTACTCGTCCTGCGGGAGGCGATCGCGTGCCCGGTGTAGGTGGTGTGGGCGGAACCGAGGAAGAAGAGGAGCGGGAGGGCCGAATCACGCTCAAGGCCGAGATGAAGGAAAAGTTAAAAGAGCTCAGCGAGAGGCCAGACATATACGAGATTCTGTCGAGGTCATTGGCTCCTTCAGTTTGGTCCATGGACGATGTGAAAAAGGGAATTCTCTTGCAACTATTTGGTGGCACTAACAAGAGCATTGCGCGAGGTGGTGGTGGCGGTGGGCCCAGATATCGCGGAGATATCAACGTCTTGCTTGTCGGTGACCCTGGTACAAGTAAATCTCAAATATTACAGGTGTGTACCGATGGTCTCATCATTCATCCCACATTAACGAGCGCGACATTTTAGTACGTGCATAAGCTGGCACCTCGTGGGGTATACACGTCCGGGAAGGGCTCTTCCGCTGTCGGCTTGACTGCGTATGTCACGAGGGATCCTGATTCGAAGCAGCTTGTGTTGGAAAGGTCCGCTGGGATTTTTTCCCTTGCCTCTTCACATGCTTAACTCTTTTCGTACCTAGTGGTGCTCTCGTACTGAGTGATGGCGGCGTTTGTTGTATTGATGAGTTCGACAAGATGTCCGATGCTACTCGTAGCGTATTGCATGAAGTCATGGTGAGTAATGATGGCTCGTCCAATGACAACTTTGATTTTGACTTGTAATGGCTATTAGGAACAACAAACGGTCTCCATTGCGAAGGCTGGAATCATTACCACGCTCAATGCTAGGACATCTATCCTAGCAGCAGCCAATCCGGTTGGGTCTAAATATGATGTGAATCTGCCCATCACACGCAACATTGATCTCCCTCCGACTCTGATCTCGCGGTTCGACTTGCTGTATCTGGTACTCGATCAAGTAGACGAGACCCTCGATCGAAGGTTGGCTCAACATCTTGTGGGTCTGTATCTCGAGGATGTCCCAGAAACCGGCGGGCAGGATATTTTGGTAAGTTACAATTATATCGTCAGGTTCTAGGCTTTTACAAACTAGGTATGCTTCCAGCCTCTAGACATCCTTGCAGCGTATATCACATACGCACGCTCTCGAATTAGCCCTGCCATCTCTGAGGAAGCATCAGAAGAGCTGGTCCGCTCCTACGTCAAGCTTCGAAGTGTTGGCGAAGACCCGCGAGGCGCAGAGAAGCGTATCACTGCGACCACACGACAGCTGGAAAGTATGATTCGCCTCTCTGAAGCGCATGCACGCATGCGTTTCTCTTCGCTGGTCATCCTCGAGGACGTGCAGGAGGCATACCGCCTCATGCGCGACGCGATCCGCACGTCTGCTCTTGATCCTACGACAGGCAAGATCGACATGGGCATGCTCAGCACGGGCACCGGACAGCAGCAGCGGAAGATGCGCGAGGACATGCGGAAGGAGGTGCTCGCCTTACTCGGGGCTGTCCCAACGATCCGCGGGATCAAATGGGCAGATGCCATGCAGCAGCTGAGCAGTCAGAGTAGCATTCGGGTTGACGCAGCAGAGTTCAAGGAAGTCATCAGTCGCATGGAGGCAGAGGGGTTGGTCAAGGTCGTTGGGGAGCGAGACAGGAGGACGATCAGAAAGGTAGAAGGGGCGTGAGGCTGTGATAATTGTATCGATTGGGTGTATTGCTTCTTGTATCGTGCCTTACTCTGTCATCGTACGTATCGCTCAAGTGTATCATGTAGACCCGCTGAAGCGTAGGTTTGAGTGACTTGTGAATTTCTAGTCTCCGGCGGTGAATTTGAAATCCATTCCAACAGCCCTTCATAAGTTCATCTCATGATCAGATGATCTCCCCGTTCTTCTCTTGCGTTGGCTCTTGTTCCCTCACCACTCCTTCTACTCCACCACAGCCTTTCATATGACCGTTGGGCCTTCTGTGAGGACGCGTGAAGCCCGTGTGGGGACGTGTGGGGAGCAGGATCGATTGGGCAAGCATACCTTTGACTCGTGTATCGGATCTCAGGTCTTCTCCTAGGATGTGTCACCTCTTGACGTGCTGTTGATGGAAGCTACATTGCTCTGTTATCGTTGACCGGCGCTATCTGCCTCATGCGTCGGTGTCGTCATGCGGATACTTGGACCTGCCACCTTGTCCTTTGTTATTTACTGATCATACCATGTTTCCAACACCGTCTGTCAAGCCCCTGGCCCTCTTAATTTATGTGCTGTGGACGGTGCCCATCGGCGTTGAGGGAAAGAAGTTCTCCTTCAGTACCATCCGTGGAAAGATTGGCGCCATCGCGGGCATTGTGATAGGTGAGAGCTTGCACTTGTCAGGCATGTGTATGCTACATCACTCACGTCTGCGCATAGGGAGTTTCATTGGCGCCTCATTTTTTCTTGCGTGCTTTTGTGGTCTTTGTTATTGGTTTTGCGGCACGCCGCGTCGGCGGGGACCACAACACCCCAGTGGTGTAGAGCCACCGAAACTAGAAAGCGAGGGTGTGCAAGGGGCGATGTCGCCCAGAGGAGATGTATCCCTTGGGGTGAGCGGCACGCAGCTGTTAGAGTGTTTTTCGTCGATATTCAGAATTCTGATGAGATCGAATCGTTACAGAAACATCCTGCCGGTCAGCCCTGAGAGAATGTTGTTTGATTGGTGTACGATCAGTTTCACAGCGCTGCATGTACTACTCTTTCCTGTCGATGTATGTAGCCCGTTTTTTTGATCTAGGGTTCTTGTTCTGCTTATTGTCAATGTGCACTCGGGATGCCTATTTTTCTGCACAGAATCCGCTATTCTTACCTGAGACGTTCTGATCATTGTGCTATATTCTTCCATCAATGTACCTTGCCTCGACCGCTGAGCTGCAGGTATGGAAGAACACAGTACATTTCACGACGTCTTCTGTTTTATGTTTGTTCCTTCATGATAAATAAGCGCCAAGCAACAGGTAAGTTTGTGAGCGCTCCTCAGTTCATGCATACATCACTGCCCCTTGCTCTCTGGTACCACAGTTCTGGGAAACTTTGCTCTCCGATGTGGAGGCTGAGCGCTGAGCGCTGAGGACTGTAGGGATATTTGTCAGGTGATTGCCATCGTCTATACTCAGCGCGCATCGATATGAGCCGCATGGCCCAGAAGACAGGTTGCGATGCCTTTCACACCAGCGGTGAGCCACAACGCCGAACTGAGGTTTCATACAATGTCTGCTTGCTGTGGTCCTTGGTGAAGAAGCGAAAGGCGTGTGTGCTAGTACTTGTTGGCGTCGTTGACATGGTTGGGTTCAGTATCTTTATAGATGCCTTTAAATGGACCCGAATAACTGAACACTCCCCAGGTCCTCGCTCGGTCTCGCTAAGTACGACGCTCAGTGGATTCAATGGTCTGCTACTCACTATGATTTTCTTTCTTCCAGGAAATTTTTGACATCGATATGTTGAACTACAATGTCCACATGGGCATAGATCTGCTTCTGGACGGCTACCTGGCTCGTTGCTTTGGATCAGGAGCCGCTGAACGCTTCTTCCGCTCTTTTCCGGGCGTCCCACCTCATCCCGAACCAATCCCCGCCACTTACGACGAAGGGAGTTGCGCGTTTTATCTCCAGAACGGGAGCTCATACGGACTACGTGACCCACTCGACTACGCGGTCAACAACACACGGGGCGTGGTTGTACACCAGACTGCGTGGACATCACCCGCCTTATTCGGAGCCGAGAGGGAGCAACTTACAGCTAGTCGGGCTCACCTCGCCCCAACAAAATTCTTTGTAAATGTGGACGGATCCATCGGACTACCCATATCAGACGCAATTGAAAACAGAGGCTATACTTTGAAAGGGTGTGACGCAGCTATGTCCTTCGGAGCCTCTTTTCCGCCCTACATTACACTACATGTTTGTCCTCTCGACTATTGAGCAGCGAAAGGATAAGATGCTGATATTTCGTAGATTCAGTGGCCCGGATACCCATCCTGGACCACGCAGTTGTCGACGACAGATGATGGTAGAGGCGGGGGAATTACTCTAGCAGAGTGCGCGCGCCGCCTTGGCCTTGCTGTGGACGCATTCCTGGTGGTATGCTTCCGTTTGCACCCTTCGTCTCAAAAGCCTTGACTTCTTATTCAATTTAGCAACATGTTGCCAAAAGGTCGTCCAAAAGCGAGTGGAGGATTGGCGTAGGTGGCATCACTCGTGGCGACGTTGTGCTAATTGGGCTGGTGGAGGTATACAAGGGGCTTTGGATGCCTGTCCTTCAGCTCTGTCGACACATCATTGGCTGAATCTATCAGGAGCTTTGCGTAGTTTGAAGAGGAAGGTGTGGTCTGGACAGCTCTAGATACTTGAGAAGTCGTGGGGTAGCGATTCGGAGACAAATCGCTCCTACGGACCTACTTACATGTTTTGTATGACGATGGCTCTCGCTGTGGCTCAAATGATTTGCATGGAGCTCTGTGGCGCTCTGTGGACCGAAATTCAATTAATCTCTGAAGAATGTTTCTGATGGTTCTTCGGACCCGTGAGCAACCGCCGTTGTCTGACACGCGTCGCAGAGGGCGTGGCGGGGCCAGTCGTGGGCCCCACATTTCCTGAACGAACATCCAGTTTTCTCAGCGTTTTCTCATGGAAAGCACATCGACTGATGGCCCTGTGCCAGGATCTGTAGTGCTCAAGCAATTTTGGGAAAGCAATAATTGGGAACCACGGCTACGGAGACGATGGCAATGGGAAGCGAACGGGGGTCGTGTCCCTTCTGCGGAGAGGTCCGAGTTGGCCGAATTCATTATGCGGAGCTTAAACCGAGAGGTATATTCCGTCACCGAGCACTATGCGGATGCAAACCTCCTCCAAGTCGTGCACCCCTCCGACCTATGCGTAGACTCTCCGTCTTCGCCCGCAAACCTCCTGCGGAAAAGCCCGTGACTCTCGACACGGAGGTTGCGAAGGCCCCGACGAACCTCTCCCACTTCCTCCACCTTCAGAAGGTAAATTATCTCAAGGCAGTCGAGCAGGGTCAGTCGCGGCAATGGACGATGGTGATGGGAAACGAATCTGGAGGTATGCTTGATAACTTTGCGTTCTCGCAATAACCATAACTCGGTACTGTCCCTTTTTCTTAGATCTTGATTCACTGGCGAGCTCGATTGCCTATGCATGGCATGCCACCACGGCACGCCAGGCCCTCACGATCCCTCTCATCCAGACATCCCAGGCAGACATGTCTCTTCGCGCCGAAAACCTCCATGCACTCTCCCTCGCCGGAATTAACCCTTCAAAGGATCTCCTTTATTCCGACGAACTCCCTCCTTTCCCAACAGACAAATATGTCCTTGTAGATCACAATCGTCTCGGTAGGCGGTTCATAGAGGCCAGTCCCAACGCGCGGGTCGTTGCGGTGATTGACCATCATGAGGACGAGGGACTGTATACACAGTCGGCAGACCCGCGTATGATCGTCGTGCCAACAGGCAGTTGCTCCTCCCTGGTCACGCGTATTCTCTCACAGGCAAGTCCGGACAACCTCCCTGCTGAACTCGCGAAACTCCTCCTGTGTGCCATCCTCATCGACACGAACGGTTTGAAATCAGGCGGCAAGGCCGAAACAATTGACCGCGAGTCTGCTGCACGGTTGGCTGTTCGATCCAAAATTGCCGATGCTCATTCACCCACAAAATCTGTTTTCGCGATGTCCACTTCCTCCAGACCCACCTCCCCGCCCCAAGAATCTTCGCTCCAGGATCTTTCTGTCATTCAACATCTGACAGCTGCCCTACAGATGAAGAAGAATTCTGTAGCACATCTCAGCACACGAGACCTTCTGCGTCGTGACTACAAGGAGTACACATGGACGCCTTCATGGGCGCCATCATCCACGATCCAGGTTGGTCTCGCATCTGTCCCACGCAGCCTAAAGGTCTGGGGGCCCAGTGAATCAGGTTTCTGGTCCGCAATCCATGGATGGGTCGAGGAGAGAAATTTGATCGTGCTTGGCATCCTTACTTCCTTTCGTGACGACTCAAAAATCGGGAGTACAAAAGGAAAGGGCAAGCGCGAAATGCTTTGGTTCATTCATGAAGGCGATGCGGAGCTTACGAGTCGCTTGTGGAAGGGTCTAGAGCAGAGCAAGGAGCTCAAGGTCAAGTCAGTAGACTTGCGGAAATATGGAGGAGACGGGATTCCGGAGGGATTCGCGGTCCGCGTGTACAAACAAGGCAACGCGGATGCTACGAGAAAGGTCACTGCACCTCTGGTCAGGAGCATTATCGAAGGTAATGAAACGAAGTAGAGTAACAGATGAATGACCGGGAGCTGTATGTAGTTTTTCTAACCCGTACTGACGCTTGCGTATACGTAGACCTGCTCTGGATAGCATCGGGATACCCCTTCGTACATACCCGCATTTAACCTAGCATTCATCTAGTTCCCTACTTAGTTACTCCACTGATTATCATCCGATGCCATCCGTGCTGGAATCTTTGACAAATTCCTTGATATGGAAGGTGGATGCCCAATTTTGGAATCCAAGCGTTCACACGTTCACAACTCCTATGTTTGGTCTTCGATATATCTAAGTAGTTTATTGCAGCTCTTCAATAAATTGATCACTCGTTTGGGTGTCCATCACCGATATCACCCATCATATTGAAGCAAGCGATGACGATATAACCTGACACCCATCGTCGGTGAGTGTCTTGTCAAGTCTAACGTAGTATTTTCCCGGCGCGTTCATTGACATTCGACGGTGACTTAGGCTGGTAGCCCAATAAACACCCTAAGCGCCTGCTTCTTCGCCTCTGTATCTCCCTTGACAGACTGCCCATATGCCTTCAAGATTGCTTCATAGCGCTCTCCTGAAAACGCGTCATCTAGTGTTGGACCGGCAGTCAATGAAGATGAGGAACATAGACACACTTGTAAGGTGCTCGAACTCGCCCTTGGTATTCGGGAAATTCGGCGGTGGTTTTCCATTCGATGTCGGTGGCGCCATGATCGGCATCTTTGGTATGACCGCCATCGCGTTGTGCAGACGTGCATACAGGCGTACCTGGCTTCAAGTTCGTGTGGACCCATTTCAGCTCTGAGCACTCTGAGAGGAAAATAGGTCGAGAGAAGGTAGTTACTCCAGTTTTATTGTGTCCATTATCTCGTTGATCTTTGTCTCGAGATCGGCCTCTGAGGGCCCTGGCCGTGCACCTACCAGCTGCGCCCCTGCGAGCAGTCTCTGGACGGCATCGATATCAGCACGAAGTCCTGCTTGCATTTGCTCTATTGCTGCTAGACGAGCGAAGACCTCTGAAAGGTCCATCTGATGATCGTACCCAGACTGCGGTACTGCGGTGCTGCTCTCTACAGCCGCCGAGATCGGTGGGAGAGCGAACAGAGACGATGCATGGGCGAGCTGTTCTGCGATGCTGGAAAAGCACTCAGAGAGTTGAGCTGCGCGTTGAGCGGAGGTAGGAATAGATGACGGCGTGGCGGCTTGTTGCGCGACGGAGATGGTATCGCTGGAGGATGTGGGGGAGGACATATCGATGAGCCCTCGCGAAGCGGCAGTTGTATCAGGGAGGTTGTTCGTGTTCTGCATTGAATGGCTGAGAGCGCCGGGAGAAAACGAGGTTTTATTAGGACATCTCTGGGAGTTTCTTCAGAATAAGGCAAGGGAAGCTACGAGAATCGGTGGTAGTGAGAATGTCTCCGTGTATACACTGTTACTCGTTTTAGCGGCAGCCGAGGAGCAACCCATGCTGAAATGAGGGAGTTTTGACAACGGGTTGATAGCATAGTCTCACCGGGAATCAGGTAAAATCTGTGTGCCGTACGTGCCTACTTATGCCGAGTGGGAAAAGTCCGCGATAGGAGAGTCTTCATCTATCCATTTATCGGGATTGCGGTGCTTTGCGGTGAGCCGTATAACGAATGATGGGTGAGAGGGATACAATGCACCGTCGCACATACCAATTTATCATAATCAACAATGGACCAACGGTAGTATATCCATGTCAAACACGATGCATTCCCCGGAGCTGGACTTTCTCAAGACTTGAGGGAATGGTACGATTGTGAAGATGTTTCACGGGATGAGAATCAGTCATGTAATGATTCCAACTAGCTGGTTGTAGGTGGTCCTATGCTCATACAGATCTTGACGCGCGAATGGCAAGTTGACATACTTGAGCATTGTGAATAGGCATGCAGCAAGTTACCAAGGATTTCAATCGAAACGCTGATCATTTTGGACTTGTAAGAGGGGACTGCGTAATATGTGTGCGTCCCATTCAGCATCACGTGCTTCAGCGAGGGGTCAGTGTCAGGCTGCAGATCGCTCACGAGAATGTCTGTCGTTTTCGAATGCAAGGCATCCCGACTCGCTGTTACTTTCATGTGAGTAGACTCAATTCAGAGGAGAGTGACTGACTGAATCATTACCTGGAGTATGTCATCAGCCTTGTTGAGGTCGGAATAAGATGAGTCGATTGCGCAAGTTGATGCAAGGAGATTGTTGAGCACTTTGAACGTTCGACCATCACCGTGTTTATCGTCTTCGTCGTCTTCGAGATCACCGATCTTCATCTCTGTCTTCATCTTTAACCTCTTCTAATCGCGGCCAGTTGGAATCAGATGTTTCAGCTTTCCACAAGCGCGGCGAGCTCTGATGCAAGATGGTTGAATGGTGGATGACTACATAGTGGATGTAAGGCGCTACTACGCTAAGGCAAAAGACAAAAGAAAAGATCGCCGTCCCAGGTTCATTTGGAGCACCAGTCAATTACGTACCATGCACCGCATCCGGACTTCGGATGTCTGTCTCTTCTTCCCAAATCTCCTCCTTGTATCGAGGCGCCCTAGCCAGAGAGGAATTATTGCATTCATGTCATTTTGCAGTTAGGGCATTGTTATCTTCCCTTGTCGGACGAGGCCAATCAACTGTTTGGGAAATAAACTCCGCGGTACGTGACATCGTATGTGCAACACGGAACATCAAGAAATGGCGTTGCAGAGAGCGGCGAGGAGAGAAACAGGAAGATTTTCTGAATCGATAGCGATCTACGACATAACAGGAAGTGGCGCAATGTTGAAAATTTCAGGAAGAAGCCGTGTGAGTCCATCGGATGTCTGCCATCCTTTGCCATCCCCTCTCAACCCAGCCTTTCTCCCTCATCCACAGATCCATACAGTCCTTGATGTCGGTAGATTGTGAGCGACCAGCATCTATAATTTGCCGGATTGCTCCGCGAGTGACCGGATATCAGCATCCAACAGTTCACCCTCGTTTATGACCCCCATATGCTCCTTTATCTTCCTCAGTGCCCTCGTTCCCCTCTCGTCTTTCACCGACTGGGAATCCCCTTTATGTTTTTTTACAGATTTTTCTGCCTTGGTGCACCTGCAGCTCTAGAAGGACGTATGCACCGTATTGATGGCACTTGAGCGGTATGTGGAGACGCTTTGTACGGATATGCCACAGTATGTCGTGTTATCTCCAGAATCATTTGGGACACTTCTTGTCGTCGGTCGCGATGCCCACTATCCACGTGCACGCTGCGCTCTTCCTCGATGCCGTTGCTCTCTTCGCGCTCCTACCCTTGCTTGCACCCTTCGGCTTTTGCCCAGCTTTGGCATTGCTGACGTGCTTCGCTGGTCGGGCAGGGCATCGCTGTATGTCAGGTCCTGGGTTTTCCGATGGTATCGTTGCGAGGCTTTGTTGTTCCCGATGAAATTTCTCGAGAACGACTGTCTCGTACACATTAATGGTGTTCTTCAGAGTCTTGTTCATTAGCTGCCTCCCGTCAGGTATGGCAGTAATTGTTGGAACAAGGTCCATCAGTGGATCCGGCGGAGCTCTGTACCCCTTGCGGGTCGGGAACTCAGTTGCCGATTCATATCGTGGCTGCTTTGTGGACGGTCTCTCATCTGGACCATCATCGTCATGGTGTTTCTGCCCATCGGCGCAGGGACGTAATCGCCTGTTTCATGTGAGAGTAGCACTGCTCTCTTGCTCCCAGTTCTATGGTAAGTCCGTAGGTACGACAGGGAAGGGGACGGTGGAGAACGGTATATTGCGCGGGAAGGAGGCGATATCGTGGGCAGATACATAGGGGAATCGTTGCCTTGTGCGCTCACGGAGGTCGGCAGTGTGAACTGGGAGGAAGTGACAAGGTCGTGGTCAGCGAAGTTGGCGAAGCCAAAGCTCATACTTTCCGCGGTCTCCGACACAGGATCGGGAGTGAACTGGCCAGTTGGATTATGGGTAGCATTGCCAACTATATCCATCAGCGAAGTGTCGTAGAATGTGCCTGTGAAGACGGGCGAGTCGATCACGACGGGTACATGCGTATTGCTGACCACGTTCTGTGGGTCCATGGGGGTAAGCGATGGGGTACCAAGCTGAGAACAAGTGCGCCACTCACGTCGTATACATCAGAGAGCCCGCATGCTATTGGCATCTGGCTTGGAGACAAAGGCCAGGTCAGTGGCGACCACATCATCTGTGCTGGAGCGCCATAACAGCTCATCTCGAGGGCTGACGACATACTGTCAGATGGGCCCACCACAGCTGGACATGTCCCCATACGAGAAATTGCCCTCATGTTGCGGGGACGAGGTGGCAGGAGGTGAATGCAGTGCGGATGAGGAAGAAGCCAAGTACTTGTAGGGGTGCTGGCCAAGACATGGATAAGTTGTTGCTGAATATGCCTCATCGGCTATAGACAATTGGGCGTCGGAGAGTGTTTGGCAGTGAAAAAATACACTGTTATGGGTTCGGGATGGTGAGTTCTGGCTCTGGTAGAAGCGCGTATCCATTCCTGTGCTGTTCACGATGCTATAGTGTTGGCTGCCTCAATTGGTGATTGTCGAAAGAGGAGGTGCGGGTGCCTATGGGTGCTTATGTCTACTCATCAGCCCTTCTTCGGCCCCAATCTTCAGCTTCCTCGCTCTTGTGAGTACGCGTAGCGCGGAGCGCCTGATACAGCGTCCCTTACCTTTCCTTTCAGCTCGTCGCACGAACACCATAAACTTCGATCAAGTAATTCATCGATCGCCCCTCGTTCCCCGCATATCAGGCGAGTCTCATATTCTTGCAAGTGCATTTCTACACGAGGTCTACGTGCATGAACCGACACGGTGTGGGGCACAGCCTACATATTCTGTGTTCGCGCTATGAACGCGAGCACCCTTCATCAGAACCGATTGCGTGTAGAGCCTCGTTATTCCAGCGCCGGGATCATAAGAACCTAGGTGCTCTCTCGCAAGGGCTCCACTGCTCTCAAAGTGCAGTTTGATGATCCTGTCATCTTCACTTCTTAATCCCGGAACCGTTCATGGATCTCGGCCCTTATATACCCTGTAGGCTACATGCTGGCTATCGTGCGTTGTGCAAGTAAAGCTAGCGGTTCATACCAATGGAGATGCGCTGGGAAGTTAACTGTCTCATTGACTATCGAGACAAGACAAGCTGCTGTTGCTCTTCGTTGCCGTTCGATAGACAATTGCCATCACTTTAGACAGGCTTGCAAAGCAGAGCCCAAAAAGAGCTCATGAACTGCACTACGCTTGAAACTACGTTCGAAAGGATCGAGAGTAAATATAACGGCGTACAACTTTGGCCACTTTTTGGCCGCCTTTATCCGTAACTATACATGCATTGTCTCAAATACGTTTCCTCTAGGCCGGTGAACATCAGCGGGGTCATAACGTTCCTCGACAGTTAGGGATAAATGTTCCTTTTCAAACGTGCGGAACAGACAGAGGACGTTCAGAGCTGGCCATTCATCCTCGGGGTTATTTTTCTTGATATACGGATACCTGACGGGGGTCTCATGGTCACGACGCCATTCCTTGCTGAATGCTAGTAGACAAGCGCATGAGTGCTACCGTACCACTCATAAACAGCATTGAACGTACGAGCCCTCTGACCATCACGGATGCGAGACCATCCAACTTCCCCTTCTCTAAAAATCGTGAACGAGGTGTGATGAATTAGAAAGAAAGGGAAACGTACATTTCGTCAAAATATTCGTGGTCTGTCCATGGCTTGCTCAAATCACGTCGCTGTTTGGGTTCTACTGTGAGAATCTAGAGTTGCGCCACTGTGAGCATGGAGAAAGGAGGGTCTTGATGAAAGAGGCGCTGACTTACGCTCAAAATAAATTGCGTCAGGTCACCGCTGGGGACCTCCGCCACGGAAAGGCATTCCTTGACATATACATTAAAAGCCTTCTGTGTGAAGTTCTCCCACGCATTCGGGTCGTTATAGTGAGAGTATTGAAAATGAGAGAACAAATCGTCCTTGTAAGGGCTGTTGGGTGTCTGAAGATGGTGATGTAATGTTGAACAAGTTACTGAACGTTTGGTAACGAGACACAAACCTTTCCTGCCCAAAGCTCTAAAAGAGTGATGCCTAGTGACCACCAATCTGTGGATACGCTGAATTTGAAAGGCGTGCAACGGCTATTTTGCACACTCCGCAAAAGCTTTGTGTTACGATCTCGACCTCCGATTATTTCAGGCGCCATATAGCGACGCATGCCCTTCATCGCATCAGAGATGAAAAAGCCATCCTTGGAGCGGGTGGCGTTCTCGAAATCGCTCAAAACGCTATGACCCTGCGTATTGATAAAGATATTGTCTGGCCTGACGTCTGCATGAACAATGTTGTTTTCGTGAAGGAAACTGATGGCGAGAACCTGAGGAAGATGATCGGTGTGAAATATGAACAAATATCCGTCAAATACCTACCATTTCCGCAGCGATATAGAAGAGTTGCGTTTTGTCCACTTTCCCACATTGTCGAGCGAGATCCCCATACGGACAGAAAGGCTGAACGCAAATGTTGAGCATGGCCATTAAGATTTTGAAGTCGGCTCAGCCTACCGTGACGATGTTAAGAAAGCCGTTCCAGCTGGCCCAGTAAAAACGATCTCCTTGCTCTGGTGGCGGACCCAGAAGGAAGGGGTGCTGATTTTGCTGAAGCATCCGCAGAACCCTCAAGTCGGCTATCCTACTACGAGCAGCCCTGGTGCTCTCGACATAAACAGACTTGATCGCGTGCAGAGCGCCACTCTTATGTTGTGCCACATGGATAGTCGACATTGGCATGATGTCGAGAAGGCCACGGATAGCCCATTCTCGTGAGTGAGCAAACTTCTTGGATAGGATTGACATCGCATCGTCCCTGTCAGGACGCTTGATGTAAACTCTGCGCAAGTATGGTATTTCGACGTCTGCCGGGAATGTTGCACCGAGGTTCATGCTATTATCATCGCCAGAGGAGACAGGACCAGTCCCAGTGCTTGGAAGGCGCGACGAAGATGAAGTTTCGTCCGCATGAAAGGCTGAAGAGTCTGCCTCGCTGGCTTCCGAGTGGGTTGACTCATCGTCCATGATTAGGAAGGGAGATCCCTGAAAAAGGTGAGAATGGGGGGGCCCCTCTTCGAAAAGAGCAGGAGCAATGGTATCCACAGTTATGATTGACAGTGGGCTTGGTGGCATGACCACAGGCGGTGAGTTCCGGAATGCTTGTTCATCTAATAGGATTCCAATGACCTCGTTCCGCTGTTGGCTGCGCGTCCGACGAGGAAGACCGGGCGGGTGGTTGATAGAACGACGCGGCGTCGGAGAAATAGGTCGTAAAGTGGAATTTTCGAGTAGCAATGGTGATTCAACGGTGTTCTGATTCCTCAGTGTAGAGCCAACAGAGTCCTAAAATAGAACGATGTAATGAAGTTGGCTAAGACGTTGCACACCGCGACACACCATTGTTGTTGGATTGAAAAAGGCATGAAGTCCGTGCACCATGGGCTCAGCCACATCTTCAGTGTGCGAATGCAACTGGGATTCGCCAAGAGTCGGTGAATGACTTGTATCGTGAACGTAAGGGGGGCCATTCACAAAGACCTCACTTTCTATAGAGGGAGCAACCAACTCTAGGCCTGATGCTCTTCTCTTGTTGAATAATCTTCTCAATCTCGTGAAGAACCGAGGCACCATTCCGGTTTATGAAGTTACTGTGAAGCGGCTGTGGATGTTGTGGTAGCTAAAGCCGAGTGTAAGGAAGGAAGGCGCACTTGATTACGAGCAGCTTGAAGACTATATAACAGTGGCAAGCTGTGGCCACTGTCGGTCGATGGGCCGGGTCTTGTTACACGTTTTTACGTGATCAGTACAGGATGATACGCAAAATGGTCAGGGGTCGTCAAGAACGGATGGCATCCCCGACACACAATGACAGTACCTAGACCGCAATCTCATTGAGAACAAAACATGTTCGACACCTTCTCGATATCCAGGCGCGCCTTTCTCTGAACAAGCGATCGCGGCAGCCGCCGACGAAGCGACGACCTTTGTATTCGACAAGAAGATCTGAATGAAACGTCAATCATCAAAGAGCATGGTGCGATGTATTTCTTATTCATCGTCTACTGTACCTGACATGATTACGTTGAAGAACTCCCGTGTGTTAGCCGTGTTATGGAGAAGATAGCTGCGATTTGATCATGGCGTACAAATCTTAATCTCGAGAAGAATGCCTCCAATATCCTCGACCGCTCTAACATCCATCCTATACATGTTGCAATGCACTCATGTGTCCCCTCGGTCCCTCGACGGCTTCTGCTTTTCCACAGCCAGACGCCAGCCCCCATAGAGCTGGTTGACAATCGCACTGCGCTTGAGCACTGCAAGCTCTTTCACAGCATCACTGTATAACGAAGACACTCTCGCTGGATCCTTTTCATCCTTTTGATGAAGAATGAGTCAGTAAGAATCAGGATAAGTATTGTAGAACAGGACATGCCTGGATTGCTCGAAAGTTGCTCTTGGTGCGCCGTATAAAGTATTCTCGGAAGTTGTAAGAGCTAAATGACCGTGATGTGCGCAGCATGGAAGAGTAGAGGTGCAGCAGGGACTTGGCGGATGGGGGTGTCGCCATTATACCCTACACTCAGTAAGTGGAAGGTTAGAAGACTTCAGTCGACAACCCATAACGCCTGACTGAGCATCTGAGGGGCCACGTGGCCGAAGAGATTAGATTCGTTCCTCATTTCTATTCGGCGGATTTACTTCTCATCTGCTTTCTCTACCGATTTCGTATGTCGATGACTACCCTGAACATCAAGATTGAATTCGGCGGGGGTCTCGAATTACTCTTTTCTAACCAACGCTCCCATCGGATTTCCCTCCCCGCACACCGTTTGGCGGTAGCAAGTTCAACGTCTCCAGGAGACTCAGGAGACCCAGATACAGAGGTTCAGCCAGCAAACATGGATTTTCTGATTCAGTGGTTGAAGGAAAATTTGTTGAAAGAAAGAGCGGAGCTTTTCGTCGAGAACGACACGGTGTGCGTTGGTTCACCGGACCGATCACTGAATTTCAGGGTGTCTCTGACATGTTGGATGCTCAGGCGTCCAGGAATTCTGGTTTTGATCAATGATACGGATTGGGAACTTGAGGGAGAAGGACAGTATGAATTGAAGGATGGAGATGAAGTTGTATTTATTTCCACTTTGCATGGTGGTTAGCACGGCGTCTCGAAGGAGCACTCGGCCAAAAACCGTGCGCGAATAGCATGGTGAATAGCACAGTCCCACTGAGAGCTTTGACATCCCTCATTGATCAGGCGCGCCTAGGTACATGCCCGCGGACTGATGATGTCTTAACGCTGACGCCATGTAAATGTCCATCGATGCGTTTGAGTGGCTGCTCGATCGAGCAGATGTAGGTGATCAATTGGGCAGTTGGCGATGGAGAGGAGGGAGGCTCTGCAGACTATACTCTGTATCATATAGGAGTGACACGCACAGTCATACTCTTCACGGTGATTTATCTGAGCCTTTGTCTGAACTGAACCATCTCGACAGCGAGTACCATGGATGGGAAGTCTTCGTTAAGGCCTGTTCGTGCCTCTCCGAAGACGCCTTTGCATTTTGTTGCGCCTTGATCTGCGATTGTGCCCGCGCCCGCGCCCTGACGACCTCGTCTAAGATCCCTCCTGACTTCTCTATTTGTGAAACAGTTTCCCCTTTTTTCTCTGTCTCCCTCTCTTTCTCCCTCGCAACCTTGCTTGTAGTCAGCTGACTCTCAATACGATGTGTCTCCTCAGCAACCTTGAGCCTTTCCTCGAATGAAGCTCGTTCTTCCTTTGCCTTCTCCTGAGCATTCGCAGCAGCGTCGTCTTGGTGGGAGATTGAACCTTTTTGAGAGCCATACATCCACGAGCCAGCGACTACGGCAACGATCGTAAAGCCCTGCGCCACGACACGCACGCGCAACCACCGATTTAACGAGGCAGATTGGCCTTTGCGCAACTTAGTCATCGCCATAATGAGAGCAGCTGTCGTTGCCAGAGTCCCTGTCATACCGACGCAAGTCCTCGCTCAGAACGAAATAAGAGCATGTGATAGATGAGAGAGGCTATACCGATAGGAACTAATGGCTGCTGTTTGAATTTGCGAGAGGCTTTCTCGCGGTAAGTCTCCATTGAGTATGCAGGTTGAGTGCTCATGACGGGAGGAAGATGGTACGGGACTTGTCGGGTTCAGAGTAGATGTGGGATTGTGGTGGCAGTGCTGAACGCCGAACGGAGGTTCGACTAGGGAGTGAAAGGACGAGAGCGCTATATGACTCTGGTGTGATATGGGGAGGTGTAAGTATCAGGCCCAGAATATGAGGTATCCTTTAAGCATACAAAGAGTCTCGAAATTCAGGTCTCATACTGTGAGTATCAAATGCCCACGGAGTCGAAGCGCAGGACCTACCTGCTTCAACAACGGTGAGCTCCCAAAAGCTCCTTGAGCTTCGGCATCAGCCGGCAGTGGCCGCTCTCCAGACGCAATGACGAGAAGTTCTTTTGACTCGACTCTACTCAACTGTGCACCCGATCTCGATGCCTTCGTACCTATGCCGGGTGATTCTCAAAATCGAGCGGTAGATATAATGTGTATCAGAAGAGAGCTCTCACAGGGAAAAGCACAAGCCAACAGGTAGCAAGAATCTGGTCTCCAGTTGACAGTATATCGAACACTCCTCCTGGAGGTCCCCATTCTTTTAGTGATTTGTTTTACAAGCTTGACGTTTCATTTGACTCTCTCCCATTCGGTGATATCCTCCTGGAACTAACTTGCTTGAGGGTCGCAATCATCTCCTTCGATTGGCCCAAACCCGCGCTTCAACCTCAGCTAGCCCGTACATGCTGCGACGCTTCATCCCCTCACTCCTTCATTCTTGAAAGGTGTTGTTTACCCGATGTTGCACCTCCGATTCAAATACGTGCCCAGAGATTATGTCCCATTTATCGAACAACTACAGTTTTTTCATCCTATCACTTAAAAATCGCTGATGAACAATGTTGAGGGCTTACGAATATTTGGGACATCTTGCGCAAGCAGCATGGATATCATAGGAGTATGTCAAACTTGCATGTACAAGTTATTTCTCTATAGAGGCACGTAACTTATATTATGATATCCAACTGGAATAGCTAATAGGATGCGGTCAAGAAGATTGAGAGTCCGCATAAAACGAAGACAATCATCTCATTTTCATTTTATACACAGGCCTGTCACTACCAAGAAATCGGCCGCACTGTCTAGCTCCAGTCAGGGCTTACTTCGTGGGGCCCTTGCCTTCCGTTCTCAACCGTGCGGGGCGTTTCGTCATTGACAGCAAGCCTGATTCTTCCTTCGTGTCGCCTTTCTGCGAAGGTCACCCACAATGCAGACGTGATCAGGCCGAGTGGGTGCAAGACCGTGAACATGATTTCCGTGATCTGATTTTAGGATAATCAATATCAAGACAACAACGGTAAAGAAAATAGGCGCACATATACGGATGCAGGTTTCAATCTGCTTGCCCATACCGCAACGCAGATCCATGTTGCACCGACGCACCAGATGATATCGCGTCGGATCATGATGAGGAGGAGGCCGAGGATGTTCGTGCCGAGCACTACCCCGAAGCCTTCCCATTGATGCCCATTGTAATGATCTGGATGATTTGGGTTCCACGCGTGTCCCAAGGCAACGCTGTAAATGGCATGTTGAAAAATAAGCTAGGTTGATGGAAAGGGGTACACACAATAGGGAATACGGAAATAGAAGCGAGAGTGGCAGGATGAGAAAGAGCCGCATCGGCGCGTGAATGAACGCAATATCAAGGGGACGTTGTCGAGTAGGCGGGTGGTATACTATCAAGACGATGTTGGAGTATAGCAAGAGAAGGACAAGAATGCCCAAGAGAATCGTTGACACTATGAACGAGCGGAAAATCTAGCGATATTTTTGAGTATGAGGAGATATATGCAATGGAACCAATTCGCGTACCCAAGAAATGGCCCACGCAGCCATGACCCAATTAGAAAAGACCAACGCGAGCCCTACTCCTTTCACAATAGTTTTCTGTGAAATGGTGCTGGGAATAAGTCAGGGAGTTTGATAACAAATAATGAAGTTTACCTTAGTCTCAGGCTTCCTGACAAGAACAATCATGAAACAATACCCAATCTGACCGATATATATCGCTAATATGTATGCAGCGATGAGAGGAGGATACGGAGAGATTGATGTGGGGAACCATTTCGTCACTTGTCCTAAATTCGCAGGCATGTCAGGCTCAGTCACAAGAGTGAATTCGTCTAGTCAAATGCACCAATGGACGGTGATACCATCAATGAACATATCAAAACTGTTGCTATGTTCACCAGTAGCGATAGTGGTGTCAATACCTGCAGCCTGTGGGATTCGAAAGTCTGCTTAATTATGGGAGCCGGATCACAAGGGTGCTGGACGTGACACAAACCGGATAAGTGACAAGTGATCGCGCACGGCAGGGTGCAACATATCGAGAGGGAGTTCATCCATACTTTTTGCGAAGTCTCTGTAGAGAGTGAAAGCCCAGGAAGTGGTCGATAGCAAACAGACCCATTCCTCGATGTCGCATCCAACGGAGCGAAACATCGACGTCATTCGCCGCCTGATCGGTTTCATCCACGTGATAATGATGGTGTAAAATACTCTAATTGATGACGCTGCGATTTTGCGCACCTTTGCACGCGATTTCAGCTACTTGACCAGTTTATGCCTCTGTGCCGCGCTATGCCTACCTATACCACGAATGAACATGTCTGTTGATTTGTTCTCGGTTTCTCCATCTCGAAGCTCAGTGTCACCGTAGGACTGGTTCAACGAAGACGGCTTCGATTGACATTGTCTCATCTTCTCTTCTAGCGTAATTTATACACAGAACGGCTGTCTTATGTGTAAGGTCAGCTATGGAGACTAGGGGGAGAGTGAAGCTCTCACTATCAGTATTTGATCAACCTTCTATCTCTATCCTGATTGTGATGACTTGCGACCCCTCGAAGCAACCGGACATGATAGGACGAAGTATGGATACATTGAAGACAGGATGAGCTCATAATATGTACGTCAATTCATATTTTGGGGACGCTGATGCTGATGATTTGTAACAAGCAAACAGAAAAAGTCGGAAAAGTGATCACTCTCGGCCCATGGGTGCGAAGTCTATAATCCTACGAAACAAGACACTCCGGACTTGCGACGAATTCCGCGTTATCGATCTTATCAGTTGTTCTCCGGATCAACATAAGTTATAATAGAAGAGGCCAGATTCCGATGTTGTTCCGTATTATCGTCGCCGTTTTTGATGAAGCCTGGCCTTTCAGATCGCCTATCGAAACACAGCAATCAAAGGAGATGATAGTACTGTTCAAAGCCTTGTATGCATGTGCGTGATATCTTTACATGCTGGACAGACATAGATGTAGCATCGCGTTCTATCTTAACAGCTCTGGCTGCAAGTTTAAAACGGCTGTCGTAATGACACATTGACCGCGCCGCTTGGGGAAGCAGCCCGAGTGACTTCATCCTTTAGCTGAGCATGACGCGGATGAGCGCTCCGTTGACCCAAAAAGATGCTTATGCCGCATGGCCGACACGCGCCTTCAGCATGTAGATATTCAAAAGGCGGTTTGTGGGGACACCCTTGTCAGTATTCCCCCCTTCCCTTTGCCTCACAACGATGGACACCAGACATTCGCCCGACATTAGCCTGGCCAACTCAGTACCGTTTCCAACGGACCCGAGCACATACCAGTCTTCCATCTCTGTTTCGGGCTTACCTTTACCACAGGATTTTTACGCGTCGTCTCGACTGTCCCGCGACTCGATATCCCTTCATCGCTCGAGGCAAGCACGATCTTTGGCTTCATCGACATACAGCTATCGGGCACGACCCACCGGAAAGCAGCTTAGTCCTGTTGTGGAGGAGACAGACGATCGTTCGCGGCGCTGGTCGCCGCCCAGATTGTCGCCAGGGGTCGAAACCGGTGCGTTCGACGACACTTTCGTGGAGGATGTGGCAATCGCAATGATTGCGATGATGCCCTCACCTCGGGTGGAAGCCCGAAAGCAGGCCGAGCGGCGAAGAAGGTCGGCAAAGCGTTCAAGGCGCGTGCGCGCAAGAGGCATCGCGAAGCGAGTTGTCGGTGCTGCGGGTCGTGCCATATCCGCTTTGTCCATGGTGCTCCATTGCCCGCCATGGGGGCGGCGGCACTGAAATCCCCCTTCAAGGTACGGGTCATAGCTAGCAAGCATATGGGGAGGAAATTCTGAACAACTTTTGCAGGCTTTGACCTTGCCGAGGCATCTTGTTTACGTGCTTTGCCACCCATGTTCACACAATCGGCTCACGTCCATCATTTTGAGGCGCGATCGATATGCCACATGTTGTGGCAAACGATACGACTGCTTTGACCCAATGACACCCCTTGAACGTCAGATAGACTTGACTGTCATTGTGCCACCGTCTCTTTGTCCCCCAGTCTGGCTTTAAAAGCTCTCCCATCCCTCACAAGTAACACTCATTCCATCTCACTTTCACATTCTCACTTGACATGACCACGAACACCACGGCACAATCACTGATCCCTACCAGTGCCACTGCGACATCAAGCGCTCTCGAGCACCCAAGAAGTTCCACGCCATCGCCCTTAGAACTAAACACCATCGTTTCCGAATGCGACACATCTTCCAAAACTCTTCTTGATGATCATTCCCCACATGTTGTCGAGAACCACTCGTCTCCCAGGGCGTTTTACCGCTCCCGATATGGTGTCTTCGAAGTCGACCTGACCGATCCACTCCAGCCAAAAGCTCTTCTTACCCACCAAAGGATTCCAACCCGTCCCAATCCTCATCCCATTTTCCGCAGACGCACTCCATCCTCCCCCGGCGATGTTGACATGGAGCAGCTGGTAAAGGAGCGACTTAGAAAGAAGATTGACGCGCCCGGACCATTCACACCTCTTGAGATGCTTCATCAAGGCGATAAAGTATCAGCACATGCTGTCTATGACCAGTGCACATCATCCGTGATTTGCTTGAAGGTTGTCGATAAGACGAACAAGGACAAGGAAGACCGTACGCGAGCACTCCGGTACGAGCTCAAGGCGTACCAGAGGATCTCGAGATACGAACGCTCTCCGTATGTTATGCAGCTCGAAGGTGTATTCCAAGACCAAGAGGCCGCCTATTTTGCCATGGCCAGTACACTATGCATCTTCCCAATGCAATAGCTAAACATCGCCAATAAACAGGAATTAATGCCTCTTGACCTACATGCAGCGACAGAGGTACTCTTGACGCCGGCTGTCACGCGTCGGTGGCTAGCACAAGCAGTGAGCTTTCCATCCTTTTCTAACTGGGTACTGTCTCAATATTTGTCATTGCACACACAGGCAGCTGGCATTCACGCTCTGCACTGTATGGGGATCATCCATCGCGATGTGAAGCCAGAAAACTTCCTCATTGATCAAATGGGTAACACACGAATCTCCGATTTTGGTTGCGCACTTGTACTTGATAGTCGCCTGGAGGACTGTATACCCTCCTCACGCGAATTATGTGGGACGCATGGGTATATGGCGCCTGAGATGCTTACCGCGGCGTCGCTGCAGGAATGGGCTGGCGAGGCAGTCGACGAGGAGGAGTACAAGCTCTTCAATCCTTGGGGTGGGTACGGGAACGAAGTCGATTGGTGGGGCCTTGGATGCACTTTCTTCGAGATGCTCACCACACAGGTATTTTTTTTCTTATCTTGACTAGGGATTTGGGACTGATGTAGAAATGGGCGTAGCGCTTGTTCTGTAGGAAAAAAGACATGAAAGATTATATCACCTACTGTAAGATGGGTGATCTTCAATATCTGACTGAGCGAGCGCAAGTCCATGTTGTAAACGCTCTCGAGGACGGGGCCGATAGGGTCCTGGTCGGGGTAAGCTTCCTTCCTGTTTAGTTTTACTTTACGTGACTCATGCTCACCTGTACTATCAGCTGCTTGACATCAATCCAGCCACACGTTTCACCTGGGACGGCATCCAGCAGGAATTGTTCTTCATCAGCGCAGGGTATGTTTTCTATTCGTTATCAGGGATTGTACCTCTCATTCCTTTCGTTAGTGTGAATGAATTCGATGTCCTCGAACGATGTAGTCCGGACGTGAAACGTCGGTGGAGTCTTTCTCTCTTCTTTATCACGTCACAGTTCACCAACAGTTCTTCATATAGGCTTTCGCGCCTCGAAGAATCTTTGCGCTCAGCTTCCCATCACAAACGATGTTCCGTCGCAAGACCTCTTCTCGATCACAGAAGCAGAGATTGCGCGCACGCGAAAATCTGACCGCTCTCAGTATCTCCATCTCGGAGACCGTGATCAGCAGCAGTTGGACAAGGTGTGGAAGGATTTTGGATGGATCAATCCCTATGGGATGTGGAGGTCCTATCGACAATTCAATGCTTGAAGGGATAGGCATCCGTTCATCAATCCTCTGCCCTTTCAGTGTTTCTTCCGGTATGTCACCTTGCTGGCTAGTTTATTGGTATGAAATTATGAACCTATGACTTTATTTCACTCGCTTTGCCATCTCGTCATGATGTTTTTCATTTTTTAATGTTGTATCATCGCAGTAGTGTAGAAGATACAACTGTCACATTCCCTGTAGCATAGCATATACTATAGCCCCAAAATTGAATCTGGTGTCGGCAGTGTTAGAACAAGAGAAAAGTCATAACGAGAGTGGGATTCAATGTGATGTATACTATGGAAAGGTCGATGCAGCTCCGAAACTGAAAGCCAGATTCTGTTCGGATGTTCAAGCATCCTTCACATAAGCCTGATTGTGTTCACCCGATTTTTGTCTGTAGTTTCCTTCAGCAGCCGTTGAAAGTTTGCGAGTGAAGGAATGATAGACTGTTCGCCGCAGAAGATATCTGGATGGCGTCTAGAACGCTTGCCACGCCGCCGCGAGTGACGCCCTGCGACTGCCTGTCTCATAGACGTTCGTCTGCTGATTCTTCTCTGGCCATGAGAAAAAGAAAAAGGTGATGGAAAAACATGACGAGAGTGGGATTCGAACCCACGCCCCCGAAGGGACCAGATCCTTAGTCTGGCGCCTTAGACCGCTCGGCCATCTCGCCTTGAATATTGTATGACTAACATTTTTCATCGCCTGCTCAAACCGATCGACCAACTCCTGTCCAGCACGGCTGTGTGCTGAACTTTCCACATTTTATTTTTGCCTTCCCCTAAAAACTCATATAGTTATTGATTGTCTCCATGTTATCAATTGTTTCCAAGTCCCAAGCAAACCCAAGCAAGCCCGAGGTGGTCACGCGCGTCACAAGCCATGGTCACATACACCATGCTTGTCATGGGTGAATCACGCGTTCGTGGCACGCGCGATCATCATAGTGAACCATATTGAACGCGCTTTGCAGCTTGTTTCTGACGCGTTTTTCTTTGTTTTTCCACCAATCATGTCTGAATCGGAATCAACACCAGGCCCACGACGCTCTCAACGAGAGAGAAAGCAGGCGAAGCCCTTTGTCTCTGGTCCGCAGCCTTACCGTCTGTATCACAATCCAAGCTGACCTTTGCCCTTTGCACAGGTTCCCAACAGAAGAGGAAACTCAATGAAGTGGACTCTGGGGATGAAAATGAACGCCTCAGTGATTTAGACGAGCATGATGAGCCCCAAGATGAAGAGGAGGAGTATAGTGCACCGAGGCCAAAACCAAAGGCCGCACCAGTGGCAGGGAGAGGGAGGGGGAGGCCGAAAGGATCAGGGTCAACAGTGAAACGTCCGCCCAAGGCAAGACCCACTGTTCCAAAAAAACCCACTGCAACGCAACGCAAGGGTAAGAAGGGACAATCTGCATTTGATGCCTCCGGCGCAGAAAAAGTCGCGAGAGATACTCAAATCACCAACGACAATGCTCTGTTCAGTGAGTGTTGAGCATATCTTAGAGATACAGACTGCTAATATTTTACAACAGATGCAATCATGAATCCGTCTGCAGCCTTGCAGTCTACAGTAGAAGATTTCTTGGAATCGCTGTCAGAAACTCCAGGTCCAGCACAAGCGGAACTGGTCAACAACATTCTGCGATGTTGTGGGTCCAACGACACAGTGAATGCTGACGAAGCTATCGACTACGACGGTGTAGTTGATGCCCTCGACAATTTTACTGAAGCACTGAAGCAGGTACGTCTAGTCGTCCATCTTAAGTCATTTAAAGTTCACATCAACTGGACGTGCCAGGACAACTCTCCAATATACCCACTTACGTCCAAATTACCTATGTTCAAAAGATTCAGGAAGTCACTTTCCGAATTCATAGAAAGACTCATCACTTCTTCTGCAGACCTCGGTCTATTATATACGACCGACTTGATGGCCACTCTTCAGACATGGATCGTCGCTATGTCATCTTCTCAGCTACGTAGCTTTCGGCACACGGCTACAGTCCTCGCCTTAGAGGTAGAAACAGCTCTTTGCGATGTCGCTGCCGCCGTCGAAAAGGAGGCAGAGGTTATCGGAAGGCAGCGAGAGGGTGAGAGGAAGCGTAAGGCTGGTAACAAGAGCAAAGTCAGCAATGGACGGGATAAAGAGTTGGAAGGCAAAGAGAAAGAAGTGAAGAATCGGAGGACAACATTGGCGGAATATCTGAAGGAATTCGTGGACGGGTACGTGAGCCATTGACGGTCCCTCCATATGTCGCGCTTGACAAGTGACCTCTCAGTGTTTTTGTTCACCGGTATCGCGATCTCGACCCTGCGATTCGCGCCGAATGTGTGCGTGCAATAGGCCTATGGTTCATCAAGTATCCCGACCACTTTTTGGATGGGTCTTACCTGCGCTATGTTGGGTGGGTGCTCTCAGATGCCAATACTCAAGTGCGCCTTGACGCTGTCAAGTCGTTATCCGGAGTCTATAAGAAGGCGGACTACATCAGTTCTCTCCAGCATTTCACAGATCGCTTCAAGCCACGCCTAGTTGAGATGGCGACAGGCGACACTGAGCTCGCTGTGAGGGTTGCTGTCATTCAAGTCCTTGGCGCAATTGATGAGCATGGCCTCTTAGAAGATGAGCAACGCGACGCGCTTTGTCTGCTTGTCTTCGATGAAGAGTTCAAGGTCCGTCGCGCTGTCAGTGGGTTCGTTCGAGGTGTATGGGAGGATATGGTGGAGGAGCTGCTAGTTGCAAAGAAGGCCAGTGAGCAAGAGAAACAGAGGGTGGGTGTCAAAGCTCTAGGGGCGCTTTTGATAAACCTGGGAAAAACGTTGGATAAAGTCGATATCGCAAGCAAGGAGGAGGAGGACAACGAAGAAGTCGCCGAGAGCAGTACTCAACCAAGAAGAGTAAAGGAAGTTGCGTCTCTTGTAGGCGCAGAGCAGAGGGGCCGTACAGCATTGGCCGTGGAGGCGCTTTGGGACCAGGTGCAGCCCGTCAGTGATTGGGAAGCATTGCTAGATGTTTTGCTGTTAGATCATTCGGCTTCCGGTGACGATGAAGCTGAGGTTCCTCGAGGACGCAGATCAAAGGGTAAACAGGCTGCTTCAGAAGTCAGCATCGACGAGGCGTGGCGGCTGGAGGAGGCAGAAGAAGCTGTACTTCTCGAAGTGTTGGTCGCTGCTCTGCGAAAGGCTAAACTTGACGCTTCAAGTGGTAAGAAGGTGAGTGTATGCGCTTGAATAGTTCCTTTGAGATACTCATTGTACAATTCAGGGAGAAGAGGAGACGACATCGGTTAATATCACACGTGCTTTGATCAAGGGGCTTCCACGATTGTTCGCGAAACATCAAACTGACGAAATCAGGATTACTGAAGTTCTTTTAATACCCCAACTGATGCACCTCGACTTGTATCTCGAAATGCGGATGATTCCTGTACGAATTTCTCCACTTGTCGTCACAGATAGAACCTGAATTCTGACTATAATCTTAGGCATACGCAAGCCTCTGGGATGACGTTATCAAGCAGTTCTCTTCGCACTCCTCGCCGACCGTTCTCTCCCATGCGGTTGCTACAATTCGGCATCTCATGGATGCTACCAGTCTTTCAAATACCAACAGCACCAAAATTCTTGAGTTAGAGGACGAACTAGCTCAATCTCTACGAGACGCTGTTGCGGGTCGAGACGAGCTCGAGATTGCTTCATTCTCCGAAGATGAGGTTTTGCTCTTGGGTGCTATTTGTGCCCGCTTGACTGCATTAGCCGGAACACGGGACATGACTTCCTGGATGGAAGAGGACGAGGGTGGCAAACAAAGTAGCGCTTGGGATATCGTGAGCGCTCTCGTTGAACGCGGAAAGTTAGGTTACAAGGAAGAGGAAGCGGTCAGAAGATGTCTTGCTATTCACTAAAATGCCGCTCACAGACTTCTCCCGCAGATGATTGACCATGGAGTCAATCTACTGACGCTGCACATAATCTGGAAAGCTAGACGACTGCCAACGGAGGCACAACCCTCAGCAGAGGAACTGCGATTCCGCGAATCATTTCGGGAGGAGCGTGAATCTCTCCTCGAAAAACTCGTGGAATATGCTGTTGGTTCTCAATCAAACACAGCAGATGGTGTGCGGCGAGCAGTGCGTTTCATTTTGCTTGACGCGTCTTGTCCCGATGACTGATGATTTCTTAGTCCTTCCAGAGCCTCATGAATTTACACATCTTATTCTGTCCTGCACAGGCAGAGGAACCATCAGGATCTGCATTAGCCACTTCGATGCTTTCATTGGTACTCGACGACGAAGTCCAGTATCGTTGCGCGGGCTTCGTACAAGCGGAGATCGAGCGCTACGCTGACGAGCTGGTTGAAAACAACCAAGCAGAAAACGACAATGAGAACAGTTCCAGTGAGTCCAGCGAGGACGAAAACCAAGAAACAACCAAGGGCAAGAGGGGCAAGCCGAGGAAATCCAAAAAGTCCGCTCGAGCGAAGACGTCAGGTGCCTAATGAGTGTCCTCTGTTTCTGTCGATCCTAATCCACCGTTTGTTCTCTCCTTCGATAGCCACCAACACAAATTCGCGTTCTCAGCTTGAACGAGAATATGTTTTCATTGGCGTTGTGTCAACATTCTTGCGAGTGATCCGCGTTGGAGCAGTCCACGTCCATCATAGCGCTGTCCTCCTGGTTCACTACGGTCGGCTGGGCCCTGCCTTTGACTTATGCTCCAAGGTCATCGTCGAAGTCTTACGAGAGGAAGGGATGTACAATGGTCACGGGGATGCTGTTGTGACTGTTATTTCACAAGCTCTTCGAGAGGTTCGTGAAAACTTATTAACCTCCGAATCATGGCTAATCGTTGTACCGTAGTCGTTTACTCTCGTGCTTGAAGGCGTTGTCCCAAATGAAGCAACCTCCGTGTCACTTGGAAAGCTGTTGGCTTCGTGTCTACTGATTCGTGGGGCTCAGCTGTCTGTGGTTCGTCGATTGGACAGCGAACATGTCATCAAGATCCACACCGAGTTATTGACATGGATCGGCAAGCGCCTTGCTGCGTACGAAAATAACAAGAACAAGAAGGGCCGAAAAACGGCGGTTCTGTTTTTCAAAGTTCTACAGCCTCTTCTAGCGCCAGTCGACAACCGAGATGCGTTAAAGATGTAAGTCATTTTGTGGTCGGCCCCATCCAATCATTGACCTAGGCTCGACAGCAAAGCACACATGGACCAGATGCTCGCTCAAGCGAAAGTGGAAATCTCTGCCACGTCGCCCATTTGGGAACCCCAACGTGCTTACGAAAAACGGCTGAGCACAGCGATGTCGAAGACTAAAGGTAAACAGATTGTCGACTTGATTCGTGTGACTATCTGACGTGTAACGAAGCTCCAGGGAAAAGTCGCAGATCACAACAGAGGTCAAAGGAGGTACTCACCACCGACGATGAGCAAGGCAATATAAGCGATGGGAACGAAACAGTTGAAGAAGTGCCCTTCCAACAGCGGCCTGCCGAGCTGGAGTATGCCTTGGGGCAAAGCGATGACGAGCTGACACAAGAGGACGCTGCAACTCCGAACGAGGTCGAATCCTCGTTGTCCCCTCTAGACACCGTGCGGTCTATATCCGAACGCCCAGTCAATCCGCTGGAGGACGATGAGGATGAAGGTAATGCGCCTGTCACACCCAAGGCTTCGCGAAAGCGGCCACGGAGCGAGGACGACGAGCCAAAGGCAAATCAAGCGCTGGAGAAGAGCTCGACTGCCATAGATTCCAGTCGGCCTGCACTATCTCCTGTTGAGCGACCTGTTTCCCGAGCCAGTTCCACCGGAGAGATACGTATCACAAGGAAGAGAGCCCGTCACTGATCTGTATATTTCCTGATATTGCATTATACCTATTTTTTTTGCGCTGAATCTCAGATCTCAACGATAGCTTAGCATGTCCAGTGTATTGTTGTTATTCATATGATTGTACTGACAAATGTACTTAAAGATGCTCGCAAGATACAATGCGTGGCCAGACGTCCGGTCAACAGGGTCTTGTACAATAAAATAAAAAAGGTATACCAAAGGAATGAAGGTCCCGGTCAACGTGCAACGTGCAACGTTCAATCGTCAGATAAGGGCGTCATGGTCATAGATAAATATGATGTATAAATAGCGATGAACAGATGTCGGAGGCCTCATGGGTCAATAATACCAAGAGTTGCTAATACATGTTCACGCTGTGCAGAGAAAGATGGTCAGGTCAGCTAGTGAATCGGAAACACAAAGGCTCACATCGTTCTTCGTAAGATCGACAAAGGGTTCCAACACCGCGAGACCTTTCGCCAAACGGTTTCCAGTGACATCGGACAAAGTCCTTCGAGAGCGAGCGGCAGAGGCTGCTGATGGCCTTGGCGACACCGGAGAGACAACCATGGACGACCTTCTACCTTGAGGCTTGATATCTTGGATGGATATACCAAGCATGTTGCAGAGATCTCTTTGGGCTTGTGCGAGTGCACGACTCTCGGACGTGGGCGAGAAATCGGAAGTGTATGCTACATCAATCATCAATGAGCCTGTACAGCGAGAATGGATGCGAGTACTCACCAGAGTTGTGACTGGAGAGGCCAGTGGTGATGATCCCCAAAGAGTCTGTATGAGGAATGCGAGGGACAGGAGGGACAAAGCTGGAAGAGAGAAGAGACGTTGTTGCGGAAGACACGGCACTCATGCGGTTCTGACTGACGAGCGATACCCTGTTGCTCCTCTGGTTGTTGCTAGATCGTAGACCAGCCTTCGACACCCGGATGCTCGACTTGCGCGATGCCAACACGCGACTCGAGCGACGACTGGCCGACCGCGCGGAGCCCGGAGAGAACTGATCCTGGAGGTCGTCCATCTCCTGCGCGACCTGCTCCGCTTGGGACCACGCCTCGTCGCGTTCAGCCTCCAGCGCGATAACGCGATCCTGGAGGACCTGCGCCTCGGTCGCGCGCTTCAAAAAGCTCGCATTGAGCTTCCGCAGCGCCATCGCAAGAGCGCTGGCGGAGTGGGTGCCCAACAACTTGTTGAGCTGAGCGGCCTGGTCCCTGGCGCTGTACAACTCCTCTGCGATGAGGTCCAGGTTCAGTAAGATGTCTTGCAGATCCTCCGCAATGCCGCTAACGGCTTGTGGGCCGATCTCTCGTCCGTCTCCATTGGAAGCCAGCTGCGCGAGGAGCGCATTCCGTTTGCGGACCTGAAGCTTGTATGTCGTCTTGAGTTCTGCCTGCAATGCCTCCAACCGATCCAATTCCTGCGGTAGATCAACATCCAGCTGTTGAACCGGCAGCAGCCTCAGGGACGATGTTTCTGCCGATTGCTTGATGGCCCTTGACACGATCGACTGAAGTTGTTCGGAAGTGAACGTCCACTTGGCTGCTTCTAGGGTGAAACCCTTGAACTTCACACGCGTCGTGTTGAATCTCGGCGTCGTCAGATGAACAGACCCTTGAGATGGTCTCCGCGTGAACGGGATGTACCCCAAAGACGTGGAAGACAGGTTTGTCTCTCGCAGCCCTGCCAACGTCGTAGAGGCTGTCACATTACGACTGCGAGGCCCAATCGGGAGCGGTGGTCGCCCCGGCGCTCTACGGCTTGATGGTCCTGAAGGTGATGCGTGCGCAGATGCTGTTCGCGAAACAGAGGCAACGATCTGATATAGCGACGGCGCGCCGCTCTGTGAGCGACCAGAGGACTGTGCAGTGATAGAAGACGAAGACGGAGAAACATCGTGAGAAGTAAGGGGAGGTGTCGCAGGAGGCTGCGGAGGTGTCATCGAAGGAGGAGGAGCGAAAGGAAGATACTTCACTACGAGTACAGGGTCCACTGCTGCTTGTTCTAGTGCGGGTGGCCTTGGCTGGATCGAGGATTGAGATAGCGGAGGTCGCTCGGGGGAATCCGGACGAGAGGAAGGAATAGATGGAGGCGTTGTGGAGGGTGGAGGAAAAGCTAATTTCTTTGTGGCACCAGAAAGCAGGTGGAACCGTCTGGGGGATCCGGGCGTAGGTCCATGGCTTAACATAGCTTTCGACATGCTCGGGGTTGATGGAGGGGCAGCAGATGCTGTAAGTGCCCGTGAAGGTTTGTTCTTGGTAGAGCGAGCCCTCGCAATGCCAACTGTTCTCGACAACGATTTGATTGGCCGTGGTGAATGGCGTGGCGAGCTTCTTGAAGCTCGTTCGCTTGACTCGGCTCCGAATAATGAGGTGCTCATTGAGCCTCCCGACGCAAGGGCCGGTGATAGTCCCGGAGTCGACGCGAATAGTCCACTTGAGAACAGGGGGCTGAAGGCGCTCGGTGTCTCCGGAAATGTTTGCTTGCCAGAGGACGACGGAGATGGTGTGCTGCCCATCAAGGACGGGCTCTGTGCGATCTCGAAAGACAAGCCTTCCCTCGGATCACGTACCACAGTGATAGGATTCAGACCAGCAGGACGCCTCATGTCGTTGGCCTGTTCTGATAACAGATGTGAACCAGAGTTAGGAGAATGAGATGATGTGAGCGACCCGTCAATTGAACCAGAAGAAGGTGCAGAGAGCGGAGTTGTGGCAGTGACCGGGAACGAAGGAAGTTGTGAGAAATGGTGAGAATTGACGATAGCCAAAGGAATCGAGGGAAGGCCGTCGTCCTCGTCGTCTGAAGGGATATCTCGCGTTGAACGCGGGCGCTCGCCAATAGGAAGAAGGGTCGTGGGATGGAGGAGGCTGTTGTTCACGGACGTAATGGAGGGGCGTGGTGCTCTTGTGTTGGACGCGGAATTGGAACGCGAGCGGGACGCTACTTGTATCTCGAGACGCGCAGCTGTATCCCCGAGGGCGATGAGTGAACTGTCTTCCATACCGCCATGCATCACTTCAAGGGCGGGACGTACCATTTCCACGCTGCCTGGACGATGATCGTTGCGAGTACGTCCCAGATGCCTGTCTGTCCGGACTGTGCTTTACACTGTCAGCGCTGTTTCCATTACTGGTGTCCGACGACGATGGCGTAATCAGGTCTGCCCTGTCCGAAGACGGACTTCTACTCTCATAGATTGAGTCTGCGATGTACTGGTCCAGAACTTGATTAATATCGTCGCCCGAGCGTGCCGACCTTTGTGAGTTCGGTGACACTGACATACCGCGTGATGACGCGAAGGATGAAGGCGAGAGAAAATGATCGGTATCGGACGTGCCACTGCGCTGAGGCTGTGCTGGGGAGGCCCCCTTCGAGCTCGCGTTACTCAGGTCCTTGCTGCCGTCCATGGCAGGCGACGTCTGTGTAGACGAGGCCTCAGTGATCGGGGACACGCGATGCATCGTATGCGTCCCGGACAGGAGTAGCGCAATTGAGTCGCCTGATACAGGCGGTGTGTTCAGCTGTTGCACCGAATGCGTTCTGACCCGGCGCAATGGCGACTCTAATACCGCGCTGTCTCCCTTTGCCGTAATCGTGTCGACGACGGCGAGGGGAAGTGGCGGAACGGGAGGGACAGACCCCAGGTCATCAGGAAACGTGACGGCGTCACCGCTACTACCACGTCTCTCCCTCCAACGCGGCGAGTTCAAGTACGGGTTCTCGCCATGGGGTAACGTCGCGGAGTCCTGGCGCGTAATACCGCGTTGATGGTACCGCGACTGCCGATTTTCGTTATTCAGCATGAGGGCACCGGGGAGCGTGATGCCCGAGATAATTGATGCGTCGTCGTTCATGACAGGCGAGACATCGCGCTCTTGCGCGGCAGACGGCAGTGGAGCGGCAGAGCCTCGAGTTGAGTGGTCAGCGGAGCGTTGAATTTGTACTTTGGGGCCGTGCAGGGCCAAGTTGGGTATCATGATGGGCGCGGGTGCGCCTTTGTAAGTCCTACGGGGGGGACGCTGGACGCGAGATGTAGGAATAGACGTTGGTGAATGTGTAGGCGGACGTACCATTTGCTCCTCGTCCGAAGGACCCATGTCGACATAGCTTGCCTCCTTGGGAAGGGATCAACGATGGGGAACGGCCGCGAGAGGATGAACACAAGGATTCTCATACCTCTTGGTAGCGTGCAGATTCAGAATTCTGGGCCTCCTCTGCGCGCGACTGCAAGCTACTCGCTCCATGCCCTACGTGATGAATTTCCACGACACCGGTCACGACTGAAGAGGGTTTTTGCTCTCCATCTTTCGTAGAGAGGATATCGTGGGGAAACCATGGCTCAGGGTGCGAGAAATCCAAGTCCACGCGTGAGGAGAGGGGTTTGAGAGCGTCGACCGCGATCGTCTGTGGGGTGCGAAGGAGCGCGCTCTCACTGATTTCGACTACATCTGGGGAAGAGAAAGATGGAGGGGAAGGAGAGCGTTGTGTATGTCGTATCCGAACCGCTGACTTCTTGTTTGCCTTGCGTCGAAAGGGGTTGGCCAAGTTCATCTCTGATTCTGAGTCCGAGGGGGAGAGACAACAGGACAAGAGGAACGCCAGGGCGATAAAAAAGAAATCGCGCGCAGGGTCCTGAGGGACAGACTAGCCGAGCAGAGTCGATCGTAGCAGGGAGGAGGGAGATAGCCTGAAACGAGACAGGCTCGAGACGAGGGCGAGCACAAGCTCCCATCACACCCCGGGGACGACCATCATTCTCACTGAAATACTCGCCCACCACATTCGATCCGACGATCAATGTCGCGGCCGTGCAACATTCCAGTTCCGTGTCGCCTCGCTGTGCACCGAAACATACCGCCATCACCGCTGGTCGGCCCCCCCTCGGTGTATCTCGGCAGTATGAGGGCAGCACACTGAATGTTGTGATGAGCTCCAGATAACGTGAATGCAGATATATTTTGCATGGACGGCATCAGAGCTGAGATATCTAGCCCGAACACGAAGCGCCATCATCAAATGAAATCACGTGACTCTCCCAGCACCCCCGATTCGTGAATCTTGGAGAGATCTTGGATTGATCCAGAGTGTTCCCCCTGCGACTTGGCAAGCTTTTGGCAATTTAACGGCGACGGGCACGAGGATTTGCAAGGAGCTCCTCTCTGCTATCCCTCTGCTCCTCCCTGTGGCCGGAGCACACAGCAGTCCACAACGGCTTATTACGCATGACTATAAAAGCCTGCCACCTGATAACCTCATCAAACAAAGTTGCATATATTTCAGGGCGGATTTCAGTGATCCCCATGCAATGAATCATGTTCTAGCGCCACGGGGCACTGCTTGCTGCAAATTGCCGCCAACGTCAATGCATCAGGTCAGCGTATGAGTTCTTTTTTCGTTGAAAAATCAAACGCAATAGCTCTACACGGTGTTCACGTGGTCGCATGCTTCAGTCTTAGTCTGTACTCGCTACTCCTGCTTATTTGCGTCATACTTCATCCTGCTTCAAATTCTTGCTGGATATCTAGAATAATATATCTTTTCAAAACCACAAATATGAATATATTTCCCCCCAATTTTGGCCTACCTGTCTGTGCCCACAAGACCAAAATTTCTCAAGTCCTCCGGCCAGATTCTCGGCATGCATTAGTTAGGCTGCTTTTACATGTAAATATTCAGGAAATTTGCTTCTTTGAGCCTGCTTGGAGGAAGGGCTATGATTGTTTCATGCATCTGAGCAGTTGAAGATGAGAGGAATTACAGGTAACAAACTTGAAAGTAAAGAGTACTGTCAAGGAGCAACATGCCAGACCACGTGGGAAACTACTGAGCATGGGCATAGACCTCGCTTCAACTAATGAGTAACCCCTGCGCTATGATATTATTTATCGTTGAAAAATTGAAGGGCCACACGGCGGTTATATATGTGCAGGACCCAGCCTAGCAGTATATGATGAATGTCAGTCACGCAATCTTCAAGGCGAGATGGCCGAGCGGTCTAAGGCGCCAGACTAAGGATCTGGTCCCTTCGGGGGCGTGGGTTCGAATCCCACTCTCGTCATGTTTTTCTATCGCCTTTTTCTTTTTCTCATGGCCAGAGAAGAATCAGCAGACGAACGTCTATGAGACAGGCAGTCGCAGGGCGTCACTCGCGGCGGCGTGGCAAGCGTTCTAGACGCCATCCATATGTCCCTTGCGGCGAACAGTCTATCGTTCCTTCGCTCGTAAACTTTCAATGACCGCTGAAAGAAACTACGACAGAAATCGGTGGGCACAATCAGGCTCAGGCGAAGGATGTCTGGCTTTGCAATTCGGAGCTGCATCGGCCTTCCCATAGTATACATCACGTTGGCTATATGTACAAAAAATATCCTCACACACTCCCTCCGATCCTGCCATCACTCACGATGTTAACGCCAACATGTTCCTCTATGACCTTTTTCACAAGTTCAGCATTGGGCGCCTCGACATCGATGACACGTTTTTCCTTCTCTAACAGGCCCTTGAACTCCTCTGGCAGGACATCGCGAGCGAAATCGAACGCGGGCGAGTCGTTCAATGCGCGAGTCACTGCTTCATAAAATTTGGCAGGGTGCGCCGTGGAGAGGACGATCTGGACCGTGTCTGAAGAGCTGGAGGTATGTGTCAGCTTAGTCATAGGATGAGAAGGAAAGGCTTGCTTTTGCTGAGCTATGATTTTTGCAGCTGAAAGACCAACGGCCGTATGTGGGTCTGCAACATAAGATGGGCTGCTGCTATGATGTGACTTGATGGTCTCTAGCGTCTGATGGGCCCATATCAGCCCTCGTTCGAGACTCGACTGACAACGGACTGACCTGCTCATCGGATATCCGCTCAGCGATGAAATCCTTCCTGGCCAGCTCCAGAACATCGATCGGCACCTCGACCCTTCCGTCGCTCTTGACCTTGTTCATCCATTCGTCAACGGTCGCGCATGCAACTGTTCTCCTCGCACCCTCGGATCCTTTAGTAACTGATCCATAAGCGAGGTACCACAGCAGCCTCTCAAAGTTGCTCGATACGAGGATGTCCATGGCCGGGCTCAATGTCTCCTTGACGCCGTCGATAGCCTGTTTACCGTCTGATGCCCCTGCTGCTGGTGCAGTTGCCAGCCCACGCTCGATCGCCGACGAATCGACTTTTTCGTACTTCCCGCTCCGCCAGAACCTCGCGAGAATATCGTTCGAGTTCGTCGCAACAACGAGCTTGCCCATGGGCAGACCCATGCGCTTCGCGTAGTATCCCGCCAGGATGTCCCCGAAATTGCCCGTCGGAACGACGAATTGAAGCTCGGCCGAGGGGGGGAGTTGCGATTTGGCATGAAAGTAGGCAAGGAAGTAGTAGACTGTCTGGGCGAGGATGCGGGCCCAGTTAATCGAGTTGACGGCACCGAGACGGTGCTTTCGGTTGAACTCGCGATCGGCGAACAGACCTTTCACAATATCCTGAAAGAAGGAGATACAAGATGTTTCAAAAACTGTCCATCGCATGCACAGAACAAACGGACCTGACAATCGTCGAATGTTCCCTTCACAGCGATGTTATGTACATTTGCGTCAGTGACGGTAGTCATCTGCGCTTCTTGAATGGGAGATACACGACCCTTCGGATGAAGGATGAAAATGGAGACATTAGCCCTGTTCCTGAGTCCATAGATGGCGGCACTATGTCGAGTGTGAATCACGGCACAGATGTCGGACCCGTTGATGTGCACGTACCTGCCTGTGTCTCCGCTAGTCGCACCGACTACGGTCAATTTCTCTGGGGCCTCGTTTGGTCCTTTACGAGTATTTCTCCGGAGCAAGAAGAACTCGAAGAGGTTCCCTAATAATTGCAAAGCAACGTCTTTGAACGCGAACGTAGGTCCGTGGAAGAGCTCCAGGATAAACGTCTTTTCATCGAGTTTCTGCAACGGTGTGACCTCAGGATGGCGGAATGTGCTGTACGACTTTTCCACCAGCCTTCTGAGCTCATCGCGCGAGATCTCCTCCTCCTCGATGTACAAGGACAGAACTGCAACTGACAGATCGGCAAATGAGTAGTTCTTCCACTCTTCTCGCCAGTTTTGTGGAAGTGAAGGAATGTCTTCAGGTATGTAGAGACCCCCGTTCGGAGCGAGGCCGGTCAATACGGTCTGGGGATTCCATGCACGTTCAGAATAATGAGATTTGGAGATCGATGGTGATTGACCTCTTCAAAAGAGAGCTGAGAACCGCCTCCACGGGTAGAGAAGTATTTCATGGTAAATTGAGGTTGTAAAGGCCGCTGAGTGAGACAAAGATGAGAGGAGTGCTTGAGCCAAATGAAGAGGAGTCACGTCCATCGCGAAAATTATAGATCATGTGATGAGAAAGTTATCTGGTGCTCCAAACTGTCCAAAAAGGGATGTGAGCTAGAAATTCTGCCTATTTTCGGTCATCACATTCTGGTCCTTCCTACCAGTTTCCTACCACGGATTTTGACATCCAGCAGCGCATAGTCCAGGGTCATTTACGCGCAGTGGGATCAGCTGCGCCCCGAATACAATCCTCATTGTATATAAGAGCTTTGGGGAGAAGGCATGACGCCATCCATTCTCCCAACAGCTCGTCGCTAAGAGGAATTATTCTCCTTCTGTACGCACACTCGAGGACAACTTGAGTCGCGCAGCAGCACAGGCGGCCTCGTTGGTCGTACAGAATGAGGAGAGTTCCCCTTTGCAACGAGATATATTTGGGTAGAGTGAATTTGGTTCATTGCTCAAGCTGTTGTCGCCAGTCGCAGTCACAAGGTTGGAGGATCGTCAACGTTGCTGCCTTCGGGAGACCACATGGAGATAACAACCTAGGTTTTCAAATAACACATATGCGCAGATCGGTTTGTCCGGATCTCTCTCGGTCAGTGCTTCTCGAAGACATGCTGCTAAGCGTCAAGCTGCCGATCATTCTACAGAACATTGGGAGATACCAGTCTACATACAACAAAACCTGGACTTCTTCACTATCGATCTATACACCTACCGCCCAAGTGTGGTAACGCTGTACAGAGATGCCCAGAATAAACAAAGAGCAAGGAATGCGCAATAAGGTAGCGTACATCACAATCAAGAAGCTTACGCCTGTTTACGCTGCAGATTCTTTGGCAGCTCTTTCACCCATGGAAGGAAGTCACGGCCTTGCATATATGGGCGGAGGACCTCGGGAATAACGAGACCCTAGAGTTCGACAACATAGTCAGCTCTGTAAGTCAAGCAAGGGCTTTAAAAGAGAAAAAGAACCTCTGGGGTTTGATAATTCTCGACGAGGCAGCAAAGCGCCCGCTCCGTCGCACAGAGGGTGCCGTTGAGCATATGAACATAAACTTTGCGTGCTTGGTCCTTGCTCTTTAAGCCACAGCGAACTTCAAGCCTCCGGCTCTCTGTCATAGAATAAGCATGCGGTCCAATGTCCACTGAGAAGCACTCACGATAATCGGTACAGTTCGAGCACGACACCAATTCCTTGTACGCCCCCTGGAAGGGGAACCAGGCCTCGAGATCGTATTTCTGGGCAGCCGCCAGATTCAGCGCCCCCGAGACGATGGCCACGACGCGATACGGGATTCCAAGACTCTGATAGAATGCCTCAGAGTTTGTGACCATTGTCTCGAACATATCCCACGACTTTTCCGGCTCGGTGATGCAGAACTGTTCGACCTTTTCGAACTGGTGCACACGGAAGATACCCCACATATCTCGCCCCGCTGACCCTGCTTCCTTTCGGAAACACGTCGAGTAACCGGCGTATTGTACGGGGAGTTGCGTTTTTGGGTCTTCGAACCATTCATCGGAGTGGAAGGCGGAGATAGGTTGTTCCGAAGTCGCGATGAGATACTTCTCGTCCTCGCTGGCGATGACCTATGTGGAAAGCCATGAGAAATGTGCAATGTTGGGATTTGTGTTCCAGAAAGTACCTTGTATAATTCTTCGTCGAATTGATCAAGTTGCGCGGTCTTTGCCATTACATCTTTGTTCATCATGAAGGGGGGTTGAACTTTCTTGTATCCTCGTTTTCTGAGGAAGTCGAGTCCATAAGATATAAGAGCCTGGTTGAGATCGATACCATCGTTAGTCAGGTAGTAACCTCGGTGTCCTGCAACCTTTGCACCTTTGCAGTGTATAACTGATGAATATACACATTGTTTGCGTCTTAAATCGGTAGCACATACCTCGCTCGAGATCCATGGCATCTAGTCGCAGGAGCACTTCGTGGTGCGCAAGAATATTTGATTTCTTCTCTACTTCGGCATTCGGTCCTTCAGGATGCCATGTTTTGAGGGTAACGTTATCATCCTACTCAACTAGTCCTCAGTTCACCGCGCTGCATACATCAAAGGAGTAAAGCGGGACTCACCTCTGTCTGGCTCACTGGAACAGCCTTCCCGACAATATTGCCGATTGTGCTAGCCTTCTGTCTCATCTGTAACTCGAACTCGCGGGCTTCCTTTCGCTTCGCCTCGACTTGGGCATCGAGGGTCTTTTTCTCTGCAACTAAATCATCTGCATTCTCCTTGGCCTTGAGACACATGTCGAATTATCAGTTGCCAATGGTCCGGGAAGTTCACAAACGAACCAACGGGTGAGATTGCCCACTTTTTTTTTAGTCGCGATCTGCTTCTGTACAGCATTAATCTGTTTACTCAGGCTGTTTGCATCGAAGTCCACTGAGTGGACGCGGGTAGAGCAACCACGTTACTCCCCGGATCAAAGAACACAAGCACACGGACTCACTCTTGACCCAGTCTGCGTACATCTGGATGATCTCACCAACCAGCTCGACCGAATGCCCACGCTTGCGCTGAGATTCGCGAATTTCTTCGGCATTGCCGCCCTTGGCATCAATGAAGCTCAAAACATCCAACGTCATGGCTTGATCTACGTTTCACGACGAACTGTATGGGTTGGGAAAGGAGGGGTATATGTTTGAGTTTAGCAGGTCAATACGATCTTGACTCCTCAAAATGAGTCGATCGATGGATCCGTAATTTAGGTATAAGATCGAGTATATAATGCACTTGACTGAGTAATATAAGTATAAAATATGACAAGGGCGCACTTCCCACGGGAGGTCTGTACCGCGTTACGTTCCTGAAACGTCTTTCATTCCGCAAAATTATGACTACCCATGTCACCCCTCCCTTTTCTTCATTACTCTCTGTTCTTTATCTCCTTAATCCTTGCGAAATGTCTTGCTGAGACCATTGCATCGAAGCGCGAGCTCAACGGAGTGTCAGCCGGTCTCAATCAGATCGAAACCCTACCCTTTTCGCGTTCTCTCGGAAGCACTGCCTCCGCAGACGAAAGCAAAGATGTTTTGGAGCTTTTGGACATCGTCTTGGTCGCTTCAGTCGACGGAAAGTTCCACGCCCTCAACAGAGGAACAGGCGAAACGCTCTGGTCGATGCCAACTACGTTGACGGCAGACGTTGCTGGCGCTTCTGCTTCCGCCCCCACATCACTGCAACCCCTCATCACCACTCGACATGCCGACTATGATCCCGACCTCGACGAAGATTCGAGCACGCAGGAGACCTATATCATCGAGCCTCAGTCGGGGGATATCTACGTAGCTTCTTCACCGTCTGGTCCTTTGCAGCGCCTTCCGTTCTCTATGCCGCAGCTAGTCGATATGTCCCCATTCAGTTTTGAGGACACAGACAGGAGGGTTTTTGTTGGCAAGAAGAAGACGTCACTGTTGCTTATAGACCTCGAAACGGGCAAAGTGAAGGCGGCCCTAGACTCAGAATGCCCGTGGGATCCCTTTGAGGACTTAACCGACAAAGATTCGATAGACATTGACCTGGACGAGCTTGATGGTACAAAACCTCATAAACCTCAACACCCGACGGAGATCTTCATAGGGCGAACCGGTGAGTATTCCCTTCGTGCATTCGCGTAACCCTGTATATAATGAGTATGCTTCAAAGACTACCATATCTCCATTCATACGCGCCCACATCCTCCGTCTTCGCGGAAGGTTCCAGTCCAACACCTTTCTTTCTCAACATATGGCCCGAACAATCAGGACCTAGAACAGCAGGCTGTGTACAGTCGTACCAGCGACGATACCTATATAGACTCACTACCAAACGGGGAGATTATTTCCTTCAAACGACGCAAACAAGATGACTCACTGTCCGCAAATACTTTTGTCTGGGCTCAAAGGTTCTCAAATCCAGTGTGAGTCTCACCTCATTGTTCACTCTTTCACTTTTTGGTACAATTGGGGATAATGAGTTCTGAGTTTAAAAGATTCGTCTGTGTCTGGTGGTCTCTCATGTCCACAAACTTACATCTCGTGCTGAAGCATGAATGGTAAATGTGTAGACCACCGCCCTCAGTTTTTTTTCGGAATTTCTTTCTTAGCATGTTTTCAATGCACTGCTTCTTGACGCTGATTTCAGACATATAGCGTTGCCATCTTTGATGTTGTGAAGAGCCGTAAACGCAAAGAGCCCTTCGTCCTCCTCCAACCTCGCCCTCGCCTTCAAGACGTTCTTCCCGCCCTCGATCTTCCTGCAGCCGTCAAATCTCGCCGTCTCCCCAATCTTGATGCCGCATACGTAGGTTTGGTTGAAGAGACCGGGTCCCTCTTCGCCCTAAGCCCCGATCATTTTCCACTCGTTGTTTTTGGGGGCCCGTACAATCGACGACTCAAAGCGATCGACCCTCCGCCAGGCATTATGGATACCCATGCTGTAGACCCCGAAGCGGACCTGCATGAACTTTGCGAAACTGGCAGCACAGACCTTCGTTGTTTGGTTGGTATCAGGCCACTGGAAGCCAACAGCCGATCACGTTTGGCGCGGTTACTGGATGGCGCTCCCACAATAGTGCAACCCCCATCTTCGAACACCAATTCGCAGATGATCATAAGCGACGATACCAAAGAGGATCCCATTCTTCCTCATGGCGACGATAAGACCATCATGCCATCTCGTCCGTGGATTGATAGCGGACACTCAATTCCACTGCTTGGAGGGTTGCCAAGTATGCAGTCGTATACTGCAGCGGTCCTGACTCTCATCGTTTTTGGCGTCATCGCATTTTGGTCTGCTCGGTCTGTTCGGAACCGGCGTAACGAGCGCCCATCGAAGACGGCCTCTGCAGCCATTGACGTCGATGTCGACACTGTCAAAGGAACACTAGCCGAGAAAGTCTCTGTTGCTACCGATATATCTGACTTCTTCCCTGTTGCCGTTCCAGAGCGCCCTTCCACGCCACCCCAGCATCCAGCTTTGCTATCGACTGTCAAAGGATTGAAGATGCCATTGGCCGACAACAATCTATCTCCAGAACCTATTGATGACCTGGGCGATGATGACAGCGAGAAGGAGGGGGATGCCGCTGCTACGCCAAATAGGCGCAAAAACGCAAGAAGGCGACGAGGCAAGAAGAAACGAGGCAATGCAAAGGATCTCGCTGCAGAGGATGCGGATGCGGATGAAAACGAAAAGCCCGAAGACTTCTCCAACAATCTTTCGCAACTCCTCATCCCAAACACACCCAAGCCCATAGCCGCTCCTTCTTTAATTGTCTCGGATACCGTACTTGGTGTGTCTTTCCATTCTCTGAATACTGTCTTTGCTCACCAGTGACATAGGTTTTGGCTCTCACGGTACGGTCGTCTACCGAGGATCAATGCAAGGGCGTGCGGTTGCCGTCAAGCGACTTTTACATGACTTCGTGACACTCGCATCTCGCGAAGTGAGCTTATTACAGGACGCCGATGATCATCCGAACGTTATCAGATACTACTATCAGGAAGCACAAGCAAATTTCTTATACATAGCACTTGAGTTGTGTCCAGCGTCTCTCGCAGATATCGTCGAGCGACCTGACCAATTCCGTGAAATCGCTATTGCGTTTGAGCCAAAACGTGCACTCCGACAAATCACCTCGGGTCTTCGACATCTGCACGCGCTCAAGATCGTTCATCGTGACATCAAGCCGCAGAATATACTCGTTTCTAGTGCGAAGAAGGGCGTTGGGGAATCCGCAGGACATCGCATGTTGATCTCGGATTTTGGTCTCTGCAGGAAACTCGAAATGGACCAAACAAGCTTCTTGCCCACTGCAGGAGGGGTATTGGGCGTTGGCACAGTCGGCTGGCGTGCACCTGAGATCCTTCGTGGCGAAGTCAAACTCGATGAAACCACCGGCGAGGATTCCCAATCCTCCAGAGATAGCATTGGCACGACGACGAGTACCAGTACGGCAGGCAAATCAAATTCGACACGCTTGACCAAGTCGGTGGATATCTTCGCTCTGGGGTGTCTCTTCTATTATACCTTGACGAACGGGGGCCACCCATTTGGAGATCGATTCGAGCGGGAGGTCAATATCTTACGGAACGAACGATCGCTAGTCGGGTTAGAGCAGTTTGGCGAGGAGGGATCTGAGGCAGTGGACCTCATTAGTGCAATGCTGGAGCCTGAAGCGTCGGCGAGGTATGTATTTCTCTGTCTAACAGGGATTCTATGCTGATCGTTTGACTAACAATTTAGACCGGACACAACCACATGCCTCATGCATCCGTATTTCTGGGATCCTGGACGACGACTAGCATTTTTGCAGGACGCATCGGACCGTTTCGAGATAATGTGTCGCGACCCTCGAGATCCTGACCTTGTCCGGTTGGAAGAGAACGCTAGTAGTGTCGTTGGCCCCGATTGGCCATCACGTTTGGATAAAATCTTTGTCGAAAATCTTGGCAAATTCAGAAAATATGATGGCCGGTCTGTTCAGGATCTTCTCCGCGCCCTACGGAACAAGGTATCTACCCATATCTTTTGAAGTGTAATCCTCTCCTTATTCACTGATCGACCAGAAACACCACTACCAAGACTTGCCCGACAATGTCAAGCGTCATGTCGGCTCTATGCCAGAAGGATACCTCTCCTACTTTACCCGCCGCTTTCCCCGTCTCTTTCTCCATGTACACTCTGTCATTGCAAATTCCTCACTACGCCTGGAGTCTATGTTCCGCTCATATTTTGATCTCGCTGATTGATTTGTACGCAGTACCCGCATTTTGGTTTTCGTACGCAAGGCCCTTGCATTGGATGACTCTGCTCTGATATTTATTGGACATGTATCTGTATCGCATCTCAACCTCTGTTATATGTCATGACTATTCAATGGAACTAATTATCTGCCAACGTGGCGACGAGCTGTAAAAGCAGGATAGACTATGGTCAATGCTAAGAGACTGAGGTATACAGTATGCGTATAAAAGTATGTGCACTGGCGTACATATGCTGAACGTGAGAAGTCATAAAGGATGCAATGAGGTGTATACATGTACAATGAAGATTGAATACATACGGTAATCGTACATTCTAGAAAGTGCTAGCGTCCCTGTTCAAGTCAATATGAACGGCATGCAGGTCACTTCTGGACATTCAGGATCCCCGACCGACAACGATCAAGGCCACGACAAAAGCGACCACCAAAAGCATGCCGCTCACTGCTGCGGCAAGACGACAGCGCACGACCCAGACCTCTTCACCACGCTTTGTCCGCACGACCATCTTCTCATCGCCTGAATCCAGTTCGTCTGTGGCAAGAGCACAGCTCAGTCTTCTCCACAGTGACCTGCGAGGCGGGCCTGTGCTGTCGACCCTCTGCTGTGCACCACTGCCTGCCTGCGTCGTCAGCCGGGAAGTCTCCTCAACCTGCTTTGGGATCACTGTTTCCCTTGTCTTCCCTTTTTCGCTTCCCCCAGCTTCGGGCTTGATTTTATCATCAGCTTTATGTACCACCCAGAAAGGGATGATCGGCCCCTTTCCCTCCGTGTCTACGCCTCTCCCCTCACCAACGAGCCATCCACCAATAAGCCAGCACCACGGTGCTACAAAGCCTACCCAGAACAACAGGGCAGGAAGGGGAGGCAGGTCTTCTTTGGAGGGCAGGAGTGAGGTGAAGGAGGGTCGCGTGCTGCCGAAGGATAGGCCCTTGCGCCAGCGGCGTGATAGGAAAGAGGAAGATACGGAAGGTGGGCTGCGTGGGCGTGAAGGATCGAGCTGTCGATCAGGTGAATGTGAAGAAGACGGAACGGTGTCGACGAAAGTTGCATCTGCATCATTCGATGGCGGTTCCACGAAGGTGATGTCTAGGTTGTCCATTTGCGCCTCGAGGTCTCGTTCGGGTCCCGGGTCGAGGTGAGGATCCGGGTCGTGGTCTGAGCCGGCGATGGAGCGGGCAGTGACAAAGCTGCCTGTGCGTTCTGACGCGGCATCCTCGTAGACGGTCGAGAACAGCTGTGGGCCGGCCCGGTGCGTGGCCACAAATGGCGGGCGAAGATCGAGAGGAGGGAGTGTCGGTACTGTGGTAGTCACCACTGTCCGCAGAGAACTAGAAGACGCTTGCGAGACTGAGCGTTTCAGAGGTCGTTTCAGAAATGCAGAATAGGTGGACCCGTGATCTCCTGTGCGTCACAAACATAAGTAGAAGTTGCCAATAGAAAGCATGTATGTGATATGCACCGTGATCGAGGGACGCCGGTGTCTCAGGCGTCAACGGAGACTCGTTCACGGACGAGGCTTTCCTTGTCCTCCGTGATCCACCTAATTGCGTTTGCTCAATTATCGGGGACAGAGGCTGTAGGTGGAGGAGCGCCAGACTGTCCTCCGACTCCACGGGGCGCTCCGCGTAGAGCCTATCAAGCTGCAGAGAGCGATGACTGGACATGGACGGATGACTGTAGATCCTAGGGGCGGCTGGCCATAACGGAAGCGTCGGCGAAGAGGCAGAACGCCCTAGCGGGTGTGCGTGCATGCTCAGTCGACGCTGTGGTGAATGGAGGCTTCGGGAAGAGGCTCCAGGTTCACAGGGCAGCCAATTGACTCGGGAAGGGCCGGCATAGTGGTGCTCAGCAGGAGAGGGCGAAGGTGGTTTGCCATCTGTGCTCGAGCGGCGCACACACTGGCCTCCCCTGACGGGGACGTGCTCGATGTCAACTTTGGAGGGAGAACTGGAGGGAAATAATTGGGGCATGGGACTGTGTATCCCGTGCTGGGCATACAGCCTTGGGACTGCTCAAGGGCAGTACTGAGCGAGTATTGAGTGGCTGAAAAAAATCAAGTCGTAGATCTCATAAAACGGAGCTATATATGCTCAAAAGCCGAGTACCACGTGTATCTGTAGGTATACTTTGTGCGTGAGAGGGAGGGCGGAAGGCACGAGGCATGCGTGAAGGCCGCCCTCGATCTAACTCACTGACGAAAACACTGACCTCGCGGGTCTTTATACGGCAGCCGCACCTCGCCTTGAACAGAGGCCGCACCTGCAGCTGGTCATGTAGGAAGCACCATATTGTGACATCCCTTGCAGCCGCGTATACCTATCAATACTGTAGTCGCTTGCGCGAGCTGCCATCCAAAGTCATAGTGTCAGATGAGTGCGCGGTAACTGAGTAAATCGACGTGGAGACTAATGCAGGATGGGAGACGAAACCTTCGCTGTGTGCAAATATCAGGGTGAGGAGGACGAGCTGCATTTCTAGAATTGATGGAAAGCAGTGACCTCGATCACCCTCGTGGCCACGCTCTTTAGAGGTTATCACATAATTTTGACCGGATAGCGTATGTGAGAACGAAAAACACATCTTCCATTACATAGTCTCCGAAGCTCTGCAGGTAGCAGAAGCAGAACGTGTACTCACTGAGAATACCCAAGGTCCCTGTCCTCACAATCTCCGCTGCATCGGCGAACAAATCATGCTTCCAAACCGAGCCTCGAGGAGAACATGTGTCGTTAATTGGGAAGGCATCGCTCAGAGCTGTCTGTGCAGGGGAAGGGGAAAACAACAGGGTATTGCATCATGACTTAGTAGGGAAAATTGTTGATATGGTGTATACAAGATGACGACAAGAAATAATTAAACAAGAAGTGCAGTGGAGATGCAGAGAAACAAAACAGCAGATCACATTACAATTCGTCGAAATCAACCAATCCGTCGTACGGACCTCTGCTACGACACATAATATCAGCAACAGATGTGCAATCACCCACGCTGGGAAATTTACCTAAATGCATGGCGTCGAGATACCGGGGAGCGCCGACTAAGAGGCAAGATGCATCATGGCTTAGCCAAGCCTTCATTGTCTTTATCCTCTTCCTTGCCTGCAATCTCCTTTGTTGACGTATCGTCATTCTCGACAATATTTGCAATCTCGTCTGAGCTTGTCCCTGTCGCATCCTGTGGATCGGAAGTAGATGATGAGGTAGAGGGAAGGATAGAAGTCTCAGAGCGGACACTGGTATCCTTCGAGTCCGATCCTTCTGCGACCACAGCAGCCTCCTTCGTCACAGACTCCTCTTCCGATTTAGTCACCGCACCCTCGTCCTTTATTGAGGGAGAGCCCTCGGCAACCTGCTCCCCCGTGGGCCCTGCTTCCGTATCCTCCCTCACCTCCTCCATGTCCTTCACTAGTACCGGATCATCCGCGGATGAATCGATACTTGGCCTCTCCTCGCTCGTCTTGTTCTCGTCCTCCAGTTCGACTTCGTTGACTCCGCGTGTGACTTCCTTCACTCCTGGATCAGTTTCTTTCCCCTTCGCACTCATCTCTCCGAAATCACTCGCAACAGTGCTTTCCCTGTCCAATTGCCCGCGGCGTTTCCGCGTAGACCCCTCGCCCCGTATGCTCTCGTCGCCATCCTCGTCACTCATGCGCCTCTTCTTTCCGATCGTAGGTGCAATCGAGGTCGCTGTGAATCAGGTTCAAAAGATCAGGCCGTGCATTACTCATATCGACGGGCGCCAACGCGTTACCCTCACTGTGCAAACGAATTAGATTGGAACGCACCGTCATCGGACCATGGTCGATCTGGGCGTGGATAGATAGATGAGGAAATCCGTCGAATGAGTTTGAACATCGTATGTCGCAGATGATGATTGGCGGGAGTACGGTACAGTGATGCGAAACGCAAAAGTTCTGCGGGGTAAACGGGTCAAAGACGCGACAGACGCGCTGGCGGGGTCACAGTGCGCCAGTCACGTTTCGCGCTTTGAGACTCCGTTACTCCGATGTATGGTTCCGTCGAGTGAATCAAACACAAACTTGTCAGTGCGCAGCCCTTGTTCAGGTGCCTGCAGGCCCCTCGCACGCAACGCGCTAGTTGGCATCGATCGGCCGCGCATACAGTATATAAGCCGTAGAAACCCCCTCGATTTAACTCATCTGAGGAACCAGACAGTTGCCATGTTCACATGATTGCTTTACAGCTCGCTCAGCTTGGAAACCCATCACGCATTTGCAGCTGAAATAGTCAGCCCTCAATCCACACTGCCCGCATAATCTGCATATAGCTTTGCTGTGGCGGCCTCTGTTGGTAGCCTTTCAACTGTGACGCCGGCTTACAGTTGTGATGGGGTTCATGTGAGTTCCCTTTTTTGCTTCACCGCATGGCTATCTATACTGTATAGCATAGTTCCCCCCTGTTCTCATAGTAGGTTTATTTTTGGGCATATCACCTCGCCACTGCGGGCTCCTGCAAGGACATATAGCCATGCAGTGGCCGCCTGTCGATAGATCATCGTTCTCCCCTCGACGTGCCTCCTGTTGCGTCCCTCACCCCCCACCATGGCATCATTAAGAGATCAGAGTGAAGCTGCGGCTGTTTCAGACCTCGTAGCGACACTGTCCCCTCCGTCAACAGCACCTCCAAGGTATGTTCTGCGATGTTATTATTCTGCTCGGGCATAGGGGCTCGGGACATGCATGACGGAATATCTTGCAGCTACGGCAACGGATTCTGGAGGCCCGAAGAAGAGGACGTTGTTACTATCAATGGCGACTTCCTGACCGCCGACCTAGCAGGGGCCTCTCATGCTTCTCTGGTCAGCGAGCGCCTCTATCGTGTGCAGCAATCTCAGCACTCGCATGTAACCGATTCGGGCTTGGCGTCATCACATCGCACCCCCTATCTCAGGGGCTCCTCTGAAGCTGGCGCTCAGCGGTCGATGGAAATTGTCCTGTCATGGAATCCTCCAGCGGCTGCTCGGGGCTCCATCGGATCATTCCTCACGAATACCGTGCAGCGGGAATCGTCGAGGTCAGCTCTCGATTCCACGTATAAGTTTATCGGCAATCATCTGATAGATTTTCCATTATCTTTGACATATCTTGGACTAGTTTTCTCGGGGTGGGGACACCAACGCTAGAGCCATCAACCTATGCTTTCTGTCCTCTCTCGAGCAACTCCATGCTTCTTGTGCCTCCTGCCAGCGCTGGTCCTCGCCCACATTATCACGTCTCTGTTCATCTAGACTGCTTCAACCCGACATCATACAGTACGGTTGTTAGACGAGGCGAATCTGAGGCAGGTCAGTATGTTGGCGAGTTCAAGTGCGTCGGGTAATCACGACATTCCAACTGCATTCTCATTTCCTATGTATGGATTATTAGGCTGGCGGGCTCGAATGAGCCAGACATGGTCACTATAGGCGCCGAGACAATGCGAGTCAGCACAGCACTTACGGTCATTCGCAAGAAGGGATTTCTATCGCGCTTGTTGTGCCACCGGGGCGGCGTCGGATCTTTCGAGCATTCCTGGATTTGGCGCTTCGGGAAAGTCCACCTCCTCTGGAGGTGTAACGATGACATATACGAGGTAGGACGCGGCGCACAACTGGACAGCAATTCCACGTCTTCACGCTCTGTCTCTTATTCTCGTAGTGCGCGCTCAAGGCGAGCGAAGATGGCCGCTTCTTGCTTCCTATCATGGTGGCCACTTTTGTCAAGAAGAGCACGGCGATCGTTGGGAGGTCGACACATCAACGGCTCGCGGAACTTAAGGTGTATCCGAAAGGGCTCGCTGTCTTGGACCAGATCGTGGTGTCTATCCTCGTCATTGCTCGGGGGATATGACCGTTTCATTGTTTTCCGAAGCGCGCGGCGCGCAGCGGCGCATCTCATTCCCTCCTAGCTTATTCACAAAAGTGACAATTAATGGTATGCACATCAGAATTTGACTATTCAGAACAGCGTTCTGCGTTGTACACAACACTCCTTATCTCTGCTACAACTGTTTTCGCTCTCAAGCGCCACCACTTGGCTTGCCTGTCATTATATGTACGGTACTCTAGATCGATATTATCCATACCTTGCAGCAACGCAGCGGGAATAAACTCTGCTGTAATTTAAACATATGAAAGATAACGCAGTTATGCTAGATATTCAAGAGGGGTTAAAATACTGATCAACCATCATTGACGAAATTCGTCCCATTATTTCCTGCTGCTACTCCAATCATCTTGAAGTCAGTATGCCCGACATTCCAGTTGGCTCCCAGATATTCGATGTCGTCTTCCACCCTAACGAATCCATCGTGTACACCGGTCTTCTGACGGGCGAAGTAAAAGCCTTCAGCTATGACGACCAAGGCCAGTACTCGTTGGTGTCTGCGCTCAAGCCGTCCAAGCGCTCGTGTAGGGGCTTGACCATCAGTGCAGACGGGAGTACGCTTTGGGCAGTGGGCAAGGGGAAGGGCTTGCAGTGAGTTTTCATTGCCAACTCAACTTGTTATGGGTTTCCGACACAATTCTTGTTCGTCTTCGAAGCACTATAGACACAGCGACAGGAAAGGTTGCGGATACCCGTGCAGGAGCGCATGAGTGAGTTTCTTCCAGCAGTTTGAAGAGGTATGGTGTGTTTATAGCTATAGTGACTGGAAAGCGCACCCATCAACCGGGTAAATCGCCTTCTGCCCAATCTTCTTTCGACCGGAGACGACGACGGCGTGATCAAGGTTTGCTGCTCTGCTCACCAGCGTTGCAGAGGGAGACGTTGGACTGAACATTCTTTTCTCTTTTTCATCGCTGGGTCTAGCTGTGGGACCCTCGAAAGCCTGATGCAATACGGTCGTACACCCAACATTTCGACTTCATCTCGGACTTCTTGTGGTTGGAAGACAAGAAACAGCTCGTTGCGACGAGGTACGTATCCCTTGCGTGTACCCTCCTGAAACGTTTTGAATCTAGGCGTGATCTCAGCGGGGATGGCACGCTTTCCGTGATGGACGTCAGATCAAAAAATACCGAGCCTTTCGCGCACAGCGAAGACCAGGAGGACGAGCTGCTGTCAATCGTGCCTATTAAAGGGTAAGCCGAGTCCGCCGTCCCATCGTACTCACAGTCAATTGATCCGGTGTCCGGTGCAGAGGAACCAAAGTGGTCGTTGGTACTCAACTCGGCATCCTTTCCATATTCAATCGCAAAAAGGGTTGGGGTGATTGTGTTGACCGTGTACCAGGGTATGCGCCGCTGACGATTGGTGATATCCGAAATGCTCGCTAATGTGTTGCGCAGGCATCCGCATTCAATTGACGCGCTCTGCGCCCTTCCCTCTACGTACCCTTCGTCGCACAGCACGATCCTCACAGGCTCATCGGACGGTCTATTGCGTGCGGTGCAGTTGCTGCCGACAAAAGTGATTGGCGTAGTCGCCGACCACGGCGACTTCCCGATCGAGCGCATTGCGATAGATCGTGGAGGCGAGGGTCGGTGGGTCGGGAGTGTAGGGCATGACGAGATGTTGAGGTTGACAGATTTGAAGGACGTGTTCGAGGACGAAGATGCAGACGAGGACACAGTAGATCCGGATGAGAACAAGGATTCGAGCGAAGAGGACCAGGGAGAAGGCACGGACGAGGACGATGACAAGAAAGTAGGGAAGGGTGCATTTAAAAGAGTGAGAGAAGACAGCGAGGGCGAGAAGCAAGATAAGGAGGGCGAGGATGAGGATGGAGAAGCTTCTGCATCTGATGAGGCGGAGGCAGAGGATTCGGACGTAGATCAACAGAGGAAAAAGAAGCGGAAAAAGGAGGACATCTTCGGTGGAAGGCAAAAGAAGAAAGGCAAAAACGAGGTCGATGCTGATCCATCTTTCTTCTCTGAGTTGCAATAAGTATATATCGCCATGTCATTTTCATTATGCTCTAACAACACAGGAACATCTTGCGTTATATCTAGCGTTGCACGCACGGCATTCAAACGCCCTCTCGGAGTCGGCGGGCTGACATCGAGGCATAAGTCGATCACCAGCCAACGGCCCACAAGCAAGGTACGCAAGCAAACGAATAGGTTATGACGGCTCTGTAACGACGTCAGTGTATACGATAATCCTACCACAAGCCAGGAGGATGATTGATACAAGAATTCATGATCCATGCCGCACGGAAGCAGGAAGGTCAGCCATCAGCTCAGAAAAGAGGCGCCTGAGAACTAGGAGCTGAAGGAGCAGCTTTGAGGAAGAGGGGCAGATATGATGCGATGAGGGCGAAGAAAGACAGGCTATGCCCAGAAGGCAAATGTAGATATAAAAGGAGTGAGCTTCCGAGCAGTCACGGCCGGAAAGCGAGTCATATAACACTTACAGGACATTGCCTATCGGAGGCGTACCACCCTCCTTCGTGCGCAATGGATGTTGGTTAATGTAGGAGTTGATGGCGAAGATGAGTGCTGGCCACGCAAGGTATCTATGTATGTAGTCAAAATGACACATTATCGCACACAATAGAGAGTTGGTGGTCATTAGTACCGGGCACAACTTGTATCCACTGAGCAAGTATCAAACCTGTTTCGAGTGACCATGATGAGGCCTGACAGAAACATGCCTGATGTCGCGAGGCCATCTGCGGGGCAACGGCATGGATATCACAATCTTCTCGGGATTATCATACAAATGAAAACGTACCAACTGACTCTTGGAACCAGGTTTTGGGTGGTGTGAACCTGGTTTCGAGAGCAGAGTCGCGTGGGTCGTCCGAAGGCATTTTGTGGGGTATGGTAGGTAAGTACTAAGTGCTGTAAGAGCGATCAGATGGCCCGGAACTTATCAATGTTTCTGAATAAATAAATAGAATTTGGACAGATAAGGGGTCAATTGACATGCATGCACCCTTGTTCACTTTCGCCAAGGTCACCCTCTCCCTCGACAATGGCGGCGACGGCGACGGCGGCGAGCTCATCGGGCACGACATCCACGACACCTCTACGGAATCCTTCTCCTCTCCCGTTCTCAAGTCTTCCCAACAGACGCGCGCTTCGTCGCCGTCCCCGCCATTTGACCTCCTTCGACATCGAACCGAGGGAGCCCCTCACGCCACGACCAACAACGCCCAACGCCCGCTTCAGCAGGCTGCTTGGGACAGTTCTGGGCTCGCCATTTATCATCACGTCCGACCGCCAGTCTCGCAATGTCTCAGATTACAATTTGGACTTGGATATAGTCGACGGCACACTCGCCGCAGTACCACATGACATGACTATCACTCGACCATCATCACCCTCGCCCAGCATGGACTTCTCTATGATCAGTCCTCCAAGCCCTGGCACTGATATTCCTGATATTTTCGCACCACGTAGGCCTCCATTTAGTAACGCGTCGCCGCACTCCTTTTTTGTCTCGCCCTCGCGGAGCAGGGCGTTTACGGTCCACGGCTCGTCATCTACTTTTGGGCTTTCTTACGGAAATGCCACTCGGACTCCCGTTTCATCATCCAAGTCAATGCGGACCATCTTTCCGCGGCTATGGGATGCGTTATCATCTCCGGGACGCAGGTGTAAAGGAAAGGGAAAGGCCACAGACACCATACCGTACATCCTTGGTAGCGACTCAAGCTTTGCCGATTTACCACCTCTCGATGGAGAAGAGGGCGAGCTTATCGATGATGAAGCTTGTTTCATAGATGCGATGGCAGTTTCTGGCATAGGTGAGCGCTATGTTTTCTATAATCGGTGTTGTTGCTTGGGTCGGATCATCTTGAGGTGTTGCTCAAACGTCGGACACTCGGTGATATTCCGTAAGTCCGGAGCATTCGCCCGTGATGTACATGAAAGATGTCACCTGGGCATGGAAGTACTTGCATACTATCATTCCTCATCAGGCTCTTATCGAGGGCGTGTGTGTGATGGACAGCTCTTGGCACCCAGTGCCAGACTCGCGAGCGGCTGCGAGCCCGCACTTGCACCGAGGGGCGTTATATCGTCTGTTCTGTCTTTTTTGAGATAGGCGAGCTAGTAGATGCGATGCGCAGTGTCACTTGCCTTGGGTTCTCGACCATCTGGTCTTCTTGTTTCCAATTGCTTGCCGAGGCCCCTCCGCACCTTGTAGGAATGTTTGACTTCCGAGGCCCATGTGAGGACGCGGACGTGTCTATAGTTGTACCAAAGTCTGTAAACGACGTGACAACGGCTCGGCCCAACAATATTCAGGCGCCTCTGCACTCATCACGTTGATTGACAGTGACATGCTCACATACACTTTTTGCCTCGCGCTCCTTGACTAAATTTTGCTCGTGTCTGACGTTCTATTTCCAGATATCATTTCGCAACTTCCTCCTGAGATATCCGTGCAACTCCTGCGCCACCTGGACCTCGCCTCGGTCATTGCATGCCAATCTGTATCGCGAACATGGAATTATCTTTCAAATGACAATGCGGTGTGGCGCGAGCTCTTTTATCGACGCGACGGCTGGGCCATCGACATCGGTAGAGCGAAGGCACGCGGCTGGAAGACCATTGAACCTGCGCGATCTATCAGTGAAAGCGGCACGAATAAGCTTGTTCACGCTGTGCGACGCATCTCACTTTCATACTCGACTCCACCAGGATCCCCATCCTCTCATGGCCACCCCCCTCCGTGGGCTACCCCATGCCGTGAACCATCTCCATGGAGCCCGGAACTTCCATATTCAGCGCGTCCATCAGCGTCGGACGCTCCACTGACATTGGACTGGCATGGACTGTATCACTCGCGACTCGAGCTTGACAGGCGCTGGGCAGCGGGCGAGCCTCGGGCGACACGCTTAACCGGTCATGCAGACAGCGTATACTGTCTCGAGTTCGACTCTGCACGCATCGTGACTGGTGCGAGGGATCAGACAATCAAGGTTTGGGCGTTGAAGTCAGGGCGCCTGCTTGCGACGTTCTATGGGCATCGCGGGAGCGTCTTATGTTTGAAGTTTGATAAGGATTGGGACGTGGTGAAGAACAGGAATGAGCAGCCGAAGAAGGGGTTCATGGTCAGCGGGAGTAGTGATCGCACAGTCTGCGTATGGGATATGTGGGCAGGGCCGAAGGGCGAGGTTACCGCAGAAGTCAGGACGGTCTTGAGAGGACACATGGGTGGGGTCCTAGATTTGAGGATTGACGAGCAGTGGATTGTGAGCTGGTGCGTGCAAATTTCTAATTTGCTCTCATTGATCCTAACTATGCTCGAACTGGTTCAGTTCCAAGGATGCCGTCATCAGAGTATGGGACAGAACGACGTTGGAGCTGCATCGCACCATGAGTGGACATGAAGGTCCGGTAAATGCTGTTGGGCTTCAAAACGGCAAGGTCGTCAGCGCAAGTGGAGACGGTAAGATGATGCTCTGGGACATCCAGAGCGGAGAACGGCTGCGGACGTTCGAGGGCCATGATCGCGGCCTGGCTTGCATCGAGTTCAAGGTGATTGTTTTGACTGATCTTTCATTGACATACTCTCATGCATCATGCATCATGCCCCCCAGAACGATCTAATCGTGTCTGGTTCGAACGATTGCAAGATCAAGATATGGTCAGCGTCAACGGGCGAGTGTTTGAAGACCCTTGTCGGGCATGATGCCCTCGTGCGGGCCTTGGCGTTCGATCCTGCAAGCGGACGCCTCGTCAGCGCGAGCTATGATCGTACGGTGAAGGTGTGGGACCTGCGCACTGGACGCATGGTGCGGCAGTTCAAGCAAAACCACGTCAGCCACATCTTCGACGTCAAGTTCGATGTGTGTAGGATCGTCACGTGAGTAACCCTATCTCTGAGCATTGCTGGAGGAGACCTACTTATCATTGGACAGTACATCGCACGATCAGAAAATTGTTGTTCTCGATTTCTCGCAGGATCTCGACACAGCACTCTTCGTCTAGACGACAAGTGTGGTATGCTCGCTTCATCACGCCCATGCTTTTTTTGATTTTACAGGCACTCTCATGAGTCATGTACACATTCACGACGAACCGACGAGCGTACAATGATCTCATCCATCTATGTATCATAGCTTTCTTTCTTCTCTTGAGTAGAGAGGAGCACACCCCCTATACCCCATCATCACATGATTCCTACACACGCATGCTGATTCGCTCTCTTGTCTATCATCACCGTCCTCCTCGTACTCTACTTGGTCTTATAATGGGCCCTTCGTTCTCATTTGTCACTCCAGCGTTCCCTTCATTCACCGACATGCTTTCGTTCCACGCCGGTGTTTTATCGTACATGGACTGTTGATTTTCGTTTGATCTTCCGTCTGGTTATTGGCTTTGATGTTTTGTTTTCCGCGACTCGGACATGGTTTTCGGTTCATGGTTTGTTTTGGTCATGGCATTTGCACATCCTCGTATCCCTCAATGTATGTATGTAAACTATGCTTTGGTGCCTCACCGAAGTGAAGACGCACTTTCGTGTCTTGTTGTAGAATTGTATTTTGAGCATATATAGGTCTCTTCAGGGTAGCACAAAGGGCTTATTACACGCTGAGCGGGCCCACCGTCCTTGAGTCAGGCTGGGAGTATGAGAGTTCGAATGCACCGCAAAGATCTGGGTCGGAGACCTCGTGTCATCAGCGTAGGCAGCGGCATCGATGAGTATGTCGTGCGTTTATTGACACAAGAAGTGGTGTTGTGGAGGACCTTGATGAGGTGGAAAAACGCGCAACACGCACGTCAACCGGTACCGCCTAGGAAGCACACGATAGGCGTGTGTAGTGTATGGTTGAAGGGAATGGGAAAGCGGTGATTATATGAATGCTGAATACAGCTACGGGTTTGGTTGGCGAGAAGAGCCGGACCGATAACCTGCAAACAACGCGGTGAGTATAGCTCTGAGGTGAGGCTTGATAAGAAAAAACCCTATTTTCCCATAGAATCCTAAGTAACGACAATCTGCAACACTCATGATATCATCAGCGCTGGAGCTACGGGGCCCTGCGCGCGATCGCGTTTGATGAAAGGTGCTCGCGTAGAGAGCACGAACATCACGTCTCATGTCATGCATGTGGACCCCGGGTGAAAATAGAGGCCTTCACTAAGACTGGACCAACCTGCTATACGGGAACATTCAGCAATCGATGTATTATGTGAACGAAGTTGGACCGGGACGAGTAGGACGGAAACCTTGGGGCCCGTGCTACGCATCCTCGTAAGAGCGAGGAAGCTGAGGATTAGCGCTGAGGGAGGATACTGTATAAGCATCCATACGCACCCATACCTCCCTTTTCAACGATTACCGATTGTTAACGCTCTCATTAGTTCTACTTTTCTGCAATCATTACATCCTCCCAAACAGAGATGGATATGTTCTATAATCAGAACCAGGACTCACAGTACTCACCCTCCCACGCCCACTTGAGTGGCACCTGTGGCTACCAGACGCTCCCAACTACCCAATTGTTTGGGTTTGGTGAAGCGTGCCCGACAACCATGGATTCATGTCCCGAGTACTTTGCCAACACCTCTCACCTTGCCGGCACAATACTACTCTCCTGTATCCCCGCCCGCACAGAATGGGGCCGAATTCGTGGACAGGTACATGTCCAGCTACGGTGGCCTGTCACAACCTGATGCCCTAGATATGAATTACTATGTCGCACTGGCACAGACGGCTTCAACATCGTGGCCAAGCCAAATGCCGATGAGAGACTGTCTGTCTGATGGATACAACTTTGGTGCCGCACTGTCTCAGCTTGCCTATAACTCTGCTTACCTCTATGAACCCACAGAATGTGGCCAATGTCGTGCATGCCCCGTCGCAATCGGTTTGCCGATGTACACAAGTGCGGACTACGATCCATCTCCGACACGTGCAGTCGGCGACGTTATCGGCAACCCGACTGGTAGCTCCATTCCAGTCATGGCGGATTTCGATTTCTCCGACCTTATCGCCAACAATCCCCTCATGTCATGTATGATCCCCCGCTAAACCCTTCTTCATCGTCCCTGCAGACCCACAGGAAGACCGATCGCAGGAGAGCATCGCCATTATTCGAGAGCGACGCCGATCACATTCCCTCCCGGACAATCTAGAAAAAGCGTCGCATTGAGGATGCCTACTACGAGGGCCCATCGACGAGGCGGCAGCGACAAACACCGGGAACAGAGTTTCCAGATTACGATGGGTCCGGAAGGCCACCAGATCCGCTGACGGGTCCTGTATTGATACCTGCTGCCATACCCGACGGAAGGCAGCTATCGAACAAGACCCTAAAAAATACCAATCATATATACAAGACAGTCGTTCTCGAGGAAGATCCTCGGGACCGACACAGCCTCGCAACTATACCATCGGCGAACCCAGGGCCTAGCATACAGCGAAGCCCAGACCAACCAGCGAAGAGCAGCAGCAATGCTACGGCTGGGCGGGAGCCGAAGAGTGCATGCAGAGGTAGGAGCACGAAAACAGCATCGACATCGGCGAAGAGCGTAGCGTGCACATGGCCAGTGCGCATCGCGACCGGCGGCAAGGGGTATCACGAGAGATTCGGGAGACAACACGACATGCTGCGGCATATCCGTACAAAACATCTCCACATACCGCTCAAGTGCCATCAATGTGGTACATACGTCCTTCGAGAGCTGCAGGTGCACCAAGACAGGGAAATATGTAAGAAACATAAAGGGGATTCTCAGTCGATGAAAGAAGAGAGGGGATCGTGGGCACTGGGGAAGATAAAGGAGCCTATGGGGGTCATAAACGAGGGTGAACTGTTGGATGCTGATATCCGGTCACTAGTGGAGGCAATCCGGCAATTTATAGATGCTGATCGCTCACAATCTACCGGCATCGAGGACTACATCGATCGGTGGATGAGGGAAAATGGTTGGGCTGAGAGAGGATGGCAAAGAATGGCAGACATTCAATGGACCCACACGGTTTCTTCCTGGAATTTTCATCGCGCATCAGTTATTTTATGTCGTAGATGGCTATCGATCCGAATATCCTCCTCTTTCTCTCCTCGCAGCTCTCTACGTTGCCATTTCCTTGCAGTTCTGTGCTATACTCATGTACTTGCTCAGACTTGTAAGCAATGTCACATACCGCGGAGTTTTCTTTCCACATTTTCCATTAGCCTCGCCTGAAGAGAAGGGTACAACACCAATGTCTTCAGTTGTAGAGACGGGGGGGGAAGCGGTGGATTGCCATTCTACGGGACCTTGAGTCTTAGACAACAGAGGGAAGAGAAAACATGATTGCGCCCTTGAGGACGCGAGGATATCGTCAGCACGTGCTGCTGTCCACGTCGGCTAGACGAACGAAGGCGGCTTGCCATTTCAATGGCTTCACGATCCGAACCGATGGCACAGATTCTTTGCTTCGCTCACGCGCCTTGTAGGCACTGGAATATACCTAAGTCCCCACGCTGCCGAGTTGGACAGCCAGGAGGTTCATATCCAGGAAATCCCTATACTTCATCACTGATGGCAACGAACGAGCACAGTGGGCCAAATATCGTAGAATGGTCTTGTCTCCTAGAGGACAGTAGAAAATCGCTATGCCGCAGATATCTGCGCCTGCAGATGCCCACTAGATAATTGTGTCTTGCAGCATCAGGTGCTGTTGGAGGGGCGTGGACAGATGTGGACAGCTGCAGTCGGTCTCGGCTCCACGTCATCGCACGGTACGTAAATAGATGAGGAGCTACGCGTAATTTGGAACCTCTTGCGTTCTGTCGCGTTCTGTCGTCGCGTCTGCCTTTTCCTCCTTTGCGGAAAGCTTCAGCGCAGCAGCGTCTCACATCCACCATGCAGTTGTCCACCATCCCCAATCAGAAATCATCAGAAATCACAGTGCTCGCTAGAAGGTTTACACGTCTTTATTCGAACCGGCCACATCCAGAAGAGGTCGAGGATGAAAATCAAGATGAAGACCTTGAGGATCTTGAAGTCGACAAAGTCGATGAAGTCGAAAATGGAAAAACGTCCGAAGTCCTGAAAGAGCTCCTTGCGTCGACTTGCGCAGTTGTCCGAAATGCGCATTTGGACCCATCTAATCGCGACCTCGACACTATTGACAAGCAGGCTGATGAATTGCTCCAAGGGATGATCGAGTGCGCCTATGGCACGCACGAGTCGATCAACTTTTTGCCTTCTTTTGCGCATGATGGCTTTGGGAACAGTCTTATTGAAGATCTCGAGACGAAGGGGGTGGGTGCCTCGTGTAAGCAAGGAAGTGACTCCACTGCTCCCCAAACCTCCCCACTGACCATGTTCCAGCCCCAGAGACGGTGCGTGAATTCATTGAAATCATGACCTGCTACACGGGGCGGCCACTTAATGCTGAGGCTGCCGGTGAGCATATCTTGTTCATGAGCTACGTCTATGCTATAATGACTTTGATTGCTCATACTCCTTTCTAGCATTTCCCGGTGTAACCAGAGAACCCTATGCTCAAACTCCCAAACCGCATGACAAGACTTCCCCAATTGCACGTTTTAGACAGGACGTGCCTAGCTCAATTGTAACTGAGGCTACACTAACCGCTCAAGCGATATATCAAGGCCGCTGCTCGGCCATGAGCAGCAACACTTGTTCTCCTATTGGTCTCTCACTTTCCCACAACTCTACATGCATGACCCTTTCTGCTGCAGGGGGCTGGAAAAACCGCTGTCATGTTCTCTCGTACTATGTCTTTGACAACAATTTGGACGACTTCCCTTATGAAGTCGATATCGAAACAGGCCTGGCGGACATGGTGCGTTACATCCAGATCGACACCCAACGCAAGACCATCTACGCTGCAGATAACGATTGAGTCAAAAGTTGGGTTTACGACATCGATGGTTTGAGGAAGGGCCATCTCGCAACACATACGCTAAACTCAATGAAGGGGGGTCCTCTTGCGCTTATCGACAATAGGAACAAAATTCTATGCGGCGGCAGAGGTGAAGTTGAAGTTTGGGACGTTGACTCGCTTCCCGATCATGGCCCTAAAGGCAAGAAGCGCGTGGGCAAGGGCAAGATCTCCATCAATGATTTCTGGCATGACGAGCCAGAGGATATTGAACGGTTGACAGGCACCGATGCGACCTTGACTATCAAATTTACAGACCCGACACTGGACCCCTTGCGCTGGCAGAGGCTGTCGGATGCTAAAATATTGTGCACGCAGAGAAGGGGCTTTTTGTGCTACACTATCGATCTGCAAACTGGCGGGAAGGTAACGTCGCGCTACTTGGGCCATGGAGGGGAGGTCAATTGCATTTCCGTGAGCGAAGGAGATCCCAATGCGTTCTTGACTGCGTGCAACGATGGCGTCGTGAGGTTGTATGACGTGCGCGAGTCTCTTCCGCGTCTTTCATTCAATGCCGGTGCCGGGTCGGACCCTTGTGACACTGCTCTATATATCCACGTTGAGGGTGTTCCTTGTAAGTTGCCCATATTTTTCAACGGGGAAAACTCTTGCGCTTACACATTCCTTTATTGACACTAGACGACAGTCGTCATCTCTAGTAGCCATAGGTTGGAGTCCATCAAGGTCTGAGACCCTCGCGCACGCGCAATTGTGTACGAGCTCGCGACGAGCAACAACAGCGTGAACAGCCTTTCATGGGATGCCTCGCGCTCCACATTTTACGCCGCCACGGAGTGCCAATACATGGATTGTCTCGGCCGCAATCACGACTATAGGCCCGCACGCATCCGTTCTAGTCATAAGCCGCACAGTCACAATGAGGGACAAATTAGTGAAGACGAGGATGCTGAAATGGACGATAGCGATGACGACGAGGACGAGGACGATGATGATTTCGACGATGATAACGAGGGCGAGAGGTACTGGCTAACTAGGGCCCAACAGTGGCCCAACATGACGAAGACTCCTTTGGGTACGCTTTCGACAGCGGCGACCATGCTCTCTGTATGTCCTCCCATACCTGCTATGCTGATTCTTGAGCCTCAATAGCATTGACACTTTTCCCTAATCTCTTATCGCTTTGGAGTAGACGCCGACCCAAAAGTCCTGCCTGTGTATGGTCAGGCTGTCTCTGATAGTTTTGACTAGGTTTCGGTTTGTCACAATACCGACGAAGCAAAATTATGTCAATCTCAAGCCACCCCACTCAGTTTCCTAGAACAACTCTTGTACTCATCATAAGTTTTGGATTATCTCAACAGTTGCCGATCTTGTATGTGCGAATACCTTGTGTACTTTCCGATGTATAGTTTGTGATTTTGATGTCGTGAGCATGCCGTTGATCCGTGGAATACAAGTGAGAGCCTGGTTCTTTGTCAGGAGCTAAAGGTAGTTTATTCCTCGCTAGGGATGACGGGGGGATGTCAGTGGTTGCTTCAGTTCTGTAATTCTATCGAAGTTCAACGTATGCTCGGAGCGCGGTACTAGCACGGACTGTGGCTTCGTGAGAAAAAGTCTTTTGGCCAGGAAGTGACGCCGTGTGGCCGTGGCACGAACTGCATTGTGGGCGCAGGGGAACATACGGAATTCCAAAGCGAGGCTGTTATTGTTCTGGTCAAAGAGACAAGAACGCGCAGGAATGGCCCAGAGGGGGAGGTGTTTACACGAGCCAAATAGCGCGTCGCCTACAATTCATGGTTCTCGGCCCGAGATCTCGGCCAAAATTCTCCGGCGCCCCAAACCATCGTCCCCGCGCAGCGCCGTCGCCGCCATCGACAGCGAGCCCAGCATCTTTTCACACACCTTCGCCGCCCTAATTTATTTTTTTCTATCCTCCGCCTTGCTCTCCATGACATGCCCCGAAACCACAACCCAGGCCCCTCGACCCTCCGCAACCGCAACCGCGTCACAAACAAGACCCGCCTACGGATCATCAAGGAGAACATCGATGCCGACCCCCTCGCATTCGACGAGGATGAGGAGAAAGCCCGCGTTGTGTCTACCGCAGGTGTCGATGCTGAGGATGCCAACGTGAGTTTTGTTTTTCGCCCCTCCACGCCCCTAGCGACTCTTGTTGAACGACTCCCATGTGGCATCCTCTGATTGGCTGCTATCGTGGGAATTTCATTCCGCGGAATGCTGACTCAGCACTCGTAGGAGCACCATCTCCAAGCCGTCCTGTCTGCGGCATCTCGGCACCATGTCCATCGACCGACTCGTGCGCAGGATAAAAAGTCGCACACCGCGTACATTCCCATCCCCGACAGCACTGGTCTTGTCGACGACTATGATCAGCTGTATCCGTCAAACCGATGGAGGGACCCGTTCTCTTACATCAAGACATCCGAGTCGGTCGAGGAGGCGATCGCGGACGGCCTCAATGGCGGGTTCACGTATTTCATGGATGAGCGGGACAAGGAGTGGTTAGACAAGAATAATGAGGAGGCCAGAGGAGAAGGTACCAGTGCCCAGGGTGCCCTTTCTGCGTCCGGCTCCAGCACTCGCTCTTCGCAACGAAGTGCCAAGGCGAAAGGAAAAGAACCGGATGTGCCCCAGGCGATTGGAATGTCCGAGGATGAGTTTGAGCTTGTTATGGGTCTTTTTGAGAAAGTAACGCATGAAAAGACCGAGTTCCTCCATCATGTATGTCGCGCGTGGAATCGTACTATTATGTACAGAACGCTAATTGCGTTGTTGTAGGGTCTTGAGCAAGGCGCACCTTTTCCACCTTTCTCCGACTACCAGGACACGTTCGCGTCGGCTCTGAGTCCGGATACGTTTTCGACCTTCTCTGTACCGTCATGGATCCCCCAGCCAGCGCAGATGCTCCGTTTCGCGAAAGTTGTGTATCCGTACTGGAAAGAGCGTCGTGTAGAGCGGGGTGGCCACAGGGTTATACCGACACTCAACGTGAGTGCCTTACCTATCCGATCCAGCTATGGAGCTCATTCCTTTGTGGCAATAGTACGACGAGTCCGACGTGAAGAATGAGTCCTACATTTGCTTTCGCCGACGCGACGTCAAGGCGATGCGCAAGACACGTGCCTCCCAAGCGTCATCGTCGGAGAAGCTTATGCGGCTCCAATCCGAATTCCTTGTCTCCTATGAGCTCGCAAATAACGTCGTCAATCGCGAGGTGCTCAAGAAAGAGGCAGCATTGCAGTCTAGAGCAGTATGGGAGAAACGCGAGAGCTTGGTCAATCTCAAGCGGAAGTTTCCCAGCCTTGGGATCAAGGAGGACGAGGAGCTCTTTTACGACAAAGAGAGGGTGCCGAAGAAACCGAAATTGGCTGAAGCCTCAGGGTGTGTATCCTGATTCCCCTTTTGAGTACTATTTCAAATTTATCGCGTATCATCCCTAGTCGTCTCAAGCTCAAGAGGGATAATGGCGAACTCGCGTCGGCGTCGCACGTCGAGGCGGTCATCAGGCCAAAGGATCGTTTGGCTCAGATACAAAACGAGATTGAACGGGATCTACTTCGTTCACGAGAAAGGGATCACCATTGGGAAGATGCCATCGACGTAAGTCGTTCAACATCCTGTCCTCTATAAAACTGGACCTCCAACTACTTGTATGACAGAACGCGTACCAAGCACGGCCGGTCTCGTTTGCTCAGCGTCACTGGAAGTTCATCCCACCTGACATGTCTGCCCCGAGGCGGTCTAGAGAGGATGACTCAGAAGACGAAGACCCTCCTCTGCCAAAGTATCGAGCCATTCGGATTCGCCGTGGACGCGGGGGTGTCTTACGGGTGGATCGACGTTATCGTGTTCCAATATCAACGAACGATGATGATGAGCTTTTCCGACTGCCCGGGCGTCCGCCGCCTGACTCTGAAGAATCACTTGCTGAGGCTCAGGAAATCTCATGGCGAATCCGCGACAGATGGAGGTTCGATGCCGATGATGAGCCACCAGTTGGGCCGGAAGGTTCAGACGAGCAGGATCGGGAACTGATTGATGATTTCGGTATCGAGTATGTGACCTAAATGTGCCTACTCTTGGTCATGCTCAACTTCTTTTTACAGGTCCCTCAAGCGAACGATGACATTATACACCGCTGAGGATCATGCTCGGCTGGCAACTGATCCCACCCTCTACGTTCCTCTACCCGATGGTCGCGTCCAGGCAATCGTTCCATTTAAGCTGGGCAGCACACCAGTACCTCGCAACAGAGGTCAGGTTCCGCCTTCGAAGGCTAGCCAGATGGTAGCCTTGCAAGCTCAGGCTCAGGCTCAGGCTCAGGCTCAGGCTCAGGCTCAGGCTCAGGCTCAGGCTCAGGCTCAGGCTCATCAGGCGGGCGTTGCGCTTTCCATGTCACAGAATAGCGTGACGCCTATCTCTATGCAGGCGCAGATGAAGAAGATGCAACCGCCGATGAACGTACCACAGGTGCGCCTGTCATCGAATGGTGGCATGCGTCCTCCTACTACTCCAACTGTCGCTCCGTTTCCGTCCGATATCACCAATTCGCAAGCTTCATCTCCACACCCGACCACCCCTACTCAGCTTGCCAATGGATACAATGGTGTGGCGCATCATACTTCTAATAGCGCCGATACGGAGATGCGCCCGGCATCTGCTGCGTCCAGTTCAGGTCAGGAAGCCGCTGCTGAACCTCCCACTCCCACTCTTCCCAATCCTCCGATGCAGCTCAAACCTCCCAATCCTCATCACGCTATGAATATGCCCAATGGTTATTATATCAATAACTATAATCCCTCAATTTCCAATACCGCCACCTATATGCACGCGAATATGCAGCACAGCCCGCTCAGTATTCAGCAGATGCAGACCCTTAAGTCTGCGTTCACAGGCCAGGACTTGCCAATACAGGTCAACGGCAACCGACCGGCAGCGTACATGGGTCACGTCGTGCCTAATGGCGCGAACTACAACCTTCCACTTGGTGTCAATGTTGGTCCCAACATGAACATGAATATAGGCAACATCAACATGGCCAACATGGGCGTGAACCTGAAGTTACCGGCCTCGCGGCAGATGCAGTGGGCGTCGACACCTCAGGTCCAGTCGCCGGACGTGCGGCGACAAGCTCATCTCAGTCCATCGCAGGGCAGGGCGAGCCCGGCGGTGTCTATCGCTCATTCGCTGTCTCCGCATCTGCACAGCGGGTCGCCAACGATGCAGGGACAACAAGTCTCTGTTCAGGTGTCACCTTCTCGCTCGGGACAGACGCCTGTAACGTCGCCATCGTTGCAGCAGCAGCAAGCCGCGGTCGGAGGTTCTGGAAACGGGTACTAGGTGGTCGAGTGGAAGCCCGCGCGGATATGATATTCAAGTGTCAATATATCCTCTGATTGGTTCGTCCACGTTCACGACACATAGGTATCTTGTTCAACACTTGGAGACATGATAGCTACCAGATCCTTTTCCTTAGTTCCCCACTTTATTCTTGCTTGTGCCTTTGTGTTATTCTTTTCTTCTTCTGTGTAGTACCCTCCTTTGTTTATCAACTTCTCCCAGTTTTGTCATGTTTTCGTCGATGCACTTTCTGAGATGCATATGTACTGTAGAAAATGGTCTATGTCGGAATCTTTCTGGATCATGATCCCAGCTGGTGAACATCTCAGTGCGCACGTACGAATGGTATGGACTCAATGGAACACATTGCGAAGATGGTCGTCAATTGTCTAACGAGTTGAGAATTAGACTTTTTGTTTGAAGATGCGTGATTAAAGTCCCTAAAGGTTGCTCAGCAAAGATCTGCGTCCCGTCTAAGATGGCATGAGACTGCCGAAAAGGCGTCCAAGTCAGGCGCAAAGGTGTCCGTTAGAACGAATAGAAAGGCATCAAGGTCAACTCTGGCTGTCAGGAGAGGTCAGTCACTAGTCACTGGTTAGCCTAGTGATGCTGCTTTATATATTAATGCAAAAAGAATACCATGTTTTCTTGTTGTCAGGCGCGCGACTTGCAAACAGATTTTGGTCATTCGGTGACCAGCGATTGCTACTAGTGGGGTGTAGAGGTTCCAGTCAATCAAAGTCCGAGCTCGCGAGGAGTAACATATGATTGAGATCTCCCGCATAGGTCGCCCCCAGCTCTACTCTCATGCTGCCACAACTTCGAGTGGCCTTGGCGTGAGTTAGCTTACACCGAGGGTCGATCTCAACATGTCCTATCATGCCAGTCAGTCCAGTATCAATAACGTACTCTTGAAAATGAACCAAATCCCTATCCATGATTTGGTATATTGGGACAGGACTAAGAACCAAGCCCTTGAAGGTGATTGTCAGAGCCAAGCACGATGAGTTACGGGGAAGGGCAAGATGAACAAGAGAGTAGATATCAGTGCTCATTGAGGGGCAACGAACTTGCGAGACAGCTTGCCTGTGATGAATCTTGTCGTTGAGATACAGTCAGATACGGATATCCGGAGACCACGTCGGAGGTTGAAGGAGAATCGTCAACGTTGCTGCCTTTGGGAAACTAGGATAGACTAGGATACAGGCCCTCCACTGCTCTCCGTCGTCGATTGCTTTGAGCTCTGATCAAGTGGATTCGAACTCAGCCGCAACCTGCCGCGTAGTGCCAAGTTTCGAGCGGTGACTCTACCGTGAATTGATTGCTCTATACCACTTCTATACTCTTTGCCAACTACCAATTCTTTAGACCATTTACAGAGGTTATTATAGCAGCTTTTCATGTCAAGTGCACATCCCAGATATCAGAAGTGAAGACACTGATACTCCAATATACTCGTATTGACAGACCTGCACCGCCTTAGATACTATCGTTGCACCGGAGCTGCAAAAAAAAAAAAAAGATTTCTTTATAGCATCTTAAGTTGGGCTCTCTCTCGCTCCAAATTTTTATGGTACCTGCAGAAGCTTCTTAAAATATGTCCTCTTATTTTTTCATATTTTTGAGCAAACTCAAAGGATTATTGTGATGTGATTGAGAAGGGGTGTCCGAAAACGAGCAAATCTTGGGAGTTGCAAATCTTGCCGACGATCGGGTCACACGTCGTCACGTTTAAACTCGAACTCCGACGGCGCGCACTACTCGCGCACTGCGGAACGACCAGATTCAAGCATTACACGCTCGAGACTCTCTGTCACTCTGCCTGTCATCGGGCACTGCCCGTCGAAAACAATTTGGTGAAGAGCAGTGGAGCCCTCAAGGTCAAACAAAATGACCTGAATGCTTTCGGTGATACCTTTTCATATTAATATTTCTTTAGTTTAGTAAATGAGCTCTAGGGTCTGAGAGATCTTGAGCATCTCTCAGATACCTCTGCCCTAAAAACCATTATTTATTGCCTTCTCACTGCTGCACCCAATTTCTGTTTTCAAAAAAACTCTGATACTTGAAGAGTGCTTAAATAAACAACTATGAATTTTTTCAAGAGGTGCCGTCAAAAGTTGCTGCGAGCTCGATTTTGAACCTCTTATACCGTTTGCAGCTCCGGTGCAACGGTAGTACTGATTGCATTTGACAGGTCAGAGTCTCCGATGGAATGCATACCTACCTATGCCTACCCTATATATATGCCACGCATCAGTATGTTTGATCACCGTCCCGTCGTTCCCAGAATCTATCCACCTATAGCCCTTCGATGTCTCCATGCAACAAAACATCGAGGGTGGTGGGAGCAAATCGCATGGGTCTGCCCAAGCCGGACTTGCCAACATACACTTCACCTCCGAGGTGAGAGTCGTCTACGTTACCCCATGAATCCCGAAATCATCACCCCTAAACTATCTTAGCTATGTCACAGATGGGTGGGTACAGCAAGGAGAGGATGATCGTGTAACGATATCAGGCAACAGCGTGAGGCAGATGACTCCCATAGTCGAGGATTTACCTCCACATGACGATACACAACTTCAAGAGTTTAGCCTGGTCGAACCAAACAATATACACTCTCCTGACACACTTCCTTCTAGGGAGGTAATTTTGGCTTGGGAATCAGGCAATAACCTCTATAGCTCTAATTCTTCCTCTGGCTCAATGGCAAGCGTTTCAAGACCCCGAGCACCTGGCATCGTAGCAAATGAGCCATTCGGTGCCCCGCCTGGGTGCGAGATTTACCGTCGCAGCATGAGCCAATCCAGAAGTTGATGCTTGTAAAACTGATTGTTAATCGCAATAGGTATAATCATTCCAGGACACCGACAGGAAATCTCACCTACACATTTTCCTCGCTGAGCTACAACTCGATGCTCCTTCTCCCTCCTCCGGACGCACCAGATACTCGACCCCGATATCACATTTCCGTCCATATGAATTACTTCATCCCGACTTCCTACATCACCGTTGTCCGGAAGGGCGCCACAGAGAATGGCCAGTGTGTTGGTGAATTCGAGTACGTCCTTTGCCTCTAATGTCGAAGACACTTCTAAACATATTCTCAGGATGGGATTGTCGGAGCGACGGAGCACGGTCACGATAGGACAATACGAGACTTTTCTCAGCTCGGTGCTTTCAAGGACTGGCAGCCATCTGAATGTACGTAGGCATGTTTTTGCCGTCTAGTAGCGACAAACTCAATCATCCTTACTGTTCTGTAGGGCGAATATCACTGGCGGAACCTCGACCTTCATCTGTATTGGGACTGCAGGGGAAGGCTTTTCAAAGTGCGTGCACCAACGCTTTTAGCTTTGAACTTGGTGTTTTCTGTATTGAATTCCTCCCCGCTACAGTGCTTTATGATCAACGACGTGACCAAGGCTCGAGCGGCTCTGGCTATATATGAGAGCCCTGGCTTGCATGATCTGCGACGCGAGGGGATCGATCTCGTCCATTGCCTTGAGGTCACACCCGACGGCCAGGAGCATTTTGATCTGATCTTACTCTCGGTACTCATCATCGAGCGGAAGCGGCTGACGCCGCTAGGGAAGGATCTTGGGAAACGACTGGATGCGTGATGCTACACCCTCTGAGCCTGGACATGCCCTTTTCATACAGGGCGCTGCATCTTCGTTCGCGTATGTTATGCTTCTCTTGCCAAGTGTCACTTGTGCCATGTGAGTAAAGGAGCCATTATTCGATGTCCAGCGTGAAGGTCTACTCGACGCCCACTCTGTTGATATTATTCTTTTTTTGCGATGAGAGTTTGTGATGAATGCAACGTGCGACACGTGCAAAGACTAAGGGAGCGGCATTCCCTCTCACAGGTCTTCGCAACCATCGTGACTGACCATCCGACATCATCAGTCTCAAATTGATGACCTGCGAGATCATGATATTTGTGTCTGATGCAGATGGATCCATTACGCACAAGCGAGACCTCAATCACGGCTATATCATGATGACCGAACGCTTGATCGAACTGAGGAAGGATCTCGGTGCATATAAGTGGTGGGAGTCACTATTGACGCTCACCTTGTTCTCGAAACTCATCCACAGTATACAATGTTGCATCGCAACGCCTTGATGAGGATTGTAGGCGGAGGTCGCAGGAGTCCTCCTGAGCCAGACTTGCCTGCATACACAGCGCCTCCAAGGTGAGAGTTCTGTCTATTACGTCTCATACATCAATGTTTCATACGTGACGCTTCACAGCTATACCACAGATGCGCGGGTACAACAGGGAGAGGACGACCGTGTCACAATTGTCGGTGAGAGTTCGTCGAGGTCGGAGACCCCGACGGTGGAAGATTCGCCTCCACCCGTCGACCAGCTTCTACACGCCGAGCCTAGTTCGACAGAACTTGGTGATGCGGATCGCTCCGCGGAGACACTGCCCTCTGAGGAGGTCGTGCTGAGCTGGGAGCCAGACACTGACCCCGACGCAGCATCCACAAGCACCATCTCTTTACCGGGGCATGACTCGGCGTCGAGCGTCCATCGACCTCGCGCACCTGGCACGCTCGCAGATGAGCCATTCGGCGCTCCACCTGGGTACGTCGACAACCACATGCCCACTAATTGCAGAAACTGACTTGACGATGCCCTCACCAGGTATAGCACCTCAAGGACCCCGACAGCGACTCTGGTGTACACCTTTTCCCCGCACTCGTTCAACTCGATGCTCCTCCTTCCTCCTCCAGATGCGGCAGACACCCGGCCACAGTACCACATAGCCATCCACCTGAACTGTTTCATACCGTCGTCTTTCATCACCATCGTCCGGAGGGGCGCGACGGAGAACGGCCAGCATGTCGGTGAATTCGAGTGCGTCCAGAGACCCTCGTAGCTGAACAGACGCTGATCGGACCAGCTAGGATGGGGATCTCGGAGAAGGCGAGCACGGTCACGATCGGGCAGGACCGAAAAGCGATGGCCGCCGTGTTCTCGAAGACGGGCAGCCACCTGAGCGTGAGCACGAGGGAGGCTTCGCTCGCGGGGACGTCGGCGCGCTCATATGCTTCCGTGTTGTTCTGCAGGGCGAGTTCCGCTATCGGCACGCCGGCCGCGAGTTTTACTGGGACTGCAGGGGACCGCGCCACAAGGTACTGCTACGCGTGCTCCTACCTTGCCTTTGGGGCTCTTCAACTGATGCTATCATGTCATGCCAGTGTTTCCTGATGAGCACCAGGCACGGGGTCGCTCCTCAGCCATTGGCTGTATACCACCGGCCAGGCGTTCCCCATCCGCAGAGCATACAGGCCAACGTCCATCTCGGCCAGCTCCAGGTCCGGCCCGTGGGACAGGAGCACTTCGACTCGATCGTGATCTCCTTGCTCATCGTCGAACGGAAGCGCCTAACGCCCTCGGGCAAGGCTTTTGGAATCGTCTAGGTACGTGACGTGTTGGCGAGTAGTTCAAACACGCCGAAGAGGGACACTGCTCAGAAAGTGGATGCCTGGCATCGCTGGGGACGCGTCGTGAGGACTACGCCTCCCAATTATTTTGGATGCGTATGGACCAATAGTGTAATACCCCCGGTCTCTACCTGTACGCGAACCGATAATGTAAAGACCTTTTTTGACACAAAACATCGCAGGCCGCGCCGCGCCCGCCCGACGCGTCCACGCGCGCGCTCACATCACCACCACCCGCTCGCCCGCGCCCACCTCATACGGCGCCGCGCTCAGATCGCGGCGGTGCATCACGTGCACCCCGAACAAGAGGCGCCCGCGCGCGTCGCGCCGGCGCACGCTCAGCACGTTGTACGGCTCGCGCGCGCGCGCGCCCGTGTCCTGGTCGACGCACACCATCTGGCAGCGCCGGCACGGCGCGAGCGCCTGGAACACCTGCGTGCCGACGCGCACGAGGTCGAACGCGTCCTCGGCGAACGCGAGTGCGGGAAGGGCGCGCGGGGCGCGCGGGGGGCCCGAGGGGGGAGGGGCGGATGGCGTAGGCGGGGCGCGCGTGGCGCGCGGACGGAGGATGAGGTTCCCGCGGAAGCACGACGTCTTGATCGTCGTCGGCCCATCGGCGTCGGCGTCGGCGTCGGCGTGCGAGCCTGCACCCTCCGCGAGCCACGCGTTGACGGCGTCCACGCTCGCCTCGTTGAGCAGCAAAAACGGGCTCTCGTTCGACAGCAGGATCGGCACCGGCGTCGCGCCCATCACGCCCGCCGCGCCCGCCTGGCCCGGGAAATGCGCGTGCCGCCCTGCCCCTGCCCCTGCCCCTGCCCCGGTGTGCGCGTGCGCGTGCGACGCCGGGGGAGACGGCGGGAGGCGCGCGAGCGCGCAGGGGATGCCGAGGAACGCGGTGAGGAGGCGGTCGGCGTCCGAGTCGGGATAGCGCAGCGGCCGCACGACGTCCGCGCAGACCCTGCCCACCGACCCGCGCTCCGCCCCCTGCGTTGCCTCCTTCCCTCGCTCCCGCTGCTCCTGCTCCGTCGGCGCCGCGAGCGGCACGCACACCTCCTCCGCGTCGGGCGCGGCGCCCGCGCGCACGCGCAGCACGCCGCGCGCGCGGTCGACGGCGGGGCGCACGAGGCACATGCGCGGGTGGCGCTTCTGCGAGAGCGCGCGGCCCGTCGCGGGGTCGACGAGCATCCACTCGCGGTCGTACTGCAGCCCGTGGGGCTCGACGGGCCAGCGCGTGCCGCGCGGGATCGAGATGCCGCCGCAGGACTTGATTGGGTCTAGTGGGCGAGGCGGGGTGGAGGTGAGTGGGGGGCCGGGGTGGGAGGGAGGAAGGAAGGAAGGAAGGAAGGAAGGACGGGCTTACATACGACTAGGTCGCCGAGGACCATGCCTGACGCGCCGGTGTCCGTGTCCGTCTCGGTGTCACCTGTGCCCTCCGCCTCTCCCGGCTCGGCGAGAGATGGCTGCTGCTGCTGCAGCGCCTCCGGCCCAACAGTCCAGAACCTCCTCAAAAAGCGCACCCACCGCTGCACGTCCTCAACCGTACTCGACGCCCCAAAACTAACCCTCACGATCCCCGTCGGCTTCTTCCCCCCCGCCCCGTCCCCCTCGCCCTCGCCCTCCTCACCGGCGCCCCCACCAAACTCCTCCTCGTCCCAGCAAACCCCCCCAGCCCGCGCGTTCCCCGCGATCTCCGCGTCCGAGAGCCCCAGCGCGCCCGCGACCGCGCCGAGGTTGCACAGCGCGCCCGCGCGCAGGTGCACGCCGTTCAGCGCGGCGAGGCGCGCGAGCTCGACGTGCCCCACCGCGCCGCCCGTCGCGCGCAGCAGCGTGAAGGCGAGCGTCGGCCCGCCGTGCGCGTGCACGAAGCGCGTGCCCGGCGACGGCGGCGGCGACGACGATGGCGACGCGGTGCGCGGTGTCGAGGAGCCGGAAGCGGACGTAGACGTGGACGTAGGCGGGCACGACGGCGGCGGCGGCGGCATCGCGCCGTACACCCTGCACACGGGCCTCCCGTTCGCGTGCCTGAGCGCGCGCATCTCGCGCGCGCACGCGGCTGCGAGTGCGGCTGCGTGCACGCCGGCGCGGGCGAGGGAGCCGAAGAGGCGGGCGTGGGCGTCCATTGCGGGGCCGAGGGCTGCGATCTCGAGGAAGGGGAGGGTGCCGGGCTCGAAGCGCGCGTGGAGGGCGTCGGGGTCTGAGAGCGTGTCGTCTGCTGCTGGTGGTGGTGGGCGTGGGGGTGGATCGGCGGCGGTTGGTGTGGAGGGCGAGGGGGGAGAGGATGGGGGTGGGGGTGGGGGCGGGAGTGGGGGTAGAGCGGGAGAAGGCAGGTGGGAGGGGAGGTGGGCGCGCGGGGTGCCGCGCGGGATTGCGAAGGCGGGGGTGGAGACGGAGAGCGCGTCGACGGTGCCGCCGCCAAAGTAGCCTGTGCGGCGGAGTGCGCTGACGGCGGTGCGCTTGATGAGGAGCACGCCGAGGCCCGTGGGGTAGGCCTGCGCGCGCGTCAGCTGTCCGGCGCTGGGGACGGGAGGCGAGGAAGAGCAAGGGACGCACGTAGGGCTTGTACAGGCTCGCGACCACGAAATCGGGCGCCTCGTGGATGGGGACGGCGGCGAGGTCGAGGGTGCCGGTGGCGAGGAGGGCGGCGGCGTCGATGAGGACGCGGGCGCGCGGGTGGGCGCGCTTGACGGCGGCGGTGAGCGCGTGGGCGTCGAGGCGGCGGCCGGTGGCGTTGCATTGGGCGGGGAAGGCGAAGAGGGTGCGGGTGCGGGCGTGGGCGGAGGGGAGGCCCGCGGCAGCAGCGGCGGCGGCGGCGGACGCGGGGGTGGGCGAGGAGGAGGCGGCGGCGGCGGCGGCGTCGATCCAGGCTTCGGTTTGGGCGAGGTCGAGCGGGTAGACGGGGGCGTGCTCGCGGAGGGCGACGCCGCGGATGCCGACGACGCTCGTGTGGGCCTCCTTCGTATACACGAACTGCGCGCGGTCCCCCGGCCCGTGCTCGTCCTCGCCGCGGCGCCAGTCAAAGGCCTCTGCGACGAGGCGGCACCCCGCGGTCGCGCCGGCGGTGAACACGAGGAGCCACTCGGGGTGTTGGGCGGGCGGGAGGGCGAAGAGGGTGGCGAGGAGGCGGGTGCGGGCGGCGGCGATGCGGGATGCGGTGGAGGCTGCGGAGGGGGAGTGGAGGGAGTGCGGGTTGGAGAGGAGGGTGTGGGCGAGGGCGCGGGGGAGGGCGGTGAGGAGGGAGAGCGGGGGCGCGGGCGGGGAGGCGGCGTGGTCGAGGTAGGTGGCGTCTGCGTGGGGGAGAGTGGGTGAGTGCGTGGGTGGAGAGGGCGGGGGAGGGCGAGTGCGGCACCTCGGAGGGCGGGGAATTCCTGCTCGAGGAGGGCGGTGAAGTGGGCGGGCTTGAGCCCGTAGTAGGCGTGCTCGCGGCCGCCGGCGTAGGCCTCGTACTGGCGGCGGATCCGCGCGTCGGCGTCGGCGTCGGCGTCGGCGTCGGGGAGCTGGCCTGGGTGCGGGATCGCTGCGGCGGGGAGGACGGCGGACGGGGCGAAGCTGCCGTCGGGCATCGTGTTCAGGCCGTGGAGGTGGTCGTGTGCGGGAGAGCAGGACGCATGGGGCTTGCTTGCTGAGCAATACAGCGCACGCTCGAATATTCACGCCACGCGAGTCCATATCAGGACCGCTTTTATTTTATCTGCTCGTTCCGCTCTGTTTTCTGCAGGACGACCGCCGCCGGCGTGACTCGACCCTGAAAAATATGCACCCGCCGACCACACAAAGCGCTCGCAGCATGTCCTTCACCAACAACTACCGCCCGCCCTCGCCGCCGCCGCCGCTCGACCTCGACCGGCACCTGGACCCGGCGGAGCCATACGACATCAACTTTGCGTTCCCGCTGCACGCGGGGGCGCTCGAGAGCGCGCGCGTGCGCCTCACGCCGTTCGTGCCCGCGCTGCACGCGCGGACGTACTTTGCAGAGGTGCAGGCGGAGCCGGCGATGCAGCGCTGGCTGCCGTTCACCCACGCGTCGCTGGAAGAGGTGTGCGCGTTCGTGGAGCACGGCGTGCGGTGCAACCCCGGCTGGATCCTGTTCGCCGTGCTCGACAAGGGCGCGGGGGAGCGGATGGCGGGGGTGATCGCGCTCGTGAACACGTCGGCGGCGAACCTCGCGGCGGAGATCGGGTGGGTCGTGACGTTCGCGGCGTTCCGGCGGACGTACGTGACCACGCACGCCGTCGGGCTCCTGCTGCGCTACTGCCTCTCCCCGCGCACCGCGCGCGGCACAGGCCCGCCGGGGCTCGGCCTGCGGCGCGTGTGGTGGACCGCGCACCCGAGCAACGCGCCGTCGCTCCGTGCGGCGCGGCGCGTGGGCATGCGCGTGGAGGGCACGCAGCGCTGGGCGTGGGTGCTGCCTGCGGGGAAGGAGGGCAACGGCATCGAGGTGCCGCGCGCGCGGGAGGCGGACGGCGAGGCGGACGGCGAGGCGGACGGCGAGAAGAAGGCGGCGGGGAGGCCGGGGAGGGACAGCGTGGTGCTGGCGGTGTGCTGGGACGACTGGGAGCAGGGCGGCAGCGAGCTCGTGCGCGGGCTGATGGAGCGGGCGTAGACACCGCCTTTCCTCACAGTAATAATACAAAGAACGAGCGAATGAATGGGATCATGTGCGAGCCAGAGCAGAGCAGGGCAGGCGGTGTTGTTGTTGTTGTTGCTGTTGTTGTTGTTGTGGGCTGTGGCACCCGCTCCTCCGCCCTCACTGCATCTCTCCCACCGCACCCGCCACCCAATCCCTCCTCCTCGCCCACACTCACGTCCATCCACGACGACGACGACGACGACGACGACCGCAGCCTCCCCTCCCTTGCTCCCCCACCCGGGCTCCATGTCCGGAAAAGCGCCCCCCCGCGGCCCCAGAGCCCTCCTCAACTCCCTCGCCGCCACCAACCCCCCCGCCCCGCCCCCGTCCTCCTCGTCCACCACCACCGCACCGCCCACCACCACCACCATCACGTCGACGTCGACCCCACACCCGCCCCTCGCCCTCAACAACTCCCGCCTCGGCGCCGCGCCCCCCACCGGCCCCAGGAGCCTCAGCCTCGCCCTCCCCACCCCCACCCCCAACGGCGCCGCCGCCCCGCCCTCCAAGAAACAGCCGCCGCCTCCCCCGCCCGCGCTCGCGCCCCACCATAACAACCACCACCACCACCGCCACCCCTCGCCCGCGCCCGCGCCCGCGCACTCCAAGCCCTTCCTCAACGGCCACAACCCCCTTGCGAGCCCCACGCGCCCGGCCGCGCCCACAGGTCCCGCCGCGCACGCCTCCACGCTCAACGGCCCCGCCTCCTCTACCGCCGCGACTGCTGGTGCCGGCGGTGCGGCCGCTGGCGGTGTTGGTGTTGGGGCAGCTGGTGCGCGCGCGCTCGGCGGCAAGGGCAAGCAGGTCGAGATCAAGTGGAGCCATCAGGCCATCGCTAGCAGCGTGCGTGGCGCTTCCGTGTTCATGTCTTTTTTTTCTCGGTGCTCTGCTTGTTTCCTTTATGCTTTTGGTTTTGGTTTTTGATCATTTTTCGCTGGTGGTGGTGCCGGCGCTGCTTTGGCGGGCTGCGGCCTCTGAAACCCTATATTTTATTGTATTTTATTTTGATGCTTTTTCTGCGCGCTGAGCTCGGCGCGGCGCGAGGGCCAAGGCGGGGCGGGAGAGGCGGAGGGGCTTTCTGCGGCCCTCTCGTACACCGCGCGCCGCCGTTCCCCGCTCCCCCACTTGTCTCTTTTCCGTCCCGCGAATCTACCGCACTCATAAACCGACCCGCCATCCATCTCACGTATCACGTCTTTTTTTTTTTTTGTCCTAGTCACGCCTTTCTGCCGACCCCGGCCCTTCGTCCTCCTCTGCAGCCGCGAACGCTGGCGCGAGCGGGAGCGCGGGCGCGCTGCACCGCGCCTCGGCGCACCCGCAGCTCGCGCGCGCGTCGCCCCCCGCGGCGCTCAACGGCGTCCACCCGCACTCGCACGCGCACGCGCATCAGCATTACCAGCCGCATCACCAACACCAGCACCTGCACCCGCACGCCCATGCACACGCGCACGCGACGTCGCGCCCGCTCGGCGGGTGGGCCGCCGTCGCCCCCACCACGACCACGATCACGACTGCCCCCGCCACCACGACCACAACGACGTCCATCCCGACGTCGACGTCTGCGGGCGGCGGCGGCAGTGGAGGGGGAGGGATACCGACGGGCCCCCGCGCGGTCGTGATCAAGTTCGCCCCGCCCCAGCCAACCACCGAGCCCCCGCCCCCGCCGCCACCCACGACCGAACCGCCGCCACCACCACCGCCATCGTCCCCACCCCCACCGCCTCCACCATCGTCGCCTCCGCCCCCACCCCCACCATCGTCACCACCACCACCACCACCGCCGCCGCCGCCGCCGCCGCCGGACTCAGAACCCCCCATTGCAGCGACGGGGATGGGGATCGTGCCAGGGTCGGCGCCCCCGATATCCATCGCGCTCCCCATCCCCGTCGCCCCGCGCGCGCACAGGCTCGCGCAGCACCACCCATTCTACGCCGCCCACGCGCACGCCCTCCCGCTCCCGCATCCGCACCCGCCGCCGCCGAGTTCGAGACCACCCTCCCCGCCGCCGCCGCCGCCGCCGCCGCCATCCTCTGCACCACCGCCGCCTCCACCACCACCGCCATCATCTGCACCGCCAATACAGCCGCCGCCGCCGCCGCCGCCGCCGCCATCCTCGCTCCCGCCTTCGCTCCCTCCGCCGCCTGCATCGGCATCAGCACCGAGACCAGCATCAGCATCCACATCGAGGCCGACATCGACGTCAAGGCCGACATCCATACCCCCGACGACACCAAAGCCGCCGACGATAACGCCGCTGAAACCCCCGACGCCACCGAAACCGCCGACGCTGGAGCCGGAGCCGCCGAAGCCGCCGAAGCTGTACTCCCTCCCGCCGCTGCCCGCGTGGCCGCCCGCGCCCGCGCGGGAGCGCGACTGGAAGGTGCTGTTCGACCCGGCTGTGGATCGGGAGCGCGATCGGGAGGGCGTGCTGGCGGCGCTGGTGGAGAAGGTGAGGGCGTGGGAGGAGGCGGGGGGGAAGGAGCGGGAAAAGGAGATGGAGAAGGAGAAGGAGGAGAAGGAGGAGAAGGAGAAGGAGTCGGGGAAGGAGGAGACGAAAAAGGAAAAAGAGAAGGAGAAGGAGAAGGACACGGAGAAGGACACGGAGAAGGGGCAGAAGGAGCCGAAGCCGCGCGAGAGCAGGCTGCGGGGGAAGGGCAAGGGCAAGGAGGTGCTCGTGCGCTTCGCGGGCGAGACCGTCCCCGGCGAGCCCGCGCCCGTCGTGTGCGACCCGCGCAGGGCGCCCGGGTTCCGCCGCCCGCCCGTCGCGCGCCCCGCACGCGCGGAGCTGTACGAGGTGATGAAGTACGAGGTGAGTGCGCCGTCGGACACGCGCGTTGATGGCTGCTGACGGACGCGACGCCCCCGCCTCGCGTCTCCGTGATTTCCGCGTTCCTCTTTATCCTCTCAACGTACGGCCCCGCGACATACGTGCGCGCACAGCACGACGCCAACTCGCCCGGCCCCCCGCCGCCCGCGGCGGTGCTCGTCACGGGGATCCCGCCTTTGACGCCGACGCAGGAGATCCGGCGGCACCTCGCCGCGCACGGCGCGCTGCTCACGTTCGACCCGCAGATCGACAAGACGACGGGCGCGGCGCTCGGCATCGCGTTCGTGCGCTACGCGACGCACGACGAGGCGAAGCGCTGCGTCGCCAAGGAGGACGGGCGGCGCTGGGCCGGCGGCGTGAGCAGCGCCGCGGGCGTCGGCGCGGGCGCGGAGGGCATGCGCGTTGTGTTTGATGGGGAGGGAAAGGTGCTCAGGGCCGTGCTGAGGGAGCTGGACGAGCAGAGGCGCCGGCGCGAGCGCGAGGCGAAGAAGAGGAAGGAGGAGAAGGAGCGCCCGACGCAGCAGACGCAGACGCAGACGCAGCCGTCGTCGTCGTCGTCGTCGTCGCGTGAGCCCGCCCCCTCGTCCGCACGTGCGCCAGGGCCCGCGGCGTCTGCGTCTGCGACGCCAAAGACAATCAACCTGCCGCCAGGGCTGACCTTGCCTGTGAACCCGTGGCGCCACACACATCCGTTCCCCGCTCCCCACACCCACCTACACCCACACGCGCACCCCCACGCGCACCAGCACGCACACACGCGCGCGCCGGCCGCATCCACATCGGCCTCGTCCTCGACGGCCGCGACCCCGCACGCGTCGACGCTCCCGCCGCCGATCCCGAGCCTGCCCCCGAAGCCCGCGACGCCCTCCCAGCTGTCCGCCTTCCCGGGCTCCTACCCGCTCCAGCCCATGGCGCCCCGCGTGCGCCGCCCGCCCGCGTCCCTCGTGCGCGCGCGCATCATGAGCACGCGCGGGCCTGCCCCGCTCGTGCCCCTCGCGCACCAGGCGCACCCCCTGCTTCAACAGCAGCAGCCGTTCGGGGACCCCAGTACGCCATACTCGGCGGGGTCGACGCCGCTGCCGCCGCGGCACCGCGGGCGCGCGTGGGACCGCGAGCGGGACGACCACTGGTCGCCGCGGACGCGGACGCGCTCGCACTCGCACTCGCGCTCGCGGACGCGCACACGCTCGCCGTCGCCCGTGCCGCGGCGCGCGGCGGGGGACGCGCGCCGGTCGGAGGCGGAACAGCAGAAGCGGCGGGAGGGCGTGCTGGAGGAGCTCGCGCGGAACGGGTTCGACTACGTGCGCGTAGACGGGCACGGTGGGCAGCTTCTTGGGGGCGCGGTGCGGGAGGAGGAGGTGCGCGCGCTTTTCGAGGGGTTCCGCGTGGATAAGGTGCGTTGCGTGTCTTTGCCTTGTTGTATATTGTTTTTTTTTCGCGGCGGGAGGGAGGGCGTCGCGGTTTCTTTTTTGGTTTTGTGGTTTGTTATCGTTGGCGGCGGTGGGGTCGGGCGCGTTGGGCTTTTGGCTGACGCGTGGCTTTGGGCGCACAGGTTCTGCAGGACCACTTGGGCTGGTACGTCTCCTTCCAGACGGGCGACTCTGCGCGGCGCGCGGCGATGGTGCTCAACTCGGGCGCGCGCACGCTCGCGCATCGGTCGGTCGCGGTGACGGTGCACCCCGCGCCCGCAGCGTCCGCTGCGCCGGCCGCGAAAGCCGCGTGGACGGACGCGGAGCTCGTCGAGCAGGCGGGGCAGATCATCGCGAAGGAGCTGCGGCAGATGCTCGAGCGGGACGTCGTGGAGCGGCTGGTGGGCGTGCGGTACCGCCGTCTGGCGGCGGATCAGAAGGCGAGGAGGGCGAGCAAGGCACGTGCTGGCGCTGGCGCTGGAGCTGGAGCGGGGACGGGGGTGGAGGAGGAGAGGCCGCCGCTGTTGGTGATCAACAGCCTCAAGGGACTTTCGTTCAAGAAGCAGAATAAGAGGGCCAGGGAGGAGGCCAAGGCGAAGGCGGCGGCGGTGGTGGCCGAGGCAGAGGTGACGCTCCAGGCGGAGAAGGCCAAGGAAGAGGAGGAGGCTGAGGCCGAGGTGGTCGTGGAGAGGCCGAAAAAGAAGCGGAAGAAGGAGGCGGTGAGGAAGGTGGCGGTGGAGGTCGAGTCGGAGGACGAGGACACGGGGCTGGCGGCGGTGGAGGATCGGAAGCGTGGCGTCTCATGGGACCACGAGGACGAGGAGCCGACGAGGAAACGGCCGCGGATCGACCACGCTGCGGAAGAGGCGCTGGACGCGGTCCCCGTCGCGGCGCTCAAGGCGGACAAAAAGAAAGCGCCCTCGAAAAAGGGTGCGCGCAAGGCCAAGGCCACCGTCGAAGAGCCAATCGACCAGGTCACCTATCCGGACGACATGGCGTACGCCGCGCCGCAAGTCGCCCAGCTCCGCGTCACGCCCGGGTCGTCGCTGTCCCCGCCGTCGTCGCCGCTCCGCGAGTCCCGGCCTCCCGAGTCCGCCGCTCGCGCGGTCGACCCGTTCGAGCAGGGCGTGTGCGCCGACGACGAGGACATGTACTTTGCGCGCCTCGCGCTCGCGGAGAGCATGGGCCATGAGCCTCCCACCCGGCGCCATCCTGCGCCTACACGCGAGCGCCAGCACGAGCCAGATGCGCTGCCGCCGTTCCGAGTGCACGCCACCGGGTCCGCGCGCACGGAAGGGTACTACAAGATCTCGCACGCCGAAAAATCCGCCTACGTCGCGCAGTACGCGTCGCGGTCCGCCGCGGCGGACGCGATCGAGGAGCAGCCCGTGCAGCAGCCCAAGCCGGCGATGATGTCCTCGCGCTCGAACCGCGCCAACGCGCGGCGCCAGGCGCAGGGCCTGGAGGAGATCAACCAGGTGCAGCGCGCGATGGCGCTCTCCAAGGGCGAGACGGCCGCTGCGGAGTTGTCGATCAAGTTCAATCAGCTGCAGACGCGCAAGAAGCACCTGCGCTTCGCGCGCTCGCCGATCCACGACTGGGGCTTGTATGCGATGGAGCGCATCGCGCGCGGGGAGATGGTGATCGAGTACGTGGGCGAGGTCATCCGCGCGCAGGTCGCGGACAAGCGCGAGAAGGCGTACGAGCGGCAGGGGATCGGGAGCAGCTACTTGTTCCGGATCGACGAGGACCTCGTGGTGGACGCGACGAAGAAGGGGAACCTGGGGTGAGTCTTTCATCCGTCCGTTGTGCGGTTGGCGACGCTTGCTCACACACGCGGCCGCGCAGACGGCTCATCAACCACTCGTGCGACCCCAACTGCACCGCGAAGATCATCACCATCAACGGCGAGAAGAAGATCGTCATCTACGCCAAGCAGGACATCGAGCTGGGCGACGAGATCACCTACGGTACGCGCGCCTTGCACTCATCACCCGTCGATCCATCTTGATGTCTTCGTTTGCAGACTATCACTTCCCCATCGAACAGGACAAGATCCCGTGCCTGTGCGGCTCCGCCAAGTGTCGCGGCTACCTGAACTGAGTAGGCCGGCCTCGCAATCGTTTGTCTCCATCCTCTGCACTTGCTCACCATCACTCTATACATCTCTGCACCGTTCATACCCCTCACCACTACCCCTCATCCATTTCTCCCACTTCGATTCCCAGTGTTGTTCACTAGCTATCTTGCACTGTCTCGTTCACGCTGCACGCACGCATTACGAATTTTTGTATCATCTATTCTCTCAGACACTTTGCTTGCGCACACATCAGAAATTGTTATTATTAATTCTTGTAGACCCTGACCATCGTCCGTCCCGCCTGTTACGCGCGAGCGAGGAATCTGTGAGTATGCAAGCGCCGTGCTATTGCGAGGTCAGTCCAGATTAGAACGTGTGTGGGCGTGTGTGGGCGGGCTGGGGCGAGAGTTTTTCGTCGAAATCAACGCGGGCGAGGCTGATCACGCGGAGAAGTCGACGCCCTGCGCGAGGGGAGCTGCGTCTGAGTAGTTGATCGTGCAGGCGCTCCAGCGGACATATTGCTTCCACGCGTCCCCGCCCGACTCGCGTCCCCATCCGGTGCTCTGCAGACACGAAAGCACGTCAGTCGGGATATTCACTAAAGAAAAGAGAGAGGGAAGGGCCCCGCCTGACCTTGTTCCCTCCAAACGCGGCGCCGATCTCGGCCCCGCTCGTGCCGACGTTGACCTGGCGAGACAAACAAAACGACGTCAGCGAGGGGGCAGCAGAATGCGCGGAGAGCCGGCGACGCACGTTCACGATCCCCGCGTCCGACCCCGCAGGGCCGATCCACTTGCCCACATTCCGCACGTCGCGCGTCCACAGGCTGCTCGACAGGCCCTGCGGCACCGAGTTGTTCCACGCGATCGCCTCCTCGAGCGCATCGAACACCGCGACCTTGAGCACGGGCGCGAAGCGCTCCGTCGCCCACACCGCGTCCGCGTGGTCCGTGCTGCGCGGGACGGCGATCGTCGGGCGCACGAAGAAGCCGCGGTCGAGGGGCGCGTCCGCGACCCGCGCGCCGCCCGTGAGGATCTCCGCGCCGGCCGCGCGCAGCTCGCTGAGCGCGGTGTCGTACACGCTCAGTGCGGCACGGTTGTGCAGCGGCCCGAGGAGCGTGCCGGGCGCGAGGGGGTCGCCGATACGCACCGAGGCGTAGAGGGCCTGGAGGCGCGCGAGGAAGGCGGGCGCGATGTCGCGGTGGAGGTAGAGTCGCCGCGTGGTGGTGCAACGCTGGCCGGCGGTGCCGACGGCGCCGAAGTAGACGGCGGGGAGGGCGAGAGAGAGGTCCGCGTCGGGCATGATGATGGAGGCTGTGGCAGCGAGGACAGTCATTTAAAACGAGAGCTGCGTTGTTCAGAATGGGACAAGGACGAACCGTTGTTGCCGCCTAGCTCGAGCAGCGACTTTCCGAAGCGTGATTGAACTGTACGTCCGACGATGCGGCCCACGGCCTCACTTCCCGTGAACGACACTAAATCGCGCAGGGTGTCGCAAAGCAAAACATCAGCCGAACACTCGCGACCACAACTGCGTACTGACCCATGTCAACGTCCCTACTCCCCGCGACGCCCTCTCCAACGTCCTTCCCGCCCGTCACGAGGCTCGCAATTGCCCCAGGGAGGCCGTTCCTCTCCAGCACGCCGGCCACAATCTTCGTCACCGCGATGGAGCACAGCGACGTGGTGGGCGACGGCTTCCATATCGTCGCGTTGCCGGCGGCCATCGAGATCGAGAGGTTCCTTACGTGGACGAGCGCAATCAGCACCTGCCTTATTTTATTGGGAGTGAGCTCACCAGCCGTAGACCGCGACGGGAAAGTTGAAGGCGGAGAGCACGCCGAGGACGCCAAGTGGGTTCGGGACTGTCAAGAGAGTGTGTGAGTTTAGTGGCCACAGGTTAGCAAACCGAGATGAGGATGTAGGAGCCCACCTTCGAGGATGGTGTGCCCAGGCCGTTCGGAGGCGACGACGCGCCCGTTCATCATGCGTGACAGGCCGGTAGCATAGTCGCACTACGTCGAAAGCAGACGAGTCCACTAAACATTCGAGCATCGAAGCAAAGTCAAACGACGCACGATATCCACGAACTCCTGCACCTCGCCGATGCCCTCCGTGCGGATCTTGCCCATCTCCAACGAAACGAGCGCGCCGAGCGCATCGCGCTAGATCCATCCGACGCGAACGCGCATGAGTGCCTCGCGTTTAGAGCTCCGACGTTGTGGAGGGGGGGTCTCACCTTGGCTGCCAGGGCCTCGCGAATTTGGCGCACGATCTCGCCACGCTGGGGCGCAGGGACGTTCCGGAAGTGTGTGTACGCCTCACGCGTCTTGCCCAGCGCGTCGTGCAGCTCTTTGGGCGAAGCCTACCGCGACGCGATGCAATCCGCACAGTCAGCACCCTATCAACATACATACAGCACCCCCGTCGGCCAAGCCGTCATTGTGTGGAGCACGCACCGACTTTACCCTCGCGAGGACTTCGCCCGTCGTCGGGCACACGCTCTCCAGCACGTCGCCGGAGCCCTTCCACTCCCCGTCGTACACACCATCGAGCTCTTGCCCCGTGGTCGGAATGTCGAGGGCAGAGAGCACCGTGGACGCCCTGCTCGAGAGCTGCCGGCGCGCGGCTGCTGCTAGCAGCGCGCCTTGGAGGGTCCCGGCCCTGTTTCGTGCGAGCATCAACATGGCTTCTTAGTGGCCTGCTTTATTTCTTCGTGTTTTGTGCGGTGTCGACGGCGATGTCGGTGGGTAGAGTGAGCAGAGAATAAAAGGTGGGGGGTATGGAGTGCGGAGAGAGGTAGATCCGCTCCGAGGGAGACGTGTGGGCGGGCAGGCGCCAAGCGGGCCTGAGCACATGCTCGCCCCCCGCCATCATGTGATGATGCTCGACAGCGCCGTCTGGCCTGTCTTGCTGCCGACGCTGACCGCCCCCACGTCGGGCAGGACTTTAAAGCCTGTTTTCTCGTCGAATGCATCGTCGAAGGCAAGTGAGGAGAGACCCGGGACGGGCGTCGCGGAGATGGAGCGCTCGCATTACGTCGATTATTCATACACAGACGACAAATGGGGAAAACAGGAGCGGAGAGAGAGAGAGAGCTGAGAGAGAGCATGGACAGATTGGTAGTGGTGGGGGGTGGTGGTACTTATAACGGTGTCCGTGATGATGGTACTCGATGGTAGATGCGAACAATATACACCTCTATGGTAGTCAGCAAACTAAGCAATAAGGAAAGAGCAGAGAAGGATGGGAAAGAAGACTGAGATCCACAGTAGGAAAAGTAAAACGAGAACCATACGTGTTCGTTAGCGGGTCGTCGATCCCCCGATGGTCAGTAGGTATGTCAGTAGCCAGAAGCAGGCAGCCTCCCAAGAATTTGAAACCTGATCACAAAACCAAGAAAGATAGCCCAACGAACCAAGCCCCCCAGCGTGAACAGCACTAGCAGCGCTCGCCAGAGCCGGAGCTAGTCCGCCTAAGAATCATCATCCTGCAACAACAGCGCCGACCTCCTTCCCAACACCAGCCACGAAAGGAGCCCTCGAGATGCGCGGCGTAGGCGGAGCCGAATCGCCGTCGTCATCATCCTCGTTATTCGCACTGTCCTTGTCTTCCGGAGACTCCGTCCGGAACCCGGGCGTTGTCGGCGTTTCAGTATCCGTCAGGCCCTCCTGGGCGGTCGCGTACGACATGTACGAACTCGCACGCGACTCGGCGCGCGCGCCTGGGGCGCCGTTGGACGGCGACATGTGGAACGCAGTAGGAGGGGCAGAGAGCTTCGTCACGGGAGGAGAGGCTTTGGTGGGGACTGTCGTAACGGGAGGGGCTGTGGTAGGCAGAAGAGTCGGCGAGGGGGTAAGTGATGATGGTGGTGACGATGGTGGTGACGCGGTGGTACTCGGTACAGACGGATTTTGGTCAATGGGGATGTCAGCAGCGGAAGTCACCTCCGCGGCTGCTACCTCAGCGCCGTTGTCCGTATGTAGTGTAGCCGGCGTAATGGTTGCTTCCTGCTCGTGGCCATGTCCAGCGGTGACTGTCGGCTCGGCGGCATGCAAGCCTTTTTCGGATGACGTCGAGTCCTCGAGAGGCGGGGACGGCAGCTCCGGCACAATCTCGGCCTCGGGCGATCCCTCCACTGCGTCCTCCCGCGCATCAGCAGCAGGAGTCCCAGCAGTCTCGAGAGACGGCGGTTCCGGCGAGGGTGACCCAGAAGAAGGCTCGTCCGGATTCAAACCAAGTCGCGAGCGCGAGCGCAGTGCAGACATCCCAGCGACAGGCAGCCCATCTATCGACGGCCGCGACTCCGTCCCCGCGCCAGATCCGCCCCCCACATGACTCTCAAAGTCCGGCGGCGGACCGTGCAGATCCAGCCGCGACGTCGACGCAACGTACGCAAGCGCGTCCGGGCCATATGGCACGCCGTACCTCCCGACCGCCTCGCGCGAGGACAGCAGCTTCAGCTGCTCCGGCGTCGGGCCCGTCTTGGGGTACACAAAGTCCGTGCGGACGAGCGTGTGCGTGAGCGGCGACGAGATCGAGTTGATCGAAAGCGCCGACGGCGAGGTGAGGTGCCCGCGCGACTGCTGCGCGAAGGCGAATTTCGACGTCGAGCGCGTGCGCGTGCGCGAGAGCGGGCGCAGCCCCGAGGACGCGATACTGAGCATCGAGCCCGTCCCGGAGTGCGAGGGCCGGTGGCGCGTCGCCGTGCTCGGGCGCGGCACGCTTGTGCTAGGCCGTGCGCCGCCGCCGCTCGGCCGCCCCACGGGCGCGTCACCGTCCAGCGAGACCACCGCGCCAGGGCTCCTGGCACCGTCGCGTGATGAGCGGCCTGGCATACTCATCGGCGTGCGCGGGTTGAGCGCGGAGGTCGCGGCGTTGAGGATGCCGCGCAGGACGGACCGCCGCCGCGAGGACCCGCTGGCGGGGAGCTGCTGCCCGGCGAGGCCGCCCTCTTCCGTGAGTGGGCTCGACGGCGAGGTGGAATCGCCCCCGGGGCTCTGCATCCGGCTGAGGTCGTTCTGGGAGTCGTTCGCCACGACTTCGAAATACGGCGGTGCTTCGCCTCGCGGATCCGAGGAGGCGTTTTGCCCCGGCGGGATGAGAGGATCGCGGCTATTGTCAGCCTCGTTATCTTGCGCGGCCTGCGAGGATGTGTTGGTGGGGTCGTGCTCTGGGTCGTGGTGTCCTTGGTTTCGGTCGTGTTCGTGATCGTGATCATGAGATTCGTCGTCTCCTTGGAGAAGGGGAGTCTGAACGTGATGCGGGTCGGGGAGGTCGACGTAGACGGCGGAAGAGGAGTGCGAGTCGTGCCGCGAGTGGCCCATGCTTTCGCTGTCCGTCTCTTCCAGTCGAGGCATCACGATAGTTGAAGGATCCATAGGGTTGTCCTCCATGTCCTGCGAGCCTCTGGACACCGTCGCATTGCACGTGTGAACAAGCACGATAGACAACGCAAGACGAAGAGTGCTCACTGAATGATGACAAGCTCATGCTCCCCCGGCTCCTTCATGTACATCGGGAGCGACATCGTCGATATCTGACTAGGTGTCCTCCTCGTCCTCCTATTCGCTCTTGCCGGGCGCGCGCTGCGAGCCTGCGCGGCCGCCGCAGGGCCCGCGATCTCCTCCGCCGTGAGCTCTCTGACCCCGCCGTTTGCGCTCGTGCCCCTCGCGGTACTACGCGAAGTGATTGATGTGTCCATCGAGATGCCGGGTAGCCGCAGCTTGCGCCAGAAGCCCTTGCGCTTGCCCCACAGGATCAGTATGCCTGCGACGACCATCGCGACGACTGCGACGATGGGGACCTATTCCAGGCGGTGTACGGCAAGCGAGGGATGGGAGGAAGGGGTGAGCAGCGTCGCCCGAGGGAGCTGATAAGTGAATAACACATACCCATATTTGTGTGCTGTTTGAGCCCGCCCTCCTGACTAAATGTGATTGCCTCCGTTCAAGCGCTGCGGCGGGTGCCGCGATAACGCACGAAATCGCAGACACGAACGATGCCATAAAGAAGCCAGAAACATAGTGCCTAGCTATGGGCCGCGATACGAGGCGACAGCATGTCATGGGGATACCTAGAACGAAACGAATCTAGAAGCCAGAGTGAGTCCGTCCGTTCCACTAGTCAGTGCGCGGCAAGCAGACAATCCGACGATGCGAATCAACTAGTAGAGGCGACGGCGCTGCGCGACGTTGCGATTTTTAAGAGAGAGGAGGGAGGTGGAGCGGGTTAGGAAACAAGAGTTCACGCCAGCCAGGGCAGACCCGTCAGGGGCCCTGGCATTCCCTGCACAGCAACGCTCGGTGGCTGACCGCAATGACGCGGAGGGTCTCGGCGTTTGGGCGCCCTACTAATGTTATATGACCAACGCGCGATCCCATTTTAAAAGTTACATGCAGAGTACATCGGCTCAGCGCGCCCCAGGGGACTCTGTAAATTACACGGCCGAGTGACTCGCGAGTCGCCCATCCCCCCGCGCGACGTCGGCGGTCATTGCGGCAACATCGCACGCCGTACGATGAAACAGCGTGTAATATCATGGGCACCGCCCATGTTCAGGCGTACAATTCCGGAAGGAAGATAACGCCAGTTTACAAACGGGCCTTCCGCTCTCCGTATTTGTCAAGCAGGAAGGCATGAATTTCATTCGCTGGTCGGACGAGTGCCCATTAGCGATCACGCACGCGTCTGCACAATTGAGAGCTGGCCTCACCGACTTCTAGAGGCTTTTCTTGCACAGCCTGGACGGAATAGTGCCAGTTCGTCAGCGCATCGCCGTGGGGAGATCGTCGATACTCACAAGATGGCCAGCGCCGAGTATCCTCACGTTCGACGCATTCTGCGGCCTCAACCACACCCGCTCGCGGGAAACCGCATCGCCTGCAATCCTGGTGATAGAAGCATGAGGAGATCCATAGACTGTCTGGAAGGAAAACAAGTGGGACGGACGTACCCTTCCTCGGGGGGTCCTGGCATGATCCATTTGAGGGATATCCGCTCGTCTATCTTTGGCATGAGTGCGAACGCTTCGCTACAGACAAGGCTTTCGAGGAACACGACTGCTTCCTAGCGGTAATATACACAGTCAGTTCCTAAAATCGCGCAATCATGCTATGCACTGGGGTACCTGTATTCCGCTGGTCTTCAACGTGACGTTTCCAGTCCCGTCGGAGGTGATCGCGTGCTCGACATAGGCCTTCAGCACTTCTGGGTCCCATCTCCCGAAGAACGGGGACGCGCTCAGAAGTTTATGAGCTTCTTCCCTGCACCATGCTCAAGCTTAGGTATGTCGAGCTTTGATGGTCGGCTGAGAACCACGCACCGTGAAGACCAGATGTCGCGGCGCGCGACCGCTGCGAGCACCATTCCAGGCAAGACTGCACTCCTGTCGTACCCTTCCGGGATAAGGACGGGATCGACCAAAATAAGCGAAGAAAATAGGGCAGGGGAATCGTGCGCCCCCATAACGCTGTTAAAGGGAACGCCTCAGGCAATGATCCAACCAATCAAGGTATATGATACCCACAGACTGCAGCCGCCGTATGAATGTCCGACACACACCAATGATCGCTGGTTGAACCCACTCGCGCGACGCTGATCCGCGACGGCCGAAGGTACGCGTTCCAAGTGCGTCGGCAAAGGCTCGGAGGACACGCCGTCGGGGAGATAATTCAGAAAGAAGCTGAGTATGTCGCGCGCGTTGTCTGCCCAGTCAACTAGAACATAGGCAGAGAGCGGTTTGTTTAGAAAGGATAATCGCGAGGTCAGGAAAGGCTGATACCATGGAGCGCCGTCGGACGTACTCACACATTCCGCGTAGCTGCGCCGCGTTTACGAGTCCAGAGTCTCCGTGTTGGACTGAATCAAACGTCCAGATCTCGTCAATTTCGTACGACGCGTCAGATTGAGAGAGGAGGTGTCGGAGCATCGGCTCATACGTCTACGAAGGAGCCACATGAACAAAGTGGGAATTTAGCAAGGTGCATCGAACCGACCTCCTTGTGCATGCCGTTTGCATGCGCACAAAACAGCGTCAAGTGTTTCTTCCGTGTGTGCCGCTCCTGCCCTCCAACCTCATTCCGAACGTATCGATTGAGTGAGTTCCAAAGCACAGCTCTGCTGCCCTCGCCGAGCGACTCCCCAGCTTCCTGCCTCTCCTTAAGAGCGAGCATTTCCTTCGCAACCCTCGCCACGCGCGCCTTGCGTTCCACCTTCGTCTCGTGTGCAGGCACTTGCGGCTGGGGTATATCGGCTGAGGAGCGCGGAAACGCGGAGGGCACGAGATGCGTGGTGAGTGTGTACGCAGGGCCGAATGCTGCATCCCGAGTGGGGGAAGGAAGCGGAGGAAGCGCCAGCCCCTGCAATGGGGGTGGCTGGATGGGAAGAAGAGGGCGTGGATTGATCGGGGTCCATGTCTGGAATGACTCTGGCCTGGGGTACGAGAGACACGAGCTCTTCGTCATGGTGGGCGTCTTAGTGTGGACAAATCTAGGAGTGGTTTCTCTGATCGCTTCGTGACCCTTGGGAACGTCGATGGGGGTTACCAAAGGCCAGTCGCTGTTGTTGAGGGAAATGACCGTTCAATACAAACCGTCGCTGCATTTCCGACATCGTATTGGCTTCAGCTGAGCCCGAGTCGTGCGGGATATCCGCCGGTACCTTGACCGGCCTGACCGGTTACCAAGCCTTGCCGGTTTCAATTATGGTAAAATTCGGCGAGCCCGTTCAAAGCAATTGAGTGTAAGCAGAAAAATTTAATGCTACAGTAGTTTACCAAATGTGTGTAGCAGACAAAGAAAGGTATATACGTAGGAGGGTGGATCCTTTTTTCTGTCGTTGATGGCACTCCTTGGCCCTCTATTTACCCACAAGTTGACGAGCAATCCGCCATAGAGCTTTCCGAGACTCTATGATTGGCAAAAATACGACCAAGAACGAGGCGACGAATAGCCAGATCTTGGGTGAGGGGATCAACGATCAATGATACTGCAGAGAACGGCGGAAGATATTATACTCACAAACATGACTCCCACGACAGCGGCGAGGAAATGTTTTGAGAAGATATAGGGCGAGGCACCTAATGGGACTGGAATGATCTGAAGCAAATAACCCGTATGTCAAGGCTACGTTACGACTCAACCAAGCTGAACAACATACGATGGTGATGATCAACGCCAAGGCCGCGAAGAGCAATCCGTAGATCTTGAACGTCCTCTGCAAAGCGATGAAGTCAAGCCCGTCGTGCTCCTGCGCGTTGCCCGACTCGCGGCTAATCGACTTCCCCTCGCCTTCAAGGTCGCCCTTCTCGCCGCCCTTCTCCGAGGATTCATCGACGGTCCCTACGCTCTCGTGGACCGTGGACATGTTCCGGGTCTTCTCCCAATCGAAGTTCGCAGGGCGCCAGAGAGACAGCCCGATGGAGAGGACGCCTCCGGAGACGATGGCCGCTGCGTTGCCCGCAAACGACACCCACTGATCTGAGAGCGTGTCGATTGTGATTTCGCCGAACAGGCCTTTGGCGGTGGCCAGCCAAACGATGAGAGCGATGGCCATACCACCCAAGGACCCAGCCACAGCGCCGGCTTTACTGAGATCTTTCCAGCTTGATGTACAAGTCAGGACATTATCCCTCAATATTGCACACACACTCACGTGAAAGTCAACGCAATCGGGAAAACACCAGATGCCGTCGCAACTCCGAGGAAGTAGAATAGCCACCCAAGGTTCTGTGCAGATGCAGTCAGTTTTCGGCAGTCATAGACTAATATATTGCTGCTTACGATCCCGACAGCCTTGAAGATGGATGCAAGTCCCCCCGAGAACACCGCCCAGAAAACAATAAAGTATCGCGAAGCCGTGACCACTTGCTGGCTGGTGGCAGAGGGCTTGAAATAATGGCGATAGACATCGTATGAGAGCAACGTGGATGTTGCAATCATCTCCGCACTCAATGCCTATTCAAATCATGTTCAGCGATCACCTTCTTACAACAACGTGGACCAATAGACACACCGAAGTGACACTGAGGAAGACGAGCAGGAGCATGAGCACAGCGCCAGCAGTGCCTAATAGATATGTCACGGCCGCAGCGCCTGCAAGACCGGCGCCTATGTCTTCTGAAGTGAGGGCTGGGAAGTCAGGAAGAGTACCAAGGGCACGTGCACCCAGCCCCAGGACTGTTCCGCACGCAAAGGGGATCGAGAACCAGGCGAAGCCACCAAGGAAGTATGCCTTAGCCGTGGTGGCGGGGTTGGATGCAATAGCTCTGGACCAATAACCTGATTTTTACTAATATTGATATTGAGAGATGTTACATGAAAAGAGAAACCTTACCTTGATCGCAGGTGACAAGGCCAAAGCCTGTGATGATAGACTGAGCGCATGTATGTCAGACTCACATGCTCAAAGATAGGAATATAAGTCGAGCCCACATACCTGGACCGCGAAGATAGCACCGGGCCGCGAACGGAAGGTGAGATAGGATCCGTGGTAGTTCCCTTCGACGGGTGCAATTTTGGCCGCTTCGGTGAGTAGCTCCCACATCCTTCCTGGACTCCCGATGATCGCCGACTTCGTATAGGTGCTGCTCAAGGTGTTAGCCCAGAAGAGAAGGGCAGTGCGATCGACTCACATGAAGCCGAAGGAAAGCAGGATCCCGAGAAGGAAGAACGTGTGGGTGGCGTCACTGATGAACGTCGCTCGAAGACCACTATCGAGAAGTGTCAGCAGGCCGTGTAGGAAACTTGAAAGAACCGGTACGAACCCGGTCGCAACATAAACAGCGACGCCGACAGGGATAAGGAACAACGCAGCGTAGGCGTTCATTCCTGTCAATGCAGACACCACAGCCCCTCCCCCAAGAAGGATACATGCGGACACAATCGCGTTGCAGACGATCCCACACCAGAGGAAAGCCAAGTGTCCCGTGGTGCCGAAGCGGACGAAGGCGACTTCTGGAAACGTCGTCGCGCGATTGGCGTTCATCTTGACTTTGCTCGCGATGACGCTAAAGACGGCGATCTGGAGCGTGCCGCCCACCGCGTACCAGTACCCGCCTGAGACGCCCATGTTGTATGACTGCGTCGCGCTCTGCAACAAGGTCAAACTCCACGTCCCTGAATGGTCCAGATCTGAGCTGCACAGGACGGGCCTTGATCAAGAATAGAGACTCACATGAGCTCAGAATCCCGGCGACGACTATACCTGTCTTGAGGGACCTGCTAGCCGCTGTAAACTCGGAAGCGGAGTTTGGTGAGAATCGAGAGTATCTGGATTGCACCCATGTGATCACGTTCATGATGGCCGCGAATAAGAACCCCAAACCAAGCACAACGCCATAACCGACGCCTTGAGGAAGTGGAGGCGTGAACGAAGCCATGACAGGCGTCTACGAGCAGATATCCTGGGCTAAGCTCGAGGAAATCCCTGCATCCTGATACGGAAGTTATATGTCGAAAATCCTGAGCAGCACGAGATGTTGTCATCGACTCCAAAGATGGCGCTCGAGAGAGATTGAGGTCCGAGTCAACAATTCTCCATGTATCGGTCCGAGCTTCGCAGCAGTGCTTCTTGGATATTCAGGAACAAGACGATAAGTAGAGCACCTAGGTCTGAGCCGCCTCAGTGTCATCGCCATGCTCGATGACGACTCCACGAAAGACGAAATGATGATACCAGTAGACTCCAGTAGACCGAACACAGGTCGGATGTTTTCGGGAGATCGTCTGGGGCCTGTAAGTGCCTGACCAGGATTAAGTATGCTTAGAACTGAACAAACAGGCAAAGAACAAGCATATTCTAGGCATCCTGGATCCACTTCGGATGGCGTGCTCTGGCGTGAGTGCGAATAGCAATGAGCATACCAAAGCTGGGAGATATCGTCACCGAGCGTTGCCGACAGCCCAAAGATAATATAAGATGCAACAGAATACCGATAACGCAAAGAAACTCACAGAATCGAAGATGTCCACCACCACGACCGTCAGCGAGACTTTACCATCGTCGTCGACAACGAAGAACGTTATCCCAAAATGGAAGGCGCCCCCGCCAACCACCGAAACGGAGCTTGAATGGGCCGACATCTTGACCGTGGACTTATCTCTGTATGATACCAAGCGCGATGAGCTCGTCAAGACGGTCGAGACGGCACTACAGAGAGACGGCTTCTTCTACGTCGTGGGGCATGGAATTCCACAAGAGTCGGTTCGTTGTCACTTTCGATAGGCTCTTTCTCGGGATCAGTGTGCTGAACTGAATCCCCGCGCTCTTGGTCACAGTTAGATAAGCAATTCTCGATAGGACAATTCGCCTTCGACGGTGTGTCTAAAGAGGAGAAGAAGGCGCACCGAGCGCCAATCGCAGAGGAGGGTTCGTTCATAGGCTATAAGGTATCGTATTTTTCGCTTTTATCTTTATTCTCATGAGCTCATATACATCTGCTTGAACTCTTAGCTCCAAAATTACTGGGAAATTAGGGATGGTGTGAGGGACAGAATTGAACACTACAATTTCTACCTGAATCAGTCAGTTTGTGTTAGAATTACGACACTGGTTTTTGACGCTGATATCTCAATGCAGAATTGATCCCATCTCGCGGCACCCTAAGCCTCTGCAGCCTTATGTTGACGAGGTCAAAGCATTTATTGCGGTAATTATCACAGCCGATGAATCTTGTCTTGAGGACATGGCGCTCAATATCTTCATTTGCAGGAGTCACGGCAGAAAGTCCTCCGCCGGGTGCTCTCCCTCATTGACGCCGTGCTCGGCCTTGAAGACGGCTACCTCTGGCAATTGCATGAAGATCCACAGGGCCGGAAGGGCAACGATGTAAGCTATCAGACATCTCCACGCGCACGGCCCTTAATTGTTAATCACGTAGCTTTTCCGATACATGATCTACGACCCGCTGACCTCTGCAGAGGCATCAAAAACAAACAATGTCATGCTGAATGGGCACACTGACTTCAACTCTATCAGCACTCTGGTATCGCAACCAGTGACGGCGCTTCAGATTCTTCTACCCGATGGCCACTGGCGTTATGTCAGGGTGAGCGGACTCTTTGAAAGAAATCTCATTCATCCGTGTAATCGTTTTTGTCTCCATTGCTACAGCACCGAGAGGGCGCACTAGTTATCAACATTGGAGACCAGCTGTCTTTCATGTCAGGAGGTCTTTTAAAGGGCACTATTCACAGAGGTGAGTAATTCTATTCTTTCTTTATTCCTCAAACGATCCTTGATTTGTCCATCGACGAAGTTGTGCTTCCGCCCAAGGACCAGCTGAAATACCGGCGCCTTGGCGTTTTCCATTTCGCACACTTCATAAGCGGCATCCCGCTTGACCCCCTTCCGTCGAAGAAGGTACAGACCGAAGGGCGCAAAATATTCGAGGGGAAAGTTCCCACGACAGATGAGTGAGTGTTACCGCCTGAGTCTACTAATTGACGCGTTGAATCTAACTACTTTCTCTTCTCATTAGGTGGGAGTCAGCTCGCGTCAAGACCTACGGGACAGCACAGCTGATCAAGGGAGAGCAGTATGACACTGAATACATCGCAGGCCTCCAAGTCCGGCACTGGCACTGAGTGCGAAGGCGCCAAAGTTGTACATTTGCGATCCTATTTTGTATCGATTCATCGAATATGCTTGTGTGCAATATGTGTATGTTTTATCAGCGGATCATGTAGTAGGCATCTTCTTGCTCTGGTTTCGAAAGTAAGATATACAGATGCAATGATCATAACGATCAAAAAGCGTATGCCCGAAAGAAGGCCAGTCAATTCCGGGACTTAAAGCACTCTATTTTTTTGGCAAGGAGCGATGCAGCACGTCCACGCGACAGTCACATTGATAACATGTGACGTGACGATGTAACATCGCGCGCTTCCCTTGCATCGGCCAATTACAGACCAATTACGGACCTGTACCAGCCATCACCAGAACAACATACTTAGCTTCTGTCTGATAACTAAAGTTCTAGCCAGCCGTGCGAGCCACAACCATGAAAGCGTCAAGCGGAAAAATTATCATTAGGCCCATGCGTGCGCGTGAAGCGGTCGCAGTGCCCGTAGCAGGCCCGAGTAAATCGCGCGCAGAGACCGTTTCAGCGTCAGCGACGCCTGACGAGGACGTCTCTATGGATGAAGGCGATGCAGCGGATGCGGGGACACCTAGTGTTGTGTCTTCGCGTGGAGATGGCAGCGACGTGAAGGCAGAAGAAGAGGACGAGAGTGTATTGGGCGCGCAAAATGGCGACACGCCGAACAGTGTTGCCAATGATATCGACGCGGAACTGGAGGATGTCGAACCAGTGCCAATGCCACGACCACGAGGACGTCCTAGGGGACGAGGGAGAGGCGCATTGGTGGGAAGTGCACGGGCGAGAGGTACGGGAAGGGGCAGGGGTAGGGGAAGAGGGCGTGGAAGAGGGTCAAGAGGTGGGATTACCATTCGCCTTCCAAAAAGAGGCGACGATGATGACGACGAGGCTGGAGGTGTTGAAGGTGAGGATCCCGTGGAGGGCCCGCTCGGGGAGGAAGAGACAATTATGGGGGGAGGCAAGCCGTTTAGGAAGATACAGGGCAAGGTGTATATCTTGGATGGGGACGAGTATATCATCGAGGACGATCCAAAAGGAGACACAAAGATTGACCAGTTCGGGAATCTGCTTGGAGGCACGTCTCTCGCCATCTCTTCCTGGCTTTGCTCGTCCTAATTGTCTATTTCTGTTTTCTTACGCATTCTTTCCGTTCATCATGCAGGACGCAAGTTCAAGGCACAGACATTCACGCTTCCACGGCGAACGCCTGAGCGGGTGTACATGCTTGCCATTGACGCGGCTCGGACATCTGGCTTCCGGGACTCGTTGTACTACTTCCGACGAAATCCCCTCGCGTTCAAACTGAACGCGACGCAGCCAGAGAAAGACTACCTCATCTCAATTGGCAAGCTCGGGTCGCACCTTCGCACGCGCAGCGTCACGCTCGTCACTGCCCGCAGCGCATTCAAGCTTCATGGTGCGAAGACGATCCTTGGTACGTCACCCGAGCTTATATTCGTTCGCCTGGTCTTACTCGCACTTACATCATTTCATATCCCGTGTATAGATGGTAAGTGGGTAGTGGACGACTACTACGAGGACAAAGTCCTCGCCGAGATCACTGCCAAGGGTCTCAAAGCGGGAGATCCGGTCGGCGAGCTCGCAGACCCAAATGCGCCCACAGCGCATGCTACCGCATCTGCCCTTGATGCGTCTGGCGCGTCAGGTGCTGGTGGCGGGGGCAAGGGCGAGCGCGGGAGCGGCCTCGGGCTGTACCGTTCTGGCGGGCCAACCACCATTTTCGGTGGTGCGGGCTGGGGGCCGTATAGCGACGGGCCTTTGAATGCGGTCCGCAAATCGCTTCTGAACAGGGAGGGATTGGATGAGGAGAATTGGATGCTGGTGGCTGCGCAGAGGACTGCAGAGGCGAATGCGTCTTGGGCGCGGCTGAGGAGAAAGAGTCTGAAACCATGTGGCGGAGTGCTTGGCGTGAGTATAGAAAAGGGTAGTGGGTTGGATGCAATAGAGGAGGAAGAAGAGGAGGGACCAGAGAGGAAAAAGAGGAAGAAAGTGAGGACATTGGAGGATACGATGCCGCTTGGGGTGTACGAACCGCACGCAGGCGTTGTGCTCTGTAAGCCCCTTTGTTCCCTTGTCCTCTTTTTGCGTTGCTCAATGATGACGTCTCCTCTGGTGCATCTTGCAGACCGCACGGACACGCAGCCAACGCGTGCGCGTTGGGAAGGCCTGCCTGACGATACGGAGAAGAGACAAGTCTTGGGCGGTAGCAAAGCGGGAAACGGCGCATGGGCGCTTGCATGGGTAGATACCGTCATGGAGCTGCGCGCTGGCACAGGAGACAGCTCTGTTTCCGCCATGGAAGGCTTGTAGGTGGTAAACGGATACATATCAGCCCATGCAAAGGATCCTGCAGGGCATGACCGTGCGAGCGCGCTCCAAGAGAACATACACTTCAGATGCACTCCAACTTCAATGGCGAAAGCTACTGTGCTGGTGGGTAAGGCTGACCGTTCTCTGCCCTCGGAGGTATCGCCTTGAAGGGCTCAAGCTGGAAATTCTCGGTCTCCGCAGCTGACCGTCTGATACTCTCGTGTAGAGAATGAATGATTTTGCCCAGGATTTGGGGGAATCCTGAATTGATAAATAGACTTGAACGACCAGTCTAACCCCGTGCTCTACCCGCACATTGATGGCCTCCTCGGCGATGTTACACTACTCTGCTTGATTTTTCTTTTCATGTTCTTCCTCTCCCCAATCGTGACTATCTCACCCATCGCTTAAGTTTGGCTTTCATCCTAAGACAGCAGCAATGGATCGATTGACTACGAGATGCTCAATGTACAATACTACAGCAAGCTAGACGCGATTTATATGGTGATATTCCTTAGACGACATGATTGCGCATCAGATTGAACATATAGAGGCTATGGACAGTCTTCACGCATGCACGGCCGGCGCTCGGGCTACGATACATAGGATATCCTTTGCTCAATACCGACCGTGATTGGAAAACTTGGGGAGACTCAGACGCTTGCAGACGCCAGGAGTACAGTAGTCAACCTCTGCACACTAGACGTTGTGTCTGCTCGTACGCACAAGGAATATATGGTTAGTTGACGAGACTCCTTCAGTCTATGTGATCGTATCCTTGCTCCAACACCTGAACGCAGCTAGAGCCATCGCCATCATTTTTGAGTGATACAAACCATGATCGTAGTCATCACGAGCTGATTTTGGCACGAGTTATGCTGGCTCGGTCCTTACGGTCCCCTTGCACGCAGTGAGTGTGAAAGAGTTTCGCCTCGTATGCACTGGAGTAATCCTTGCATTTGGACCGAGAGGCTTTCTTTGTTGGCGGGGGACATTTGTGCTGCATCTTTGCACACCTCGCTTGTTGGGCGTCATCACCTTGCCTTGTTATCGATAGCGCTGATAGAGTAGGAGAGTGGCTAGCTCTGTGGCAGTAGATGTGATCCGATGATGTATTTGCTCCGACCATACGCTGTGTTTTTGGCTCGAGCAAATCGCGTAGAGGGCATGAAGACAACAAGTTGTGCTGTGCATAGTTGCCAGTTCAGTCCATACGCGACGACCACGAGCGTAGATGGCGCATCCGATAAGTCGGGAGCAGCCTGATGAAGTACGATTGACGATCTATTGTTTACGTCAAGGAAGTTTGAACTCAGAGCAAGGCGTTGTACGAACATAAGTGCCGAGGAAGATGTGGGTGAGGGAAAAAACAGCACCCATAGGCACCTGTGCCATCCTTTTCGACTACCACCATCCCATAGCCCCATCGTCGCATCTCTATGAACAACATCACAATGTTTTCCCATGATAACCAGCACTCACCTTTCCATGCTCCGACCAGTGAAGACATCAGCTACCCCATGCTCTCTCACACTCAGTTGTCAATGGTCGACGAGGTAGAGTTGAGGGGATCAACTCAACGCGCCACCCAGCACCTCAAATGCTACCCGTCCTCTGCAGCACAGCGCTCGGTGTCCCCAATCGCAGTGATGTATCCCCCCTACAGCTGCATGGCGTCACCCCAATCCGCAACCTGGACCGGGATTCAGGGTGGCGCGGACGACAGCGTCCAACCAAGCCAACCGGATCCTATGTTCGATGTCCCGCGGGCGGGTTATTGGTGTGCACCGGGGATTATGCTGCAATCGCAGTGGAACTCGATGCCCACCACACAGCGGGTCGCCAACCAGATGAACGTGAGCGGCGCACTCTGTTTGCGGTATGCTAGTTTGGCGCCACTCACCGCTGAGCTAGGGCTTAATCGAGGTCCCGAGCGCACCCTTCGTAGCAGGGTTGCCTCCTTATGCGGGTGAATTCCAGCAGGCGTCGACGGCACAGGTGGGCAGCGACGGTGCCTTCAACCAAGCCGGCCAATTCTTCCCCGATGCCGTCACAGCAGCCATGGGGATCGACAGGAATCTCTACTTTAACCCCAGCACCACTGTTCCCCAACACTTGCCACTGTCAACCGGTTATGCACAGGGCGATTATATGCCCACGCATCAGCCCATAGCATCGCCCAACCGTCACACCATATATAATCCCTCACCGGGTCCTCACTCGTCATACCTACCGAATCACAGCATGATTGACCACAGGAGAGGAATTCCGTTCTCGGACGGCCTTACTGACGATGTCCCCACCTGGATGGCCCCAAAGCGCCAGATCTACGATGGCCGTGGCGAGGGTCTATCCACAGAGCAGTGCCAACATAGTCTGGGAACAACTGATGAGGGGGACAGACCGCTGCCAGGTGGCGGGAGGGGGCTTGTCGCACCGACTGCTGCCTCACCCGATGGAGGGCAGCAATCAGGCAAGACCCTGACCAACAACGGACTATACAAGACATTTGCTCTCGAGGAAGGGATCTTTCGAGAGCAACAAGGCCTCGCAGGTACCCCATCGGCTGAGCCAGGGTCTAGTACTCAACAAAGCCCCAACCGACCAGCGAAGGATGGAAGAGGTGTTGCGGCTAGGCGACAACCAAGGGTCGCAGGCAACAGTAGGAGCAAGACAAGCAATGGAGCGTCGTCGTCGTCGACCGGCGTGGCCTGTATATGGCCTGTGGGAACCGCACCCAACGATAAGCCGTGCCCGTGGACTTTTGCACAGTCCCAAAATATGCTGCAACATGTCCGTAAGGAACACCTCCGCGTAGCGATAAGGTGCCCACACTGCGGCACGTACATCACACAAAGGCTGCGCATGCACCAAGACACGTCTATCTGTCGCCTTCTCGTGGAGGGAACTGATATGGAATGGGAGCGGAGGGCGCGGAATGCCCTCCAACGCACAGAGGCTATGGGATTCGTGAACGGGCGGGAGCTGTCTGATGGCGTAGTCCGGAAGCTCGTGAACGCGCTACGACCCCTCATAGAGACTGGCCGCTCACGACCGCAGGACATCGTGGATGGCATCGATGCGTGGATGAGGGAGGATAGCGGGGCGGAGTGGGGATGGCAGAGGAGCACAGACATTGTATGGACGCGGCCCACCGCCCACACGTTTCCTTCGTGAGGGGTTTTATCGTCCTGTCGTCGATCGCTATCAATCCAGATCTCTTCCCCTTTCTCTCCAAGTCGCCATTTTCTGTTCCGTTCCGGCACTGTGAACGTGTCTGTACTTGCATGCAATGTCACATACCGACAAATCATCCTCACATCGCTGCCCCTCGGCCGACAAAGCAAGCACGACAAAGAAGCCTGCTATCAAGATTCAAATGCAGGCCTGAAACGAAAACAGCGACTTCCTCCTGATCTGCCCAGCTGGAGTAGTAAGAGGTGGTATTCCAATGTGCATGACCGAGATAACCTCAAATGCCCAGCACGTGGCGCTATCGCCTCGCGGAAACAACCCCGCGCTGGGCCCCGTTCACAACGACGTCCCATCTGAAAGCCTTGATCAGATCGTCTGATGGGTTTGTTTCTATTTAACGGGTCAAGGAAAAGCATCGACGAGTGCAGAACGTCTGTAGTAGCAAAGAGGGTCTTAGATCCGTAGTTTTTCAGGATATTAGGATAGAAACATTTCTAAGGCGGCAATGTACACGATGTGGTCAACGTTGTTCCAGGATACCTCGCAGCGTACGAAGCTCGGAAGCAAGTCAGACGGCGAGGACAGATTTGATTCATGCCTTTTCAATCAGATGTCAAGATGACGGGCACGTTCCGCGAAAGGACACAGTCCTTGTCCGCAGCTCGTCTCGTATAAGAGAATGCGGCATCGAATGGGAGCGCGCTGCGTAACCTGACCGCGATGGTCGACGCAACAGGTCTGGTATGCATGTTCCACGGCCCGTCGAGTATCATAGACACGCAAGGTGTTGCTCTCGGTCAGGAGCTGAACCATTTTGAGGGCAAGATATAGAACAGGATGGGGCATAACGTCTAAGACGACGGTCATTCAAAGATGTGTGTGTCCCCCGATCAGGACAACGGAAATTCACAGGGTTGTTGTGGATGTCCATCCCATCTTTCGAATTTGGGGCTTCTTCCTTGAGAAAGGCCAGGCGAGAGCATCGAGGGTGCACACCTTTAATACGTGGTGTGAGGGGACCGGCGTCCTCGGTATCGACCGAGCCTCCTCAGCGCAAGCATACATGCCGCCGGAGCCCGAGTCCACCGGAATGTACAGCAAGGAAGCAGAGCTGAGAGATGCGTTAGGATCCTACAGTCTTGCCTGGCGGAGGAGTCGAGCGTTGAACCTGCTAAATTAGATGAAGGAGAGACGCGAGATTAACGATGGGGCAAACGTACGCACGTGTCCTGTAATGCGAGAAACTGTGTTTGGAGTCTGAGAATGCGGAGGAGGGACGACGATGGGACTCGATGAGTGGTTGATGCCGCACGGCGGAGGGGGCTGTAAGAAGCTGCGTATGAAAACAGTAGCGAGCGGCGCAATGCGTTGTACATTCACTCGCACCGCTTGTCGCATCCTGATCACAGTGCTCGTTGAGTTTGATGCTTCACGCCTGTGAAGGCGGACAGTGAGCCACAAAACAACTGATATTTTCCAGGTGTCGGGGGTTCTAGACACATGATAGGATATTCGAGAGGGTACAACATACACGACGTCTTCAGGCAGTTGCGAGATTCTGCAACTTGAATACAACGGAATAAGCTCCTGGCCATCCGTGGTTTACTAAAAGCATTCAAGGATTAGATGAAGTGGATCCCATCTTCGCGCTAATCACCTTATATTTCTCTGAGGATCACGGACCTCTGATCTTGAGCTTCAATTCAGGCTACGTCCCGGTCATGACTTCGTATATGTCCCCGTCGTCCGCAGGCGCGCGTCGCGACAACCGCTGACCCCAGAACCGCATCACAGGCTCCCACTCGTCGCGCGTACGGGGCATGGAGACTTCTCCTTCCTCTCCTCCCTCATCGTCCGTGAGTTTAACGGGGAAGCTCGCTTCGGTGACGGAATCGAAGGCTTTGCGCAAGGCCGCAAGAGTGGAGGCGGCAGAAGGACGAGTTGCGGAAGGGCGGTGGAAGTAGAAGAGCGGGGTCGGACAGGCCGGCATTCCTGGTGTGGGGTAGGAGAGAAGGGATCCGCAGACAGAAGCTACAGATCCGAGCGCACCCACGCCTGCGCTCGCGTCACCCTCCTTCTCCTTGTCTTTTCCCTTCCCCTTCTCCGCCTCGCGCGCCCATCTGACTACGGTCTCGACAGCGACACTCCCACCCTGCGCGAACCCAAACATGTGCACTCTATTTGCAGGCCATTGGCACTCGGTAGTGAGGTAAGAGATGACGGTAGAGATGAGATCGAAGGCTGGCGTCGGATCCGCTTGTGGGTCAGGCTCGGCGAGCGCTGTGAGGGAGGGGTACCACTGGAACCCGGGAGCGTCAAGGAAGGGAAGTCTGGATAAATGGAAGGTGAGAAGTGAAGTGGGATGGAGCGCGAAGGGGGAGTTGCGCTCACTGCAAAGAGGCACAGAGCGCGAGGGTAGCCGTCTGCGGGAGATTGAGCGCACGCCCGAGACTCGCGAATGGGCCATGCGTATCACCTAAACCGCGAACGATCCAGCCCCACAATCATGTTCACGTCCAAAAATGAGGACAAGACTACGAATGAGAAGTCAGACGGACGGACCGAGGCCGTGGAGGAGGACGAGAAGGTTCTCGTCGACGCCATCGGGGCTCGGGGTGTACGTGAATGGGATCGGGAGTGCTGATGCGTTCGGCCCTGGCTTGGTGCGTGGCGAGCGGCGGATCTGTGCGCCGATGTCAGCGCTGGCGCGGACGTGTATGTCGGTAGGGTCTGGCATGAAGGATCACAAGTGGTCGATGGTAGAGGAGCTGGTGGATATTGACCAGCATTGATCGCATCCGACTTGCATTCTTGAATATTCGGCAGAGATCGGCATGTCACATGTATACATTGCATCAGCGCCCTCACACATATCTATTTCATTGATTCCACCCTCCCTTCCAGTGCCTCAACCTCCCTCATTGCGCAAGGAGCACAAGCCCCGGATTTAACACTGGTATCAATTTCTTGCCGCAGAAAACGTCCCCTCGTTGCAGAGAATGTTGACTCCGGTACAGATTTTGAACTCCTTACTCCGCGAACGTCTTTACCGGACCTGTGTACGATCTATTAGACCCGATTTTCAGGCCCGAGCTGCAACCTCCGGACGGCGCATCATACATACCAGCAGATAGCAGCTCAGATGGCAGGCCTCGAAGCGATGCGTAACATCTGATCAAGCCATTCCCCCCACACACGCAAGTACTACGTTCCCGCTCTCTCACATCCAACAAGATCATTGGCTAGTCGTGTCAAGCTTTGAGCTGACAGGGTTTTGTGGATGCCAGACATCGTGAACGTTCTCTTCGTAAGGGTCAAAGCAACCCTCAGCGGCACGGCAGCATGGGCTTGTCGCATCGACTCACATATATGGCGCAAAAAGTCCCAAACGATCCAGTTATCAGCTATGGCCGCCCGAGAGTCGGCCGCAGCGCACACAATTGGACGGGGTCTTCAACTGCGCGAAAAATCGACAAGAGATACAGATACAGTACATATTGTCTGATGACGTGTCAAGGATCTCTCTGGAGCCCAAAACTTGTAAGAACGACGACAAGACGGCAAAAAGGCCCCAAAATCGCAAACGAGTTGCCGGCGCGCACAACTGTGATTCGACCGCACGAGAAATCGACATCGACCGAATTGGTAAGAAATACAGATACAGTACACATTGTACGACGATGCGCCAAGAATCCCTCTGGAACTGAAGAAAATTTTGTAAAATACACGGGAGTCAAAGAAAGAAAGTCCGAGGGTCTTTAGGCCTCGTACGGGGGAGGGTCCGAAATACGGCAATCTGGTCGAGGTCTGGGGCTATACGGTAATGATGATAGAGCGTCGACCGAGACCGCGCTAAAGGGACGTTGGACGGAATACGGCCGGGGAGGGATGATCTGGGAAGCCGGTCCCTCTTCCGAGGGTACCAGGGTGTCGGGCGGCACCTGAGAAGTTTGAGTAGGTACGACGGGCGAACCCTCCGGCATACTAGAAGCGCGGACGGGACCGTGGTGCAGACGTATATAGATCCCTGACCGGAGCTGTCTGAGCTCGCGCCGCAGGCGCAGGTAGAGAACGATGGCCGCCAGGGCCAGAACCAAAGACGCGCTCCCGAAAACTGCGCCGCTGATGATGAGCGACTCCGAGTAGCTGTGAGATCGGGGACAAGAGCGGGAGGTAGAATGGGGAGGAAGAATCGTGGCCGATGGGATAGAGGAAGTCGTGGCCGATGGGAAAGAGGAAATCGTGGCCAATGGGAAAGAGGAAGTCGTGGCCAATGGGAAAGGGTGAGTCGTGACCAATGGGAAATGGCGAATCGTGGCCAAGTGGAAATGGTGAATTGTGGTCGTTGGAGAGGAGGAAATCGTGGTCGTTGTTGGGACGAACGAGATATTGGTGAGCAATGGAACGACGGGGGGGGGATAAGGAGGACGAAGTGAGCGTCAAGTACGACCCTCGCACGCAGCATGATTGGTGGGGCGTGCCAATGTTCAAGGATAGGCTGTCTGAGGGTGCCGGCACTGGTGGGATACCATACTCCATGGGAAGATAGGAGAGTAGACCTCGCGCGCACGTGCAGCCGATGATGTCAAACGCAAAGCAGATCGAAGGAAGGACGGCGAAGAACCTGAATTCGCGGCCTAGAACACGATAATATATATACAGCGACAGGCCCGACAACGAACACAGCACAGCATCAAGAACCCAACGAGGACAGCGGTTCCGGAAATCGAGAACCTACGAGGATACATCTCCGACGCCATAGAGACTGCATCGCTGCCCAAGAAACTTCATCCCATCGTGCGAGTGTGGCTTTGGGCCCGTCGCAGACGCTATCGCACGAGTTCCGAGCAGGACATCCTTTGTCCGATCCAGGTGTCGGCGCACAGACCACGCGCCGTCCATGGGATACCTCCCGCACATCGCTCGAGGCATTCGCGCACGCTTGGTGACGATCTGATCATCAAAGGTCGCCAACTGTTCAGCTCGGGCAGCCAAGACAACAGTTGGAGGGCGTCGGGCGTTGTACCGTTCGGGTGCCATCAATCAATCACCGTACGCTGCAAAATACCGACCGATTGACGGTGCGGGCCCTATAAAGGCTGCTGGCTGGCTGGCCGCTCACGACCGACGGACGCAACGAACGGCACCGATTCGTGGATGAACAAAGTCGATAGCGGGGCCGAGTGGGAATGGCGGAGGGGCACAGGCATCGCATGGACGCGTCCCGCCGCCCACACTTCCTTCGCGAGGGTTTTATCATCCCGTCGTCGATCGCCATCGATCCAGATCCGTCTCTGAGATCGCCTTTGACGGCCCCGTTCCGTGCCGTAAATGTGTACGTGCTCGCATGTAGTGTCGCATATACATACCGACAGGTCATCCCTCGACCGACGAAGCAAGCACGGCACAGACGCTCGCTATCGACGCCTTGACTGCGGATATACGAGGAAAGGGAAGCGATTCCCCTGCGGTCTGTCCGGCCGATCCACGATCGAAAGGTAGAAAGAGTCTGTACTAGCGAGAGGCGCGGACCGTCAGTACCGCACTGTGCACGGCCGAAGGCGATAGCCCAGAGATGCTCAGCACGCGGCGCATGCACGCCAGAGCCCGCTCTCCCGCCGGCTCTGTTACTTGCGGTCGGACGGTCGGCCTCCACTTGGCTTTCTTGACACATCGCCGAGTCGTGTCTCCCACCTGGGCGTTAGCGAGAGAGATACAGGGGGAAAAGCAGCGCGGGGCGCACATCCAGGTCGGCAGAGAACGTCGAGTCGGAGACCGCACTCCAGGGGCCCGGGCAGACAGACGCAGCCCCGACAGAGCGAGTCTGCGACGGCAGCGGAGGGTGCAGGGGCCTGCCTTGAACAACGCAAAAGGACATACAGACGGACAGACGGACGGACAGACACAGCCTAGATGAACCAAGTCGGCGTCGGCGTCGCGATGCGTCCTACACCAAGCATGCAACATGCCACATTTTCATCGCGCTCTCGCGTGGCAGAAGCGCCGAGCACCGAATCGGACGGCGAGAAAAGCCGTGGTCCGACGCGGTCCGACGCACTCTACTATAGTCTCCGTGGCCGACCTAGCAACGCAGAAGACAGAAGGCAGAAGACGGAAGACGGAAGACAGAAGGCATGGGCCGCGATGGCCTCGCGAGTGCGGCGTCGGCGCACGCGGCAGAGCCTCGACCAACTGGCTAGCGAAGCGCGAAGAGGTGCTGCGGGCGGCTGTTACGGGCGACGATAGGGAGGGTCGGCCTGCCGCGAGAGGAGCGTCGCGGTCGCCGGGAAGGAGCTGCGCTCGTGGAGGCGCACGACACGACACGACGCGACGCGACACGGCGTGGGACGACATGGCACGGCGCGGCACGGCGCGGAACACGGCCAACAAACCGCCGGCGTTTCCTCGCGCGCGCGCCCCTACAACGAAACGAAACGAAACGAAACGAACCAGACGCTCGGCGAGCTGTGGAAGGCTGTGGCGCATCTCTGTAGAATAGAGCGAAACGAACGAAACGAACCAGACGCTCGGCGAGCTGTAGAGGGCTGTAGCGCGTCTCTGTAGAATAGAGCGCAACGAACGCAACGAACGCAACGAACGCAACGAACGCGACGAACGCGACGAACGCAACGAACGCGACGAACGCGACGAACGCGACGAACGCAACGAGCGACAGAACCAGCCGACGGGAAACAAGAAGCGCTCGAAGCCGCGCTCGAAGCCGCGCTCGAAGCCGCGCCGCCGCGCGCCCGATGTTCATGCCATGGCGGGCCGCCGAACGTGCGCGCCGGACACGAGCGGCAGAGCGCTGCGCGACGGGACCTGATGCCGATGCCGACGCCGATGCCGACGCCGAGTTTGTGTGCGCGTGTGCGCGGCGGGGCGCGGTCCGCGCGGGGAGTCGAGCGGGAGGAGTCGAGCGCGGCGGGACGGGACGGGAGGCGGCGCTGCGGGGAGGCTCGGAGGCCGCGGGGGTGCGTGCCGGGATCGGGGCCGCAGGATGAGCTGCGGGGTGAGCGGGGGACGGAGACGGCGGCGATGTGGTGCGATGCGGTGCGGCGACGGCGGCGGCGAGGGCGAGGGGGCGAGGATGGAGGGGCGGGATCGCTGGTGCGGTGCGGTGCGGTGCGGTGCGGTGACAGGTCCGGATGCGGATGCGGACGTGGCTGCAGATGCGAATGTAGATGCGAGTGCGGGCGGGGATAGGGCGCGGGGGACTGGGGCCGAACGGGGTGTGGTCGATGTGCGCGTGGGTGTGCGTGGGTGGGGACGCGGGCTGCGGGGACGGAGACGCTGGAGAGGAGGCTAGAGAGGGGCGGCTGGGCGGACGGTCGGAGGGGGTCGGGACGATGGGGCAGGGTGGTGATGGGGGACGGGCTGGTGACGTACGGTGCGCCCCGCGGTCTGGGTTGGATGGCGGCGGGCGGGCGGGTGCAAGGGAGCCGAGGGCTTCTACGACTGCGACCGCCATGGCAATGGCTATGGCTATGGCGGGCTTGCGTGCACGGGACGGGCCTGGGCTGGCCCGTGCGCACGAGGGGGCGGGGGCGGGGCGGGACGAGAGAGGGGCGAGAGGGAGGGACGAGAGCGCCTTGGAGGAGGAGGGGGGGACGTGTGCGATCCGAGATCTGGGGCCGGCAATTGGAGACGATGGGATGGGAGATCTGGCTGCCGCTGCCGTGACGCTTTCGCACTTGGGTCTCGCCTTCCGCACCCGCCCCTCGCTTCCCCCTCCCTGCCCCTCTCCGCCCGCGCGCTCCCTGCCCATGCGCGCGCAAGAGCCCAAGCGACGACGGCGACGCGCCGCGCTGCTGTGGCTGAGCGCGGGAGACGTGACGGGGTGCGTGACGGGGTGTGACGGGTTTGTTGATTGGTGGTGCCGCTCGTCGTCGGTTTTTCCCGCCACCTCACCGCCAGCAGCGAGCTCGCACACACGCGCAACGCACACACACGACCGGGGCACTCGCGCGACAGCACCAGCAGCGGCAAGAGCCATCGCAGCAGCAGCGGACGCGGGACACCCGGGGAGCGATTAGGAAGCAGGGCCGAGGCGCGTGCGGGGCTTAGGGCATTCGGCCAGCGCAGCTGTGCAGCGAAACACTTGTTTGAGGAGAGCGCACACCGCACGCACACGCACACGCACACGCACGCACAGACGCACTCCAGCCCGTCTATTCATATTCGTGACGTCCCTCCGCCGTCTTCTCCCTCCGCCCCTCCCTCCGCTCCGTGCGGACACCACCCGTCGCCGCCGTCGTCATCGTCGTCGACCGCGCCCCCCCTCCTCCTTTCACCCCCAAAACGTAAGCTTTCCCTTGCCCTGTCCCGAACCCTGTGACCCCTCCCTCGCCCGTCGCCCGCGTAGATGCGCTGATCCCCACGATGATCCCCGATCCCCTTATCTCTCCTTATCGCCCGCGCCCGCGCCCTGTCCTGTCCTTCCCGCCCCGCCCCGCTCCCTTTGCGCAACCCACGCTGACCCGCCCCGCCCTTCCCCTAGCATCACTTGACCGCGTCGCGATCCCACGCCCCCGCGTCCTCCAGCATTCCGCCCCCTCCTCGGTCAGTCCTCCCCTCCCCTCCCGTCGCGCCGCCCGCACCGCCGCTGATCTCCCCTTGCCGCCCCACAGACGCGCCCACGCGCACAATATATCCACCCGCACTGACCCCCCCCCCCCTCGCCCCTGAGGACTGACGACAGCGATCCAACATGAACATGAACCTCAACAACCTCCCCTCCTCCTCTGGCACACCCACACCCGCCCCGCCCCCCTCCTCCTCCGCCGCCGCCTCCGCCTCCACCACCACCCCAGGCCTCATCGGCGGCAGCGGCGGCTTCCAGCAGCACCTCCAGGCGCAACTCCAGCAGGCGCAACTCCAGCAGCACCTCCATCAACAACAGCAACAGCAACAGCATCATCATCATCAACAACAGCAACAGCAGCAGCAGCACCCCGCCGGCATGGGCATCAACATGGCCAGCATGGCCAACATGGGCCCCATGGCCAGCAATCTCGGCGCCATGTCCAACCTTTCCGGCTTGTCGAACCTCGGCGCCCTCGCCGGCATGGGGGGCGTGCCCGGCGCCGGCGCATCCGTGAACCCCGCGCTGCTCGCACAGCTCCAGGCCCAACAGCAGCAGCAGCAGGCCCAGCAGCAGCAGCAGCAGCAGCACAAGGTCGGCGGCGGTATGTTTGGACGCGGCAGCGGCGGGGGCGGGGGCGGGGGCGGCGGCGGCATTGGGATGGGCATGCAGGGCCTCGGGATGCAAGGTCTCGGGATGCAGGGCCTCGGGATGGCCATCCAGGCTCTCGGCGGACAGCAGCAGCACCCACAACAGCAGCAGCACCCACAACAGCAGCAGCACCCACAACATCAACAACAGCAGCACCCACAACATCAACATCAACATCAACATCAGCACCAGCAGCATCAACAACATCAACAACAGCAGCAGCAGCAGCACCAACAGCAGCAGCAGATGGCGCTGAACCCCGCGATGCTGCTACAGCAGGCTCAAAGCGGCGGCGCGACTTCCGCCTCCGCGTCCGCATCCGTATCGCCATCGAATAACGGTACCGGCGGCGGCACCGGCGGTGGCGGTGGCGGTGGCGGGATGAACATCGGCATGAACGGCGCAGGCGGGAGTCTCGGCTCCAACGCCAGCAGCAGCAGCAACAGCGGCGGGAACGGTGGCGTCAACCCCGCCGCGCTGGGCATGCTCGGCGGCGGCGCCGGCGCCGGCGTCCAGGGCGCGTCTGCGACGGCGCAAGGCTTGGGTCTCGGGCAGGGACTCGGGCAGGGACTCGGGCAGGGACTGGGCGGGGGCGGGGGGCAAGGGTTCGCGGGGCTGGGGGGGCTGACGCCGGGGCAGGTGCAGCAGATGCAGCAGATGCAGATGACGCCGGGGCAGATGGCGCAGGTGCAGATGCAGATGGCGCAGCAGAGTCAGCAGCAGCAGGGGCAGCAGGGGCAGAGTCACCTGGGTCAGCAGATGGCGGGGATGGGGATGACGCCGGCGCAGATGCAGCAGCTCGGGCAGGCGCGGATGATGGCCGTGGTGAGTGCTTTTGCGATCGCGTCGCGTCCCCGTTCGCTCGCGCTTTTTTGCGCATTTTGCGCATTTTGCGCGATTTCTGTTATGACTTTTTTTTTTTTTCTTTTTGCGCGTCGTTTCTTGTGGTTGGAATGCGGCGCTGATCGTGTGCTCTTCGTGGTAGCAGCAGCAGCAGCAGCAGCAGAGGCAGTTGCAGGCGCAGGCGCAGGCTCAGGCGCAGTCGCAGTCGCAGGCGCAAGGCCAGGGCCAGGGCCAGGGACAAAATTTCGCGCATCAGCAGCAGCAGCAGTTTGCGCGGGACCAACAAGCGCACGGGCACGGCCAGCAGGGCGCGCAGGGCCAGCAGGGCGCAGGACAGCAGGGCGCGCAGGGGCTGCAGGGCGTGCTCGCGCAGCAGCAGGCGCAGCACGCGATGGCCGCGCTGTACGAGCGCGAGCGCGAGCGCGCGCGCTCCGCGTCGTCCGCGTCGTCCTCGCACCACGCGCACCATGCGCCCGCGTCCGCGTCGGCGCAGAATCAGGCGCATCTGGGCGGCCAGCAGCAGCAGGGGTTCCAGCAGATGATGCCGCCGCCGCCGATGAGGCCGCCGTCGTCGCGCCCCGGGACGGCGCATTCGCAGCATTCGTCGCGTTCGCCGCCCGCCAGCGCCGGCGGCAACGTCAGCGTCAACGTCAACGCCAACGCCAACGCCAACGCGAACGTGAACGCGAACGCGAACGCACACGCGAGCGCGCACGCGAATATGAGCGCGATCATGGGCGCGAGCGGCGGCGGCGGCGGCGGCGCGGGCGGGCAGATGCAGCGCCCGCCGAGTCGGCCGAGGACGTCGTCTGGGATGGGCACGGGGATGGGGATGGGCACGGGGATGGGGATGCAGATGGGGATGGGGATAGGGATGGGGATGGGCGGGATGGGCATCGGCGGGATGGGGGGGATTGGAGGTATGGGCGGCGTGGGCGGCGTGGGCGGCATGGGGGGCATGGGGATGGGGATGGGGATGGGGATGGGGATGGGGATAGCGAAGCCGCCGACGCCGGTGCAGACGTCGGGCTCGTCGCCGTTTGGAAGCGGCGGCAGTGGCGGGGGGTTCGGCACGCCGAATCCGGGCTCCGTGTCGCCTGGGCGGAAGCGCAAGCTGACGGGCGGCGGGCTCGTCGGTGTTGGCATCGGAGGAGTCGGGGCAGCAGCGGGAGCGGGAGGGCAAGCGATGGCGGTGGACGAGTTTGGCGCGAACGGCGTGGGTATCAACGGCGTTGGCGTCGGCGTCGGCGCGGGCGGGATGGACGGGGCGCTGCTGGGCGGCGCGGGCGGGGGAATGATGGGCCCGCCGCACGTCGTGCCGAGCAGGATGGGGATGCCGGTCGGGACGGGGATGGGGGCCGGGATGCAAGGCCACGGGGCGGACGTGCCGCTGCCGCTGCCGATGTCGATGTCGATGGCGATGCCGTTGGCGATGCAGAGCCCGATCGCGATGCAGGGCCCGATGGGCGCGCCTGGGACGCCGCAGATGGGAGGCATGGGCGGCATGGGCGCGGGGTTGGGAGGCATGGGTAGTGTCGGGATGGGGGGCATCGGGATGGGAGGGATGGGGAGCATGGGTATGGGGAGGCAGGCGTCGCTCCCGCCTGCGCCGTCTACACCCGCGCAGGTGCATGCGCCATTCGGGGGCGGACAGCAGCAGCAGCAACCGCTCACTCCGCTGCAGCAACAGCAACAGCAACAGCAGCAGCAGCATTTACAGCAGCACCAGCAGCACCAGCACCAGCAGAGGATGGAGAGCCCCGTGCGGCAGGCGTCGCAGCCCCCCATCGCGCTCGGGCCGTCCATCGGGCGGCTGTCCGCGGCCGGGCTTCCTGGTGTGGGCGTGGGCGTGGGCGTTGGCATGGGCGTGGACCCCCGCGCGTCGGCCCTGGCGTCTGGGTCACCTGCGATATCCGCGAGCGGAAGCGGTGGCGGCGGCGGGCTTTCTGGCCTTGCGAACTCGAACTCGAGCTCGAGCTCCGGCGCGGGCGCGGGCGTGGCTCAGATGGGGGCGGCGGCGGCGGCAGCGGTGGCGAGCACCGCGCACTCCTCGAACGCAGGCGCGAGCGCGGGGGCGATCCCGCTGCCGCCCCTCCCGCCGGGCGCACGCGTGAGCAAGGCGAACACGCGGCTGACGCTCGTCGCGCCGGACGCGGTGGCGCCGCTGCGGGCGGACGAGGTGCGCGCGGTGGAGGGGTGGATGGCGCGCGACGCGGCGTACGAGGGCGCGTTCCGCGCGATGGAGGACCGCATGCGGGGCGAGGCGCGGGAGGTGCGGCGCGCGGGGCCGGCGGGCGGCGGGCGGTTCTGGTGGGAGGTGTCGGACCGCCGGGGGCGCGGCGGGAAGTTTGGGGTGGTGTATCCCGGGCAGCAGCAGCAGCAGCAGCAGATGCAGATGCAGATGCCGCAGATGCTGGCGATGCAGCATGGGAAGAGGCGGAAGAGGCGGGAGGGGCTAAAGCTGTGGGTCGCGCGCTCGTTTTTTTTTTTTTGCGGGTGGGCGTTTTGCTGACTGTTGTGTTTTTTTCTTTGGGGTTTTTTTTCTTGGGTTCGGTTTTGCTGTGCTCGACGACGACGATGGCGGCGTGCGCGCGTCACAGGCCCCGTAAAATCCGGTCGGAGGACGCGGACAGGCCCGAGCAGCTCGTGCCGATACGGCTCGAGTTTGACGTCGAGCATCATAAAATGCGGGACACGTTCGTGTGGAATCTGAACGGTGCGTGGGGCTGTCGCCGCTCTCGCTGATTCGTTTGAGGCGCGGAGGCTGACTGGGATCGTTCATGCTCTCGCTCGCTCGCTCGCTGTGGAACGCGGCGTTGTATTGCATTGCATCTCTCACACATACTATGGACACGGACACGGACACGGACACGCGCAGACTCGGTCGTCACGCCTGAGGTCTTCGCGCAGTCGGTCGTAGACGACTACCAGCTCGCGCCGAGCTACCATGCGGTCATCACCAAGTCGATCCAGGACCAGCTGAGCGACTTCAAGGCGCACACGGCCGCCGCGCTTGGCGACGAGGAAGGAAACGGCGCGCCGCGCGAGGTCGCCGTGGGTGCGGGCGAGCTGGAGGGCGAGGAGGCCAAGTGGTGGGAGGGGTGGCGGAAGCGCGTGCGGGTGGACGAGCGGAAGGGCGGGGGGCGGAAGAGGCGGAAGGTGCTCGTGGACGTGGATAACGATCGGGAGATGGTGCCGGTCGGCGTGGACGAGATCGAGGTCGACGAGGACACGTCGCCGGAGGAGATGCGGATCTTGATCAAGGTGGGTTGCGTTTTTTGTTGGGCGGGCCCCCACATGCACGATGAGCTGATGTGGGTCGCGCTGGCTCAGCTCGATATCATCGTCGGCCAGATGAAGCTCGACGACCAGTTCGAGTGGGATATCGACAACTCGAGCGCGTCGCCGGAGATGTTCGCCGAGGTGTATGCGCGGGAGCTGGGCTTGGGCGGGGAGTTCAGGTGTGTGGCTTTCTTGTTCGATAGGCTTGCTTTGGCAGGTGTGCTGACTGTGACGCAGGACGGCCATCGCGCATTGCATTCGGGAGCAGGTGCAGACGTACCAAAAGTCGCTCTTCCTCGTCGGGCATCCTTTGGATGGCACCGCGGTCCAGGACGACGACCTGCGCATGTCCTTCCTCCCCTCGCTCTCCTCCGCCTCGCGCTCGATGGACCAGGTGTCCGCGTTCACGCCGCTGCTGAACTACCTCAGCGACAGCGAGATCGACCGCAACGAGAAGGAGCGCGAGAAGGAGCTCAACCGCCGCCGCAAGCGCAACACCCGCGGCCGCCGCGGCATCGCGCTGCCCGACCGCGAGCCCCCCAAGACGTTCCGCACGCCGGCGATCGGGTTCCCAGAAATGGACCCCGCCGCGCTCGCGCTCGCGCAGGCGGCCGCAGCGCCGACTTCGAGGCGCGCGGCCGCGGCCGCGGCGTCTGTGACGATCGCGAACATGGTCGCGTCGGAGAACGGGACGGCCGTCGTCACGCCGACGCTTCCGATGGCGACGCCCGCGCCTGCGCCTGCGCAGCAGAAGGAGAAGAAGCCCAAGGGCCTGTTCCGGCCGCCGAAGTATCCGGACTCCGTCATCAACGCGCGCGCGCACGTGGTGCTGCCCACGCCGTGGACGGCGGCGGACGCGTCGAAGCTTCCGCCGCCCCTCGAGAACGACCCGCCCGTGGAGGCGGCCGCGCCGCCGGACAGCAGGGTGACGAGGGTGATCACGGCGAAGCGCGCCAAGGAGCTCGAGCGCGAGGCGAAGGAGAAGGAGTTCGCGGACGGACAGCACGCGAATATGATCGACGGCGTGTGGCACTGCTCGAACTGCGGCTGCCCCGAAGACATCGCGATCGGGAGGCGCAAGGGCCCGCTGGGCGACAAGTCGCAGTGCGGGATGTGCGGTGAGTCGCTGGCCGTCTCTCATATACCGTCTTGTGTCGTGCTGTGCTCTGATGCCGCTATTTGTTCGTCGCCCTGGTTGCAGGCAAGTTTTGGCACAGACACCGTCGTCCCCGTCCCGTCGTATACAATGCCGATCCCGAGTTCCACCTCAATCTCCGCAACGAGAGCGAAAAGGCGAAGACGGTCGCCAAGCGCAAAGGCGGGGCCGCCGCGCTTCGCGCCGCGAACGCATCGGCGGCGGAGCAGGAGCCCCCGTCGACGCCCGCTGCTCCGCCCCCTGAACCCGAGACGCCTGTGCGCGCACCGAAAGCGGAGATGTGGGTCGAGGTGCCGCCACCGTCCGCGCGGTCCAACGCGGCGGCTGAGGATGACAGACCGGTGTCGCCTGCCTCGTCTGGCAGCTCGAGCGCCTCGGAGCCCCCGCTAGCGCAGAAGCTCAGGATGAACGGACACGGCGGTAACAGCAAGGAACAGGCCGACTTGTTGCCACCCCCTCCCGCGCCCGAGCCAGCGTCGACAGCAAATACAGTCAGTGTCTCTGCTCCCTCGGTTGTCGAAGGCTCATCCTCTCCGCACCTCGCAGCAGTGGTAAGTTACGTTTTGATTGACACCGACCCCTACCCCCCCACGTGGTTTCGAGCGTGATCAGATGAGTGACTTGTCTCCTGGCTTTGTTTTCTTTGGGTTCGGAACAGGCACAGGCACAGCCGCCGACGTGGCTAGTTGACGCGATGAAAAACACGAAAACGGAGTATCCGGACGACAGGGTCGAGCTCATCTTGCGCACTGTGAATTCGGTGGCGGAGTGGAGGGTCCGGTGTCTCGATTGCCCTGGCAAGGTATGCGCCCAGCTCCGAGTGGGGCTCGTCGTCCGTCTGATCGCCGTCGACTGACCGTCCGTCCCTCTGTTTGCCTGTGTCAGATGTATAAACCAGGGCCGGGCGAGTCGCTCTCCAACTTTGACGTCCATCTCAAGAATCGCAGCCATCGCGGGAAAGTCAGCGAGAGGTTAGAGCGCGCGACAGCTAAAACGGCCGTGGTAGTCGAACGCCCCGGGCCGGCCGCAACTGCCGCGGATATGCCTGCTGATGCCGCTGTCGTTGCGGCTGGGGCCGGGCAGTCGTCGTAGAGCTCTCCCAGCGGCGCGCGCGCGGTCAGTCACTTATCATTAATCGACGATCGTTGTGTGGCCCTTCTCCTATATACATCCCCTATATGCACTGCCACTGCTGTTTCCGTTTCTCTTTTTCTCTTTCCCCCCCTTCCTCTGTTTCCCCCTGCCTGTTTCTGTCTCCGAGTCCTCGACTCGAATTTCCTATTTTTTTCAATCTCTCATGTCTCCTGCCCGTCCTGTGCGGTTGTTGTTGGATTTGACGCCGAGCGTGCGCGTGCGCGCGTATATCATGTACATATGTGCTTGTTTTTTGTTTTTCTATAACTTTGTTCATACGCCGAATGTGGATACCATCTCACTGACTCGACGCGAGCTGAGGTTGTGGGACGCCTCATTCCTTCAGACCGTCCACACTACAGCAGTACGTCCTAGGGAAGGGTGGCTGTCAGCGTCACTGTCCCAGAGATGGATTTTATAATAAACAGAAAAAACTCTGCATTGAGATAAATTGCACAGGAAATGCGAGCGATTCAGAAAGAAAATGAGGTTAGCTATGAAGGAGACACACGCTAGTTTCTGAAGGTAAGGGAGTGGTTATTCTCCTCAGCAGACTGATAAATAGTCGATTGCGAATCGATTGGGTGGGTCTCTTCTATACACAAGGGAGTGGAAGGCTCGCTTTCCGGCATACGCGGCCTAAGAACCGGATGAGCGAGTCGAGACTCCTGCCTGCGTTCGATGACATCTTGTGAAGTGTAGTATTCAGCTTGCGCCATGTTTTCATGTAGACCTAAGAAGTGCGGCTACCTCCACTGACGGTTTTCCTATATGTAGGTGGTCATATATCTACAACTCTATCTGCAATCAGTGCAATGTCTTTCGAGCTACGGGGACCTTTCTCAGCAGACGAACACGGCGCCCCCATCCTGTACCGCCCGCGCTGGCAAATTGATCAATCACCGTAGAGATCCGTATGGAGCTCGCACTTTAGTCGCAGTCGAACTTACGATGTCATGCACCAGCGTGTGCACTCTTCAAGCATGGATACAGCAGGTCTATCAATTCGCATCACAGTCTGCTCACGAACCAAGAGATCCACACAGGATACAATGAAGGCGATCAATCAGCGGCAATTACAACCGGTCGGGGCTGCTCGGCCCACGCATCTTCATTGGCACACCAGCAATAGATATAGCTTAGCCGCCCGTGCCGCGCTATGAGGGACCCTGTCTTCGTTAATCCCTGTTTCATTCCCTTTTACCTCTGCTGGAAGTAGTGTATGTGGCCTGCCGCCCTTCATCTATGCATCTGTTCCCAGCTGCTCTTGCGACTGACGCATTCTTGTGGATGAAGTTTGGAAGATCATCCTGATTATATAGAATCACGAAGTCTTTCACCGTTCGACGTCTCAGCACGATTTTTTTCTAACCCATCCATATCTTTCTGGATCCAAGGTGGGTCTATTGACGTAGATACCTATCTGTTCCGGGCGTTGGACAGAGTGGCCAATCCCAAATCGCATTATTCGATCTAAATTTTTTGATGCAGCTGATGTCTACATTCGCAGATGCATCAGGAGAGTGTTGCCGGTTCGAGATATGCCATCTCCTACTCAAGATATTCCTGATGGTAGCTCTGCACCAATCAACCCCTCCTTGAGGTCCTGCGATCCCACGGGGGAAAGTAAGTGCTACCAAGTCGCAGAACGCTCTTTCAGTTCTGATACCTCCCTCGACGCCTCGTCATGCCCGAAGCGTCAATCTTCTCGCATCTATTGGACCAAACCGGGCGAATCAATACGACAGACGTACCATCTAGTTTTTCGGGACCGTACCGTAAAAAAAGAGGCTGGTGCTCTTTGAGGATACGAGGCTGCGCCGGCGCGTTGTTACTGCATAATCGGACTTGTCACCGCTGGTTATTGAAGCCCTATATCAGTCGTAAGTACCACCCTGCTCAGTGTCACAAGGCTGATCTATATAACTCTCAAAAATGGAAATCTCTGTACTCTTGAAAGGCGCTGAATTTGACACAATGAAACCCTATGATCAACCACGACATCGTTACACTACGCCACAGGATCAGTGGAGATAAAGTATCTGCGGGTGTGCACATGGTGTCTCCTATGATCGCATCTTGACCAGTCCTTCCGCCGCTGACAGCCATGAGGCCCCCAAGCATATGGATTTGCCTCTGCTACCTCCATCATCATTCCGACTGACACGGTGCTTGTTATAGCTTGGCCAAAGTGATGCTTCTTGGCTGCCTCGAGGGCAGAAATCATGGATGGACGCCGCTCATGATTTTTCACATCATTAACACTGGGAAACGACTCTTGGGACTAATTACGGCGAGTCCTTCTGATTAAGATGAAACCAGCACCGTAGGTAACTCTCCAATGTAGATAGCGTAGTCAAAGTTTGATCCAACCACTTCGACCTATCAAATTATCCGTCCGGCACAGAGAATGACTCCAAAAGCGTCAAAGGTTTGCTCCAGGCAATTCAACGCGCTCACAGCCTTTCCTTGAACACGCGGCCATCGAACTGTGGACCTTCGCGCCCAAAGATATGACGCAAGACGTACTCGTTGCGGAAGAGACCGTTCGGATCGACGTGCTCAAGCAGTCGTTGGAAATCCTCGAAGCGAGGATAAATTGCCTTGAGGGTTTTCGGCCGTAGCTGATGAGCTTTCGCCCAGTGCGGGCGCCCTCCGTGACGGGTAACTATCTCCTCAAAGCGGCCGAACAGTTGTCTGTAAGGGACATTAAACCCGTATGGCCTATTAAATCACCGTAGCAATCAACGATCAGTAATTTCGAGACCGCAGACCAAAACATTGGAACCTACTTGTACTGCATGATCCCAATCCAGCATGTACGCTGCCCATAACTTGGACTCAACCACACACCGTCAGCATCCGAGAATCGGATTTCGAGGGAACAATGCGGACGGAGACCATCTGGATCGGCGAACTCGGAGTCAAACCAACCGCGAAGCTCGCGTAGACAGGCTTGCGCGTGTTCGTATGGCAGAGCCCACTCTGTGGTATGGTGTCGGTACTAAAACCAATGGTGTATCAATTTCAAGGCAAGAGGACGATTGGGGGCTGACGCACCTTGCAATCAATATTGAAGATCTCCAAGGAGCCACCAACGGATACGGTCTTGTTGCCAACTAACCAAGAAGTAAACTTTCCAACCCAGATGTTGAATGCAGGTATCACGAGGCCAATAAAAAGCAAGAATTGGACTACGTGGTATCCAATTAACGAATGCCACAGCCAACTGCTTGTGAATAGCTTGGGCTTTAATGGGGAAAATATGTGATTTTACTCATGGATAAAGGCTGAAAAGGTGCATACTTCGGAAGTTTTGTCCATGCTGCTGACTCGTACAGCGTCTGCTTGCGGCCACCACCAGAGTCGTACGTATTCCGCGGAATGGACTATCTCGTCTAGATTGTCGAGAGTGGGATCAAACTTGAAAGTCTCTTGCGATTCGCGCAAAAGGAAGGAAGGAACGACGTGTAGCTGAACGCGTAATATAAGGCCCGTACTCCCTAATCCACAAAGAGAACCGTAAAAGAGATCAGGTCGTTCAGTTGGCGAGCACGAGACGTGCGAGCCATCGGCAAGGAGAAGACGGAGCATTTGAACATGTGAAGACAAGACTCGCTGATTGATACCAGTACCATGGGTGGCTGTCGTCACCATTCCGGCGAGGGTCTGTTCTGAGATGGAACCAAGATTGCTCATGGCTAGGCCCTTCGCATCTAGTGCTGCATGCAGGCGCTCGAGTGTGATACCGCCCTGAGCACATACGTAGTGCTTTTCGGCATTGACCTGCGAAGAGTGGAGTTAGAGAACGGGACGGAGAGAGCCGATAGAAGATACCGCGCAAGCATTCTCTTCTGTCCTGATCAGGTATGGATCTCACCTCCAGAATCATATTCATCTTTTGCATCTTCACCATATAGCCCTTGGTACATGCAAGGTCGCTTGGTGAATGACCAACACCAACGGCACGGACAGTTTGACCTTCACGTCGAGCGAGCTCAAGGATGAGCTCGCACTGATATTCTGTTTCCGGTTCGAAGACAGAAAGAGGTGTGCATCGGAAGGTTCTTCCCCAATTATAAAAAGTAGCCCTAGATGAAGATGGGGAGACTGTGATCGGTCGGAGAAGAGCATACAGCCCTTCAAGAGAGATGTCGCTGAGCGGAGGATGGGGAGGTGCCATGGGGCGTTTGGCGGGATGGGGAAGATGGATGAAAAGGTGATTTTATAGGTGCTCAAGTTGTAGGCCCGACGGCAATTATGAATGTGGCTCCCGGCCACAATTTTGAGACCACATTCTGCTCTCCCGGCGTTTTCCGAATCGTGAATCATGGAGGGCAGAAGAATCTCTAGGACAAGGGCCGGACATTCTCTTACTCGAAAGCCCACTGGTTCCGGCACCTGAATCATCATGATGATCATCGGCAGTTCAATAGCACCCAGTAGAATTCCCGCACGCACGGCGGGAGCGTCTCTGAGTGACGTACCCCTGCAAAAGCCCTCAGAAATATCAGTTTCTCTGTGTGGTATAGGACCTACCTATGTGACGTACAGAGTCCTGGTACAGTGTCATGGGCTAGTTATTATCGGCTTTATTCAAACATTGACCCACCCGACCGTTTGGTAGATGGCACAGCATGGCATGATACAGTATGGTGCAGGGGAATATACCACTTGAACTTGACATTTGCTGTCTCCAAGGTGCGCATAACAGTACAACGTAGTCATCTCGTAGTAGGAAGTTCGATCTTCATAGACTTTAAGAAACAGGTAACAAGAACGACGGCGAGTCGGAGAAATGGAAAGCCCGCGGCAGACAATATTTGTCTTCAGATTCTCACGGTGCCCGTCCCAGATAGTTACGAATCAGGCTTTAAATCCCGTGGACCAGGGGCCAACTGCGAGAATCACAAATCAATTGGCACAATCTTTTGAACTCCTTCTGTTGTGTGACCTATCATACCAGATCATACTCCTCGATGAACTTCCGATTGAGTATGTTTCGTTTTATCTCTAGCCTCAGGTTGATGGAATCAATGCCGCTCACGTTTCCAACCGTCACTAGAGGGATCATTATGCTAAGGCCATGAATTCAAAGGTCAAGTACCATCAGAGACTACATGTCTGCTTTCTTTCCAGTAATCGAACGAACGTCATCGTACTTTCATGGGCTACAGTAATATGACATCCATCCACTACCACAGAACCGCTTATTGTGCCGATTTGTCCGTATTGTGCTGGAAATGATGGAGTTACGTCCTGTATTCTAAAACGAGAGTATAGCCCGATTGAACTACCGTTGCGTTGCTCTAGACATGGAAGAACTCAGTAAGGAACCTGAACCCAATTTCGGCTTGTGGACTGATAGAACTTACCATGCCGTACATATAGTTCTATACAGTGTTGGACGCCATCTTACGCTTAGCGTGTAATGATACGCCTCCTTCGATTTAGTCCTTTTCCACCGCTGCGTCTATGCTGTAATGTCGGCCTGTTACCTTTCGGATAGGCCTTGATTGCGCAACTGATATGCAATAGAGAGAATCAATACGGGGCATCTTCCTAGTGCGAGGAGTTCAACCACCGCTATCCAATCCAACCGATGCATGGTGCTGGTTGGAGTAATTGGCCTATCATCATTGACAATCAAAAACACTCAATGTCATCATCTGCCAGCTCTAGATCATGATGCCATCGGCACCTCTTACATAGCGAGAAATAGGATGACGCCGGATTTAAGCAGAACGAAGGAGGCAGCATTCCTCAGGCTGCCCTGTTTTTGTCTTTGGCAGTACGGTGAGTTGTCCGCGGTACGGCCTACGGTATCACCAAAAGGTCAGCAACTAGCATATGATCCAATGGCGCGAGGCATGTCCACATTAGCGCAAGAAGAGCGAGAGACATTACACGTACCTGGAGTACGAGGTCGTGACGGTACTGTCTGTCTTTCATGAGAACCTGTGTCAACCTGTTGTTGGACAGCGTCCCTGGAAGTACGCTTCTCAATTGGACTTGTTGTCTTAACTCCATTGACCAGCACACGAAGCAAGCAGGGCTTGAAGCGTCATTCAGGGTCCCTTTGCAGCTCGGTGATAATCATGCCAGAAGGGGTACTAGAGCGATTCGGATTAGGCACGTAGAGCATCTCTCTGCCGGTGGGTTTTACCGCTCTTGTCGCAGCCGACCACTCGTTTGGCACCGTAACATTCATCAGTAGCTCACGGCAGCGATCGAACGGCAAGCTACGGGTGCGACGTCCTCGTCTTCCGTGGACTTGCATACGATAGGAGATATATCACTATCACGTCGGCAAATTGTTCCTCGTTACAAGTTAAATGTCGAAGAATACATGGAAGCGTTGACGGTAATGTGCTTGCATCGAATCATGGCGGGGCTTCACCAACGCCTGACGCTGAAAGTACTTTGTGCGCACCTCCATATGCCCATAATTTGCCGTTCAAGCAGATGAAGGCCCATATGTGTATATCCTCAATTAAAACGGCCGCCTTCTGCGTATCGTTTATGTCTTTGGCGTAAGGTCAGCCACGATAATGTCTGATGTGTCCTAAGCCCTCGAGCGGCTAACTTCATGGAAAATTTGCATCAGCTAGGATGTTTCAAGAAATTTTCGGAATTTGAGCAAGTAAGGGAAAAGACTCCGAGAGAAAGCTAACTAGAAAGCAGCAGCTAACGACATAAAGCTTGTAATTCAAGCTAACTTCAATATAGTATTTGACGACTCAAGGGTACGCACCAGGGCACGCATGTTCTTTCAGCAAGTCTAAGAGCCCAACAGAATCGAGTCAACATACAGCACTTGCACTGAAATTAGTTCAGGTACGAGCTTCTAAACCCAGCTCAGATCTGTAAGACTGACATTCACAATTTTGAGAAGCCTCTCACAACGGATCTTTGATGAGTCCACTGGCATTTGAGTTGAACAAACAACTGGCCGGTCAAAATAGCAGATTTTGAGCTTATGTAGAACAAACATGGGCTGCTCGGGTATTCAGATCAAAAATGTCAATGTTCACCCTGCCTTGATTGTCATTAGCAGATCGTTCCTGCAGTTCATCCTGGGAAGGGTAAGATAGAGAGGATGAATGCAACGCTTCACTTGCGAAGCCCGGTACTACCGGCGATAGAAAGCCCATCCATGTCAGATGTTGGAAGATATTGAACCTCGCGAGTCGATGGTAGTGTCCTTCGGACCGGAAGGTGGCAACAGTATATTATCACTGTCGAGTTGAAGGCTGAGGCCCAACCGTCGGTGTGCATGCATGCCTACATCCATTCAAAGTGTCGTCGAAGGTGCCAGGGCGGGAGATACCGCCTGGGAATCTTCACGTCATCGACCAAGTCGGGGAAAGACGTGTGAACGAAAGAGAAGCTTCGGTAGTCAGCGCGAGGACCAGCAGTGGCGCCGTCAAGCGCTGATCGCATTACCTCTTACAAGAGAAGCGCTGAGCATTGCATTCCACGATGCAAAGAACGAGGAAGAATCCCTGTAAGTTGCAGACGAAGGCCCAGAGAGTGTCGCAAAATTCTTTTCCGGTGCTCGTTTCGGTGGTGTCCCTTGACTTGATCCACTTGGAGACTTGCGACATGTATGAGATGGAGTTTGTCTTCGCAAGCGCTGCATAGGATTGTGCGGAATGGTATACTGCATCGAAGACGATGACATGCGACTTCTCAGCATTACCAACAAGGGGATCACATAGGTTGAGCACCATCTATTCTGCTAATAGCAAGCCAGCAGTGAACATTCGAGTAATACTCCAGATCAATGGCCACCGTGTCCCGCAGCGGCGATGTGTCCGGCCTTGCTGGTATGCCATGCGTCGCGGCTCTTCGCCCATGCGTAGATGGCATACCCTGATCCACGGATGGTTGAGTGTTATATATATAGGAGATGTGCGAAGAGATTATAGGTGCCTACCGAGAGAGGCGGGCACCGCCCAGTAAGCGAAATGGGCAGAGAGGCGGCGGTAGCCGTTAAAGATGTAACCTTGAATCAAGTTCTTAGAAGCGCGTTGGCGGAAAGGCGATACGGCTGCGCACAGTGAATTGCAGGTAAAAGCAAAGGAGAGTGTCACGTATGAGCAGTGAAAACGAAGGGTAAGAGGGTAGAGGACAGACAGTATTGGATGACGCCTTTCTGTCTGATGCCCGACTTGTCGCCCCACCAGAGGTTCTACATGAATGAAACCCAGAAAATCATTAGATCTTGTGCAACTTCGAAAATATGTCTGGTGCTGGCTGAATTTTTGAAAGCATCTACTCACGTAGACCTTGGCTATGTCAACCGGATAGATATATCAGTTAGACTGCCTGAATGATCAACACCAGAGATAGTATGCTGACGCACGTCCAGGCATATCGCTCATGCATACGTTGGTTGCCTTCATTTTGACGAGATTAGGAGAGTGCAAAGAGAGGAGGTGGAGGAGACAGCAAAAGATGGATGGTTATTGGACAACGGAGGACTCCGGAAGGTGATGACCTGTCCCAACGTTCGGTCCAAAGTTCGGTTATCCGCAACGTCCCCATAATGTTTCCGCCATCGTAATGACCACCTCTTGCTCATGTTACACCAGTGTAATATATTCCTTGCACATCTGTCCACGGTTAAGCGACTATTACATTCTCATAACCTTGCTCATGAATAGGAAAAACAATGAAGGGCACCATCTCGACCGTAACGTCTGCTCACATCGAGCTACAAAAACAGCTCGCGCAACTACGAGAGATATGCACATCGATTTCGACCTACCAGCCCATTGTGCTCAAGCCACCAATCATAGACTCTACGCGAGATGCATTAGATCAAGGAAGGCGACATGAAGACTTGCCTGGTTTGCGTGCTTTTGCCGAGTCTGTGAAGCGCGATATGGACGTGATACAGAAGGCGAGTTGCTTCTCGATTCGATCTATTCGTATATTGACTGTAAACATGAAAATGGTGTGTATTGGAACAAAATCTAACACAACACATTGTAGTATCTTGTGGACCCCCAATCCTTCGAACACTCTCCTCCATCAACTAACTCGCCATATCTAGTCGCCGTTTGGAAGGAAGTGCTGACTGCGCCTCCACCCGTCATTGGGATCGGGCTGACTTACAACGTCGACAAAAAAGATAATGAGAGTGTGAAGGTGACCAGATCAACGAAACGCATGCCTACTGAGTTGTACACGAAAGTGAAAGTGGATGTTGTGGCCGACAATGGCCGGTCTTTGATCAGGATCAACACGTGTGTATCCTTAACTTTTTCTCCATGCCTGAATTGGGCTGATGGTGTGCTGCACTGAAACTCAGGATAAAAAACTCGCGGCTCCTGGCAGAGTTTCGTGAGATAGACTCTTACGACACAGAGTCTGACAGCGACAGCGACACTGGCAATTTAGACGCGTCCCTACACACCACAAACTGGCTCACGCTTGCGCAGACCGAGCTCGATAACTCCATCCTGCGCATGGCCCGCGTGCTCCTCGCTGCAGCTTCCAACAATTCTATAGGCCACTCATTCTCCAACTCTAGCCCAGGCACTACCGACCCCGATGACATCCCCAATCTCCCAAAAATCATCCTTTGTCTCCCGCGTCTCGACCCTTCCCCCAAAGATTCCACGTTGTACGACCCTCGCATTGGCCAAACTATACGAAGGCTGCAAGATCTCGGCATCGAAGTCCGCCTCGGAGATGATGCTTCCTCTCACAACCTGTCTCCCCATGTCTGGCCCGTATCCCCATATCCACTTCACCTGTGTCCTACTGCGAAGGTAAACCTAGACCTGTCTGTGCTCATCGCGCTTGTGTCGGACCTCACGCACGCCCAGCTCCCAGCGTCAAGCGAGGAGGCTAGGGATCGGTTCATACTACCCACCTCTGTTTACCCGCGGAAACGCGAGCGAAAATCTACTAATATTAGCTCACGGAGGACCGTAGAAGGCAGTGTTCAAGTTGAAAGACATGGAGATCCGGATAGTGTGGCCGTTGACGCAGATGCAGACGGTGCAAACCAGCACTGGCGCCAGCTAGTCGATCAGCAGCGTCTCGAGATGGCACATGAGTTACTTGACGAGATGCGCACTCGTCTGATTGCGTTCCGAGCTCCTTCCGAGTCTAACGGCAACGGCAACGATGCTGAAGGCACATTGTCCGGTGTTGAATTCTGGACGACGGCTGAGGCGCGTGATCGTTTCCTGGATATCGTCACGAAGATAGGTGGGCCGAACGAACGGCGGCGTGGGCGCGCTCTCTTCACTGAATCCGACTCTAGCCCTACCCCCACTGAATTATCAGACATGCGGGGCGCCTTCTGGCGCGGGTCACGCTACGCCCTAGACTTTCTGCCTCTACACCCAATCCATATTTTTCCTACGAATTCTTCTTCTCTCATCAAGGAGCGCAGCAGCAAGGCTGAGGCCCACCCATTCTTCTCAGCACTACAGCGCACGTGTCGCCACCTGCTCGCAAACTCGGGGTCGAATTCTGGTAGCTCTCCCGACTCAGGCATCCAATGTCCGCTTAATAAAAGCAATGCTGGTACTGTCATAGGCCATGAGATTGACAAAACGGAGATTCCTCCCCCGCGCGCGCTCCGGGGGAATGGGCGTCTCACTGCGCACACCACATATAGCTTGCTGTTAGGCGCCGTACATGGGTACACGACGCTGACAGCGAATCGCGCAAGTGCGCGCTCCATAGTCAAGGTCATCGAAGAGCTTGAGGTCAAGGATAGGTCATGGTACTGGAATATGTGTGGGACTGGAAATACAAGGGTAACCAGAGAAGGACTGGAGGGCGTGCCGGAATGTACAGGGGAGGCGAAGGCGGCGATGTGGGTTGTTGAGCCGAGGAGTCTCGCGGAGGCGATGCGGGCAGATTTCAATGGTCGAACCCTTGATTCCTGATGTCATGATGTGCCGATACGGGTCTTCACACGCACTCGTCCTCATCTGATCTGCACATCCTCGATGGAATAAGAGTGTACAATGGAAATCATGTGCCGCCACAGTTGGAGGAAATGCTCATGCGTCAGGACCTCCAGACGATGCACCTCAACCTGTCTGAGCGGATCGCGCGCTGTCTCGAAAAGTGACCGAAGACGTTTGAGAGGCGTTCCATCCCAGCATTCATCTGTGCTATTCCATCTCAGCATCATCACCGGGCTCGTCGCTTGCGTACAGTCATATGTCGAACACTCTGACTTTAAACTCACTCGGTTCCTCCATCCTTGATCGAGGTCACGTTCACCGCGCAATCCCTGTCGCTTGTGCTATCCGTGATCTGGTTACGTTGGAGTTGAGGGAGCGAGAAATACAAGGTGCCCCCGAATGGAGGAATCGTCTTTGATGTCGTGGAGACTGCATCGTTGCCCGTGATCGTGTAGGTGTAACTACGTCCCCGTCGCAGTCGCTATTGACCAAGTTCCAAGCAGCGCCTCTTTTATCCAGTCCACTTGTAATCATGCAGACCCATGTGTTCTGTACGGCACTTCCTCTGCGCGTCACCTGCGAGCTTTCCTTTTCTCTGGGTATTTGCTTTTGCTTGGTGTCGATCTGATCATTGAGGGGAGCCAATCACTCTGTTCGGGCAGTCAAGACAACAGTTGGAGGGTATCATGCTCAACCGTTTTCAACCTTTGGTGCTGTCGTCTGGGAATTTCGACGATCCTGGATTCTGGTACTATGATGTGCGTCTGTCAAGACCGGGGTCACTCGCGTCGTGTTGTATATAATATCTCCTTCTAGGTCGCAAGTTCAGGCTTTCCGCCTTCCTTCCATAAACTCACCGACTCCACGTGAGGCCCAGTTTTCCATCTTCGCTCATCCATGAACAGCACGAAACAGCCAGGCGCAACGCGGGCACTCAACAGGGATCAGGACAACCCTTGCAATCTTAAACGTGATAGGCATACTGTGGCCACTCGTACTCAGCTGTCACCTGCATCTTCATCTACTGCTGGTATGTGGTGTTTCGTCTGAGCCTTTATGGTTGTGTTATTAGATGGAATGGGAGCTAGACATTGTCTTCATTGGGTAATGAAGCCTCTTTTTCCTATGGCACTCAGTGGAATGGCACAGCTACTTCACGCGAGAAGTCATCTGGGGGTGTCGTTGTCATCCACGAAGATGATGTTCAGCATCTTCGGAATCATTCCTTCAATGGTTTAGAAGTAATCTATGTCGTTCGTATCTATATCACGGAAGACGTTCCCGCTGAACTCATATTTTACTGACAGGACGGGCGGAATGATAGGATGAGATTATCATCCAACGCTGAGCTCCCGATATCTCTCGCGACTACGAATGATATTTTGCAAAGTCTCCCATCAAGAGAGGCTTTGGTGGTCACTATAATCCTCAGCAGAGAACATCCTTCAAATAGTTTGAGTTCTTCTCCGGCTGAAATTTCATTCAACCCTACTACCGGTATTTCACCGAGCAAGTTTTCATCCACAATTGCCTCTTTTCCTCCAACTACGACTGGTACCACATCCGCTTTGTCCGCCACTAGCACTACCCTCACTAGATCTACTAGCATTTACAACTCATCTCTTGAATGCCAGAAATACTCAGAGTTAGTCATTATCGGCAGCGCAGCTTTCGGGGGCGCATATTTGATTCTGGCCCTGCTGTCCGTCGTGCTCTATCTGCGACTGGGTTGCCGGCTCCGGCGGCTCCAGTCAGGGAGCTCTCCGCATCGACATTTTTCAGGCAGTTCTTCGAGTATATCGGAAGGTTCGCCCGTCGTACCTACTCAATATTTTCATATGCTGCCCGGCACCCTGTTACCCTCGGGCAAGAGACCAGTTTACCAGATTGTTTCTCCCCGACCACCTTCCATCCTGCCCCCTAGCACAATGATACCCTAGCAATGCCTCTGAGTGCGAAACACACTCAAGAAACACCCCTACGAGCATAGGTAGGCAGGAGCTGGTTGTAGTGTGCAAGGAACTGTCAGCTGTGCCACAACCAGCAAGGGAGCATACTGAAAGTGTTCAGAGTGTAGAAACAGCACCAAAATCGAAATCTTCAGTCAGGCAATGTTCATTTGGAATTGATCGGGACAACTAGAAGTATTCAGAGCATAGCTGCAATCAAAGTGACACTGACACACATCTGGAAAAACCTCTTTTTTTAATTAGATTTAATTATTCAAAATACTAATCTGAGCTAATCAGAATATATTATCCATAATCAACTTTATAATCAAATCTGCAAGTAAAGGTGACATTGTCTATACTACTATAGTTCCATTGGAATCTACAATCCAATTACAATTTTACACATTTCAAATCCAAATTGTGTAAGTGCTACAATCTTATTTTTACTGTATTCTTTATTTTTTATTAGTTTACTATATCATTGTCTAGTGCCCAAATTCAGATATCAGCCCTGACTTTTGGAGCATTTATTGACCTCTTTATATATAGAATAGATAAAAGATAAATGTGTAAGAAAATCAGAAATGTTGAGATTGCCTTATTTATATCAACATATTTAGGTTACCAGGTGAATAATTTATAATCTTGTAGCTTAGTGGTTTAGAGCACTAGTCTGGGGTATATAGGTATGAGGTTATTGGTTTAATTCTAGTGATAGGCAAGTTTATAATAAGGTATAACTTTAGTTTGATTAGTAAGCTCTATAGATACTCTATGATTGGAGGTGTAGTAGTAGTAGAGAAACCATAGAACTGGGTTGGTTGATATTTTTCGGAAAATCCATATAATAAACTAGCTTTAATTAGCTCTAATTAGATCTTATATTTTGAGGATTAGAGGGGGGTAAGCTAAAAATCCTTAATAGTAATTGGTAAAAATATAGCTATATTTATGCTTGACTATGGTTATTTAATATAGAGCTTTTCCCTAATGTTAATGAGTTTTTACTTGTCCTATACACTATTTACATACCATACCTTTCTTAGAGCTAAACTAGTATAGTCCAGTTAAATCAGGGTCCCTAGGCTTGAGAAACCAAGCAAACACCTGCAATAAAATTAGTGGGTAAAGAAAGAACATCCTACTTAAGAAGGGCTTGAGAAACCCCAATAGTCCATAAACAAATAGCTTAATAGAGACAGAAAACTCCTAGGGGATTAAACAATATAAGTCAGTCTTTCCCCTGGAAAAAAAAGTTATAGCAAAAGCCACATCTGCCCTACTATCATGCTCAAAAAAGCAAATTATATATATAATAGTAACAAGACATACATAGCATATTGTCCTACTAGGCATTAGGACATAGAAAGAGGGTATTGTTATAATCACAGTCTGCTAGAACCTCCATGGTCAAGTCCATTCTAGCAATGATCATCATAACTATTAGATAGTGCCTACTATGGCACATACATCATAGTATAAGGTAACATCCTTGGTTATTAATTCCTAGTAGATATTATCATTACTAGTTGAGTATCACAACAGATAATATAGATGACTGACAGCAGGCTTACAAGCATGTACTCATAGGAAAACACAAGCCATCATTCTCCTAGTTGAAAGAAGATAATAGAAGAAGGACAAAAGTAGTTACTGGAAAAGAGCAGTGACTTAGAGAATCCCTTAGGGTAGTTTGGCATTCTCATATTTTTCTAAAGTAGTACCAAAGGCCTGTAAAATAGGCTGAGAATTTTTAGTCTATCCTCTTTTATTATTCTATAGTCTTTATACTATAGACTTCATTGCAGTTCTTTCTTATTACAACCCTCTAAATATTATCTGCTCCTATATATCTTGTATAGTTAAGACATTTATCCTACTTTTCCTTGTTGTGTGACCTAGAGAAGAACCTCCTACTCTTGGGTTTACCAAATAAGTAGTTTATAACATATATAGTGCTCATATACTTATAATTGATATAAAATATTAATAATTTTCTTTGATTCTTTATAGACATGGATGTTATTGTGCATAATTTTAATCAAAATATCTATTCAGATCTGGAATTTTTTTAGCTTCAGTTATCCTTAATTTATTATATTTACTTATAATGAGATCAGAACTAAGAAGGGGGGAAGAGTAAAGAAAAAATCTTTAATTTGCATTAGAGATATTTTATTCATAAATAGCTATAATTTAGGCATAATATAGAGGAGGTGTTTTTTAGATGTGACAGCTTATGTCTGCAATGCTAATAAGCCCACTAAACAACACAAGCATACTTACTCTTGTCTCCTCAGAGTACAATGATGGAATCACAGGTGCACTAGATGGTGGCCTTGCTTCTTCAACACTGCTTGTCTGGTTACTTATGACTAAGCTTTCTTTTTCACATGTTTATTAGTAGTGCAAATAAAAATAAAAATGTTTATTCTGATTATATTAAAATACCAAGATATCTGAAGCTCACACTGGGTCTGATTAGAGGATATAGAAGCATCTGAAATTTCGGATGTCATTATATATTGTTAGATAAATTAATAGCATAAGGCCAGATTTGGTGACTCTAGAGGACAAGATAGGATAACATATGATGCTCTGATCTCATCCTACCTCATTCTCTTAGCTGTAGAGGAATTCTTACTAAACCTCGAAGTCAGATCAGAGTGCATTAAATATATTTGAAGGCACCTAACAATGCTCAAGATACTTGTTTTTGAAAATCAAGCTCAAGGATCTGAGGGATCTTGAGTATCTTGCAGAGAACTCTGTCACACAAAACACTATCTGCTACCTTCTCATTGCTATATGCACATTTTATCCTTGAAAAAAACAATATACTTGAAGAGTACTCAAATGAACAACTATGAATTTTTTCGAAAGGTGCTGTGCAAAAACACCCCGAAAAACTCGATTTTGAACCTCTCATACCATTTGCAACTCCGGTGCACTGATAGTACGAGTATCTTCTGTGTTCCTACCCGCCAGGGGCTCATAATGCGGGGAAGGACGACTGACGCGCGGTCTCTGCAATCGGACTCGTGCAGTGTGTCTTCCGCTTTTTGAGTTTGGCACAGAGCCTAGCCAATTTTGAGCGGGAGAGAAACCGACACAACGGAATTTGATCGTCGAGGGTTCCCTAAGCCTAATTGTTGTATTAATTGTTAGGCTCCCGCAGCATCTTATGTTTCAGAGCTTACGGACAAAAAGAAGGATGGCCCAGATCAAGTCATAGTTGTAGGTCCCTGAATCCACGTCCCGCGCCCGAGATAAACGAGGTCACGGTCAACGCTATAGACTGCAAATTGTCACTGTGAAACACCAATATAGGCATAGAAATGCTTGCCACACAATATTGGGAAGGATGGGCATCTGGGGACTGAGCTACCGCTTCGCAGCGGAACGAAGACGTGTGGACCTCCGTAGCGCCGAGTCGCCTTCGGCACCGCCGTAATCGACATCCTGATCGCGTTTCTGCTTTTTATGTCTGTGACTGTGAGTCTTTGGTTTATTGTGTTTCGCATGTTGGCCGGCTGCTGAGGCGTCTTTTCGGCCGATGCGGGCGACGAGCGGTTCAGACGAGGATGACTGTGCGGATGAGGGTGCGCCACGCCCGCGGGCACGGTCGCGAGCGCCAATACGGATAGAAGTACGTCTTTCGACCGGTTCACTTTTGCCTATAAAACCGGCGTATCGAGGGGAGGAAGATCATCAGCATAGGTGCGAAAGGCTGGACGGCAAGGAAAAAGGGATTACGTTTGCGTGGTAAAAGAAACGGGTCAGGATTGTCGAAGCCAGGGAACGATAGGAAGCTGAGGTCAAGTGCAGACCTTGCGCGGGTGGATGTGGAGTTAAGGACACGCGTGCGGTGAGCAACTAAGTGTTCAGAATGCATGGAATACAGTCAGACAAGGTTTGACGACGAAAGGAGACGGAGTAAGAGAGCGATACAGAGGAGAGATACGTACGGGAATGTCCCGCGGGACCATAGACAGCCTCCATTCTATCTTGCACACTTCCGATCACACTGCCAACACCGGCACCCCAGCAAAGCAGATGAATTAGAATTAGAGATGATCCAAAGTATCTAATATATCCGAAGCGTGCAATGTGAGGAAAAGCGAATGGGCTTACACGTCATCTACGAGCCCGCTCACGCTGACAATGTCGAGCACATCCACCCACCCCAGAGGCCTAATTCGGTTCTGCATGCTGCTTTCTGCAAGAGGTACATGCGACGCTAGAGCAGCAAGGATCTGGCCGAGATGGGCTTCACAAAGAGAGGAGAGCGCCCCCTTGGCGGCGGGGGGGATCTGGGAATCTGCATCTGAGTCTAGGTCAGAGTCGTCTTCTTCAATGTTTTCCTCATCATCCTCGGCATCTGCGGCATCCTCGCGTTTGTGGACGGTAGATGCAGAGGTGGAAGACGTAAGGTTGAGAGTTGGGATGCGGTCGAGCGCCTGTCGCGCGAGGAGGTAGACTTCGTCGGCAAACCCCCATTCGGGGACGTGCACGTCACCCGCGAGAAGCGGCCAGCGCGTCCAAGTATCCCGGACACGAGACTTCTCACCACCAGGTGCAGACGCAAACGCAACGCGCGCCTTACCCTTCCTCGAAGCGCTCAGAGTGGCGGTAGCGGGTAGAGATATGCCCTGCTCGGTGAGGTTTTCGTTCACGTTCCTGTGCTCAGAGGAGGTGGCGTCTAAGTTATAAAATTTATCTTCTCCACTGTCATCGCCGAAAGCACCATGGTGGGCATTGTCATCGAAGGAGAGGTTGTGATCACTGGAGGCGGCGGAAGGCGCGAGGTGCACGGTGATGTCGAGAGTCCCCTGTGTGCGCAGAACGCGCAGGAGATTGGAGTACTCAGTGAGCTCGCTGTGAAGCGCTGCGGGCACAGTCTTGCGTTTCTTGCCCATAGATGTACGGCGTGCGCGCTGAACTCAACAGTGGCTGCGGTAGCAGTGGGCGGCGGTGGCACGAGCCACTCCCACATGGCGTGGCAACTCACTGAGTCAGCTACTGTACAGTTTCTCGAAGCCCCACAACACAATCCTGTCTCCCTACGCGCCTCCGCCCCCTAAGTACCCTCCCATTGAACGATATGTAAGTCTCATCCCTTTCTCCATTCTCGATCCTCCGGCCTGCTTGTCAGAATTACATGTACTGACTGCTCACGCTCTTCCGGCATATATGTAATCTCCGCCGTTGTGTCCGACAGAATGAGAGAGAAGTGGAAGAAAAAGAGGTCTCGCAGACTCAGGCGCAAACGCCGAAAGATGCGCGCTCGCTCCAGTGCGTTCACTCAGCTTGCTTTCTTCCTGTCCGTGTTGATCGCTCACACAACATTGACTCGCGCAGAATAAACGGCCTGAAGATAGCTGGCCTTGCGCAGTAGGAGCCCCGACGTCAATCCATCACATGCGACTTCATTTAAACAAGCCCATCTTACTCCGTCGCTTTGACGTCTTGGCGCCTTTCTGCCGCATGCACGCTGCCTGTCCTTGCCCGGAGCAGGCGGTGCTGGCGATTTTGTGTCTTGTTCCAACTTCCGCGGGAAAGACGCGTTGGGAAGGGAGGGTCGTTGTCGAAGAAATCATAAAGTGCAGAGTTTGTTTCCCGTTGTACCACTGCAATCATATTTTGGCGTGGTTGGCTTGAATGTTCTGGTGTTCGCGTGATATGCTTCGACACCATGAAAGCTTGGGAGACCCACGTTGCTCCATCGTCGGCCCGTGAACTCAATAGGGTGTGGGTCAGTCGTTTTGCATCGTGAGTCAAGATCCGAGCTGGACAGGTTACGCGACCTAACGGCACTTGGCCCGTCATAAACGCGTCTAGTGCACGACGCCCATACCTAGTGGTGCAACTGACGCCGCTCCACATCTTCGAAAGGTAAACGTCAACCTCGATGTGCAGGGATGTGCACGGCCTCCCGCAGCAAGTCGTCTGATTCCGCTCGTGATCTAGCCGCTGAGGACAAGCATCTTGGGCGTCCTCAGGTTCGTCACCGACCGTCGTTCCAACATGCTTCCGCCGGGACGTGCCATGCCGTCCCCAGCGCTGCTTTTGAACCTCTAACCCTCCTGACCTCGGAACAAGAATACCCACATAGGTTCGCAGTGTCCAATGGCTTCGAGGAAGTCAGGTAAAGAATACCACGCGATATTTGTGATGGGTCGACAGGTGCTATAAGACTCCCACCCGCTCGCTCGCTATGGCCGACTCATCTAGTGGCAAATCGCCCTCTGGAAAGGACCCTCGCTCGAGCTCGAAGTGTTGTGTAATATGGTCGTCATGAGACTGTCTAGCTTGTTGGCCATATTCCTCTGTCCCAGCGTGCCATTGGTCACCGCGGCAGTCCTCCCAGCGGTATCCGACAGCTCATCCGGGGCAGGTGTCGTCGACACGGGCTACGCGCGCTATAGAGGAAACCACACGTATCCGAATTCAGTAGCGTACCTCGGTATCCCTTATGCCGAACCCCCGCTCGGCGAGCGGCGCTTCCGTGCACCGTTGCCTTTGAACACGACCCGTGTTCGACAGGAGGCAGGCGGTAGGGTCGTTGATGCGATGACGTATCCGGACCAATGCGTACAGGGGAGCACAGGTGGTGAGCGATTCATTCTTTTCTGCGGTCAATTTCAGCAATGCAATATTGATGAGTTCACTTCTGAAACATGTGGATGCGGCTATGGCTGGGCACTGGGGAACGAAACGAATGGGCATATCTCGATTTACAGCCGGGGACGCGGGAGGTGCAGGGAGCGAGGACTGTCTCAACGTGAACATCTACGCGCCTGTGAACGCGACGAAAGACAGCAAGTGTGAGTACTCCCTTTGCATCCACTTCCCAGGACATGTATTCTCGGAAGAACGCCCTTCCCCTTGCGCTTGTGCAAAGCGCTAATTCCAAACTCCCGAACCCCCACAGTGCCCGTTTTGGTGTACATCCACGGCGGAGGTTCGTCTTCCATTTTACTATTCCTGCCCTCTCCACGGCCACTTACCCGTCTTCCTCATCCCCTCTCCTTGTCCCCAATCTGTCTGCTTTACTCCCCGCTGATTCGCCTTGAATCGACCGTTCAACTGTTCGACATCCGAATTCCACAATCACTCTCACCGCTCGTCCTTACTCTACCAATGCCAATACCAAATCCCCGCCCATCGCCCATCTACCCACCATATACCCGATAGGCTACGTTTTCGGCAATCCGCGCGACTGGCCGTTCGACCACTGGATTCAGCAAAGCCCGCATGCGGTGGTGGTCTCGGTCTACTATCGTCTCGACGCGTTCGGCTTCCTCAGCGTCCCCGAGCTCGGTGCCGCGGACCTCAACGCCGGATTCCGCGACCAGATCGAGGCGCTTCGCTGGACGCAAGCGCATATCGGTGCGTTTGGGGGAGACCCTGCTCGCGTCACTATCAACGGCCAGAGCGCAGGCGGGTCCTCCGTCGAGCTGCACCTCGTCGCGCATGAGGCGGCACAAGGCAAACCGCTTTTCTCTCAGGCCATCGCGCAAAGCGTATACAGGATTCCCTTGCCAACGCCAGAGCAGCAACGGGTGAGTGCTTATTCTACCAACCCGCCGAGGCCATCTGGACTACGTCTGCGGAGGCAGCGGCCCGCCAGTGGCTGAAGCGGGACAGGAAGCTGCGAGCGCTAACAACTGTGTTCTTCGACTCGTGGCAAGCCGCTGTTCGTGTACTTCGCGCAGACGGCAGGATGCGGCGAAGGGCCTATTTCGGCCCAGCTCGCGTGTCTCCGCCAGGCGCCAGTCAGTGTGCTGGCGCGTGCACAGGATGACGCCTCGTTCTTCAGTGAAACCTTGTGAGTTTGTTCAGTTTTTGCCTCGGAACCCATTTCAATTCCCGTTTCCGTCTCCGTGTGGATCTCCATTTATATTATGTTTTGTCTTCCACTTCTTCCATTTTTCTGCTCTTTTGGCTGGCTCGGAGTTGAGAAAGACTACCGAGAGAGATGGATGGTCCAGGCACACTGCGGAAATAAAGCTGGCATCATTATTTGTTTCGCCATACCTTTCAAGGGTCCCTGTGGTGACGCCGGCGGGGGCGGACTGCATCTCTCTATTTCTTCTAGATGTTTGTACACAGGCTAACCAGTCAATTATGTGTTGTTCAATGCTATACTAGCCAGGGACCGTACAGATCATTCCACCCCGTCGTGGACGGTGAGGTCATCACTGATCTCCCCACGCGCTCGATCCAACAAGGCAATTTCGCGCGCGTCCCCTTGATCGTGGGGTGAGTCTTCTTCCCATCGTAATCACACCTGCCATATCAATATATGCGCCAAGCGCCCTGGCGCGCGCATGAAACACGAACCTCGAGTTCGAGTCCACAGCTTCAGATTAATTCGTTTGACTGACACATCTTTTATGTCCGTTGCCTGTCTTCGGTTGCGCCTTCCGTATATCTATTCGCTCGGCCTGTCATTGGGTCCGCGGCATATTCGCACAGGTCGACGTCAAATGAGACTCTGTCGTCAACCTCGGTGGACATCAAGGTCGCGCTCAAGGCATATTTCCCAGCACTGGATAATGCCACGCTCGAACAGTACCTAGACATATACCCGCGCAGCGACTATGATTCTGACGCTCAGCGCCGTCAAGTCGCCACCGGCGAGTCCGAGCTCATCTGCGCGGTCAGTCAATCATTTTGTTCAGCTCATTTCTCTATCTCTGTCTTTGTTCTGTGTCGAGTGTCAGAGGGGGGTGGAGCGTGAGTTCCTGCGGGCTTTCGAGGGTGTTATGCAATTTGCGACATGGCAGATGAGATGAGGCAGAGCTCGAGCCTGGTTCTGAACCAGGTTGGCCGAACACTTTATGAGCTCCGTGGAAGTGACGTGCGCGGTCTGCGAGTGTTACGTGTCGCTGAGGTTATCTTTTGTTGGAAGAGACGATCTCCAACCGCAGCTGTCGCCTCGGCTCAGGAGAGGCAGGGGTTGTACAGACAGAAGACGGCGCGACACACGGAGACATTTGTTCTCTGTCGTTTTGCCTCTCGCCTGCGATGGCGCTGTGCGCTTCAGTGCGGCGGTGGATAAGCTCCATTCAGTCGTTCGTTTGTCGAGCTCGCAGCATACGTCCCTGCGCGTGCTTGCTTCTGTCACCGCTGTAGTTTGAATTTGAGGTGACTGCGAGCCCTCCGAGCACTTCTACACGAGGCTCACTGCTGTGCCGCAATCGGCGCCCCTTATGTCGCTTTTGGCATGAGCTCGGAGTCATTCTTCTCTTCGGCTGGCGCCCTTTGTTCCTCCTTCGGAGACGTTACTTTTATTTCATGACCCGTTCTGTGCAATTTTGACTCATCTGTAATTGCTGTCCGCAGAGAACGATCATAGGACAGGCCGCCGCCGTACATAGCCCGACGTTCACGTATCGGTATAATCAGCCCAACCCGACTTTGAACGACACGGTCACGGTGGGGCATGCTGCGGAGAACTGGATGATGTTCATGGGTACCAATACCGGGTACGTAGCTGCACTCGCGCCTGTTGATCGTCCCATCTATCCATCTCGCTTCGGTGGGCGTTGGCGCGCCCATAATCAACGGCGAATCGGAAGCAGCTGTGGCCGATATGGATGCTCATGTCCTTGCATACTGTCAGGTTCAACGGATCGGCGACGTTTTCGCCGATGACGCCCACTCAGACCGCGTTCGCGGAAGAACTCATCGCGTATTGGCTCTCCTTCGTCCGCGCGGGCAATCCGAACACCTTTAAGCTGGCGCGGTCTCCCGTCTGGCCATCATACTCGAGCACCAGTCGTGAGCGCATCGCGCTGCAGCAAGGCACGCCAGACACCAGCGGCAGCGATGTAGAAGCGGAACCGAAGGCTGAGACTGCGCGCTGTGAGTTTGTGGCACGCCAGGTGGTGGAGCAGCAAAATTAGACGAATGAGGGGGATGACGGCATTCGGAATTGAAACAGGTTCGGAACGATGATGATCATTGCTTCTCTTCGATGCGCTGTCGTTGTGGTGGGTATGTATCATTGGATTTTGTGCATTTGGAATCGCGCTTGTATCTCGGTTTGTATAGTGGCCTGGGAGTTAGTGACTTCCACATATCTCCCTCTGCGCCAGGCTCGTCTGTTTATGGTTTCTGTTTGTGCTGGTTGTGGAATCGCTGTTCACGGCTGCCGGCCGGTGCTGATGTGTGATGTTCATTTTAATTGAAAGGCTGCTGCGGCCCCGACACTGTGATGGTGTCATAATGTACTACTACTGGATCTGGCCTCTTGAGACTCAGAAATGATGGAAAGCTACTTACAGAATGCCACCCATTGCGGCCTTTGACCTCCATCGGCGCACCTTGGTCTATTCACCCACATCCTGACTAGACCCATCCTTCTCTTCGTCCAGATGGAACAGAACAGGCTCTTTCAATATACCAAATACAAGCCGGTGATCTGTGCACGGCGAAATGATGCCAGTGAGTGACCGGATTACAGTAATTGATGCTGGCCACGTCTGCTGTCACTGGCCCCCCTCACACTGCTGCCGCGGCTTTACATATCAGAAACGTCCACGAATCTTCTCAGCTTGGTACTGGCGATGACCGAGGACTCAGTCAATTTCAATCACAATCAGGCACTAGGCACTTAGCTGACCTCACATCGCATCGACTCTTTCTCGCTTCGACTTCCACAGCAAATTCGGTTTTGTGGCTGTCACCAGCTGGCACCGCTCGCGGCTCAGTCAGTGACTCGGAGTGGTTGCAATGGCCTGTGATGGCTGTCAGAAATCCTTGGATGGAGGGTTGCTTGAGGCGCCTGGCTGTGTCAGAGGGGTTCGGAGATCTAGCGAAGGGGTTGGGCTGTTGAGACCGCTCAAATTCAGAATGCTAAGTGGCAGTTCCGGTACACGCTCGTACATGACCACCGCATAACGTATACTTCTAGTTCTGTGCGAGCCTGCTGTCTGATTCGTGACTCGAGCTTCTCCTTCCAGATACTGATATCAACTATTCACACTGCCATAGTCGCGGTCCTCTCGCCGTCTTTCAGGTACTACCGAACCGCTGACGGCGCATTCATCGTTGGGCGTCTTATGAGCTCTTATGATTCGAAGCTCCACCGAGACAGTGGGCTGCGGAAAGCGCGCTGAGAAGACGGCTATCTCATGGGGAGGGCTCCGCCTTGTGCGCAATTTAGTCTGTCAATGTACGCTTTTCCGACGATGTCTCGCTTCGCCCATGGCGGAGTGATACGAATCAACCTGAGTCATTTTTGGGACGCCCTAGCAAGAGTCGGTGCACTGTGCTCTATTTTGACAACTGATGCAGTGTGAATGCGTCAGAAATGTCAGTCACAGCAGCAGCGATGGCCGCAGTTATACCGTCTACTCTAACAGGAACGGGAAGATCCTAGGCCCCAAATCTGGTGATAGCTGTATTGTTGGCGTTTTAATCTGGCTCAAGTCGAAGTGCGCGGAATCCAAATACCGGTGAGAATCGACGTGGGCCGTGCAAGTGGAACTGTATACTCATGCTGTCATTCTTGCAACTTATCGTTGCCCCTGCGTCTCCCCATCAAGCGCGAGGCATCCACTTCGGTCTCTCTATAGGGAGCTTCTCGCAGGTATAAAGGCGTGCGCGAGTGTCCCCAAGGCAAAGCTCCTCACTCTCTGGGGCCTGCACTTCGATGTCTCACACCTTACGTATCAAGGGTTCTTCCACATTCTTCGAAGCTCTGGCGCTTGGATTCGTTGCGACCAGCGCGTTGCTTGTGGTGTCGGCTTCTGCAGCACCCGCATCGTCCGATGCCGACCCATGTGCAAAGATAGCTGGCATGACCTTCGTCCCGGTGCCGGATGCTCTCGCCTGCCAGAAGTCTTTCGCGTTCAATGAGACCCTCAGGGAAAACGTCATGAGCGTCGTCTCCAACGTTTTTAATTTCTACACCTTCGAGGATTATTATCTCAATTCCCCGCCTCCATTCCAAGAGTCGACTGTAGACATCCGCGGGGAGCTCGCTCGTATCAACACTACACAATATGACGTGAGCATCTTTTATCCTTGGCACGGTAATCGCCGAGGAAACTCCTAATTGTCTTCTGATTCGGGTTGTAGACCGACTACGATTTTAATCAAGACCTGTACACCTTCATCAATCGACTTAACGATGGACATACTCGTACGTAGCCGTATTCTTTACTTCTTCAGTAAGCAATGAATCTTCGTTACTAGAGTGGCAGCCTTTTTGCTACCTCAACTGGGAGAATTTGCTTCCTACGCCGATCGTCTCTCTCTCAGTCAATGGGACCGAGAGTGTCTACATTGCACCTGATTCAGTCGAATTCATCTCTCTGGCCGGCCCCTCCTTTGCCAGCTTTTACACTTCACTCAGCTTTAACTGGCAGCGCCTCGCTGGAGCGAAAGTGCTTCAAATCGAGGGTATGGATCCATACGACTACGTGGACATGGTCGCGGATACGGTAACGGGGAACTACTTGGATCATGGTGTCCGCGTGAACAGCGTATTCAGCGGATACAGACTCGTCGGCTCTTCTTTCTCACAGAAATTTGGTGACCTCGCCGGTCAGGAATTTTCTCAGATTCAAAACATCACTTTCACAGTCATCACTGCCAACTCCACCCAGCAAGAGACAGTCACAGTCCCGTTTCTTGCCGTGTTCATGGGCTCCTCTTTCACAGACAAGGATTCGTAGTAAGCATCTCTCACGATCTACCAGCACTAAGTAACCATTGATGTCGTGACCCCTTCAGTTGGGCGAATAATTGCGTTGCAGATAGCAGTACAAACGGCGTTGACATGCGCCTCTCCTCCAACTTGCTAGGCTCATGGAAGAAACAACCAGCGAAAGGAGTCGGAAGGCCGCCCGCTGACGCTATCGGTCTGCCAACTGAATTTCAGCCGTCACTTCCCACTATAGTGAACGACTCTTCCGGCGTGATCAAATCGTACCTCCTCCCTGACGGCATCACCGGAGTCGTGAGTATACATGCTCTCCCTCATAATGATGTAAATTGATCTTAGATGCTTCTGGGACAGATGTTCGTCGGCTCATTCTCCGACAATTTCTTGCAATTTGAGACGGATGTATCCTCTGCTATCTCTGCCTTCAAGGCGGCGGGTATCACTAGGTTGTTGGTCGACGTCACGAACAATGCAGGTGGATACTGCAGGAGTCTTTCATCTTCAAACTCTATCTGACTTGCTATGCATAGGTGGATTTATCTGCAACGGGGTATTCCTCCACCAATATCTCTCAGGATCGAACTTTGGCTACGGGTAAGCAATGATATATCTATACCACCACGACACGTTTGACTTCAGATGACATACAGGGGATTCCAGACAAGCATTCGTGCCAATCCACTGGCCCAGAAGATTGTAGAGGGGAACATCAATCAAAGTTTGACCGCAAGCCTTGACTTCTACAGCCCGGATAACTGTGAGGATTGGGTCGCGAATATCGTACTATTATAGACTGACTGTGCATGTTGTCTCAGGGGCCTTCCTCAACGACACGAAGTTCCCCATCAACTTCAATTATGTTAATCCATCTGTAACCCTCACAATCAATGGACGTACAGACCCTGCATCTCAGCGATTCGAGGCAAGCTCTGATCCTCTTACTACGAGTAATCGTGCGGAATTAATGCTGTGGTGGCTCGATACAGGACATATGTACGCCTTACCAGGTCCCGCTTCCTGCAACTCCGCCTTTTGACCTCAAGTAAGTGTAACATGTCTCTGGTCTTCCGTTCTTGAGTGCTCAATTAAGGTGTCTATAACAGGAACGTAGCGATCGGTAAGTCGAATCCACAGTATAGTAGATTTAATTGTCCTTGATATAGCATGACTAGTGAGCAACGGGAATTGTGCTTCCACCTGCGCGCAGTTCACTACTCTAATGAACGAGCGCCATAACACAACCATCGCAGTATTTGGAGGCCGGCCGGGGCAGAACATGGAGTTCAAGGGTTCGCGCAACAGGTCTCCTAACTCAAAATGCTGACTAACTTTACCTATCCAAAGGAATGGCAGGAAACCAGGTACTCGAGTGGACTGAACTTGATTCGGAGATCAAAACCGCCGGCTTGAAGAATGTATGCCGTGTGATCTCTGTGAGACATCACAATTCACTGACTATCTCTCTCGTAGGATGCGTTGGCTCCCCCCGACTTGTGAGTTCATTCATATCTGCAAATTTGGTGCGCATAGTGATTGTCTACTTACTAGGATTGTTTCCGCGAACATGCGGTAAGTTTTACACGAGCCTGCATTATAGTACGAACTGACTCACAAGCGAATCGGAATTTTCTAGGCACAACTGGAGGACAGGTGAGTGCTCTTCTAACTAGCTAACTAATTGGACAAGGAATTAATTGAACGAATGTAGCCTGGAGCTATTCCAATGAGGCCGAACCGATAGGTATGCAAATCAGAACAACCCGGGACCATATACTTATACTGCACGTTCACAGCATATGTTTCAGAGCTTCCCAAGCGTGAGCGAAAGCGCGTCTGTCAATCTTGTGTTTGTTCTCATGCGACATTTTTGTAGTTCGCTTCCCATACACTCCGGATACCTACAACAACCCCCAGAATCTGTGGACCTTCGCGTAAGATCTCCAATCAGCTTATTCATGAGTGTAAGCTAAAAAGTCTTCAACAGCGCTCAACAGCTCTTCACTTGAAATGGCCGGTTGCCATCTTTTATTATTCCTTTTTATTTTATATTCTCTCCGCTCGTCACTCTGGGACTCTCAATTATATGTTTTCTTGGAAGTTATCATCTCGCTATCATTATGTATTCGGTACTTTCTTGATGCTGTGTGCACAATCATCAATCATGTTTGTCTGGCACTTTCGGACTTCTGCTGCAAGAGGATAAAGAACCTTCTTTTCTCAAAAACATAATGCGAAGAATAGCATGGTCTGTATAGAGGACAAGAGCATACTTCAAAATCATAACGAAATCTCGTTGAAAGCAAAACATCGTGGCAAATCAGGAACATCAATAAGCATAAATGAAGGAGATTTGATAAATAAATAAAGATATTAGGATCACTGGACCATGGATTGCGTTGGTGTGCGAGGTCCAAACAGTCCTCGCGGCGGTTCTGGAGGAGCCAATACTGTGATGGGTGGAGCAGGTGGGGGAGTATATTCAATATTCGGATCGGCTGCATGGAGGAGATGAGTGAAACAATTCAGGGAAGAGTGAATGTTGCAAGTACTTACGGTTCCACGTCGCCCATGAGCCCGCATATAGTCGTGAATCTTGCGGCATTTCTGGCTGGGGGACTGTGGCCGGCGGAGGCACAGTTTCAGACCTTCTGCGTCCCCTTCGAGCGCTTCGTTGAGTAACATTCCTCCATGCAGTACGAGCAGGTTCGGGCGGTGGCAGAACTTCCGGCTGAGGCACCTCCGCCGGTGGAGGTTGAGGTGCGAGAGGGCCCGTTGTCGGTTTCCTGTCCCGATGACTGATGTCAGTATATCCCAATGTGGAAGTAGGCAGCCCGGTAGTCACCATTCAGGATCGAACTCTCCACCCGGACCGTATTTACTACGCATACATAACAGGTAACCCATTTCACTAAATAAGAAAATATCAGATATGATTGGTTGAATAAACACAAGAGACACATACTGCTGCAAATTCCGTCTCTCTTCGCGAAGCTTGCCAACTTCAGCCAGGAGCATGCGAACTTCGGCGGCGAGCGATTTGCTAAATTCATCCAAGTACTGAGCAACAATAAGTACAAGTGATCCCCTTGACCAAAAAAATACGTACTCCTCGAACATTGAAAGGAACTTGTTCTTGGGCCGTCGCTCGGATTGTGGCCAAGAGTTCGTCATGTTGGTTCTTCATGTCCTCCGTACATGCTAGAATCGAAAGATGTTTGAGCACAAAATACGTATGATGTTGAGGAACGAGTGACTCACTCTCATGGAAAGTTTCGAGCATCTCGCGCAGTTGGCCGTTCTGGGTGCGTAGCTCCTCAAGGACGACTTCGATGCCTTACGAATCTGTCAGCAACCTGAACTCGAAGACCTCTATTAGAATCTGGCTTACCTGGCTTTTGGGCAGCCTGTTCTCTTTCGTCCGTTTGTCGGATCTTCTCCGCTTCCCGGTCCGCAATGATGCTAGCTACCATTTCATGCAATTGGCGAAGCTGGTCGTCTTTTTCTTCTCTCCTGGCCAGTTTCTCCCGATGCCTTTCATCCATTAACTCCCTCTTCCTCGACATCTCATCTCTCTGGTCTTGCACCAGATTAGTGATATCACCGAGCTGAGACCTCACAGCTTCGTCACGCTCGAGTGTTTCATGCCGTTCCTGCTCCCGTCTCGCTGCATCTTCTGAAATCCGCAATTGGCGTTCGCTATCGAGATCAGCACGAACTTTCGCCAGCTCTTGCTCAAGCTCCTGAATGCGTATGACGCGCTGCTGGTCCAAATTTTGGCGCTCAAGAGCAGCTTCTTGAAGAGCCGCCATCCGTTCAGCGTCGGCAGCTTCACGAGCTCTCCTCATTTCCTCTCGCTCTTCATTGACGATATCCCTGATCTCGTCGGCATGCCGAAGGGCAGCATCCTGCGACGCACGAATGGATTCATGAATGGATTCGACATCAGCGCCCTGTGCAGGTCCTGGGATGGGGAGTGGAGGGGCCTCCGCTAAATCGTCTGGTGCGATCTCAGGTGGCTCTGGCTCTGGCTCTGGCTCTGGCTCTGGCTCCGGCCCTGAAATCACTTCGACAGATTCTGGAATACCGGGTAGTGCAGCACTCGGAAGAGCGCCTGCGAGGCGCTCTTGGAGTCGTCTCCAAAGTTCTTCTTGTCGTTCCGCAGCTTCGGCGTTCCGTCTCTGCTCGGCCTCTTGGAACAGACGGTCCCTTTCTTCCTCTGCTTGAAGGACATGTTCAACTCGGCCTTCAATTTCTCCGAAGCGTTCATGCATCGCCCTCGCGTGATCTTCATATCCTAAGTCACCAGGTCCTGAAGGAACGGCATGCACTACTGGGCTATGCTCGATGGGGACAGGATGTTCTGCAGGCTCTTCAGAATATATGGTCTCGGGTGGAACTACAGATCGCCCTGGTCTTGTTCGCCCTGATGCCTGCGACGGAACAATGGGTATGAACGGTTCGTCTGGATGTGATGCAGCAAGTTGCCGTCGAAATTCTTCTTCAGTTATACCAGGTTCCTCTTCGCGCTCGAATTCCGAACCAGTGGGGTGATATGTGGCTAGAGGGTTTTAATTCATTAATACATAAGACTGTGAATCAAAGATGCATGGCCATCACTCACGCGAAGGCACTCTATGAGCTGGGGCTCGTGAATCAGTCCTGGGGCGTCCTACTGGCGAGCCAAATCTCTCCGGAGAACCCGTTCTATGCGTATGAACTACGTGTGGAATTCCTGGGTCCGATTCTTGAACATGAATAGGCTCGGGATGCTCCACCTCGATAACAGTAGGAGCGCGTACATCTCGCTCACTACCACCCGGGCGACTGATTCCGTGTGATGGAGCCCGTCTATGAGATGGCACATGCATGGGCAATGGAGAGTGAGGTTCAGTGAACTCCTCGACATGAGGAACTATATGAGACGGTACATGGCTAGGTGCGTCATGTCGAGAATCATACTGTGAAGGATGTTGAGGATATGCACGGCCCTCATACCCAGGACTGTGAGAACGTGAGCGATCAGGACTAGGAGCAGTTCGATGACGCCCACGACTATCTCGTGGGTCTTCAGGGGAGCGCCTGCGACCATGATCATCATCAGGTGACCGTGGATAGCCGCGGCTTCCGCGTCTATGACGGCGACGCTCATCGGGTGATCGCGAATAGCTGCGGGCTCTGTGACGACGACGAGAACGACGATCCCTGGAGCGTGACCTTGATCGCGTCCGGCGGTCGTAGCGAGAGCGATGGCGAGAACGCGACCTGTCCGAGGCTGGGGAACTACTCCTCGATCGTCCATGACGGCGGCGGGTTTCCACATGGCTGGTGGTCATAGGCACAGTAGGGTAACCCGGAAGCATCGGCCCAGTAGCTGGAATGCCAGGTTGAATTGTAATCAAGCCTGGCTGTGGCGTTGGTGAATGGGGGGATGAACGACGGGATGAATGGCGGAATAAGCTTGGTAGACGTGTATGACGATCGTCGTGTGGAGAAGGAACCATGACTGTGATCGGCGATGGAGAACCATACGGCTGGGTAGGGGCCATCACAACAGAGGCGTGCCTACTAGAACTTCGGGAGCTAGGACGAACCTCTACCACAGTAGGCTGAGGCATCCCAGGCCCGAAACTACCTGGCTCGACTCCGCCTGGCACGAAACCACCCGGTCCGTACGGCCCCATGCCCCCCATGGACGGAGGTTGGATAATAATCGGCTGTGGAGGTTGAAACCCCGGAGCGGGGCCGGGACTAGGTTGCGGTGCTGGCTGCTGCTCGATGACAATAGTAGGTGCAGGTTGGGAGACATCAGGATGCCGAGGTGAGCCGACACGAGGTTCTGTGGGAGAGACTGGTTGATACGAAGGAACAGCTTGCGGTATAACAGAAGGCACTTGTATGATCGTGTGTCCTGGCGGGATAGTTACAGGTGACGGGGAGGAAATGGGTGGCCTAGCAGAGCGAGGTGAACTAGGACCGGAGCTGCTTCCGCTGAACCGTGGTGAAGATTCTCGCCGGGGAGGCTGCTGCTGGATAATAACGGAACCACCGGGAGCCGGAACATATGTCATGCGTTCCGGGGAATGCTCCGATGATGAGGGCGCGGATGTTAGAGAGGGCGGGATGAAGATATCATCATCATCTCGAGGAGCAGGTGGCTCATATACACCTGTGGGTGGCCGCTGATAGTATGGACTAAAATCTGGAATTACGGGCTGCCCTGGCATGGGAAGTGGAGGAGACGGAATGACCGGCGATTCATCAGGTGTAGGAGTCCGCTGGTCTGGTATGACTGGTGGGACAACGAGAGTCGGCTGTTGTCCGGGTTGCATGATGAATGGAGGAGGGGGATAAGCTCCCTGGCCAGGTCCAGGTATGTATTGCCCTCCTGGTCCAGGTATGTATTGCCCTCCAGGAGGAACACCAGTGCTTGGAGCCCCTTGTGGGACTACTGGGGGGGGTGGCGCTCCGGGTCCAGGCATCACGAAACCACCAGGTGGGACTCCGCCGACTGACGGCTGTCCACCGACTGGCGGTTGGCCAACAACCACTTTGTAAAGACAGTCAAAATGTCAGTAATAGATGAGCTGAAAACATCGCATTATTAACCTTGAGGTCGCAGCGCTGCACCAAAGCGATCCAAATCGTCTCTCAGTTGATCGACCCGAGCCGAGACCCCACGCAGTTCTGCTTGACGATCATGAACGTCTCTTCCTAGCCAGTCATTCAGAGACGTCATGTATCTCATCAGTTCTCGTTGTTGATCCAAAGACGCGAGGTGCATGTGCCGATTGTCCTAGTAAATGAAGCACTTGGTTAGGAAGGACTCGATACTGTCAGACAATGTTGATGGATGCTGACTCTAAGGACAGACATCATGTCGTTGAAGATCGGCGGCAATTGTAGTAGGGTCTGAAACTGTAGTCAGTGAAAGAAGAAGATTTCAACGAACAGAGGAATATTCTCACAGGGCCGGGTGGCATAGGCATGAATGGAGGCGGTACAGGGGGAACGCCCGTATGGTCAGCAGCCGCTTGAGGTACTGCCACGGATGGCCCTTCTGTCGCCTATAGAGCATGGGCTTAGCGACTGTATAGCAGAAAAGATGGTGAACAACGCACTGGTTGATCTTGCATAACGGCGGGGGCCGACGGTGCTCGGCCAGGTTCATGCAAATCTGAGGGCTGTCGAATAGATCAGGCATGACCATCTAAAGATACGGTCAAGGGACTTACTATGACAGGTCCAGCGGGGGGGCGCGGTGGGCGGGTTGCATCATAAAATCCATCGCCAGAGCGACCTTGTTGCTGTCGTTGCTCCCTGACACGCCTATCAAAGTCCGTTTCCGGTTCTGTAAATCGAGCGGGAGTAAAAGCCGGTGTAGGAGGTAAGGACTCCCGGATAGGAGCAAGAGGAGCACTCCTGAGAGGACGCCTCGCGCGCGGGATATTCCGCCCTTGCCGCACAAAAATAACCGGTTCTTCTCGAACAGGAACAGTGTTGGGGCGAGGAGGTAAGTCCATCTGTACTGTCGGGCTGACACTCCTGGGCCGAGCTGCACGCAGATCTGGGCGGAACACCAACGGGACAAGCGAAGGAGGGGGTTGTGCAGTAGGCGCAGTAGGTTGAGGAGCCGGCCTGAGCAAATCAGCCATTAGTGCGTCCAGAGAGCTCTGGGGACGCAATGGTGTCGGGGCGAACATTGCCGTGGACTCGCGTTGCCTGTCAAATCTATGCAACAACTGATCAATTGTAGATGCATCCGATTCAGAATCGGAGGCATCGACGCGTGGCAGTTGAGGCTGTGGATAGACCCGAGATTCAGAAGTCATGCGCTGCAGGATGTCTTCAATTCGTTGTAGTCTGTTGAGAAGTTCTTCATTGTCCTGGGCTGCTGGTCGCCTTCGTCGCAGCTCATCCAGCATATGGTTCGTGGACACCTGACCTTCCCAAAGACCAACGGCTTGGTCTTTCAGAGCATTCAGAAGACTATGAAGACCGTCCAAGTCGTCACGATCGACTACTTGAGGACGTGCAGTGCTACTTGAAGATGACGAGGGTGTAGGCGATGACGGGGGTGATATGGTAGGCTGTTCAGATGACGAGGTTTTGGATAGATAAAGGCCAGACGTCGGATCGGATTCGGAAATCACCGATGAGGGCAATCCCACAGACGAAGACGAAGGAGTGCTCGGAGGGGATGAAGAAGACGAAGAAGACGGAGAGCCTGGTCGTATCTCATACGGCCCAGACTCCATGAGGCTGAACTCATCGGAATGATGGGAGGACAAGAAAGACATGCTAGATGACAAAGAACTTGGCGACGCCATACGAAAAGGTGGAGGGGTCAAAGGGATGGGCACAAGACGAGGGCTAGGTACAGGCATGACACGAGGAGTCGGGCGAGGGGTCGGACGAGGGGTCGGACGAGGAGATGCATGCACGGAGGGAGTTTCAACTGCTGAACGAGGGCCTACGGGTACAGAGAGCGGAAGACGGCGACTGAGTGGAGTAGGAGGAACAGTTGAAATGACGCTACTTCCCCCGACCGAGCGGTCTTTGCGAGGACTGATTGGAGTAGGAGGAACAGTCGAAATGACGCTACTTCCCCCGACTGAGCGGTCTTTGTGAGGAACTGGCGGCGGCATCTCAGGAACTTCTCTAGAATGTAGATAATCTTGAAGGTCCGCAATTTCCCTTTCGATTGCGCGCATATGGTCATGAAGGCCTTCGTTTGCGCTATCGCGGTTCCCTTCGAGTTCGTGAAGATATTGAAGGAGGCGATTGACATCATGCGTCAATATCTCCCTCGGCCCCTCAGTTGCGACTGTGTCCAACATTGAATGAATCGAAGGGATATCCGTGTGTGGCGTGCTCATGCTCACGCTCATCGAGACAGATGGGATAGACACAGATGGGGAGCTTGGTAGAGGTATTCCGGCAGGGGAGAGCTACAATGTTGGATCAATTTCAGATGTGGTGAAGATGACATAGGAGAGACTTACTGATCTCAATGTCGATGACCTATGTGTAGACAAGAGAGATGGTTCCGTCGACGGCACCTCCAGAGGAAAATCCATGAGCGAATAGGTATCAAAAACGGAAGACCGCATGCCGATGCTAGAAACCGTAGACACACTCGATGGCGTCCTAGTCACGGTCACCGAAGAAACTTCCTGTGATAATGATGGCGTAATGACTGATGTACTCGTTGGCAGTGAGGTCGTCGGCTGGTCAGACGGCGAGGAGGGGGTCATAACGACCGAAGACAACAAAGGCGTAGAGAGAACAGGTATGAGAGGAGAAGGAGTGGGAGATATAACGCGCAAAAGAGACGGAGCGGGAGAAGATGTAACAAGAGATAACGCAGGGGAGGGCGCAGGGGGCGCAGGGGGCGCAGGAAGTAATTCAGAAGGGACAGGAGTCACTAAGGAAGACGAAGACGAAGAAGACGAAGAGGGCGTCACAGACGAGGAGGGTGTAGAAACAGACTCAGTAATGGTGCTCAACCTTCTGATGTCTTGTGAAGACACCACTGACGCTGTCGGCCATAAAACAGATGTCTCGAAGGATAGATCTGGCCCTTCTGGGGGTGCAACCGATTGGACGGAGGGGGACGCTCGCAGCATCGACGATTCAAATGAAATATCTGTTTCTGGCGGCCATTCAGATTCACGGATGGAGGGGCTCGGAGGCACTAACGGAGGCGGTATGACCAAACTAATAGGCTGAGGTGGAGTGGGCGATACAGAAGACTCGGTGACAGACGAAAGCAACGAGGTCGTAGGGAAAGATTCCGGAGGTTCGCTGAGGGGAGGTTGCCCTTGAGTCGGGCTGAGCATGCTGTCGCTCAGCGACTGCAAAGTCGAGGGCGTTGGGACGGTGGGTTCCAACTCTAGCGCTGATAGCCCGACACTCGATAGTAAGGAAGGGCTATAGAGCGATGCAGGCAGTGGGACATCTTCGGGTCGCAGTTTCTCCTCATCCTGATATGAAAGGAGAGACGGAATCGTTGGAGTCACTGACGGGCCGAACACGCTCCGCTCCTGCTCCTGCTCCTCTTCTAGTTCTGGCCCGAAGTCTTCCTCTTCCTCTTCCTCTTCCAACTGCAGGCTCTCCTCCTGTAGTTCCTCTTCGACTTCCTTTGTCAAGTCAAGATCTAGATAGCTCAACTCTGATGGCTCTTTGCCGATGCTGAAGTCCTTCTCTGCTGGTTCGACATCGGACAACTCTTTGGGAAGGGGTTCTGGCACAGCTGCCTGACACCTGCACACTGCCGTCTCATACTCGGTGGACGCATCCGAGGGACAAAGCTCCGCCGTGCTATAGGCCGTAGAGCGCTCGCTACCACACTTCGGGCACGTCACGTACTCCGAAGACTGGTCCGACTTGCAGACTTCTGCTGTGCTGAATTCGGTTGAGGCGTCCTCGGTGATGGACTTTGCAGCGGTCTCATACTCCGTGTCATGCTCTGACGCCGTCTCGTACTCGGAAGGTATCGTTGGGATATCGGAAACAGACCTGATGGAGGGTGATATCGCAGTGTCATATGCGGTTGACGGATCCGAGTCATTTGGCTCTTCGTCCCGGGGTGTCTCAGTAGAAGGGAACGGAGTGCTCGTCCCAGATCTCGTCCAGCTTTCTCTAGTATAAGTTTCCAACGTGCTCAGGCCATTGTCCCGAGAGGAGTATCCATCACTGTACAATCGCGTCGGGGTATAACTGGAGTTCTCCTTGTCAGAAGACTCCTCCGATGGGTACGAAGATGAGAAAGTCAAAGATGTCGCCCGACTCCGTCTTTTCACCACCCTAGACCGACTGAGCCCAGTACGAGAAGGCGAGGTCGGTATGAAAGATGAATTGGCAGTCCCGGTATGAGAGTCACCCAGATGTGAAGCAGATGCAGTGCCCCGGTAGGATAAGGTCGACGGCACGATGTGAGTCCCAGACGCTGAGGTCAAACCGAACAATACATCGTCACTCATAATCCCGGTTTCCTCAGTTGTAGACCTAAGATGGGCAGAAGACGAAAGCGGCGAAGTGGGAGGAAGAGATGACAACGAATAAAAGCTGGATGGATTTGAGTGTGCAGCACCGCTAGCGGAGAAGAAGGCATCATCGGATACGGACGCAGATATTTCGGAGGAAGGGCCGCGAGTGCGCGGCCTGTCTCCGCTTCTGCCAACACTGGGGGGCGGTGTGATAAACACATCCCGTCCCAGCCGTGGCCCACTCGACACTGTCACAGGAGAACCATCGCCAACCACCCTACCACCGACGAGGTCGAGACCAAATCCGAGACCTGGACGCCCGTCTCTTGCTCGTCGTACAGCGGAGGCGAACTCTTCGTCTAAGTCAGTCATTGAGGTCGTCCGCCGCAAAGAACTGCTTCGACTGGGCGCGATGACACGAGGATCGCCAGGGTAAAGGTAGCTTTGATTGGATACCGCTGCATCATCCGTAGCGCGACCGTTGCGAGATAGAAGCGAAGGAGCGCGCGACAAACTGGCAACCGAGCTAGAGCCGGACATCGAATGGAAATCCGAAAGGTCGGGGATAGAGTCAACAGGTGGAACGAATGTCGTGGAAGCTGATCCCGAGCCAGAGTGAGTGCTGCTTGTGATTGATCTCATAGTGCGAATAGAGCCAGTAGGGGAGTGGGTTTCAGAGCGATCTGGAATGGTCACAGAACGATCAAGAGCCTCCCTGTGATAGGATGTTCATCAGAGGATAGTTTCATGAGAAAAAAGAGAAGTGCCTACCAGATCGCACTGACCCATCGTACGCGTTCTCTCGCCGATTCAGCACCCAGCCTCTCAACGCCATCGCCGTACAATAATTGGAATGGGCAAAGCATCTCCATCAAGCCCATCTCTCCCAGTTGCCCACCTCCATCCGCTTCAGCATCCGCGCTCTGCATGCGAGCCGCAATGGTCCCAACATCGTCTTGGGCCGTCGGATGCGTAGGAGATGGGACAGAGCGAACTTCCGTGCAGTTGAGCAAGTCGAGGGTAACGATTCCTCTTCCTCCCCCTTGAGCGATCCACGACAGGAGAAGCATATGCGGATACAATAATGCTTGACATCTCTGCCATCGGTAAGGCGGGGGGGCATGGACGTTCAGATACCATAGAAGACCGATGCGAGTAGGCTGTGAGGAACAGAGTATCAGGTGTCAGAAATGAACGAATTGCAAGGATGAACGGAATCATCAGAAGAGATAAGATAAGATAAAATCAAGTTGTGCCTGAAGTGGTAAATCTCGATTTGAAACTTACCTCTTGGTTGGCTCTCGCAATCGTGCCCAGCTCTGCCAAATCGAAAGGCGGAGGGATGACACTTGAGCTCAATGAAATAGTCCCGGAGCGTGGAGTGCCCGGTGCAGCGGCCTGTCTGTTTTCGTAGGCGGAGTGATCACTCCTGTTCGTAGGAGCGCTGCTGTCGTCCTCCGTCACATTCCTATCCCTTAATCTCATCAAACCCCTCTCAGCACGCCTCCTCAAACTGAAGAAACCTTCGCCTGGTGGCGACGCCGGGCTCGCCGATGAGGGGACGGAACCTGGCCCAGAACGACCAGACTTGCCGAGAGAGGGAGTGCGCTCTTTCCAGGCAGCAACGATGTTCCGGACAGAAGTCAGAGGGGAGCGGGGGGACGTCTGGGGTCTGCGGAGGGACGACGCCGTGGGAGTTCCAGTGAAAGTGTTAGTATTTGAGGTATGAGATGTCGTAAATGAATTCGTGTTGATACCAGATCCAGTATATGTGCTTCCGCTCGCGGTTGCACCTGCTTGGACCGGTGTCGAAGATGTGTAATTGGTAGTCGTCCTACTTTTCGTCGGCGAGGGCGGGCGAGAGCTATATACGCTGCCGTACCCGTAGCTGGCCGTGCCGGTAAACGTACCAAACGTTGGCATCGATTGGCTGTTCGTGTAACTGTTCGTGTAGGGGCTCGGGGACCTTGGGCCAGATGGTGCAGAAAGCGTCCTACTGTGCCCAAAAGATACTGACGAGCTGCTGTCGACCGTAGATGTCTTATCCTCAAAAAATGCAATCAGGTCACCTGCACGGCGGCTTGGAGGTGCGAGGCGGTCCGGCAGCGCAGGCTCGGTGACGCCTCGACCATGACTAGGCATGGGACGTGCACCACCTAGATTGCCTGAGTTTGGACGAGATCCAATGCCAGAGAGATTGTGAGATGTTGGACGAGACGAAATGTTTTCGGTACGTTCGGTGATAGTGCTGAGTATGCGACCATCGCGAATTGTGTTCGTGAAGGGAATAAAACTGGAATTGGTTGTCGTGAAAGTTGGAGAGGTGCCGGAGCCGGAGAAGTAAGAGGACGGCGTGACCGAAGAGCCTCTCGACCATTGCGTCAGCGCATCCTCAGCATTGTTGAGCTCGGTGTCCATGACACTTAAAGCAGCTTCCACCTCTCGATCGTCATCGATGGAATTGTCGTCAGAATACGTATAGGTGTCGGAGTGGGAATATCTGTTTGTCGAGGGGGGTGGTGAAACGACGATGCGACGCATCTGACGTCCAGAGGAAACATCGCTGTCGTCTGAGGATGGTGTAGGGGTCCCTGTATATGACTGCATTAGGGATGGAAACGAATGCTGTCAAGGCAAACGCACCTGAACGAGACGTGTAAGAGTATCTTGAAGGAGACAGCGGAGTTTCCACTGTCGAGAATGTTGCCGTCCCGAATAAAGGTGAGCGAGGGCCTATCCTCGAAGGGTCTGACGATGAGTAGCTCATGGTATCTGGTGAAAAGTCAGAATGTCAGTACATGCAAGATATGTCGGCGTCAAGGACGGCGATGACTGTTACTAGATCTTCCAATAAAGGCTGAGATCAACATTTAGGGCAGGCACATTCGTGTACGCGTTCCCCCACGTGATGGCCGTGATTTTGTCTTACGTATGACCCCATATCCCGAAATGGAACGAACGCCTTCGCCCATGCGTGAACGCTGACTGAGGATTTGAGGACTCTCTCTGTCACTCCCATTGACAGCTCGCTTTTAATCAACGTTGTACTCGACATTCAAATATGGCTGATATGGACGTAGACCCCCCTGCTGGCTCCGTGGTAAAGAAAGACAACAAGAAAAGGTTCGAGGTCAAGAAGGTGCGCACCTCGGTGGCGAGCGGCGACATATCGTGTTCCTAATCTCCATTGCTCTGCTGAGTAGTGGAACGCTGTCGCTCTATGGGCCTGGGGTATGATTACTCCATGAACGCATTTGATTCAGATATTGACACTGAGCGCTATTCAGATATCGTCGTAGACAACTGCGCGATCTGCAGGAATCATATCATGGATCTTTGTCAGTTCTTTCTCATTGATTCGACGCATTCGTCCACTTCATATTTATCGAGCTCTATCAGGCATCGATTGTCAGGCTAACCAAGTCTCTGCGACGAGCGAAGAATGTAACGCAGCCTGGGGTATCTGTAACGCAAGTCCTGACCATTCCACTCCACTACTTCTAGTTAATGGGATCAATCAGCACGCTTTCCACTTCCACTGTATCTCCCGCTGGCTTAAGACAAGGAACGTATGTCCTCTGGACAATCGTGAGTGGGAATTGCAGAAGTTCGTCTTATCATATCATTCTCTCTTCTACCTCCTTACCGACTCTCGATCCAGATACGGTCGTTAATGGCCTTGAAATACCTGTCGCTCGTAGAATTGGACCGCAGTGTACACTACAGTTTCTTGCTCCTTGATTGTTCGTTGTCAGCATTGTAAACACACCTTGTTCGAGGATATCAATTGATCAAAAAACTGTACGAGATCGCTGTCATGGGAAGATCCCGACCACTTCCCAACCTCAACGTTTTGACGCTAACGCGAGAATCAGTCAGTATGATATGAATTCACTTTCTCACATCGTTGTCCTTGTAAGCACACTTGGCCATAAATATCCTAGACAGCAAGCAAGGACACTGTAAGGACCGATCACTATCAACTTACAAAAAAAATGTAGATTGGAAAATTCTCAATGCTACAGTCAATGAGAGGTGTTTCAGTGTAAGCATCAGAAAGTTAATGTGACATACGCAAGTCGAAATGATCAGGAACACTGGTGAATAACGGGGGTCCTGCAAGGACTCGGTGGCCGCCAACCGTGAGAGAGATTTTGATAGCCGTCCGAGACTACGCAATTTTGGATTTTCAAGACTTCAGTCTTCAACGTCTCAGCTTCCAGCATGACAGACACCAACCGTACGCTTGCTCAGGAGTTCTACTCACAATTCCAAGCGACTCGTACCAGTATGTCTATATCATCAACTCCCTGCCTTTGATTTTGAATCATTATAGGTCTATAGCACTGACAAACCGATTGGAGACCGCCAAATCTACACCCAGCAGCGATGTTGTTCAAAGCCTGTCACAGGAGATCGCACAGCTGAGAAAAGGTCTAGTTGATAATACGTCGTTACTTCCCCCTTATGATCGGCGGCAATGTGAGGCAGTAAGCATATTATATACCTGCCTCATGATCTACATTGACGCGTTCCAGCAAATGGCCGGACTGGAAGGGATGCTAGACCAGATCCGCACCACCTCTACGTCGAAACCCAAGTTCGCTTTCAAGCGCAAACCTGCATCGAAGCCGAATCCCCCGCCGACCGCTGGGCCGTCAACAAGTGCGACAACGCCGTCAGTGCCCGCACGTCCGCTTCCCTCGACATACCTCACCTTGTCCTCGAAATCTCACGAACATCTCACGTTGGAGTCTCTACCCTCTCTTGTAGAACCTTCGAATACTCCGCAGTCTGATCTAACGATAGCCGATCTGGATCACTGCGTGGTCGATCTTTGCACCCCCAAGAAACCTGTCGAGCCGGCGGCGCTGGGCATGACGTTCACCGCTTTGCACATCCGCGATATTCGAGATACCATCTTACTCCTGCCATCAATCAAGGGCAGTGTGCTCTTGCATAACGCCACCAGGTGCATCATTGCTGTCGGCTGTCATCAAGTAAGTCCCGATTTCTATTGGAACCGCGTAACCGCTCCATTCATAATTGAACCATCAGTTTCGGATGCACACTTCTAATGATGTCGATGTGTATCTATCGATTCCATCCAACCCCATAATCGAGCACTGTGCTCGTATCGCATTTGCGTCTTATCCTACGCATTTATCAATCTTGACAGGATTGCCTTCCCATCCTGTTAGTCTTCTCGGTTTTTTGTTCTTTTTTCTGGCTGAGCTGAACTTGGCGAGAACCAGGAGCATGCAATGATTGTCAAAGACTTTTCCCACATACGCCCGACGCCGTCTCCGAATTGGGTAGCCATGTCAGGCGATAGACGGATACAGGATTGGGCTGATGTCATCTCTTACAGTCGAACAAATGTTGACCTCACATTGGAAAAGTATATCCCCAAATCGGCGGAAACATGATGATCTTTAACAGTACCATAAATGCATCTTCTGATAGACGGATATTCAAGTACCAGTCCCCACTGTCATCCACCGTCTCCATGGCAGTTTTTTCCTGCTCAAACTGCTACTTACTGGCTCGATGACCAGCACTGCCTGGAGCCTGGATTGACACCGGATAGCGTAAGCAAATTCAATATTCTATATAGTGTCCGCCTCTATTCGCAGCTCTTAAACCAACATATTCTGCTGCTTCTCTTTCATAGCTCTTGATTTCATCATCCAACTGTTGATGTCCGACCTTGACTGCTGTATAGTTTTCTGTGACTGTTCGTATTCTCACTTTGCCAATGCATATAAGCCCTAATATTGGCTTCGCCTCTAGGCATGGCCTTATTTTGTTCTTATTTGTAAAGCCCATGCCTGACGTGTGAGTGCCTTTCCGGAATTTTCAACATTTCAAGGTCACCAAAATTTCATGCCTTTGCAGTCCCGGGTGAGCAGTTCCTCTGTGGTTCCCGCTGTCGCAGAAAAAATCGCTTCAAAGATGAATATGTGGAGGATGCCCGTAGTCTTGATGAGCAGCCTGTCAGCTCACAACCCACAGAGGCTCAGTCAATGAACGCGAAAGCCGATAAAACTGATGGAGTGCCTGCCTCCCTGCAACCTGGAGTACCTCCGAAACCGGCTACGTAGCCTGTTGAACGAAAATGTTACTCGCAAAAGATTATGAACCGTATTTTCGCATCGTTCGGGTTATCGGCATGAAGGTGGTGATGGTTATATGCAGCATCGGCGTAGTACCAGAATTTAGCCTGAGGTTCAATACCCCTCGGCGCGTAGTATGCATGCCATTGCATGCTTCATAGGCGATGTACATTCGCTATCTTGTTTTTTGTTGAATGGCACCCTCGATAGTGCTCGAGGGTCTCAGAGTTAGTGCGATGATCATTTGAAACGACAAATCCATACCATGACACCTTCGTAAGACCAGCACTCGGGGGCTTCTCAAGGCCTCAAAGCCTAAAGGCTTTGGTATCAACATGAAACGGCATCATCACTTCATGTCCAGCCTCAGATTTGACTGAAACCGTCTCATCATTACGCGCTGCCTACAGGCAAGATGCAGAACGAGGAGATGTTGGTTCGATCAATGGCGCCGAATGGCAGAAGCCGAGAGTATAACATGAATTAGCTAGTGTGCGTCTGTCGAGCAGTAGCTTCTTTCACCTCTCTGAGCCTCTCTGTCACCACTGCAGGGTCTCCCTGGACTGATTCGTTCATCGACATGTCTGATCCTTGCGCGGACTGTTGTGCGACTTGCTGCGGTGTTTGTTGTTCGCGTCTCTCATCCGCTGTACTCATAGTCGGGTCCTGACATCCATCTCGACTCCAGGCATCGCTATATTCTCCTCTCTGCAAACTTTCTGCATGACGCGTAAGTTCCCAATCAAGGCTCTCACCCACTGATGGCCTCTCACCTCTGAAGTCAATCCCATCCTCCCGTCCGTCTAGTGCCCGGTGGACAGCCTCTATGTGGATCCTGCCGCTGCTGCAAACAGGGCTTGGATGACTATGATGACTCCATCGACCATCGTAGCCTCAGTGACGATCGGGCCCGACCCGTTAGTGCTCAACCGCCAGAAGCTGCCCCAATGACCGTGGAAGTTCGTGAGCCGGAAGTTCGTGAGCCGGCAGAGGTGCCGGCCGCCCTGCGGCCTGGAGTGCAACCGACACCATCATCATGATCACAGGAAGAGAAATACCAGGTTCAGTGTGAGTTTCCGTATCCGGAGAATCTCCAGTCATCATGACATGTGCGAACTGATGACACCTCTCCTGTGCGCTTTCCAGATGTTGATTTCGCTCAGGATTTTTATATGACTTTTACTACGGATATGCTCATACAGTACTAGTGGCCAGTCAGCCCCAGGTGGTCTATACATATACCACAAACTGGTATCCCAGAGTATTTGAGCTTTTTGATCATCAGTCTTATTCTGTTCTGGTCCAATACGTCAAGTTTTCAAGGGCGTCAACAAATCATGGCTGAATCAGGGGTCGGAGGATACTTCTCAACTAATCAGTGGTTTCAACAAATCGATCGTATGCGCTATACTCGTCTGGAATGCGGTCTCAAATAGCCGAATCATCCAAGAGTATCGTGTGAGGGTCATAACTCTTCCACTCATAAAAATCATTGAGCAACGTACAGTGAGAATATGCTACAGTCAGGTCCGGTAAACGAAAACAACAGAGCTATAGGTCAGATCTCACTGCCGGTCCCGTCCACTCTCCATACTTTAATCACTCCGGCGCGATCGCCACTTACAACTCCCCCTCGGAAAGGTGAATCTATGCTCACCAATACAGTGATGGAATCCTGATGAGATCTGGAGAGGCGTTGCTGGTTGTTATTGATCAACAACATGCGCTGCGGCGGGCGATTGTTTCGGCTGCTCAGCTGCGAGGGATGCAGCCAAGTCTCGACGTGAGCCGCGGTCGAGCCGGTCGACGAGCGAGTGGTACTAGAGTGCGTGTCCTTGATCAGCCGGATGGCAAAGCACGACGGAAAACACCAAAACGTACCTGTACGTTGGTCTGTCGCTATCGACCTCCAGGCCACTCAGCACCGCCGTCCGGTCCACGTTCACCAAGTCCCACAGCCTCAGCCTGCGATCCTCTGAACCACTCACCATGAACCCACGGCCCCCGACCCCGTGCCCGTCGGCATTCATCTGCGCCCCAGCAGACCTGTGGACCGCAGGGTGGCCACCAAACTCGTGACAGACGAAGAGCGCACGTATCGTAAGGGACGGCCCGCTCAACAACTGTTCGCGCGCGGCAGCGTCTGCGGACGACCGACGCCGCATGCCCACGCCGGCGCCTTGCTGCCGCGCACGCACGAGCGCTGCGATCGCCGAAGCGGCGCTAGGCTCTGGGTTGCTGCCGACGCTTTCCTGCGGTCCATCCACATCCGAGGGCTTAGACACGACACGCACACCATAAGTCTCGACCAGGAGCGTGTTCTCGATGTCCCATACTTCTATGAGAGACGTCGGGACGGTTTCGGAGGATGACTGGATGGCGTCGACGGCTACCATCACCCACCGCCCCTTTCCTCTGGCCGGATGCACGACACACTGATGTATCCGTGCCGATCCTCCCGCAGTGGCGGCCGCTGTCTTCCACGTCTTCAACAATAGACCAAACCGGATGTCCCATAAGGTGAGGACGCCGGATGCCGTCCCAGTAACGACCCACACGCGTTTTCGATCCAGACACATCGCGGTGATGGGTCCATAGTGGTTAGGATGCTCCATCCTTTGAAGTAACCTCATCGTTCGAAGATCGAGAATTGTCACCGTCGAATGGGTGGTAGCGTAGATCAAGTTCGACGAAGAATCTATCACAGTGTCAGCACATCCAATCCTCTGAGTAAAAAAAAAAGCAGAGCGTGCCGGTGTTGTAATGGGCCATGCAAGTGATATACTCTCCCGGCCTGTCCACCCTATGCTCCCGAACGACCTGCAGTTTCCCATACTTCGGCAGCGCCCCGCTCTGGCTGACATGCACTCGCACGACGTGCAGACTCCCGTCTTCCGCGGCGCTCGCAAAACAATGCACAGCCTCCAACATGCACACGCACTTGACGCGCGCATGGTGCTGCGTGTACGAATGCCGCGGCTTGCTCGTGACGTTGCGCTCCAGCCGCGCCGTGTCCCACACCTTGACCGTCTTGTCGTCCGACGCGGACACGAAGAACATGTGGTCCGGGGAGACAGCCAGCCCCGTGACCGCGTCAGTGTGCGAGCCAAGGTGCGCGATGAGCACTGCCTCGGGCCGCCGCGTCGTCCCATCCCGAGGCGTAAAGCTGTAACGAACGGCGTTGCGTCGACGAACGGGGCCTTCGTGCACTTTGGGACCAAAGTCGTCCTGGTATTCGCCGTTGCCGTCCAGGTAGAGGTGTTCCAGTAAGTTGTGAATACCCGGCTCTTGGCCATCTACACACAAACATGAAAGTGAGAGGTATGTAATCTTACGAGATGCAAAACATCCTACCATACGTCGATATCGGCGGCAACGATGTAACACGACGGGGATGCTGACCACGCACGGTGCCCGCAGCGGACACCGGAGACGACCGCCCAGACCTTTCCGGCGAGCCTTCAGATCTCAACCTTGACGAAGGCTCTAAAAGGCCTACTGCGTTCGCGCGCGACGATCCGACGGCCGGCGCAGCCTTCTGGCTATCGGTGCTCCCCAGATGGATCCTGTGTATCGCACGATAGGCCGCGGAGTTCGTGTTCGACAGCACCGACTCGGTCGGGCTGCCCGGCCTATCGAACACCGGCGGCAAGTCCGCCATCGTAGGGCCCTGCGGAACGAGCGGACTGGGCGCGGCGATGGAGGACGTTCGATGTGAGGGCGTCGCAGAGGGGAGGGAGGTTCCAGACCCGTTGAGAGCGGAGAGGCGCCGCCGCAGATCCTCGAAGGGGGCGCCGCTGGCGCCATAGTCGATGCTGGGGGGTCGAGAGATGCGCAGGGCTTCGGGTGGCAGTGGAGAGCGTGGGATGTCCAAGGTGGGCCGTCGGTTTGAGACGACTCGTGAGGGGTGTGGAGTCGACGGCTCGGATGCACGCGTCTTCAAGAATACGGTCTGAGGAACGACTTTGAGCCTCTGCAGCTCGACGTCGCTGGTCGTCTTCAAGCTTTCTGCATCATCTTCAGGTCGCAGACGACTAGCAAAACTAGGAAGATAGACAGCCTGTATGAGTCTTCATATGACCGACACCACATGTACAACGAGCGTACCTCCCAATAGCATTCGCCAGCTTAAGAATATAATCCCGCATGGCCATCAGCTTTGCCTCCTCTACAGCCGTCATCCCAAGCTGGCGCAGCTTCTGCAGTTGAGCCTCGTCCCTAGTCCGCAATTCAGCATGTTCCCCCTTCCTGTCTATCAGCAACCCACTCACTCGTCCGACTGTCCCCGCGGGACCGCAGGGCTCCCGATCCTGCGCATCGTCGCGACGCTGTCCTGCGGCGACTCGGGCTTCGCCACGCGGCGGTGGCTCCTCCAGAACGGGGTCCGATCGGCCTTCATCGCCCACTGCACCGCGGCGTCGAACACCTGCCGCGACAGCTGTGCGGCGTCGAGGACGCGAATAAGCTCTCGTGTGTACACGGCGCTGAGGGCAAAAGCGAAGAGGCTTACGGGGGCCTTCAGGTTCACGAGCAGGCTCATCTCGGTGATCTCGCGCACGTCGGAACGCAGGAAGTGCCGGAGGGAGGGGTAGAGGATGCACCATACGTCGCTCGACGGGAGGTGACTCGCGGCGGACACGATAAACGCGGCCGCGCCTACAGGTAATATTACTCGGGGCGGCGATGTCTGCGAGCACGGAAGACAGACAGACCTTGGCGGATCCAGACGTTCGGGTGGTACAAGAACCCGAGCGTCGCGCTCATGAGCTCCCAGATGCGCATCTTCTGGAACAGGCCCAGCTCGCAGAGGCTCGTCAGCGCGCCGAGCACCCTCGCGACCACGGCCTCTTCCACATCTGTCCACGCCGCCTCATCAGCTTCCCTCAACCTCCACGCCCCGATAAATCGAAGCGCAAAACACACACACGCCACGCACCCGAAAGCGCCTGGATCATCAGCGGCAAAATATACTCCTCCAAGCTGCGGCCCCCCGCACACGCCGCAACGTCCACGATCGCGTCAAAAAACGCGTGGCGCAGGAGCCAGTCGCGGTCGTTCAGGTACGTGATCATGTGGCTCAGCAGCACGTCGTTTGTGCGCTGCCGGCCGAGGAAGATGCACAGCGCCGAGATGTCGTGCAGCAGCGCGCGCTTGACGACGCTCGACGGGTCGACGAGCAGCGCCGCGAGCTGCTCCTGCAGCGCATTCTGCAGGTCCTGCAGCGCTGTGTCGTACGGGAGCTCGAACTGCGCCTCGGACGGGTGGCCTGTCGTGTCTGAGTACTCGACCACGTCGCCGCCGCCGCCATCGCCGCCGTTGTTGTTCGTGCTGGCGGTGCTGTTGTTGTTGCTGCTGCTGCTGGTGAGCTTGAACGTGCCGTGCGCTTTGAGCGCTTGGCCCATTTCGAGGTAGCGCACGGCTGTTTCGGCGAGGGGAACGATGCACTGCGCGTACGTGCATCTCACGGACACCTCCGCGTCGAGGACGAGGGTCTGGATGTTCGGGATGATGTACTCGGGGAAGATCGAGGCGTTGGACGGCGTGATCACCGTCACCAATATCAACTACAAAGCAGTACATGTTGAGTGAGCTCGACCGATCGAAGCAGCGCGTCGAGCAGAGGCGCACGGTCTGTAAGACCAGATAGAGCAGGGTGCACTCACGACTTGGATCAGCGTCCGCAGCGCCGCGCCGCGCACGACGGCCGCCTCGTCGTGCAGCAGGTCGACGATGTACGGCACCATGCGGTCCAACTTCGCCTCGTCCGTCAGATGCGCGCTCAGCGCGAGGAACACGTCCAGCGCGCGCAGCTTGCTCGACGGGTGCGTGCAGCTCCGCACGTTCGCGCATACGAGGGCGAGGATGATCAGCGCGGGGCCGTCTGCGGCGTGCAAATCCACGGTCAACACCAAACATGAATCGAGGGAAGAGGGAAAGCAACAGAGGAGAGGAGAGCGATGTACCTTCGGTCGCAGCGCGCCGTCCGGACGGCAGCCTCGAGTCATGGTTCGGGACGCACAGCTCCACCGGGATTATATCCTTCCCACCCACAAGAAAGAGCATCAACCAACCCGCCCGAGACCAAGACACACGCCATGACTCACCTGGAACGGCCGCGCGCTCGCCTCCGTGCGCCCGTACTCGACGCGCACGTCCATGACCGTCGCCTCGCCCGCGTCCGCGTCCGCCGCCAAGTACGGCTCCACGCTCTCATAGTCCGCCCACACGCGCTCGATCCGCCTGTCCGCGTCGCTCGGCAGCACTCCGCCGCCGCCCAGCGGGAGCACCGGCGTAGTCGCCCCGGGGGCCTTCGCCGCCGCTGCCGCCGAGGGGGCGGACGAGGAAACCGTTGGCACCGCCGGGGCGGGGGGCGGCACGCTGAACGGGGACGGGGACGGGAGCTCGTTGATCGACGCGACGTAGCTGTGCAAGAAGAGGTAGAAGGCCTCGGGGAAGACCTTCCCGCGCGCGGTCTGCAGGAGGGTGTCGAACGCGGGGCGCGCGGCGGGGTCGAGGGCGATCATCTCCCGGATGAGGTCGCGCACGTCGGGGTCGTCGATCGAGGCGAGGGGCGCGTCGACGCTGTGCTCGCCCTCGCGGTACTTGAAGAGCTGGCTGAGCGTGAAGAGCGGCGCGCCCTCGCGGAAGAGCTCTGCTATGACGCAGCCCGCGCTGAACACGTCCATCGCCTCCGTCACGCGCGTCTCCCTCTCTTTCTCCCTCTCTCTATCCTTCTCGCGGCCCCTCTCCCGTCCCGCGTCGCCGCGCTCGCGCTCCCTCTCGTCCGGCGGCGGCGGCTCGTCGTGCTCCATGCGCGCGGCGTAGAAGCGCTCGGGCGCGAGGTAGCACGTCCGGCGTCCGGCGGTGTCGAAGTAGAACGAAAAGTCGGACGGGTCGTCGAGCGGGAGGAAGGTCGGCTTGTGCGGGGCGAAGTCGGAGAGGTAGAGCCAGTTCCAGGATGTGACGAGGATGTTTTCAGACTTGATGTCGCCGTGCGCGACCTTGCGCGCGCGCGCATCGCGCAGGGCGGTGAGCAGCTGGAAGGCGATCCATTTTTTCTCGATTGGGCTCAGGAAGGGGCGCGTGCTGCGGACGGGGCGTGGGCGCGGGTCAGTCGCGAAGGATGCGCTGGGTCGGGGCGCATACACGGAGGGGATCACGCACCTTATGCGATCGTAGAGATTGCTGGCGAGCCATTGGCGGATGAGATACCCCGCCTTCTCCGTCTCCACAAAAGTCTGATAATTATACACGTTCGGTATATCGAGCAGCGCGTCCCGTTCGACTGCGAACGGCATACGCAGCGCATCAAGCGGAGCACACACGATCGGACACGAGCAAGGGCGAGCACGCACTCTTCAGCCGCCGCTGGTACTTGCGCAGGGTCATGCCCGGATCGGGCTTTATGAATATCTTCGCGACGAGGTAGCCGTTGCGGTGGCGGCAGCGGACGGTCTTGAGGAAGCGCGACGTGCCGAGGCTCTTCTCGTAGACGATGTCTGAGCCGAGTTCTGCGACGAAGGAGTCGAGGGCGGCGGCGGTGCGGGTCAGGGGGTAGCCAGACTGTGTGTTCCCCATGCTGGCCGCACACGACTGTGTAGGGCGATGGCTCAGGGAGGGGGAAAGATGTGGACGAAGCACGAATGGTATGTTTTATAGGCTGGGGACGCGAGGCGGACGGGACATGGAGAACGCTGGAGAGAAACAGCCTCGTCTGTCCGAAACGGTGCCCGCCACAGAACGCGGCCGCGCTCAGCCGGCCCGACGCTCGTCCACATCGAGAGCGAATTGCGGATTTCCATCACGATTCACCCTCCGATCTCAGGTCCTGCGACCCAATCCAGCCCAATCTGGATTTTTACCCCAGCACCTCACATGATCTCCTGCGCACGCAACCAAATCCCTGAGCACACTTTCCCCCGCAGAACATGTCGTGCGGACAACCTCTCCAGCACGTTCAGCGAAATCCTCACTCTCCACGCCTCGAGTTCAATCAATAACATTGCCATACATCGTTATACATGATCCATCCACACCATCGCAAACAAAACAAATACAAGAGACGCCGAGCAGACCAGACTTCAAACACGACAGTACGAGACATTGCAGCATAGAAAGAAGAAAAAACGCACGACGACGGGGCCCGCACGGGCAGATTCCTCAGAGGTAAAACATGGTATCCTTCAACGCGCCCTTGACCCCGCCGTGCCACAGCGCGACCGCCTCGCGCCACACCTCCTCGTCCTGCGCCGCCGCCGCACCGCTCCCCGACACCGACGTCGTCCCCGAGTCCGAGATGCCCTGCAGCAGCTTGTGCAGGTAGCACCGCCCGCGCTCGCACGCCAGATCCGCGTAGTACGCGGGCGACACCAGGCTCACCGCCTTGGTCGCCCGCGCGAACGTGTAGCTCACCGCGTTCGTGAGCCCCTGCAGGTCGTCCGCGCGCAGCCCCATCTCGTTGCACACGACGTAGTAATGCGTCGGCCGCGTCGTGCCCTGCAGCCCGCCGTGCGCCTGCAGGAAAAAGTCGAACTCGTAGATCGCCGTCACGCCCCGGTCCACGACCGTGCCCGGGCGCGGGTTCCCGTTCTGGTCCGCGTGCGCGACCTCGGTGGGGTAGAAGCGCGTGTGGTGCCGCTTGCCGCAGATCACGACCGTCAGCTTGGGCCGGTACGGCTGCGTCGTGTCGAACTTGCGGAACGCCGCCCTCATCTGCGGGATCTCCTCCTTGAGCACGATTGAGAATTGGCCCTGAACGCCGAGCGCAGGTGAGCGTCGTCCATCGAGCAAGACCAGGGCGCGCTTACCTCCGAGACACCGTCGCGGTAGACCAGGATGCGCTGCGGAAGCGTCTTGTTGTTCTTGTCTCGCCACAGCTGGAGACGCTCTTCCATCATGGCCTGCAGTTCCGTGATCATCTACATCCAAAGTCAATGAAATCGCCCCGACGCTGGAGGGCTGTGCGCTTGCCTCTTTCTTCGACTCCTGGATCCTCATGCTGGCGGGGTACTGAGCAAAGTTGGCGTCCACGCTCGCCACGACGGCCGCGATGGAAGGCGTGCCCTTTACCGTCGACGGGCCGGGATGCGTCACGTCCATCCCGACCAGCATCGTCGTCGGCTGGCGCAGCTTCGCCATGCTGCGGTCGTCGAGGTTATGGTTCACGCCGCCGAGCTTCATGTTCACCTTGAGCGCGACGTTCGCAAAATACTGCACCTGGCCCCTCTCCTTCCGTATCTTCTGCGTCTGCACGCACACGGTCGGCACGTCGAGGTACACGTCGCACAGGTGCTTCAGCCCCGAGTACACGTGCTTGTCCGCGCTCGAGAGCAGCACGATGACGAGGCTCGGCTTCGCCTGGGCCGACATGAGCGCCGACCGGATCGCCGCGATCGCCTGCCCACGCACGGGGTCGGCCTTGGGGTCCTTCCTCGGGAGCTGCACAGGGATCACCGCAGGCGGGTTCTGCGACACCTGCATCCCGCACGTGCGGCACATCGCCGCGAACCCGCGCATGGTCGTGATCAGCTCCGGGTCGTCCGGCCCCGCGAACTCGTCGCGCCCGCCGTCCTTGATGAGCAGCACCGCCCACCGGTCGAGCGTCCCGCCGCGCGCGAACTTGACGTCGCGCAGGTTCCAGCTCGCGCGCTCGTCCACGCGCGGCTCGCCGCGCCCGTACTTGATCCCCGGCGGCGAGAGGATGCGCCCGGGCACGACGGCCATCTCGTTCCCGATGGACACGCCGAACGTGTTCAACACCGACGACGCGCCCTGCCGGAACCCGAGCTCCGTCAGCCCCTTGTTCGTGATCGCCTCCGCGTTCACGTTGGGCGGCTTGGCCGCGACGAGGATCATCGACGCGGTCTGTTCGTCGAGCAGCTTCCCGCGGAACGGCTGCCCGGGCAGGATGATGCACACCTCGGGCGGGAGCAGGTTCTGTTTCTGGCCGCCGACGTCGACGAGCGGGAGGTTCGGGTACCGCAGGTTTACCTTGTATTCTGAGATCCCAAATCAGCGCGCGCCCGCACCCGAGAGAACCATCGCATCACTTACTTTTTTTAAAGTATTCCTCGACCGACACCATGCCGAGATCGTCGGCCTTGAACTTGTGCTGCTTGGCGTTGACTTTCGCCATCGTTTTGATGGTCTTGCGATACCCCAGGTGCGTCGTGCGCACCCGGACGCCCTTGGCGAACACCTGCATGCGCGCGCCAAAGCTAGCGTTCTCGAATGCCATCATCGCGTCCGCCAAGTTGCCCTCCGTGTAAAAGGCAGTGGTGCAGACGTTCACGTTCACCATCAGAGACCTGAACGCGGGGCGAATCGAAGAGTAGAACCCCCGCCACGCTTCCAGGCCGCCGCCGAGCGGCACCGGGGGCGACGCCGAGGGAAAGAAGTAGCGGTTGCGTCCGACCATCACGCCGCCGCCTTCCTGTGTGCGGTTCGGGTGAGCCGCCAAGATCAAATTGAGCGCAGCGACGACCGGTAAGATGTCGTGGTTGCGGTAATTCGCTTCCCCTTGGAGGTGGCTGCACGAATTAGAGTTAGCGCAGCGCACGTGAGGATGATCAATGATAGAAATAGGGCATACCTGGACAGACTCTCGGTCTCGAGCGTCTGTACGAGCTTGAGCTTGAGCGTGTAAACCTTGCCGCCTTGCGCGGGCGGGCCCGATTCCTCTTCTTCGTAGAAGGGAACGTCGATGGTGAGCGGCTGCGGGAGCTGCGCCGCGGAGATCAGCTTTGCGGCGTGGTCGTGGGCGACGCGGCCCCGCAGGCCCAGCTGTGCCCACTGCGGCGTGGCCTCGGCGAGCTGCAGGATGCGGCGCTTCATCCTGCGATTGCTCGTCCCCTGCACGGGCGTTATCGCGATGTCGTACTCGTACAGCGGGCCCTTGGGGACGCGCACGGGGAAGAAGTTCGTGCGGAGCTTGATCGCGAGCCCGGCCTTGCCGAAGTCTGGGCGCAGCGGGATGTCGTGCGGGTGCACGGAGAGCGAGTTGAACTGCGCGATGAGCGCCTCTTGGGACGCGTCGAGGCGGGCGTCGATGTTGGCGGGCCGGCCCTCGGCGAATATGCTGCGACCGAAAGTCAATATTGCGTGCCGCTAGCACAGCACACAACACTGGATGGCGCTCACCCTCCTTGCTCCCGCGGGGATCCACCGCGCCCTCGTGAGACACCCCGTCCTCTGTAGTCCCCAGGCGTGCCGCTCCGTCCTCTGTAGCCATCGCCTCCGGTCGGCCCGCCCCTGCCTCTGTAGGGCTCGCCACCGGGAGAGCCCCCGCGCGATCCGGGGGTGCCACGACCTCTATCACCTCCGGGGCCACCGCGGCCCCTACCACGATCGCCGCTGGCACCGCGGCCGCCACCGCCCCCTCGCCCCGCGTCGAAACCGCGCCCGCGATCACCGCCTCTTTGCATCGTACGTATGTACCTCTTTTCGAAACACCCTCGATTTGTCGCGCGAAGCCAAACTAGGGAAACCCTCGTTGCGTGTCTGCCGTTGAACGTCTGAGCAAGCTGGGGAGATGTGGGATGAGGGTGGGGGGTGAGTGGGGGGAGAGAGCGCGCGAGCAGTGACTGGCGGTGACTGGCCGCTGGAGGTTATAAGGCACGGATCTCCGCCCGGACAGATGCGAGGGGAGAATACAAACGGGCGCTGGAAAAGGAACAAACCTCGTGGACCCGTGGATTAGCTTCCGTTCTCGACCGTGGAAAGCGCGTCGATCCGTGCACAATGCGCCTTATCGCTGCGCGATCTGTGCTGTGTCGGGGAATCGCGCCAAGAAGCGTGCAAAAAACCAAAGAGATTGGGTGTGGATCTGGTCTTTGGGGCGTGTTCTGCGGTGTGGGACTGGTGCAGGCTGGCCGCAGAGCACTGGCGGAGACAGCCCGGTGGCAAATCACGATGCCCGATTGGGCTTGCTACTGCACAATCGATGCTCTTGTCTGCTTCCCGAACCAGCCGATCGCGTCCGATCGCCCTGCGTTGGCAGCCGAGCATGGCGCTACGACTGCGCTCAGCACAACCAACATGCCCGTCCTAATTTTATCTAAAGGGACACGTATAAAAAACCCATTGTCGCAGCACCGCAAGTCGCCAAAGCCCCGCGCCGCGAGGCGAAATACAACGCCCCATTATTTGCAATCCCGAACAACGTCGCCGTCCCAATCGTGATCAAAGGGGAATACTGCATTACTGTAGTTGTCGCAGTCCTCGTTGCAGCGTAGTCGCCGTCCTGAGACCTCGACAACATGACACAGCACGACGCCGGATGCTGGGAGATACTTATGCTGACGAGATGAAATTCGTGCCTCGCAGACATCCGCGAGCACTATCGCGCCGGAATCATGCTCTCCCGCCCGTCTTTGTTCTCGTCGCTGCGTTCACCTGCAAGATCCCAAACGACTCGCGTGCCATGTCCCCACCGCCGAAAGACGTCCTGCTCGTTGGCTACGGAGCCGTCGGCGCCATCTGTACGTGTATCCCTGCCCGGGCTTATCGCGCTGCCTTTGGAGCCCCTTTAACTTAAGCCCGCTGAACGCGCCTTGGCCCTTTGTCTCTCGACTCCCGACTCCCGACCCGGTGCAAAAGACTCGCTCATCCTGAAGAACAGCGGCAGGGCGCGCGTCACGGCAGTCGCGCGAAGCAACTACGCGGCCGTTTCGGGTGAGCAAGTCGCCTGTCGATCCTGGCCTCGCGTCCGCCACTGACGGTGCGCCCCGCCGCCAGCCCACGGGATGGAGTTTCGCAGTAAGAAATACGGCGACATCGTAGGGTGGAGGCCCGACAGAGGTGCGCATCGCGCGCGCGCCCACGCCCACGCGCAGCCCACGCCCCGTTCCACCGCTCCCGCAGCCCCCACTCACGCGCGCGCGCCGCAGTGTGCGCCTCCGTCGCAGACGCGAGCGACCGCGCGTACGACTACGTCGTCGTGACCACCAAGGCGATCCCGGAGCTCGCGCGCACGCCCGCGCTCCTCGCGCCTCTCCTCGCGCCCGCGTACGCGCGCGCGCACGCGCAGCCGACGTACGTGCTGTTCCAGAACGGGCTCAACGTCGAGCGCGACCTCCACGCGGCCGTCGCCGCGCTCGGGCGCGCGCCGCGGATCATCAGCACGGCGGTGTACATTAGCACTGCGATGCTCGGCGCGAACGTCGTGCGGCACGAGACGTTTGTGCGTCCCCCAGCCTCCTTGCATATCCTATCTCCCGACTATACCCGATCTCGATCTCGACTGGCTGGACTGACGGCGGGGATAGGACCGCGTGTCGTTGGGCGTGTATAGATTGGACGACTATACGACGGCGACGAATAGCGAGGGCGAGCAGGCGCTGCTGGACGACTTCGCGGGCTTGCTGGAGGACGGCGGGTCGACCGTCACCGTCGTGCCCGAGATCCAGCGCGTCAAATACGCCAAGAACTTCTGGAACGTCGCCTTCTCCTCGATCGGCGCGCTCACGCGCCACTCCCCCGCCGCGATCTTCAGTCTCCCGACTACCGCCGCCGCACCCACTTCTCCTCCCTCCGACACGCCCGCGCTCGCGCGCATCCCGCCGTCCGTCTCCCAAGCCCCGCTGATCACGCAGCACACGCTCCCCGCGATCCGCGCGCTCATGCACGAGCTCCTCGCCCTCGGGCGCGCGCTCGGCTTCCCCGACGACGCGGACGGCGGGCTGCCCGCGGGGTTCCCCGACGCGCTCATCGAGTCGACGCGCGAGCTGCACCTCGCGCCCGGCGCGGCGCACCGGCCGAGCATGCTCGTCGACCTCGATAACGGGCGCCCGATCGAGGTCGAGGTGATTCTGGGCGAGGTCGTGCGGATGGCGCGTGCGCGCGGGGTCGACGTTCCTGTGAGTCGCTGCGTCGTTCGTGTTCGGGCGCGCGAGAGGCGGCGGATGGCTGACGAACTTTTGTGTCAGCGGGTCGAGATGCTGTACGCGATGCTGCTCGTCGTGCAGAATCAGCTCCTTCAGAGCAGCGGCAATTGAGCCTGTTATGAGCGGCTATGCACATGTTTGTTTAATATAGGTCTGACGTTCTCCTTGGTTGTACGCATCGTAGACAGTGTTTTTTTGACTCAATGTATCGCCCCGGGCACGCGGAAGCAAAACGCCCGTCGTGGCCTGGGTGGAAGCTGTCGGAAGTTGCCGGTACGGTGACGCAGTGCGCCCCCAATCGACCGCTGGGCGTGTCGACCATGCACTCGCCATGCACCGCTGCTGGCCCGTGCGCTCGCCTGTTCCACAACGCGTGTACGTTCCCCGCCGGCGCTCACCGCTCCCTTCACGGACATCGCGCCCTGCACTCACAGCTGGACCTCGAGCTCGACACCTACTCACATGTCCCCGATGGTCTATTACACAGGCTAAGCGTCGCTCCGACTGTCAAGCAGCCACCGCAAACGCGCCGCTCACCTTGTCTCGGCGAAACAGAACAAGAAACCCGGCCGGCGAGCGTCCTGCACGCGCGTGTTCGCAACGTGGACCCCGTCGATGAACGTCCGCCGCGCGACCTCTCTGCTCCTGCGTGGCCTCGCCCCGCCCTTCACCGCACGCACACCCACACGGCCGCCGGACACGCGTTCCTCAGCCATGCACTCAGTCACGCACTCCGCCTGCCTCGCCCGAGCCGCCCTCAGGAGGAGCCCCCACCCCCATCGCACCGCAGCCATCATAAACAGGGCCACACCCGTCCGTATCGTGCTTTCCTCCCGCACGCCCACAGCGCCCTCGATTGACCCTTCCCTTTTCCTTTCTTTTTTATCCACAACTCTTTCACACCCCACCCGCCCCCGTCATCGCTGCTGCGACACCCAGCCGCCCATGCCCCCGCACCCCGACCCCAGGCGGCTCTCCGCCGTGGGCATGCCCGCGGGCACGTCCGCAGGCGCGAGGCGCGCCGCGCACTCGAGCGCGGACCACGCGGCCCCGCGCTGGCCCCCGCTCGCGCGCCCTGGCGCCGCGCGAAGGCGCGCCCACCGCCTGTCGCGCGACATGCACAAGCGCACCTTCTTCGGCGTGGGCGAGATCGTCCGCGTCGTCACCAACGTACGTCCATCCCCGCGTGCGTTTCATATCTGAGCACGCACGCACGCGCGCGCGCCGCTCCCTATGCTGATAACACCACCACCCACACCACGCTCTGTCGTCCCTCCCACGCATACACACACACACACACACAACACACCACACTCGTTCCCCTCGCTCTCTTACTCACTCTCGCCGACCTGCGCTCGCGCGTCCCGCCTCCGCCCCTCCTCCATGTCCCGCTCGTCGCTCTGCTTCCAGCCCGCAGAGACCCTGCGCTCGCTCACCGAGTCCCGCCGCATGCTCGAAGACGCGCGGCGCGAGATTGAGGAAAACAGGGAGCGCGCGCAGCTCCGCCCATCGCACACGTTCTCGTGCCTCCCGGGCTTCTTCCCGCGCCCCGCCGAGCTGCAAGCCGTCGGCCGCACGCTCGAAGAGGAACCGTGCTTCACCGTGCTCTTCGGCGCGAGCTCCGTCGGGAAGGTGCGCGACGCCTACACGCCTGCACGCGGCGCCCTTCATCCCGATGCTCATGTTCGACTTTCGCTTCTTTGTATGTGCCCTGCGCTTGCGCGTGCGGTGCGCGCCAGACGGCGCTCCTGCGCCAGCTGCTCAGCGCGGACAAGTACCACGTGCTGCACTTCGACCTGCGCATCGCGGGCTTTGCGGACCTCGACAGCCTCTACATGAGCCTCAGCCAGCAGATGGAGCAGTTCTTCGCGGCCATCGCGCGCGTGCGCTGCTTTGAGGACTTTGAGAAGGAGGCGTGGGGCTTCAAGGTGCGTGCGCGTCCGGCGTTCCGTCCTACGTGCAGATTCCGTGCTGACGTTTCTCTTTCGCTCCTTTTGTTTATGTTTACCTTTTGGCTTTGCAGCACGATCGGCTCCACGTCGAGCGGCGGATCGCAGAGTCGTCCACCGGCGCGGGGCAGATCCGCACGAGCGATATCGCCCGGCTCATGGAGCTCTTCCAGGTACCCACACCCACACTTACACCCATCCGCCGTCCCTCGCACATCCTCGACACCCACCTGACCCACTTTTCTCGCCCGCCAGAGCTCTCTCCTGAAATACCGCGAATTCGAACCCGGCGCGCCCTCGGACGACGCCAGGTCCGCCGCGTCGAGCAACCGCAACAGCGCCGCCGGCGGGGAGCCCGCCGTGGCGCGCCCCATCTCGCAGCAGGGCAAGGCGGGCAGGTTCAAGTGGTTCCGCCGGGGCGCCGCCAACGCCGCCGCCGCCACAGCCGAGCAGAAGCCCCGGCGCGAGGGCAGGAGCGGGAGCGCGGCGGAGGAGCGCCCGGCGAAGAAGATGCCGGTGTTTTTCTTGGACGAGGCGCATAAGCTGTACGTCGCCTCCGCCTGAGCCGACGTATGCATGGTTGATGGCGGATCGCGGGATGTGTGTGTAGGCCGGGGCTGATACAGTCTATCGACGCGATGAAGTCTCTCCTCGATTCGATGCTCGTGCTCACGAAACAGGATCGGTTGTGTCATGTTATTCATTCTACGAGCGATCCCTTCTACCAGACGTGGCTGCGGCAGCTCAACGTCATGCAGCACTGCAAAGTAAGCGACTTCCTCCGCCCTCCCGCTCGTCTCATCTCCATCCCGCACGCGCGACTGACGATGAGTGCACAGATCATCACCATAGGCGACTGCTCGAAGGTGGAGACACAAAGCTTCTTCAGGGAGCGGCTCGTCCCGCGGATCCCGCCCGAGTATCGGCCGCTGGTGGATTTCGAGCGGCTGTATGAGGTGTTTGGGGGGCGGTTGGTCCACTGGCAGGATTATATCACGGACTTTGGTGCGCACGCTCCGCAGGTCGCTCCGTCGGCCCACTCACTAACCCAACCGCGTTCCCGTTCTCGTTCTCGCAGTCAATTCCAACGGGCAGCTCGAAGGTCAGCCCATCTCCCCAGCTCGCAGAGCCGCGGAGCGTTTTTTTTTTCTTTCCTTCCTTCTTCGAAGTCTGGCTTTTGAGCGCTGACGCGCGCGCAGTGCACGACAGCTCGCACTTCATCCAGGCACACGCGCTCTTGAACCTGCACATCATCCACTCCGCGCAGGCACCCGAGCACCCAGACCCGAACAAGCCCCCGACCGCGCCCCCCGAGCCCGGCGCCCCCAACGGGTCTGCGAACCCCGCCCCAGGCGGCGGCGGCGGCGGCGGCGCGCGCGGCTTCTCGATCTACTCCCCGCTCACGGGCCCGCCGCGCAACCCGCACGCGCTCGCGCACGCATCGGGCGCGCCCGCGGAGCCGGGCTACACGTCGGACTTCACCGCGCTGCAGCTGCTGCGCGTCATGAGCCGGCTCACGCAGCCCGGCGTGCGCGCGCTGTCGTATTTCATGCTGTGCCGGGAGTTCGGGGTGCGCGCGGTGGACGGCATGGTCAAGGGCCGTATTTTGGACTTGCGGTGGATGGACCCCGTGACGCGGGAGGGCGGGGAGTCCGCGCGCGATTACCGCCCGGGCGCGATGGGCGCGTCGTATGTCGGCGGGGGTGTAGGCGGAGGTACCGCGCCGCCGCCCGGGGCGCGGGAGCGGCCGCGGAGCCTCGGGGTGCACCTGGGGGCGTCGAGCAGCGGGACGGCGATCGTGGCGGAGTCGGTCGAGGAGGACATGGTGGCGATCTCGGAGCGGGAGGCGGCGCTGCGCGGGGAGCTGTTCGACGACGGCGTGGACGAGATCTTCGGGCCCAAGGTGGTGCCCGCGACGCCGATCATGCGGTTTGCGATGCGCGAGGTCGTGGCGGAGTATCAGGATACGGGGTCCGTGTCGGAGTACGCGTCGTTGGCGGATATGGACGAGTATTGAGGCCCTACGGGGCGTGCGTGTACGATGCTAGTAGGGTGGGGTTGTCCGCTTGTGTCGCTTTTCTTGCGCTGGATTGTTGGTCTCGTCGGTGATCGCACATACGAATTCGCGCTGTACTTTTTTTAACTATAGCTCGTCGACTGGTCGCTGTTGTTTTACGTGTACGATATCTTACATTACGGAAACTCTTGCCTGGCGGGACGTGCCTGCCTTGGCCTTCTATATACTTGTGTTCAATCTAGTCCAGCATATCGGACGTCGGCGTTCGCCTCTAGCCACGCAAGCCATTTCTTCAGATACGAGCCTCCGTGCTGGATGGTCGACGAGTCGCCAACTACGCACTACGAATCGGATTCGTCGTTGAGACCAAGCCACATGGGGCGCTGGGGGGGGAGAAGAAACGTACCAGATGACGCCTCGCGCGCGTCATGGCCACTTTGGAACGCACGCCGTCACCGAGTCAGATAAAGCTAGGTACTAGAAGGGAGAGAGGGACGAGGCACTGACCGTTCAGCCGGCGCTTCTCCTTCAAGAAACCGACTTCGCGCTGCGATCCACAAAACTCGTCATCGGCGACAGGCCCGAGTCGATAGCGGCGGAGAGGCCGTGCTCACCGTTTCGTTGCTGCGCACCAGGCTGATCACGATGGCTTCTTTTTCGCGGCCCTGCATCCCGTCGACGGTTCCAATCTCTATTTCTGGGCCGTATAAGGGGCGCAAGAGCGACGTCATGAGGGTCACCTGCGCTTGGTACCTGCGAGAATGAGAAGAGAGGGGTGTCGGGGTTTAGAGTGGACGATGCGGGAGATGGGTGCGGCGAGCGTACGGAGTGATGACCGCGATTTGTGAAGGCGTTACTCCGCATCCAACCTTTCGAAAGCGAATGTCCATCAGCATACGACGGAGAGATTCTGCGATCCTGAAAGTCACTTACCAATGTCTCCACCCAGTTCTTCACCACGGTCGCTTCGTTCTCGTTGCATCGGCTTCCCTCCTCGCCATCTCCCTCGAGCCTCTCGAAATACTCGCACCCAGCGGTGTCGAAGAACACGACGGGGGTCCCCAAGACCTCCTTCTCGTCCTCTTCCGAGGTAGCCTTCGTGTTCGGAAGGTCGCGCAGCAGATGCGCCGCTACCGATTCATCTGCGGTCAGTTTGGACCCGTAGAGGACTTTCGACGGAAATTGTGCGATGAGGCCGTGCATCCTGTGCATTACAACATATTAGATCGATAGCGGAGATGAATGAAAATACGCACCGGTATTGGACGGTCAGCATTCGCTTGATGTCAGGGCCGTACATCTTCTCCAACCGCTCGAACATCGTCGTCTCTAGTGTTTTAGGAGGCCGAAGCCCTTGCACTCTTCGCGCTTTGTTCTTCGCCTTTTCGATGGTGGATTTCGTAGGCGCGGGTGCTGAGATCTCTCCACTGACCGCTTTGTCTTGCTCCGCCTCCGCCTCATCAGATGAATCAGATTCCGAGTCCCCTGTATCGTTGCTTGTGTCGGGTGGCGGTGATTGCGATTCTTCAGATGCTGGAGATTCCTTTGCGATTCCTTGCTTCACTTTGGCTGTCTTTGTAGACGCGGCACCCTTGGCCTTTGGCTTCTCGATCGCGCCTTGCTTACCATCTTTAGCCTTCTTACGCGATTCGTTTAGGGATAAGACGGTCGGAGGCAGTTGCCTGGGATCTCCTGCGAGAATGAGCTTTTTCGCTTTGAAGATCGGAATCCAGCAAACCTGGAGCGTCAAATCGTCAGCAGCGACCCCGAGCCAAGAGGCTCTACGCACCGCTTCCATAGCCTGCGTGGCTTCATCAATGATCACGACGTCAAATTTATGGTTCCTCAGCTGTCTGCCGCCTGATGAATGGCAAGTTGCAAGGACCACCTAAAGGCGATTATATTTATAAAATGCGCGCGAAGATACGACCAAGTTCCGGCGGACCTGCGATTCTCCGAGAACAGCTTCGACGACTCCGCCTTCTCGCCGACGATACCTGCAAGACGGACAAAGTCTGTCAACAAGGTTTTCCCAAGAGGCTGTGCGGAACGGCTTCACTCTTTGCGCAGAGCGCGAACCTCTTCCCACATCTTCTTCCTCTCAATTCCTCTCGGCCCCTTCCCCTTCGCTCCCTTGCCTTTTCCAGAAAGCGTATTAAGGGCTGCCTCGAGCTCATTCATAACGTCCTTCGCCAACGCGGCCTACAGGCGCCGACTATCAATAGATGTCGCAAAGGACCGAGCGTAGTCTGGTATATGACCTGCCTGATCAGTCCTCTTGGACTTGACCTCGAGAGTTGCGTCCAGAACGCCTTCGTTCGCCATCACACGCGCCGGATGCCCCACGCGCGTGACCTTCAGCCGGTCCCCCTTCTCTGCGGTCGGGAGCGCTAGAAGCCTCTCTAATATATTATCGACGGACAGGTTCGACGCTCCGCACACCAAGACGCGTTGGGGCTTGGGGTTCGATGGCGTGCCAGATGTGAGCTGCCGAATGATCTCTATGAGCGTGTGCGTCTTCCCGGTCCCTGTCCAACCGCCCACGGTGAGCGAGGTTTCGAGCGCCGGGATAGGTCGAGGCTCGGGCGCTCACCGGGCGGTCCGTGGATGCACGCGAGCTCCGGCGACTCGAGTGCGAACTTGACGGCCTCCTTCTGGCTCGGGTTCAGCGAAGGGTCGAAGAACGTTAGCTCCCCGACCGGAGACTTCTCGGAGAGCTCAGCCATCCCGAGCAGGACTTGGGTCAGGCGGGTCAGTTCCGGCTGCGCCTTTTCCGCGCCCTTTTCATGTTCTTAATAGAAAGCGTTCATATCAGGAGCGTCACTCACAGGAGCGCCCGTGGTGCTAGATGATATCACGGTCCTCTCGAGCTGGTCCAGAGCCTTGTCCATCCTGCGGATTCAAGAATTAGAAACAGAGTATAGATGGCGCATATTCAACCAGGCACACCTATCATAGGTAACGCTGTTCGCCAGCTTGACCACTCTGCATCGTTCAGGGAGATCCAAGTCATCGGAACCAGAGTCGGAAGAATCGACGGCAATGACGATACGAGTATCCGAGACCTGCGCGGCCAGTTTCGTTAGACCATGCCCGAGACCGAGCTGATAGAGTTCACACCTTGTACACCACACCCTCCGCAGTCTGATTGCTGGCCTTGTTCTCCGTAGTAGCCTTCTTCGTCTTGGACGGCTTCTTCGACGAGCCAGAGGCAGACACGTTTTCCTCTATTCGGGCGAGATCCCCGGGTCTGCGGGAGAGGCAATGATGCGACGCGCGCCTGTGAACAGAGGAGGGCCTACCGTATAGTATGAGGTGGAAATAGTTGATTGGTGTGATACAACGCAGGGCGCTCTAGCTCGACTAGACTGCACTGATCGAGATGTATCAGACATCAAGGGTATCGGCGAAATTGAAAGATGAGAGATTTCTGAACGCACGTTTTCCCTCCGAGACCTATTGTTATGTTGGACACGCCGAGCCCGATCAGGGCCAGTCCTTTCTGTTCGAGCAGCCTGGGGCCGCAGTTGGACAAGAGCAGCGAGCTTCTTTCCACTTCTGCATCTCGCTCTTTGAGCAGAAGCGAGCGATGTCGCGATATGAACGCTTTGATATCCTCTTCCTTGGACAGCATTTCGGCGGATTTTTCGTGGGATGATAGGATGACGGAAAGTAGAGAGTCGAGCGAGAGGGCCACGGTCGAGTCGCCCCGGCCGATCGAGTCCATCTTGATCTTATCAGATTGGTTGCCAGCTCGCAGATTGAAGCTTTTCTCACACTTCGGAATCCGACTTGCACACTTCCCGCAACTTGCATATGGGTTCAGACTAGAAACGCTCTGAAGTGACCTTACTCGAGCGCTATGAAGCCGAATCTTAGGAGGAAAAATAGCACTCAAGCCCCACATCGTATTGACAGCAACCCCGGTCCCGAGGGCACATTGTGCGGTGCGTCCTACTAGTCTGTGTCAGTGCTATGGAATTATGATGTCAAGCTGCTTGGTTTGATCCTGACGTATCTACGTTCTTTACAGTCGTCTGTTTCGGGGTTAACGATTGCGGGAAAATGTAGCCACCCTCTCTATGGAACCACATTTTCTTCCATCTCGGAACAGAACTGGGTGGCTAGAAAGACATTGTCGAGATGTTCGGTTGGCTACACGGCGTTTATACCTAAAGCGGGTTTCTGCTTCTGGACGGCCTCCGGCTCGATAAACCTCAACAGGTGAATTTGCTTTCATCGAGGGATGAAGGTCGCCGCTGACACCCCACTTCCTAAACTCCAGCGGTCGTCGATATTACGTCCGATACGTATAGAGGAGCACGTCCAGGCTAGGAGCGATTCTGTTATGGAAGAGGCGTCTGCACCCGTCACAGATGCTAAAAGGGCGACGGCCTTTCTGTTCTCCCGCCACCAACCACTCTCAAAAGCGCTCCAACAGCCTTGTACGGAGCGACATGGTGCGCTCGGTCTGTCACGAGCGATGGGTATCGACCGCTTGCCAAGCCGATGTCCGACGCACCATAGCACTCCTCAGCGCCCAGCGCTCATTGGGAATGGGTTTCCACGACTATAGATAGCTGATTTCCAGTTCCACGCTCTACGGCGCGCAGAACGCTCATCTAATTGTGGCTGATGAGGCCATGAGGCCTATACGGGGAAGCACTTCACATAGCCGCTCGATGTGGATTGAGCGCGCGGGTTATTGTAGAATGTTTCCACCCTTCAGTTCCTCAGGTGACGTTGCTGGCGGATCGGGCATGAGGCAGGGCCAATATAAGACAATGGGCCGTCGAGCGCTGATTTGCGTGGCTCCTCCTGTTCATCTCTCCTCCCTGAAATCTCTGCAAGATGTGTCGCTGGTTTGCATTCGTGTCTCAGTAGGTTGAGAGCGCGCTACGCTGAGGGCCCACTGACGGAATGCCGCCTCAGCAATCCGGTTCTGCTGGAAGACGTCTTGATCGATCCGAAGCATGCGGTGAGCGAGATCCTTCTCCTGCTTGCTGCTACACCGGCTCATGCGACGATCCCGATCCGCGCCAGATCACCAAACAGTGCGCCAGCTTCGCCACTCCGAGGCGAACGAGGAACGCTGACGTCCATCCAGAGTGCACGATCATTATTTGCCAGGTGCGGCGGATGCAGAGATCATCGCTGCGACGGCATCGCTTACGCCTAGCGCTGCAGGTCTTCTTCACAATAATCCCGACGAGACCGTCGAACAAAAAGCTGCGGCTGAGAAGGACCTCGCTCTCCGTCAGTCCGAGTCGCTGCCCCCCTCGATGTGGCTTACCACGCTCTATTTTGGGCAGGAAACCTGATGTTCAACATCGACGGCTTCGGCGTCGCATGGTACACGCACACGCGCGCGCAGTTCGAGCCCGACTTCACGCAGGGCCCCCGTCCCGCGATGTACAAGACCGTCGCGCCCGCGTAAGCTCTCTGCGCGGCCCCTACCCTACGCGTGTGCGATCGCGGACCTGATGACGAGCTGTTGGGACGCAGGTTGACGGACCCGACGTTCACCTACATATGCGGCAACACCGCGTCGAGCTGCATCCTCGCGCACATCCGCGCGGCGAGCGCCCCGCCCGTCGTGCAGACGAACAACCACCCGTTCATATTCGGGCGGCACAGCTTCATGCACAACGGCTCCGTCTCGAACTTCCGCAGCATCGTGAGTCGCCCGCGTGCTCGATCGTTCGCGGGTCTGAGCGTGGCGGGTGTTGGTAGCGCCAGGAGCTGTCGCGCCGGATCAGCAGGGAGAACCTCGGGCTGATCCAGGGCAACTCGGACACGGAGCACGTCGCGGCGCTGTACTTCACGCACCTCGGGGACACGGCGGCCACGCACCCGATCGAGCACATGCGCGACGCGCTCGCGCGGACGATCAAGGACGTCCAGGACGCGCAGGCGGCGGTGCTCACGCCCGACGAGCTCAAGACGTCCGCGAACTCGCTGAACCTCTGCACCAGTGCGCTCGCTATCCCTCTACTGAATAGACCTGGACAGCGCCGCTGACGACGCGGCGGGCGGCACAGCCGACGGGGAGCAGATGATCGCGGTGCGGTGGCGCAACTCGGAGACGGAGCAGCCGCCGAGCCTGTACGCGTCGACGACGGCCGGGGTCGTGCTCAACCGGAAGCACCCCGGGGCCAGCAACGAGGGCCCCGACTCGCCGCAGGAGCTGCTCGCGAAGCTCGGCTCCGCGCGCGAGCTCGCGCAGGAGCGGAACGCGCACGGGCTGCACCTCATCGTCGCGTCGGAGCCAACCAGTAAGCGCGCCCCGTCCTCCCGTGCGGCGGTGGGTAACTGACTGCGCGCGGGCGCGGCCCGCGAATTGTACCGTGTAGCGTTCGACGCGAGGGATTGGAAGCTGCTGGATAAGAACGACTGCATCATGGTGGACAAGAACATGCGTCTGACGGTGGACGCGCTGAGGCTGCCTGCCTGAGGGGGATGTCGGTGCACGGAAACTGTAACTTGTGATGTGCGTGTGCGTTGGCGACGAATGACATTGGTCTCTTGTACAGTACGGCTGCTGCGAGTGGCGGGGCGGGGTGCTGACGTTAGGGGACGCGCTCGCCGGGGGAGTGATGTCATCGCGGGCCACCGAGCGTCGCATGTCGCAGAAGCCGCGTGCACACACACACCCGAACCCCCTCGAGCCCTCTTATCGATGACCGCGCTCAAGATGGCCCCCGTACAAACATCAGCCCAGTTTTGGCACCCTGAGGGCACGGACGCCGCCGCCGCCCCGCAGAGCTTCCCAGTCGAGGGCGTCGACCCGCACCTGGCGTTCTACAGGCCCGAGGTCCTGGACACGATCGCGCGAGAGATCGACGCCATCGGCGGGGAGCTCAGGGCGCTCAGCTTGGATATCCACCGTAAGCACCACCGTCCCTTCCTCGTCCAGACCCAGCACAGTCCGACCGGTGCCCCCCCGCACACACGCACAGAGCACCCCGAGCTCAAATTCGAAGAGACGTGCGTGATCGCGCCCATTTCGTACCGCGGGGCCGTTCGTGCTGATTTCTAGGCGCGCGTGCAGGCACGCGCACGACGTGCTGACGGCGTTCATGGGCGCGCGCGGGTGGGCGGTCGAGCGGCACTACTTCCTCGACACCGCGTGGGCCGCGACGTTCGTGCACGGCGCGGGCGGCCGCGTGCTCGGGGTCAACTCGGAGATGGACGCGCTCCCTGGGATCGGCCACGCGTGTGGGCACAACCTCATCGCCATCGCGGGCGTCGCCGTCGCGTGCGGCGTCAAGGCCGCCATGCTGAAGCACGACATCCCTGGGAAGGTCGTCTTGCTGGGCACGCCAGGTGAGCGTCCGCCCGGTCATGCACGTGGTTGTTGATGGCTCATTTTGTTTATCGTATTGTAGCTGAGGAAGGAGGAGCGGGGAAGGCCATCCTTCTCGAAAAGGGCGCCTATCGGGAGATGGACGCGTGCCTCATGTGGGGCGCCTTCTTTTCGCTTTCGTCTGCTCGTAGTTTTGACGCTGCCTCGAACTCGCAATAGGTGCCACCCTTCGCCTGGGCCCAAGCACGGCGCGAGCCTGAGCAGCTGTCTTGCGCTGATCCGTCTCGACGTCGCATACGAGGGCCACACGTGCGGCACCATCGATCTTGCTCTCATCCGTTCACGTATTCATGTCTGCACAGGGCGCATGCGGCCATGAGACCCTGGGAGGCGCAGAACGCGCTGGACGCAGCCGTTTCTGCGTACACGAACATCTCGTACCTCCGCCAGCAGATCAAGCCCACGCACCGCGTCCACGGCGTCTTCAAAGGCGAGGACTGGGCTGCGAACGGTCAGGATCTACACTTTTATCTTTATTTCCATTTTACCGCCGAGGACGGCGCCGACGGCTGACCGCGTGCGCTGCGACAGTGATCCCGGACAACGCGCAGATGCTGTACGTCGTCCCCACACACCCAATCCGCGTGCTGACTGGCTTGGCTTGGTTCGGCTGAAGGTGGTACATCCGCGCGCCGACGCTGGCCGAGCTCCAAGAGGTCGTCCCGCGCGTGAAAGCGTGCTTCGAGTGCGTATTCGGTGCCCCTCGACCCATCTACGCTTGCCTTTCTAAATAAAATCAAAAATAATCGGCGTGCGGCGTGCGGCGTGCTAGGGCGTCGGCGCTCGCGACGGGGTGCAAGGTGGCGATCTCGACGGAGACGCACCCGCTGTTCGATCTGCGGCAGAACACGGCGCTAGGAAAGTGTGCTCGCGCGCGTCGTTTGTGGGTCGTGGATGCTGATGTGTGTAGCTCTCGGATGCTGCAGGCGAGGCGTTTGCGGAGGTGTTCAGGAGCAAGTTCGGCCCTATCGACCGCGTTTTCGGTATCGACGGCGCGTCGACCGATTTTGTGCGTCGCCGTGCCCAACAATCTGCGGCGCCGTCGCGAGGCTAACCGAGCTCGTGGACGCCTTTGTTTGCATCTTACAGGGGAACGTGACTTACGGTAAGCCGGCGCACTCACGCTGACTCTGGTCGAACACACGAGCGACGCTTCACGCAGCGCTGCCTTCGCTCCACCCGGGATTCTGTGAGCCCCTTGCCCTGAGCTCCCCTCCCCGTCTCATACTACTACTACCACTACTACTACGACTGACATTGATATCGCGCAGCGATCCCGACGCTGCCGAACGGCGGGAACCACACGCGGCAGTTCGCGGAGGCGGCGGCGACGCCCGAGGCGCACGCGGCGGCGCTGAGCGTGTCCAAGTCGCTCGCGCTCGTCGGGCTGCGGGTGCTCGACGACGCGCGGTTCGCGCGGGAGGTGAGGCATCGCGCTTCGTGCGCGGTTGGGTCGTCGTTGCTGACTTGTTTGCTTGGGCGTTGGTTGCGGCGTTGTGCAGGTCAAGGACGCGTTCGAGAAGGACAGGAAGGAGAGGGGGGTGGATAGTATACAGTGGAGATGACGGCGAGGGAGGACGGGACGTGATGTATCTGGTGTCGTTTGTTGCTGCAATATATGGCCTCGTTCTTGTGTGTTATGCGAGTGGCGAGGCGAGGCAAGGCGAAGCGAGGCGGCGGTCACGCGGAGGGAGGTGGGCGACGAGTGCGGCAACGGCCGCGGTGCGAATCAATCTGCTCAGTGACTCGGATGCTCAATCGATTGCAGCACGCCCTCCCTCGTCGCTCCAGCACATACGCTACATACTCCTCGCTCTGCGCGCCCACCCGTCCCCGTCCCCGTCCCCATCGCCCCCCGTACACGCCGCCGCGCACCCGCACGCACTCGTCCGCAGCGATGGCACACCCCGTCGCATCGTCCTCGCACCCCGCACAGCACCCCGCCCCCGAGACCCCGCACGCCGCCGACGCGCAGGGCGGCGCGCCCAAGATGCCGAAAGACAAGAAGAAGGCCGACGCCGCGTCGCAGCACCCCCTCGAGGTGCGCTCTTTGTCGTTTTTCTCCATTTTGTGCGTCGAGAAGGGCTCACGGACATGTTCGCGCGCGGCGCTCGCCAGATGCAGCCCGCCCCCGCGTTTTTCGACCATCGCATCAAGATATTCGACAGGCTCAAGGCGGAGCACGATGCGTTCGTTGCAGGTGAGCCGTCAGTCTTAGTGTTTTTTTTTCTTTTTGGCGAGCGAGCGAGCGAGCGAGCAGGACTCGCAAAGCCCGCCGGTGATTTTCGACGCTCGACGCTGGGGCTCGGGGAGCCTTCGTGCCAGAAGGTCGGATTGCGAGGGGGCAGGCGGAGAAACCGCCGCATGGCCCAGAATGGGCGCATATGCTGGCCCATACGGCACGTCCCACACATCGCCGTATGCGCCGAGCAAATCCCGCCCGCCCGCAGCGCCATCGCTACCGGCCGATCGCTGCCCCCCACGCTCGAATGTGCCCGGCCCCGTGCACGATGCTCTCCGCCGCACGCGCGCTCCTCTCACCACGTTCGCTGACCGCTATTTCCAGCGCAACCCCGTGAAGAGATCGCTATCACGCTTCCGGACGGTTCCCAGAGGAAAGGGACTAGCTGGGAGACGAGCCCGATGGATGTCGCTAAGGAGATCTCGAAAAGCCTGTCCGAGAGGCTCGTCATCGCGAAGGTCCGTCCCGCCCCCGCCCCCTCCCCATCGCTCGCCCTTGTTCCCGATCGCCAAAAAACCAAAACGCAAACCTCCACTTCCAGGTCGACGACGTCCTGTGGGACCTCGAGCGCCCGCTAGAAGGCCCGTGCAAGCTCGAGCTGCTCGATTTCGAGCACCCGGAAGGTACGCCCCTCGCGCGCACCCTCCGCACCTATTTTCGAACGGCTGACCCGGCCGGAACAGGCAAGAAGGTGTTCTGGCACTCGTCCGCGCACGTCCTCGGCGAGGCATCTGAGCGGCACTATGGGTGCCACCTCTGCATCGGCCCCCCGACGGACGACGGCTTCTTCTACGAGATGGCCATCGAAGACCGGTCCGTCTCTCTCTCTCTCTCTCTTTCTCTCTCTCTTTCGCAGCCCTCCTCATGCTCTCGCGCGCTGACACGAACGGATGCGAACTTGTAGACCCGTGACCAACGCAGACTACCCGTCGCTGGAGAAGGTCGCCGAGAGCGCGATCAAGGAAAAGCAGAAGTTCGAGCGACTCGTGGTGCCGAAAGAGACCCTGCTCGAGATGTTCGCCGTGCGTCCCTCCTCCTTGTCCTCCTTCTTGTCGTTGTCGAGACTCCGCGTCGGGCGTTGCTGAACGCGGTTTGGACGGCAGTACAATAAATACAAGAAGTACTTGATCGAGACGAAGATTCCCGACGGCACGTCTACGACCGTGTACAGGTGCGGCCCTATGGTCGACCTGTGCGCCGGCCCCCACATCCCGCACACGGGCAAAATCAAGGCGTTCATGATCACCAAGGTCCGCACGCGCTCTCCAAACATCCCTTCTTTTTTTTTATTTACACGGGCCCAATCTCATCGCGCGCAGAACTCGGCATCGTACTTCCTGGGTAGCGCCGAGAACGACTCGCTGCAGCGCATCTACGGGATCTCGTTCCCCGACAAGAAGCAGCTGGCCGAGTACAAGGTCTTCCTCGCCGAGGCCGCGAAGCGCGACCATCGCAAGATCGGCAAGGTGCGTGGATGTCTGGCTGTTTTCTGGGTCGAAGAAGGCAAATTTGAGTAGGATGAGCGCTGACGTGCTTTGCAGGAGCAAGAGCTGTTTTTCTTCAATGATCTGAGCCCGGGGAGCGCGTTTTGGCTTCCCCATGGCACGCGTATTTATAATACCCTCGTAGAGTTGATGCGGGTAAGAGTGCTAATTGTGGGACGTTTTGAGCTGTATAACATATTGTCGCCATGCAGTCTGAATACTACAAACGAGGCTACCAAGAGGGTGAGTCCTCCGCCTCCCGCCTTCCGCCTCCCGTTCCACGCATCCTGACGCGATCCCCCTCTCTTTCACCCTCTCCCCAGTCATCTCCCCAAACATGTATCACTCGAAGCTCTGGGAGACGTCCGGGCACTGGCAGAACTACAAGGACGACATGTTCACGCTCGACATCGAGAAGGAGAAGTGGGGGCTCAAGCCGATGAACTGCCCGGGGCACTGCCTCATCTTCGACTCGCGCGACCGCAGCTACCGCGAGCTGCCGATCCGCATGGCGGAGTTCGGGATCATACATCGGAACGAGGCGAGTGGCGCGCTGACGGGGTTGACGCGCGTGAGGCGGTTCGTGCAGGACGATACGCATGTATTTTGTATGCCGTCGCAGGTGCGCTTGCGTTCTCTGCGTTTCCTCTCTGTTTTTCTTTTTTTCTTTCTTTTTTCTTCTTTTCTGTTGAAGTGAACGTGCTCACGAGCGTGTGCGCGATTTTTGACAGATCGAGGGCGAGATCGACGCGCTGTTCAATTTTATGCAGCATACGTACGGCTTGTTCGGGTTCGAGTTCAGCTTGGAGCTGTCCACGCGCCCCGACAACTTTCTGGGCGACATCGAGACGTGGAACAAGGCCGAAGAGGTCCGCTCTCTCCCCTTTCTGCGTCGGCTCACCATTTATCCCTGACCCGTCCGTCCGTCCGCTCGCGCGCGCGCACGCACGCACACGCACGCACGCACGCACAGCAACTGCGCAACGCGCTCGACAAAAAGTACCCGGGCAAGTGGGAGCTGAACCCCGGCGACGGCGCGTTCTACGGGCCCAAGATCGACATCACGATCCGCGACGCGCTCAAGCGCTCGTTCCAGTGCGCGACGATCCAGCTCGACTTTCAGCTCCCGGACCGCTTCAACCTCAAGTACCGCGCGCCCGACGAGCCCGCCGCTGCTGGAGCGGACACGGGCGGCGCGGAGAAGCCGCCGTCGCGGCCTGTGATTATTCATCGCGCGATACTTGGGAGCTTGGAGCGCTTCATTGCGATTATTACTGAGCATTTTGCGGGCAAGTGGTGCGTCGCTCGTTTCGTGATCCTCCTCCTCGTTGGGATTGTTTGGGCTCTTGGGTCCGCGTGGTCGGGTTGCGGATCTGCGAGATCGCTTGGATGGATGGATCGTGTTGCGTCGACCCGTGGCGGAGGGAGCCGTGTGATGCTGTGGGCCTGTGGTGCTGACTGACTGACTGACTCGATCTGTGCACGGACAGGCCATTCTGGTTATCTCCTCGGCAGGTCCTCGTCATCCCGGTCGCCGCTCCCTACGTCAGTGGGATCTCCCCGTCTTCTCCCGCATTCTCCTGACCGAGAAGTTTTTTTTCTGTTCCTTGTGTGCGTGTGTGCGTGTGTGCGCGCGTTTTTTTTCGCTCGCTCGCCGTCTTTCCCCTTTTCGCGATGCAGAAAGAGTACGCGGCGGAGATCGCGGGCAAGTTGGCTGAGCTGGGGCTGTACGCGGACGTCGACAACGGGGACAACACGCTCCCGAAGAAGATCCGGAACGGAGAGGTCGCGCAGTACAACTTCATCCTCGGTGCGTTGCAATCTTCGCGCTCGTCCGACTTGCTTGCGCTGACGTGTCTCCACGTTATGAACGGACGACCCCACGATTGAACGCAAAAAAAATAACATAACATAACATCATACTCGCGGATGCAATCACCGCGGTCACAACAATCGCACGCCGCGGCAAATTGAACTCTAAAAACACGGGGCTGCTTGGACGCCGTCTATTCAACTTTTTTTACTACGTTCTCAGTGGTGGGACAAGAGGAGCTCGACGGGCGCTCCGTCAACGTGCGCAACCGGGACGACGTGGGCACCAAGGCGAAGACGGAGATGGTCCCGCTCGACGTCATCGAGGACAAACTCGTCAAACTCAAGGCGTCCCGCAGTCTGCTGAACAAGCTGCCGGAGTAGACAGGCTCTCTCTCGACAGGCTGCACGCTTGCGAGCGGAGGTTCGAGAACAGGCGGGCAGGCTTTTTTTTTAGATAGGCAGATCATTTTTGAGGCACGATTTTGAATGTATGAAGAAAGAAAGAGATTGGAGAAATTGAGAGAGTTTGTTTGTATTTTGGTTTTCTTTTCGGGCGGCTGCTCGTTTGAGTGCACGCCGGGGTGTTGAGGGGGACAGGCAGGTAGGCGTAGGTGTGCCGCTTGCGAAGAGGCGCTCAGGGAAGCTTCATCGGTCGCGGCTATGTTTGCGGCGCAGACGCGAAAATTTGTAAATGGCGCGACGCGCGCGCGCGCACGCATGCTCAGCTCACACGGACTGAATTCAGGCAAGACCGCCCAGTTGCGAGCGCTGTTTGTAGATCGGTGTTAGTATGCCCCGGGTCGACAGCAGGAAAAAAAAAGAGGGGTGCGCACGAGGTTCATGATGGTGTCCCGCTCGGTTGGTGGGAGCTGGTTGATCTGCTCCGGCGTCAGACTGAGGACTTGGAGAAGCATCGCCTGCAAATGTAAAAAAAGGGGAGTGCCAAAGGATGCGATCAGCTTGGCCACCGGGAGAGAGGAGAGGAGCTCCGGATCGTGGGAGGAACGACCCGGGCTAGACGAGGGTGCGGATATCATACGCACACGCTGTGAGGGGTCGATGTTCAGGGCCTCAAAGCCCCCGCCGCTGCTGTTGCCTTGCGGCGCTGGTCGTGGAGCCGGCGGGGGGCCGGTGTTCATGAGTCCGGCGGGTCCGGCATTCGGGTTGAAGTATGACGGCGGAGGCGGAGGCATCGGTTGAGGAGGTTGCGCTTGCATGTGGTGTTGAGGCGTGTGTGTCTGGGGCACGTTCGGGGGCGGCGCCTGGAAAAAGGGCGGTTGTTGCGGCTGCGGGGCGTGGAAAGACGGGGGCATCGGGGCCGGTGGCGGCGCAGAGTGCCCTGATGCCCCGGGTTGCGAGCCGGTGGCGGCGAGCATGCGCTAGGTGGGTGGCAGGCGGGATGTGAGATGAAGATGAGTGGATGGGCGGTAACTATGCGGTAACTGAGGACTCACCTCAAGGATTGCAGGGTCGACGATTTTGTTGAGAAGTAAGGCCTGGAAGAGTGCGTATGATAGTTGTGGGTGGCCGACCAAAAGAGATCGAGCTTGCTCAGGATGTGTAATCACAAATGCCTGCAGAAGGGATGGGTGAGCATATGAGAAATCTAGGCGCTGGAAGATTGATGATATAAAGCTGAACTGTATGGAGATCGAACGGAAAAAGCACCCGCAAGTCCGCCGCGATATCGCACAGGAAACTGCGACGTGAGAGCAAGATTGTGTTCAATCGAAAGGTCCCCATTTTGCTCAACAAAACTTAGCAGCTAATGGAAGTATCTGCAGACACATCATGGGAGCTGCGGAACGTACAGCAGCCGGACAAGCTGCCACAGTCTATTCTCATGACCCCTGATGTATATTGTGCCCATAGTCGTCGGAGCAATCAAGATGCACACCCTCCCCGAACTTCGCTCTCATGGCGTGAATGCTGTGCCCGATCCATCGCGTATGGGCCGGAAGAGATCCCACTTGCGATCATCGCAAGCCACACCAGATAGGTCGAAAACTTGTGAACAGTGTACTCACCTTCATCTGTGCGAGGACTTCGACCAACTGACCCGGGTTCATGGTTGCGAGCGTTCGACTGATCATATCAAGCACTTGCGCACCAGGTGGCAATGGCATGCCGGGTGGGAGGGTGCGAAGAAACGCGTCCTTATCTCTCTCCTTGTCCCTTGGCTCTCGGAATCCGTCGCGCTCTCGCTCTCGCCACTGAGCACGGGTCTCGCCACCGTCGATGAGTTCGCCGCGCACAGTCGTTTTGCCTTCGAGAAAGGGGTCGGAGTCTGCGAGGTCGATGCGCAGTGGCCGACCACCGACGTCCACGTTATTGAGGTTGCGTACGGCCGATTGGGCAGTGTCGTGATCTGGTTTCATGAGGGGAAGTGGTTTTGAGGACAAGGCGATGAGAGGGTCGCGTGGCGGTGGTGCTGCGTAGTACGTACCGGCAAATTCACAAAAACCATATCCACGGGGTTTCCCTGTGTCTCGGTCATACACAAGCCTTGGCACAAAAGAGAAGGCGTCAGATGAACGCACGGGCAGTGCATGAAAGGTTCCTGATATCGCCTACTTACCTGAATCCAACTACTTGTCCAACAGATTTGAAAACGTCAATGAGTTGTTCCTACATTGTGGCCACGTTTATTCCTTGAATTCAACAAATTCACATGGATGCGCACCTCTCCCATGTTGTAGGGAACATTTCCGACTGAAATACAACGTGAACGCGATGCGCGGAATCCAGATGATAGAAGCGTGTACCGAAGACAACTTTACTCATTGTAACGAGTCACGAATAAGCGGTGTAGATCAACGTTTTTGTTATTGTTGCGAATTAGGATTTTCCGAACAACGCAAAGAATGCCGGCGAATGTGCTTTGAAGATGGATGCAAAAGGTGCGTTCGGTTGGGCGCGCTTGCGATGGCCGGGCCGTTCAGCCACGCGCTTGCCTTTTTCAGCGCCAATGCGCCTTTGCGGCAACTGCTACTTCTTGGCTCTTGAACAACTGGCTCCTTCGGTTTATGTGCCAGCACCGCTCACTAGGAACGATATCCTTCTCTGAGATCATGCTGCATATATTTAGTCTCTTCCTCTTCTCGATTCATGACGCTTCAATCACTGATGGCACCTTGTGGTAAGGAAGCTCTATCAGGCACCTGGTACGTTTTGGCCTCTCATGGGCATTGGGCACATAGAGAATCCAAAAATGCCATCGTGCATCAACATCCTTCTCAAGGAAAAATTAATCACATGCCCTCAAATGAGCGGTTGTAGTTTGAGGCACAGCCAGTAGGCGACGGCCAGAAGCCCCCAGAGACTGGACGCACGACTACGATTTTTGTCAACCCACGTCGAATATGCTGATTGACGCTCCCTTCCCGCGGCACCGGGTGCGAATTATGAGCGCCTCTGCAGTGCTGTGTCGAATGTATCTCCACAAGATTCGGTCCCAATCGCCGATGGCCGGGACTCCTCTACAAAGCCTCGTTGCTCGGGGAGTGTCTCGACGGATCGCCGTGGACCCATCGCCGAACACAGGAGCGGTGCCCATGGCTCGCGCTATGGTATTCCACCGACCTGAAGTAGCTCCGGTTCCCAGACCTCACCTTCAAACCTTTTGGCAGCGAGGCCCGATATAACGTTATAGATGTAGGGACACAAATTGCTGGCTGTTACTAGGTTTCACCCCAAGCTGGTAGTCGAACGCGATCCGATCACTGTTGGATTTGTCGCGGCGGAGCACTGGAGATGATACGCTACCGCTTACATATGTATGATATCGCAACTTGATCCCGTCTTGATCTCCGGGTGTTAGGTTATGTAGTTCAGCGCGTGTCAGATCTCTTCATTTTCTGTGCTCGCTGGGTCGGCGCCTCCGCTGCGCGTTTACTGGCATTTCTCAGCCGATGTTGCGCGATTGGTCGCGCTGAGTCTGTTGGGGAACAGAAGCAGCAAGATCGCTGTTATTACTAGGCGCCCTGAAAGTAGGTACGTGTTGGCCTTATAGAGTGACGTGTTCGTCAAGCAGTGCTTTCTCGCGTGGCGAGTCTTCGTCTGAGTGGTGTATTCGTGGAGGCGGCGCCAAGTGGCGGGCACTGCGACGAACACCGAGATTAGTATTCGCTGTGCGATCTGTGCTTGCGATGCTCAGCGCTTAGCTCCTGTACCCGTACACTCCTTGTGCTTGATTTTCGTTCACAATGCTTCCGCAGTACAAGGCAGTGAAAACAGTATTGTGCTCTTCATCGATATAGTATCGGCATTTCACGGCCGCGCCAAACAGTAGGTCTGAGTATATCGAATGAACCAGTTGATCGTAGGTTATCAAAAGCGGAATCAAAACAGACACTCCACTAAACAAATCTGAAACTCTATCAGCCTATTATGTCGGACAAAAGGGCGGCAATAGACTACTCGGCCCGCAGCAATCCTATAGGGTGGATATAGGGACGTATAGCGCCAAGGGTGAAGAAGCGAAACCTCCACCGTCGGCGAGTTTCGAGAACATGCATCTTGTCGACAGGATATACTCTCCGGCGTAAACGGGCTCGGCTGTGTCTGATAGCAATAAAAGAGCCTCAGGAGGATTAAGCACGGCGATGATTGGGGGGCGTTAGGCTGAACGTTCCGATGAGTGCCTCCAAAGGAAGGTGACGCCCTTCGAGGCTAATCCAATGAACTCGGAGAGTCTGTTCTTCTAGCTCGTTGGGAGAAGGCATGGAAGCGCCACAACGGCTCAGCAGAGCTCAGCCGTCCTTGTTTCCTTCCGGAAGAGTTCTTTCTGCGAGCCATGAAGTCACGCAGATGCCAAGAATAGACAACTCCTTGCCTTGCCTTGTTCTATGCGCAATCTGATAGGGGTCAAAGGATGAAACACGCGGGCGATGTAGACGATTAGCAGTAATGAAAACATTGCGAGGACCTTGGGAATAGTTTACAGGGACAGATGTCATGACGCCATGGCCAAACAAGAAAGACCTGTACGAGGACTGGCTCGATCGCGCGGGTCAAATGACCCGCAAGAGGGCTAACATTTTGTGCGGTCCACCTGATGGTGTTTGCCATGGCGGCGTTTGCCATGGTGGTCATGGTATACGCGGCTGCCTAGGACGGTGCCCAGATAGTGCCGTTGATCAAGTGTGGCAAATGATAGCAGAGGAAGGCACCGGCCACCGAAAAGAACGCTGGTAGCAGGTTGTGGTGGTGCCTTTACGAGATGCCGTCCCACGAATAAAAGACAAACAAGCTGGGAAACTGTCTGAGATGGTGAAATCTGGCAAAACGATCACGGAAGTAAGACGGCGGGAGCGCTCATCGAGTCAAATCCCAATCAGAGCTCTGAATACAGTCCAAGGAGACCTATATGAGTAGAATGCCGACGTGTCGCCAAGTGTTTGAGAGTCACTCACGTTCGTGATGACCAATTTACGGTTTCCATTAGCATGCGAATTGCTAGGGTTGAAACCAGGGAGTGTTGATTTCATTGCGTTCTAAGGTCCACTAGGTGAATACGTGGAAACGGGACCCACCGAGACATTGAGTGCACATCTCAGGTCCGACTATGATCGGTGTTTGCTCTTATGCGCGCACAATATACGCCTTGACATCAATTTGGAAAGGTTTACAGCTGTAAGTGTAGCGTCGGAGTTGCATTGGTCACGTCGAGTCAGGTATCGTATTTTTGATTGGAAAAACATCGACCCTAACCCTAGTGTATATATGGCAGCTCGGCATGGATAGCTCCGGCCGAGAAGCTCTGGCACATTCTCGCGGCTTCTCGCTTGCACCTCGTCCATCCTCGACCACGCCCGAGACAGCCCGAGACGCCCCACCAACATTTCCCTTCGCCCATACAAGCCGGCACTTCATTCATACAGCCTGCTCGGCCTCCCGCTTAACGAACCTCCGAGGCGAGGTCTGTCAGCCCAACTCAGCCCATAAGTCATCTCGACGGACCCACGCAGGCCGAGCGCGGAAGTATGTGAAGGGCTTGCAGTAATGCGTGCACAGCATAGTGATTGCCCTGCTGCTGGAGGTAACTTCGTTGCCCTCCCAGAGGACAGCTTAGTAGTCTATTCAACAGACTTCAAGTGAACACAGCACCGGAGTGCAATGGGCATGAGATTTGGAAGTGGAGTGCGGAGAGGGGCAGTCCAGTCATCATCAGCCCACAACTGCGGTGGGGCCAGTGAGTGACGAGGGGGAGTCACATTCGGTGTCCGAAAGATCGGCGCTGTCCGAGACTCACAGCCACCCACTCCTCCGGCTGGAGCCCAGGACGGCTCGGTATATAAGCCACTCAAATAGCTCCCCATGTCTCCAGTCTTCTTCGCCTCTCCGATTTTGCCTGAACACCCGGATCTATCCGTTCAACAGTTTTTCTTCGCCCCTTGCTTTATAAACACCCAGCTCCGTATGACGGTTAAGGTATCCTCCCTGACTTCAGCCGTCAACCGTCATATGTCAGACGACCGCCCTCAGCGCATCCCCCGCCCCGAAGAATACCAGAGACGTCTCGAGCGCGAGTTCGCAAGACGCTATGTCGTCATGGTTCAGGCGAATCGTCGACGGACACTTGCCGTTCAAAACGGGACTAGCGCTAGTACAGCGCCCTTGATACCTCGGTTAGCATCTTTCAAGTTCTTGCCATTAATGTCGCTGACAAATAATTCAGCATGGAGATCTGCGATGCGCCAGATTCCCCCACAATAACAGCTCTGTTTGAGCTCCCCGGGATTCGGAAGGAGGAAATCGGAGTGCACATCACTTTGGCCGGGAAGTTGACTATCAGTGGCGAGCGCCGTCGGCCCCCACTTCTCACCAACGAAAACCCGGAATTACCTCGTTATACCGTACGCGAGTTGAAGTATGGACGCTATGAACGCACACTGCAGGTGCCTGAGGGGCTCGAGGTGAGCCTTAGTCCACATGCTCATTGCCCCTGTGGCTCAACGAGTCATGCTTACACTTTCCGACAGGTCAAAGATATCACTGCGAACCTGACAGACGGTATGCTCAGCGTCTCGTGGCCACGTCAATCTCCTTCGCGTACGCAGGCGTCTCAGTCAAGCGGCGCATCCACTTCTGCGCAACCGTCGAATCAATCGCGGTATATCAATGCGGCATGATGCTGTATCTGATAACATCGACTCGCAGCGACCCACATAATATTTTTGCATACCCATCAAAAAAATGGACTCGATCTTTCCCCTAGCTGCCTCGTTCCTGCAAATTCCGATCGCCGTTCCCCGCCCGGACTTCTGCGTGGACAGTGTTCGCCAACATGTCGTCTTCGTCGAGTTATTCCACCCACTATCCACTCCCCTGGCCTCTCTTTTCTCGCCTTCTCAGCACTTCTTATAATATGCCACGCATGCTATTAATCATGGTCACTCTCAAGATTATATCCTATCTTCTCATTAATGTGCGTCTCGTGTCTTCTTCTCTATCACGTCGGCTCGGTCATCTCCCCTCTCCGTCTCACTTGTACTATACCAAATCCTGATGCTGTACTCTCTGCATACGTGTGATTCATCGACTGACTCCATCTCTCCTGCAGGAAACCGCGTGCCTGCTATGTGTACCGTCATCCTTCAAGTGCTGCGCTCATCGACTCTTGCCGTTTTCACACCACATGTATCCATATTCACTTCGGGACCGAGACGAAACGGAACGTTGAGTTCCAAATGCACGGGTCCACGCTCATAATACACGCAACGCGGACCCGAACCGAGGAGTACATATTCCGAGGTGGACCAATTGGGGAATCATTAGACCTGGGATCGAGAGGAGAGGTGTTCTATGCTCGTTTTGACCTTGGTGGTTGCACTGCCTAGGCCTGGCCACTGACTATCTTTATTATCTCACGTCGCACGGCGTTGCGCTGCACTGCCTTCACCATCCTCATCTCACAATCTTCACAGCACATATACCGTGTTCGGATACACAGTTGTGATTCCCACCTATTGGCACTGAGTACGAGTACTATTTTCATCTTCTATGGTTGTACGCAGACGGGCCCTACATGTACACGGACTACCTTTTTCGCTTACGTCCTCCCTTTCACTCTCGTTGTCGTTGTCGTCATTCTTTCCTTTCAGGGTCTTGTGTTGTTCTGTAGCTCATATTCAAAACCCCTGTTGTCGTTTACTGTTTATGACTTTGCTTTGATACACCTAATACACGTGTAGTACTTCTCCGCTCAATCTTCGGCTGAATGAAAGGTCGAGTCATCTTCGGCGTTTCCCTTGACGGCTTTTCCACTATTCAATTGGGTGATCATCGAAGTCAACACAGCCGTCTCATGAAAGAAAGTTCTGCACCCTGAACAGAGTTGAGAACTTTACGGCAAACTCAAGAGGGAAGTAGCATCGCTCGCCCAATCGCAAGATGCACAACGTCGTATTCGTACAACTAGGCCAAGCATGTACACGGATAGACGCTAAGAAAAAACGACAGACTGAGTCGAGAGAGGAAGACAAGGATAGCTGATCAGCGCCCACTATTGTACAGATATACCACCAGTCATGTGAGAACGCAGAGCCGAAAAGCCGGAAGAGAGGTACACATACAACAAGTACCAGAAAGGTCGTTCATCAGGTCGTAGAGCTCGTCACAGTCACAAGTCGTTTAGAAATTGGGCGAGGAGCTCGGAGGCCGGAGTCGTAGCAGGCTCCGCCGCGCTCTCCAGCGGCACCGGAACGCTCGTCCTCCCGCGCAGCGACCCGTCCCACACAAGCGACTTGACCAGGTCCGCAAGCTTCTCGATGTCGCACCTGTCCACGTCCGAGTAGCACAGCACGAGGTTCTCGAGCCGCGCGCCGCTGTCTGCGCGCCTCTCAAGCATCCACAACAGCCCGTTGAAGTCTTTGTCCCGCGCGCCAGACTCGGTGCGGAACACCGCCTCGTAGATCGTTAGAGTGGACAGGTTCGGAAGGATGATCCCCATCCCAGTCGGAGCGCTGGCGGATGGAAGGCGCGCACAGAGGGCGTAGCAGAGTGCGCGGATCGAGTCGGGGCCGTGGATGCACAGCTCGGTGACGGCGGGGACATAGTGCAACAGCGGCTTCCACAGATCGCTAGTGAAGTTGCGGACGCGCGCGACCGTCAAGGCGGTCACGAATCGCAGAGGCAGCGCCGAGTACAGGTCGAAGATCGTGGACTGTATGATGCCATCATCCAGCCCCGACGCGCGGGCGAAATGAACGTCAAGCTTCGCTTCGGGGAGCTCATCGTCGAAGAATGACGGGACTGGCGAAGCCGCCGTCCAACCGTACATACGGATGCCGCGTTGCGCAGAGATGTTTTCAGAGTGCATGAGGATGCTGCGAAGGGGTTTGCCACGGGCAATATGCGGCACGATAATAGAAGGCACGGGTGGGATGGCGACGCGGTCTATGATGAACTGTAGACTCAAAGAGATGTCATCCGGAAGCGAGAGGAAGCGCAGGATGGAGTATATAGTGAGGTAACGGTCTGAAAAGCGCAGACGGGTGAGGCGAGGGAGTTGAATCATTTGCTGTGTGATGGAGTCGGGGTGCCGCACACGGGGAAGGAGAAAATTGAGAACGAGGGTTTCGAGCTGCGTCGTCACCGACAGAATGGCCAGGATGGACCGACCGTTGAATGGCCCAACGCAGTGAAGCTCCAGGCGCGTAAGCTGCGCGCAGTGCATGTGCAGAACGGCTTCGTCGAATGGGAGAAGGCAACGTTCTAAGACGAGCGTACGAAGCGGAAGCAATCCTGTGGAAAACATCGCCCTCGGAAGCTCGATCCACGGAGACTCGGTCATTGGGGAGGACCGAGATGTCGCAATTGCTCGTAACGTAAGAGACTCAAGAAGGGGATAAGGACCCAAGAACGATTTCAACACGTCCGCAAATGTCTCACTCTCCTGACTCACTATGCTGATTTCCTTTGTGTGGTCGGAGTGCGCTAAAGCTGATCGCACACTTTGGAGAAGGGAAAGTAGAATCTGACTCGGTTTTCTCTCAGGAGTAAGATTGACACGAATGGAGATAGGGGCGTTCCTCGCATACTGAAGCATGGCAGTAGCCATGGAAGAGTGGTGGAACGAGATGTTGGTCCACAGAGGGGGGTAGTCGAGGGCAAGCTCCCGCCAGTAACGGCAGACTTGAGTGATGCTCCTTATCCAATTTCCCCCATAGCCTTCGGTTTCTGGGTCCAGTTCGTCATCTGCAGCACACTCCTCGAAGATCTGCAATAGTATCTCTACGGGCAAGCGAGTGGCGATGGCAGAGTTAAGTTGCAGCTATGAATACATGGTGAAGCCTCAACAGTATATAAGTCGCTAGTTCGGCACACCTGAAGACCTGGTTCGGATGCACTGGTGCTCGTCCCTGCCATATTTGGATTGTCTGCTATGTGATTAGATGAAACAGCTAGTGTTTCGTCCCGCATGGAGCACCTACGTTTCACTCAGAACAATTGATTGAGGTGTCGATGATAGGCAATTAAACAGAGGTCGAAAAGAAAAATGAGGGAAGCGTCGAAGAGGTTGGACGTCGAGGTCCGGCGGCGAGTGACGACCTTGCGACGTCAACACTAGAACAAAATAGGTCGTGTATGACTAAGCAAACACTGTTGCTGTGAAAGGCTATTGAAACTGACACCGACTGATTCCCACCTCGTTCGAGTGCTCTGTACAGGTCCAGAGGATCTGCTTGTTGAAGGAAAGGATCATTCGAATTTTGCAAGTTGCAACTGCCGGGGGGATTTCTCTAAGAATTCTTTGGAGGAAAAAAAGGGCTTCTGATGGGCTCAATTTGGGTTTTCCAGAGAGTTTTCCAGCTGTTCAGTGTTTTCCACAAGGATCCACAGACAAATCGTAGGCAATCGCTACATGGCTCATCGGTTGGGATGAGTATCAATTGAAACCTCGCAGTGATTCTATCAATACAATATTGAAGATCTCAATCTCGGCGCTATAATCTCCATTGGAACTCGGTAGGAGAGAAAAGGAGTTCTAACATCAAGTCTGAAATACTGGTGAGCGAGGATACACTGTGGTCGCACACTTGCCTCCAACGATATTTACCTGTGAGCCTTTCAACAACAACAGCTTCCGACATCTATATCGTGTATGTGCGTGTATATGCAGAAAGGACCACTACTTGATTACCCTGACTCAAGTTCTAAAATAAGCGAATAAAGCAGCACGGACAAACAGACACCGCTCCAGATACTTACCCATCCCGCCCGGTCAGTCGAACGAGGACAGAAACGAATCAGTTCAGGTCACCAAAGTCCGTCATCGTCCGCTATTCGTAAAGATCATCATCGTCCCAATCTACCCTGTACCTGCCGTCGTCCACACTGTAGTCAGAATCTGTCCGTTCATAGTGATCATAGTGATCTATCGGGTAGATATCTTCTTCGCGACTGAGGGGGCGCGAGGGGTTCAGGAGATGGGCGAGGTGGCGCGGCGGCCGAGTGATGGAGCCATCGTCTTCCTCAGACCTGGAAATAGGGTAGAATCAGTCGGCGGCATCGTGGCGAGTGGATTATGGTGATCACATACGATTGATTAGAGGATCCATGGTCGCTACCACGGTCGCCTTCGCGGTCACTGCACGCCTGTTCAGAGAAGGTGCTGGATCAACGAATAGCAAAGTACGAACCTGGCCAATTCGCTGGCAATAGTATCATAGGGTAAGCCTCCTCGATCGCAGTACAAAGACCGTGCACTTACTCCACATCCTCGTCCGACTCGACTATAGCCCGACCTCCTCGACTTCGACTTGGCAGCACAGTGTCTGCCTCCTCGTCTGACACAACAATCGGCGCGCTCGCTCTGCCCCTCAATATCCTTCCCAACGCCCTGATTTCGTCGTCTGAATCCTCATCTGACGAGATTTCGATAGGACCATTGCCATTGCCACGCTCTGGAGCGTGCGCATCCACGCCATCGTCTATAAAGCTACCATCGTAGGAGTCCTCGTCTGAAAGCCCACGATCTAGCTCGTCGTGATAATGCTCCTCATAATCCTCGGGATCTGACACACCCTCCATCCCGAACAACACAGCCTCGAGGAAGCCGGCTACAGGGCCGTGGTCGCCGCCATACGAATCGCTGTCGTCCGAATCGTACCCAGCATACTCGCGCCCGCACTCGGAGCACACACCTTGCCAGATCTCGTGCATGCAATCCAGGCAGCGATATACGTTGTCCTCGACATCGTACATACCCACCGCCGCTCCCTCTCCCCCGTTCATCATCTGTGCAAGATGAGGTAGGTGATGGCCTCCCGGCGCATTTCTCCGGAAGATGTTGTGCCACGGATCGCGCTGCTCTGCGTTCGCACCGGGAGCGGGCGGGTTCTCGGCAGGCGCCTCGGGGTAGCCTAAGGCGAGCCCGCTTTTGGCAACGGCGGCGACCATGTCCTTAAGATTCCAGACTTCTGCCGGCCGTTCGAGGACTTCCGCACGGCATGTCGGGCACGTCTTTTTGCGCCAAAGAGCATTGGGTGGCACTGGATTGTCGGCGGCTGGCGTTGTGAACCACGAACGAAGGCAGTCGTAGCACGCGACATGTCCGCAGGGGGAGAGCGCGTAGGGTTTGTAGAGGAGACTGATGCAGATCTGGCAGGTCAACGACGGGAGCAATGTGCTGAACAATTCTTCATGGATGCGCAGGGACTGTGAAGTTTAAATAATCAGTACTGAAAGCACATTCAAGCTCGTTGACGCAACGCACCTCGGTCTTCGAAGACAACGACTGAGTCAATTGTGCTACATCGTCATTTGGCAGGGCCACTACTGCGCGTGCAGTCTGGCTGGTGCTCGAAGATCCTGGCCTCGACGAGGAACCCTGTACAAATTCAGGTGATTCGACCTTCGTTACATCTGAGCTCACTATGGCACTTGGTGCAGGATCGGGTGCGGCATTGTCGGATGTTAACGAGGACAGAGTAGCAGTGACTGTGGGCCCACTCTCTGGAACGTGCGCGACGTTCTGTATGACAGCCGCTCTTCGCTTTTTCTTCTTTCGCTTCCTCTTGTCTTTTTTGCTCTGCGTAGCTCGGCCATCTATCGTGTTCTCGCCGCCCATCGCGTCCTCGCTAACTCTCGCTCTCTTCACATCCCGGTCCTCTTCGTCTGGTGTCCGCGCCCGTTTGTTAGATGGAGTTATATTGGTTTCGTTAGTATCCAAGGCGCCTATCGAAGGCATGACGAGGATTTTCGTGCAAGCAGAAGGAGGAAAGCCGCTGAGTGGTTCGAAAGAAGAGAAAGGCAAGCGGGAAATGAAGCGGTTCCGGTCGAGATTGGTGTATTTTTCTCACGGTCCCTGCCTACCCCTCTATTTGTCACCAGAGAGATAGCTTGGAGACACCATTCTAAATTCCATCTGTTGCGCTCTTTCAGTCATCATCTCATGCAAACGTTCTACTCGATATCTATTAAGCAATCCGCAACTGACTACCCTCGCACATACGCCTGTTCCGCCCCCTGTGAGCGAACTAATTGCTGCAGCGCTTCAAGAGCCGGCTCGTCCTCATCCACACAAGGCAGATACCATGCTACAGTCACGTTCAAATAACCTGGCCACATACGTGCGTAGTGTATAGGTCTTACGAAGTAGGGATAGAGATAGTCAGACAGCATGTTGAAATCCACCAATGCCCCTAGTTCCTTTGCGAAGCAGGCCCAAATATGCGACTACCTGTGTGGTGCACCCTCAGGCTCTTCAAAGCTTCCAAGTATCGCAATTTTGCAATCCATAAGCCACAGTGTCCTCAGGGTTCCCTTATGGCGTACAATGAAATCTTCAATGTGCGTGTCCATATTGAACAGGATCCTTTTCAATGAGAGGGGTTCAAGCGCAGGAAAGTTCGCCTGCGAAAAATCGAGCCTAGGTACAACACCAACAAAGCTGCCGCTGCTAAGCTTTAACGACGTGAGGGAGTGTGAGACAGAACCGAGCATGCGGTGCTGAAACGTCTCCTCCCAGAATTTGATAAAGGGATCTTGAAACTGGGGCTCTGCTAAGTCATGACTAACAGCAGCTCCAATGGAGAGACTGGTCAGTGAGCCAAAGGGGCTTCCGAACGAAGGGAGGTCGTAAACGGGGTGATACAATGCAGTCATGCCTATAATGTTGACGGAGGTAACCGATGGCAAGGACGATCTGCTCGACAGTACAGAGAGGATGGTCCGCTGGAGACGCAGAGGCTCCATGGACGTCAAATTGCCCGTCAAGCAGGGGAATGACAACGTCAGAAATTTCAAGTTTGGAAGTTCGTGGATACGGGCGAATGAAGATGCGAGGGACACGAGCACGACCTCAACGTCTGAAGTCACCTCTCGTCCCATTACTAGGGGGATATGATCAAGTATACTTAGTCACCCGCCCACTCTTATATGGTCACATAAGCTTACCGCCAATGTGAGATTTGACCGGGACCTTAGGGACTTCATGAAAGTTGATTGCTATGATGAATTGAGTGACCATGTCACGCTGCAGAATCTCGCTGAACCCTGCAGCACTCATAAGGGTATTCTTGACTGTGATCTGTTGAAAGAGATGTGGCGTGGCCACCGCACAGAACGTCTTGTTCAACGATCGAATCTGAAACAAATCCTTGCGACAGGAAAGTTTGTCGACGATGTCGTGGAGAAGTTCATAAGGCAAGGTGTCTATACTACTTCAGAGTTGACGCAGTGGAGATCGGGTTGGAGGTTTCAAACCGTCTTGGGGTAGATGGAATCCAAACAAGACGCGATCTTTGCTCCGGCAATTTGATCTCCAACCGCTGCGCAAACTTTCGTGTAAGAGGGATCGAGGAAGTAAGACGGTGTGTTGGGTAGCACCACTTCTAAGAAATTGATGGTTAACGAAAACCGGTATGGATCAAAGGAAATAATGCAGGCGATCACATTGACACCAAGTTGCGGACACGACGTTTCAGCGTATGCGAAGAAAGATGGCGAGGTGGCGACAAGCTGCGACAAGTGCCAGCGACTCAGCGACTGAGGGATAACGACTTCATTACATAACAGAGAGCAAGTAATTAGAGGTTCGATCATCGATGCGCACATACAACTGATCAGCATAGTGGTACGAAACGTTTACGAGTGTCACTGGCAGTTCGGTCCATAAGATCGACTTTGGAGTAGGAATTTTTAATTAGGCTGGGCATCTTGTAGCTCTATCAGTTTGAAAAGATTCTGGATCCAAAAAAGATGACCATGCGGAGAGAAGGGTCCAAACTATTTCCCAGCGCGGCTCGCCATTTCCTCTAGCGCTTGCTCCTCGAGTACCGTACGCAATTTTGCAGCGAGTCCGTCGCTGAGCTTCGTCACACCATCAGCAGTACAAAGCCTGTATGAAGGCATAGGCTCATAGGTCTCTGGAAGCATCTAAGATGTTGAGGTGTGCATCACGGGTCAATAGACTGTTGTATTGGCTAATGAGCAAGGAGGCCAGAGACACACGCACCTTGCCATCTTCGACGCGAATGGACGCGAGAATGTCGTCTGGATCGCCAATGCGGCCGAGTGCGGGGATGTTTCGATCATCTGCACCGGAGACATGAAAGAATTCGACGGATTCAACGTGAAAAGAAAGGATGAAAAGAGGATGAAGGTCTACCGTTGATGTGCATCCAGCCCCGCTGCGTCTGCATGGCACCGTTTATCTGAATGTCATCAACACCTTGAGCGAGACCAGTGGAAATAGCCTCGTGCAACAAAGTGCGAAATTGAGCTGTAGAGAGAATTGTGAGCCAACGTCGTAAAATGTTTAGAATGAGCACTAGACGGAAAGATGAGCATAAGAATAGTCATATTCCCCTTACTCTCGGAGGGCTTGATGATTTGGCACTTGAGATCGGTGGCAACAACGCAGTGGGAATGAGTGTATTGACGATATATACAAAAACATGGCGTGTTCAATAATGAAGGGTGTTCCATGTCTAAAGCGTTCCCAGCCATGCCACCCACCAAGGCAATGTAAAGAATTTTAAAGGAAAGACTCACAATTCTCTTTGAAGTCATTCAAACCCGCGCCCTCGCTTTCACCTTCAGCCTCAGCTGGGAGCCAACCGAGAATCGTACTCGAAGTTGAGGACGGCGGTGGAGCCTCGAGCAGAGAAACAGCGAACACAGGACGGGAAGAAGATAGAGGTGTGGGCGGTGCTACGAGGTGGTAGAAAAGGTCTGGACGATTAGGATCCACAAAGGTCGTCTGGTGCTCGTTTCGATAGGGGATGGAGGAAGAGAAATGACGCGAGCACTGGCGGTTTTGGGTGAACGAGCTAGCAAGGGAGGGCCGTGCCGATTGCGAGCGTCCGCAAGAATATGTTGGTGCTCGCACGACGTTTTCTGCTTGGGAAGATATGCTCAAAGATTTGGCTGCATGCACAAAAGACCAAGCAGACTGATATGGTTGCTTGCGTATCTTTGAAACCAAAGAAAGGCGTAGACTTGCTCGAGCGCCCGTGAGTGATGACATGGACGTAGTTCACGAGAGTTGGCGCGGCTCGCTCAAGACTGAAGAGAAGAAATAGTGACGTAATGAGATAGCGTAATGGAACTGACGTGGAGGCAGCGCAGTCGTAAGAAGTTGCCATCTCCCAGTGACACCAACGCTTATCGACCCGTCTGGTAGACGCGTAATATTCTTCTGGTCAAACACTCTCTAAGTACGTTTGAATCTACCTCCACTGTTGATTCAGGAGCTGACCGAGTCGGATTGCATCCGAACTGCACATCCATATCGACAACAGATCATATTCCGTCACTCCTTCGAAATCCACCACCATGATCACGCACGATACCCTGTACTCGCTCGCCAACTCTCTCGGCGCGCTGGCGATGATCACCGTCGTCGCTTACCACTTCGTCGCGGTGAACGCGAAATATTTGGCGAAGAACGGGGCGTAAGCGCGGCGGCGAGTTGCAAGCTGTAAGTCAGGTGCTGGTCGGTACGCTGGTGTCTTGACATTCTATCTTATATGTTGAACATAGTCATTTTCAGGGACTCGCATGTTGAAGGTGCTGGATATCTGGGAATGATACTGTTAACCTTTTTTGAGCAAAGTCCAAGCTGTGGACAAACCTAGTTTCCACTAGTATCGTTGGTTGGAATATGATCTATGCCGCGAGCGAAGCCTTGCACGGCTAGGCAAACGCGCTCGAGCACGTCCTTTACTATCTCGCATGTCCTCATTCTCCATTCGTTATATGTGTAGGGCTGTTGACCTCTGCAGTATTGCCAGACCACCGTGCTCTTCAGCATAAAATCTGATTGCCAAGTCCATGTCTCAGAGTGAGATCCGGTTCCCGGCCCCGTTGCGCACTACTTAAAAGTGCTCAAACCAAAACTCTGTTCTTTTATATTATACTCTCGCGTCATTTTTACGGTATAGCAAAATCAGGCGAGAGATTCCCAAGTATGATGCTTCTTCATCGTCTTCGCCGTTGAATGACTTGTTGATCCTGTTGAGTCTTCATACTGCCCGGAATGGATCACCCAACGATTTCTATATTATACACTAGTCAAGGGGTCAAATCACCAGGGAAGGTCTATGTTGGAAACAGCTTTTCCTTCAAGCTTGAAGATAGGCAATTAAATGCCTCGTGTCCACAGCGGGTACATACGAACGATCGACACGTTCAGCGGGAGCTATGACACTAAATTCTTTTATAAAGATGGAGATCCTGTCCGCATTCGGGGTATCGAATGCTTGCAGATTACTGAAGTGTGATCTGTGTTTCGAAGGTAGGAATCGAAAGCTCGTCAATATATGGGTGTGCAGGTTCGATCAATATTTAGAAGTGTGAAGTCTTTTCGAGTAGTCAGCGTTGTTATTTCTCGACAAAGCGAGTGCTGACCATTAAACGTTCATCATGTACCGCAATGGTGCTATGGCAGCGGATTCTTTCCGACTGACGGCGCCTTGCGCCCTAGATGCGATTTGAAAGCTAATTGACGCGGGATGAACATGGGCGCAGAAGGAGACTCGAGAGGACTTGAGGTTTGGAAGTGGAGATAGTCTAGAGGGGTTTCTTTCGACCACGCTGACGGAAGACGCATATCCGCTATCTGGCGCTTCGCCACTACTGTCGGTGCTTCAGTCGAGGACACTCGGAGAACTATCGATGCCGTCTGAAGTGGCAGCGGGCGAAGAATGACCGTCGGAAGAAATGCATGTTGGCTCGTGCGATGGCGTGCTGCAGTCGTGAAGAGGGTTCAGAGATGTTCCAACTGGGCGCCATTTACTTGAGGCCTGGCTACCGCGGTCCTGACGATGCGGAGTGATTGTGGAGAGAGTTTCTACTGATGGAGATGAACCAGGACTAGACTTGAACGAGAGGATGAGACGTTTCGCTACGGCGGTTTCTGCAGCTTCCGGTCTTGTGGTCAAGCTAGCACGATCGAAAAATTCGTCTAGATCATTGCCCGCACTTGGCTTCCTAGTGTGTGCGCTCGGACGTTTGTTGTCTATGCCCATATAATGAAGTTGTCCGACGAGAGCTTTTATAGCATCAGCTGCGGAGGAGTCGGCGTTCGGCATTGGAGGAACAATGAGATTGAGAGGGGCGTGCGAGACGGTGCAAGTCGAGGCAAGGGGCGAGGATTGAGAAGACAGGCCATCATGAGCACTGCGAGAGCGATGGTGCTGACTACCCGGAATAGGACTGATTCTGGCCAAGGGAGACGAAGAACGCAGAAACATCGTGTTGGCGCCATCGACAAGCGAAGAGAGTAAGTCATCCTCTTCTGCGCGTGAACGGGAAGCCGAAGTCGCAGAAGTCGGCATCACAGGTCGATACCTAGAAGAATCCGATATTGATCATACAAAGACAATCAGTGAACAAGGATATGAAGAAACTGACCAGGGATCTTGCGTGACTATGGCATGCGCCCTGATGACAAGTGGTCGAAGCCACGAATGTCCCCATTCTTCGGCCGTTTCAGGATTAGAGTGGTAGTAGAGACCGACGACAGCCTTCATTGCAGTAGCAAGGATAGCAGGGGGGTAGGTCACTGAATTTCCGTTGACGGAGCCTCGGATTGTAGACGTCGACTTTCTGTCAGAGGTTTTCACCTGGTCAGACCTTGGGAGGATAGCGATACAAGTTTGCAAAGACAGAAGTGAGGCAAGGTAGGATAGTGAGGTATCACAAACAAGCAAGCCAGTTATACCCTGACATTATCACAACGATGAGTGATAGAAATTTGAGGAGAATGGATGTTTAATCCTCACAGACGTGAGATGAGATGCCCTTGAGGTAGCGCAGTGATATTCTGGCCAAGTCGTAATAAAAACCTTGCAGATACACATATCGAGAAGTTGTATTGCGATCTCAATGTCGTCGCAATGCGGTTCTTCCAACAAACCGTCGGCGGCAAAGGTGAACTGGGTCGAGGCTGGTAGCATCTCCACAGCTTGATTGATCTTGTCGAGCAGGAAGTCTTGTTTGTACTCTAGATAATCTAGAAACTTACTTTGTACGGATGGTTCGGGTTTTCGTCCAGATTTCATGCGTCTGCCGCGCGCGTCATGGAACAAGTCTTTATCCCAAAAGTCTTTGGTCGCGGCCTTGATGATGGGGTCGAAGAGTGGGCGTAGCCATTGTTCGAGTCTCTTCCATCCATATTGAGTGTAAACGGCACCAGCATATGATTCAAAAAGATCGGCCAGAGCTTTAGGTGGACGATGGCTTGACTGCGGATTCCATTTGTCTAATTCGCGCGCGTCTTGAGAGTTAAGCTTGGCATGCTGGTCGAGACGAAGGTAGAAAGCGAGACGGCCAAACGTATCATTATTGCATAGAACACGCCGCACGACCTATCGAGAAATATTGATTTGTGCCCAAGTAATGGAGGATACAGATACGTTACAGACCATGTGGTGGTTCCTGTTCAAACGAACATTGTCGATAAATAACGCTATGACGAGATTGACGCATCGATCTCCAAGATACTCCAGAAGGTCGTTGTTACTTGGTAAATGTCGTATGCTGTTCCTTGTGCGTGCTAAAAGCGCGTCTTGAAGGGCAGGAATACTGCGTGCTTGGTGGTGGTAGTCGACAAGGTTGAGACGGCCTTATAGGCAGGTCAGAGGCCGATTGATCTCATTACAGGACATCGCATATATGCCAGGACGTAGGAATAAAATGAAAGTAGCTTCAGATGTAAGGAATGATTGAAAATCGTTAGAAATGTGAAACCACCTGAGTGTGCAAACGTTCGAAAGCCAAAGCGCGAGCCTACGAGACACGATGCATATTCGAAGTCCGCGGCACATTCATCTCCAGATGCTTTTTCTCTCCATTTGTTTGGTACATAAAAGGCTTGTTAACAGGACGATACATAGAACAAGTATGTAAGAAAACTGTTTCATAAATCACTGCCATTTCCCAAGGGCCTCTTTTGCAGCATCCCATTCCCTTTCCACACAAGCCTTGACCTTCGGATTCCTTGCACTGATATTGCACTCGAAGCTGACGGGCCACGAATTGAATCCATTAGTGAACTCCCACACGTCTGGAAGCACATCCTGTCCCTGTGCATTTTTTACGGGACGAATATCAAAGCCCCATAGGATCCGCGAGACGTTGATGAAGATCGAGTTTAATGCTAGGTGCATCCCGGGACAGATGCGACGTCCGAATCCGAATGGGAGCTCGAAACTCTGCAGACGTGGGTCGGTGGTCGTGATGAATCGTTCTGGGCAGAAAGTATCGGGGCTTGGAAACATTTCAGGGTCCTGCATTATCCCTCTGGATACATGTGTTATTTCAAATTTGGTGAGTCGTAGAAGTATGAGAATGCACGCACGCCATGTTTGCAAAGACTGAGGCGCCTTTGGGAATGAACCTAACGGTAGCAGTCATTGTCAAGTCATGCGCCAAAGAATGTTATACACTCACATGCCATTATATTCATCATCCTCTGTCACAGCATGGGCTGTACCGCCTAGAACTGCGACGGGCCGCCAACGCAAAATCTCATTGATCAAAGCACGAACATATGGAAGAGTGTCTCGGTCTTCGTATCCTGGCATACGATCATGCCCGATGACTTCATCGAGCTCGGCCTGTGCTTTCTTCATTGCTTCTGGGTAATGTAACATTGCGACTGACCAAGTATATGCACAAAGTAAGAAGAATGTCTAGGGGTTGAAATCATAGCGACTTACGGAAGAAAACGAAAAGTGTTCCGGATGTCTGAGAAAGCTATTAAGTCTACGAGCCATCTGCGATGATCATTGCTTACTGTTTCGATACCGGCACCGAACGGCGATGATACTGTATACGCCACTTGAAGTTCACTAACACCCATTTCTTCCCTCTTGGAAAGGGTTTCTGATGCAAGGCAAGGGGGACAAGTACCCTCTGCTGTTCGAGACTTGACGTCATCTAAAAGATGGGTGAGCAGCTTTACGTCGCGGCGTCGTTGTTCTTCAGCCTCCCAGCGAAACCATTGTAAGGAGCGCTGTCCAGTAATTTTGAGTCTGTGGAGATGTGAATGACATTAAAAGAGCCTACTGGCAGCTTGAGTAGCCAAGGCCATGATTCAACTATATATTTTCCTGGGAGGCTGCAAGTCAACGATAAGTGTTGATCCTGACGACAATAATAATGTGTGCTTGCTTTACGCTAAAAACGCAGTACGCATCAAGATGCGATAGCATGTCTATTCACCTTCGAAACGCAGTAGCGTACCTTGTTAAATCTGCATGAAGGAAAATTAAATTGGTTGTACAGATATCCAGGTAGCAACCAAACCTACAAGCCATGGAAGCCATGTTCTCCTTTACGATCCACTCATCAACACTATCGATGCGCTTTCCATACGTGAGAGATACGACAACGCTCGCAGCATACCTTGATTGGACAGGTGTTCGATATATATCAGTACCACAAGAAATTAAGACTCACCGACGAATATGATTTTCATAATTCTTGGGGTCAGTCAACAGCTGGCTCATGAGGAGCTTTGACTCGAGAGATTGTATGTCTCGATACGTATCCGCTTTGCGGCTGTGCAGCCCTCCATGCAGAACCTATCGAACACATTCAAGGTACCGCTGGAAAGAAGAATGAAATCGAAACTTACTCTACGAAACTTCCTCCATCCTTCACCTGATGGTAACATAAGACCTCGCAGGTTGTCTGAGAAGATCTCACCGCTGCAGCAGTTATATATTTGTATTGATCGCATAGTTGCTAAATTTACGCACCCCATGATAAAACGGGGCCTGCTTGAATAGATATCCGAGCGCTTCTCCAGAAGATCCCAGGCAGGTTGCGCTTTGCCAAGAACTGATTCGGAAGCGTTACATTGAAAGAGGGTCACACAGATTACAAGGAGATACAAGACACTCACCTACGACTGGAGTCGATCCCAGAAACAGAGACACAACGGGACCTGTATGCAACAGGCCAGGTCCCAGACATCGGCCAAAAGACTGACATTTTATGGAACATATGTGAAGGTTGCGGACGAACCGTATTGTCTATTCCACTCTGCGAATTTCCTCCACGGTTTGATTGAAGGGACCTGGTATTCGCTACCGATGAAGGGCAGACCCTTCGGACCGGGAGGCATCCTCCTTCGTTTGAAGTTCCAGCCCACAAAAGCATACAGCGAATACGAAAGCAAAAATATGAGAGGTAGATGCCATGATTCTGCAAGCGCAGCGGGTATCTGTAACAGCAGAACATCAGATGGGTGCATAGTGACAAACCTCCCAAAGCTGGAGGCTATCCAAAGAGCGAGGGTAGCATCCGAGGCTTTAAGAACGAGCGAATGGGAGAAAGAATATGCGCTCTGTGAACATAGACACAAATCAGACCTGGTGAACACGGCCACGAGGATAACCCGGACAAAGAGGAAGGTCAGGTGAGTCGGGCTCTTAACACGAGAATCATTGTTTCGGAACAGTCAACTATGGGTCAAACATATGATCGTCACTTCCGAGTGATGCTCAAACAGCTTGACATTGGAAGGATGACCTCAGCCTGCTAGGCAAGAGGCAACGAGGCAAGGGACTGAAGAAACTAGTATGTGCTATGGATTGACAGGATTATCCCACGGCCTCCGAATTGGAAGGATTATCTCACGGTCCTCATGTTGGAAGATCAGCAGTTCGTGGAGTTTGTGGTGCATCTGACTCCAGTAATGAACCTAACCCGTTTTTCTTCTCATCAGTTTTGCAGCTGCTGAGCCTGCCTGACGAAAATTAAACACTGGAACTCAATTAAATTGACTTTGCTTCTAACGGTGTTAAATCCTTGTGAGATAGGAAATATCAGTCGTGGGTTAGTGATATTTCCCCAAGGTAATTTGAGTGACTTGTTTGACAGGTAGGCGTTGAATGTTGGCCTATGATATACCAGCTTAGGATGTGGCTCTTGAATTTTGATTGGCAGACAAGCTTCGTGGTATTCACTGGAGTGCGCCTGGGTCTCCGATCCTCCATAGCTCTCCAATTAACGGGACTTTGAACTTTTTCAGAATCCATTCCCTGATCTTCGCTCCCATTAACCCCAACGGTCTCCGTGTTTTCAGGCGTTCATCATCCTCAGCCAGAGTCGCTTCGTGCAGTTTCTTTTCAAGGTCATGACTATCCCGATACATCGGGGTATGATTCATGGGAAGGTGAGCAGATTTATATGGCACGAATGCACACAAAGGGTTAACATTGAAGCACATCTAGGAGCAATTCGGTTCCTTTCTGTCTCCCCAGCTCCCTAGGGCACAGCTATGTCCCAAATGTGCTACTCTTGGAGCCGGTGTGGTTAACACCGACCGCAAGAAGAGACTTCGACTAAAATACTGCCCTCTGAGCTCATTCCTGCACATCTGACTTTCCACGACTCGTCCTTCATCACAATCAACATCTGTCATGGCGTGAACGTCTGGACAGCTTCCTAGTTAACTTGTTTATCTCATCGTGCCCTTGAGAAGTCTGCGCCGTGTACTTATAAGACCACGATTCTGAGGCTCTTGTTCTCTCGCTGCATTTCCACGACCCAATGACATCTCCTCTTATTGCTGTTGGCTCTCTATCTGCTGGATATATGGAATGGCCTTTGGTACTGCTGATGATCTACACGCTTCATGCAATACTAGATTGGAGCGCAAAACGAAGACGAATGCCCCCAGGTCCTCGAGGATTGCCATTCCTTGGAAATACTCATCAGCTACGCGGCTTCATGCCGTGGAAGACGTTCGCACAATGGAATAAACAATACGGTTCGTCATGAAGGCTTTATTTCCTAATCTACGCACGATGGATTGAATACCGTCTCGTATAGGACCTGTCAATTCTCTTTTTCTCGGTCAAACTCCTGTCATAGGTCTGCATGAAAGTCCATTCTAGTGATGCGAACTGACGATCCTCCACCTTTAGTCTTGGGAAGCGCTAAAGCCGCATGGGACTTGTTGGATAAACGCTCAGACATCTACTCCAGTAGACCTCGCTTCATAATGGCGTACGTAGCTTCTCTCTTATCAGGGCGCCTTTTCTGATTGATTTTCTGTTCTTTCGAAGTGGTGAACTTCTTTCCAATAACATGCGCGGTTTCTTAATGCCTTCCGGAGCAGAATGGAGAACGTTCCGAAAAGTAAATATCATCTCCCTTTCGGTCCTCGACGTGGTTGGTAATTATTCTGTTGACAGATCATGCATAGAAGCTTCAACATTCGAAAGGCAAAGTCATATCGTGAAATACAGTCCCTCGAGTCCAAAGTCATGATGCACGAACTTCTTCACCAGCCGAAAGACTACGAGAAGCACATCCGACGGTCTGCCCTGTTTTGTACTCGTGACCGGATCAGAGGCTGATTTTACGGATCGAATTTCTAGATATGCTGCTAGTCTCATCGTGTCAGTCGCATATGGTCGACGAATTGACACCGTTGATGATTGGATTGTGACAGAGAATGTGGCATCTGTATCCTGTGCGTCCTTTCTAGAAAGTGCCCCCCAGTGAAGTACTGACATGGTTGGTGGTGGTACGACCAGATTTTACCAGGTAGGGGATCGTCCTACCGGTCCGCATCTATTAATCGGTTCATGTTTCATCCTCTTTTGCATCGCAGCATCAAGTGAGCATGCCTTATTGTGACTCAGACATAAACGCCTCAATTAAACTTTATAGCATTCCTGGAAAATACCTAGTCGAAAGCGTGCCGTGGCTGCTGAAACTTCCTGTGCTTCTTCTCGGACAGTCAGATGCCCTTCTATAGCTGATATATTTGTCACGCTTAGCTTTCCTTGCAATGGTTTCGACATGCACCAGAAGAGCGCCGGAAACGAGACGTTGACCTCTTCACACATCTCGTCGAGGATGTCAAAGCACGCGCATCCGAAGGAACTTGCCTCCCTTGCATGGGCATGGAAGCACTTGCTAAGAAGGAAGAGTTGAACTGGAATGAGTTGCAGATTGGCTATGTCCTGGCTTCATCGTTTGGGGCAGGCATCGATACAGTGAGCGCCCTTCACCAGCGTTCTCGTGGCCTTCTCCAGTCCTGACATTTCACCTTGATGACATGAAAGACATTTAAAACACTACTCGTTTTTCTTCGTGAGTTAGCCTATCACCACTATCAGCCAACCTTTTCGACTTGGCTGCTATTCTGAACAGTTGCCATGCTTCACCATCCGAACGTCATGAAGAAAGCTCAAGCGGAGCTAGATGCAGTTGTTGGTCCCGAACGGATGCCGGAGTTCGATGATAAGACTCACCTGCCTTATATCAACGCCCTGATTAGCGAGGTTACTCGTTGGCGTCCTGTTGCGGTCTTGGGCGGCGCACCCCATGCTACCACGACGGACGACCACTACGAAGGAATGTGAGTGCCTGTGCTAATTTTGTAGCTCTGTTCCTCATGTACGAATTCGAAAGGTTCATCCCCAAAGGCTCCACCGTCTTTGCTAACGTCTAGCGAGTCGCTTTCAGTTTCGTTCTGCATCGCATATACGCTTACCGGCATGCTTTCAGTGCCATCATGCGTGATCCTGAAGTCTTCCCGAACCCAGATGCATTCCTTCCTGAACGATTCCTAGGAGTGACCGATCCACGCCTGCAGAACTTTGAGATCCCTTTCGGTTTCGGCAGGCGCATCTGTCCAGGGAGGCATCTCGCTATCAACTCCCTCTTCGTCAATATGGCGCGCATTCTCTGGGGATTCGACCTCCGTCCTGTGAAGGATGCCCAAGGCCAGGACGTGCTGCCCGACCCATTTGCGTTCACCAGCGGGTTCATGTCCCGCCCTCTGCCTTTTGATATTCAGATTAAGGTCAGGAACGACAGGGTCAGACAAAGCATCGAGAGGGAATTCGAGAGTGCGAAGGAGGTCCTTAGAAAATGGCAGTGAAGGCTCTCAGCAATGAATAAGAGCGAAGCTTAATTGCAGTTCAACCTGTACAATTTCCTACATGTAGTTATCAGCCACTACCATCATATGGTCTACATCTTGCTGTGTATCGGGCGGTCTCGCAAAGCAAAATTGGTGAACACTTAGCTATCTAATCCTCAACAGCAACAGCTCCCCGAGCAAGCCAGCTGCCGTAGTATTCACACTGCCTTGGACCAACCGGCCCTCCATCCCGACAGAAATCGAAGATTGGGCACCGCGCGCAAGGCGCTTCTGCCCATCCCAACGCGACACGCTCCTGTCGCACCGCACGGTATACGTATGCACTTCCCGCAAAAGCATTGTCCAGCTGTGGCCCTCTGACAGGAGAAGATGAGCGTGCGCGCGATTTCTTGCGAGAAGAGGATGGCTTAGATTTTGATGACTTTGACTTTGACGATTTCAACTTGGATCGTGAACGTTTCCGGCGTGATGTCGAGTCGTCAGAGTCCGAATCTGAGTCGGACTCGGTGGCTGATTCATCGGGCGATGCTATGCGCTTCTTGGACTTGGAACGCGACTTGCGCTTGGAGCGATCCTCTTCGCTTCCCTCATCACTGCTCTCGCTGTCGTCTGCTTTTTTTCTCTTTTTCCGCTTCTTCTTCAGCTCTCTTTCGCTTTCGCTCACCTCCCCCTCGGAATCGCTCATACTTCTCTTCCGTTTTTTTCCCTTTACCTCTTTCTCCGCCCTCTTACCCTTCGCTTTCTTCCTAGGACTCGTCGTGTGTTCATCTGTGGACATCTCATCTTCAGCTCGATGCTTTTTGCGTTTCCGACTGGAGAGTCCGTTTTTTCGTTTTCGTTTTTTCTGCTTCGCATCGTCGTCTGAATCGTCGTCTGAATCGGGCTCTGAGGAAGAGGCGGCGGATGGTGCGTCATCGTCATCGTCTGCGATCCATAAAGATGCACCATAGGAGGGCAGCTGCAGAACAAAGACAATAGATGAATAATAACCACAGGATGCAGGACACAAGAGAATATACCTTCTCTACTTCACCATCAAGCACAAGGACGTTCAGGAGCATATCGACGTGCTCCTCACTCAACTGAGTCTCTGTGATTTTGCTTTTACTGAGAAAGCTTAGGACTTGCTGACAGTTGGGATATGGTGGTGCGCTAGAGATGGGGTATAAGGGTCTTGAAGAAGCCGGTATGTCGTCTGAGAGCTTGTGCTTCGGCAAGCTCTGTGAACCGTTGAGACTCGAGTGGACATATCATTACTTGTGAGCAACTTACACGATCCTGGATGAAGCGCAAGCAGGCTGTACAGAGCAGCTTGATAAATTCAGTATCAAGCTCGTTATCGGTGTACCAGGGGCCGCCGGTCAGTTCCACAGATGGCTCAAGGTGTGCCATCATATAGATTTTTCGCGTTGGATACTGTGGAGCATCTTAATGGTGAGAGACGGATAGATGGCCTAAAAAGAGACGTACTAACCTTCACCATACCCTTGACAGCTTTTATTATCCCTTTCTGGACAAGCTGCTTGAGGCAGCGGTCAAGGACGGTTTGGTGTAATTCTGTCTTGACTTTCAAGTGCTTCGTCCATATGCCTACACAAAAATTCACGTCTGTGGAGAACCGGCACGTCAGATATACAACTCACCTTGGTTCTCTGCTGACTGGATATGACTCAAGACCATCGACTCCTCTCCACTCATGCCCTTCTTCCTTCGGTGATATGTTAGTGACATTACACAATGAATTCAAAAGAACGAACATACATATCTACCTCTTCTTTCGTCACTGCACGGTACAACAGACCTCCACTGTTGTCCTTCATCACTTTTATCATTCCCTGCATGTGTCGCCCAAGTCTATGTCTATTTGAGCTCGAACATTCAAGTAGACAGTACGCACCGCTCCAAGTAAAAAGTTTATTGCTCCTGTTCGTGGTTTTGCATCTGGAGCGAGTATGTCGATCTCCTTCTGCGTCAAAGGCTAGTAAATGCAAAAAAATCGAGTCAGTAATGTATGTGGCAGTCTCAGCGAAGACTTTATACTCGGGAGGCTTGCAAGGCAGCATGATGCAGCTTTGCCTCAAGCTCATTCGGTTTTCTGCCTGCTGAGGGCGGCATGACAGAGGAATTGAGCAAGATGGCAATCAGGTCGAGCGCGAGCAAGGGAGACGCGAGGAGAAGACCGTCACGTGTTCCCCCGCAATTCCGCACATCACACAGCCTGACAGGCTTTGGCGGGAGGCCTCTTCAGCGTCTGAACACGACATTTACCCTCCTCGCTACCTCCACCACCAATCAACAGTGTACGCCGTTTGAGTATCCGTTGTAAATATGGGCACAAAATACGGCTTGGATGATCCGCAAGGGGACCTTGCTACATATTTCGAGAAGAGCGCGACTCTTGTACGGCATTTGTTCGAGCGGTGCGATTATTTCGGCGATTATTTCAACATCTTCTGACCCTCAAGTCTGCTCTCAGGCTTGAAGAAGATTATATTGGCCCGTGGATACAGCTTGCTCGTGAATCCTTCGCAGCGTATCCTATCCCCGTGGTGCGTATCATCTCGCTAGCTTGTGGTGCCTCTGGCTCGTTTTTTGTTGTATCGTCATTTTATGCGGTGGTACTTCCAGCGACTCCTGCAATCCAAGTACTGAATTAAGCTAATAAACATGCTGACGGCACCTATCAACCCTACAGACTTTTATCGCAATCTTCGCCTCTCTAAGTTTCATTCCTATCATCACTTTTGTGTGAGTTCGTAAACAATTCAGAGTAAACTGATGCTCACCAATACCGTCGATCAGGGTATTCTCGCTGCTCATAGGTGCATCGTTTTTGTTTTTTGCCCTTTGCGTCGCCTTCACCGCATCAGTATCTGTTGTGCTCTTGTTCGGTACGTCATCGAGCTGTACGATCGTTCTCTACTGACATCAGTATTTAGCCGCCATCTTACTCCTCACTCTTACGGCGATATTCTTCATCTCGGCTTTCTTCACAGTATCTGGTCTCACTGTCTACCTATCCACTCGCCTCCTTCTACACCTGCGTGCTTCGGGCTTGCAAGGCCTCGACATATGGAGAAACGAAGCCAGACAGATAGTGTTGCACGTGCGATCGGCTCCGGTGCCAGCTGAAGAATCGGACGAGTTCTCAGACGATTCCGCAGTCGTCATCAAAAAGGAAGGGGCCGAAACGGACAAACTCTCTGACGCCGATGTTGTTTACCCTTCTGCTACCAACGATGCGCAGAAAAATGAGGTATATGAAACGAAGGATGAAATAAACGCATGATCACGAGGCTGGGTCTGCCAAAATAGACGATGAGTCGTGTGGTTGTTTCATTCTTGTATTCTGATCGTGTACTATACTTTTTATTCGTACCAGGGAGCTTGTGGTAATTCAGCTGTCCGTTTATACTTCCGAGAGTCCAAAGATTCGTTGGTTCATGATGCGATACAATTTACGTCCCTAGGTCTGCTCGTCTACCTGCTGACTTCCCGGTAAATCGCCGACGTTCGAAATTAAGCATCTGTTTTCAAGAACGATGATCCCGCCGGTCAACGTCTCCCGAGGAATAGCCATTTATTCGGTCCTCTGCGAAGCATGACAGCGCAGACATCGTACGCAATAGGGTATATAAGCGACCGTCGAGATCAAGTGTCTCGGGCATCAAAAACATCACCATGAGGTCGTCGGCTCTCCTTGTTTCCGCCGCTGTCCTTGCCAGCACTGCTTTGGCGCAGACCACAGCTCCCCAATATGGGCAGGTGCGTTTCTCCGCAATTCTTCACCTATAATTATTGAGTTTACATGTTTTCTACTAGTGTGGGGGAATAGGATGGACGGGTGCAGCTGTATGCCCATCCGGTTGGGCATGTACTTTTTCAAACGATTATTACTCACAATGCCTTCCTGGTGCTACCACGTCGGCCGCGCCAACCTCCACTGTTTCTTCATCATCCGGAGGCACGCCGACATCTACATCTGCGGCCGCCAGCGGTACTACGACTCTCGAAGCCGGTTACTCTTTCATTCGCGCTGTCGTGCGTCCTTCCCCTCAAAGCTGTAGTCAAATATGTGACTTACCTGGTGCTGATAATTTTGTAAAATCCGCAGGAAGACCCAAACTTCCACAAGTACCTCCAATCCGAGGTTCTGAACACGGCTTCGGACGCCGTCCTCGGCTCGCCCGCGACCGCTGCCCAGTTCCAGATCGTCTCGGGTCAACTCGTCCAAAACGCAAACGGCACCCCGCTGTACGCTGTCGTCGAGGCGCAAGCGAACAGCACTGTAACAAAGCTCAAGATGTCGTGGTCAACAACGCCCGCATCGGGTGACAGCGCCGGTACCTTCATGTGGAGTGGGGACACTGTGGAGTGGCAGATCGCGTCTATCAATCGGCCACAGCTGAATGTGCGTATTCGTCGCGTTTTGTCCACTGTTTTGTCTACAAACGCAATGGTGCTAATGCTTGCTTTTTGTTGTTTTAAACAGGCTTGGCTAGTTTGTCCTGATTCTGCTGGGAACGCAGACGTCTACGTCAACTTGGGCGCATACGACTATATGACTCCTGCTGGATGCGCCGACGAGACGATTCACGCCTACACGGGTGCAACAGCCACCCCATGAAGGGTTCAAGATGTATCTTGGAGTTATAACTCACAGACTTAGTGCGCGTCGTGCGATTGCCAATAAAACCGATTCACTTTTGAGGGTGAATCAGGATGAATTGATATCTTAAAAACATTTTAGCTCAAAGGACAGATGGCACCCTGTGACTTCAGCTTGTAAACAAGATTTTCCTAATATCACCCTCGCATCTTCCTCAAATGTTCAACGTCAGGTCCGACCTGGTGGAGCGGAAACCCTGCTCTGGTAAATCGTCGAGGTCGTTTCCCGTACTTAAACTTATCATACTGAAGGACGAGCACTTGAGCGCGAGTTCTCGAACGTGATTGCCTCGTAAGATGTTACATCTAACTTGCTCCGAGATATTCAGCAGGCTCCAGCAAGAGCGCTCAGATTTTGTTCAAAATCAACCTTAGGGATGATCAACTTGCAAAAATCTGGCGCAGAGAAATACAATGCGCATCTATGACCACGCACCCCACCTGTATCAATCAACGATAACACGAACTACGGCGATGAGCTGAATTGGCTTCCAGAAAATATCGTCAGCAGGCTTTTCTGATGACAACATCCCTCATATTCTTTCGATACTTCTGGGCGCACAGGCGCCGCTTTGACCCCACGTACCCAAACGAGCGACTCTCACTCGGTACAGTACGTCCGACGCGTCATTGAGGACGCCTGAATCATTGGCCACCTGTCTCATCCTTCTCGGTCTCCTTGCTCCTTATTTGTGTTGGGCTGAACAAGATCTCTGGATACTTTCGATATGCAGCCCCAGAGAGCATCTAGTCATTGGCGCGCAAACGAGAAATGTCAACGGCGGTGCAGCGGCAACGGTATACAGCCTCAGCATGGACGCCACGCGAAAGAGATCCAGTAATGGCGTGCGTAGTAGCGGTTGGGGTTAAAGAGTCCTGCGTATGAGCACAAGTTTTGGATGGTGGAATGCAGGATCCAAGGAAGCTCCTGATAGATGCGGGGAGTAGACGATTTAGAGCTATGAAGCCAAGAAAAAGAGGGGAAGGAGCTGTTGTCGTCGGGAAAGGCTGTCCAACGACCCATCGTCGCGTTCGACCCTGAACAAACTTGTTGACGCATGTTCGTCGATATATAATGCTCCTTTCCTCACAGAAGCGGAAGTGTCCGTGGGTGTCGAAGAAACACACATAGATGAGCGCAGGAACATAACGACCTCAGTCTTGTTTTTAGGAAAGCTTACCGAGCCATTGGGGTGAGTAGTATTTGTTGCTACGCCTCGTCATGAAAGCCAGAGTGCTATCTATGTCGCCTATGCGCATATCAGAAGGGGGAGAAAGGTGTCTCACCAACAGCGTTGGTCTCCAGACCCCCAGTTTCTTGCACGCGAACGCGGATTCGCCATTCTCCGTAAATATATCGACATTCACACCCGTGGACAGCTGTTCACTCAAGATCAAACATGATAAAATGACTAAAGGCGTAAGATGAAGGGCGGAAGACGGAAGACGGAGAAATCGAGACATAAGATGAAGGAAAGAAGCAGATAATCGATCAGGGGTGTAAAAGTGAGGTCTCACCGCGTTGGGGTCAAGCAGAGTGGCCTCCGCGGAGGACGCTACGGCTTTTTAAAAAAGGGAGACTGCATATGACGAGATCGAAGATGGGCGCATATAGCCGGGACCCGGAAAAATCGTGTGATGATGGAGTCAACGACAACGATCAGATGTGCATCGAAAAACGCTGGAGGGCAGGCTGAAGGGCCTGAGTGAGTGGGGCAAGATGCTGTCCCCGATTAGAGGCTTGTATGAGATGTGTGCGGTGCGAGAGCCCGTTGCACTGAAATTTTCCTCGAAGGCACTTCAAGAGGTTGTCGACATCTTTCTTAATCAGACATGTCAGTGGAGGCACCCCACCTCGTTTGCGTGCAATTTGTAGGATGGTGGAGTACATACTTATGCCGGCAAGTCGCCAGCTCGGAGACAGTTTACATGCGAGGACGAGGACATAGATCGGCGCGGCGCCGGCCAGCGTGCATCTGGTCGAGAATGGGTCGGTGAAAAGATTCGACATACAGCTATGAGAGAGTGACAACATACAAGTCTATTACAAAAACAAGAGCACCTCGATTGTCAAAGGTAGAACGAACCAGATCTTGAATCCATAAAAAGATGATTAGATTTGCAGAAAGGAGGAAAATTTGGAGTAAGACGAGCGTTTCGGGTGAGAATCAGTTTCAATGCTATTTGTGGCGTAGATGCATCGCATGAGCATGTGTAGGCAGCGGTACCTATAGAACCATGCGAGAACGAATATTTCAGCACCAAGAGATAGCCCCAACGGAGTTCCAAGTTCTCACTCACGGGATGACAGAGCCGACCTTCAGGAGTTCGGAGAGATGAGCCAGGATCACGATGTAGGGGGGCCCCTAATGCCTCCGTTAACGTTAATCCTAAGCCGCGCAAGTCGACACTAAACTCTGTCAAGATTCAAAGGAATATACGCACATTTTTGCTGTCTCGTATGAAGTCGGCAGTAGCGCCGTTGTTAGTAGATAGAGCTGGGCTGCCTGTAATGAACCAATTCTTCAAGGCTATTTTCTTACTGTTCTCGAAGATGCCAATCAAATTCATCGAGAGAGTGGGGGGCTCGATATAGATTTCGAGGATGCATTCTGAACTGATAGGGTATGTCGCTTCTATCACCCTCTGGTCAAAATTTGACCTGAGAAAAATAAGCAGAAAGAAGTCCTTACCAGAACCTTGTCCAGGACAGATGACCATGTCGCAATTGAAAGCTATAGGGTCACCAATGTGCCCTCGGCCCCTGCCAGCGAGCGGCGAGCGGGCCCCTGCGGGGGTAGAGAGGCCATTTCGATGACGTCATCTAACACAGTCTCCAGTTTTTCAGGCCCCGCGGATCGTGTCAGTTGGCCAACCATGGTCACTACAACCATACCACCCAGAGCAATATCGGGTAATATTCGTATGTATCAGGACGGTGAGCAATCGCCATTCTCAAAAATGCGTGCTCCGTCCTTGTATGAGGCACTTTATTTCGTTGGAATATATAGTAAATTAGGCTGCTCGAAGATCCCTCTCGGAGCAGCCATAGAGGCTCGTCCGACATCCTCAGTGCCTTGACTGTCTTCTACAGGATGCCTTTCTTGGAAGGATATACCAGTTCAGCTGCAAGTGGTGCTTTCGAACACCTTCTAGCGCGCGCAGTACAACTGATACCGTTAATTTCGTCTTCAGTGATCACATCTTCGAAGAGCCGTGGCATCCCTTGACGATACCTCACTGCCTCAAGGATTTTAGTCGCTATTTCTCGAGCTTACTCCACTCTGGAAGATGAGGGATCCTTCTATCCTGCCTTGTCTTACACGGCAGATGCGGCGGGAGAGAGGGTATGCATACTTTCTGTCCGTAGCAAGGACTAGATGCTGGCCTGGACTTACGAGCTACGGATTGAGGTTGTCCTCCAAAAAACTCTATCTGCCTGTAATTTCTCGGCACCTAATCAGCTGCTCCAAAGCTGAGTCTCAACTGGAATCTACTATATAAGCCGTGTTTTGTTCTGTTCTTTCCTCACCTCCTTTGGCACCTTGTCCAGCTCGATCCTTGCGAGTCCTTTCCTTTTGATATTTCGCTCATCACCTTTGCGTCTTCGAACCGAATCATGTTCTCCTTCACCAAGATCGTCTCTTTTGCTGTGCTCGCTTTGGGCACTCTCGTCTCTGCGTCTGCAATCCCAGCTGTCAAGAGTGTCGTCGTCGTTTCCCCCAAGGCGACCATAAAGGAGCGCGATGGCACCAGCCTAGCCTCTGTCTTTGCGGACCTGACCACATCGCTCCAGCCCGTCCTCTGTAGGTTTTCTCTATCATCCAGCGCTCCAGCTTGTAACTCATCGCAGTTCCATCGTAGCTGGCCTCCCCGGGACCACCGACCCTGTCGCTCTCCAGTCCGGCATTACTCAAGTCACTTCGCTCATTCAGTCGGCCAGCTCCACCCTTTCCGGCCTCACCAGCCAGCCCCAGTCCCAAACGCTCTCCACCCTCGACGGCACCGGCCTTCTGAGCGTCACCGACGTCGCAGGCCTCCTGGGAGGAACACTGACCAGCGTCCTTGGTGTCCTCGGGCCTCTCACTTCGGGCGTGGGCGCCGTCGGCACCGTCGGTCTGCTTACCCCTCTTTTGTACGTTCAGTCTTCGCGAGAATGGTCCGTTACTTGTGCTGATGATATTTGTTTAGGGCTGTCATCACGACGCTGTTAACTGTGGTGCTCACGCTCGTCGGCGCCTCGGCTTTGGCCCTCGTCACCGCCCTCTTGCCGCTCATTATCACGCTCATCCCCACGCTTTTGTCGCTCCTCCTTCCCATCATCTTGGGATTGCTTTTACTTTGAGTCTTCTAGATGATAATGGTGAGCCATTTTCAATGCATTGCTGAAACAGGAAACTAACATTCAACCAGGCAAAATGTCATAGTTCTGTAAACAAGGCTCGGGAGTGGCTACTTCGAAGGGTTGCTTTCCGATTGAGGGTATCACGAATTATGAACTTACTCTTTTGATGGTTGGTTACGTTCGATGAAATTGTATAAACTCAGATTTTCTGGAACTATGTATAGTCTTGAGGCCTTGGGGTTCGAACATTTAAAGCAGTTGCGTGATCTCTCCCTCGAACAATACGCTTCTAGTACCACCGTCTAAGTTATCTCTATTCAAAGTCTCCCCGAGATCTGAGCCCTATTGTGCTTTTGAAGTCCCACAGATTACGAGCGGAAGGATTCGTACAGTCCTCGCCGGTTGCCCGGTCGTGTAGCCTCCGGCCCGGACCCGGGCCGCTTTGTTCTGTCATCTCTTCGGAAACTGAACTGCTCGTCGAATAGGGCTCAGAGCTTGTGTACCATTTTATTGATGAGTAGCAGTATATTTAACAGTGATCGCTGTCAGATTTTCAGTAGAGGCAAGGGATGCTGAGAGTTCTGGGCGGCCGATATGAATGCAGAAGTGTGGTGTGGCCCTGGCAGACTCGGACTCGGACTGACCACAATATTAACAGCGTCAGCAGCGCATCAACGAACTTGCTGTCAGGTCATCCAAGGTACACGTATGAGCGCCAATATGAATACTATTACACAGTTGAGTGCGATCTTGACCTCTTCCACACCTCGTGCATTTAACCTTTTTGCGTTGTACAGATTTTCAGCTCTTCGTTCACGTTTTGGCCTTGATCAGTCCCGCCATCAAATCAAAGCTGTTCCCATCTGGCTGCAGGTCGATAAACCCCGTGTCTGCGCTGCCACCGACGCTCCACGCCCCGCGCTCCGGAAGAGTTCTGAGCAGCCCATAGTCGGGCGTGATGCCCACGATGCGCACCGCGCGCGGCGGGGTGACCGTCGTAAGCGTCACAAGCTGGTCTCTGTGATGAACAGCAAGCGCAAGAAAGATGAATACCGGCAAGGGAGGTGAAATGAAAGGAAGGGAAGGAGCCACGCACGAGTGCATCCACGCGTCCAGGTACGCGTCCGCGAACTGTGCCCAGCTCCCGCGCGCGCGAATGAATTCCTCCCACATGCTTTCGAACTTGGTCATGATCAACGCAAGCATCATTTCTGGCGATGGTGCGCCCCCGGGTGTCGCGAGGAATGCAAGCGACGCGAGCGGTGCGGGTGTCGCCACGTTCAAGCCGCACCCTGCGGGGGTAAATCCATATTTTTGCAGGACGGAAGTTCAGTGAATCCAATGTCAGAAGGCTTGAATCGACCGCATCATGGAGAAGAATAAGAGAGCGAACGCACCGACGATGAGGTCGACCTTTCCCCCTGAGAAGCTTGTGTGCACGAGGATCCCGCCGACCTTCTTCCGCTCCCCGCCTCTCATCTCTATGTAGATGTCATTTGGCCATTTCAGCCGTACGCCTGCGCCACGATCCCCACCAAGCCCACGGGGATCACGACATGCCCGCACGACGGCGAGTGCGAAAAGGTACTGCACAAATACGAGGCGCGCCGCGGGGAGCGCAGAGAGCGGGACGTGCAGGAGTAGAGAGAATTGGAGACAGCCAAGGGGTGAGAGCCACGTATTCGCACCGCGTCCACGGCCGGCGAGCTGGTGGGTTGCGAGAGAGAGGAGCGGGGAGGGGAGGATGTTGAGAAGATGTGGATTTCTGGGGTCGCAGCGTGTGCAGGAGTGATCATAAATATATTGGTGATCTCAGAATTGAATCAGGTGCGCACTTGTCTAGCATTGTTTGCGTGCTGGTAATCACTTCGCCATAGAGCAGGGCCTCTCCCAGGCCCCATCCTTCCTCATCCCTGGCTTTTTCCGAAGTCGGCGGTTCCTCGTGCTTTCTCGCTTCCCGTAATGCATCGAAATACCCGCGCACATCAAATAGCGGGGTTATTTTATTTGAGGGCAATTCTCCCGGCGCGAGCACCATAATGCGCCTCACCTGCTCACCGTCTTCATGCGTTCGCGCCTGCTCAAGTACGTCGGGTGCGAATGCCTCAAAGTGGAAAGTGTCCACCGCGTCTTTGATCACGTGCGCCACACCGCCTAGGGCAGGATACGCGGGCACATCAAGTGCGGAAAGGATTGCGGGGAGTATGGTGCGATTCTGCGGATGTGCAATAAGCAGTTGAGGGAGGACATGGGTAGGTGGCAAAGAGGAAACTGATGGTGATTGGGAGTCAACAGAGGGAAGCGAGAGGCCCAAGGCTGCTAGAGCACGCGCGAGCAACGTCTGCACACTCCTGTCGCCAGATGCGTCGTCTATCGCGATATCCCAAAACGCGACGTGCCCATTTTTCGCACCGACGGAGAGATCGAGAGCGGCCGGAGCTCCGTGATCCTGTTGGCCTCCTGCTTCAGCTTCAGCCCCCTTCCTTACCTCCCACCGCGCAAGCACCGTATCCGGCGTCACACACGTCTCCGCAAACACGACTCCCGCGCTCCGCACGTCACGGAGAACCTCGCCCGAGTTTATGTGGAGCGCCTCAACCTGCATTGGTTCAGATGTATCTGGTGCAGGCACAGAGGGGTATACGTATGCCCTCGCAGCGGGAGCAAAGAACCTAAGTGCCTGGCTCTCAAATCCCGTGCTCGCTGCCGTTCCGATGCCCATACCGAGCGCGAGTAGACGCCCGCCCTCCTCCGCATAGCGTTGCACTGCGGCGGCAGCGGCCCGCGACATACCTGCGCCTCGATGCAGCACAACGAGGGCGCATGAGGGCGCCCAGGGTTGCGTCGCGAGCGCAAGAGCGGTGATGGGTTGAACTGTATAGAAGGGAGCGAGGAGCAGGCGCAAGGTGGGGGTTAAAGGGGAGATAGTAGCAGAGGGAGTATAGACAAGGACGTCCATGTGGAGATAGATATTTGGACACAGTTAAATGGAGATCGTTATTGATGGGGGCGTATTGGCATATGCGCAAAGTCCCGGCGCGAACAAGTCGATGATTTCGCAGTCGGCTACAGTTGAATAATCCCTCGATCGTAGGGCGACTCAAACCGTGAATGTCCATGCACTTTGAGAAGAGGAGAGGATATGATTGCAGATTCCACTCTGTCCATAAAAGTTGGGAATTTTACCCTAGATGACCCATATTGGGGTTTCTGAACATAACGTGGTCACGTTTTTTGCACTACTTGCTCCCGGGCTGTATTCGGTCCACAATCGCGTCACCAGCTGGGAATTCGTTCCATGAAGCCGGCCCAAAGTACTGCACACTGGCAGATGTGTTTGTCTGGAGGCCACGCCGTATGAAGGAGAATTGTCGGAATCGCCGTCTTTGGGAGGCTAGGCACATCACCGAGTAGTATCCTGTAGCGCTCGGCGCTCGCAGAGTGCTATCTCGCAGGCATTCATGGCCTATGGCGGTCCGCCGTGAACTTGAGGCGTTTTCTTGACTCAGAAACCCCGACGGCCGCGTTACTGAATGCTGTAAATTTGGAGATAGGTACGTTCAAACACTCGTTGCAATCCGAATAGCGCCGTCATCAGAAAGCGCCCTCGTCAGCTTTCGATGTTTATCTTCAGAAATACTAGCCTCATTTGCCTGGCACTCTCGATGGCGAGGTAGGTAGGTTCTGTGGAAGGTGAATATACATACCCACCTGATACATGTTGGTGAGGACTCTGATTCGAACGTCAGGTTTGTTTGGCTCCACAGATCACTAGCATATCGCCGACGAAACGAGCCATAACCCCGAGGGTGTTGTACGTTGTGATATGATCCGTTTCATACCTCGGCGCAGACTCCAGGCGTAGAGTGGCGAAGCGTTTGAAATGGGCATCCATTGGAGGTAAGATAATACCCATCAATCCTCATCAGCTGCGTTAACCAGTCTTGATCGATGAAATCCCTGGCTCCCTCATTTCCCCAACTAGTCTCAGCGGCGAGTCAAATATCCAGCCGATAGGCATTAGCAAAGCAATGATAGCTGCTGTGGGGATGCTATATCTTCCTTTTCCATACTGTACGTTTTCTATATCTGTCCCTTGAACCCTGACTATCTCTTGCTACTGTTTCTGTTATCTGAGTGCATCTCTTTGCAGACCGATGATCATGTTTTCTATAATTTCGGATGCCGTCATACCATCTGTTGTTGCTAGACCGAAATGCCCAAGGCGCGAGACATTCATATATCTCCATGTTCGATGGGTCAGATAGACCATCATGACACAGCTGATAGGAATACATTTTTAATATACCAGGTACATAGCATCGTCCCTGTTGGGCGCTTGAGAGGTCCCTGCAATGTTTGAAGTGGATTCGTGCTGGTGTCATGGTCCGATTTAAAACAAGCATTCGTATTAAAGGAGGCCTAGTTTGTCCTTTGAAACTAGCTTAGCTTCTTAGTGCCTGCTGAACCGACCAGCAGTCTCAGAGTGGTGTCAACCTTTCCTCTCCCCTCCTTCAACATGTTCGTGGGCATATTGGACTGCATTGTCTTACTCGGTGGTGCTATTCTCCTCAATGGCTATCTTAAGAGGCGGCGAACATCTGGCCTTCCTTACCCTCCTGGTCCCTTGCCGCTTCCCCTCATCGGAAACGTCTTCGATATACCTAAACGCAAAGCATGGGAGACATATGCACAATGGGCAAAACAATATGGTGCGTTTCGTTTCCAACTTCGTTCCTAGTTACCATCTCACGTACTATGTACAAATTCCAGGTGATTTGATGTCTATCCAAGCCCTAGGACAAACCGCCGTCATCGTGAACTCGGCTAAGATCGCCCGCGACCTATTGGAGAAACGTGGCTCGATCTATTCTGACCGCCCGGTTGTTCCTGCGCTCGAACTGTACGTCGTATTTTATTTGTCCACGATTCCTTGTCTCAAAAACAATGACGCACCGGTGGATAATTTACCAGGATGAAGTTTGACTTCAACGTGTTCATGGCACGATACCGAACGAGCAGATGGAAGATCGGGCGGAAGATCGCGGAGCACAGTCTCCGTCAGAGCGCCGCTGTGGCTTATAGACCAATGCAACTGCGCAAGATCCACGACTTCTTGAGGAAACTTGTACACACTCAGGATGTTTGGAGCGACATCCAGCAGTGAGTACACAGGTTTGCTATGCCCGACGGTTTATTGATCCGCTTGACAGTATGACCGCAGCGATCATCATGTCCCTTACATATGGATACGAGATCGCTGAGTCCCACGACAAGTTCGTGGGCCAGGTGGAAGGGATTGTCCAGAGAGCGTCGGCTGCCATCCTTCCTGGTGCAACTTTGATCAATTTTTTGCCGTTTTGTGCGTTGCGTCTCGCTAGACGATTTTTTCCGATATATTCACAAAGTCACAATGCAGTGAAATATCTTCCCGCATGGCTCCCAGGGATGAGTTTCAAGCGAGATGCGCTCGATCACATAGAAGAGACGATATTCACTGTCGACGCTCCATACAGCTTCACTCAGGGAGAAATTGTTCGTTAGTTATTGATGTTCCCCCGTCGGTTTGCTAACCACTATGGGTGTTCTATAGCGTCAGGGAACTGCGCGACCGTCTGTTATATTGGAAAGTATGAAGACCTTTTCCGACAGGACCATGACCAATGACGAAGAGGACGCCCTGAAAGGGGTGGCAGCAACCATGTACATAGGTGAGTCACATTAGACCTTTGATCTATATCGTCTTTCCTAACTTGTGATCAAAGCCGGTTCGGACACGGTAGGTTGCACCTATGATGTGTCTGCCACACTCCCCCTGACTTCTGTTCGAACCAGTCGAACTCGTTGCTGGGCAGCTTCCTTCTAGCCCTTGTCGAATATCCAGATGTCCAGAAACGGGCGCAAGAAGAGATCGACCTGGTTGTTGGGCGTGATCGGCTTCCGGATTATGATGATAGGCCACGATTGCCTTACATCAATGCGGTATGCCAGGAGCTCATGAGGTGGAGGATGGTCACGCCGCTTGGTAAATAGCAATTTTTTTGTCACACCACACGTACCAAATCATGCTTTCTGTAGGTGTCGTCCATACGACTACAGAAGACGATGTATACGAAGGATACTTTATTCCAAAAGGTATGGGCGATCACTTGGAGCATTTCAATCAACCTCGCTAACGCCGGTTTTCAGGCTCGCAAATCTGGGTCAACGCCTGGTACGTAGTCTTCTCGCTCGACAACATCCCGAGTGATGACATGGCTTGATGTTCCAGGGCTATGCTTCACGATCCTATTGCCTATCCAGATCCAGAGAGCTTCCGTCCCGAACGTTTTCTGACTTCCGATGGAACGGTCATCGAGGACCCTCTCCTCAACTCTGCTTTTGGATGGGGTAGAAGGTGAGCGCGCAAACACCATCTTGCTTTTTTCCAGATCAGTGACCTTTCATCACACACCATAGAATTTGTCCTGGTCGTTTCCTAGCAGACGCAAACATCTGGGCCATCGTTGCCTCCGTCTTGTCGACTTTTGTCGTGGGGAAGGCCAAAGATGCGCAAGGGAAGGAAATTCCTGTGAACGGGGAATTCACCGACGAGGGCATCGTATGGTTAGTTTATTTCTTCCCTTCAAAAAAACACACACAAATAAAACCATCTCGTCCAGCCAACCCCTCCCGTTCCCATGCTCGTTGGTGCTGAGAGACGCGCGGGCAGGCCAGTTAGTTGCAGACACGAAGCTCGAGACCGAATGACGGCGCTCTCCTTGACTGCTTTTACTAAAGTTCCAGCTAGACTGTATTTTAGACATCTTATAAGCTCATGTTTGATGAGCCAAAATTAGGCTCCTCCATCCTGTACTATTATCGCCGTCTTGTGCATCGTGGAAAATAGTGAATCGAGGCTGGATGGAGCGTTGGACCTGACTTATTCGACTGTTAACAAGTTATGGAGAGCCAAAGGTAAATTTTGACTATTGGCCGTTGTGGCGCAATGGTAGCGCATCACCTTCCTATGGGCAGTGAGGTGGGGGTTGCGGGTTCGATACCCGTCAGCGGTATTTTTCGTTCATCAACTTCTGGTCAGTCGTAGACTCCCTATATTCAGTTCCAAACCTAGTTCCTCTTCCCTGACGTGCGCATGCCACTGGACTTGACCATGGAGCGATGATTCATGAATTTCGTACACTATACCTATACACCACACAATGTTTCCTTTAGTTACAGCCTCTATAGCTTTCATACGTTGGTTTCAGCAATGAGCTGTTTCGACTGGGCATCTCTCGGAACAATTGAAAATTGGAAAGGCGTGGGATGGCTAAGCTATATCTTTAATGACTCCGTTGCCGATTAACAGGACCATGTTGGCTCACCAGATCAGTCCGTGATCAGTCAAAGCATCGTCCACAGGTATGTCCCTCCCTTCAACGTCTTTGGCTTTGCGGATAGTGAACACAGATAATACGGACGCGACAGCGGCCCATATAGTGGCGTCCGCGAGGAAACGTCCCGGGCATACTCTAGTATAACAAAGCGAACTCATTCAGTAGTGTGATGTGAGCTTGTAGCGTGACACACAACAATACGGACCTCCTGCCGAAGCCAAAGGCAGCTTTAAGTGCAGGGTCATCAATTAGGGTACCGTCCGGTGACAAGAAGCGTTCAGGACGGAAGGTATCTGGGTCAGGATATGCGGCAGGATTTTGGAACATGGCCCTGTAAGCAATGGAGATTACCAATGATGTCATCGGTCAGTCTGCGACGTTTCCAAGGTAGGTCGGGTGAATCAAGTACCAGACATTTGCAAGGACCTGCGATCCTGTGGTGTCGTATGAGTAATGGCATGAGAGTTGATTATGAATGGTGAATGACCTTTTGGAATGAAGTACCCTTCATAGACATCATCTTCTGTAGTGGTATGCGGGAGTGCTAGGAGGCACTTTGTTAACGACCGTGCTTTTCAAGTTAGAATATTCACTCACCCATCGGGGCGACTGGCCTCCACCGGCGAAGTTCCTGGCACACTGCTTCAACATATGGCAGCTGAGGACGGTCATCGAAAGTTGGCAGGCGTTCCCTTCCTATTACAGTGTCTAGCTCTTCCTGAGCACGCCTCTGAACATCCGGAGAGAGGGTCAGTGCCTTGAACAAGCAAGAAATTGCGGACGTCATCTATTTAGTATATTATTCAGACTGGGGGATGGAAGGCGCAGTCGAGCATCTTAGCGTACTGTGTCGGTACCAGCTATATCAAGTGTTAGACAATGAGAGGAGGATTTCAGAAGCGCTGGAGTTTGTGTAACTCACCTAGATAAGTTGTAGCCGCAACTTCCTTGAGTATGTGCTCTTCGGTCTTCGTCAGACCAGTATTCGAGAATGAGGTAAAGCATTCGTCGACCATTGACGGCTCCGCTGACCCTTTTTGCTATGTTTCCCAGCTCAATATCTGTCAGATATGTAGCCGTCACAAGATCGACTTACAATTTCCCCTTTTGCAAACTCAAACGGTGCATCTATAGTTTCTTGAACTTGTTGCCACTTGCGTATAGCCTCTCTCTTCAAGCCTAAGCCCGGAAGCCATGCTGGAAGATGTCGCACTAGCCAAAAGCCTCGTTGAAACCTGTAATATCTGGGATTGTCTGAAGGGCAACGTACACGTCGGAAATGTGTTGATTATCGTAGCCCCAGGCAGCATAGCGGCTATCGCTCTCTCGACAGCGTCTTCAGCTAGCTCCACAAAATAATCCCTCGGCTCTGTTGTCTTGTATCCATAGGTCACAGACATAATGATGGCTGCTGTCAGCCTGGATTTAAACATAAGTCAAGACATGTCATGTATAATCGTGGACAGAACTGACTGCCTGCAATAATCGATAACATTATCTGGGCAGTGGACGATTTTTCTGAGGAAACGGTGTACCTCTCGCATCTGCATGGGTCTATATGTCATCGAAGTGCTCTGGCGGAAACTGTGATCTATCATGTTTCGCCCTATCTTCCAGGAATTTCCATATCGTTTCACAGATAAGTTGAAATTCAGGTTCATCCTGTGGTGACATCTATCGTAAGAGTTGAGAAATTTGCATGGAGGCCAAGACATACATCTCGAACGCAGGGAATGCGGGGCGGTCTGAGTATATCGAGCTGCGCCTCTCAAAGAGATCGCGGGCAACTTTAGGAGTGTTAAGGATCACTATTGTCTGACCAAGGACTTTGAGAGAGATGATATCGCCTGATGCATGATGTTTAAGTTGGGACGAGTACGTCTGGGCGTGTGGTAAGAAGACCACTCACCGTATATTTGTGCCCAACGAGCATATGTCACCCAAGATGATCGTGTAGGAATGTCAAGGATATTGCCAATGATGGGAAGAGGTTTGGGACCTGGAGGAGCTGGGAGGCCAGAAGGGTTTGTGCGCCTTCGAAGATATACTCTGAGGATAGCAAAGGCAAAGAGCACAGCGGCGTAGTCTGCAAGTTTTATTAACATGTTCGAAGAGGGACAAAGATGCTAGTAAGAGACCGTGTTGGACTCCCTTACCTATATGGCTGGGTTACACTGGGGCGTATCATTGGAATCGATTCCGTCCTGCGATTTAGGTGAGTGCGCTATCCTGGGACGGGATATCTTAGAATGACACAGAGCGATTTAAACCCCACATCATTAAGGTTTGTGGAGCAGTGTCCTGTCTCCTACGAAGCTTGAAGGATGTGCAAACCTTTTAGAAATGCAGTGGCCATACTACTCAGGTAATAACTTAGCATAAGCCACTACGACATGGGGTGCAATTGAACATAGCGAATAAGCGAATAAGCGGCTTTAGTTAATGTAGAAGTTCGGTTATATAGGCAGACAATACCGTGAGGATTAACATTAGTCGATGGCGCATTGAGAGCAGTTATCTGCAGTGCTCAGCAGCTATCTGCAGTGCCCGGCAGCTACGGCATTCGATAAAAATACTTTCAGAGCTCTGGTACAGTAACGCGATTTGCATAAGGGTACGAAAGGGATTACTCACGATGCACTTGACCTGCTAAACGCACCGTACATTATAGGACATATGGATCGCGGCACGTCAGCGTGCTTTGAACAAATAAGCGCGCGATCGACCGTGCTGAGTAAACAAGGTACCTAGGGTGTTCCTAACTAGGCTCGCCGCTGTTAACGGCCCACGACTTTTGCTGAGTGGGGATGGTGATGGTAGTAGTACTTAGAAATGGTCGGAGGAGGCGTCAGTCAAGCTCGATCGAGTGCGTGACCGCCGTGTCCCCAAGGTGCGTGAAGTACACGCCGCGACGTGCTCCATGTCCGAGTTGCCCGGATCATCCCAACATTCTCCCTGCTGATCTGGCGCAACATCTCCTAGCGTTATCAACACCCGCCACGCTCAGACCCACGAGCAAACTAACGAGGACGCGGGCGACTCACGATGCTGCGGAAGTTCGAGACGGTGCCGTTGTGCATGAAGCTGTGCCGCCCGAATATGAAAGGGTGGTCGTTCGTCTGCACGACGGGCGGCGCGCTCGCCGCGCGGATGTGCGCGAGGATGCAGCTCGACGCGGTGTTGCCGCATATGTAGATGAACGTCGGGTCCGTCAACCTGCGCCCCAACAGCCGTGATCAGGTCGGCGATCGCGCATAGGGCTTACGCGGGCGCGACGGTCTTGTACATCGCGGGGCGGGGGCCCTGCATGAATTTGGACGCGAAATGGGCGCGCGTGTGCGTGTACCATGCAATGCCGAAGTCGTCGATGTTGAACATCAGGTTTCCTGCCCACAATAGAGCGTGGTAAGTCACATTGAGGGGAGCAGCGACTCGGACTGACGGAGAGCGAGAATTTTCTTAGCCGCGGTTTTTGTTCGACGTTCTCGTCGGGATCACTAGGTGTAAGCGATACCGTCGCAGCGATGATCTCTGCATCCGCCGCACCTGGCAAATACTGATCGTGCACTCTGTCAGCGCTCCTCGTTCGTTTCGGAACGGCGAAGCTGGCGCACTGTTTGGTAGCAGGAGAATTGTCTCGCTCACCGCATGTTTCGGGTCGATTAAGACATCTTCCAGTAGAACCGGGTTGCTGAGACGGCATTCCGTCGTCAGTGGGCCCTCAGCAGTCCCTCAGCGTAGCGCGCCGTCAGTCAGGATCACATGTTGCTTAGTCATAGACTCGATTACTATCAGGTTCTCACGCGTATAGCCGGTTCTCTTTGCGAGGAACACTGCCAATGCGTGCCATACTGTAGGTGTGCAGCGCTAATTCTGATTGAGCAACACCCAATTATACATAGGAACGAAAAACATCTGTTCAAGACTAAGTATGCAGTCCCTATAACTCCTCCATGGGGTTGGTTGATGTTTCAATGATCAACTGTTCCGATCGCACATCTCTCGGAATAATCGAGCATTTAAATGGCGTGGGATGGCTAGGGCAAGTTTTTATTGTGATTGTGAACGAATGTGAGAGATATCACTAGTCACTTACCAGATCAAGGCGTGGTCGGTAAAGACATCGCTCACAGGAATTTCCTTTCCTTCAATATCTTTGGCTTTCTCGACGGTAAGAACGGATAGGACAGACACAACAACTGCCCATAAAGTGTCATTTGCTAGGAAGCGTCCAGGACATAGTCTATGCGACCGGTAAAGTCCCATAGTGAGTGTGAGTACGTGATGAAATCGATAATTGGGCTGACCTCCTTCCAAAGCCAAAGGCAGCTCTCACGAGCGGGTCCTCGATGAAGGTGCCATCCGATGCTAAGAAGCGATCAGGTCGAAAAACCTCTGGCTCAGGATACACAGCGGGATCGTGAAGCATAGCCCTAATGTTGATGCATGATCACATATACGTTGAGGGACCATTAAACCTAGAGATATACGAGAAATTAGCGTACCAGCAATTTGCGAGGACCTGCGATCCTGTTTCATATGAGCATGCATCCATACACAGCATTTAGAAAATCTACACCTTTCGGGATAAAGTATCCTTCATAGACATCATCTTTTGAAGTGGCATGTGGAAGTGCTAGCAGGAAATGAACAATATATCATGCGATGACGTGCAGAAGCCTATTCACCAAAAGGCGCAACTAGCCTCCATCGTCGAAGTTCCTGGCATATGGCCTCAACGTAGGGTAGTTGATGACGGTCCTGAAAATCTGGAAGACGATCCCTCCCTACTGTAGCATCAAGTTCGTCCTGGGCATGCTTCTGGACGTCGGGGTAGAGGGCCAGTGCTACGAAGAAGCCAGCGATGGTAGAGGTTGTCTGTTTCCGAGAGAGATAAAAATGAAGGGCAGAGGGTCAAGGAAATATATGGCGTACTGTGTCAATACCAGCTGCACGTAGTAAGGAAATCAATGACGAGAACACTATATGCAAATTTCAAGGTGCACGCACCTATATAGCTTGTAGCTGCGACCTCCTTTAATATTGTTTCTTCTCTTTCCGTCAGACTGGTGTTAGAGAACGATTCAAAGCATTCGTGGATCATGGATGGCCGCGCTGTTCCATTTTTCTGCATTGTACCAGTTCAATGAACAAGAGAAAATGAGTGTAGGCGGAGGCGAACTAACGATTTCCCCCTTCGTAAATTCGAATGGAGCATCTACGGTCTCCTGTACTTGCTGCCACTTGCGTATGGCCTCTCTCTTAAAACTCATGCCAGGCAACCATGCTGATAGGTACTTCACTAAAGCACAATCTCGTGAGAACCTCCTTACAATATCGTTTTGAACGCGACTTGCATGCCGGGAAGGTGTTGATAACAGTCGCACCGGGTAGCATAGCTGCTACTGCTCTCTCGACAACATCTTCGGCAAGATCTACGAAATGATCTTTCGGTTCTTTGACTTCATAGCCATAAGTCAAGGACATTATGACAGCGGCTGTCAGCCTGTCAAGTGAATGTGTATGTTCAGATGTGTAAAAATAAAGACGCTAATGGGTAGAACTGACTGCCTGCTGCTAACGACAACATCATCGGTGCCGCGGACCAATTTTCCGAGAAAACGACGGGCTTCCCGGATCAACATGGGTCGATAGGTCAATGAGGCGCTTTGACGAAGACTGTGATCCGCCATGCTTCTCCCTGTCCTCCAGTAGCTTCCGTACGGTTTGATAGTTAGGTTGAAATTGAGGTTCATCCTAGTATATGTTATGAGAGAGTTATGAGATCAGTGTATAGCTTGCACGAAGGCTAAAGTGAGCGCGCACATTTCTAATGATGGCAAGGCGGGGCGGTCTGAGTAGATTGTACCACGCTTCTCCAACAGATCGCGGGCCACTTCATGCGAGTTCAGGACTACTATGGTTTGACCAAGTACTTTTAAAGACATGATACCACCTAGTGGATACCGGTTCAATCTGAGTGGTGACTTCTTCCATGAAGAAAATAGACTCACCATATTGCTGTCCCCACTGAGCATACGTCTCCCACGATGCTCGCTTCGGTATGTCGAAGATATTACCGATGATAGGAAGAGGTTTTGGGCCCGGAGGAAGAGGTAAGCCAGATGGATTTCGCCGCCTCACAAGATACGCTCTAAGGAGGGCAAGAATAACGATCACAAGGGCATAATCTGCGAGTCTGAACATCGAAGTAGGACGAAGGCGCTACGAGGAAGTTGACAACTCTGAAGGCTGTGGGTTCAAGTAGGCCCAGAAGTATCTTCAAACTCGACTCCACTAGCACCGTTTAATAAAGTAAGAGGTGGGACTTTGCCAAGTCCCAGGGCAGAAAGAAATTCCAGGAGATCAGCTAATTCTATTGTATGGAGCAGCGCCTTTCCAATGTGGTGCGCGTCTATTTCGGAAAGAAACGAGAAGAGACCGTTGAATCAGTGCGGAAAATGCGGCCTGGTCACTTCTCGCCAGTCAGGCGGGTAAGGAATACGGTCTATTCCTAGTTCCAGTTCCATGATTTCATTGGCATGAGGCTAGGTGAACGATGCCATCACTGCATCGCGGATCATTATCAACAATTGTGTGATTAAAAAGATGGAACACACATTGTGACGAGCAAAACGGCCTTGTCATTGGATGGTGACACCGAAACCGAGAATAGAGAGCCACTAAGATTCAGTGGCGTCAAAAACGAAGGCATATGGGTTTACCATAGTTCATCATAACCCCGTGATCGGGTTAGAAATCTTTCCGAGAGTCATCTTCACTTGTTTTGCATGCCCTCTACTCAGGCAGAAAACTGAGTATGTCTGAATCTTCCAGAAAAGCTTGTCAACGACTTCCACATCTAGAGGACGACAAAAAAGTGCACTTCTCTTACAGATATATCGATGGGCAACTTCTGAAAGCGGTCCTATTGCTGTCTGATCGAGCATCTAAAGTTTAGATCATCCCCGTTTCAAGGTGTCTTTTACGAACTCGAAAACGAATGCCTTAATTAGAAAGCTCTTCGGAAAATTTACTTCCAAAGTCGGTACACTTGACTAGGCATCATGGACATAGTATTACCGGCTCATGACAGGTTGCGCACGTTGCATGGTGAGTGCCAATGCAAGTCCCATTTGAGATCTAGAAACGCCGAGGCACAACGGTTGGGCAATCAGCACGAACCTTCCAATGAAGAAGGTCACAAGGCTCCTCGCATCAAGACTGATGCCTCGGTGCCAATCAACCTTCATCAAGAGAAAAAATCGTCAATCATACTGGAAAATGTTGTGAACAACATGCTACATACACGTACCGCCAACCTTGGTTATCTTGCGCCACACCTGCGTCATGTATATTTCCTGACACGCCTTCCACATAATGAGAAAGAAAAACCAATGCAATCAATTACGCTCCCCCCTGTGACGCTGCCGTACCGTGTCCATGAACAAATGTAAACAAAATTGTACAATCTTCTCCAATGGGCTCGCGCACGCGCAGAACCTAATTCTGGTCCTCGACAAGGCTCTTGCTTGCCTTGAGGTCCGCTTCCACCATCTCCTTGATGAGGGAGTTAAAGTCGACTTTGCGCTTCCAGCCTAGCTGCTTCTCTGCTTTTGCGGGATTGCCAAGGAGAAGCCTATGGATGCCAGCAACCACACCAAAGGTCAGGAAACGCCAGGGAAGGCTGAGAGGTACGTACTCCACTTCAGCGGGACGGAAGTATCCTGGATCGACCTTGACGACGGCCTTTCCGTTCTTGGTGTTAATGCCGACCTCCTGTTCGCCTTTGCCCTCCCATCTACCCGCACCGATCAGCAATGATATATAGCAAAGAGGAGCGAGGAGGCATGCACCTGATGGGAATATCGAGCACGGCAAACGACTTTTCGACAAATTCGCGCACAGGATGCGTCTCGCCCGTAGCAAGGACAAAGTCTTCGGGTGCAGGCTGCTGGAGCATGCGCCACATACCCTCGACATAATCACGGGCTAGCACATCGTGAGTTACGAACGGAATGAGACGAGGATCAGCGCGCACCATGTCCCCAATCTCGCTGCGCGTCCAAGTTGCCCAAGTACAGGCACCCTTGCTTCCCAAGGCTGATGTCTGCCGCGGCGCGCGTGATTTTGCGCGTCACGAAGGTGCGGCCACGACGCGGGCTCTCGTGGTTGAAAAGGATACCGTTGCATGCGTACATGCCGTACGCCTCCCTGTAGTTCTTGCAGATCCAGAACGCGTACAGCTTTGCAACGCCATACGGGGAGCGCGGGTAGAACGGCGTGTTCTCGTCCTGCGGGACGCTCTGCACGAGCCCGTACAGCTCAGAAGTGGACGCTTGGTAGAAGCGCACGTGTCGCTCGAGTCCGCACGTCCGCACAGCGTCGAGCAGGCGAAGCGTGCCGAGCCCGTCGACGTCGCCGGTGTACTCGGCCATCTCGAATGAGACCTTGACGTGCGACTGCGCGCCGAGATTATAGATTTCGGTCGGCTGGACCTGGGCGATGATGTACACCAAGTTGGTACTATCGGAAAGATCGCCATAGTGGAGCTTGAATTTGGTTGGGCCTACGAAGGGGGAAAATGCGGAGATCAGGGTCAAATCAAGCGCGCTCGCGATGAACGAGACACGCACGCTCGTGTTGGTCCTCGTAAAGGTGATGCAGACGACCAGTGTTGAAGCTCGACGAGCGGCGGATGATGCCGTGCACTTCATATCCCTTCTCCAGCAGCAATTCAGTCCTGGAGGCAAGCAGTGTCAACAGCGGGCATCACAAGAGCAACAAATGCTTTGATCAACACGCTACTCACAAGTAGGAACCATCCTGACCAGTGATGCCTGCACCCCACGCACAATCCGAGTCAGTCAAAAAAATACAACCCGCCCAGTCTACGCAAAAAAAGAGAGCTGCGCACCAGAAATGAGTGCAACTTTGCGTTTGAGATATTCCTCGGGCGATGGCAAATTCGTGAGGACAAATGGCGCTGGAACGTCCGTGATCGCTGTCGACATGGCCAATATCGAATCTATTTCTTGTCGAACAGAAGAAATGTAAAGAAGGGTGCGCGGCGATTGAGAAGAGGAGATGGTGGTTGTCGGACGGAGGGATGCGTTTTAATGAAATAGTGTATAGATCGGCTAGTTGCCTTTTTAGGGTGTCATATCAAGCCATTTCTCTTTTTGTCGATTTGGTTCTCAAACGCCATGCGCAGTCGTGCACTCTCTAGACTCTCACTGATAAACAGCGTTGGTTGTTTTTTCGGTTTTTTTTAAAGCTTCGTTAAGTGCTCAGAACACTTCTTCGAGGCGGTCAGAGCGCGGGCAGCTGGTCTTAGTATCGTTTTGACAGCCGGCCTGCACGAGGTCAGATGGGGCAAAGATACAGATGTAATGCGTATACAGAAAACCCTTGCACGCTTTCTATCAATAGTGCGCTCGGAGATCAGTTCAAGTGGGGCAAACAGCTACTCAATGCCTTCTTTTCCTGATGGGTGGACATCGAGCTTTGTGCATTCCCGCCTAGCCCCGGATGGAATAGTAGAAAGATGTGCAAGGTATGCTATGCTTCCAGGGACGTACACAGATGACATTCAAACGAAGCCCATGAACGGAGACTAACCGCCGTCGTGAAATGTGGAGAAATTTTGGCAGGTAACACACATATGTGAGTGGAGTGCGGTGACGAGAGCCGCAGCACTTCATCGCCAGGAACGTGAACGGCACACAAGGCCGTGCCTCGAGCTCGTAAGGCGATATTTACTCGCATCATAGAACTTCTGTAGGAAGCATCTGGACGTCTGTTTGGGAGGTCTGAGCCGTTCAGAATTGTAATATGCAGATTCTACACCATTCAGACACTGCAGCCGCGAGCGTCGTCAGAAATGTATTTCCAAACAAAGCCTGTAGTCCCAACATAACTTTGACCACCCATGGACGAACGCGTTACGCCTTGACCTCCCCAATACGTGCGTTCTGATAGTTCGCGAGGAACCATTGGACAGACTCGTCGAGCGCTTTTTCGAACGGCGTGAACTCGAACTTGCCCCCAAGCAGCCCAAGCAGCTTCTTGTTGGACGCAGGCTTGCGAAACTGGCCATCCGCACGAGTGGTATCGAACTGCAGCACCAATTGATGGAGGTTCGCAAAACAAGCGAGAAACATGCTTACGGTGTATTGGCCCTCGAATTTGAGGGCCTTAACAATCGCATCGGTTACTTCCTTGATGCTCACCTCCTCGTCCTCACCGACTACAAACGGGAAAAAGGGCGTCAATATATCATTCAATATTGATTATGGGTTTGAGAGATACGCACCAGAAAGAATGACGGGCTCCACGTCGTCGTATTCGCGCAGCTGCCAAATAAACAGCTTCGCGAGGTCGCGAGAGTAGATGAATTGACGGAGTGGCTTGCCAGTGCCTGCGACAACAAAAGGCGTGTTGTTTTCTAGCTCACACGTCGGTCAGCATCCGTCTCATGCATGGGGAAGTTTGTGAAGAGAGAAGAGTACTCTTTGCAAGGTAACACTTGTGTATCAGGGCGGGGATAACGTGCGCATCATCAAGATCGCTGTTGATCATTATTATAGCAAGGATGAGTCACGGCGGAGATAGGTGGGAGTGCAAGACGTACTAGTTGTCATAAGGACCGAATACGTTCGTCGGTATCGCAGAAGTGAAGTTGCACCCAAACTCTTCCTTGTATGCCCTACCCAATGATAGAAACACAATCAGCGCTTGCACACGCGTGAAATCGAAAGCCATCGAGCCTACTTATTCGCGACATCTACCATACGCTTCGCGTGTGCATAACCATTGTTGCTCTCGTGGGGCAGGCCAAGGTGGATCTTGGTCTCATCAAGTGGGTACTCGACCTTGTCCGGGAAGACACATGTCGAGAGGCACGAGATGACCTTCGTGACATGTGTCTCATACGAGGTGTGGAGAACATTGTCGTTGATGAGAGTGTTGTCGCGCAGGAACGTAAGCTTGTACTTCATGTTCTTGAACAAACCACCGACTTGTGACAGCGGCGATCAGCTGAAATAAGAGGTGAACAAGAGGTGTATAAAGGACATACCAAGAGCGGCCAAATGGATTACATGCGTGGGCTTGTACTTTTCGAATAGCTTGCGCGTTTGTGCCGCATCCCTGTAAGATACATCGCGGCACGCACAGCGAAGTCAGACTCGGTACATACACCACAATGCAGGACACCAGCTCAGATTGCGTTCGCGACGTGTGATGTCGGTCAAGCATATAGTAAATCCCACACACTCACCTAAGATCTCCCTCCGATGAACTGGCAAATATCCATGTCTCTCCAGGCTGCTTGCCAAAACGCGAGCCCTCGGGCTCTGTCTCGATAACATATTGGATCGCGCGCCCGACGAGGCCTGTGCCGCCAGTAACAAGAATCACTGCCTTTAAGCTCGACATTGTCTTTTGGATCGTGGTATAAGGTCGGGGATGGTAGGGAGATGGAGCGGCGAGGTGGCTTCAAGCGTGAGTGTTAGCAGTTAATTAACTGTGCGCTTCGGGCAGCCTTCGGGCTCAGCTTCTGTACTCAAATCTATATTTTGGCTGCATAAGCTGCAATAATGGAGTAGTTTAGCACTTAAACCTGTATTTATCGGGAACGACTTACGAGATCTAATCTGGAAATAAGAGTCATATCTCGGCATGGCCGGCCGGCACTCGAGTTCTGACGTCGCTGCCCAAGACAGACTTCGGTCTCGTCCACCAACTACATCGCTCAGGATCACAATTCATAATCATTTTGCAGAACAAAATACGCACGAATGACAATCCCAAAGATGGATGCTGCGGCCATTGCGCGTGATATATATGCCCTCGCATCCTCCAATGAGCCTATCGCGCCTCTCGTGAGCGAGGCGCTGAAGGTCATAGACGACGCGCTCGACAGCTTCGGGTCAGTACCTCCTCCTATCTTGTTCTGGAGAAGTGCGCTTACTTCTTTCCTGTATCGGTCACCTGTCGTTCAGATTGGAGAAACTGTCACTCAGTTTCAACGGAGGGAAAGACTGTATGCACTGTTGGTTTCGCCCCCGGGGAACAACCGATGTACTTACACGATATCAATCAACAGGCACTGTCCTCCTACACCTTTACGCTGGTGCCCTCGCCCGGCGCAATTCGTCTGTCAATTTGCAGGCAGTCAGGTCACTCTACATACCGCTCCCGTCACCCTTCCCCGCACTCGAAGACTTCATCGAAGACGCCGCGCGTGCATATAGCTTAGATATCTTCCGATGCGTTCCTCCCGCTGAGGGCGAATTTCCTGTCCGGAGGGTTGTTCCGAGTGTGAATGAAGGAGGACCGGTCCCTGAATCACAGGGAGTGACAGGAAGCAAGGCCAAGGTGAAGGGAGGGGAGGGCATGAAGATGGCGTTACAGATATATAAAGAACGATTCCCAGTGATTGAAGGTATCTTGGTCGGAACGAGGAGAAATGACCCACATGGAGGTACGGATGTCCTTCGGATAACGTCTATGATAATTATCTCTCGCTCCTAAGCATCTCGAATGCTAATAGTTACTCTGGACAGCTACGCTTACATTCCGTGACCAGACTGATTCTGACTGGCCACGGTTCCAGCGGATACACCCAATCATCAACTGGAGCTACACAGACGTCTGGACATTCCTTCGACGTCTTGACATTCCTTATTGCAAACTCTACGACGAAGGGTACGTGTATCCTCGCATTTGCCTTTGATAACAAACACCTATAGACAAGTGTAGATACACCTCCCTCGGGTCGACCTATAACACTTTCCGCAATCCCGCTTTACGTGTCCCCTCTTCGGAGCCTGCATCCGCGAATGGGATCGCAAAAGCCTCTGGATCCCTCCCTTCGATATCCGGCCTGACAATCCTCTCCTCGGACCCGTGCACGACATGTGTCGGCGATTGCAACTGCGGGCCCTCTGCATCCAGCGCACATAATATACCAGAAGGGCTCACGCTGCTCGCCGCGGACGCCAGTATGACATGCACAGCTGACGACGTTGATGCTCAATCATCGTGAGTCCTGTGCAGTTACCAATGCACCTTGTCTAGCAATTAACCTGGCCACCCTTCTCCCGCACTTGTGTCCATCAGTTGCGGTGTACCGAGTAACGGAAACCTGGAAATGATAAACGGCGGTCCCGCATCTGCGCCGGCAGAAGCCGACGCGGTGCAGATCCGTGCGAAGGGCAACAATGTCGCAGGCCTCGTCTTACTCGCTGCGAATGATGGGGCAACATGTTATATGGTTTCTGACGAGCGGGACAGTGCGGAGCAGTATCGGCCTGCGTATGAGCTATTGGACGGCTCGTTTGAGCGTGCAGGGAGGGGTCAGCCGGTGTCGGTTTGAGTATGTTGGCTGCGTTGAGGTAGCAAAGAGTAGCAATCCTGATATTGGACGTGTAGCATGTATCTTGGAATATCTGGTCGCTAGTTCAAGATGGCCATGTATATGTAGAGTACTTCGGGGCGGCGTGTTATTTTGTTCCCGTAAGTACTTCTGACCCAAAAAGGCAAATGAATAGGAACGCGCGAGTTCAGCCTCTTTGTCTCGCTCGACGGCCACCAACTGTGCTTGAGCTACAGTCTATTGGAATTATCAATCGTTTCTTGTCTGAATCACGCTGGAATGGACGTACTACAATCCCTGCCGGCTAATCTTTCAGTATCTGCACCTCCGGACGTGCCGAGCGGCAAGGAGGCAGGAAAGCGCGTCCTTCATGCACGGATCAAAGAACTCAAGGATCAGGTCGAAGAGCTTCAGACGCGTGTACGTTGGCTAGAGACGTTACTCAAATCGGGCAGGAATGAGCATGAGGTGTGTTGCTTGCGATCTATTTCTCTGAGGCGCGTGAGTGCTAAACTCTGAATCGATACTTGGCCGCGACTGGTTATTCGCAGGGAACGCTTAAGGTTGAGGATACAAAAATAGACAGTGCTACTCAAGGTAGCCTGCAAGGAAACCTGGGTGGACGCGTGAAGTCAGAGGAAGAGGTCCGTCCCGATCTGATTGAGTCTCATTCTTATTTCTCATTCACCAACCGCGCCGCGATCATAACTTCTATTCCTCGTCCTCTGATGAACATACAGGAAGAAGCAAAACAATCTTTGATATCGGCGCGTAAGAGCACCAGGACTATCAAAAAGCGCAAAATGTTTGATCCGACAGCGGACGAGCCCATGCCTCGACGACGGCGCAGCTCAATGAAGGTCAAGACGGAGGATGGTGACCAGAAGTACATCAAGGTGGACGATGACTGTGAACAGGAGAAAAAGCCTCACCTTCGCTCACGAAGGCTGAAAGTCGAGGTGGTGATGCCTCGCCGCTCGCGGCCTCGCGTGAAATCTGAAACTCCCATAGATGTCGACACAATTCCAACAAAGTGAGTCCTTTTATATATTTCAACCTTGCGATACATCTGAATCACTATCCTAGAGCTGAAAATTATGCTGTCAAAATGCCGCAAGACGAGGGAATTGTTGTCGGGGTCCTAAAAACCGATGCATCTACCGGTCTTGACGACGTTCGAGCAGACACGGTTCCTGTTATTAAGCCTTCGACTGATATGGAGGTCGATGTCTCTTCAGATCAGCCCAGTCTGCAGCAAGAATTTGACTTTGCGCACCAACCTAATATGGAGTTGATAGCAGCTCACCTCGAGCCACCTGTAGTGACACTCCCAAGTCTAAATCTGGCGCCGGACGAAATTGGTAAGTGCAAGATCTGTGATCTGGCGACGTCACTTAGGTATCACACCGAATAGATCCAAACGACATAGAGGTAACAGATGTCAGTGGTGCGTCGGTGTGAAAACTGATGATTACTGCTGTCCAAATCTTTCTGATACTCCCGCTTCGATTGAAGCACGCTCGCATGAAAAGTCTGTGAAAGAAGAATATGGCGAAGTAAGGCGGTCCGTTTCTGAGAGAAAACTACAAAATGTATGATCCTGGTTCTACAACGAATGGACACTGTTTTCTCAGTCTGGCTGCCAGGACTTTGGTTACAAAATCAAAGACGAGGAGAAAGTTTCTCTCAACTTTGCCACCATTCAATCGCGGATCGCTACTGTCGGTGCCGACCCATTTCCTGTCACGCTCGACTTCGCTATACAGAACGTTACAGTCACGCGCCTGTTCATGAGCCATGTCTATGAGGGCTCCTCGCGGAACACTTTTCCGATCATCGGGAAGAAAAAGCGTGAGGAGCATGGCTTGGATCATTTCATGTTCGTGAAATACAAGTACAACCCTGATGTACCCAAGTTTCCCGGACAGACTGCGCTTTGGTCTACGGTGACATCGGTTGCAGAACGGGGGTGGCCGCATGAGTATCGCATGTTTGTATGCAGAAAAACTAACGAATGGCTTTATGTTGCACAATACCGACTCGCCGCCGCCGTGCCACTAAGTGCGGACGAATGGAAGAATTAAGACGAACTCGTGACTCCAGTTTTTGTAGTCAGTTTCTTGTCGATAATTAGGTTTTCACTCGAAGGTAAAGAACACCTAGTGCTCAAGGATACTGCAGAGCCACTCGTAGCCATTGTATATCAGGGCTTCCATTGTTTTATGGGAGAGAACACACCAAGGCGGAAATCGAAGCCAAGATAGCTAAAGCGAAAGATACATTTCAGAGCAATCTTTCTGTTCAAGACACTCGCGATCTATATGATTCTGGGAGACAGGTAGCTACCCATTGCATTTCTTCCCAACTAGCTGAATTTATGTGTTGGTCATATCAGACGCTAAGCATCTTGACCATGAAATGTGTCGCTTACGACGAAGCCTTCCAGCGCTCATTGGCACAAGCTTTTCCCAAATGGAACCCTCCGACCTCTAATGGAAAGAAACCTTCCCGTAACGCTCGCCCCTCCCTAAAGAGGGTACAGGAGGATGAAGATCAAGTCAGACGAATCGGACATAGAAAATGTTCCATAGCTCAAGGTAGGCAGTGCTTTGCGAATGTCAACTGTGTGCTTACCACAGGATGAATCTCTGAGGACTTCAGCAACTGACTTCACGACACGCAATGACAACGCAATGAGCCAGCTAATGAACAGCTCTACTCCAATTTGATACGCATAGTATCGAGGCTGAACGACGTACATATACACTATCCAACGGTGATACTATTTGATATGAGGGGATAGGATCTTGACCTCTGAAGATTCGACAATACGCGCAGCTTATATTATGTAGCAGACACACTTAAGCCTCGCACACTCACTCCATCTCGGTTTCTGTGGCCACGACCAATTGTTCCGCTTGCGCATCTCTTGGCGTGATTGAGCGCTTGAACGGAAAGGGGTGACTAGGAGACGAAGAGGTTACATCTCTTTTTGAATGCATATACCGTGTTCACTTACCAGATGATTCCTTGATCGATATATGCCCCATTCACAGGAATGTCACTTCCCTGACTGTCTTTCGCTTTTCTCACGTCGAAGGCGGACAAAATAGAAGCAACAGCAGCCCATATCGTTGCATTTGCGATGAATATTCCGGGACAGATTCTGCAGAAGAAAGTCATCCTCAATTTTGGTAGAGATGTTACAGATACATTGGCCATGTTCACCTCCTACCCCATCCATAAACTGAGTTCACGAGAGGATCTTCGACGAATGCTCCACCAGAACGGAGAAACCGTTCAGGACGGAAGGTTTCTGGGTCGGGATAGGCCTCAGGACCGTGAAGCATGGACCTGACAATATTTTAGCGCAACGGAATGACTCTGCAACGGTTCTGAGATATGACACACAACATACCAGGTATTTAGGACAATCTGAGAGCCTAGGTTGTTGTGTCAGGCTAATCAAAGGATGACGAATGAGGTTTCATACCTTTGGGAATGAAGAATCCTTCGTACATGTCATCCTCTATACTTGTGCGAGGGACTCCTAACAGCTAAGTTTTAGCGTCTAGATTCACATTCTGATATCGCGGAATTAACCAAAGAGGAGTGTCCATCCTCCACCGCAAGAACTCTTGACATATTGCGTTGATGTATGGCAGGCTTTCTTGATCTTCGTACTGCGGAAGCCGTTCACGTCCTACGACAGCGTCTAGTTCATTCTGAGCCCTTTTTTGGACTTCGGGATATCCGATGGGGGCCAGAACGAAGAAGGCTAGTGCTGAAGCTGCCTATGTCGACATGGTTCTTGACCAATTCATCAAGATATCGTTGACAAAGCCTACCGTATCTGTGCCAGCTGTACAAGTCACATGGACGAAAATAATGAGTAAAAACAAAAAATTTCATAAGTCCAATCACCAATGTAGAGTGATGCTGCCACCTCTTTCAGCGCGCATTCCTCCTCCTCAGTGAGATCGTTCTCGGAAAACGAGTTCATAGTGTTCAATATAATCGACGGGTGTGCTGTTCCCTTCATCTTCCAGACGTTCAGATATCGTTTAATAGACGATCGAGGATAAGTGGTTGACGAACGATTTATCCTTTTGTGAAGTTGAATGGAGCTTCGACAGTGATTACCATCTCTCCTACGTGTCTGAGTGCTTCTCTTTTAAAATTCATACCAGGCAGCCACACAGGAAGGTACTTTACTGTGTTGCAGCTTGAGTACTTCATGGACATAGTAAATGTTGGAAGATTACGCACAGAAAGGAAATACGTTGATGAAAGTTGAGCCAGGCAACAGTGCAGAAGACGCCCTTCGTGCAATATCTTCCACATGGGCGATGAGATTGTCGTCAGGGTCGGTAATATCATATCCATACGTAAGAGCCATAACGATGCCTGCGGTCGTGCTGTGACGCAGATCATTGATGACCAAAAGCATTGTAAACTCGACCTGCAGACTGACTGTTTTAGATCGTTGCAAAGATCGTGGGTGTGCAGAAGTTTCCTCAACAACTTATGAACCTTGCGGATCTGCATAGGCCTGTAGACCATGGCGGCACTCTAGCGAAGACTATGGTCAGCGAGTTTTCGCCCGATCTTCCATTTGGTACTTGTGGACTTCGCTGAGACTAAATTGAAGTCAAATTTCATCCTAGCATGGCGTTGCACGTTGTCATTCTTAGTCAAGCAGAGTAATAGCCACTCACACTTCGTAAGGAGGGACGACGGGGAGGTCAGAGTGATTCGAGCCACGCTTTTTAATAGCTCGCGAGCCATTCTAGCTGAGCTTATGATTACCATGGTTTCTCCGAAAGCTTGAATAGACATGATGTCGCCTATGGATTCAAGTATCGGATGACTCTCGAATAAGGCGATCAATCGTAGATGCCAAAAGACTCACCATATTGGTCTGCCCATTTTGAGTACATTTCCCATGGTACTCGCTTGGGAATATCGAGGACGTTACTGATGAATGGGAATGGGGTAGAGCCAGGGGGAAAAGGGAGGCCAGATGAATTGCGTCGCCTCTTCAAATAAGCGGCGAAGAGGACAAGACCAAGGAGGGAGATAACGCAGTTGAGAGCGGTCGTGGACATGTTGGAGGTGTGAGCAGAAATGAATGGGGGTGGAGGGGACTTACCAGGAAAGCCTTCCTAAGCTGTTCTTAAGCAAACAGATTACTCCATCAGGGGCGAACACTTTGAGTTTATATGACAGCTCGACACAGTGGCGCCTGCGGAGCTGAGACAGTGCTCATGGGATGTGGAATTTGATGTAAGCGCTTGGAGCGTGGCCGCATTGAGCAGCTGGCTGTCTGAAACATATTAACAACAATCCTGGTTCTTAGATATCTTGACATTGAACTGAAGGCTGTTGGCGGCGACGAAGCCTATATTGAAGAAACTCGAGTGAGACGTTCATGAACAGTGAATTCATAATTGAGGCTTAACTTTGAACAATGAATCAGTGTGATTCTGAGGCAAGCGAGTTGAGGCGACACGAGTCGTAGAATTGAACAGATATCGAGATATTGAGGTGCTGGTCGCAGAGCCTGTCTACGGCGAGAGTCACCGCATTGTTGATGGGTAGGTCCTATTAGCAAAGCATTTGTTCAATACGACCGCTGTGGAACATGGGTTTGAATATCAGCGGAGTGTGCAGGGTCGCAGAGAGTCGCTGCGAGCGGTATAGCGTAGTTGATTTAAGATATCATGGCCTGTTCTGGGTTCGGTAGGGTACCGGCCATGCCGGTGCATTTCCCCCCACTTGTTGTCGAGTTCATGGAGTGGTCATAACAGACGTTAAGCACCTAGACCGCGAAATGTATCAGTATGAAGAGAGCTTCCAATGTCCATTGGCACAGGCGGATCCCCCATGGAGTGCCTTTGCTTCGTCTGAAACCCGTCCGTAAAGCTAACCGCCACCCAAAAAGGCGACAGGAGGATGTCGATCAAGTTCTGAACGAATCGGGACCGGAAGGCGTGTTGTAGCTGGCAGATAAGCATCACGCCTGGGACTGTCGAGGGACAAAAGACATCTCCACGGTCGATATTGTGAAACATACAACAAGAAAACTACTCAAGCCTTGCACACTCAATCCATCTCGATTTCCGTGGCTGCGACCAATTTCTCCGCTTGCGCATCTCTTGGTGTTATCGAGCATTTGAACGGGAGGGGTTGACTGAACGACAAGGTCGAGTCTTGTTTCTTTTCGAATATGACATGATCGCTTACCAGACTACTCCTTGATTGACGTACATATCCTCCACAGGAATTTCACGTCCATCTGCGTCTCTCGCCTTTTCGACATTGAAAGCGGACAAGGTCGAGGCGACAGCTAACCATATCGAGACATTTGCGAGAAACCTACCGGGACAGATTCTGCAGATAGCGATCATATTTAGTCTGGGATCCTAGTCATAGGAGAGACGTACCTTCTACCCCAGCCGTAAATAGAAATCAAGAGAGGATCATCGACGAGTGTACCATCGGATGCTAAGAATCGCTCAGGGCGAAAATTCTCTGGGTCGGGATAGACCTCGGGATCATGAAGCATAGACCTGAAAGTTTTTTTTTTTGCGCAATGAAATAATGCGATATCTCTTCGCTACCCAGTGTGACATACCAAGTATTCACCAGAATCTGTGAGCCTACAAATCTATGTCAGACCGATCCAAGAATGATCATTGAGCGATCATACCTTTCGGAATAAAGAGACCTTCATATACATCGTCCTCCATGACTGCGTGAGGGACTCCTACATTGAATAAGGGTAAATGCATGCGGCCCCGGCCTCGAATATCTGATTTACCGAGCGGAGCGACCATCCGCCACCTCAAGAGCTCCTGACATATTGCGTTAATATAAGGCAGTGCCTCCTTGTCTTCATATTCTGGAAGCCGATCACGTCCTACGATAGCGTCTAATTCGCTTTGAGCCCGTTCTTGAACTTCCGGATATCGGAGAAGGGCCAGAATAAAGAATGCCAGTAATGATGCTGTCTGATTCGAGTGAGAGTTGGGACCCGATCGATCAAAATATTGTGGGTGCAACCCACCGTGTCTGTACCAGCTGTCACGGTGCATACATCAGCATGATGAACGAAATCACGAATAATTGGACTGGTTACCTATGTAAAGCGATGCCGCCACCTCTTTCAGAATGCATTCCTCCTCCCCCGTCAGATCCTTGTCGGAAGACGAGTTCATAGTATCTAACACGATTGATCGTTGTGCTGTCCCCTTTATCTTAAAACCAGTTGTTTGTATATCAGCTTAGAGTGTTTGAAGCACATATATGGTAAACAAACAATTTCCCCTTTTGTGAAGCTGAATGGGGCTTCGACACAGTGTATCATCTCTCCTATATGGTTGAGTGCGTCCCTCTTGAAGCTCATTCCAGGGAGCCATGCAGGAAAGTTTTTCACTGCATCGAAAAGTCAGATAGGTCAGATTGCATTATCCATTGCAAATAAACGCACAGAAAGGCAAGAGATTCATCATAGTCGTGCCTGGCAATAAGGCAGTTGCTGCTCTCTGTACGATATTTTCGACCTGGGTCACAAACTTGTCGTTACTCTCCGCGATATCATATCCGTAAGTGAGAGACATGACAATATCTGCGGACAGGCTGTAAGATTGATAAATACACAATTTTCAGAGGATAGCCGTTCTAGAGACTGACTGTTTGATATCGTCTTGTATATCATTCGTGTGTGAGATTTTCCTCAAAAACTTGTGGACTTTGCGAATTTGCATGGGCCTATAAGTCGCGGAAGCGCCCTGGCGGAGACTATGGTCGACAAGCTTCCGCCCGATCTTCCACCTACTGCTTGCGTATCTCGCCAAAATCAGGTTGAAATCGAACTTCATCCTGGAGATACATCATAGTGACTACTCCAGATAACAGCCAACAGTATCCAGAAGATCGACAACTTACACTTCGAATGTATGGACAACAGGGCGGTCAGAGTAATTGGAGCCGCGCTTTTCTAACAGATTTCGAGCAATTTGAACGCTATTGATGATCACGACAGTTTGCCCTAGTACTTGGATGGACATTATGTCGCCTGGAATTTGTTGGGAGTGTGAATCAACAGCGATGACGTCGTGAATGAAGCGCACCGTATTGGTTTGCCCACTCTGCGTACACTTCCCATGGTGCTCGCTTAGGTATATCGAGGATATTACCAATGAGAGGAAGCGGCTTAGGGCCAGGGGGACAAGGGAGGTCAGGATGATTGCGCCGCCTCTTATAATAGATCTTGAGGAGGATAGGGACAATGAGTAAGATGATGCAGTTGAAAAGGCTCGCGAACATGTTGGAGGTGGGGGGGATGTCCGCATGGAAGAGCCTCACAGGGCCTCACAGTCTTCCCTTAAATAAGTAGAATAATTGTGGGTGCGTTAAGTTAATATGACAGCTCGACCAGTGGCATCCCCGGGGCCGACGCGAGTACTCCTGAGCGATGGAAGTGTATGTTTGATGAAGTCTGCAACAGAGCGAATGCTTACATTACTTGGTGAAGTGCATCAAAAACCCTGTAGGGTGCTCTTAGCTTCTGGCGACGCCATGATCCAGATGGTGAATTGCTTCGGTCCTCTCTCTGAGGATAAGTCGACTAGACTCCAGCGGATCTCATCACGAACTGGCAATCTGATTGCCTTGGAAGTCGGAGTCTCTCCATGCTAGCGAGATACTTATGGCCCTACTGTTCCGAGCACACAATGCTAAATTCTTGTCAAGAAAGTGACAAGCATTTCCAATCCAGGCGCGAATCGCGACGGCGGCCGGTGGTAGACTCGGACACAGCCGGTCATTCCACATTCCGCTGCTCCTCTTAAGCTCTGCTCAGGACAGAGTCGGCAAAACGCGCCGTGGCCATTGAAAGCCCGCCTGGGGGAGGTCAATAGAATAATGTAAGAGGCTGCGTGCAGCGTAGATTGATGGTCCAAAGACTCATGTTTATAAGTAAGATGAACAGAATCCCAATTTGTTTTTGGACGAATGATTTGGAGCAAGACAAGGGAGAAGTCTGTCACAGTGACAGCCATGCAAGTGAGGTTATTTGAGAGACATCCGGTTTTGACAACGACAGGGGAGGCTTATGAGGCTTTCACGCACCCTGCTACCGCCATGTTTCTGATAGACTCACTTCAGGAAGCAAAATATATGAGGCCCTGTACCGAACAAAGGCCCCGAAGCGACAATGAACTCTAATCATGCATAGTGTAAGTACTGAGTACCTTCAAAGACAATCACAGCGGATGAGTAGTATAACCGCTAAATCATGGAAGCTGCAACGGATATCTAACGTCAATCTATGTCTTCTGTGGCGGCGACCAGCCGTTCAGCCCTCGCGTCTCTTGGCGTAATCGAGCATTTGAACGGCAAAGGTGAACTGAAGGGGAAGATTGCACTTGGTTAAGCTTTCTAAACAACTGCGATATGATCTGACAACTTACCAGACTACTCCTTGATCAGTGTATAGCCCCTCCACAGGTATTTCTCTCCCTTCAGCGTCTTTCGCTTTTCCAACATTGAAAGCAGACAATATCGAAGCGACAGTCGCCCAGATCGTTGCATTTGCGAGGAACCTTCCGGGACAAATTCTGCAGAGGATGGTCATTCAGCACCGAAAGTCTGGCGGCTGGACCAACGCAAGGATCCATAGCCCATATTTACCTCCTACCCCATCCATAAACAGACGCCACGAGAAGATCTTCGATGAATGCACCATTGGGTGCCAGGAAACGTTCAGGGCGAAAGACCTCTGGGTCGGGATAAGCTTCAGGATCATGAAGCATAGACCTAAATCAAAATTTTGCGCAATGAAATGATGAAACAATCTTCATATATACGGATCGCATACCAGGAATTTATCATAATCTGAGATCCTTCAGAATGCGTCAGGACATTCGAAGCGTGCCAATAGGATTCTCATACCTTTCGGAATGAAAAACCCTTCGTATATGTCGTCCTCAGTAGTTGTATGGAGGACTCCTACAGCGAGAAGATCTTAATATCAGCAGCCTCGCTTCTAAGTGAATAATCTACCGAGCGGAGTGATCATCCTCCACCTCATGAGCTCTTGGCAGATCGCTTGGATGTAAGGCAGCTGGTTTCTATCTTCAAATTCTGGGAGCCGGTCACGTCCTACGACGGTGTCCAATTCACTTTGAGCATGTTTCTGAACTTCCGGGTGTCTAATAAGAGCGAGAATGAAGAAGGCCAGAGTTGATGCTGTCTGGATTGATAGACGAGTCGGATTAAACTCTGACCAAAACTTTAACGACGTGGCCTACCGAATCTGTACCCGCTTCAAGGCCCCGTGCATTAGAACAATGAAATAAAATAAAGACGCGAAAACAGTTACCTATATAGAGTGTTGCTGCCACTTCTTTCAGAACGCGTTCCTCTTCCTCAGACAGCTCTTTATCGGAAAACGAGTCCATACTTTCCGATATAATCGAGGGCTGTGCGACCCCCTTTATCTGATGGCCGGATACTTATATTTTAGTGACGTTCGAAGAGCATAGTTGGCTAACTCACAATTTCTCCTTTTGTAAACTCGAACGGCGCCTCGACAACGAGTTTCATCTCTCCTAGATGACTGAGTGCATCTCTTTTGAAGCTCATTCCAGGGAGCCAAGCAGGAAGGTATTTCACTAAGTCATAGTTGGTTTCATTGGTGTTAAGACTCAACAGCTGTTAGAAAAATACGCACACGAAGGAAATATGTTGATCAGGGTAGTGCCCGGTAAGAGAGCAGACGACGCCCTCTGGAGGACATCTTCCACATGAGCCACGAAAGTGTCGTTAGACTCGGCAATGTTGTATCCGTAGGTGAGAGACATAACAATGCCTGCGGTCATGCTGCAATGCAGATCATCGATTAATAGGTATATGAAGGCAGACTTGACCAGCGAACTGACTATTTGAGGTTTTCCCAAATATCGTCGCGGCGTGTAATTTTCTTCAAAAATTGGCGGACTCTGCGGATCTGCATAGGTCTATAAACCATTGCGGCACTCTGGCGGAGACTGTGATCTGCGAGTTTCCGTCCGATCTTCCATTTATCACTTGTATACTTTGCCATTACCAGGTTGAAGTCCAATTTCATCCTGAAAGCGCACCCCACACGGGTCTGTTAGAGATGATGCATACCAACAACGAGAGAGCTAAACACGTACACTTCGTATGCATGGACAACAGGACGGTCAGAGTAGATTGCGGCGCGTTTCTCCACCAGGTCGCGCGCGATTCTTGGAGAGTTTATAATCACAATAGTTTCCCCAAAAACTCGCAGGGATAGTAAATCGCCTAAAGCACGTTCGAGGCAAAACGTCAGATGCGGGGACACAGTGGATTATCACACAGGCTAAGGCCTACCGTATTGATGTGCCCATCGTGCATACGTTTCCCATGGGACCCGCTTGGGGATATCGAGAATGTTGCCAATAAGCGGGAGCGGTGTAGGGCCAGGGGGTAAAGGGAGACCAGATGGGTTTCGTCGCCTCTTCATATAGACATTGAGGAGAGCAAAACCAGCGAGTAAACTGAAGCAGTCAAGAAGGCTCACAGGCATATTAAAACAGAGGGGAATGGAAGCACACATGCGATCTGATTTGCTCTTAAGTTGTGAGTAGACGCCGAGTGGCCCTCCTTACACAGACGATGGCCCTTCTAGGTATGGCGAGGGGGAAAGCTAAAATGGCACCTCGTCCCTGGGATGCCCCAATGAGCAGGTCTTGACAATCGCCTTCCTTGGTGACGGCAGTTTACTCGGAGCGTTCATATGTACTCGTGCAATGCAATGACGCCGTTGACCAATCAACTATGAGGAAAAGATATGTAAGTCCATTCCGATAACATCACGTTTCCCGTTATCTCGGTCCAGGTCAGTGAACAAGGTTATGCCGTGAACATTTATAGTGTAGGCTCCAAAATATATGCCATTCGATGCTGACGAAACACATTGATGTCCCCGCAGTCCGTTGTTTGATTACAACGGCGGCCGTCGTGAATTAGCAGTATCCCGACGAGGTTGATTAGGAAGAAGTCCACAGCAGAATCGCGAGTATGAATGGACAAAGTGAGTTTCCTTTTTGAAGTGAGATAATGAACGACGCGTATTCGAATAATGCTGAACACTACCAGTCGCTATCTGCAAATCAAGAGAAGTGTAGAGAATCCGTTTAGTAGCTGGATGATATCTAGATTGCATGGACATTACGACTCTGTGCATAAGTTATTTATGTCCGCCCAGCCGTATGCGCCAGCGCTCGTACGACTTCAACTTGGATGGCCACGCCTGCCTGCAGCTCCGTTCATGACGCCTTTCTCCACGGCTTCTAAGTCCTCCAACGACACGCGCTCATACGAAGGTTTTGTTGGAGATGCAGGTGGCGATTCAGTATGCTTGATCCATGTGTAATGCAACGAGCCTGTGAGGATGATGGCAATGGCCCAGACGCGGCCGCTAATAGGTGGAGGTCAGAGACAGAGGACGCTCACAATTTGGTCGTTGTTATGGACTCACGAACTGACGACGTCATGGAAGATCCACATGCCAAGCAAGGAAGCTGCGACGCCCCGAATGGCGGAAGATATCATATGTGTGATTGGAGACGTGATCTTGATTGAGAGAGTGCTCGCAATAGACATGAGAAACCCAAGTGCGCCCTAGAGGTATAGTGAGCGCATACGAGGAATGCCATAAAGGTTGGTCGTACAGTGATAGTAGATCCAGTGATGAAGGTCGCTAAACCTTGTCTTCTGTAGAGCAAATCCATTACGGAGCTACCCTCGCCGGCGAATAGCACGCAAGGTGCTAGCACCACTGCACTCAACAGATTACTATACCAACTCAGATGGAGCGCACTGCCTCCGACAACGTCTAGGGAACGCTTCATCACCACAGCGTGAAGCGCTGTCATCAACGAAGATGCCACACCAAACACAATGCCAAGAGTTGAAACGTGGGTGCCATCAAGAAAGACACCAACGAAGAAGCCAACGGTGACGATCGAGCACGAGAGGAGGATGCGGATACTGGGACGAGTATTGAGGAAGATGAATGATGTGAGTACTGTAAGAGGCAGCACAAGTCCGCGTGCTACTTGGTAGAATGATGTATCGACATATTTGAGGGTATAGTTATTCGAGCTGCGAAGAATTAGCAAACATAGAGCAAACAGTCACTAGACGCACCTGAGACCGACGACATTAAGTGCAATCATAGGAGCGAGGCCCTTGATGAGGGCTATATTAACGTGAAGCGGTACTTTGACGATGCCGACCACGTGTGATACGAGGAAGAGTAGTACAGCAATTACGAGTTGGGATAGTAGGAAGAACAATGGTACAGTGGTCGTATTGAGCACCCATTTATTGCTGTAGTAAAAACCGTCAGAATGAGAGACACGGAAACCGTGGACGGATGTACGCTATCACCATCTGGGCCCAGAAGTCAGGAAATGAATGTTGAATAGCCAGAGTTGACAAACATACCGCCAGAGCAGCGACCAAATAAAACGACACCGTCCCGACCTGCGAGCCAAAATAGTTGAAGACCCAATCAATCCTGCAAAAGTATGGATTACGCACCACAGCAGCTCTACTTGATGGATGTACATTTTGCTGGGTCATCTTCAGTTCTTAAGGAGAGTCCCCAAACGTCTGGATACTAGTAATATCTTCTGGACTGTAGATCCCAATGGTGAATCGCGTCGAGCACAAAAGAAAAGATGGGCAGAAACGAGAACTTGTTGGAGAGAGCGTAATGATCAGGGCTTTCCGCAGGCTTGACATTTACAGCGCCTAGCACTCGTGAGAATCATTGACGTAATAAACACGGTTTTCCGCGTCGCGTCTCACTTGGACGCGTCGACTCCGACTCTTTAGCTTGATCAGCTTGCCACTGCAACCTTGACCCTCTACTAGACTGTGCCATCGACGAGTAGCAGCCTTGAGATCCGATACGTCTTTGACCTGAGATAGGGCCCGAAACTCATCGTCTCGCCGTCAAAAGTCGTATCACAAGGGCTTTCAGTGTGTTGTGATAAAGAACTTTCATCACCAACATTGTGTTGGTGCGTCAGTTTTCTTTATCGATTTTACTGCATATTATTCTGAGCTATACTAGCACCGTGTGTCGGTCACGAACGTTGTGAGTTTTATTCGTTATTTGAGACCCGATGACATGTCGTCATGCGCTTTGACTGCGCCATCCTCATTTCGCGTTCTACTCTCCTATTAAACAAGTGTACCTCGCCTCGTACGAATATTTAAGCAAATTCTCATTTTGAAAACCTCACGAAGCGAGCGCAACGCCCCAAGATGAGCGACTCGGAATTCTTACCTCCACAGCCCACCATCCGGAACAGCTGTGAGTCGTATTCACGTCGATTGCAGAGCATCTAGTGATACTCTGATGTACACTGGCCAGTCCTCGATGACACAATTCGTATCATGCTTGCGACTGACAATCATATCGGATACCTCGAACGTGATCCCATACGCGGGCAAGATTCTATCAATACTTTCAAGGAGATTTTGCAACTCGCAGTCAAAAATGATGTGCGTGTATATACCGCCTGCTCTCAGGATGATCCTCAAAGCGACTTGTCATTGTAAAAACGACATGCAGGTAGACTTCATTCTGCTTGCTGGAGACCTCTTCCACGAAAACCGCCCTTCACGCGACTGCCTCTACCAGGTGATGGCTCTCTTGCGAGAATACACGCTCGGTGACAAGCCTGTCGAGATTGAGCTGATGAGCGACCCTGACGAGGGTAAGGCAGCTGGATTCTCGTAAGTGCAACCCAATCATGTTATGTACCTCGAACAGGAATGTCCGCTGATATAGCCACTCACTGAATCAGGTTCCCAGCAATCAATTATGAAGATGGCAACTTCAATGTTGGAATCCCTGTTTTCTCTATTCATGGAAATCACGATGATCCACAGGGTGCTGGGCCTGTGAATCTTATCGTCCGCTCTCAGGGTTGCATCAAGCTGACATCAATGCCTTTGAATTCAGGAAGGCGCACTCTGCGCCCTCGACATGCTCTCCGTATCGGGACTCGTAAACTATATCGGCAAACTTGACCTTCCGTTAAACGATGCGCCGACAGAAGGCATTGCTGTACGACCAGTGCTGCTGCGAAAAGGGAATACGCACCTGGGCATGTACGGCATCGGCAATGTCAAAGACGCGCGCATGCACTTCGAGTTGCGAAGCAATCGCGTGCGAATGTACATGCCTCGCGACAAAGAGAACTGGTTCAACCTTATGCTGCTTCACCAGAATCGGTGCGTTCCAAGTGGCGCGAATGGATGCCTAGTCTCACACTCTCTGATACAGTGTGAGGCATGGTCCTCAGGAATCTGTACCTGAAGGTATGTTCGATGATAATATCGATCTGGTTATTTGGGGCCACGAACACGACTGCCGTATCGTGCCTGAACCCGTCGCCGGCAAGCGGTATTACATCTCGCAGCCAGGCTCGTCTGTAGCTACATCGCTTGCAGAGGGCGAGTCTCTGGAAAAGTGGGTGTATCCGACTCTTACGCCATTAGTCTCATTCGCTGATAATCATGGAAGACATGTTGCTCTTGTAAAGATTCAAGGCAAGGAGTTTGAATTAACGCCGATCCCCTTGCGGACCGTACGCCCGTTCGTGATGGACGAGGTCGTTCTGACAGAGGCCGCTGAAGAGGAAGGCTTTGACATCAATGACCAGATGGAAGTTACCAAGTTCCTCAAAGCACGGGTTCGTATGCAATCATGCCATACTTGCCAAATTTATGGCAGGGGCTGACAAGCCAGGACCTAGGTAAACGAGATGATTGCCAAAGCGAACACTCTATGGGATGAGCGAAATGTACAAGCAGTCCAAGATGGATTAGAAGAGCTGCCTCGTATGCTTCCGCTCGTCCGCCTCAAGGTAATTCACTTTATTTTTCGATCTCACGTTCAAGTTCACATACTCAGTGTGGATACTATAGGTCGACACTACCGCTGTATCATCAATGTCTAACCCCATTCGGTTTGGTCAAGAGTTCCAGGGTAAAATTGCGAACCCACGCGACGTACTCACCTTTCACCGCGCAAAACAGACCGCTGCGCGACGTGTCAACGCTGATGAACCAATATCGCTCGAAGATGATGAGAACGCAGAAGGCGGAGAAAAGTTGGTGGCTGGGCGCGTGCGCATGCGGACCTTGGTGCAGGATTACTTGAAGGCCCAGGAATTGCAATTGCTTGGAGAAAGTGGTATGGCAAATGCAATTCAGGTATTTGTCGAGAAAGACGATATCCATGCCATCCAAACGTGCGTAGTAATACTTCCTCTGTCATCGGGCGTTTTTTTGTTTGCGCCGATGTTGACCATGCCCATTAGGCATGTAAACGCAACGATGAAGGGGCTTATGAAAGGCGTCCAGGCTAAGGGAGAGATTGATGAAGATGATCTCGATGATGTGGTAAGCAAGCTGTATTTCTCGAGATTCGAAAACAATGACGCTCAATCCTTGCGCGGGTCGAATCAGCTTGAGAAAGTACGAGAGCAGCATGAGAAAGACTTCGCTCGAGAGCAGCTGCAAGGCAGTTTGGCTAAGGTAAGGTCATGACATGTCCACTCTGTGCGTCAAGTCAATGTCGCTTTACCTTGTCCTTTGAATCCTAAGGGTAAAGGCAGGAGCAAGGCCACGTCAGATGCCGAGTCGACGGATTCTATGATGATGGAGATGAATAGAAATGGAGATGACCTCGATTCTGATGCACCTTTACCCACGAAAGGGAAGGCAAGAACCACAGCAGTCACAACCAAGAAGAAAGCCGCCCCTACAAAGAAGGCCACTTCCGCAGTAAGGGGCAGGAAAAAAGTGGTCAGTAGTCTCGATCGTGAATGAAGAGACCCTGAGGTTGTCCACCTTATCGATATCCCCGGCAGGTTGAGATTGATAGTGATGACGAGGAAGACGATGACGAAGAGGATGAAGAACCGGCGAAACCGGTCAAACGCACAAACCGTGCTGCCGTACTCAGGCGCGTCTTCTGTACTTCTGAAAAGCCCAATGACCACATACTGATGCTGGAACTGTTTCTTGGTGCTAAGTCAAGCAACGACGACGCGAAAGGCACCGGCAAAGAGGGCGACACCCGCTCCCAAGGCCAAGCAGTCGACTTTAAGTTTCGAGCCTTCCCAGTCTCGTCCGGCCCGAACGTCAACACGCGCTGCTGCCGGCCGCGCAAGGGGTAAAATGGCAGAAGTGGTATGTGGATCTCATCGCGACATCGAACAGCTTGACGCTCATGGCCTATGCTTCGATCTTCAGGTCGACCTCGATAGCGATTGACGAGTGTAGGGATCTCTGATCTCAAAGTTTGATGAGCCTTGTGTTCAACTTGTATAATACAAAATACAGTACTTATGCGACTTCTCTAATTCACCATGAGCGTCAGACTGAGTTATGTCTAATGACTAGCCAGTAGTCTATGGTCTCGGACATTGTCGCTAGCACGTGGGTAGTTGACGCATGGACCGCTCCCAGGATACCTGGTGGCCATCAGGAAATCGGCCGATGTCTGATCCAGGTCTGAGAGCTTCTGATTGTTCTGAACTCAGATGGCTCAGACCAATCAGAGGTCAGAACAAGACTCTGCCGTCAGGAGGTTACCTTTCTGCATCTGTCTTAGTTCAGACCAGTCAGAGCTCATCCAGAACAATAGTCAGAGATTTGGTCATTAGCTCAGACCCCATCTGCAGCCTCACACAGGTATTTCATACAACATTATTACCATCAAAATATTATCATTCTACTGTATGCAAAATACTACAAACAAAGGACAGCCCGGCATCTAAAATGAGCACACCGGATTGTGAGTGGCACATAGTCCTCCATCTTGGACTCTGTTTGAGGCTCGACAGTCTGCGCACGGCAACGAGAGGGTCAACGAAAGGGTACGGGTGCGGGCAGGGGGGGAAGCGGCAGCAAGAGAACATGAGCCCGCACTCGTCTTGTGCAAGCGTGGGTGGCTAGCATTGGCAGCGGCAGCGAGAGAGCACGAGCGCAGGCAAGGTGGGCGGCGGCAGCAAGAGAACACGAGCCTGCACTCGTCTTGTGCAAGCATGGGCGGCTAGGATTGGCAGTGGCAGCGAGAGGGTACGAGCACAAGCGAGGTGGGCAGCGGCAGCAAGAGGATATGAGCGCAGGTAAGGTGGGCGGCGACAGCAAAAGAATACGAGCACGCACTCGTCCTGTGCGAGCACGGGCGGTGAGTGTTAAGCCGGCTAGGCTTAGTCGAGTGCACGTGATGCACTAAGAGGGGTTCCCTGGGCTGAAGCTGATAGTGACGGCCCACCGAATGAATACGACTGCTCGTCGTTGGGCTTGTTCCAAGAAGGGTTGGTCTGTATTGATCTTCTCCTCGAAGAGCCTGAGGAGATGCTGGTTGATCACGTGACGATGTTCGTCTGGTACGAACAAGTCTTCTCCGATACAACAGATGACTTCGGAGGGGTCCCAACGGATGACTCGATAGGCAGCGAGTCCTTGATACGTTGCAGGTGGTAGAGGGCGGTAAGAGCTGTGAGACGAGTCCAGTGCGTCGTCAGACTGAGTATGGTTCTTTAGATCTGACAGAGATCGCGAAGCGTGAGCTGGGAAGGCAGCCAGACGCCGGGCGCAGTACTGAGATCAAGATGTATACAAAGTGAACGAGCTGAGGCTTCTAAGAAGCTCAGCTCCCCTATATATAGTACAGGACTATTTAGGGCGGGACGGACATATGGTCCGTGCTTCGAAACACTAAGTACTATCAACGATCGACATCGGTAAGCCGCAGTCATCGTTCGTACTCCGCGACTCACGAATGTAGCCATGTATAGTAAGAATATCAAATGTCTGTCCGCATCAATCAGAAATAAGGAACCGATCGTGATCCAATCAGTAAGCACAATAGAAGAGGAACCGATCACGATCGACGTCAGTCATCAGAACAAAAGGAGAAAGCATACTATCGTAAGCGTTCATGCGTTAGCATGTGAATAGTAATCAATCCGGAACCGAGATGAAAGCGTTCATGCATAAGCATGTAAATGGTAAGCAGTCCGAGTCCGAATCATGTGTGTAGCTCATGACCATGTCCTGAGTCACGTGCCTAGACGCGTGTCAAGTCACAGTCCTAATTGTCAATAGTTCGAGTCCGGGGAAATGCCTGACCTTCCCGTTTGTCCACGTGCCAAACACGTGTTAGGACGTGGTCCTAACACTACCCCCCCTTTTACACTCGTCGTTGGCTCGTGACGGCATCAGGATCGCGGATGGGGAGAGCCATGAAAGTGCGGGGATCCATGACGGGGGTATGACGTGTCGGATGTCCTTCCCAACGGGCGTCATCGATCATCCTGTCCCGGATGTGCCAGTAGTACCCGTAATTCTCCGCCACATGCTCTAGTTGTGTCGAGAGGAGTTCGACCACTTCGCCGTACACTTCGTAGTCCCGTATAAAGTTCCGGGCAGTGAGGTCAGTGCGGCGGCGGATGCGTGTGATGGGACAATTGGCGATGAGGTGTCCTGGGCGATCGCATTCCCAACAAAGTCGTGTGTCAGTGGCAGGTGGTGGCAGTACGAGGGGAGGGGGAGAGGGTGAAGGATCGAGAAGAGGAGGCCAGACCCGTTCCGCAGCGCGAACGCCATCTCGCGGCCAGCCGTTGATCAGCGGCGAAGGTGGGTGAGCCGCAGCTCCTGCTCTTTCCGCCTCGCGGACATGGTTTATCCAGTCCGACGGCGATCCAGCTCGTGGTGGTGACACGGGTGTCGAATGATGGATCTCGTGTTCCCTAGCTGCCTGTTCAGGATCGTATGATGGGCTACTGGGGCGTGAGATGGGTCGACCTGTGTTGTCGAAGACGGGGATAGGAGGGAGCCGGTTTCCGGGGAAGGGGTCGGCGTACGGGTAAGGGAGAGCGTTGTGGATGTCGGTCATGGGGAAGTGTGAGAAGGGCTCCGGCACTGGGAGAGCAAGTGGGGACAGGTGGTGGGTGCCGTTGAGGAGAGGGAGGAGAGCAGAGGAGGAAGACATATCCAAGTAGCGGAAAGGTTTGGTGGGGAAGTTGGGGAGAGGTTTGGGTCTCGACAAACGTTCCTTTATAGATTCCTTTCCTTCTTGTTTGAGCGAGTAAAGACGGTGGGGCGGTCGAAGCTTGAATAGGCGTAGTGACAGTGGTCCGGGTGAGGAGTGTATATCGGGCAGTGTCTGATGTGGTGGTTCCTGCTCGGATCACCGTCGTTTGTTTGGCCATGTCAAACCGCGATTCGTCTGCCTTTGCAGCTCCTGGTATGCCTGGGTGCGCCAATTTGCGCTGTCTGAGGGTTTGCGCTGTGGCTTCGTCCAAGACCGTTCCGAGTAGGTCTTGCTTGGAGAAGTGTCCGTGGTTGCCTTCTGACTCCTGACGCGTGGGTTCGATCGTTCCCGATTAAGGTTGCTCGGTCGTTCGCTTGTAGCGGATGTCCTTGAGGATCCTCGATCGAGTTCCTTCCTTGGCGCTTCTTGACGGTCCGCTGATCCCGTCCTTCTCGACTGTGGAGGTGCTGAGGGCTTCTTTAACTTGGCGTCCTTCTTGGCACGTTCTGTCGCTATTTCCAGAATCCCCAATGTCTTGAACTTCGCCGAGTAAAGCGTCTCCGGGATTTGGAGGCCTTGGACTCTCCTCCTGTTGCCGGCATCTTTTACGTCCTTTAGTTGGGCGGTTGCGTTTTCTTTGAGCTTGGCTGGGGTGATCCCCTTGTCGAGGTATGCTTGCCCGATACGTCGACCTTCGAGTTTGTACTCGTCGTCCTTGAACTGTCGATTCAGCGTTCGTGCTTTTTGCTGAATCTGTCGGATGGTGTATCCTTCGTCTAGAAGCCTTCTTCCTGGCAGGTCCAACAGCGCCTTCGTGATTCGATCTTCTTCTTGTTGGTCTTCTCGATCTTGTAGGATTTGGCGCATGTCTTTTCCTGTGGCGAGTAGTCTCCTTCCATCAGGACTTTTCTCGAGTTGTTTCCTGACCTGATCTTCCTCGGCTTCTCGATTGTCTTCCAGGTCGGCCTGCAATACTCGGATCGATGCTTCCCTTCCTTTGGGTGCGGATGGATGTCGTTTATAGAACTCCGCGACGGCTTCCTTGGCATTGGTGACGTTTGCCGCTGCTTCCCAAGAGTTATCCGATTCGGGATAGCCCTTCCATTTGATCAGGTACTGGAGGGTCTTCCATCTTCCGAAGCGTCGGGCTCCGACGACCTTCTCGACTTCGAATTCTTCTTGCCCCGCTATTAGGTCTGGTGCCGGTTTGGGGTAGTTGGGTCCATATGTCGTGTTTTCCTTGTAGGGCGTAAGTCGACTAGCATGGAAGACGTCGTGAATGCGCTGCCAGCTGTTGGGCAGTTTCAGCTTGAAATTGACTGTGCCGATAGTGTCGATGATCTCGAACGGCCCAAATCGTTTGGGTCTTAGTTTCTCCGATGGGTGGTCTGTGTGGATGTTCTTCCCATCTAGCCATACTTGGTCTCCTTTCTTGAAAGGTGGTAGCTCCGTTCCAAAACGGTCGTGCTGTATCCTCATGGCTTCGGCTGCGATTTCGAGGCTGGCTTGTGCTTCCTTCCTAACACGTTGCAGAGCTTCGAGTCGCGCGTCGGCGGTGGGGACATTCGCGTTTCCTATAATCGCCGGATACGCCCTTGGCTGGTATCCGTGTAGCAGTTCGAATGGTGACTTCTTCGTGGCTGAGTGCTGGTGTACGTTGTGGGCGTATTCCGCGTAGGGAATGAGGTCGGCCCAGTCGTCCTGTGACGAGTTGCAAAATGCCCTAAGATATTGCTCCAGTTCTTGGTTCATCCTTTCCGTGGCGCCATCGGTTTGTGGGTGATATGCTGTGCTGAGCGCCGATTTAATCCCTAGTTCCTTGAGTAGTGCTTGTGCCACTTTCGACGCGAATTGGGGTCCTCTATCCGATATGATCTTGTCGGGTAGTCCGTATCTTCTCCAGGTGTGATCCAGTAGTAATTGGGCCGTTCCGTCTGAGTCGATGTTCTTTAGACATGGGGTGATGACGGCCGTCTTCGTGAATCTGTCTGTTACCACGTGGAGTGAGTCGAATCCGTTTGACTGGGGAAGGTCCGTGATAAAGTCCATGGTGATCGTTCCAAACGGTCGGTCTGGAATCTCCGTTGGCTGAAGAGGAACCATCGTCGGATGCGTGTCGTTCTTGGTAGATTGGCAGGTTGCACATCCTTCCACGTATTGGTGGATCGTGTTTGATATTCCGGGCCAGGTGAATTCTTGCCCTACTGCTGCTAGTGTTCCTCTTTGTCCTGGGTGTCCTGCTGCTAGGTTATCGTGGTTCAACTTGATGATGTCTCTGCGTAGTTGTTCGTCCTGAGGAACATAGATTTTTCCTCTGTGTAGGACGAGTCCGTCTTCTTCGTTCCATTCCTGTAGGCCTTTCTTCATGCTTCTTGGGCCTAGCTCCTGGATCTTGGCTAAGGTTTCGAGTAGCCACTTGTCCTTCTGGTTTGCTGCTATGATTCGATTCTTGAGGTCTTCGTCAATGATCGTGACGCCTCCTCGTCCTGTGGCTCTGATGTGCCATATCTCGTGGGGGTCCAGTTCGTCCTTTGTGGTGATTGCATTGACGTCTGCGAAAGGTCTTCGGCTCTTTTCCGGTGTTTGATCGAAAAGTTTGGGTTCCAAGAGTGTTTCGCCTGAATTGTCAAATTCCACCCCCTCTTTATGGTCTGGACGCCGTGACAGACCGTCGGATTTATTGGTCGTCCCCGCCTTGTGCGTTAACTTGTAGTCGAAACGCGAGAGGAATAGTGACCATCTTGCTTGTCGACGGTTCAACTTTTGACTTGATCGGAACCATTCGAGGTTCTTGTGGTCCATCCAGACGTCTACCGGAGTCTCGGCGCCCTCCAAGTAATGTCGCCAAGCTTCAAAAGCTCGAACGACCGCTAGCAACTCTTTGTCGTAGATCGGGTAGTTGCGTTCGGTGGGTGAGAGCGACTTGGAAATGTATGCGCACGGGTGCCATTTCCCATCTGGGGCGACTTGGGATAATACTGCTCCGGTAGCGAAGTCGGATGCATCGCATTCGATGCGGAATGGGTTCCTGGTTTCCGGCATGACGAGTACTGGCGACGAGATGAATATGTTCTTGAGTGCTTGGAATGCCTCCTCGCATGTCGTCGTCCAGTCCCAACTGCGCTCCTTCTGTGTCAACTCGAATAGCGGCCGAGCTATTTTTGAGTAATCCTTGATGAATCTGCGATAGAAGTTGCAGAATCCCAAAAACGATTGGACCTCCTTGACTTTGGTCGGTGTGGGCCAGTCCATGATACCGGCCACCTTGATTGGGTCCATTTCCAGATGTCCATGAGAGATGACGTACCCGAGATAGTCAATTTTCGTTTTGTGAAAATGACATTTCGAGGGTTGCAGGTACAAGTCGTTATCCTGCAATATCTGTAAAACCTGTTTCATCGTCTTGATGTGTTCATCCATAGTCTTTGAGAACACCAAGATGTCGTCCATGTAGATGGCCACTCGTCCTGCATAGATGAGGTCCTTGAAAAGCGAGTTCATCATAGTTTGGAACGTCGCCGGCGAGTTGGTGAGGCCAAAGTACATGACCAGAGGTTCGTACATCCCTAGATTCGTTACGAACGCTGCCTTGTGGACATCCTTTTCGTCGATGAGGATGTTGTTGTATCCGGTGTCGATGTCCACCAGCGAGAAGTACTCCGCCTCCGTCAAAAGATCCAGTAATTCTTGAATGATTGGGAGAGGGTACTTGTTCTTGATCGTTATTTCGTTAAGCTTTCGGTAGTCCATTACCAGCCGTAGCTTTCCATTTTTCTTCTTGATAAAGAAGAACGGTTGTTACGACTGCTCGTCGGTAACCCCAAGAGTAGGAGGTTCTTCCCTGGGTCGCTCGTGGAGGATGTGTGGAACGATGGTCTCGACTGTACGTGTAGCACAGGAGCCAAGAGTGTATTGCGATGTAGCAATGAAGTGTAGAACGAAGGTTCCTGTATGTGAAGATACAGGAGAACGAAGGGTACTGTAGGGAGACAGTACCAGAACGAAGAGAATAGACTGAAGATCGTCAGCCTATTCTATGGGCCTTTTATACTACTTTGGGAAGTAGGGCGTGAGAATACCGAATATGTATCTGTAGGTATTCTCTAAGTCGTCTCTCTCAATAACGACTACTCTTGTGCTTCTCCGTTTGTCTCCTTCCGGCCAGGAGAGACTAGGAGGTTCATGCCCTGCGTGTGAGTAATTTATAAGGCGGCGTTCCATGCCCGCTAATACAAGGCCCGTGATACTCGACCAATGATCGGTGATCCATTGGGAGTGGATGACCAAGGTTAATATCTGTACCTTGGTGTACGCCTCAACCTGTGAGGCCGCGTGATATTTGTGATGATCGTATCGGTATAGACCGCCATGTAGGCCCGATAGAACGTGATCATAACAACGGTGATGCCATGTGCGACTTGGATTCCCTGATGAATCCCTTCTTGAGACTTTCGTCGATGAATTTCTTGAGTTCCTCTTGCTCCATGGGACTGAGGCTGTAAAGTTTCGGCCTGAGCGAGTGTTCTATGTCGTCCTTGAGTTCGATCTTGTGGTCCCATGGTCGTTTGGGAGGTAGTTTCCCAGGTTTTCGACCTTCGAAAACCTTCCTATAACTCCAGTATACTTTGGGTACGATTTCCTCGAAGGATAATTCGGGTTTTCCTTTCGAGGCCTCTTCTGCCAATTTCTGTGAATTGGTGTGCTTCGTTTGCTTGCCTATCGCTGCCTTGGCAGGCTCCGCCTTGCGTGCCGGTGTATTGGCGACGGAGGTTTCCACGCGATGGATGTCGTATCCTTCTTCGCGGTCGTTGTATAACTCCAGGGCTTCTAGTTGCCCTGTCTCCAGATACCTGACGAGGTATACTCCATCTTCGTCTAGGTCCGTGGAAGGTAGAGCCGATAGCGGTCCACCACCTTCCTGGGGCTCCTCTTCTGCCCACGTCGGTGCCATGTAATTTCTGGCTTGGGTCCTGAGCGAGTACTCCCTGTTCGTGCCTTTGGGTTGCGACCCCCGGATTTTAGGCAATATCCGCGGATGTGGTACTGTAGTGTTTCCCACTTTCCGACCTAGCTGTCCTTTCCCTGGCTTCTGCAATGGGATTGAGTAGTCGCGCTCTCGCGGTACTGTCACCATGCGCCGTACTCCTGGTTCTTGACGTCCTGGTTTCCTAAAGGCTCGTTTTGCCTTGACTGGTCCTCCTATGATGTCGCATGTCGGTGGGCACCTGGTGAAGTGTAGTCCATACGCGTGCCAGTCGACCTCTGGGTTGTGTTCCAATAACCAGTCGGTTCCTAGAATGACGTCCTCTTTTCCAATTTCGGCGATGTAGAATCTTGCCGACTCGATGTGCGCTCCCCCTTGTTCGCCTAAGACTCGTAGTTTGAGTTCTGCGAACCTCGTGATCGGTCCTCCTTTGAATTCCGTGTTTTGGACCGTATTGACTGGGATGGGGTGGGGAGTCCTCTGTGTCCTGATTCCATGCCTTTCCACAAAGTTGGGATGCATGAATATGCCTGTTGCTCCGCTGTCGACCAGAGCCTGTGTAGCAGCCTTTCGATTCTTGCCTATGAGTTCTGTCTCGATCCGAAGTGATGGTGCACCACGAGTTTTCATTTCGGAGAGATATAATGTGTCTGGATGTCCATGCTCTTGGTCAGCATTGTCACTGGCCAGAGGAGCGTACCGATTTCCTGCAAGAATCCTACTCTTCACACCCGCTGCCGGTGGAAGAGACTTTAAAAACCCTTTTTGTTGGCTTGGAAGTTAGCGATTGCGCCTCGTTCGATTCCCATTCGTTCTTCGGGATCTGCGCTGGATTTGTGCGCGTCCCGGTATTCTTCTTCCATCTCTTCGTCCGCTTCCATGGCCCTCATAGTGCGGGGCCTTGAAACGAACCTTCCTCTCGAAGGAGGTGGGAATCTTCTTTTAGGTCGAGAGGGACATCCGCGCGCCATGTGCCCGGTCTTCTTGCAATAGAAGCACTTTCCTTCTTTGTACAGCCGGTTCTTTTCTTCCGGTGTAAGCTTCTTGAAGCGGATGGCGTCGACCTCCAATTCGGCTGCGTCTACGTCCATGGGGGCGTATTGGGGCTCCCTTTCGTGACGTGGGGTCGGGGCGAAGTTCGAATAGTAGTTGGTTGGGGTGAAAACTTGGTACTTCCCCTGTCGAAGGTCTCGTGCGCGCATTTCTTCTATGCGCATTGTCTCGTGTCGTTTGGCCTTGGCTACTAATTCGTCCCATGTCGCCTGTGCTGCTGGGTCTTGATAAATTCCTCGGGCCAACTCCCATTTGAGGCCCCGTAGGAAGTGCGTCTTCTTGGTCTCGAGATCAACCCCTGCTAGTTCGGCGATTTGCTCGAACAACTGGAGGTACATGTTAAAGGACTCCTTTCCTTGGTTGATCCTGGCCAACTTGTCTCTGGCGTCTGCTGTCTTGTCGAATTCCTCGAAGTCCGTCGAGATCTTTTGACGGACTGAGGTCATGTCGGTAGTGGGTTTCCACGTGTAGTGGTCCCAATCGTCGTTTGTGTTCCTGGCCTTGGTGAAGTTCCTCGCCCATATCCCTGCTGATCCTCCTTTCATGTAGGACAAGGCGTACGCGATCTTTGTAAACTCGTCTGGGAAGTCGTGTTTCCTGGCGAGGATCATCAGGTCGATTTCGTGGAGGAACTGCTCCGTTCGTTTTTGGTTTCCGTCGAAGGGAGTGGGCTTGGCCATAGCTGGTCCCTTGGACTCAGGATTTCTAGGATTTGTCGACATCTCACTGGACGGGGGCTGGTGATCGTCAGGAGGCTCTCCACTTGTATCTGGTTCTTGAGTATACTCTTTCCGGGTGCTTTCGTCCGGTGAAGGGGTTCGGATACTTGTTTGGGGAGAGGTTTCTTGTATCGGGGATGTAGCGGGCGTGTTTCTTCGAGAGAGTCGACTTCCACTGGCTGTTTCCCTGGGTACGTTATAAACGTGTGGTCTTGGTGAGTTACAATTCCGATGTGTCGGTGATTTAGGCTTGATTCTTCTGAGCTCGGCTGCGACGATTGCGAGCTTAGTGGTCTGTAGTTCGGGTGCGGCGTGGATCTCCTTGTCGAAGAAGGGTTTCTTGTAGAATTCTTCTTTCCCAACTCCTGTGTAGAATCCGGTGAGGATTCCTCCGATGTAGAAGTGTTGGTTCTCTTCGTCACAATAAACGGTGTCTGGGTCGACGTCCTCGGGTAGGTGGTCGAAGATGTAGATCGGGTTATTGTGGTACGGGGGTGGGTATCCTTTTGGGATTGTTGACTCAATGGTTTATTCTGTGAAGAAGAAGGGGATCTCGTGTCTTCTTCCGGCTCGGAGTCCTTCTTGGAGTGTGGGTTCTCTGCGGATGATTTCGTTAATCCCGTTGTTGATCTGGTCCAGGAGTGTGAGGATCTCGTCAAAGGTTTGTCCAGCGACGACGTTTCGGAAATGATAAGTTTTGTGGGCGAACTCTCCTCGTCGGATAACTGATACGGTGCCGATGATTTCGGTTCGATGGGGTGAGTATCCAGTAGGATCCAGCGCGTCCTAGTTCGGGATGGTGTAGGTCCAGAAGATGAAGATTGTGTAGTCGCTCCTTTGGTGACTGTTCTCGAGTAGCTCCTGTCTGATTCCTCCTGAATCAATGTCCTGGGTGATGCGCTTTCGAAGGGATGCGATGTGGTCTGCTGGGAAGTTACTTGGTCTTCCGTCGTCGATGTCAACGGTATTCCTGGTGTGAATAAAGTTGAGTCCTGGATCTCCAACTGCGGAGACTGGTGTCCTGGGTTCGTTGGTGAAGCAAAGCCCCAGAAAGGGGAATCCGATTCTTCCGATGAAGAAGTAATCTTGTATGTGCTGTAGCCGATATGAGGCTACTCCTGCGTATACTCGTCCGATTGCCAAGTATCTGATGTGGGTGCTGGTCTCTGTTAACCTAGGCGTTCCTTCGTGGGGTGCTTGGTTAATCCTGGTGGCTAAGATGCTGCTGCGGTTTCTTTCTTCTAGCAGTTGGTGTGCGGCTGCTGCTAGTGACTGTAGTCGGTGCTGGTCCAGAGTGTTTTTTCAGGGCAGGGAAGAGAGAGCTCGTTCAAGTGTTAAGCCGGCTAGGCTTAGTCGAGTGCACGTGATGCACTAAGAGGGGTTCCCTGGGCTGAAGCTGATAGTGACGGCCCACCGAATGAATACGACTGCTCGTCGTTGGGCTTGTTCCAAGAAGGGTTGGTCTGTATTGATCTTCTCCTCGAAGAGCCTGAGGAGATGCTGGTTGATCACGTGACGATGTTCGTCTGGTACGAACAAGTCTTCTCCGATACAACAGATGACTTCGGAGGGGTCCCAACGGATGACTCGATAGGCAGCGAGTCCTTGATACGTTGCAGGTGGTAGAGGGCGGTAAGAGCTGTGAGACGAGTCCAGTGCGTCGTCAGACTGAGTATGGTTCTTTAGATCTGACAGAGATCGCGAAGCGTGAGCTGGGAAGGCAGCCAGACGCCAGGCGCAGTGCTGAGATCAAGATGTATACAAAGTGAACGAGCTGAGGCTTCTAAGAAGCTCAGCTCCCCTATATATAGTACAGGACTATTTAGGGCGGGACGGACATATGGTCCGTGCTTCGAAACACTAAGTACTATCAACGATCGACATCGGTAAGCCGCAGTCATCGTTCGTACTCTGCGACTCACGAATGTAGCCATGTATAGTAAGAATATCAAATGTCTGTCCGCATCAATCAGAAATAAGGAACCGATCGTGATCCAATCAGTAAGCACAATAGAAGAGGAACCGATCACGATCGACGTCAGTCATCAGAACAAAAGGAGAAAGCATACTATCGTAAGCGTTCATGCGTTAGCATGTGAATAGTAATCAATCCGGAACCGAGATGAAAGCGTTCATGCATAAGCATGTAAATGGTAAGCAGTCCGAGTCCGAATCATGTGTGTAGCTCATGACCATGTCCTGAGTCACGTGCCTAGACGCGTGTCAAGTCACAGTCCTAATTGTCAATAGTTCGAGTCCAGGGAAATGCCTGACCTTCCCGTTTGTCCACGTGCCAAACACGTGTTAGGACGTGGTCCTAACAGTGAGGATCGGCGGCGGCAGCAAGAGAGCACGAGCACAGGCAAGGTGGGCGGCGGCAGCAAGAGGATACAGGCCCACACTTGCGGGCGCAGGTGGGTGGCGGTATTAAAAGAAGACAAGCCCGCACTCATCTTGTGCAAGCGCAGGTGGGATCAGCATCAGCAGCGAGAGGGTACGAGTGCGGACAGGGTGGGCGGCAGCAGCGAGAGGATATGAGCGCAGGCAAGGTGGGCGGCGGCATTGAAAGAGGCCACACCTGCACTCGTCTTGGCGAGCGCAGGTGGAGATCAGCAGCGGCAGCAAGAGGATACGAGTGCGGGAAGGGGTGGGCGGCGGCAGCGAGAGGATACAAGCTCACACTTGTCTTGTGTGAGCGTGGGTGCAGGGCATCGAGAGCTCTCATCTTGTGCGAGCGCGAGCGGGGGATTGGCAGCGGTAGCGAGAGGGTATGGGCGCGGTCGCAGGTGGGTGGCGGCATCGAGAGAAAATGAGACAAAATGAGTGCGGGCGGGGGGAATGGGCAGTGGTGAGAGCAAGAGGCAGAGCGCAGCGTGCGCAACGACGACGCATTGACGTGGCGATGGCACATGCCGCTGCCACATCTTTGCTGCCCTGCTTGCTCTCCCCGCCGCCGTCCACCACTGCCTCTGCTCGCGCTCGTCTTATCTCGCCGCCGATGCCGTCTAGCGCCACCCCCTTTGCTCGCGCTCGTCTTTTATGACGAGCATGTGCATGCCTCCTCTTGTCTCGCCACCGCCGCTGTCCAACACCACCTCTGTCTGTACTTGTTCAAGACAAGCGCATGCCTGTCCTTCTCCCACCATCTCCGCCCGCGCTCGTCTTGTATGACGAGCGTGGGCACACCTCATCTTGTCTTGCTGCCATCACCGCCTAACATCTCTGCCTGTTCTCATGCAAGACAAGCGCGGCCTCGCCTCGTTTGGTCTCGCCACCGCCGCCCACCACCACCACCTCTGCCCACGCTCGTCCTGTTAGACGAGCGCACGCCTCCTCTTATACGACGAGCGCACGCCTCCTTTTGTACGACGAGCGCATGCCTCCTCTTGTCTCGCCGCCGCTGCCGCCTACTATCTCTGCCCGCGTTCGTACGAGACGAGCGCGGCCTTATCTCGTCTGATCTTGCCGTCTACCAACTCGGATCCTCTCGCTGCTGCCACCGATCCCTGCCCACGCTTGCACAAGACAAGCTCGGGCTCGTCTTCTTTCAATGCCGCCGCCCACCTGTGCCCACGCTCGTACAAGACAAGTGCAGGCTCGTGTGTAATTAGCATCTTTATGATAAGATCACTGGCTTGCATTCTAGTACTTTACAAGTATGCTACTGCCAGTTCTCAATTCCTGTTTATCATTCTGGATAGTTCTGAGTAATGTCTGAGTTCAGAATGCCCAGAGGTGACAGAAGCCCTCAGAACTCTCAGACAGAGATCAGACATCTCAGACCACCTAAGAGATCTGCCAATTTGCTGATGCTGGTGTGACGATGCGGACGGATATTTTGGGGACAATATATACATGGGGAGAGAAGGTCCGTAGGAACGAGCGAGGGGGTAGCATACGACATGGGGAGCACACGGAGAAGTAGATACACACTACATGAATCAGGTATAAGTGACGCGATACGAAGGAAGTGGGCAAAAGTCCCTGCGGCAAAGGCTCTCCGGCACACGGCAAAAGGAAACCTGCAAGGCAACGAAGGTCAGCAGCAAGGGTGGGTGGGGTAGACAAGTGACAAGGCCGCTGGGGCGGGTGTAGTGAATGGCTACGAGTACTCGCTGCTCGTGTCCTGCTGCGCACCCAATGTGTGCATGCGCAAGGCTTGTTATTAGTGGCTCGGTCCCTCCGCAGAGGCCGAGGAGACCGGCTCCGGAGGAAGTCTGAGGAAGAATGGGAATGCTAGCCATGAGGAGGCTGCAAGCCTGCTGTGGAATGTGTGGGATGAGTATGTGTCGGCTACGGAGCTGAGAACGGGGTGGAGGTGATCGCAGTGTTGCATTGGAACGAAGACGGAGGGGGACCGGCCAGGTGGAATGGTGGGTGTGATCTTGGACAGCTACGGGCGGCAGAGGAGCCGGAAGAGGTGCACACGCCACAGCAGGGATGCCCACCTGACCGGGACGCACAAAAGGGCCGAGTCTGCGGAGGATGGGCCTTTGATGCAGAACTTGATCCACTCTTTTTCGAGGGCATGGACTCCCTCTATTCTACCCTTAGTTGTCTGTGCGGAGGCCAAGTTAGTTATGATCATGAACATCCCTAAGCTGCAGAGGGCACTAGGCCTAGTGCATCAGGGAAAAGCTCCACATCAAATCAACCATAGTTAAGCATAAATATAGCTAGGTTTTTACCAACTACCATTGGGGACTTTTAGCTTACCCCCCTCTAATCCTGAAATTATAAGATTTAATTAGATCTAATTAGGGCTAATTTATCATATGGAATTTTGGAAAAATATTAACCAGCCCACACTGTAGGCAAAGTTTGATGGAATCAGTGATTCCAGACTGATTACCTGATGTTTTCTTGTCAATATAGATGTTTATGATGACCTGTAATTTGCATGTTTATGGCTGGACCCTGGTTTGTATATCAGTCCTATTAGTATATGTATTATTCTAACTTGAATTGACAGCCATGTATCATGCACTTATCTTTCATGACATCAATTCATTGTCCACATCTGGAAAAACCTACTTTCTTAATTCGATCTAATTATTCAAAATACTAATCTAAGCTAATTAGATCGAATTAAGAAAGGAGGTTTTTCCAGATGCTCAGTGCCGCACAATGGGCAACCGCGGGCCCGAGGCCGACGGGCATCTCAAGTGCACGCCGAGGCTATATCTCTGGACAGTATTGAGACGATGTAGCTTTGATTTGACAGACGAGGATTTTTGAATGTTCCGATATCGGTGAGTTAAAGTATCATCAGAGTATACCGTTGCGAACACATCTTAATGTCGCTTAGGTTGTATGGGAACTTCATTGCCCTCTTCGCGGGCATAAATATCCCCGAGGCAGTCGCCCGAGCATAGAACCCACAAATTGGCAGCGTCCTGATCTTTCTGCGGCCGGCGAGGGTCGTCACCCGTCTGCCGAGGAACACGTATACATACGAGTCCTTTGAGCGGGTGCTCATCCTCATCTCCCATCACCTCCCATCCTCCCATGTTCCATTTCACTCTCCTATCCGCCTTCGTCGCTGCAGGCGTCGTCCTAGCGGTATATGTAGCCTATGAGCTTCTGCAGCGGGCTTTCCGTGCTCACAAGTCTCCCCTCGGTAATATTCCTGGGCCCAAACTGGTAAATCTGCTCAGGGGAAGCTTCATGCATACCCACGAATCCGACGCACATCGACTTATGGAGCAGTGGATAGACAAATATGGGCACACGTTCAAATACACGTCATTTTTTGGCGTACGTCTTCAGTCTGGTCTCCACCGTGTCAGCGCGTGGTGGTTGATGTTTTGCGATATCTGCTCCGCGGTAATACATGTTTAGACTAACAAACTCGTCACCACGGATACCAAAGCCCTTTCTCATATTCTGTCGCATCCAGTTGCGTATGAGAAATCCAAGGCCATACGATCCAACTTAGGCGAGCTTTTAGGCAAAGGTCAGCAGAAACCGGCCTACAGGACAAAGGATGTACTGATATTCGACCACTTATAGGGCTGCTTTTTGTCGAAGGTACGCTTGGTAGATTTAATTGTGTTTTGACGTATCGATTTTGACTCTGTCAACGAAAGGCGCTGAACATAAACAACAGGTGAGGGAATGTACATCTTCTTTTTGGAAAAGCAATCTAATTCGTCTCTTTGCATTGACCGTAGCGGAAGATCATGGTAGGATTTTCTACTCTCGATCACTACAAATTATTCTAATTCTGATTCTGGCATAGAGCCCTGCTTTTGGGACAACACAAATCCAGCAATTTACTGAAATATTTATGCAGAAGGCGAACGAGGTGACATCAACGTCCTTCCTGGAAGTACAGCCCGTCACTCAACCGGACTGGTTCATCCTTAGCTTCGCAACATCTGGATGTCTGAGGTCGCGCGGACCTCTCGTAAGGACGGAAGACTGCAGCTGGACGCGTTTGCTTGGTTGAACAAGGTTACGCTGGACATTATCGGTTTAGCAGGTAATGTTTATTCCACTCTTGATCTCATCACGAAATTTATGGTTATCGGTTTTTGCAAGGCTTCGATTACGACTTTAGAACTCTCTACGCTGCCGATGGTAAACCGGACGAATTGAATGAGGCTGTCAGGACGATGTTCTCATTCAACACAATCAAGATCTCTTTCCTACTTCAATTTCTCTTTCCCTTGGCTCGTATGATTGTTTGTTTTCCATCTGATTTCGTCATTCGACAATGATGACAACTGCTCTTCCAGCCGACCGAACGTTCGCGCGAGGTGGCCAAATCTCTACGTGTCATCCGTCGAGTCGGGACGAAGATGATTGCGGACAAGAAGGCGGCAGTACTCCATAATGCTTCTGGTAGTGTAGAGAAGAAGGACGTCGAGGGACGAGATCTTCTGAGCCTCTTAATCAAGTCCAACATGGCCACAGACATCCCAGACAGTGCTCGCATGAATGATGAGGAGATTTTGTCCCGTCAGTACTTTTTGCCTTCTCTTGATATTATTGATCAACTTTGACTGTTACAGAAGTACCCACATTCCTTGTCGCAGGGCACGAAACAACCAGGTATGCCGTTGTTGAGATTCCAAGAAACCCGTCGTGTGGTCTCAAAGCGTTCTATCAGCACTGGCGTGGCATGGGCTCTCTTTGCTCTCGCAGGACATCCCGCCGCACAGAACACTCTCCGTGCTGAGCTTTTAGAATACCCCACCGATCAACCGACAATGGAGCAGCTCAATTCTCTTTCATACCTTGATGCCGTCGTGCGGGAGGTCATGCGCATTCATGCCCCTGTTGGTAGTACTGAGCGGGTCGCAGTGCAAGATGATGTGATCCCTCTTGACAATGAGTTCACCGACAGGAATGGTGTGAAGAGGAAAGAGATACGGTCTGCCCCTCCCCTGCTCACACTATATGGCTGGATTGTTAGCTAATCTGCATTCTTGTAGCGTCGCTGAAGGGGACATTATCACCATTCCTATTTTCGCTATCAATCGGTCCACCGAATTATGGGGCGAGGATGCCCATCAGTTCAAGTCCGTGTTTCTCTACTCAACTCAAATATAGCAGTCTCATTCATAGTTCCAGACCTGAACGCTGGGTCAATCTCCCCGAGGCCGTGCGAAATATTCCAAGCATCTGGAGCAACACACTCTCATTCCTCTCTGGTTCTCATGCATGCATCGGTTACCGGTTCTCTATCACTGAGTATGTGTCGTTCGCTGGAGAGTATAATCATCTTAACTGACACTGTGGTCCCTCAGAATGAAAGCACTTCTGTTTGCTATAGTCCGTTTTTTCGAGTTCGAGCTTGCTGTCGAGCCAGAGGACATCGTTCGAAGAACAAATGTTGTCGGCCGTCCATTCATTGACAGCAATATCGAGGCCGGATCACAGCTACCATTACTCATTCGGCCAGTAAAGGGGTAGTATATCTGTATTTGGAGTCCACATTCATCTCAAAATTGTAGCATAGTAGCCGTCAGGCACATGATCTCGCTCGTCAAAGACTGCACCTTCGATAATACTATGAGGATTTCTCTTGATCATTTTTCGTAGAACATGGGATGCACCACGGCTACAAAAACATCTTTTCAAAAAAGTACAAAGCAACCGTGGGTTTCCTTTCACAATTTCTAAGCTCAAACTCAGGACGATCATCGATCAACAATTGCCTTCTATCCCGCACGTTCATCCTGTATCTTAGCCTTCAAAGCCTCGCCGCCTGACGCTTTGTCTGCTTGAGGGGTGGCACCCAAGCCTAAAATTTGGTTGCAATTTCGCGCTAGAAACTTTCATCGTCTTCTATACATTTCATCGTCCATACACCCATCCTCTGAACCGTATGATGGTTGAGGATTACGGGTGATAACGTTCGATGTGAAACGTATCTGTTTTTCTATAGTTAATGAGGCCTTAATCCCCTGGAGTGTAAGGTTTTTGAACTCGTTCTCGCTATCCATGATCTCGTCTGCTGACGGTGGTCGCCCTTTTGCTCGCTGAAGGATGATACTTGCCCTGAATTGTTTCGCCCACCGTCTCGTTAAGATTGCTTTGGCCCAGAGGTTTCGAACCTGATGTCTCCGTTAACAACGACAACGGTAGCATCAGAGGTTGCTAAGCATGCAAACACAGCACACCACTGGTTTCTGACTCTGCCACTCTTCCTTCGACAGAGGCGTTGACATTTCTAATTGATACTGGCCGATGTAAAGCCATTTGCTGTAGCGTAGACGAACAAATGTGCGATATGCACGAGGTTCAACTCCTTCGAAGGGCTCCACTCCATACCGGAGACCCGGTTCACCGGGAATTCGGGGCGCATTGGGGTTATAGTGGAGATTGAGGTACATGAATGTCTCGTCGACATACTGGTGGTTATACCTCTCGTCGTTGATGTTTGTGAATGAACCACGCGTGGCCTCACCATAGACACTGCTCATGAATGCCCTGGATACCGTTACCCATTTATTGCGGGCATCCCGGTCGGTGGGAAGCAATTTTGCATTGGCTTTGGCCAAATGACTGCTCACAAGGGCGGGATCCCTATTTAGACTTCTTCTGACCTGTGAGTTGATGGTAAAGAAAGTCATACAGATGATATCACTGGTACTGGGCACGAGAGCCTACCAAATTATTCGGGATGGGTTGTTCCATGTCTGCTCCAACGGGTGGGACCTCTTCGACTAACGGAGAGGGTATATCCAGAGGTATGAGTTGTCAAACCTGTATAATTTCTGCCTTCTGGTTCTAAACTCAAGTTTACGGCCATGTCGTTGGGGTCTATCGCAAAGGATAAACAAGAGGCGGTTTTGGCTGTGGTCCACTGCCAAATTTCTGATTTGAGGCTCACCAATCTCATAATTATTATCCTCAACATCGATTACACAGAGCTTGAAGCGCAAGTCGGTCAATTGCAGGACCGTGTAGAGGTGCTGACGGCTGAAATCAGGGCTATCCGAGACAGAGAAGTGAGTTATTCAAGCTTGAGCTTGGTCGGGGAAATCGAATTCCAGACAGCTCTGCAAGAGCTGCCAACGCCTCCATATGGCAATGAACAATCCAACTTGGAACTGCGGAGCCTCGTGAGTGCGAAAGAGGTTTGGGTCCTTTTTATTCGTATACCTGAAATGATTGCGCATGTCTGTGATAATAATGGTGAGTGGTGAACGGTGACTGATCACTACGCTTCCCACTAGAATCGAGAGGCATCTGTCCTATCTAGCGTGCAAAAACGTCCTCTCTTGGGTTCTGGTATAAACAACTCTCCTGGTGGCAGGATTTCTTCGCCTCTTAGCCAACCCAAGAAGCGCCGCTTGAAAGTTGAAGTATGAATTGACTCTCCACGCTGTCTCAACAGTCCAAGGTGAATCATTTTTCACTAATCTTCTGCTGGTGTACTATATTATGCCCAGGGCAGGAGAGCATCGAATCCCAAATCCGGAAGTTGGTGTTGACACTGCTAAAACAGCGTTCAATCGGCACGGCCAAGTCTATGAGGCTTTGTATGCTCAGCAAGCTGTGGTCACTAGACATCATTCGCGGTGAAGTCTTATTCTCGATATCAGAGTTGTGCTGAACGTCGTGAACACGGAGGCCGTCAAGTTTGCTCTTGACGGTGATGATGGTCGATTAGGATCAACTGAGCTGGGGTGGTGGTAGGGTGTCTTCAAGAAGGTGATCATCGATAGGATTAGCGGGGCCTGGTTCAACGTAAGCCACCTAAGAAAGCTAAGTGCGAGGAGTCCTGAGTTAATCATCAACTGCGACGGCGACCAACCAACATCATGTGCACCCTCCTCTCTCTACCTATCGAGTTATTGCTTCATATACTTCAGCTATCGCTCTTTGGGAATCCAGAGCCTTCTAATGTTCTTAGGCTGAATCGATACATCTCCAAGCTCGCCACAGATATCTTGTACACCAGCCCGCATCTGATCTCTGTGGAATCCCTGCGCAAGTTTCCCGAATGTCCAAAGAAGAGACCCAGAGCTCTTGTTGTGGATTTGGCAGGGGGAGAAGTAGGCGGCGGAGCATTTCGCCTTATGTGTCGCGTATTCGAGAGCTGTCTGCGCGCACCGTGGACCCGAGGTGTAGAAGAACAGCATGAAGGGTGTGAAGATTCCGCGAACGAGACACTACCACTCGAATCGTTGCGGCTCTGTTTGCACTCAACAAACAGCCCAATCGTCGACGATGTTTCGCTTGCGGCTCTTAGTCTCGTGAAGTGAGTCCATATGTCATATGACCCCTTTTATGACACATCTGCAAAGCATACGAACATGTTCTCGCTGTTGCGTCATATAGCCCGAAGATATTTCTCTGGACAGGCCCCGATCCTGCACATCACTTCTCAACAGCGGTGGGTGAATCCAAAAGAACCAGTCTATCTGATGATCTGACGACCTGCTGCGGGCTACTCGATTCATTAGATCGTACCAGCCGCTTTTGATAGCCTTGTTCTTCATTTTCCGTTATGGTCTTCGCTCCGAGTACTCCACCTCGCCAACGTCGCATTCTCTCCCACATTTTCGGCCTCGACACTCATTCCTCCCATACCGACGCTCGAAACGATTCACATCGGTCAAGCGACCATCCTCCCGATCACTCCGCTCGCGGCACTCCTCTTCCACACGGATGCACGGTCGCTGTCGGCTGTGCAACTCGTTGATTGTTACGTAGAAAGCATATGGGGTCCGCGTATCAGGCGGCGAGACATCGAAAGAGCAGCCGTTGACCTTGCGACCGAAGACTTCGGACATAGGTGTGAAGACAAGCATACTTCCGCATACGATGAGTCTTGTACGGCAGCGAAGGCGCAGCAGGCTGTACAGAGGGTGAGATGCATTGTCAGATGTGAAGTGCTAACGGAGAGGATCATCGGCGGAGATCGAGTAGAAGGGAGCGCGATCCTGGAATAGATGCCGATTCGACCAACGCCAGCTCTCGCCAGCTTTAGACATCTGAAAAAATGGTCAAGTGTCTTCCATAGGAATATCGTACAGCTAGGCTTATGTCTGTATGTAAATTATACACATCTGCAAAAACATGTTGACGCTTTCCCACTACAACGCAGCCTGCAAGTTACACCCATTTATGTGGCCGTTGGACTGAGCATTTGCTTTGTTGATCATGGCGGCAAAGCTGGAATTTCATATTCTTCCGACTGGAGCTCCACAGCGGCATCATAATCGTCTCATCAACAGCATTATTTTGTGTCCTTGCGATTTCCAAATCCATCAGGCACCACACATAGATCTTCTTTCTCAACAAATATTTTTGGCCGGCTAGGTAGTCGAGGGTAGTCGACGACCTTGCGGGAGCGCATATCCGGCCTCGTGCACGACAAACATCGAGCAAGCGACGAATACGACATCATAAAGTTTAGTGTGTTGGAAATAATTGACATAGCCCCAAGAAATGCAGAGGTCTTGATATCTGGCAACGTGGAGAGACGGCGTGGAGATGATGCGCAGGATGGTTGCCTAATGTCGAGTGCGCACTCGACGGATCGTCTGAAGCCAATCGCCGCCCACGATCTCCCAGATTCCAGGGCCAAGTATGCGTACCACCTCTTGCTGTTGGCCTTGCTGCCCATAGGCATTCTCCGGTGTCACAAGATACAAATTATACTCATATAATTCACAGGTAGCCGATCAGACGACATCACCTATCAGCACCTCGCAGCAGTTCCGCTTTTTGACCTCAGATCTCCCCAATACCCACTTTTTTCTCCCTACTCCGACAGAAAGGAAGCAAATGCGCGCTTCCTGATGCAGATGGGCTCGCCTAGTGTTGCCCCGTCTCGGATCCCAATTTCCAACGTGATGCATCCGTCGAGGTTCTCGTAAACCCTCAACTGAGTTGGATCAGGTTCAGGGGATCGACATGGCCAAGCGTGTCAGAGCGTGGCCGGCAACAATGACATAGCGCCGCAGGACATAGCCTTACCTCCATAGCACGCTCCAAACGAAAACCTGGCTTCGCCACGCTGATGCCACGCCTCGCCACGCACAACTCCCGACCTTACGTCCTTGACACATTCCTCAGTGATCAAGAACCACGAGAGATCCGTTGGCGATCACAACATGCGTGCAGCCTACCCCAGCCTACCCAAGTCGCTGGTCCCACCATCAGCTGCATCAGAACAAGAAGAAGGTCGTCTCGGTGACCATCGCAAGTTTTTAGCTTGATCAAACATAACCTACCTGCACACCACTTGCACGCCACCATATCTTCATATCAATACTTCCGATCATCAAAACGGCAAGTGCAGACCGAAAATTGTTACAGTCGTTGATCCGACGACCAAGAAAATTAAGACATATTTGTATCCGACGCAAGGCATTTGAGACAGAACCCTTCAACGGACGAAACACAATGGACCGAGTAGTGTCAACTATGGAAGAGGGAAAAAACGGGTGGGCAGCGATATGGTTCGCGAACATACTACAGACTACAACATAGTTTATGTGATGCACACAGGGAAAGGTGCTAGATTGTGATGTCACGTATATATAATTACTATAAGCGGGAGAGATCGTGAAATAGTTTTGGATAGTGCGTGGAAGTAAGACAACTGTTGACGGGAGGCATACGATAGTTGCGTGGGCAAGGAAAGGTGAAACAACGGAGTGATTGTGATATACATGCACAGCGAAAAGAGCAAAGTGAGCTTTATGAAGAGACGCGACGAAATCATTATTATGTGTTCGGAGGTGCTAGATTATCTGTGCATATTGTTAGCACATCCACGAAGATAGATAATAATAAGAGAAAAAAAACGCACTGAACATCTGGTACTGGTCCTGCAGGTAAATCTGCTGCTGTGATAGTTTCCCATGGACCTGAGCCTGATGCGTGGACGACTGATGCGATGACGGCTGCTGTGATGGCGTTGCCGACTGCAACTGGTCCTGTAACATGGGCAGGTAAGGCGCACTCAACTGCCCCAGAGTCGAATAGTCGTTCCAATATTGAGGATATCGCTGAGTGCCCACTCCGCTCCCGCCGGATTCGGGTGGTGCCCCACGTGACCGCTCGTCGACGAAGCCCGTGCTATACTGCTGCGGCAGCACCGACGTCGACAGGCTTCCGGCGAACGACCCGAGGCCTCCGTCACCGGGCCAGCGGTCGTACGAGGAGTAATACGGCATATTACTGATCCCTGCACTGCCACTTCCACTCGAATGTGACGTGGGGCTTGCGTTCGGAGGCATTGACGCCGCGAGTGCGGAGAGCGGGTAGCCTTGTGTCGGAATCGTGTTCGGTTGCCGCGACATCGGCGCGCCAGCGAAGAAGTGGGCGTCCTCCAAGAAATGCTCCGCAGATCGCTTGTGCCGCGGGGCATGTGCCCTCGCATCTGCCATATCTGCCTCGTCGGCGTTCAGATTCACCTTCGACCCATGTAAAAGTTCCCAGGCACGACCCGCGCTCGGCCACACGATCTCCAATGCTTTCAACACGTTCATGATCGTTGTGAGGCCGAGTCGAGCCTGCGGGTCTTCCGGGTAGGCAGTGACTGTGCGCAGATGTCCGAAACGGACGCAATTGAGAACCAACTGCGGTGAGATGAGACGAACAAGACACTCACGCGTGGTAACATGCATGATGCCGGCGGTGAATACATAATACGATAAGAATACGGGGGCGCGTTTGATGCAGTAGTTTTCCTTGTATGTCGCCACTGTATGTTGGGAACCGAATGAGAAGATGAGAATGGGTGGAAACGGGACTGCGCACCGATCGAAGTGATGTGGTTCGCCGCCTGCACACACTGATCGCAATTCTTCTGAGAAATCGCGAGCACCTCAGGATCTTCCCGAGAGCCAGACCTGTCACGAAAAGAAACATGAGTACATCAGGCGATAGTGTCATCCATACAGAATCCGAGACCCACCTTTTGTCCTTGACTTCTAGCACATATCGAATACTGCCAAATGGATGAGCAAATAGCATCCCCACGCGCGGGAGAACAAACTCACAATGGCCGATGTAACAGCAACACAACGCACCAGTACTGCATATGCAGCGTCAAAACGTGGGGCGGGGGCGTCATCCCCCTTTTCACACTACCAGGCTCGAAGCGCAAGTGGTCTGGAAGCTCAAGGAACCATTTTCCCAGGAGCTCCTCGAGTCGCAACGCCTCGGAGTGCCGCCCAGGGCCGGATCGCACGGCGTACAGCGCTTGGACAATTTTACTTAGAATGATAGCTATCAAGATAGTTCTGAAATCAACACCAAAGCGTGAGCGATACAACAAATAAATACGCACAGAGAGTGGCGGACGCATTGAAACTTGAGATGATGTGCCCCGTGACGGAGACGAGAGGAAGTGAGGGCTCCCGTTCATCTTCTTCATAGATGACTGAGTCTGACGAGTATGGCCGCCATTCTTCCAATTCTTCAGGCTGTGAAACCATGTCGTGAGTTGGAAATCAAGATAAGTGGATTATGCGCGCACCTCGTCCAGGCTGGGCAGTTCAGTATTGAAGTCCCTCTCAAAGATGGACAGCGGCCGACCAATGTACGTCGAGACGTACTTATCCATGACCACGCACGCATACCATATCCGCCTCCTCTCCTGCAGTTCCGCGGGGCTAAACAACGATGTGCCGACGTGCTGCCATCGATCTGCACTCTTGTGTATACCTAAGTCTTGCGCCATCCGCACTGCCATCCCAACGTAGAGCCATGCCTGCGCCATCGCGCCGATACCGATCTCGCGGTAGCCCATAAGCAAGAGCGCCTGACATGTGCTTGAACGCGAGCTCGCGTACGAGCGGTTCAGGAGCGTCTTGGCGCGGGCGAGGTACAGGTCACCTGCGGGCCAGAGCATGCCAGCCGCAGGCGCAGGTGAGTCGCGCGAGGTATATCGCGAAGCAATTGAAAACATGACGAGCAGGAGGAGAGGTGGAATGCATGAGCGCCGGTGGCCAAGGGGCGATGAGTTGTTAGAAGGGGATGTGGGGTCGGAGCCGTTTGAGTTAGGGGAGCCTTCAGCGGGAGCGATTTGCCTGGCCGCGAATGATACCGTCAATCGGAATCGACTATAGACAAGGTGAAAATAACTCACCCGTTCCGGAAGATTTCCAGGAAGGACTGCTTGTGGACGATCGGTAGCGAGGGATGAACGTACGTGAAGTATAGCTCAAGCAGATGTTCCTGCATCGGCATGTCTGGTAGGTGAAAGTCGCTATCCTCTTCGATCTGCGGCGGTACTGCCCACCGTAGCGGGGGCCACACGCCTGCCTTCGGGAACCGCCTGTGTGGCGCAGACGTACCCAGCATGTGGACAAATCGACAAGCCGACATATGAACAGAGGGACGGGTCAGCATAACACGACTGAAAAGGATGACCGTGCCGAAGCGAACTCATACGTACCAAATCCCGCCCTCGCTCCTTCCGTCCTGGCGGTCTTTTACATGCAACAAATGGAGTCCGCTGGCCTTGCCATGGTATCGCACCTCCCTCTCCTCGTTCAAGCTCAACTGACCCACCTCGGCCGCGAGCTCGTCATCCTCCGAGCTCTCGTCCAGTACATCGGGCATCCAGACTTTATCCCGCAAATGGGCATGCACGTTCGGCGACAAACTCGCGGAGCCTGTTGGCGAGCGCGAACGGGATTGCGAGTGCGAGTGCGGGCGCGGATGCGACTCCGGGCCGGAAAACGATGCGGAAAGCGAGACGGAACCGACTCGCCTTCGCTGGCGGCGCGCAGGCGAGAGCGATCGGCGACTGATTCCTGGGCCAGGGGGTATGATGGACAACGAGGGCCGTGCGCTCGTATTTGTCGGTGAGTCGAAACTCGCGTTGAGGTTGGAGCCTGACGGCGGCCGGTCCGAATCGTACGCCGCGGCGGACGGAGCGGAGGGGTACTGCAAGACAGGCGAATCGCCTGGCGCGTACGCGTTCTGTTTTCGGGCGAGTGCGAGCGCATTCAGGCGCGCCGCGACACGGTCTTGCCATTCGTTTGACGGGCTACGAGAGAATCCGAGTTAACATGATTATAATGGACATGATGAAAGGGAAAATAGTAAGGAGCTTACTGAGTTGACTGCAATGATGGCGAGTCGCCATTTTCTCCCTCACCATCGCCTGACTGTGACTGTGATTGAGAGACAACGCGGGCACGATTGCCGCCGACGGCCTCAGCACCACGGCTGCGGCCCTTGACGCCGTACGGCGAATTGTCAACACGCTCGATGATCTCTCTTGCGAGGGCATCCTATGCAATGGAACGGCGTTCGTCAGCCGGTATTCATCAAGGCGAGTGCGAGTGCATTGTGCAACATATGCATGCGCATAGTCATGCGTACGGGCATGTAAACGTGGGTCATATATGCACACGGAACCGGGACGCGGCCTTTCAGACTCGTTGCAAAACTCACCTGCGCAAGATCATCAAGTAGCCCCCGCGCACGCACGTCGTTTGCGGCGATCATGATCCCGATGAGAGCCTCTGTCTGATGCAAACGCGCCTCGATCGCGTCGATGTAGCCCTTCGGCGGGCCACGCTTGCGCGACGGGCCGAGAAACGTACATGCTGTCAGCGGTATAAAAAAAAGGAGAGAAATGGGTCAGTTAACCTCGCGCAAGATATCGAGGAGGAGGAAAGGAAGAGAAGGAGAGAAAGGAGAGATAGCGGGGAGAGCGGGCGGGTGTACACTTGTGTGCCGTGGACCGCGCTGACAAGTCCACGACCGCGGATCCACGTCGTGCTCATCTACGCCCCGCCCAGCTGTCTACGCCGACCAGTCCACAGACCGTGCAAGTGCACAAGGCGTATCCCTGGACCCGGGAATGAACCCGTGGACAGAGCCATGTGCACTGTCGGTGGATCGAAAAAGCAAACGCCGCACCACAGAATGAACGGAAGCCTGCCCACATCCATCCAGCCACGAATGAAACCACGAAACGACACCAAGGCGCTGAATACGTAAATGCTGAAGCGAAAAGAGTCTTCCATCTCAGCACAGAGTGAAGACTCGCTTTCCGAGACGCACTTTCGCCGACGCACGAGCTCGGATGTATAAATAGAACGAAACTCGAAACCATAGAAAGGGAAAGAAACAGGCGCAATGACACGCAATACGGGCCGATAGGCGAAGACGGACCGAACGAACGTCGAGGGGCACATCTCGCGAAAGCCAATGAAAACAATGAAACGCCAATGAAACACAAAGGCAAAGAAGTCGAATGCATTCGAGTGGAAATAGTCAAAGAGACAAAGGAGGGGGGAACTCACGCGTTCCGAGCATCAAGCAGCTCTTGCACGGCTCGTTCTCACTTGCGCGCTCGCACTTGCATTTGGACTTGCGGCATTGGTCGCACGCTATACATACCCAATTCCATCAGACCGCCCATGAGCAGGGACGGGTGAAAGGGCGACCGGGCGAAAAGGGACGGGAAGTATGATATCACCGTGCATGGAGTAAGAGCAGAAATAGAAAGAGGAGCCCGAGTCAGTCACCATTTAAAGCAGAAGCAGAGACAAAAGACGTCGAAGTGGAGAGGAAGGGTGCGGCGTCGGAGAAACACGAGGTGACTCGGGACGAAGAATGGGGAATAGGATAACGCAAGGCCAACCAACAGAGGGAAAGCCAAGACGTACCTTTACTACTCCGTCTCCTGATCACCTTCTCGAACGATTTCTGCCCCGCACCTCCTCCAGACCCAGACCCAGACCCAAGACTGCCGCCGCCGCCGCCGGCGTGTGCAGGGCCGGGAGCCGGAAGCTCCCCAAGCTCATCCTGATCGTCGTAGTCGTCCATAGTGAGCACATGCTGGTCGTTCAGCGGCGGCAAGCTCAGATGAGGGTGCTGCTGGTGTTGATGGGGGTGTTGATGGGGGTATTGATGCGCGTGTGGGTGGTGAGATGAGTGGTGCACATGGGACGGGTAGTGGTGAGCGCCGGCGGCCGACGACCACGCCGCGGCGGGCTGGGACATGAAGCTAAACGACGGGAGCCCGTGTGGGTGGTTGCTGCTGCTGCTGCTGCTGCTAATATGATTGTTATTAAGCGGGTGTGAGTTATGAGGCGTCGCTGTGCCGAAGCGGAAGACTGCGGACGCGGACGCAGAGGCGCCGTTGGCGATGCCGGCGCCGTTCGTGTGCGAGTGGGGATGGGCAGCGAGCGAGTAATGCTGTTGCTGCTGTGGCGGTGGCTGTTGGACGGAGATGGTAGGGATGTCGGGGGGTGCAGGGGACTCGGATTTGACGTGAAACGTGTGCTGGTACTGACGCGGGTCTGTCATCGAGAGCGGACGAGCGTGAGCGTGTGCGTCGATATGGTTACTATTGTAGTGCACGGGCGCTGGAGCGGAGAGCGGGAGGGAGAAGGTGGGGGTGGAGGGGACAGAGAAAGGGGCAGGCATTTGGAGGTCGGAGAGGGAGGAGACAAGAGGTAACAGGAGGAGAGAGGAGGAGGAGGGGACTCACGGGTAGAATATAATTTGTGAATAATAAAGGAGAGGCCGGGGGAGTCGCCGAAGGGAGGACGGACGGACGGACGAGGGGCTGCTCTCGGTCGGTTCTCGCTCGTGGTTGAGATTCGCGTGGCGTGCTTCAGATCGCTCGCAAACACAGCGGAAATGGCCCGGAGCGGAGCCGATCGACTAGCTCAGCAGCTATGTAACAAACAGGTCAGCGCCCCAGCCTCGCTCCTCCACCAAGATCGATCGCTCGGATCGTCCGCACCTCGAAACCAGTCCCGGTCCAACCCGCTTACTTGCGCTCCTTCAACGCGCCGCGTTCGAACGGATCCACGCGCCTTGCTTGATCTGGGGAATCAGCAGGAGCAGACGGCTCGTACGGCGGTATCGTGTTCGCAGCAAGACGGGTGTTACGAGCAGGTAACACAACTACGGCCGCGTCTCGTTCCTTCTATTCTAATTCCCCTCGAGCTCCCCCACGTGGACCTCCCGTTGTGAACTTGTGAACCTTAAAACTGGCTCGCATCCACTGCGGCGCCCCGCTGAATCAGCCCCAATACAATAGGACCCAACGCAGCCGTTCGACGGCCCAGCATCGGACGGTGTTCTCAGCCCCCTCTCTGACGGTGCTCAGTCAGCCTGCGGCCTCTCTCACCCGCTCGTCGGTGCACTGCGAAGGGCGAGAAGCGCATCCTGGGTGGGACAGAGCTTCTCAGCCGCACGTCCAGATTCGGCAACCGCGCGCCGACAGCTTGCCACCGCGCTCAGCGAGCGCACAATGGAGGATGTGAACCCGTGGGCAATCATTGCCTCTTTGGCGCCGACATGGGGTCTCGCGTTCGCACTTCGGAGTGTCCACCATGTGCACGGCACGGACGCACTTCCGTCCTCACGGCCCTTCCTTACTGGTTGGCTTGATTAGGCTTACTCGCGCGTCGGGAGCTCTCGTCTGCCATCAGAATCAGAGTCAAAATGCACTGAGAACCTTGAAACACTGATGTGGCCAGCGTCGCGAATAGGTGCGCCCCATCAGCGCCGGAACTGCTCAGGATATCAGAGGCCCATCACCCTCGCCATCCAATCGACAACGTTCATCTCAGTTTGCCCCCAACGGACCTTAGGCGATGGGGACAAAGTCCTACATAGGGACATGCGAAGACGAGACCCACTCAGCTGCTCCGAGTCCTCGAAGCCGCTCTCTTTTCCTTGTACTTTCTCGTTCTCGAGAAAGAAGCATTGCAGGACAGTAGCATGACCCCACGCGGTTCGGTGCCGCTCCCATGCTCGTCTCCGCTCCATCTGCTTCTTTGAACATATTCTCCGATTCTCACCCGTCGCCCTCACGTCGTCTCGCGAAATCGTGTCGTCGTTTGAGTGCCTTTGACACATCGAATGCGTTTGTCCTGTGGCCTGACTTTCCATCACAATGTCACACTGTCCGCCTGGTCAATCCCGTACGTTCCTTGCTTTATGGCATTCGCCTCTTCGACCCCTTTCCGGGCCTTTCCCCTTGACCTTCGTTACCCCTTTCAAGCCCTTTCACAGCGAAATTGTCCCAAGACTTACTCATATCCGTGTACTATATAGCAAATGCGTCATTCTGGGGGTGCCGTCAGGTCCCTTCCTTCTCTAGCTATACGTTTCTTCTATACAAATATTATTCTGTGACCTTTAAAGTCCTTAAGATCCACCCAACTCCCCGTGCCGGCCCGCGTTCCAATTCCTCCGAATTCGGATCAGTTCGTTCTTCCGGCTTCATCCGGTTCGAACTATATGATTAGGACCGATTCCAATCAGTCCAATCCAAATCCACCCTCGATCGCCCGACGCCCGCACCACCCGCTCCGGATCGTATTTTTTATCAGATCTTTTCCTTTTCATCTCTTTCTATTGCTTCTCTCCGCATCTTGTCCCTTTTTCTTTTTTTTTTCATTCCCTCGATTTCTCTGGAACCCGTATCCCTGCCATCCTCGAGGCCACCATACATACCCTGTTTTTAGTCCTCGCCAACGTCTCCTCTTCACCCGCCCCCCCAAAAGGAACGCCACGTACGTCACAAGTGATGCTAATCACTCAAAAATTGTAATTGTGATCTGCAATTGAGGCCGGCAAGGGGCACCTTGCATCGCCTGCTCCGCCTTCTTGTCGAGTGCTTCTTCAACGCCGTTGATCACGCTGACGGCCTTCCGTCGACTCAAAATTGTTGACCACTTTCTACCATCGCATGCAAGCAAGTTTCGTTTGGCTATCCGATCGCGCGCTTGTCGACCGTGCAATTTAGACGCGTCTCTCCATTCTTCAGAGCCCCATTCTCTATGCTCCATTCGCCGCTCTTTTTTTTTTTTTGTTTCGGACCGTTGACAGCTCGTGAAGGACGCGCATAGTCGCCGTTGCGCGTCGCATCATTAACTGGCAGCTCCTCTCCGCCGATAAGCACTGCCCCCTGCAGCTCTCACGTATACCGCACCCCGAAAATTTGTGTACGTCGATGCATGTCGAGCTTTGGGGCCTTCGAATCTTTCGCTGGGTCGGCAACCGGAACATGAGTATGCCGTCCGCAGAACCTCGTTCCGAGATGAACGCCAGCTGGTCGTCGTACGGCGGCTACGGCTGCTGACCAGGATCCTCGAAAAGTTCATATGAAGTTTCGACGGCGACGACAACGACGCCGTTTAGAAGCCTCGAGGTCGCCCAACAATGTCCTAATTCCGTATTCACATAAGTACGTACGGCCGGAGAGAGCGTTGATGTTGATGTTGGTGATAGTTGATATCATCATAGTCTGAGCTCCTTCATCGTGAGGCTGCCTTCGGCCTTCGGCCATGAGACCTCCTCGACGAGGTTGCTTGCCGTAAGTACATAACTCGTCGAGCGGGTAACGCAGCAACGCGATGGTCGCGAACTTGCCGGCCCATTCTAGTAGTTCGCCATGGCCAACGAGACCCTGCACGAGCAAACTCAACACCTGTGACTTGGACGGAAAGTCTTGGGTTCGTACCCCTTACATATAATGTCGCTCATTTCATCTCTGACGAACCCCAAGGGGGGTTCCCGGTCCTGATCGGTGATCAGAACCTTAGAGCTTTTCCAGGCCTTTCGTTGCTCCTAGTAGCTCACGTCCCTGAGGGGAAGGTTTAGAAGCAATAGAGAAAGTCACCGAAGCGAAGGGATAGAAGCAGCAAGCAGGGCTGGAGGAAGGGGAGACGAAGCCAAGAACGGGATATGTCGGAGTGGATGACAATCACTGTTTCAGCCTGATTTCGACAGGATCCGACGCGCTGTACGCCGTGAATGTGGTCGTTGGGATGGCCATGATGGATACGACCGCACTGTATACGCAGCGCCTCGCTCCGATGTCGGTGAGCGCAGTAAAGTCCTCATTCTATCTGCGCAGGACTGAATCTGATTTAGATCTTACGGCACGTAGCGATGCCACCACCAGCAGGGCTTGACAGAGCTTTGCAGTGCTTGCGAGGGCGCCGCAGTCCAACAAACCAAATAGCAGACACCCTTGAACCACGTAAACCGGCGGCTACCGAAGACTTATACTAATACTGAATGCACGCGGTTGGGTCGGGTCGTCTCTGATCGTCAATAACACCCTGGTAACCCGACCTGACCCAATATGCCAGAGTATGCCGGAGTATGTCTAGTAATTTCCCTTTCTACAGCCTCCGAGGATACGGTCCAAGCTGAGTCCAGCACTAGTCCAGCGCGCTGCGGATCGATAGTGATCGACCCAACATGCTGCGGACGACATTTCTGTCGAACGCGCTGTCAAAAATGTACCTCACCTTAGTCTCACCTTCCTCTCCCTGTCGCCGAGTCAGCAAAATGACGTCGTTCATACCTGTTGGCTTCCATTGGCCTCCGTTGACAGCCCTGGATTAAAATAAATTTACAAAACGAACGCCGCCGGCCTTGGTCTTCAACCAAGTGTTGTGCAAACATCGAGACACGCTTTCTCGTCTGGAGTCTCTATGAGTCGAGGTGACATGGGAACACTTCATGTGGCAATTTAAGCGATATTGGTGCTTGCATCGCGACGCTTGACGATTAGATGAGTGCAAGAGCAGGGAGGGAAGTGCCGCGCGGAGGGAATAGATTGCCATAAAAGGTTCTCGAGCTGGCGCGTACGAACGGACGGACCGCGTTGCAGCACATGTCGCGGAGTGGGGTTCGGCCGTTCGAGCAGCGTTCGATGCGTTCGATTTTCTTGGCCAAGCAGCTGACGTTGCGAGAAATTCGTCATGCTGAGACCCTGACCCGACGTAAAATTCCCCTTATTTGAAATTGAAATGCCATGAGAAGATGTGATCGACAATGGGTTTCTGGATCCAGATCCAGATAGATCGGATCTCGGTGCGTGTGAGGAGCAGAGGGTGAAGAGAGACACAGTTAGCACCATAGAATACTGTCAAATATTCAAACTGCTAGACTGAGTTGTTGTCTACCTTCACAACCGTCTACAAAGCCGTCATTAAGATATCAGAGTCAAGTTAGATGCGGAACCATAGACAACTAACCTAGTAGATTCATGTGTGAGCATCTTTCGTTTGCTTAAACTTAGCACAGACAGCAGCCTAGGCCCGTGTGGTGACCGTTGCAATGACCGTCTTGAGTGGCCATGGTGATCATCCCCTAGACTTCCCGCACAACCTCCAAGGTCTGATCCCCAGGACAGGAAGCAAGCCCTCGTGCCCGTGCACAACGCGGAGCGACCGCTATCGCACTGCAATCGACCTACATACTCCCAGCTCCGACGCCCAGCTGATAGCCTTTGGTTCAAACCCTGCTCCGCATCGGCTAAATTCAGTGACTTGCGCACGTCTCACACGTCTTCAGTATTTCATAAATCACGGTGGGAATCGGAGGGAATCGCAATCACCTCTCCATTGAGGCAAGGAGTCACCCAATTTAGACTAACTTATAATTCGACGGATCAAGATCCTGTCCGAGAGGCCCTGGAAAGCCGAATCACGATTGCTACTACAACTTTCACCTATTACTGTGGTGCTTGATCATTGGATTGAAGTTGCTCACCAGTATCCGTTGTTAAGTGACAGGACGGTTGTAGTTGCAGCCGCGTACGAGGAGAAGTCGGTCGCAGGAATGAGATCATCGGTCATATAGCCCTTTGTCTATCGGATGACACGAGATTCCTTGGATGTTCAAAAATGTTTCCATTTTGAATAGGTCGGCTCTGGTCGGCTGCCTTTAGCAATGGAGGTCAAGCCCCTAAACGGATCCTGTTGTAAGTCGACAATAGGGGAGTGGTCCGTGTGTCCTTCGAAGTGGTTCTCGGTCCTCGACGAGACTCAAGACCTCCACTGAATTTAGGCGTACGAGTCTGAAGTATACAGAGACCGAGTGCATCTCGACTAGAGCATTAGGGGAAGCGAGAGAAGATCTGAGTTTGAGTTCACGAAATTCGCATATCATGAATAGATACCGTGGTAGGAAATCCATGAAGCCCGGACTCGCTCCTCACAGGCTCTGCGGGAGCATACTTGGCTTGGAATCTGCGACGACTAGAAGAATTTTCGCCTTGCATCACAAGGGTAGGCTACAAGTAGTTGTAAATGTACAGATGTCGGCTTGCGAGCCTCACAACGACGCTAGTCGTGCCACGAGCAGGGCCCCCATATCGAGAGGGGGCAGGTAGCAAACCCGATGGATATGATCACAATGAACCACCGCGATAGCGAAGGGATGACCCTGAATTGATTTCCACCCAGTAATTTAGATATCTTTGCTGAAGCAGCCTTGGTGTCTGAGCGCTATACACGAAATATAGCTTGCACAGGACCTAAGTGGAACGGTGAGAAACTGTCGAAGGAGTATTCTCGGAGCATCAGCACAGCTAGTGTGTGACGGCGTTGCTCGATGTGGGTGAGTGGCCGTGAGGTGTGAGGCAAGCGACGGTTCCGGCAGTAAGTAAATGGACAGCAAAGAGGGACTCTGGACACGGTGCTTGGCGAAATTTCAGCAATGGGGTGGAGATAGGGTGTAGAGCAGGATGAGGTTGGATATTGCATTTTGCGTGAGAGCCCTATGCGTGCACGAAGGATACGAGGCAAGAGACGTTGTGCCGCTGCACCATAAAGCAAAGCTGCTGCCATCAGATTTGAGAGAGGAGGATGGCATGTAGCACACAGTATGAGTGAACAGGGCCGGCGTACGACCGAACTGAATTCTGCTGGGGCAGAGTTGGATACAGAATTCGAGTGGGAAAGAAGGGCCACATAGATGATCTTTCCAGTGCATTTCCTGACACGCGTGGCACGCAAGAACGCGTGCTCGGGGAGAACACGAATAGATCGCCGGAATGGATGGCTCTGGGAAGTGGGAAACGGGGAAAGGAACGAGACGAGGAAGACAGGGCCTAGAATGGGAGAGAAGTAAGGAAATAAAGTTGAGAGAAGCCTTCAGGGGGAATTCGAAGGGTCGGAATTCGAAGCTTGGAGGCAAGTTCGAAACGTGCCACGTATAAGAACTAGATGCGGCTTGCCGACTTCGAAATTCTGATGTACACCTGCCAATTGTGGGATCGAAGAGTCGTAAGGATCGAGAGCAGTTCTGCGTCGGTAAAGTAATGTAATCTCCGCCGTGGTGTGCTTGTTCACAATTGAGGGAATTCGAAGAATATCTTGTTCGGTATTTGATTGTTGATAAGTCGATAGCAAAGTTTGGATATCATAGCTGTCGACACTAAACCACTGACATTAAAGATCAGATCCGACCATTTATGTCCTCGGCATCGAACGAAGATGACCATGGGAGCCGTGTTAGCCCCATGTCGAGATGTTTTTCCCATGAAACACGAACCTCTGCCTGAACCCACAGGGGCTAGTATGCGAAAACCTATCATTTATGAAGGTGAACAAAGGCTGGAACATGAAACTTTGACACGATCTTGGCGAACAGAAATCCATCTGTTTGAAACGTGATGACACTGTTATTGTGAAAAAGATTAGTTGTTTATCATGAGAAAGTACATGCCAATCAGTCGATCGAGGCCGCATACCTACGACCCATGCCATGTCGATAGGCAGAAAGCTCCGTGATGCCTTCAGCAGGATTTAAAAGCTATCACAAGACCAAGCAAGAATGCCGTGGCATCCCAAACAAGATAGGTCGAAGTTCTTGGTACTATCGCATGATCAACAGATTATCGCACTCGGGCCTTAAATTGCAAGGTTTGGACCCTGGTCGAAGTTGTAGCTGAGAAGCAATACCTGGAGTGTGTGTTCTACGCTCGCAATATAGCAAGCGAGTGTTTCGAGAGGCAACGGGCGACAAGGTCACAAACTGAAGCTCAGGTTTAGTTCTAAGGCTTCGTATGAGTTGGAAAAACCCGAGGTTAGCAGAGTTGTGGGGGAAAGTGGGCTCAGGATGCGCACTGGAAAGACAACATCACATGAAGAAAGGCTTGCATTCATTGTAGGATCTTAGAGGCACATCTCTGACACAAACCCTAGCTAGCACATACCTAATTTTTGATCGTCCCTTGATTCTATGGTACTTTCAGAACTTCTGTAAGGAAGAGCGGAAGCAGACATAAGCTTGAAAAATATCTAGCAAGGACAGATAGGAAACATAAGTATGGACACTCGGCCCGACTTGTGAAAGCTCAGAATCAAAGCGGCGCAGTGCCCTCGAGTCTCACCAAAGTATGCATTGACTATAAAGGAAGTACAATCAGCGCGAACTGTTTCGAGGATTTCGGCATGGTGTCAATGTACTCACAATGATATCCGCTCTTCGTACGCGCAGCTATCTAGCAAGGGCATTGGTGGAAGAGCGGGGCAATAGATGGTCATCAAAAACTCGCCATAATGAGCCTGAAAGAGAAGAGCTCGATGTAGCTATGGAATCGCCATTTCGTCTATGATGAGACTTTAGGACATCGTTCACCGAGAAGATGTATTTGTTCCTCGACAACAGTAGAATGAGATGTGTTGCGTTGAAAAATCAAGAGGGGACTGTCGTGGCGTAATACGGTTGACGTTCAAATTCAACTGCGACAGCAATTTCTCACGATCTATCAGTTGCGAGTCTTGCGACTGCTGCGGCGCTGCCAACAACTTGAAAGCTTGGGACACTCTAGTGAATGCTGGAACATCGTTGACGTTCGTGCAATGGAATACGATGGTATCGTCGCAGATCTGAACCAGGTAATTCTCCAAACTTGTGCTCAAAGCACAACCGTTGCTGACCTGCCGCTTACAATAATACCAATCATATGTGCTTTGTACGCGCTTCATTTTCCACAGAATTCCCCGATTTCCCGTCTTGTTCCTGACATCCTCATCGATATATTTCAACGCGTGCACAATCTTCATATGAACGAGTGGAACCCCCGAAATTACGGACTCCTCGACATCTCCCATGGCCGGATAGCCCTCACCCGCGTTTGTCGCCGCTGGCGATCAATCTCACTCAACATGCCTTCTCTGTGGCGAAACATAACTTTTTCTACGCCGGGATGGACGCAAGAAATGCTGTTGCGCTCGCGTCCGTTGTCTGTTGATATCCATTTCAACTCGGACTGTCATCGAGATTATGGCCCCGGAAAGCGGGATTTATCAGAGTTGAATGCACTTGCTGTGGAGAGCATCTCGCGGGCGCGGAAGCTACGATTGGTGGACAAGGTGGTAGATGTGATAATTCTTTCCGTAACACCCGCCCCATTGCTAGAAGAGCTGCACCTTTCCCGACTCTATCCACATCTGCGACACGCTACACGTATCGTCCCACCATCCATCTTTGATGGAAAGGCTCCCCGCCTCCAGAAGCTATTCCTCCACGAGTTGACCATTCATCCAGCTTCTCCGATCCTCTTTGGCCTGACGTTCTTGGAAATTCGCAATGGAGCCGGTGCCGCACACCACCCACTGTCAGAATGGCTCCACGCCCTTATGTACATGCCCCAGCTAGAGCATCTCCACCTTGGACATGCACTGTCTCCAGGCTCGCAGGATCCGAACTTCCCAATGGTCACGCTTTCGCATTTGAAAACACTCGGCCTAGGAGTCCTCGCCCTCTCTGACTGTATTGAATTCACTAATCATATTTCTATCCCATCTGCTACGTTCGTCGAAGTCAACATTATTGAGATCCAAATGAATAGGCCCACGCCACGCAATATGATTCCATCCTATGCTGAAAGGCCTATCAAGGCGCTTCGTATAACTTTCATGGAGTGTGGATTCTCAGTCGATGGAGAGTTGGACGATTCATCCAGCTTGAAAATTTCTGTCATCGACTACGGTGATCTTATGAGTGAGGCAGCCGCAAATAATATTCTTCCTACCCTCGCACACTTCAACGTCAGATTTGTTCACGATCTCACCATCCATATCTCCGAGCTGCGGCTCGATTGGTCGCCTATACTTTCCCGCTTTCCCTCCGTCAACACTCTTCACGTTACTGGAACATCCTTGGACATCTTTGCGATTGCACTTGCGCATTCCACTAGTGCGGGTCCAGTGTGCCCGAGTCTAAGGCGGCTTGGATTTCAGTACGAGATGCCGGAGATATACGACGAGCATATAATCCATAAAGATTTTTTCAATATCTTGCAAAGAGTGGTCGACACCAGGAAGGCCAATGGAGCCGTGCTTGAAGAACTTATCGTCTTTGGAGAGGCAGTTCCACAGAGTGAAGGAGCTGTAGACACGACGGCATTGGGTCTACGGAAGGTCCCAGACGATTATTTCTTCAATAGAGATAGAGAAAGCCTCTCCGACAGGGCTTTGCTGGTTGAGGATATTGCCACAGAGAGCGCGTCTTTGTGATATGACCATCATGTCATATCACTTAGGGAGTTCATTTCGTATATCAGAGCCGGACGAATGTGTTTCGCACCGGCTGCTTGACTTTACTGTCCGATGTTTCCTCGTTTTTGTATGAATATCTCAGTCTATCAGAATGCACGATGGTAGAAGGTTCGAAGACCCCAAGACCTTCGACACCAAAGAGCAAACCCAACTGGGGACTGATGACGAATTGAAATCTGCGTAGACATAAATAGATACAGCGGCAAGGATACCTACAGTGCAGATATCCGCGATGATCAGCCGTTCGTCAACATCACGAACACATGGCATCTACAAAACAAAATGACTCACAGAGTGATAGGTATACAGTCTAACGTGCACTCTCTTGTGTTGCAACATCCGTGATAGCACCGTTTGCCAAGCCAGGGCCACCTTTACTATCCTTCCTGCGTCCCATTCCTCGCTCTCGCCCACGACCGCGAACAGAAAAACCTCGCACCGGCTGCTCTGCAGCAGCGTTCTCGGACACATCTGGCGCAGGTCCCCGTGGATTCCGCACGACACTCAAAACCGCTCCAGGAATGTGGTTTATGGCCGGCTGAGTAGATTCGTCACCGCTGCGCGGCCCTACATCGGCAAAGATCCGCTCACGTGCGGCGTGATAGCGAGCTTCTCGCTCTGCGAACGAGGCCTGGGCAGATGACGATGCGCCTGAGGTGGTGTTGCCGTTAGCGTTGCCGTTAGGGGATCGTTTGAGGATACGGATAGGGGTCTGGAAGGCGGCGCGTGGAAGGGAGGTTTGCCCGCTACTGCTTGTGCTGGATGGCGAGATCACGAGCTCGGGCATGGGGGCTTTCACATTGCTACAGGTTTTGAATCCGATTGAGATGGGAGGCAGTATGGTGGTCATCAGAGCCACGGAGGGAAGTCTGAGAAAGCTGAAAGATACGAAGACGCACGCATTCTCCCATATCCTCTGATTATCTTCATCCTCTTCAGAGTCATCCCAATCGTCAGGGACTGGCTGTACAGGGTCACGATGGGCAGCTATACGGTTTGATGTCTGTGCAAACCCTCATCATCTTTTCCGTTCCATCGCATTGATCGAGTTGGACGGAGACATACAGACGGCTGGTCCCAAGTATCTGCAATATCTGCCACTGACATGCTAGTTCGAGGTTCGCAAGTGAGAGTTGAGTAGACCAGACGTTAACACAGGGTATAGGGATGAAATGAGACAAGGACCTGTTCAGTGTGAGCTGTGAGCGGAGGATAAGGCAATTAAATGACCCATAATGCTATATAGAGAGCCGCGGGTTTCGCGCTGTTTACGCCCATCGGCTGATCAACACGAATTCCATTATGTTTCGTCTGTAATCCTGATGAATTACTTTTTACATGATCCAACGCCTTAAGAAAAATAAATAAAAAAGGTGGGCGAAATGATGTTGGTACACTGATGACATAAAACCTGGAGATCGCGAGTATCCCCGGGGCCACACAGCTCTGCTGTTGAGTAGCCCGCGTAGATGTACACCTGACCTTGTTATCTGGTGCAGTACAGAAACAAAAACTCATGATCACTGTTGTCGGAAGTGTATCATCGTGACGATGGTCGATGGTGCCGAAGACGGCTTACTGTGAGCTCCGAAGCACCGGCCGTGCGGCTTACTATCGGAGCCCCAACCGGCAGAACGGCAGCAGCTAAGCTGGGCAAGTCGGGAAACAGGGTGAAATGTCCTGAGGGTAACGTCGAGGAAACCCAAGGCGCTGAGCCTATATTCAATGCGCAACAAGATCCGCGAGTACATAGTAAATCAAAGGCAGCTTATGAGATCTCTTCTCCAACGACATCCTCCCATTCGACTCGAGGGACGTGATACTGGCCCATATTCCCCATATCCATTTCTCCGGAAGATCCCCTGTATGATCTGTCTCCCGTTTCTGGGCCTGCGGGCACCGAAATGCTTGGAAATTTAGGCGCGGTATTGTTGAAGCGCTTAGAGCGTTCAGATTCCAGAGGCGCAAGTGGGATAGCGTTGGGGCCGTGGCGTGCAGCGGTGCGCTCATCGAGCATTGGTGGACCATAAACGGTTGTACGGATGTTGAGTGTGATGCGCGAGATCATCACTGTCGTCACGCTGTATGCAGATGTAGATCAAAAAGATGGTCTGCGAATCAGGTAATTACCATGCGGATGGACTTCAGAAAAGACGAGATAATCATGTCAGCTTCAATATGTCGCGCGATGAGTAGCGCTTACATGGATGCAATGCCGCGAAGGCCGGTGGGCGCGTACATGATCATAAGGACCCATGTCAAGGTCATCGAGAAAATTGCGCTGGGATTACATAGATCAGCGCTCTAGCCATCGATTCTCCTCTGGAGTGTAGCAGATATTGGTACGCACGCAAAATACGCAGCGCCATCTCGTATGAGCTTGTCCATGAGCGTGCGTGTGCTTGGCCCACTACGTTGATGCATCCAATGCATGTAAATCGTGCGTGCGATAGTGAGAAGAAATATGAGCGAATCGTAGGTGAGCTCCATGAACAGATACACCGTCGACACTCGTCCACTGTTCCGATAAAATCGTTAATTAGGCCTTGATTATATGCGACATTACCGGTGGCTGACGGCGTACATCCTCTTTGGCGGGAGATATATACAGACTGGATACAACATTAGGCATGTCGTTGCTCAACAAAAAGCTCTGACGTACAATGAAATTCATAGTTGTCCAATGGAAGCGGGGCCGCTATAGATGTATGTGGACCGTATAGACGTCGTGAGCAAGATTATTCATTTAGGGGGAGCTAAAAAAAAAGGACGTACGTATCCCGCCTGGAATCGTGTATTGCCATATGCCAGTGACGGTCTGGACCAACAGATATATAGAAAGCGTGCCGAGGATAATTTTGTTGCGGTTGTAGAGCGCATATACCCTGATCATCGAACCCGATCACAGAACAAGAGAAACGTCATCACTATGCGGCAAAAGAGGGGTATGGGGACCACGGGGACCATGCATACGAGAGGGGGTGAAAGGAGTACCCACCGAACCAGCATAAGTATACCTGGGAAGAGCATGAGGGGTACGGTCATGCCAAGAGGGAGGAATAGCATCCAACTTTTACACCTATAGTGCAAGGTATCAGTATGACTACTTCTCAAAAGGGTTGTCGAGCAGGTCATGGGGTCAAAAGATTTGACATAGGCACCGAGGAAGATCACCGGAGGAAGATGTATAAAGAACTTGTACGTAACTTACCGTTCGCGGGTCATACCAGTCGAGAAGAATCCTGAAAGCATGCATTGAGAATAGGGGCTGCATCATGATAGACTGGACAGCATACCGAACGCGACGACGGATACAGCTACTGGGGCGTAGTATCGAATCTACCGCAGTCTCAATAAGACAAGATCCGAGGGTGTAAATTAGGAAAGGCGCACGAAGAGAAACAGGTAGAGAACTGTGTTTCGCAGACAGTGCGGGACGATGCATGAGTGAACATTAGAACCAGATAGTAGAAAGAACGGCACTACCGTAAGTCTTCTTTTTCTTCCAGACGGTTGCGACCTTTTGAAAGGACGCGCATTGCGTACTCATAAACTCTGCATTTTGAACGCCTTTGATGATCGAGCTCACCTCCTCGGGAAGAGTCAGAAGATGGTCGTATAATAGGACCGTCAGCACTGCCAGAAAGAAAAACTGAGCCCAGACAAGGGCAGATATGAGCGAATGCCCTGTCACATTGATAGATTCCACTATACCTTCCCTCCAAGACTACGTATGGCAAGGGTCAAATAGTTGGGATTGAATCAGAAGAGTAAGACGCACATTTGTTGCAGATTCTCAACAGTTGCGGGAGCCGCAACAGTGTCGACGAGGTATGTACTAACCATATCAGGCGCACGGACTGCTGGCCAGACTCGAGTCTGGCGCTAGTATTAGGTGAATAGCCCCGAGATCCAACTGGAGCAAGCAAGGAGAGATGGCAGAGGATAAGAGAAAGAAACAAGATGATGTTGGTAACGGACAAGTGTGCGTATGCATATAATGAACGTTCCATTTTATAGAAAGACCCGTGGACACGGTATGCCGCAAAAGCATCTGCAGCCGGGAAAAGGCTATGTATAAGAACGCCTGCCTTCCCAAGCGCTCATCAACGTATGTGTAAGAGCACCTACCAGAAAGAATGAAAAAGATGAACTCGGCGAAGAGAGTGATGAGAAATCTAGGCGGCGGCACCGTGCTGTCGAGCCTCATGCAGATTTGAGAGGGGCCGAGCGACATTGCGGAACCACAGACGCGCACAGGTTACGTGGGCGGCGACATCTTCAGTGCATGAACGTGACTAGGAGTAGTATTTCCAGTTTGGGGATGAGCTTTCTCGAATTGTTGTATAGCTTCCTCTGCCAAGTCCCGAGGTGCCCACGAGTGCTGCTGATTTCGGAGAGTAAGTTTGATGAAGCTCAAGCAGGCTTGAATCAGGCTGTCCAACTCGAATGTTTCGACGAATGATCCTCACATGACCCCTGGCAGTCGTGACCCGCGTCCCCCGACGCCACAAAGGGTTGTCCCTTAGCGGTGGCAACGCGGGTCAACAGGGTGGTTATCGTATGATTTTCAAGAGAAGATTGAGAATATCATTCCAATCTCTACCTCACACATTATAGTTGATCAGCTGCCTCTCCTGAATTTCATAGTGATATCATCACCATTTGCTGACCTGCACTCAATTGTTACCCATGCTGCGAAAGACCCATTGCAGGATATCAACAGTAGGGTTCCGTGAGTAATTCACGGACAGTTGTTAACAAATGTTAATAACATTTGCCTCTCCGAGGAATTTCTAACATGAGTTAATAACAGATTAATAACAATTGTATATAGAGCATTATTAACATGTTAAAAATCGATTTATTTACATGTTAATAAAGAAAGTGGTGTTAATAACAAGAAGTCACCAGTTCCGGTATGATTCCATCTCTGGTCGACCGTGTTTGCCAGCCGAAAACTGACTTGAATTGTTCACTGAATATCCTGACTTCATCTTCGATCTTCTCCATCAGATCAGGGTCCAGAGAAAAGTTGAGGAAGCATGCATAATGTGAGTCCTGAGAATTTTCCACGAAAGGCAGATTTGATTCCGGGGGTATGCCCAATAGCAGGTGATGCAGTTCCGCGAGAACAGTCTCAAAGCTGACGTCGTTTGACTCGGTGGACATGGCGCGAGTGGGGGGGATGGGTAACGGAATGTCCAGAGCGGGAACCGATGCAGTCCAAGGCTCTGCACTCCCGGACAAAATCATTATTTTGCAGGGAAGACATAATTGTACAGCCACAACCTTCAATTTTTCCACCTGGCCCTTGCCCAAATATGTACATTTCAATGTAAATTCAAATGCTGATCATTATATACAATTTCGAACATTATTAACATTATTAACATCGGCATTGTGCCCCCCTGGAGGGGGCCTGTTAATAACAGTGTTAATAACAATGTTAATAACATAAGTTATTAACATGTTAGCAATTCAGGGATTACTCACGGAACCCTAATCAACAGGATTCACTTCTCAATTGAGAACTAGTCGAAGTCCTCGTAGACCTCCGAGGTGCCATACTGTGCTGATAGTCCTCGATGAAAGCCACTTGACTGAACATGAGAAGAATCGAAACGAAGAGGAGCCAACCTCAATGTCCAGGACCTTCTGGTCATCTTGCGGAGCATGTTCCCATTCGTCGAAGATTGTGCAGAGCAGTATTGTCGCTCACTGTCTGTGTGCTGGGACCTCTGAACTTCCTGCATTGTAAGACCGAATACTGTGAAATTATAACATTAACATGTTCGTTTCATAGAGAAAACGGCGCTGAGGAACGCTCAACGTTGAAAGCGACCTGGGGGTTGAAAAGGAAGTGTTCGTCTTTTCTTGAGTTCTTGTGACACATGAACGCGTGAACTGTGACAGTATTTTATTCCCATTTCTACGGATTTATACCCAATTGGGAAATTTAGTCTTCCGAAAAGCGTTGACATCGTCGCTCACGACCAGCTCTGCACCTTCACTCTTTCGCTAAGATGCCTCCCATGGCCTTCACGGGCCTTGTCACCAAGGTCGGATTTATGAACAAGACGGCGACGGTGACTGTCTCGCGCTGGGTGTTCCACAAGCTCACTGGCAAGGTGCGCGCAAATCTACAATACATCTCTACTCCTCGCCTGTATCTGCGCGGAAGCTAACCATGTTTGACCAACCTTTCCCCAGCGCATACTCAGGAGTACCAAGCTTCTCGTGCATGACGAGAAGAACCGTGCGTTGCCCCTTTATGCCTATCGTGTAGGTTCTGACACAATGCGTGGTTCAATAATGCAATCACAGAGCTGCGAATGGACGACTCTGTTCTTATCCGTAATTGCCCACCCATCTCCGCGCGCAAGCGCTTCACGTTGGAGAAGGTGGTCAAGAGCCCTGAACAGGAGCGCGAGCGTGCGCACGCGGGCCTGCAACACGCTACGGAGACACCAGCCCCGCCACCACCACTGGAAGCGCAGCCTACTCTATCCGCTTGACATACCGTTCGGGTCGCAGAGATGGAACACAGAAGGATGAGGCTGCCTGGAGGGTGAGCAGTGCGTTTGTTGGGTCGTTTGGGAGTCCAGTGCGAATGGCTTCTATCGCCATTGCACATCTACAAGGGCTCTGGTGTGTCTTCTTTTAGGCTGAAGAATGCGATCAAAAATTCGAGACTCCTTACACGACACCGCAAGGTGGTGTACCTATGTATGTAGTGGATACAAGACTTGTTCACACTGTATCCAGCAACGCTATGCGGGTATCCTGTAGAAATTCAGCCATCATAGGCCGAGACCAATGAGCCCACACTATGGAATTTGATAGCTTCTGAATTTAGGACATGGACACTTTTGACAGTGGGAGAGTAGTGAGGTACTGATGATCAGTCGAGACCTAGCTCGCTCATTTTGATGTTGAGCCTATTGACAGATTTATCACCTCAGCAAACCGCCAAGAACAAACTTTGCCCTCGGTGACTTACAATGTGCATGAGTCGCAAGGTACCATAGCACAACAGATGATCCTCCGAAAAATTCCAATAGAGCTGCTACAGTATAACGTTGTACCTAAGATGTATGTATATCTATACCACAAGGAGAATAATGACAACGGACTTGTACTACTCGTAACTCGACCGTACAGGGCATCGCTTCAAACCGCATTCCCGACCACAGTATCCGACTCGACACTGTCCTGCTGATTCCAAGCAACCGCATTTGCTTTCGCACTCGCGGCCGATCCAGCATGACTCAAGTTACTTCGACCCACGTCCCCGACACCGCCACCCTGTCCAAATGAGTTCAGCGCAAACGCAGCGTCCGTGTCTGCCTCCCCATGCGACCACCCGTGTGCTCCGTACGAGTCGTCCTCGATCTCCGTGAGCACGTGCACCGTAAGGCCCTGCGTCGCTGACTCGGCAGGGTCGAAGCGCCGAGAACGCGGGGATCGGAGAGGCGTCAGCGGGATGTCACGGGCAGCGCCTTTGCGCGGCATGGTACGCTCGTCGAGCTGTGCTGGCCCGTAGACGGTGACGCGGAGGTTGAGCGTGATGCGCGAGATCATCACGGTCGTGATGCTGCGCGGTCATGCAAGTCAAACTCGGGGTTCGGTTTACGCAGAATGCGAGAGGCGTACCATGCTGAGGGGCTTTAGAGAGGAGACAGGGAGCCTGTCAGTCTTTGACAACACAAACGGAAGGGCGGAACTTACACGGAGGAGATCGCTCGAAGGCCGGTAGGAGCATACATGATCATGATGACCCAACTCAAATTCATCGAGAAAATGGCGCTGGTAGCATGAGACGATAATCCCTCGAGATTTAAGTTCAGCTGTCCTCATGTAGCATGCAAGGCACGGTACGCACGCGAAATATGCCGCGCCGTCACGAATGAGCTTGTCCATCAGTGTGCGCCTGCTTGGACCACTACGCTGGTGCTTCCAATGCATGTAGACCGTGCGTGCGATCGTGAGAACGAAGATAAGGGAGTCGTAACCGAGTTCCATGAACACATATACGGTCGATACCCGACCGCTGTATGATCAAAACAATCAGAGCCGATCATTGCACGATGTGGCAAGAGGGATGACGCACATCCTTTTCGGCGGGAGATAGATGCAAACTAATTGTGCGAACGGGTGTAAATGAGAGGTTCAAGATGCGAAATATCGGAAGCGTACAGTGGAATTCATAGTTGTCAAGTGGAAGCGGCGCGGCTGCAAATGCGCGCGAATACCATATACGGCATTAGCAGCGAATTATGGAGGCCTGCAGTCCAACATAGAACTCACGTGTCCCCCCCGGGATAGTATACTGCCATATGCCTGTGATGGTCTGGGCGAGCAGGATGGTAGAAAGTAGGCCGAGAATGATCTTATTCCGGTTGTAGAGTGCGTATACTCTGTTTTTTCGGAACCGTGGAAAGGAGAAGCGGGTCATAGTCAGCATGCCGTGAACAAAGGGACAGGTTGCACGACAAGCACGGAGGAAGGATGGGAACCGTAAATAGCAGAATAGATGATTTGAAAGAGGTTGCGCACCGAACCAGCATTAGGATACCTGGGAAGAGCATGAGCGGCATGGTGATACCGAGCGGAAGGAACAGCATCCAGTTTTTACACCTAAGTGGAAAAGAAGTGAGCCCTTGCTTGATGTAAAGCGACTCCGTCAGAGCGACTTGTATGTCGAGTCGAGGCTCGTGATGCTCGAGTACATGTTGTTGAGGCACCGGAATGAAATAATACTGGAGGAAGAAGTGCGGAGGAACGATCAGGGTGTTACTTACCGCTCGCGGGTCATGGCGGTAGAAAAGAAGCCTGTAATATATGGTGATTGAGATCCTGGCGACAACACCTTATGCGGGGAAACAACGCACCGACTGCGACGATAGACACAGCTATTGGAGCATAGTAACGAATCTAATGCGGACTGAGCGAAATCGATGCAGCTAGAGTACAGACGAGCGCACGAGGAGGAATAAGCAGAGAACTATGATGTCACAACCGACGCGGGATAATGCATTAGTGACCAACAAAATATTGCGGAACGGAGCGGGACAGAGCATACCATAGGTCTTCTTCTTCTTCCAAACAGTCGATACCTGTCTCCAATGTCCCCCATCGCGCATTCGTGAGCCTGAGAATTCAGCTATTCATATTCTCATGCCCACCTCCTCTGGTAATGTCAATAGATGATCATACAACAGGACCGTCAACGTCGCTAGGAAGAAATACTACTCATTCATCAAAGCATGGGCATGAGTAAGGAAGTTGCAACCGAGCAAAGATCACACTGTACCTTCCCCGCGAGGCTATAAGTAGCAAGGGATCGACGGTCAAGAAACCAGAATTAGGATTGAAGGTGATTCCACAACTTCAGACGCACATTTGCTGCAAATTTTCGATCGTCGCTGGTGCTGCCGCACTGTCGGCGAGGACGCTCGACATCGGCGCTCAGGCCTTGAACGAGGGCTGTCCCTATATGAGTTTATATTAGAGGGGGGGATCCAAGACCAAGGCAAATGACGGGAAGGAGGAGATAGACGACGCTATCAAGCTATGTACAAGCAGTAAGCACAAGCCCATCGGCACCCATATGTATTTAGAGACTGGCCTCTGTATTCCGTAAGTTCTTTTGTAACCGAACCTAACCCGGTCCCCATAGAGCAGCTCTGACCGCGATGTGAGCGCTCATCAGCGTTTGTGGAAGTTCTCCTGCTCGAAACTGATGGAGACAACCCGATGGCAAGGTCCATCAGGCGCGCGGAGGCTGGAGCGGCACCGGACATGTGAACGCGCGAGAGACGCCTGCGGAGCGCACAAGGCGAGGTAAGGAAGGTTGGGCGGTCACTAGGTCCTGCCTGTCCCGAGGTTCCGACGAGAGCATGACACTTGCCGTTTTGGTAGTATCGCTTTGATGAACCTGCATTGTTCATCGAAAAAAAAGTCAAAGCATTCGTTTCAGTGATCTGGGTGCAGTTATAGGTGGGTCTCTCGGGACATCGTGGTGCAAGTGACTGATTGGCGCTACGAAGAACAGTTCCTGAGCGTCCATTTGACCTCTGGATCGTCACCGCCGGCACTGAGCAGACCAAAACCACTCGTGTTACCTCCCACGATGTATTTCAAGGCTTCTCTCTTGCGGTGTGTCAAGGAACTGTCCGGGACATCCAGGACCTAGCCGAGGATTTCCATTGGCTGGACAAGTTCGGCACTCTCCGTGTGATTATTAACCAGACGAGATGGCCGAGTGATCTAAGGCACCAGATTGAATTCTAAGATTGGAAGGCACGACCTAACCTTAGAATAAGGTCTATGACCGACTAGAGGATGCAGAGCGCTCATCCCAAGGCCTGCTGGCATTCTCACCGTCTTCTACTACACTACTCAAGCAAGCTCACTCTAGATTGTTGCTTGCTTGATCCTTTTTCTCTTGTTTACTATCCTAGCTTACATTCTTCCCTACTTCTGAAAGAAAAAAACTCTCACTACTTCCTATCCCCATTACATCTTGGCTCATGCTTCATTTAGCTATCAACCCCCACCTTCTCGTGTGCCCTAACTATGCCTTGCCCAATTTCAAGGCAGTAAGACAGCTCAACTACTTTTCTGATGAAGAACCCGCTGCTACCATCCAGTACCTGGTCATGATCTGGACAGTAGGCAACAACTAGGACCATGCGGCCTGGAATGCGCAAGTTACTGCTGACACCGAGGCTGCTGCTGATGCAAAACACAACCATCTCAAGCAGCTAGCAGCCAACCAAGTGGAAGTGGAGAAAGAACTCAACAAGAAGTGGCTGAAGCTCCTCCCTTTGAATGATAGTGGCATGCCCTCCATCTTCCCTGTTCACTCCCCTCTATATGCCTTCCACAAGCTTGAGCTCATCAAGTATGTCGAGCTGTATTACTTCACAATGGAAGGCTGCCGCAAGGGCTCCAATTCTTACAAATCCTCTGCCGACAACACTTTCACATTGACCTGATCTGATAAGGGCCTTGCCCTCCAAGCAGTATCCTCTGTGTGCACCTCATGCAAGGTTATCCCGGATGCTGACTTGTCCTGGGACCAGTTTTCCTCAGCTCGCACAGTGTACATCTCCAAAATTCAATGCACCAAGTGGCCCACCGCCCTCACCAAACAGACAGCCTCCTTCCTGTTTGCCCTCGAGAACCATCCAATGGCATGCATCACTGACTACGGCAAGTGGTGTCAAGGAACTATCCAGGACATCCGGACCTAGCCGAGGATTTCCGCCGGCTGGACAAGTTCGGCACTCTCCATGTGATTATTAACCAGATAATTGTAAATTATTTTAGGCACTCATAGGTGAGATGGCCAAGCGGTCTAAGGTGCCAGACTAAGGATCTGGTCCCTTTGGGGCATCTACTTGCCCCTTACAAATCTGATTATTGACAAATGATGTCATTTGGTACACACTGTCTCAGGTCATTGATCACTCAGATCTTTACCCTGTGTTATAACCATCACAAAGTCAAAACATCATGTCCGCTTCATCCATGGCCAATGCACGTTTGGAGAATGGACAGCCATCTCGCAAAAAGTGCCATGTGAATGATCCACCTCACTCTGAAGGACAGTCAAGTTTACAGTGCATACATCTAAGACTCAATTGATATCATAAGAAAAGCTAGCACCAGCAGTGATAGCTTTCCAATGTCTGTTCATGGACTCAAAACACTTTTTCAGCATGTCCAGGCATACCATGAGATAAAGACCGCCACACAATTGCAATTGTTGGAGGCTAGGCGATCGGAGCAGCAAGTCTCCTTAGAAAAAGAGCACGCAACAATTAAAAGGTTGAAGTTGGAGGCTGCCATGGAAGGGTATGCAAAAAATCCATTGAAGGGGAAGGAGAATGTCAATATAAGGTTGAAGAAGAAGAGGTGGCCAGAACTTATTGAGGTCGACAGTGATTGATGAGTATATGCGCTCCAAGATTGAACTTAGCAGGCTGTATGCGGTATCATATGACACAAGGGAATGGACAAGTACGAAGTGGACAACTCAGTGATACTCTTGTACAGTATGAACAAAAAAGGAGTGGCCTTCCTCAATATCAACTCACTCGCGCAGCATCTATTTTGCACCAGCCCCATTTCTGTCTGTAACACACGATCCATAAATTCAAACCATTTGTGACTCTTTTATGATGCTCAAATAAGTGTTGATCATAGAAGTGCTGCCTGGAGGGAGCGGGACACCAAGCTGAAGGCCTAGTGAGTATATGTCATGCCAAAGGGTTGCTACATGATACCTTGTTTGCCATCTCCACGATCTCTTCTACCGTGAGTTGCAAGAGATTCAGCAAGACGGCATTGTCTTCATTGCACAGTTTGTGTTCATCTGATTTGTTGTTATCTATTACCTGTCCCAGATCATTGGCAGGGCTGTCGCTTGCAAGCTTATCGTGATTAGAGTGCCCTTCAGAAACAAGTGTGGCCCCTTCAGATTTCTGTCTGGGCAGAATCTTTTTTCACCTGTAACATGAGTCCTTGCCATAATGGTCACACGCTAGCTAGTACTCATGTCGTATGGCAATGTAATCGAGATGATGCAGATAGGCCGATGAGAGACAATGCTGCTTAATTTCTTCTCGGGTATCCAATGTGCTATTGTGAAAGTTGTATCAGCACACAATGCATAACAGACATCAGAAATGTGATGAACAACTTGCTGTCTATCTCCTGAGGCACATAGCCACATTATTTTCCTACGTGACTTTGAGGAAACCTCCATTTGGTCGATGAGTGCATGCCATGGAGTGTGGGTCAATCTATGCTCCCAGTCAGCACACACGTCCCAATTACCCCGCAGAACTTACCTGTTATGTTTGTCAAAAAAGCACCAATCGGAAGTAGCATATCAACATGGATCACCTGTGTCCATTCGATTCCCGCAGTGCCACAAACCGTCGGCACCCTTGACAAGGACGCAGCCATCAACGCTCATGGAAGAAAAAGTGGTGATGGAAACACTCACCTTTCTCACTTGTCTCTTGCGGTCCTCCACAATGGGTTGCACCGCAAACTCCATGATGTATGCTCATAGGGTGTCAAGCAGGAGGTTCAAGATCTCTGCTTCCGAGAGGTCATCCTTCACAGATTCACCAGCATCTTCCTCTGGTGGGTCCGACCAGAAACCCTCACTTTGTTCTTTGGTCAGTTCAAGAGTAGCATCCCTACTGGGCATTACAGCTAAAAGTCCCAGATCCAAACCCTTTCGCAATATTTCATGTACCTATGGTTGGATCTTGTCAGGAACTTTCCTCATGCAATGTTTGATGTGCTTCATGATTTCTGTCTTGTCGGGAACTCCATCCATGGCCTCTAATGGCATAGAGTAATACATGTGCACCATCCACTCTGTCAACTCCTCCAGCGATCCTGATTATGGCATGGGGATGATATCACCTAATGCATGAGGTGGACAGATGACCACAGGTTCCTCAGGCACCTTTGGCGACAGTGTTAGCTCTTATTCTTTACCTTTGCCATTTCCAATGACAGAATCCTTGGCTGCTGCGGCTGCCAATCCGTAAATCACTGAGGGTTGGTCGCGCGCTTGTTCGAGTGCTTTGTTTTATTCATTGGCACTCCGCATGACCTTGGGAACACCTCCTGCGAGCACCTGATTGGCTGCCTTCTTCAAAGCTGCCCTCTTTGCCTTTCTGAGTTTTCGGTGCAAGGAGAGGGTCGACTGTATGGTTCAATAGAGCTCTGCTCTGTACTAAAGGTCTTGGACAGCTTGTTAGCACCAATTCTCTTGTATAGATACGTGGGGAAATGCACATAAGCTGACTGCTCTTCATCGGTGCTTATAAACATGAGATTCTTCGCAATCTGGTTGATGTTGGATTTGTGATGGTATTTTGGCAGGCTCCATTGCTTCTTTTCTTTCTTGAATATAGAATCTGTGCATTGGGGGCCAGGCCCCATAAAGCAGCTCTAACTACAATATGAGCACTCATCAGCATTTGTAAAAGCTTTCCTGCTCAAAACTGATGGAGACAACCCAATGGCAAGGTCCATTAGGTATGCAGAGGCTAGAGTGGCACTGGACATATGAATATGTGAGAGACACCTGTAGAGTGCATAAGGCAAGGTAAAGAAGATTGGGTGGTTACCAGGTTCTGCCTGTCCTAAGATTCCAATGAGAGCATGATGCTTGCTATTTTGGTAGTATTGCTTTGATAAACCTGCATTGTTTATTGAAAAACAAGTCAAAGCATTTGTTTCAGTAATCTGGGTACAGTTATAGGTAGGTCTCTTAGAACATTGTGGTGCAAGTGACTGATTGATGCTACAAAGAACAGTTCCTGAGTGTCCATTTGGCCCCTGAATCATCACCACCAGCACTGAGCAGACCAAACCACTCATGTTACCTCCACCACAATGTATTTCTGTATTTCAAAGTTTCTCTCTTGAGATGTGTCAAGGAACTGTCCGGGATGTCCAGGACCTAGCCGAGGATTTCCGTCGGCTGGACAAATTCGGCATTCTCCGTATGATTATTAATCAGATAATTGTAAATTATTTTAGGCACTCATAGGCGAGATGGCCGAGCGGTCTAAGGCGCCAGACTAAGGATCTGGTCCCTTCGGGGGCGTGGGTTCGAATCCCACTCTCGTCATATATTTGCATCCTTTTCTTTATATTCCTCAATTTTAGCCTAGCGATATACTTCATGCGTGGAGGATGGGATATCTTTGATGCCATGTGACCAGATCCATGTTCGGAGTTTCTAATCAACACGTGACCACTGTTTGTGACGCCACCACGACCCTAAGTATCTGTCACTCTTCCGCTTTTTTACCACGTTGTGCCGTTTTCTTTCTGGCCTTTCTCTCCTCGGACATGGTATAATATTGGCCAGTGATTGACCTCTGTGCGAAGGCGTGTCCGGAAATAATCCTTCTGACACCCTGTTTCCATCATAAATTGTATCTGCTCAAGCTTTGAAGCAACATTGTACCGCTAGAGTAGATTCGTGGGACAAAAGCAAGACGTTGCCAAGTACTAGCGAAGATAAATATCTCGACTGCTGACTGCTAGAATTACAGTCGAGCCAGGTTACAACTCGTCTCATACAGTCACTAAGAACACAATACTCCCGACCGTCCCTATATTGCCCTTGGCTCCTCATCCTGGAAAGTTTCCGTCTGTATTTCAACATGAATTCCCATACCTGTCTGAAGATCTCTGGTGACCATCAATGCCTCCCACTTTGGATCGTCTTCTTCGTCATCGTCCCCGATGTCCATATTGAGGTACCTTCCAGCCCCGCCGCTCTCGACATCTGATCGAACATCGGCTGTCTCGAACGGAGTCCCTAGCTCTCGCCTGGACCGAGAAAGCGACTGCGCCCGCGCGAACGTCATGCCGCGCTGCGACTTCCGCAGGGGCGATAGGGGTATATGCTTGTCGGATCCATCCGATGCATCGGCAGGTCCGTAGACGGTAGTGCGGAGGTTGAGGGTGATACGACATATCATTGTTGTCGTCACACTGCAGGTCCCGCATGAGCACTCACGGAAACAATCTGGGTCAGGGCTGGGCACTTACCAGGCGGATGGACTAGAAAGATGCATCCACATCAGGTTAAATCACAAAGTCACGGGGTGATGGCTCACAGAGCAGCGATAGCGCGAGCACCTTCTGGCGCGTACAGGATCATGAGGACCCACATGATGTTCATAGAGACGATCACACTTCAGGGAAGCAGAGTAAAATAGAGCTGAAGATGACGGAACACAGGTACGCACCCAAAATAGAATATACCGTCGCGGATTAAATTTTTCATCAGACCGGAACCACCAATGGTGCCGGCGCCTTGATGTTTGAAGTATACGTAGATCGTCCGAGACATAGAAAGTAGGAAAACGAGCGTATCGAAGCCAAGCTCAAAGAATAAATACATCGTTGAGAGTCGGCCACTAAAGGAGTGGCGGTGAGACTCGAGCTACATACTGACCGATGGATACATACATGCGTTTCGGTGGGAGGTATATGCAGACTAGGATACACTTCGTGAACACAAATATCTACTATGATATCGGGCAGATGAAGCTCACAATGAAGGTCGAAGTTGTCGATCGGCACCGGGGCGGCTGAAGAGAGTATGATGAACGTGCAGAAATTGATGAGGGTCGGGATTTCTCACGTCCACCACCACGAACAGTATACTGCCAGAGTCCTGCGACATTTTGCATGACCAAATAAGTGCAAAGAAAGCCAAGGACCCATTTATTCCGATTCCACAGTGCGTATACCCTGTTTTCGAGTATATTAGCATGCGTCAATTGGCCGAGGATTCAACCGACAAAATTAGAATGTGAGAATTCGTACCGGACGACCATGAGAATTCCAGGAAAGAGCATAAGCGGCACGATGGCGCCAAGAGGTAGGAAGAGAACCCATTTGGCGCATCTTGCGTCCGAGAGATGAAACGATGCCAGAAACCGTCAAAATCAAAAAGACAGCGCAGTAATAATTCAGTTAAGAAGTTTCATACTAGAAACAACAAGATTTAGCGAACCTTTCAGGTGTCATGGCGGTGGAGAAATACCCTAAGGCCGAGCAGTCGTTGGTGTTGAAACATGGGCAAATGGCGGCCTACATACCGAATGCTACAACCGACATAGCTAGTGGCGCGTAATAACGTATAAAGATGAATATGCAAAGAACTTGAAAATAATGTAAGATAAGGGAATGGGTATCTCAGGAATATCATGACGTACCGAATGTCTTTCGTTTGTTCCATACACATCGAACCTTCACATGAATCTCAATCAATACAGGGCTCCTAAATAGTGGAATCGCTTACTTCTTCCGAGAAAGTGCACATGTGGTCATACAGTAACATCGTCAGCGCGGCTAAAAAGAAGTACTGAACGTGGATACGATCGGTAAGCCTGCACACGAGTACGTCGCGTTCTAATGCACTCACTTTCGCCGCCAGGATGTCGCGCACGGTCTCCTCAGTCGCTGGGGTGATGGTGCCATTACTGTCGAGTGAGCTAGACATGGGGAGCAGTCCAACAAGCTTTGGCAAGAATTTGGCAAGCTTTCGTGCCACAACTGAGAGCAGGATCGGGGTTCTTCTCACAACCGCACCTGGATTGAGTCGAGCGCTGACAATGATCTGAGGGTATAACGCAACAGCTGTGTCGTGGCCGGCAGATCGAGTTTCGAGCCAAACAGAGTGCAGAGAACGAGCAGCAGGAAGGAGCGGGAGCACGAAGAAACAAAGAACCCTTATATCATGGATAGTGAGATGAGAACTGACGAGCGAGAGAAGAGTTGCGTGGTCGCGGATGGCTAGGGAAAGCCCATTGAATGACTAGCGTATGACCGCAATAGATTCCTCCACACCTTTCCAGGAGGACTTCGGACGTAAAGAGGTCGGCTCAAGCGAGAGTGCATCGACAGAAGACACCGGTGAGACTGGCGAGTTCCAATGTGGGACAAGCGACCCACACGGTGTTAGTGCATTTTTGCACGCGGCTCAAAGCAGGACCAGAAAAGTGAGAGCGTGGAAAAGGTAACCATAAGGTGGAATGTCGGAGAATCATAAAAAGAAGTTACTAGTTCAAGGATCCTTTGACAAGATTTCCCTTCCAGTCGGACAAGCGGTGAGGAGCAGTGAAACATTCCGTTGCTCATATGCTGCTACCGCTCAGCGCCAGGCTGGAGAAGAGTGGATACAAGCAACTGCGGGACCCCGGTTCATCACGGTGACTTCGGCGAGGTTTCGGCATCTCCCGCATTGACTCCATCTTCAAGTACCCTTTGCCCAGTACTAGCAGGTGCATTCTCCACGAATACCTCTCTGTCCATATTCATCTTGATGAGCACGATTCTATCACTGCCAATTATCTTGAGATGCGCGGAATATACCCACCAGATAAGTTGGTGAGTTCTGTACGCTGTATTTTGTTCATTCTAGTCGTTCCTAGACCAGGCTGTCATGTGTTACCTCTCTATGCTCAGGCGACCACTACGTATGCGTGATACATGAAAACCTATGGAGACATCGTAGGTGACAATTAACTCGAGATTAGCCACCGTCCAGCGACTGCTACTCACCCTGCATCATGCCGGACGACTGGAGGTTCTCTCAGCTAACCACAGACTACTCTACCATTGCCGAGCGGCTTATATTTCGATGCAGTCTCCTATTGACCACCTCGCTTTTAATTATCCTTGAACTCTCCCCGTCGATTCACAATCATACAAACTGACGCCAGCCAGCAAATGTTTGTAATGCATACCAAGTCTCTCCTTCGATGAAATACCGAGCTAGCGCGAAGGTGAATCCTGCGCAGACCAAAAGATTTTGCCGAGTCCTCCTTCTCTTTGCGCAAGGTTGTCATCGGACCGTGGACCGGTCATTTGATACAAGACTCCCATCTCAATTGCATGCTCAACCGGTCAGTGTCCTATCTCAAGTTCAAACGCCTGTTTATCGATAGCGTACTGAAATGTACCACATATCGGGCAGTCGAAAGAAGTGCAATATCATTTGATGTTCTTGAAAATAATCGTCGTCTGATCATGTGAATGATGGAATCGAAGTAGTCTCGGGCATGTCCATCTGCCACCTGCGATCACACTCCTTGGATGTGGCTCATTCCGAAACACTTGGGATCTATTTCCTGATTGATGCACGGTGTCGTCGGAGGTGTGCACACGGCACAAGCGGTCCAAAACATCTCTTCTCATGTCCTGCGTCGCATCTTTGATGATTGATAGACAGTGCCACTCGCAGGATCACATGGAACGGCATTCCTTTGTCTTTGACACTTCCCCCCTGTCAATCTAGCTCCGTTGACATGCGCTCCGTGGACATACTTGAACTCGATCCGCCTCAGTGTTGAGGCCTTGAGGTCTAGGCTGCCTTGAATTTGTGATCTTAATACTTTTGACCCAGCGCCGGGCGCTTGGCGGGCCACTCGACCCGCCTGGAGACGCATAGTCGGACGACACACTGTTGCTCACGAAAATAAGACCGCATGTTACATGGCCTCCAGCTACACGTTAGTGAGTGTTCCAAGGAATAATGATTACAAAGACACATAAGTAACAATGTTACAGTCGCTCTTCTATCGTAATGCGCACAACAAGAATATTCGTACACGCGTCATAGGGTGTACTCGAATCTCGGATGCCTGTCGCCCAGCCGCTGCCTCTCCTCGATCGAGTCCCAGCCCCCTGGCTTCCTGCCATCACCCTTGTCCCTCAGCAACTCCTCCACCGCAAGCGCCTTCGCGCGGTTCCATCGCTTGAACATCACCATTGCGACTCCGCTGCATGCTGCGATGCCAAGGGAGAACGCGAGGTCGATCGAACATGCGATGTGGAAGCGCGGGGGATCCAGGAAAATCCAGGTGGACACGATGCCGCCTGTGTTGGTGGCGATGAAGGCCATGGCGACGGCCGTCGCACGACGGTAATGCGGCTGGACGTTATTAGCGTTCCAGGTGCTCAAACAGGGTGCAACGGAGTAGACGCCGATTATCTGCAAGAAGAGGGCTGCGTAGTCGGCGTGTTTGTTCGTCGTACCTGAAGAGTTCGCGCACCCAAAAATGAGCTTGGAAGTTGAGGATCGCAATGATCGTGAGATGCCGCACCGATGAATATCGCGTAGCCAGCGGCCGCTATGATACTAACAAAAATAGCCATGGGACCCCGCATCTTGTACAAGTCTGAGAAGTATGAGCAGACGATGCTAACGACGAACGAGCAAGCATATGGCGGTACCTGTTCAATGAGTCGACATGATTAGAGCCAATATGGATGATCCACGAGAAAGACATACAGTCATCAACTGTGTCCGAGTTGCTGAGAATCCAAGGGCGTTCACTATTGTTGGCGTAAAGTTTGCCATCCCATAGAGCTAAACACGATGTCAATAACGCTGTGTATTTTCGCAATGCGCCATAAAGAAGACTAACTGTGACGCCGCTAAAGAAGAGGGGCAAACAAAGCAACAGCACATGAGGCGCGTCCGTAAACGTGCTCCACACCTCACTCCAGCTGAATACCTCCGTCGCCTGCCCATCTGCGTCCGTGTCGCCGCTCCAATCTTGAACAAGCGCACGGACGTACGTATCTTTCTCAGCCTGAGTGAGGAAGGGAACATCTGCGGGCGTAGCCGGTATGAAGAACCAGCTCACGATACCGAAGACGGTTGTGAACAGGCCCTCCTGATCACGCAGCAAACAAATGTGATGAGTGGACAGGACGGAAAACCGAGGGCCAAACGCACTAATACAAAGATCCACGCCCAGCCAGGAAGACCACGAATACCATGCATATTTTGAATGGCGGCTGCAAGGAGGCCTGAAAATGCGCCGGCGAGAGAGGTCACACTGAACATCATCGCAAAGCGCATCTGGAGCGAATGTCGCTTGTAGAAAGAGGACAAGTACAGCACAATTCCAGGGAAGAGGCCGCCTGAGAGATTTATCCAACAGTATTGAGATCAAAAACTGATATAATTCAGCATGAAGAACTCACCCTCAAGAGCGCCCAAGAAGAATCGGCAAGCGAGAAGCCCGCCATATGACTTTACGGCACCTGTGATGCATTAGCTGACGGTGCTCGCGATAGTTCAAGATGGCTGATGCAGACTGACCCTGGCAAGCACAAACCATTCCCCAAAGTGTGACCATCGCCGGAAGAGTGACGTTAGCTCCGTAGCGCTTCATAGCAAGATTCATGGGCAGCTCCATCAGAATGTACGGTACACTAGACGGCGTATCGGATCAGCATCGAGGAGGCCAAAAGTTCTGCACGATGTGAAGATGGAAGTCTGATCTTCCTAAAGCGGAACCTTATGGCTGATGGTGAGGTTCTCTTCAAGAGATCCATACATCACAGACGCGACCAACAACGTGACACATAGTGCAAGGAGGGGAATATCAAAAAATGAATTTGTCGACGTACTAAGTGATAGTGAGTGCCGTGGAGAATTGGGTGTTCGACATCTTGAGGTCTTTCGTTAGACCCGCAATTTTTGCATTTCCGATGTTCCTAAAAGCGCATGAAGATTGAAGATCGGAGAATAAGGGGAGCCAGAGAAAAATATTACGCGCGATCCTACAAGTCACGAGCACATTGATCATTCCCTACAATCAAAATGACTCTCAATGCTCACTAAGAAAGACAACAAATCTGGCGTACAGGCAAGTGTCAGACGCACGAACAGAGGACAAAATAATACTGAAACATAAAAACACTAACAGTACATCCCGACGAGAGGTATTATAACGAGATCCATCTTGAGCGTTGCCGAATGTTCAATTCGAGGATCGATGCCCCCGCTCTCCTCGTCAGCAGCCATCGAGCCAGGCCGGCTCAGCTTAACTGGGGTGATGCTGCGATCCATGTGCGATTCGTGCAGGCTCATTTATCGTCCGAGATGCGGCCAGTGCAACAGCAGCGTCGAGCGGCGTGCAAGTAGGAGCAACGGACAGAGGGAGGGATGGAACCTCCCATGACTTCGACCTGACAGGGAAATAGGGAAGAGGAAGAGCCACACGTGATCGGAAACCCATGGCATTGCCGTAAACCTGCCCCTCGGCTCCATAAATTTTGTAACTCCGTGCATCAGATATCTAGAGACCTCGGACACTTTTTGAAAGCTCATCATCATCAGAAATCTTCCCTGACTTCATAACGGATAACTAAGACTGTCTAGGAATACCTTCCCCCATTTCTCTGCTCATCCTTGGCACTCATTCACCCATGAATGGAGGATCATGATATCCAATGGAAGTTGTGATCGAGTGAAAGCGGCAACTGGTTCCGCTGTCCGACATCTTCCCGCCTTTTCCGTCAACTCAACCCTCCTTCACAATCTGACGTCGTAGACTCATATCGCGACCACAGTCGGGGTTTGCTCTCACGTTCTGCTGATGCGAGTAGAACGCTTAGCAACACACTGACGCATATAATAGGCGACTGATGTCACATGCATGCTCTAACCAGTGTCCATCAAAGAACAGTCGAGGGCCTTCTGGCACTTGTGCTGCATACGATACGAGCTTCATAATGCCGACGCAGCCTTCTCGGACAGTCCCGTCAACTATCGTGGCGCACCGGTGATTGGTGATCGGTGCTCTGGAGCGCATCGACTGCGTATCGTATGGTGTCGGGGGTATGGGGCCATAATCACTCTATGATTAGCGCCCCGTCGGCCGTAAGTCAAGAGCGAGCGGGATTCCTTGAGTAAAGTGTTCCTTGTTTTTTATCAGGTACGACGTGGACTGTATGCTCTTCTGTCTTCTCCTTAACAAAGCGACAGGGGTGGGGACATAAGGATCCCACACAAATTGACCGTTCCTTGCATCTATCACATTGCAGATTCAAGACTTCAGCTCGGACTTCCTATGCGGACCTGAGCTCCATTCAATGATCACCAACTCTGTTTGTAAAGTATACATTCGCCGGGCCACGCGTACCTCAGGTGCCCCATTGCCATCCGTGTATCCCTCGCCTTCTGCCCTTCTGCTCTCAATGATTGGCACTCTCAAAAAATGGCACGATACAACGTGCACCTTGTGCAGGCACCCTGCACACGCTATGTCTATTGCACGGCATTCTGTCTGAGTTATACTCTCGCGCTCTTCAATGCCATCAAATCTGTGTGAGACCTTGATATGCTCGACCCTTGTCGAAGAGATGATCTTCACAGGTATATCCGTCTCATATTGACCGGTCACTTGCTCTTGACCACTAGATAGATTAAGCGATTGCACTTGGTGAGTCGAATCGCCTTCGTCATCGTATGACACCTATCTAACATAGGAGAGTACAGGAGAGTATGCCATGTATCACACGTGATCCGCGCTCGTCTGCATCGAACCCAGACCCATCGCACACCATCCGTCCAGACACAAGGATAAACAATGACCATCGGGGAGGCAAGGGTATGTGGCTTCGTGAGATAGAGTTGAAGAGTGGGAAGAGCTTAGGAGGCCCTCGTTGAAGCTGATAGGATTCTCTGTGCCTCACTTGTGGTTTTCGCGGAAACGGCTACCCACAGCTTCGCGCGTCATGGGAACAGCAACTCCGCAACTCAATGAACCTCGATGCATGCTTCTTGACTATATGAGTCTCTCGATTGCTCGCGGCTGCACGAGATCAGCCCACGATTGCCTGCGGTTGACTGACGATAGCTCGCGATTTTGCAATCGCTCGACGAGTATTCGTCCGTGCACCGCCGACGGACTTAAAAGACTCACCAAAAAGACCAATTGCCCAACATAGCCAACGCACTTGAGAGGTTACATTGCGTGAACCCCAGGAGAGTTGTTCTCAATCGTGATACAACAGATGACCCTGATACACACGCACATACACTGCTGCCGTACCTGTACACGAACCTCCCTTTTTCACTTATCACATTATTCCCTCTTCTCATGGTCGTCTTCGTCTTCATTATTCCGTGATCGTTCCTCTAGAACGAGCATTCGCGAGATGGTGTGGTGGGGCGTCACCTGCGGGCTCCACACCTACTGCGCAGCTGCAGCTTCGTAAAGGTACGTGCCGAGCAGCTTGATCTACAACAGACAAGATCACAGGGTATGAACAGAGCAGTTCCAAAAGATAGGGAGCAGTGGCTGACCCCTTCAATATAGTTGGATTTGTCCAATTTCTCGTTGGTGGAGCTATAGGGGGAGTCAATATCGGCATCACGAAGACAAGAGCGAGGACTAGTGCTTACTGTGCACCGTCATCTCCACGACCCATCGGGAGCAACAAGACGTTCACACCGAGCGCCTCGGCAAATGTCAGCGTCACGGGGATCGACCCACCCTCGCGCGTGAAATCGGGAGTCTGCTTGTAAATTTGCTGTTCATTCTCAGTCAGCCATCTGACAGTTCTCTTGAAGATTGACAACGGAGCGGAGATGACATTCACCTCGGTGGCGCGTTTCGCAGCCTCGTAGTTCCAGTGCTTGTGGTTCTCGACCCAGGGCTTTCCGCCGTGCAGCTGCTCGACGACGAGCGAGTTCTTGCTCTTCAACTTCTTGAACTCCGCATCTAGATACTTGTAGACCAGCGGATCGACGTTCTCGGGGGTCTGCGGAGGAACGAGCCTGCCAGACCGAGGAGGAAGGACGGAAATAGATGAGAGGAACATATTCGAGCAGGTGTGCATAGTATTTGATCTTACCGGATGCTGAACTTTCCTGACACTTTGGCAGGAATGACGGTCTTAGCACCCGCGCCGTGGAAGGCACCTTCGATTCCATGCAGAGAAAGCGACGGCGAGCGCATGCGGCCCATAAGTACGTCCGCCTTGTCTGCACTCAGCGCGATGGAGCCGCCAGCCGACACTTCAACATCTGCGATGGAGTAGTCGAGGCCGTTGTACAGTGCTCTGTAAATTGTCATACGATAAGAACAAAAGGAGTGAGAAGGTGTCGAAACCAGGAGGTGATAAGTACAAGTCTTCACCTTTCCTCATCTGTGGGCCCCGCAACCATCTCGTCGACGCCGGGAATAAGGATGTTTCCATTGATATCAACGAGCTTGCTCATCAGCATGACGAGGTCCGTCATTGGCTCGTGCACCATCCTGCCGAACACACCAGAGTGAAGATCCTTAGCTGGTCCAGAGACTGTAACCTTGAAGTAAGTGAGCCCGCGCAGACCATAGGTCAGACACGGGGTGCGAGTGTTGAGCCAATAGTTATCGGACTACGATTCCCAACAATCAAGATCGCGACCTCAGTGTGAAATGTGGCAAAAATATGGATGATATGAAGACGTACAATGCAGACGCAGTCAACGTTGTCGAAGAAGCCCTGCTCGCCCTTTTGCACCTCGTTGATGATGAGCTCGTCAAGGCCCTCGCTGCCGCTCTCCTCCATCCCCTCAAAGCAGAAGCGCAGGTTGACGGGCAGAGGGATCTTCAGCGCCTGATGAGCATGCAGGACGTTAATCCAGCCGATCACGGGTCCCTTGTCGTCCGTAGAGCCGCGTCCGTAGAGCCGCCCTGTGGCCTCATCGCGGGTAAGCTTGAAAGGTGGATATGACCAGCCGTCGGACAGCTCTGCCTGCAAGGTAGCGTCAGGCACAGATTGTCATTAGAGCGCGTTCAGCAAAAGGAGGCGTGCGTACAGGCTGGACGTCGAAATGGCCGTAGATGAGGATGGTCTTCTTGTTCTTGTCGTTACCGATCCGGCCCAAGATAGCAGGAGGGAGCTCGAGCTCCTGGCCATCGAGGGTGTGCGAGCCTAGCGGGACGGACTTCGTCTCTACACCGTAGGTTTGGAGCTGCGCTTCAAGGAATTCGGCCATTCGGAAGACATCTTTGCGATATGCGGGATCGCCAGAGATACTGTGTGCGCATTGTCAGTTCATCTGATCGGTTAGATCAAGAGTTCAGAGGAGCGGTGTTGGCTTCATGGCTTCGCGGGCCTCGTGCGAACAATTAGATTCGGATCCCCAGTACAGATCACAGAGGCAGCACCCTCGGATCTGACCAAGAGACTGACCTGGGGATCTCTACAGCGCTCGCGAGGCGTTGAATGAACTCTTCCTCGTGTCCATCCACAAACTTCAAGAATTCGGCGGGTGCTGGCATGGTCGTGGACAAAGGTGAAGCGATGTGAAAGCCAATCGATTTGCGATTATTTCGAACGCATTGCGCCGTGTGGACGCGCAGGATAGGCACGAATCTAATACGGATCTCACTTGGGTCAAATGGCCCGAAACGTGGACCAATATGGACAGATTTGACGCAGAATGAGGCAGAATGATCAGATTGATCCATTATCTGAAATGTAGGTCACTCAAACTAGTCTCAAACCCCTGGATTGGCGTGACCACCCCCTTCCACCATCGATGCATTGCATCAGCAAAACCATAGCTGAGCCCCAGTTCCCAGTTGTCCCAGGAGCCGATGTCATCTAGAGACATTTGGCTAGAGGTGTGGCCAGACCTAATACTCCACCGGAGTTGCAAATGGGACTGGAGGTTCACATTCAGGTTGTTGGGCGCAATATACAACTGCGTGCTTCAGAGATTTTCGCTGGTGTTTTCTTATGCAATACTCATGTGTATGAATTTTTCTGAGAAAGAAAAAAGTGTGCAAGAGTGCGAAAATGTTGAGATATGGGTCTGGAGGAGGAATCCTCCAAGAAATGCCCAAGATCTTTCAGATCCTGTCTTCTAACTACTGATGAATAATAATATTCACATTAACCAGGCCCTTTGGATGATATTCAAGCCATTTTGAGCTGTATTTGAGGCATCTCACAAGCTGCACCAAAATATTTGCGACGAGCAGCGACTAGGGGCGGACAGAGTGACAGGAAGCTCGGGCCGCGTAATGATTGGTCATGATTATTGAAGCTCCGCTGATCTTGAAGCTTGAAGCTAGTTTGAAGTTCCAGCTGTCGGAGTTCAAATTTGGAGTGTGACTCCCCGTTTTTGCCTGCTTTTGGGAACCACTCTTCATTTGTGCCTCAGCATCTCATTCTCCTGACACAAAAATACGAAAAAAATAACAGGCTATATCCCAAGAAGCCAAGGTAGGTATGTGCAAAATTTGGAGGGTATAAACGCTAAAATGAGGCTGCTACGAAGGAAACAAGGGATCGTTTACAACTCTGGTGGAGCGATAGTAGGCCTAATAGTTTTTCGGAAGCTGGTGCATGTAAGGTTCCCGCGGGCCAAAAAATCGAACAACAGATTCACCGAGAGGGCCTCGAACCAAAAACCTCCGGCCTTGGCTCTGGCAACAGCAGTTTTAGCCACTGCACCAGTGAATATGGACAGTATTAACATCAATAAGAGCAATATATACATACATTTCCTGGACTGGTAGAATTTTCAAATTAAACTGAGTAAAGTGCTGTATTATCTCAAATCTCATGAGTAAATCTGTGGCGTACATATGATACATCACTGAAAGGCAATGACCTTTCAGTCTTCTTATGATTGACCAGATCAGCTTTCCTAGTGTCGTCCTCAAAGAGATGCTTCACGGCTACATCGAAAGCGAGGCAACTTGATATTCAGCACTGGAGACAAACAAGCAAGGGAGATACGGACTACGCAACCTGACAGACGATCTCACTATGGATAATCCCAAACCACCCGTCCTCTTGAACACTCCATTCTCGAAACCCATGCGCGATCCGCGCGAGCTCCTCCGCGCCCGCATGACCACCCTCAATCGCCGCCTGCGCAAAGCCTGACCCGACCATCCTATCCGCCATCAGCCCACCCCAGTATGCGCGCTCCTCCGGCGTGCTAAAGCACCACGTCCCCGCGCTCGCCGCGACGTCCGCCCGGCCGAATCCCGCCTCGAGCGCCCACGCAAGCAGGCGGCGCCCGCCCTCGGGGTGCCCGCCGTCCGCGCGCGAGACCTCGAAGTGCAGCGTGCGCCACGCGGATATCGCCTCCGATTCGGGGTACCAGACCATGCTCCCGACGTCCGCGTCGCGCGCGGCGACGAGACCGCCGGGCCGCGCGACGCGCCGCATCTCGCGGAGTGCGGCGGCGGGGTCGCGCACGTGCTGGAGCACTTGGTGCGCGTGCACGACGTCGAACGAGGCGTCTTGGAAGGGGAGCGCGTGCGCGTCGCCGGTGACGAAGCGGACGTTATTGATGCCGCGCTGAGTGGCGATCGCGCGCGCACGCTCGAGGGGCTCTAGCGTGAGCTCGAGGCCGACGACCTGTCCCTGGGGTACTAAAGTGGCGAGGTCGATGGTGATGGTGCCAGGCCCGCAGCCAATGTCTAGAATGTGCATGTGCGGCTTGAGAGACGGGAGAAGGTACGCAGCCGAGTTGGCTGCAGTGCGCCAGGAGTGCAGCTGCAAGACCGACTCCTGATGTCCGTGAACGTATGCGGCGGTACTTGACATTACAGTTGAATCTGTACAAAGGAAAATAAAGCTAAATTGAGATTGATGGAACGCCCATGAGTGGCTTACTTTGCAGTTGCGGGTGGTCGTAGAGGTGACAAGGACATCATATCAGCTGAGACCTATAAAAGCGTGAAGACTGCACATCTGTCTCCTATAGCACCGCGTCGGACGTATGTGGATTGAAAAGGTCTTCGTGTGGGTTAGAGAAGACCTCGTGTGGGTCGCATACCAGTGGGAGTCAAAGCTGCTGTAGACTTCCAAGATGGAGAAGCACACCGATTACCAGAGCTTAATCCTAACGCGGCTGAAGAAGCATGGTATTTTGAGTAGCATGAGAGTGCGTATCGGCACCGCGAAAATCAGTGAACTGGCTGACATTTCGAGCTGCATGCGATAAAACATGTCGGCGAAAGGACAATGCGTCTAAAAAGTGGGTGTGGGACAGTGCTGTGAGACAAAGCTCTCGTCGATGAGGTGCAATACGAGGTGCGAGACAAGGCGTGATATATGTTTTCGGAAGCCAGAAAGGAAAATAGTACTCAAGCACAACGAGGCAGGAAGACGGTACCACTTTGGTGGGCGAACGGAACGGCTTGCCCGCATACTCTAAAATAGAGCATATCGTGCACGGAACAAACGTTTGTGTGTTCGATCAAGTCTCGTTAGAAGTTGACCGGTGACGAAATGTATCACAGCCTGAAGACATAAGACATAACAAACGTGGAGCTTGAACGGTACTAACCAAGCAGGCAGATGCTTTAGCGATGTCAGATGCATAAGGAGATAGAGATACCACAGAGCAGTATACTAGTCACCCTGCGATGGGAGAAAAAGGGTGACGTAGTCTGATCGCGTTATAATCACAAAGCAATAGAAAGCGGTAAAGCGTATCGATGTTGAACACATCGATACCAAAGAGCGATTAGGTTCATGCCGTGTGCAAGTCCGGGCATGAAACACAAGTCGTGGCTTCCAGGCTTGTATTCTTCTGTCAGTATAGATGGGGTTTCCATGACGTCAAAGTTAGCGCTGATGCCTGCTCTCAAAAGCCTCCAGAACCCGGTACACACCCACCGCACTGACACAACATGCTCGATTACTGACTTGACGGGTATGCGACGCCGGTGCCCGGAGCACATATACATATGCACCACGTATCGGCTGAAGTCACAAGGTGACAAGATGGGGTCGATATCCAGTCTCCAATCCTCTGCTATTCTGATGTTGTCATTGTTGGAAATCAGCGATGGAAGTGCGCGACCCGTTGAAGCGATGCAGGGAGCTCCTGTCGAATTTGTCTGAACCTCTGGCAGAGGGATGGAGGAGCGGAGGAAGAGAGCGAGGGTAGGCGTGCCAAGCCCCTTCGGCAGTGGCTGCGGCACGGAAGTTGAAACGGGGTCCGAGCGTCTAGCATATAGTCGAATTATTATCAGTCGATTAATATTCTCTCCACCACTCCTCCCCTTCTCCTCCACCCCTCCTCTCTCCCATACCACCACAACCGTCTCCCCAATGGCCCCCATCAAAGTCAACAAAATCTGCTGCAGTGCGTGTCTCTTCAGCACATCGCGCTGCATCTCCGGGCTGAGCTGACCTCCTCCGCGTCTTCCCCATTCGCGCACACAGTCGGTGCTGGATACGTCGGTGAGCCCAAAACGCGCGCCTTTGTGCTTTCTCTGTGCGCTCAAGCCTTCTCCTGGTCTCCTCAGGCGGCCCAACATGCGCCGTGATCGCGCTCAAGTGCCCCAACGTCGCCGTCACCATCGTCGATCTCAACCAGGCCCGCATCGACGCCTGGAACAGCCCCGACTTCGCCCTCCCCATCTACGAGCCCGGGCTTGTCGACGTCGTCAAGCAGGCCCGCGGCCGCAACCTCTTCTTCTCCACCGACGTCGATCGCGCCATTCGGGAAGCCGACCTTATCTTCGTCAGCGTGAACACGCCCACGAAGAAGAGCGGCGTCGGTGCCGGCTTCGCTGCAGATCTCAAGTACGTGCTGTTTTCGCGCTGTGTAAACTTTTATTTGCGCTGTAGCGCTGCGGGCGAGTTTAGCCTCAAATTCGCCAGGGGCAGGCGCATTCTTGTTTGGGAGCGCGATATTGCAGTCCTCCCTCTAAATGCAGTTTGCTCCTTCGAGACGTGTCCCACACTCACACGGCAATCAGTGTGAAGACGTGTGTCATGACACAAGTGATCTTGACATCCCCTTTCGTTCTATTCGATTGTTCCCGTCTCGGCTCCGCACAAACCTGACGTCGTCGCTGCACTTGCATGGCGGCCTCTCGTGCTGGCCATGGCTGGCACGCAAGCTATGCGTAATGCTGCAGCTGGTGCTGAAAACACCGAGCCTACCTGATGCAGCCATGCGTTGGTCTGGGTCACTTGCCCAGCGCGCTCTGTCCAGGCATAGGTCTCGATTTCTGATCTCATGTTCTGTCTTCTATCCGTCCTTCCTCCCATCCGTCGTATGTCCTCAGCGGCGCCAAATCGCTCACGTCACCTTCTCACCCTCTAGCTACGTAGAATCCGCAACTCGGCGTATCGCCGCCGTCGCCACCTCGTCCAAGATCGTCGTTGAGAAATCGACCGTGCCATGCCGCACCGCGGAGTCGATGCGCACGATCCTCGAGGCGAACTCCAAGCCTGGATGCCGCTTCGACATCCTTTCCAACCCGGAGTTCCTTGCGGAGGGTACCGCTATCGCCGACCTGTTTAGCCCCGACCGCGTGTTGATCGGCTCGTTGCAGACGCAGGAGGGCAAGGATGCATGCACGTCTCTCGCGCAGGTCTACGCGAACTGGGTCCCGTGAGCACTTCAATCCGCGCTGCATACCCACGCGCAAGATTCTGATAACTTCGTGACACAGGAAGGACCGTATCTTGACTGTCGGGCTCTGGTCGTCCGAGCTCTCCAAGCTTGCGGCGAACGCGATGCTCGCGCAGCGCATCTCATCCATCAACGCGCTCTCCGCGATCTGCGAGGCGACAGGCGCGAACATCGACGAGGTCGCGCACGCAGTCGGCAAGGACTCGCGCGTCGGGCCTAAATTCCTGCGCGCGTCGGTCGGGTTCGGCGGGTCGTGCTTCCAGAAGGACATCCTGAACCTGGTGTACTTGAGCGAGAGCCTGCACCTGCCCGAGGTCGCGGCGTACTGGCGGCAGGTGGTCATCATGAACGAGTACCAGAAGCGTCGGTTCTCGAAGACGGTCGTGGACACCTTGTTCAACACCATCACGGGCAAGGTGGGCGTTTTCGCCACCGCTCTGCTGCATCGGATTCTCATGATGCTCGTGCCTGTCCCTTTTTTGTGTTGACATCTGTAGCGTATCACCGTCCTCGGGTTTGCGTTCAAGGCCGACACGGGCGACACCCGCGAGTCTCCTGCGATCTCGCTCGTCCGCGACTTCCTCTCCGAGAAGGCCCGCGTAACGATCTACGACCCGCAAGTGTCCGCCGAGCAGATCTGGCTCGATCTTGCTGAGGCTATCCCCGACGTGCCTGTGGAGACCAGTGCGTGTGCCCCTGCATCTCGTAGCCTGCGTTGATATACTGATCTGCTGTTGGTTCCCAGTCAAGACGCAGGTCACGATCGCCCCGAGCGCGCTCGAGGCGTCCAAGAACAGCGAGGCGGTGGTGATCGCGACCGAGTGGAACGAGTTCCGCGAGATTGACTGGCCAGCGGTGTACGGCACCATGAACAAGCCCGCATTCGTTTTTGATGGCCGAATGATCATCGACGGCGACGCTCTGCGCAAGATCGGGTTCAAGGTTCGTGCTATCCGTTACCTGAATCGGCAACGTCGGCGCTGACGGCTCCTTTGCTTGACCTTACAGGTCACCACGATCGGGCGCGGCGAGACGTTCTGAAAAGCTCCTCATCCGCGCCAGGGGGTGCCTCGTCGACTCCTGGCAGCTAGAAGATACCGTTCGCGATTGGTTGGGTTCCGGACAGAGAAGTCAAGACAGACAACAGACATACCTCGTAGACCTGCGTTCTATTATCATACGATTCATTTCCTCCTTCTCTCCTCACGGTAAATTCTCTGGATTCTAATACACCAGCCCGCTCCCTTGTCCAGTCCAACTGCGGCACACGATTACTGTAGACGACTGAATGGTTATGTAGCGACGTACCTACTTGGTGTGTATCCGAATACGATGGCTGGTTTGCATTGCGGCGAGTGGTTTGTGCAAGCGATGGGAGGCCGAGCTGCCGCCGGACTCAGCAGAGGCATGTCAGGCTTATTAGGCTCGGACCTACAGACGCCCATCCAGGCCCATCCCGCGGCAATAAGCTGGGCGGAGTTACCCCATATAGCAAGAGATACCCACGGGTCGGATGTGTACTTACATGAAATCAAACACGAAAGTCGCGAAGCTGGCCGGCGTCGTTCGTGACGACGACCATCCCCTTCCCAAGCACCTTCGCCTCTCTACTATGCCGTCGCCCATCGCTTGGAGCCCCTCATCTCCAAGCAAGTCTATGTTTAAAAAGCGCTCCTCCTCTTCTCTCCCTGGAATGACAAGCGCTGCGTCCTACCTCGCCGCCGTCTCCCAGGCGGACGCGCGCGCCAGAGCACACACCAGTACAACGCCCACAGTCACGCCGGCGCTGTCGCTGTCGTCGTCTGTCACCACGTCGTCTGAGGACACAGTGTTGGAAGAATTCGAGGCCGATAACGCGGACGGGTTGACCCTGCCTCCTGTCCCCCCCACCTCCGAGCAGGTCTTCACCACTATACACTCGGAGTTCGGCCATTGTGCGAACGAGAGCTTTCGGTACACCTCGGCGCACCCCGCTGGCGTGACAATAGGTCTACCTGAGGAACAGGAGCCGCCGTATTATGTCTTGCTGTCCACCTACCTCTCCTATATCATCCTCATCTGCCTAGGCCATCTGCGCGACTTCTTCGGAAAGCGTTTTTTGCCTGGGTTCTATCACCACCTTATGCCTCATGACGTGAGTGTGCAATTTTTGTTTTTGATGAGTTCAGGACCCCCTGTTTACTCTGTGGCCATCGTGGGATTTTATCCGCTGCTATCTTGTTATCTATATTTCCAAACCATTGAATTCCTCGACGCTGAGACATTTGTATCTGATCCCTTTTTTTATTTTTTTTAATAGGGTTATGCTCCCCTAAACTCAGATTTCGACTCGTTCTATACCCGCAGGCTCAAGACTCGCCTTGACGACTGTTTCTCCCATCCGGCCACGGGCGTGCCGGGACGCACCATCAACCTTCTCGACCGTGTATCGGACGACTATAACCTGAATTTCACGCTCACCGGCACCCGCACGCGCGCTTTGAACATCTCCTCTTACAACTACCTCGGGTTCGCTCAGGCCCATGGCGGATGTGCAGACGCGGTTGAGGAGGGGCTGAAGCGGTACGGTGTGTCCGCATGCGGGACACGTCTCGAAGGCGGCTCGTCCGAGCTGCACACTATTGCGGAGGCACTGGTCGCCAAGTTCATTGGGCAGGAGGACGCGCTCATCAGCTCTATGGGTTTCGCGACCAACTCGACAATCATCCCCGCGTTGGTCAACAAAGGCTGCCTGGTCATTTCAGACGAACTCAACCACGCGTCAATCCGGTTCGGTGTTCGGTTGAGCGGGGCTAATGTTCGCATGTTCAAGCACAACAATATGGACGACCTCGAGACGCTGCTGCGGGAAGTCATCAGTCAGGGACAGCCGAAGACGCATCGTCCATGGAAGAAGATTTTGGTTATCGTCGAGGGTCTCTACAGTATGGAAGGTACTCTGGTCAACTTGCCCCGTATGGTCGAGCTCAAGAACAAGTATAAGGTCTGTGTTGCTGATTCCATGTCTCTGTCATCATTGATTGACATTACAATCAGTTCTATATCTTTGTTGACGAGGCTCATTCAATTGGTGCTCTTGGCCCGCACGGCCGTGGCGTCGCTGACTACTTCAATATCAACCCGAGGTCGATTGACGTCTTGATGGGCACATTCACCAAGTCGTTCGGCGCCGCTGGCGGTTACATCTCCGGTAACAAGTCGCTCATCGACCGGTTACGCCTACGTGGTCACGGCGGTGTGTACGCAGAGGCCATGCCGCCGCCCGTGCTTGTGCAGGTCATCTCCAGCATGGCGAGCATCATGGGCGTCGCCCCTCCAATGCCCAGACACAGCCCACACTCGTCCGCGTCTTCTCTGTCCACCGTGCGCATGATCGACGGGCCGGAGCACCCCGGCCCGGCCCACCCGTCCTTGCTTCCGTCCTGGATGGACCTCCCGCCGACGCTGCGCGACGGCTCGGAGGGAATGACGCGCCTGCGCCGGCTGGCATTCAACTCGCGCTACCTCTCCCGCGGGCTCGCGAAGCTCGGGTTCATCACGTACGGGCACAGCGACTCGCCGATCATCCCGCTCCTGCTGTTCCACCCGGGCAAGATGGCCGTCTTCCACCGCATGATGCGCACGCGTGCGACGCCGATCGTCACTGTCGTCGTCGGGTATCCCGCGACGCCACTCGTGACGTCGCGCGTGCGCTTCTGCATGAGTGCGGCGCACACGAAGGACGACATCGACACGGTGCTGATCGCGTGCGACGAGATCGGGGACGCGCTCGACCTGAAGCATCTCCCTGGCGAGCGGTGGCCGATTCAGCGGATCATGGACAGCGCGGCGGAGCTCGTCAACATGCAAGAGTTGGCGTAGGCGAGAGCGACGACGACGACGACGACGACGCGGGGCGTTGGGCGGTCGGGGGCGGGGCGACGGGTGACGGGTGGCGTTGAAAGACGATGGACGTTGGTTTGGTTTTCGACGGTCCAGACTACTTACACAGTATCATATTGCGCCCATTGCTAGCTCTTTTTTTTATTAGACTGAAGCCACTGACTTTTCTCCGTTTTTATCCTTTCTCTTTGCTTCGCTCGGTCGCGCCTTGATCGACGCGAACTGCGGACAGTGGTGTTGCTTCGGATCTGCGTGGGCATCTAATACTTCAAGAAGTACCATAGTTGAACGATTCATCTGTCGTCCCATTGATAAGTTACCAAGTTGAGTGTTTTGCTGTAGACTGAGGTGTCCTTCAAATCGCTTTGCGCCATATCTTCATGCTCGGGTTCAAATTCAAACTCCTACAATGGTATAACGGGTAAGATGTCGATCATCTCCTACACCACTCTCGCTTCTTTTTGCAATATATCACGCCCTCACATCTCTTCGTCTTCGCCGATTGTCTTCGTCATGAATAACTAACAGGACGTGGCTGCCGCAGAGGCGCTCGCAACTTTGGACACCGTGACTGTCGCAGAGGCGCCCAAAAGCGTAGAGCACCATCTTAGAGCGCTGTTGGCCCTCGAGCAGAAAATCAAGAAGGATATGTACTCAGCAAGGAGGTCAGAACACTTAGCCAGAAGGTCATGGCGTCCGAGACTGCTCTGCAGGATGATACCCCACGCAATGTGTCGACTGTCCGCGCTGTCGAAGACTGTCGCCGGACTGAATGAAGATTTGACGGAGAAGCTGGATCAAGAAAGTCCACGAGCTGACGGCTCATCGAAGAGTGGTGCGTCCTACCATGCACTTATTGCTTATCTTCGTTGTTGACTCGAGTACTACAACTCTTGCATGAACAGATGAGCCACCTCGTGAGATCTTCGTGATGCATTGATGGCTTACTAGCTAGTGACCTCTAGTGACTCGTCCGCGACGCAGGCAACCTCGACAGAGTCTCGACAGCGTGTCACATGACTTATACCTGCTTTGCACATTTTCTGGAGTGTTCAAGTACCTTGCCTGTCATCACATCTTCTTGTGCTGGCTTCTCATGTGTTCTAGACGTTGAATGTCTGCTGCAAGATCTTATTCCTTTCTTCCAGCCATCAAGCATAGTGTCGTGTAGTGTCGTGTAGTGTCGTGTAGATCCACCAACCTGGATATCCGAGGAACGGTCAGCCGATGTATTGGACGGCAGAAGTGATGAGACAGATCGCTTGCAGAAGTCTGGGGATGCGGAAGGATGTGGATTCATTGGAAGATGAGCAAGCCGCGTAGCTGAACCTGAACCCGTCGACGCACCGCCGCGTGAGTAGGGTCCTGATCTGAGTCGATCATCTCTAGTGGTTCTCTAGTGCCAGACTCATATACTTAAGAACCACACCTCACCACTCTCGCCTCGCCATTGTCTTCATAATATTATCGCCCTCACACATCTCTTCATCTTCACCAATTGTTTCCTTCATGGATAACCAACAGGAAGTGGCTACCGCAGAGGTGCTCACAAACAGGGACTCCGAGACTCTCGCAGAGGCGCTCGGAGACAAAAGCTCCCCGATCTTCAAAGAGTTGCTCCTCGAAAAGGACAATCGTCTCCTCCGAATGATGTTCGAGCTTGCAAAAGAAATCAAAGACAGTTACAAGACGTTGGACGATACTCTTGAGGAAAGTGTTCAGAACGCCATTGCGGGTAGTGTTTCCAACTTGTTGAAGGCGCTCGAAGAAGTGAAAAGCGAATTGGCGTTGATGAGGGATGGACTTGCCGGTGTCAACGAGAGTGTTGACAAGCTGGCGGCTCAGATCGGAAAGTGGTGCGTACCTACCATGCACTTCTCCCTCATTTTGGTTATTGATGTGTGATGACTCGGGCACTAGTCCTTGCATCCAGAATGAACCAGCTAGTGCGAAGGCCGCTGAGAACACCGTGAATTTGGAGGCTTAGCAGCTCGGAAGAGCATTGCCACATATAGTCTGAATTTGACCAAGGGTTCGATTTCAGCCAGATTTGTAGGAGATTTTGTGTGTATACGATGAGCGTTTGATCTATCGGCATGTGCATCTTTTCTTGGAGATAGCCATTGTACTTTGGAAATCACACGCGTGAAAGAACGACAAATGCACGGGGGGACACCCGGGAGGACAGACATGGCCTCGTAATTACCATGCGGAATGTGCCGAGGCTTGCATGCGTCAGAGTCGCGGGGAAAGCCGGCGGGGCTGGTCTGTCTGAGGACGCCATTGAGGCTGGCGTCGATGTCGCCTGGAGCATGGGCGTCGTTGCATGCAACAGCGAAGAGTGGCGGGAGTGGAGTAGCCAGCTGTGTCCGAGGACTACTCTCTTTTTGCTCCGGCTCTTCGTCTTCTGCAATGTGTCCCACAGCCTTCTTGTGTTCTTTTCGTTCGCACATCTTCGAATCGGTTCGTCCTTGCAATGCCTCTTCTTGTCGCGTCAAATAGAGCTGTACAACTCATGAACGAGTCACCTTTTCGCGATCACGTCTGTCTCGGATACCGACATTGCTGGATATTCTATCGCATGAGGGCCCAAACTCTGTCCGCAGACAATTCGAAGTTCGGATGGCTAGACGGCTTTCGGCACGATAGCGAGGAGCTACACGACTCTCTCTCTTACAGACGTGAGGTCGACATACCCCGAAGGAATTTTTACCCGTAGTCCTTCCAAATGTCTGGCATGGAGGTACGTCACGACGTCAGTGTTCACGCGCAGCACGAGATCACTTCCTTTCAGGTCTCGACATAGGGTCGCTGCGAAAAATTAGTGGTGGGTGTCTGCATTAAATGTGCTCACCCCTGCTCACCCACAATTTTATCTCGTTTTTCATCTCTTGGGACTTGCTTTCTTCATTGCCGAGACCCCACGCGTCGTGACGGCCTGATTGCTGCACCACGGAGGCACGCACGTTGGGTATCGACCAAAACTGAAGTTGGTCGATGGCAGACGCTGAAACGGCGATTCACTCCTAATCTACTAATTCTTCAGTTGTCAGATCTGGTGCATGAGACACAGAAGGATATCGAGCAGCCACTGGGGGCCGCAAGCTATTTCAAGGTGAGATTCAAGGGCGTCTGAAATGCGATGAATTGGCTCGAGCAGCATAGATAAGCATCCGAACATACCTCCCCGGATCGGATCACTTCAACGTAGGTGGAATCTCTTGAGGATATGACGAGGTTGGCGACCATGAACACAAAGACCGACGCGCTGTCCTGATTTCGCCTGCATGCCCTAAATCCCAAGTACTGCAATCCACATTGGGCCAACTGTCGAAAAAGGTGAATCATACCCTGCTTTGCTTGTCTGTCGTAGCGCAGACCCAATCAGCACAATTGGATCGCGCCTTTGAGGTATCCCCCAGCAATCTTGACCGGCGCCAACATAGTAAGAGGCCCAATTCTACCCTTTGAAACGACCCATTGATGTATCATTAGTCTGTATTCAGCGAGTGTCATCGGAGCTCGCTTCCAGGAGCGTGTTATGGACATACTATTTCCATACATGTGCATTATGCATTATGGACGTTGACCGTTCATGAGTTAGATCCATAGCAATCGACACCGTTTTTTTTCGTGCATCATGATGCGAAAATTAGTGCGTACTATTCATGAATATACACCACAAGGCAAACTACACCTCTCCAAGCTGCCCATTATAGAAAGCGCGGGCTCGGTCTCATACTGACCAATTTGACGAAAAACTAGTCTAAGACATATTTCAATCGTGCACCCAGTACTCTTCGTCGTCATCAACCTCCATAGTATCCGCTTCATCAGGAATGGTGTCATTCACCCGCTTGGCCCTCTTCGGTTTCGGGGCAATTGTTGTTTCTTCTACAACCGACTGCTCCATGTGGCTCGACTGCCGTCGGCCCCGCACCGAAGCGACCGCCGTTGATGTGCTGGCTTCTAGAATGCTCAAACTAGCTCCATTTTCCCCAAATTGCGTGATATCGTCTGTCGACGTACCTTCTTCCTCGTCATTCTCAATGCCAGGGCCCCTCGACTCATATGTCTCTCGCTTGCGTTTTTCTCTGCCGCTTTCCAGCCCTTGATCCTCTCCTGGCCAAAAGTGGCCATCCTCATACTCTAAATCGTCCCCGACAGAAAAACACTTGCTTTTGGGCCATTCTAGCCACAGCCTCACGTTCTCTTCTCCAAAGCTGTCGTACCCCTGGCTCACATGCCGCCACAGAAACGATCGCCATCTCTTACGTTTTCTGTCTTCGTCAAGCGCCGCTTTCCAATCTACGACCAAACTCGATCAGATAGCAGCGCTCTCAAAAACGGGGAGCTGCTCAACTCATTTCGCTCACGTCCGGCACTGTGTAAGGGGTCCGGCCTTTCGCCTTCTCATCATCGCGGTAGAGTCTTCGCTGTGAGCGGGTGTGGCCGTACTTCGAGTACTCTCGATATAAATACCCGTGTATCTTTTTCCAGCGCCAATTCTCATCCAGCACTTCTTGGTGATTTGCAGCGTATATCGCATCGAGGAAGGCATGCCGCAGACGCCAGATGTACGTGTATTCACGCATGTTTCTCCATGTGAGACTGAGACCCTTCTCCTTGGCAGGAAAGTCAATGGCGAATCCGTTGGGTTGCCGCAGAGACTCGTAGAAAGCTACAGCCTTGTTAATCATCATGAGGGGGATTGCATAGCACCGCGGCATGAGGCAGACGTATTCTTCCGTCTCGACATGGCCATCGATAGACTCGTGAACGGACATGATGAGGACGCGAGTCCAAGGACCGTTGCTGTCGAGCAAGACTTTGCAACGAGGCCCGTCGCCTCGTTCTGGCATGTTCGGAGTCTTTGGAAATCGCATCCAATCTTTGTACCCTTGTGTCCTCATTTGTTCTGCTAGAGATCGATACAAATAATTCTCAGGATGATACACGTCACGTACTTCCAAGTCTCTGATTGAATGCACTCTGCGCAGTCACCTCCAACGTGCAGTCGCCTCGGTTGTGCACTGAAGTGATGGTGGTTGTTGCAAAAGGTCGTATCAAGATATGGGCGAAAGGAATCTGATTAACCACGGGCGCGAACCGCCTCGATGACGCTTGCCCAATATAGGACATGATCTGACGAATTTGTACAATACCTTGCCTTCATCTGAGCAGAACGGTCTAAAAGGGTGTTCATTCAGGAGGCAACAAAAACGGCAGCCACATTGGGTCGCGAACATAAAGACGGGATGCTACAAGGCTATAACGACAGATCTGCCTGATCGAATACTTCATCGAGACGAGTAAAAGTTACAAGGGGCAACGACAACGAATAGGAAAAAATAGTTATTGGCATATGTACGTGTGCACATTCATCGTACCTGATCATAGAGGCGGAGACTCGACGGTAACGGCAACGCAGGGGCCCGACATGTGCGGTTGTCCAGAGCCGTAGTGTGCTGACCATCGACTGGCATGATCAAACAGAGCACCCAGCCAGAAAACACCGAGGCAAGGGAAAGGACGAGTGACTGTCGAAGACAGGGCGTTGTTCAATGCGCAAGAATGAGACCGAGCTAGCTCGGCTCTCAGAGATTGTCGAAAAAAGTGTCCCTGAGCGGAACGGAGTGATGGCTTGACTACCCCGCGCCGCCCCATATACTCCCGACCCTCTGTTGCTCATACTTGGACACGTCGAGTGAGCCGTACGTGCGGTGTCTGCTCTGAGGCACGTTCTGTATATACAACGATGAAGACGATCTAGACGCAGCCACAGCCTCGGCAAGCATGGGATGACCGGGTGGGGCGATGTTCATACCGGTGGAGGCGACCGATGAGACGAAGGACCCGATAGGCTGAATATTTTGCGAGTTTGAGCTATAAAACACAGGATCTTGTTGATCATACACTCCGTAGCCATGATCCATCTGCGTAGAGGCACTCGGCACGCGCCGATGAGTGTTCGGCATGAGCGTCTGTGAGAAGGAAGCAGATGGTAATGGGCGAATCTCCGGTGGCTGAGGCGTCTGCGGTTGAGTAAATGATGGCCATGAACCAGGCGAAACCGGTGGATTCTCCGCGAACGGCAGTACGAAGGGATATGAGCCGGACGGCTGGCGCTGACGATATTGCAGCGAATCCTCATCTGGCGAGGTTGCCCAAATCGATTGGCTGGTTCCATACCCTCCATGGGTGGTAGGGCCAAACAGAAGTGGTGGAGGTGGCGCGGAATGTTGCTGTCCCATGGGCGAGTGCAGAGGTTGTTGAGGAGAGTATGAAGGTTGTTGAGATGGAGGAAGCGGATGCGCCAAGTTGCGAGGCCCCAAGTCTATCCCCAGCGCAGGTCTCCGTCGGCCCAGGACGTTATCGAGAAGATCCTGTGCTGTTGTCTTGTGCGGATTTGTAGCAACAGAACTCGCATTTTGGGCGGGGGCCCCTTTGACGGAAAGATGAGGTGCAGAAACAGGACTGATATCGACATTTCGTTTCAAGGGGCTGATAGGGCTGATTGGACTTGTGCTCGGGTGGGCTTGGGCATGAGGGGTAGGCATGTTCGATAGAGGACCCGTATGGGAAGGCGGGGAAGTAACTCTGTTCGCCCTATGCATGAGGAAAAATTCATGGCAGAAGATACCGAAGAACAGACCTAGGGTCCCACACAATCTCGTCCCCTTCCTCATCATCGGGCGCTTCAGAAACGTTCAAAACCTGTCTGAACACATCCCCGACCGGATCCGTGGCCTCTGTCCTTGCATCCTCATCCACTTCGATCACAGCGGTCTTGATTTTCGCGGGAGACAGCGCTCGCCAATCAGTCTCGTCAACGGCCTTCGACACGTGTGTAATATTCTGATCATTGACTTCCCCACGTTGAGCTTGTCTTGATGTGTGATCAAACGACTCCATCGGAGTGCCTCTCGCATCCGCCAGCATTTTTGCGTCGTGCCAGACATCCCAGACGCGCATAAGTTGCTCTTCATTAGGATGCACTTGTTCCGGCGAGCGTTCTTTCACATCAGGTTCTTGTCCGGCGTTGGCAATGTCTTGGTCATCACCGCTAAGCAGCCCCTTCAGCGGGAGATACGCGCGTAGCTCGACATCTTCTTCGAGGGGTTGCCTCAACCTTGGCAATGCCTCCAGTGGGAATACTCTCGCAACGCTGGTAGCGAACCCGTTGTACGTATCCCAGAATTCGCGAATACGGGCAATCGGTGCCGGTGGCTCCTGCACATACGATAGATTCGCGCGCAGCCACTTTCCCGCCACGCGTAGCGCGGGAAGCATTCGTCGGAAAGTCGCAGTGATACGCATGGCCGGGTCGTCCTCTACAATCCTTGCCGATTCTTCAAGCTCTGCGGTGCCACGTTGGAGCAGGGCAGCATGCAGAGCAAAGATGTGGGCGAGGATGCGAGATTCGATGGTGATGGGTTCGCTTGGGCGTTTGGATGATACGGGCAGGGCGGCGTGCACCATTTGATGCTTCCACAATGCGCCATGCGCAAGCACAAAGACCTTCAGGATCGTGTCAATGGAAAGAGCGCGCGATGAAACTAGGGTCGAGAACTCTTCAACCAGTTGATCATCGCGCCCGGGTGCAATCGTGTCCATCCTGAGCGAGGTCAGAATCTTTATGGGTCATGCGTCATGCCACTCACTGCTCGCGTGTCCGCCTCCAAAGTGCATGGACGAGTACTACATCATCCTTAAACGTACGGGCCTGGTCTCTGACGTTCTCGTTTTCTGGAGAAGCCTTGGCCTTACCTCGTTTCGTGTGCCACACATCCAGAAACTTTGAGAGTACGTTGCCCATGTTTTCAGCAGCAGGGTCGTACGACACTTGTACGCATATAGCCCTATAATAGTGAACCAGACTCTCAAACGTGTCCTTCTGGTACGATGCCAGGATCGCGAGCTGATGAGAAGCATTGCCTTCGTTTGGAACCAGGTCGCGCGCGCGCTCGTAGCACATTCTTGCCTTGTCATAATTACGCGACTTCGTTTGTTCAGCAGCCTGTCGCCGATTGCGACCACCGCGGCGTTGCCCCTGTTCGTTCCCGGGACGAGGCCGCCCGTTCGCTTCACTGTATTGCTCCCGATAGCGCGCCAGGTCGCCGAGACAGATAAGGGCCTTCGCCAGCGTTGTCAGATGACTCGCATGTCGTGCGGGTGTAAGTGGTGATTGGGGGTCGTGCGGTTCGGGGGGAAAGCGAAAATGACTTCTTCCTGTGCTCACGTCGTCTTCTGCTACATTGCCTGCGTCGGTGGCCGGATCATCGGATGAGGAAAGAAGACCGAGCTGAACGAGGGCCGCACGGGCCTCTGTGAGCTCGAATTGGCGTTGAAGACGGACGACCAACTGCGTCCAGAATTTCTCTTCTTGAGCTAGAAACTGCTTGAAACGCTGCATTAGCTTGCGGTGTTCCACGGGACCGTGGCGCTGTGGCCGCCCCGGCTGCTTCTGCGCGCCGCCATCGCGCAGGGAATTCTCAACGGTCACCAGGTGCTTTTTGTAAAGGGTGATAAGAGCATAGGAAGTAGACATCCAGAGATGGGTTTCAGCATCTTTAGATTCCTTGGCGTGAGGGTACGTGAGGAGGAGTGTTAGGTATTGTTTCTGAAGGCTGTGGTAAAATCAACTCGCAAGCTCTGTCAGGATCTGTGGATAAGAAACGCACTTCTTTCGCTGGAATTCAATCTCCCTGTCCCAAGGTTCTCGAGATTTTGCGAGGACAGCTTTGAGGTCTTGATGGAGCCTCTTCGCCTCCCTATCATCGGTATGAACGTTGGGTGATCCCATTTCTACGATGGCGGGTGACGTACCTTCCAATGGATGATGCCTCCTCGGACATCATAGCTCGTATGGTAGCAGTGTCCATTGGGTTACAAGATGTGCATGCTGAGGGTTGGTCTGGCGGTTTACATAGACTGGAGGGTCCAAAGAGTGTCCAAAGCTCAAACGGCCACTGAACAAGTTGATGTGTGACTGACCTCGTGACTGCACGTCACGAACTGTCTTTCGGAGACAATGCGCGCAGCGCTGAGATTCGATGGAGAATCCCTTACAAAAGCCCAAATATGGCTCGTATTGAGTTAAAATTATGAATAAAACGCAGGCTCTTGTGCGCAGTGTGGTGGCCGTCCGTGGCGGCACGACTAGCTCACATTTGGTCTATTCTACCAAAATAACGCGCTGGAATTTCCTGGATCACAAAAGTATGCTCACGATCTACAGTTTACCTAGGATGCCGCACAAGAAACTTGGAACACGTTCATTGAAACATTCGTGCGAACGGGTTCTAGCCTTCTTGAGGACTTCTAGCCATCTCTATTCAGAACAACAACCTGCGGCTTACACAGTAGCTGGCGCAAACACTTCATCTGCCTTGCTCAAAAGCTTCTTCAAACCTTTCATGCTCTTCCAAAGCAGAAAAGCGAGAAGCAGCCTTGCTTCCTCTCTCTCTACAAGGGCCCATTGTACATCGTATATGTTTTCCGACGAAGCGTTTCCGGCAGTCGCGTGCCTGGGGAGTCTCAACGCGATCACGTTGAGATAGTCAGTGATGTAGACGTAGTCAACACCGTAATGGTAGCCATGCTGGATGGCACGCTGTAAGCTTGCCATTGTTGTCGCTACCGACCCAAAGTGACCGTCTTCGCTGAGCGAGATTTGTGCGTTGGCAATCGTTTGAACGTCACTTGCGTTAATGCGGCCGGCTATCTGTGGGCGGAGACACATCAATGAATCATCCTTGCTTTGCACGCATACAAGATACCTCATGTTGCACGGCCACCAGACCCTTTAACAATGATTTACCCTCCGCTGAAGCAGACTCCTGCGCCTCTTGCGAGCCGATGTTGAAAAATTGGGACGCTTTGAGGTAGGCGTTAGCAGCAAATGGTGGCGGCACTCCATCTACGGACATATTGACGGTGTCCATCTCTGATACTTCATTTTGGAACGTTACCCATATCTCGTGTTGCATGTTGACGCTGGGCGTGGCCGCAGGAAGACAATCTGAGAAGATGAAGATCTTATTGAAGTGAGGATCTGTGTTATTCGATGAGCATTTGAATGCGTTCAGTAAGTCAAAACCGTAGAATACAGAGCTACTACATACGGTCAAAAATCTGGGTTTGGATGCGAACGCGCTCGGGTGCCTCCTCGCTGATAATTTCAAGCGCAATCGTGAGGCCCTTGGTGAATCTGCATGAATCCAGAAGACCAAGTTCTTTCTGCCAATTTTCTGCAATATTCAGCACAGGTATGGTGACCTGAACTTCACAGGCCGATCTGAAAAGACATAGTGAGATTGACGCCAATCTTGAGTGGCGACATTTGACTCGCCTGATGTCTGCTTCATTCCTGGGAGTGCTGAACGATATTCTGGGGATATGCGACGTTGATTTAGACACGTCCGCTCGTGCCATTACCTCTTCAAAATGGGGCATATCTTCATCGCCTGCCCAATCCCAAGGCATCTTGGCCAGCCTGAAGTTGACCAAGGCTGAGGTGGCCCAGTCCTGTGAGCTCGTGGGACCGGATTGCGCTTCGGAAGCAGGCTGATTGACGATTGAGTCGAAGGGAGCGGGTGGCGTGATCAGCAGCTCCCATGCAGACGTTGGTCTAGCTGAAGACATTTCTGTAGGCGTGTGAGAGAAAAAGAAGGCAGATTTGAGACGCTGTGCGGTAGTACTGCGCTGAATCAATTCTAAGTATATTATACGAAGCACGGGTTAATCAGTCTTGGTAGATGGCGAGGGACAATAGAGATCGATAAAGAATCAATGATGAACTTACTACAAACGGACGACTCGAAGCTTGAAGGCTGGCGATGTTGAGAAGGGCTCTATACGCGTCCCAAGAGAAAATTCAAAGCTATCAACAGACCACTTTTCAAAGATGGCGAGAAAGTGCGCGCAAGGGCTCGGCGCCCTGAAAAGGATGTTTGTACAAACCAATTCCCATTTCAAGAATGTCTTACCGTGCACCTCGAAAATTGACGAAAACTACAGCTGATAAGGATCTATATTTCCATGGGCTGTCGGGTTTCCTGATGAAGGGCACTATGCGTCATGGAGGTCACTCAAGTGCATAGCATTGATGGTCACCTTCAGGCGACGTCGGAGACTGCCGGCGGAGCGACAACTGTCGCCGCGCCGCCTTTGGTGAGATTTGGAGTTTTCTACACATGAATGACGTTTCCTAGTGAAGGAGACCCGATGTTGAACGTTGAACATTACAAGCTGGTGACTGTCTCAGAACCTTGTCACTTGAGCATTGATCTGCTGCGGCACATTGCCTGACACCTACGACGGAATCAAACAGCAGGTGAGCTAACGTTCTCTGGTTCCTTCAATCACTTTGTTACAATGAGCTCAATTATCCTCCAGTATTTCTCCAATATTTTCAGAGGTTATCTCAAATTGATTTGTCCGCCAAAATAGGTCATAGCCTCAGCATGCAAGGCTGTATGACCTCGTTACAGCTCATTGCACCGTATCTATTCGATTCTGGAGCATATAAGCTATCGAGAGCTCGAACTCTGGATTAAATTTTCAAGTTCTCTGTCATCCGGCATATATCTTGCAGCTCTTGGTCCAGGGCGCGTCAATTGTGATTAGTAGACATTCCATCAATTTTAGACCTTGCGGGTCTATCGTTCTAAGATGACAGGTACGAATTCAGATCCTCCTTATCCGTACCAACTTTTCCCAAACTTATCGGGATCTTATTCGCCTATCATGTACATCCGCGCAATCTTCGCCCGGATATCCAATTGCGCTTCTCGTGCCGTCACTCCAACTCAGCGCAATGTAAATGACTCTGTCCGGCTCTGGTCTTGTTCGGTAAATGGAGTGGATTATACAGCCCTTCCTCGGGTCGACGCTCGTTCGCCCTGGGTGCTAGATGGCGGCTCTCAGCCAAGATGATCATTGGACCCAGAATAACAACTCGTCGGCACATCTTAGAAAATTTACTCGTGTCCAGACTGATCAAAATCTCGTCCTGCTCCATGCTCGTCAACGATCACAGCTTGGGTATTCTCTCTGCTTTCTTCATTTTTTATACCTTTCTCGCTCATGTATCGCGCTTAGTGCATGTATTGCGCCTGTTTTTTTTTTCAGGATCATCTATTAAACTCTACGTATGCAGCAATGACGTCCCTGGCCATTGAAAGCAAGCGAGCGGCTAAAACCCTGGGCCTTTTTTTTGCGACTCCTAGGGACACGGGTCCGGTCCTCCTCGCCCATAAACACTCACCGCCCGCTGAAACGCCACTGCTGCATACGCAGAACGGACAATCGCCGAGACAATTGCCCGAAAAAAAGGGTAAAGAACCAAAGAAGACGAAGAGAAAAAACATCGGGAAGTGGAACATGCATCAAACCCACGGATAAGGCGTAAGAAGGTACATCGACGAGAAAATAACAAAGCCACAAAACAGGAGCGCAGATGAAGCGAGGCTGACGAGCACAGGACAAATCCGTTCAGAGTTTTGAATGTTGAGTTTTCGCGTTGAGTTCGTCATCTAGGAAGACCTGGCAGTCAGTAATATTTCAAAAATGCCCCTTGTAGTAGATCTTACCGAATTTCTTACTAGCAGCTCTGCGAGAAGTCTGGTCAGCATCGTCGAACGGCTCTGCAGATAGTTAACAAATACTGAGTATCTCTCATTCTTGTGCTTGAATAATCTCGTCAGATTCTAGCCGCCGGTGTCGCCTAAGATCTCCATGTTGCCTGAGCTCTAGTCAGATGTCGCCTTAGACGGGAGCAGTCGAGAGGGAAAGGGAAGTGGAGTGATGAAATTTGGACGGTAAGAATGTCTTTTATACTTCGCGAGATGTCCCCCGAAGTTACCCTGATCCTGGATCAATCAGAACAAGCGAGCTTGGAGCTGAATTCCCACCTCGTGGTTGCAATCGTCTAGATCGTGGCTAGATTTTGGGCCCTGTCTGCGCATCACCATTGGAACATCTGTTGATTCGGGAATGAATGACGAGGAAGGCGGCGGCGTAGGCTGATGCTGATTGGTTGATTCATCTTCTGAGGATAGGGCTTCTATTCGAAAAGGCCTATCTAGACAATACGCCACGCCACGGGTTGGTGATCGATAATCAAACGCCTCCCTGTTTACCACATCTCTGCGATGATGATCGAAAAAACAAGGACTTACAGAGTAATACAACACAATCAGGTGCATCTCAGCATTCATCATCTGATCTGCCTTCTGACCGGTGATAGTCGCAATCGATTGGGTATACGGTAGATGACGGTACAATGATGCCCCCGAGAGCGCCGTGAATTCAGAGGTGCCACTTTACACTATAACAGGGAAGTTTGGAATACTCTCAAGGCCTGAATAGGCCTGAATCCTTGATGGAACGTGCGGCGGTGCATTCGGACTATTCATCAAAATCAACAAGTAGATTTCGTTTTCATTCCTTCTGGGTCTATGCGCGCCTTTTCGAATTCAGGAATTACCACTATTTGCTGCGCGAGCCGACCGCAGTTTGATTTCTACGAAGCCAAAATCGCCTCATGGATATTTTTTTGTGTTTTGTGCAGAAACGGCTCACCAATCTAAGAGGGCTTTGAACTACTCAGGTTGTCGAACACTGATAACAACATGTCTTTGTATTCGAAGCTCATACAAGGTGAGCGCTCTTAGGATCCACCGGGTAGATAAGAGCTTGTAGATTGGAACTCGCCGTGAACAAACAGTAGAGGTAACGACAAGGAGTTCGATTTTTAGTACACATCTGGAGGAGTAATCCGTAGTAGTAACGCAGGTGCTCTCTCTAGCAGTTGAGACGAATCAAATTTCTCTGCTTCAAAAAAATAACTGTGTCAAAATAGTCCGAGACTGGTCCGAGCTAACGCGCTGCGCGCAGTGAGGAGACGGAGGGGCAATGTGTCAGTGATACGTCCCATAACAATCACGTGACCGCGATATTAGAAACGTGTTGTTCGACGCGTCTGCGTCTCTTTTATCTTGACCTTGTTCTTCTCTTCATTCACGTCAATATTCGCGCTGAGATGGAAGAGATGTGAGCCATAGAACGTAAATATCTGCTCAACTGATAGCCTGAACTTTACCAGCCGCCGTCGTATGATAGACATGCAACCCCAACCTGTTGCTGGAAAGGGGAAACGCATGCCTAGCGTGGCTCAATCTCCCCAATCTGCCATTGTCAGTACTCCAGATGACTTCCTATAATTTGGAAAGCTGTGGATACTCACAGACTCGTCAGTCGATATCATCAGCGAGTTCTGCGTCAACTAGCTCTGCCTCTGCTACGTCCACTGAACAGAGCAACGACATCCTACACGTGTTAGATTCGGATGAGGAGGTTCAAGAGATCGTGTGAGGGACTACACTATTCTACTCGGGCTATTATCTGACTATCGGCCCCCTTTTTATAACAGGGCGCCCCCGCCACGAACGACGGTGACCAATCCACCCCTCCGGACAGCACTTGAAAATGTCGCCAAGAATCGCATTGGGCCGGCCCAACCAATTCACGTCCCATCAAATCGTGACATCCCTCGTCCAGCTCCTAAAGCTCCTGAATCTGATACGCCCTGGGAGTCCTTTGACGTTGGAAACGTAGACGTTGTCTATGACCCTAAGAAGAGCACTCATGACGCCGAGAAGGATCTCAAGGATTTATTTCAACAATCATTCGATGGCCACGAGGAAGACAAAGACGGAGTTGCTCTTGATATGTCCGAAGCTATCGTGGAAGGCTTTCGTGACGGCATTACTCTTCTCCCTCATCAAGTTATTGGTCGTCGCTGGATGAGGGAGCGCGAGACAGGCAAGAAGCTGGGTGGTATCCTTGCCGATGATATGGGCCTTGGGAAGACCATACAAACATTGACGAGAATCGTTGAGGGTCGACCACGTAAATCCGACGAGCGAGATGGATGGAATCCGTGTACTCTGTAAGACTGCCTCTGCAGATGAGCAGAATATGTACTGACCAGCTTATAGCGTTGTCTGTCCTGTGAGCTTGGTTGGTCAATGGGCTGCTGAAATCAGGAAGATGGCAGTCGGCATGAGTGTCATCGAACACCATGGTCCTTCGAGGACGACTAGTGAGCCTGAACGTATCTTCCCCTCTACTATCTGACAAGACGCACGTAGATCCGGACCAGTTCAAGAGGGCCAACGTCGTTGTCACTTCCTACAGCATTGTCGCTAGTGAATTTGGCGCCTACAGGCCCGACGCCAAGGACGAAGGCAAAAATAAAAGCAAGAAGAAGACTGAAAACTCGGACGATGATTCTTCTGATCAAGAGCAATTCGGCCGTACAATCAAAGCGACAAAAAAGAAAGGCGTAGCCTCGAAGAAGAAGGATGCCTTGTTCCGAATCAAATGGTGGCGTATCGTGCTCGGTATGCCAGCATGTTATTGTACCTCTTTCGTCCACTAAGTATGATATTTCAGACGAGGCACACACAATCAAGAATCGGAGCACCCTGGCCGCTAAGGCCTGCTGTGCTTTGGAGGGAAAATATCGCTGGTGTCTTACGGGGACCCCTCTGTAAGCGCCAGGTGTGAATGACTTACAAGTATGTCATTGATTTCTCTCCACAAATAGGCAGAACAATGTCGAGGAACTGTACTCTCTGGTCGCATTTTTGCGGATCAGACCTCTGAATGACTGGCCCACATTTAATGAACAAATTGTCAAGCCTGTCAAATCTGGTAAAACTGCCCGGCCAATGAAACGCTTGCATGTCAGTCGCTATCCCTATTTTGTGGTTATCTTACCTGACACCTTGTTGCAGGTTGTGCTGAAAGCCATCATGCTTCGGCGAAAGAAGACGGATACGCTGAACGGAAAACCTCTTCTGGAGTTGCCTAAACGCCATTTGACCATTGTTCCTTGCGAATTTGATCCCGAAGAGCGTGCATTCTATGTAGGGCTGGAACAGAGAATTGAGGCGGTCATGCAAAAACTAGCCAAGAGCGGAGATTTGTCTAAAAGCTATACGTCCGTTTTGGTCCTGCTTCTCCGCTTGCGTCAAGGTAAGAAACGTGCTTTTGATCTCTAGGTATTGGGGTTGACAAGGGATCCTAGCATGCGACCACCCCGCTCTGGTGTCTCAAGACTACAACAAAGACAAAGATGCTGTACAGCCTCAGGCGTCGAAGAAGGATGAAAACGATTCAGATTCAGAAGCCGACGACCTAGCGGACATGCTTGGTCAGATGGGCCTAGGGCGGACGTGCCAGGTCTGCCAAACATCGTGAGTAGGACTACCGCCATGCCTGGCGTTGATCTGACGAGACGCATATTCGTCAACCTTAGCCTGACTAAAGACAACGTGGCTCCTGACTCCGAAAATCATTGCGAAGAATGTGCTCCCATCGCTAACAATGCGCGGCGCAAATCCATCGCGAAGCGTGCCGACTCCAACCTGCCGCCTGATTCTGCTAAAATACGCAAAATCCTGGAACTCCTGGAGGACATTACAGATCGGTCAGACGAAGACGGCAATCCGAATGGCGAGAAGACAATCATCTTCTCGCAGTTCACCTCCATGTTAGATATACTGGAGATATTTCTTAAAGATGCTCGGGTCAAGTATGTTCGTTGTGAGTCTTTCATCGCAGACACCTGTATAAGATCGCGTTGCTGATCTCAGTACGCAGATGATGGGTCGATGTCGAAGGATAAGCGCGAGGCTAGCCTGGAGAAAATTCGTACTAGCAAGAGTACAACTGTTATTCTGATCTCCTTCAAGGCTGGTAGTACTGGTATGTGCTTGCTTGGGGGTATCACAGGTTGTTTCTGATATCCTTCCTCACTCACTAGGCCTTAATTTAACTTCGTGCAACAATGTCATCCTTGTTGATATGTGGTGGAATCCCGCCTTGGAGGTGATCTTCTGTCAACTCTCGCCTGCTAACCTACATGTTAATTTTGTTGTCTTCTAACTCAGGACCAAGCATTCGATCGAGCACATCGTTTCGGACAGCAGAGAGATGTCAACATCTACAAGTTGACTATTGAGCAAACGGTCGAGGAGCGTATTCTCGACCTGCAAAATACGAAGCGCGCACTTACTAACGCGGCTTTAAGTGGTGACAAGCTCAAGAACTCGAAGCTTGGGATGGACGATCTTCTGGCCTTGTTCCGACCTGGACGAGACGATGACGAGGACTGATCAGCCCATCTGTCTCTTCCTCTTATGATATACTCGCCCATATCTCTTAGTTGTCTACTCTGTTATGCGTTTTATTGCTCTGTGAACTAGCATATCTTCTAGCATGCGTATAATACATGCTATGGTCATGTTTTCATTGACGTATCGACGTACACAACACGTCGCATCGCACCAGAGGCGATCAGCTAGACTCAGCTGCCTGTGCCGTTCCCAGCTCCCAAGGCTTCCTCCTTTGAGGTACCGTTGATGTGCTCGGGGGCGCATCCTGTTCGATGGAAGAGTGTCAGGTCCGGTAAAGCGATATTGAACTTTCAAAACTGACGTTGAGTTTGTCGGGAATCTGTTTGTTGTATGGAATCTCGTCCGTCCTCCCTTGTTCTATCAGCGTTTTCAACTCTGCAAATGAAAGATGTCGGGGTTCTTTTCCTTGCTCTTCTCCGAATTCTGAAGGAGCCTGCAGTGCACTTGTATCAGGGCTCATATTGGTGGGCTTGGCGTAAAGCTCTGCCAAGGTGAACTTAGAGGGAGCAGTCGGCACAGGTGTATAATTGACTAGTACCCTCCGCTCTTCTGGCTTCATCTTCCGAGATGGTCAAACCCTTAATTCTAATGCCAATGAGTTGAGCGAGATTTTGAGGTTGCGAAATCTATAGATGCGTACTTTTCAAAGTAGAATATTCTCGTTCTCCTCAGTAACGCTTCCTTCTCCTCGTCAGGTGTTGCGGCCAGGGCGTCATTCGAGATTATGCTCGATAGACCTTGCTTTCAGGATTTTGAAAGGCTCAGATTGTTCGCTTCCGTGCCCGGGAGATATATACTCACCTGGTACAGTTCGTCGGAGTCGAAAGGATGCGTCGCATAAAGCTGCAGGACATCTGTGGGTAAATCGGCCATGATTGTCTATGATTTGTGATAAATCGGTGAGTTGGTCGTTCATTCATGGATAAAAAGCGAAATATATGTACACGATTAGGTTAGATCGCAAGGGATTGAACGGTGCAGTGCTGAGGGGTCCGAAGCCGTTGCCAAATAATGGGGTAAAGCAGGAGCGATAAGATAAGATCTAGGCGGCCTTCGCGTCTCGTCGCCTGGCACCGACTAATACGGTCACCATCTGTCCACCAACCTCTATATTTCGTTCTAAAAAGTCCACATTGCTAGAAGATAAATTATCTCCTTTATTCAATCATGTCTGGAACGAGCAAAATTGCGGCAGAGAGAAATTCGAAGGCGGTAATCGATTTGGTGATGAAACCAGGCAATGGTGAGCAGTACATATTAATTCTTCAGTATATGTGGAATGCGTCCACTAGGGCTGTCTTCACTCGCACTTGAGTGCTCTTTAGATTTGAACGATCATAAGAAGCGTTCATTTATATGTTACATGGACATAGAACGCCGACCGGTTGTCAGTACTGATACAGCCCTAGCCTCGACGCCCACTCAGGGTAGCCAGCGTTTACTGAATACCACTTCCAGACATATGCGCAGATTGTAAGACCCGAAACCCCCGGTGGTCATCCCATAATTTGGGGATATTCATTTGGTGTGTTGTCCGTTCGCTTGCTGCCTGCACAACTCATGAATCCAACCCTCAGTGTCAACTGTGCCAGTATTCATCGAAAGATTGGTACCCACATCTCGAAAGTGTACGCATTTATGCCGTTTTATCTCCCTGCACTGGACAAGCTCTAATACGATCTATAGGAAGAGCTTGACATTGGATTCGTGGACGAAGGAGCAAGTAGAAGTAGGTGCATCGGCTGAGATTCACTCCTCTATATTCTGGCTGACCTATCATTTTTCAGAATATGCGTCAGATCGGAAACATCAAATCAAATCAATTTTATAATCCAGATGAAGTTCGTAATCCACCACCGACGAACATGGTAGACTCTGAGAGGGATAGTGAATTGGAGAAATTTATTCGTGGTAAGTCTTGCCCTATCTGATCACTGTCTGCGACTGAGCCACCCATCAGACAAATACGAGTTTAAGAAGTTCGTATCACGTTCTGCCATCGTCGCAGCGCACCTTGGACCATCCAGGTCTGCAGCTTCCGTGAAAGCACTTCCTTCTTCATCTCCACAGCGTTCGCAGACCGCTCCATTAGGAAACCCAACGGCGTCGTCTGCTCGCCCGCTCACCTCCAGTCAAACTCTACCCCAAATACCCTCGACGGCCACTCCGCCGTCGACCTTTCAACATTCTTTACCTAACCGTTCCGCTACTCAACCGCCTTCTGCTTTTCAGCAGCAACAGCAGGCGCAACAAATGCAGCAGCCGGCAAGCGGCGTTTGGTCCGACCTTGCGGCTCTTCAAGGCCCTGCACAGAACTCGTCGCTTCCTTTACAGTACCAGACATCGCAACCTCTTGCCCTTCCTAATCACAACCCATTTCCTACCGCAGGCACGACACCTTTTGGGAACGGAATGGGTCTTAGTCCTGGAACGAATGCTACCGGTATCTCTCCACATTTGGCCGTTGGGGGTGGGATGGGGATGGGCCCTGGCATCTCTTCTGGGTTGAGTATGAACAATATGGGTACACCACCCTTCCAAACTCAGCCACAGATGCAGACGCAAGCACAGTCCGCGAGCTTCGGTGCTCCAAACACATTCTCTTCCGCTGGCACTGGTGCAGCGAACCCTTTCGCACAAATGCTTGCCGCCCAATCTCATGCACAGGGACAGATGCAGATGCAGCAGCCGTTCCAATCACAGCCTTTTGCACCACAACAAAATCCGTTTCCACAACCCACCCCAACATTCTTGCAACAGCAGCCAACGTCATTCCAGCCACAGCCTACAGCGTTCGCGCCGTCACCTCAGCCCTTTGCGCCGCAGTCTCAGGCGAACCCATTCTACACGGCTGGCCAACCGATGCTCGCCCAATCTCAGGCGCCGTTCCGAACTACTCCGTCGCCATATGGCGGAATGGGTGTTGGAACGCAGTTTCAACCACAACAGTCTCAGCCACAGCAGATGTTCGCGGCGCAAGGTATGCAGCAACAATCTCCCATGCCCATGCAGGGCACGAATCCGTTCACGGGGTGGATGCAGCAGGCGGCGCCAGCGCAAGGGGGGTTCACGGGACAGAATGGACCCTGGGGCTCTATGTAAATAAAGCCTTATCGAAGAGTCGAGGTTCTCACAAGGAACTGTGGACATCGGTGATCGATGATGGCACAGTGGAATTAATCAGACATTTTACGGAATAAAGGAAGATATCATACACAATTTTTTGAGTTGTTTTAATCGCGGGGCCAATTGTACTTTGATTGGTTCCTGTATCTTTTCTCTCATGTGTCGAACTCGGAATGTCTGAAATGTCTGATATGGTTTATCGGATCAACAAGCATAGCACTGGAAAAACAGGGTTAGCTGTATCTATACGTGTCTGCGATACTTGAAACGGAAACGCGGTGAGCGTCAAAAACGGACGCTCGGGCCACTCGTTCATATGTGTTACATGCCAACCGTCAACTGTCAAATCTTCAGAGGACCTTTCTGCGCCGTGAATGGCGGTATAGCCTGCACACTCCGGTATAAAAGAGAGCGTGGCCGTCCAGCACAACATCCAGCGAACTAACTGACTTTTTTTTCCTCCTTCGCTGATAGACTATTCCCGCATACACTCTTCCCCATACTCCACATCTTACCGACAGACAATGATGCACCACACATCCAATCTTTTGCTTGACGGACCATCCCAACCGAGCGCGCAGCCTGGCCCACGTACAGCAATGAATATTGAGAAGCCTCGGTGGACCAATAGCGTGCCTGCCACCCGCCGGGTTGCGCAACGTCGTTCGGACAACAAAGCTTCCAGGATGCTAGGCGTGTCGATCGCCCGCGCAAATACCGCAGCCGAGTATCAACAATTGACGGAAGAGGAACGGGGCAGGGTCGTTGAGAGGCATCTCCGGACGTATCGGCGAGGTTTCAGTCTTATTATTGGCAAAATTATATCACAAAGGCTGAAGGGAGGAATGGGCATGGAGTCAACGCGGTCAGTAGGCGGAAGAAGGGCAGTCCTCCACCCGCTGAATGAGGAAGACGAAGTCAGATTATGCCGGGGAGAAAGATGGCCATCGTTCACGCGTACCAGAAGTGAGGGGCAGGAAACCGTCGGGAAGAGTGGACATTACGCTTTTGGAATTAGCGATCCATCTGAAAAGAACGGGTCGCTACTTTATCTGACAATCGACAGTCCATGCACTCGTCGGGGGAGTAGGGAGTGTTATATCTAACGAAGAATGGTTGTGTAACGATTGTTTGGCATCTATGCGTTACCATCCATATTAATACGCATACGCCGCCCCTCTGACAATACAGTGTAGAGCGACAAAAGACGTTGGTATATTCTGATCAGTTCCTCGTTGAGCGTTAGGAGGCCCAGTTCGTTTGAGAGGAATAAAGCAAAGAAGACCGATATCTTCTGCAGGAGACTGATTTTTCTTGATACTTGAAGATGGGATGATTTATGGCCGGTAGTCTTTGGGTCATTCGAGGTCGGTTTTCGCGGATGAAGTGATATGGATGCAACTCACTACATCCCTGGAAGAAAAATTGGCCATCTGTGGTGCGTGGATTGATTCCAACACTAGATCAACAACATAAAAAGGAAGAAGAAAACACTACTGTTTTTCATCTTCTCTTCCACCATGAGCCCAGGTCGGAGAAAGCTGCGATCAGGTGCCTCGCACTGGATCAGAGAAACATAATTTGAGATTTTCTAAAAAGGATAAATTGTACTCAGAGGGTGTGAGGGATTTCGCTGGACTAAGAACCCGAAATGCCATGAAAGATGAAAACAAATCAGCGCTGGTTCTATTTGGGGAAGGCCAGAGGGATGACATGTCATCGATGACAGCGGAACAAGGCGGAACAGCACCTAGACTGAGGTTATAATGACTCGGAACTGTCTCATTCTCCTAGGTTGCTCTTCGACTGAACTACTTCATTCTCAGTCTAAGAGTCGGTGACGAGGACGACGTTCAAGCTGCCTAGAAATGCTCTGCCCTAATGTGACGCCGGAAGCACCCATAGAAGAACAGCCCACAATTGGTCTCATCGGCATGGGTGCCATGGGAAAGATGTACGCCAAATGTTTATCCGAGGGAGGATGGCAAAAGTGAGTACTTGCCTTTGTTTTATGCGATTCTGAACTCACAAAATGTACTAGAATTCATGTATGTGACCTGCCATCCAACTATGAGGTTCTCAAGGCGACATATGAAGGTATGTCGATATACGTCTTCCTTTCAGCCTGCGCGAATTGATGAATAGACGCTCGAGTGATCTGTAGGTGAACAAGGAATCACCGTCCTTCGAGACGGCCACTACGTGTCTAGGACGTCTGATTTTATCGTTTACTCTGTGGAGGCAGAGTTCATTGATCAAGTAGTTGCGCAATATGGTCCTTGTGAGTGTCTTCTCATCTTCGGGGCGCCAGAGACTGATAGTCGGAAAGCGACGAAGTTGGGTGCAATCGTTTCAGGCCAGACGTCTGTAAAGGCACCGGAACGGGCGGCCTTCGAGAAGCACCTACCTGACGATGTCCACATCGTCTCCTGCCACTCGTTACATGGTCCGACAGTTCAACCTCGGGATCAGCCGCTGGTAGTGATCCCGTCCTCTCGTTCCGTCTTGAGTCTCTGATCGTGACGGCTGCAGGTCCTCATCAAGCATCGCGCATCTGACGAGGCTCTTGCTCTGGTCGAGAGCATCCTGAGCCCTCTCAAGTCACGATATGTTTATATGTCCTACGAGGAGCACGACCTCGTCACGGCTAACACACAAGCTGTCACTCACGCTGCATTTCTCAGGTATTGACAACATCACTGATGAAAACTATGATTTAACTGACAGATTCCGTAGCATGGGTACCGCTTGGGCATGCGCTGAATCTTACCCTTGGGAGCACGGATACTACGTTGGCGGGATCGAGACCGTAAAGGTCAACATCATGCTTCGCATTTTTTCAAACCAGTGGCACGTTTACGCTGGTCTGGCGATTCTGAACCCGTCTGCCCGCGTGCAGATCAAGCAATTTGCCCAGAGCACGACAGATATCTTCAAGCTCATGCTTGCTGCTGATGAAGAGGGACTCCGTGCACGGATGTACGAGGCTCGTCGGCGTGTTTTCGGAGATGAAAAGGACACCACGCGAGCGCCTATTCTGCTGTCCGAGGATATCCTTGACGCGTTCAGTCTCGGAAAGAAGCCGCCGACAGACGGAAGCCCTGGAGTCGTGCACGCGCCTGGGAACGGGTTGAACGGGAGCGCTCCGGCCAATTCGCACCTCTCGCTGTTGGCGATGGTAGATTGCTGGGCCCGCCTCGATATCAACCCATTTGTCCATCTCGACCTGGCCGCCACGCCCGTCTTCCGTATGTGGATGGGTGTCGCAGAGTATCTCTTCCGATCCCAGAAGCGCCTGGACGCCGCCATCAACGCTGCATTATACAACATGTCACACCGCTATGATGATGTCGAGTTTGTCGTCGCGTCACGTGGATGGAGCCAGTGTGTTTCATTTGGGAATTTCGAGCTTTACAAGCAGCGTTTCGAAGAGACCGCAGCATTCTTCCGACCGCGATTCGACGAGGCAGCAAAGGCAGGGTCAGAAATGCTGAAGGTGATCATGGACAAGTCACTGAATGTACAGACCAATCGGTAGGGATAGCGGAATGGCAGTCGACCAATGATATGGCCTGTTCATAATCTCCTTTGACAGCCTAGCAGCGTGCCGTCGACATCCAAACCAAACATTGTTGAGTAAGTCGAGACCAGAAGAAGGAACAGCTAGGGCATACATCTATTTTCACAACAACTACTAGAGCGCCGAGGGGTCTATTCCCACGTACATACTTTCAGCCTGACACAGGATTATTGATACGTTCCCCGACTTAGACTTTCACCGCAGCATTTGATCTAACCCAAGATGTCTGCGCACAATATGTGTGGTAGTAATAGAAGGAACAGGCTCAGAGGAAGAAACTACAAGGTGTCGACGAGGTGAGACGAGAGAAATTTGTGCCAAGTTCTAGACATACTGACTATAAACATCCCTTTTCTCTGCGCGACCGTGACACTCGCCTCGTCTTCGTTTTTGCGGAGCTGTCGTCGATTGTATTCGGCATGGCCTGGACCATCTGTTTTGACTATGCACCGTAATCTGAAAGCGCCGGTTCACCATCCATTTCCAAACAGCGCGCGAAGCGGCCGAGTCCTGTTGGTGAGGTGCATTGTAAAGATATTAAGTTCCTCGCACACACATAAACAAGGAGTAAATCACTTGGTTTCAGCTGAGAGCCACATCTGTCCTGCTCAGTTTCTGTTCCCATCCTTCAAAACGTTTGATAGCGAGGGATAGAGGGTGATTGCCCTACGAGGCGGAAGGCCTTAGTCTCCAGATTGCTGCCTCGTTCATCCTCGACCCACTCACTCGGCCAAGATACAAAACAAAAGCTCTGCTGCGAGCGCAGAGGACGCGAGCGGTAAAATGGTGTAAAATTATAAGTGTGCGATCCGGTAAGACACAGGCGAATCTAACAGCATAATCGATCTAGGAATGCCGATAATACCGGTGTCAAGCAAGCAGAAGACTCTTCCATCTAGAATAAAGGTTGCGCGCGCCACCAGTGCGTGCGCAAGGGAACATTGGTTGGAGTGCATGTCGGTTGGAGTGCATGTCGGTGTAGATAGGTATCACTGATTTAGGAGCCTCTCGCCTCGTGCGCCTCGGCCCGTTCGCGCCAGCGCCCGCCCTTGTACAACACGAGGAGGATGAGCAACTCACAGATGATGAGGAGCCCCGTCCAGAGGCTGTAGAGCCCACCGTCACCGATCTTGTTCTACCGTGGATGGTGCGCGCAAAGGCGCAGGTGAGTATGGCGGGTGGTGGGATGAGGGGAGGGAGGGGGCTGCGTACCTGGAGAGGGACGGCGACTTCGGCGAAGATGAAGGCGGAGAGGCCGCGGAAGCAGCTGTTGGCGGCGACGGCGGAGGAGGAGCGGCCGACGTTGGCGTCTACGATGTAAGCGAGGGTGCTCGAGTAGATCCAGCTGAGCAATGATACACAGGCAAGAGGACAGGAGAATGCGGGTTCGAGAGGCGACAGAAAGGCAGGAAAGGTAGAAGATTATCAGAGGGGAGGGAGGAACAAGAGGACGGGCGCGTACATGGAGAAAAAGCCGGCGAAGAAGAGCGCGACGCAGATCGGGGCGATGTGTGTGTGCTTTTCGGCGAGCCAGGCGTAGGCGATGACAGAGAGGGGCAGGAACAACATGGCGACTTTTGTGCTTTGGAGGCGCATCTGCAATAAGCGGGTAAAGGGGGAGGACGGGGAGGTGCGAAGATGCGCACGTGCGCGCGCACAGTGCATAATGTGTGTTTAAAGGTGACAGATGGAATGAGGATGGGGTGCAGGGACGCTTACTTCGGCGACGGTGCTTCCGCCATGTGCTTTGAGCTGTTTGAGGACGTGGTCGGACCAGCGGCCGCCCAGGACGCTGCCAAACATGCAGCCTGTAGAATTGTCAGAGTTTCGTCGAGGATATTCAAATTGCCCACAACGCACCGACACCATATGAGAGGAGGACAAGTCCGGTTTTAAGGGCGTCGTAGTTGTATTTCTCTTCAAGCGTCAGTGAACAGGTATACGAGATGCAGTAACTGAACCCGAAAATCAAGCCTGCAACCATCCACTAAGTTCAAGAGCGCGAGGCAGCAATGCTGAATGAGGGGCGTACCAGACGCGGTAAGGATGACAAGGTTGTTCCATCGCCGCAGGATGAGTACAAGAGGTGGGAGTGGGTTTACATCTTTGAGAGAAAGCCTAATTTCGTATGCCTGCGCGGGAGGGGCTGCCGCAGCCTCCTTCTCCTCGCCAGCTTCGAGATCAGGCGCGGGCGTGCTCTTTCCTGACGGCCCGCGCAACGTCGTCATGCTCGATCGCCGTGACGCGAAGAGCTCCTTCTCGTGCTGCTGAGCCTTGACGCGTTTGAGCACTGTCTGATACAACAAGCTCCGCTCCATGCGGAACGTGTCGCGGAAGAAGAACAAAAAGGCGGCAAGGCAGCAGCCCATGAAGATGACGAGGAACCAGAACGTTGCGCGCCAGGAGAAGAACTGCGTGAGAATGCCGCCGAGGATAGGTCCGAGGGAGGGCCCCAGGAGGGGTGCGGCGTAGTAGATGCCCATCATAGTCCCGCGCTCGGCTTGATCGTAGACGTCAGCTAGCGTCGCAGCACCGATTGTCATCACTGCACTTGTCCTAAAGCCGCGGTGTGTGAGTGTGTGACATGCGACAAGAGGCAAATGAGGGGAGAGCAGTGGCGACGTGCAGTGTGTCATCAAGTAGTAAGAAATATTGGGACCCACCCAAGCGCTTGAAGACATCTCATCCCGATGAGGACATCTATAGTTTGAGCTAAAGCAGCAACAATACAACCCACGACTGCGATGGTGATTGACGTGATATACACGATCTGTAGATGCGATATGAGGATCCGTGCACAGGAGAATATAACTGAGCAAAAGAGATCTTACATACCTTTCGACCTTTGATCTCGCTGATTACACTCCATAACAGAGGTATAGCGCCTTGGATGAGGATGAACAACGCGAGGCTTAGGGAGATTTGTCCACTTGTAGCGTGGAGCTCAGACTTCACTTGCAGGATACCGGCTGAAAGAGACTCGACTCGAAAGGGTATATAGACGAGGTTGATGCAGCTGACTCACGATTATAGATATTCGACGCAAGGCCTGCAATCATGGATGCGCCTGAAATTATAGAAAGGACCAAAGCCTAAAATAAATTGAGGGAATGTTGGGAGCATGCAAATTCAGGACACACACCTTGCGTGCTGGGGACCATTTCCTGGGATCGTTTTGTACATAAACATGCTCTATGTCGGGCTTATCGGGTACCGCAGGCTCTAGAGGACTCGGCGGCGATGTTTTTGCCGACTGTAGGCTTGGAGCATCGATGATCTCTGGTGTAGGCGTGCAAGGAGTCGTAGATGAAGTCGTACTCGGGCTATCTATGGTGAGAGTCGTGGCCATGCTCGAGTGGGCCGTCATCGTGAACAGAGACCGAGAACCAAGAGGGATGGAGAGCCAGATGCTTGGGGGACATGCATATTTATGTGTGGGATGTTCGCTCTATCGGACGAAAGGACCATGGTCGATGTGTCTGGAGGACATGTTTCCCCAACGGTGTGGTGCTCCGTGAGTCATTCCGCGCGTCTTTGGCCATCGGCTCGCGAACCTCGCGCACGCTTTCGGACCTGCTGTCCGAAACGTCCTTCTCATGATACGCCCACATGAACTTCTGCAAAACTTACCTGAGGTTCGCTGGAATCTTAAACTGGTACAAGCTTACCTGCAATCTACCGCAGAAAACTGTGAGTGGTGTCTGAGTTCGATTTCCACGGAGGGACTGTGACCGCACTGCGCAAAGCATCGAACCGCTTCGTCCTGCAGTCTGCAAAGCAGAACATGCCATCCTGTCAGTAGCTTCGAGGCGCAAGCTCCAATAGGCCTCACAATCAGCCGTGCAGAGGGCCTTACCGCTCCACCATTCCCCCTCCACCCAGACTCGCAGATCATCTTACATCGGTCTGTCGGACGAGGCATTCTTGGTCGACCACGAGTCGACCACGTATGTTTCAGAAGTCTGCGGATATATCGCCGATCTCTGTTATTTCTGGCACATCCTCAGGTTCCGGCTATCTAGCAACACAACGGAAGGCCAATAACGTCCTGTCTATCTATACAACATCCGACATGCTCGTGTAACCCATTCCTCCAGTGCCATTTCGGCTTATGATTCTACTATGCGATTGACTGATTGTATCTTCACATGACTTCATCCTGCGAACGATAATCGCGTGTGCACCTCAAGTGCGCCTATCGACAAGCGTTTTTGTCCTACACGTTGTGTTCACACGTACATGTCCGTGTCGAAAAGACATTGTAAAAATTGGAGAAGCAGACATCTTGCTTTGCCTCTGCAGCATTTTGACGTCTGCTCATGCAGCTCAAGCATTTGATAGGCTTCCATAGGCTTCCATATTCCTGCCCGCGAGCTCGCACACGCGTCGCAATCACGTGCTCCAAGTCACGCGAATCCATGACACTACAGACTGGCCTGGAACGGTTCCGCTCTGGTCAGGCTTGAATATCACTCATGCACATATTCTCATAGGCTCTCTTAGGCTTCCTTAGGCCTAGACAACGCGACGTTCTTCACGGTTATCGATTATCTTAATTGGTGCAGAAGGGCTTTGTCCTTCTATTCTGACTGTCCGCCACCTCAAAAAGGTGCCTACGCTTCTTCCAATTACAAACGATCGCACAAACCTGTCCCCTACTAGTGTGAGTCTATGCGCTTTCAAGGGTGGCGGCCACTCACAAGCATCTGTATGAATGTGCAGTCAATCACTTGTTGGCCACTGCTGCGAGCACTACTTATGGCCTCGAAGGTGATGATCCCTTGCATAATGGCGAACAAGTATTTATATCGTAGAACACAATTTGCCGTGGTACGTAAAGATCCCTTCTGAAGCTTGTACACTCAGACTGTCTTTCCCCACACAATCCCACTTACTCATACAGATATGACCAACGTGTGTTCCCACTCACCTTCTACTCTCCGGCCTCAACCGTGTTACAGAAATAATTCTCTCAATGAGGATGCGACGTTGTTCTGGGAACAGTGCACGAATTAACCCGCTCTTACAAGGTATGAAGAGAGCCGAGTCACTCTTTACGACTCGAGAGACGAGGGCCGAAGAACAACATCGGAGCGGGACTTCGTCCACTGTATCGTGTCATCACTTTAGAAGAAGTTTCTAAACTCTTCGGTGACCAGTGAGCAATGTCTTACATGACTCTACATGACTGCTCGGAGACAAACACGGGAATGTTCTCACTCTCGAAGCTTTGCGTTGCAAGATGCGTATCACTCATTCGCTCGGTGACCTTCAAGTTAGCACATCAGGTGCACCTCTCCCACCGTATTCGCCGCAATCTCTGATGTATAAAAGGGTTGAGGTTCATCTGCAATCTTTCAGTGTCCACACGATATCCCAGTCGTGTACCATGGATTTTGCAAACATGCCTTTGGTGGCCACTTTCTCTGCGTTCGCTTCGGTAGTTGCACTCGTGCTCATCCTATCTCGATTGAGACGTCGAATTCCGTCCATCATTCAAGGACCTCCGTCTACGTCTTTCTGGTTTGGTAAGGGCCGCCTTTTGTGTTGTCAGCCCATCTGTGTGTTGATAGCATTATGATAGGTCACGAGAAAGAGATCCATTATCAAAAGGAAGTTGGTGACCTGGACTTCAAATGGCTGCGCCAGTATGGAACCGCTTGGCGTGTAAAGGGTTGCATGGGGGTAATTCACGTTTGCTGGTTCACTACTGTCTTCATGCTGATGCGGGCCAAATTTTCAGGAAGATATACTCATGGTGGCTGATCCCAAGGGTATTCAGCACATATTGCAAGGCTCGGGTTATAACTACTTAAAAAGCGCTGAGGATAGGCAGCTGTTGAGGATGGTCGCTGGGGAAGGGCTTGTGTGGGTCCACGGTGATTCATTTTTCTTCTTCTTCCACTCAAACCACTTACGTTGATGGCAAAACGTACACAGGAGAGGATCACCGTCGCCATAGGAAGGTTATGAATCCCGCATTCTCAGCGCCACAGCTCAAGGCCTTTCTTCCCTTATTTCATAAACGAGCCGCAAAGGTAACAACATAACCCCCCCCCCCCTCATTCGCGTTTTTCTCATATAGGATCGTAGCTTGTACAGAGATTGCAAGACGAGGCTTCGACTGGTGGAACAGACGGATTTGTTATCAACGTTGCAAGTTGGCTTTCACGAACGACGCTGGACGTGATAGGAGAAGGTATCGAAATACTCGATGATTTTTGATGATCGGTAACTGATGTGAACACTCGGCAGCCGGGTTTGGCTACGAATTTGGAGCGCTCGACGACCAGAAAGGCGAATTCATAAGGAACTGGGATGGCATTTTGTTCGTATAGCCTCTGTCAATATCACAATCATGGCTTCACTCACCGCCATAACCCTTGATAGTGTCGATTCGACATTGTATCCGTCTAACCTGGACTTGATGGCGAAATCGTGGTTTAATGCCATCCCAGTAAATATCTTATATTACGTCCGCCACCTCCCCATCCGTGAGTATCGCAGAGGCCGTCGATGGTTGGACTTTGCGAGGGCGATGGCAGGAGATATCGTCCGCAAGAGTGAGGCTCGGGCCGATGGGAAGGATGTTATGAGTGTCCTTTTGCGAGCCAACGCTTCCGGAAATCCGAAAACCAAGCTCTCAGGAAACGAAGTCCTTGATCAGATATCGTGAGTACCAATTTCGTTGATTGTGAGATGCCGGTGACGATGGAAATGTTGTAGGACCCTCATGCTGGCTGGAACCGATACGACTGCGATGTCCGCCTCATGGGTCCTTTGGGAGCTCTCGAAAGACCCCTCATATCAAAGCAAGATTCGGGACGAGATCAAGGCAACTCGAGTACAAGTGACCGCACGTGGGGATGCAGATTTCTCGATGACAGACCTTGAAGGCTTGACACTGTTGCAGGCGGCAATGAAGGTACGTTCACGTTGAACGACATTGTCTGATCATCCGTCTCATCTTGACCTTTGCCTCCATGAATTAGGAAGGTATGCGTTTGCATACGATTTCGTGGCACCTACTCCGATTGGCTAGCAAAGACGATATTATTCCACTTTCCAATCCGGTTGTGACGCAATCAGGAGAGCAGGTTACAGCTATTCCTGTTAGCAAGGGAGCTAAAATCAGGATTTCCGTGTGCGCATATAATAGGTGAGATAGGTTGAGCACCTCTAAGTATGGTCACTTTACGTCCTAATGCGATTGTGAGGCTGCCTTCCGTTTGGGGAGAGGATGCCGATCGTTGGAATCCCAACCGCTGGATAGGCATGGACAGCTCAAAGCAAACCACTGTAGGCGTATACGCAAACTTGTGAGCCTTGTTGTCTAATCTTCCGAACGCATTGACAATAAGATCGTCAATAGATTGAATTTTTGTAAGTCGAAGGGTATCATATGCCAATGTTTATGCTGTCGGCTAATTATGTTGTAGCCGCTGGTGTTCGTGCATGCATCGGGTAAGATCACCTAGCTTTTTGCTGACTATGACGATAGCTGTTAACCTCCGTCTTTCCTTCGTTGTGGTACACCTGACATCGTAGTTGGAGATTTTCGTACGTTCAAGAATCCGCATCGAGTCTGTGCTTGCTGACTCGTTGTGATTTGCTTCTCGTAGCGTCATCGAGCTGCAGTCAATTTTAGTAAACCTTCTAGAGAATTTTGAGTTTAGCTTGCCGTCCGACGCTACCCAGAACCCCGTTCTGAGGAGACCTAGCATGGCCATGACTCCGATGGCAGAAGGACACGAGGGCGCCTGGATGGGTTTGCATGTCAAGACCTTGGCATGAGTGCCCAGCGATATGTACGACCGCATGAGCCTTTCATCATAAATCTCAGGTGAAGGCAGTATATATAGTGCATTGAAGCATTTCATCCATATCTTCTTCTATCTCTGTACTTCGTCAAGCGCTTATGATGCTCTCATGCAATTTTGTCACTGTATTTCAGTCACTATCGTATCGCATCTGACTCTCTGATTATCTATTCAGAACTTCTGAATTAGAAGTAAGGTTCCGTGGAACAAATGACCGCTCTATTCGTGACACTGCACTGCAAGAATCCCCCGGCGCCCCTTCGGTTGCTCTCACAATAGTCAACGCTATTTCTGCAGCAACCTTCTGTTCGCATACCGCAGGCCCAAGCATCGAATTCGTGGCATTATTTGGGGTGCGATCGACCAGGAACGACCTCGCCGTGACGTTGATCAGCACTACAGAGACTAGGGAGTGGCTGTCTCGCAACGTATCTGTACCCATGGCGGCGCATGTCGCAATTGTGACTGCGAGTGAGTGAAGGCCTTGAAGGTTCATAAATTAGGTTAACAGAGGCTGACAGCCGATGTCATAGCTAGGACAAAGCGGGGAAGAAGGCCTGGAGCACAGGTCAGCTATTTGGAAAAGTCCAATGGCAATCGGCGGTCAGGGTCCACTGTTCCCGTTGTGAAGGAGGCATGCCGAAGGAGGCGTGTTCGATTACTTGTAATAAACTATGGTCTGTGCAAGGCCGGCGACGAAGAGAGTAAACAGGAGCTTGTTGTCCGCGAGCTATCCATGGTTATTTCGCTCGCAGCGGTGGGCAGCATGGTCCATTTAACACAGAAAGATGATATAATTGTCTCCAAAATCTTGCGTCCTCGAACATAAAGAAAATACGAAATTGGGGGACAAGGTGAACTGCTCGAACTATCAACATCTTGAACATCATGCAACACATAATGAGCAAAATCAGAGCTAGTCAACGTGCATCAATGCAAAGTCGCGACCGACTCCGATATTAGAGGTTGCCTTGACTCACATGAGGTTTCCATAGTACGGACGGAAGCCTTCAATGCGTGCGTACTGAACACTATTCATGTCTCAGACTCTGCATGCGTTTGGTGATTGAATGTGGAGCGTTTCAACTAGGCTCGGACACAGCTGGTCTTCCGAAGTTCGCTGCTTCGCTATGCGCCGTCGTGGTATAGAGCCGGCTCGGCTTGACCTGCCGGTACAAGGCATTACGTCCCATCCTCAGCGGAGATTGGATAGTATGGGATGTGACTGTATACATCATTCAACCAGCACCGTCCTTTCATGATTCGTTGATTCGTCTGTTGCATTAAAAACTATCGCGTCGCTAAGAAAACCCACACATTGTGCACATCATGCACTACTGGGAGACTGTCACTGTGAGGGGCTGTGAAATTAATAATTTAGACGTGACGCGGCCTAGTTTCGAGGTAGGCTATTCATATCGTGGAACCAGCGTTCTAGTGCGTATGCTGCTCTATGGTGCTGCCCTAGATTGACCGTCAAACATCCCGTCATTATGTGTGCAGCAAACAAGCATGATGCCGCGTTATATCTCAGCATAAAGGTGACCCTCTTCCAGACATTCCTCCAGAGACACTTTCTTCTTCCAACCACCGCCATGTCTGAAAAGAGAACTGTGTACGTATCTAACAATGAATTTAGTGGCTGAGGGACCATCGACCGTCGATAGTCAGGACCTAGGACTTACTTAGGTGCCTTACATCGGGTCTGATTTTTTCATGCAAACTTTGCAAACGGGTCCACCCTTTCACAGTACTGATCAATTTCGTTAGAGACTCTGTTTACAAACTTGAAGTGTCTGGTGGGTGCACGTCTTTTCAGCATGTTGCGAACTGCTCAACCTGTTATTAGCCATAGGCGTAAGCGGCCTGAAGCGAAATTTCCTATTATTCCCGAGATGCTTTCTCAAACTCGAGGTCGGCCGTGAAACCTATGAGACTAAGATTGCGAGCAGAGGAAAATCAGCTAGGTGGGAAGAGACTTTTACCTTGTGAGTATTTCAAAGAACTCGTCCTACCAAATATTCCATCTTCATTGTGGATAGCACGGCACGCGAGGATCAAAATATAGTCGTCAGTCTTTACCGGAAAAGCCTCCTAGGTCGGAAGTACCTTTTGGGATCAACCACAGGATGGGTCCTCGATGTTCCATCGGATGGTAAATTCATTACACTTTTGATATCTCGACTTTCTCAAGATATGGTATAGGGCAGATGAAAACGGTTCAAATCGGAAGCGATTCAATTGCTTTAGCATTTCATGTAAGAAAAACTGTGTCACAGTCAGTATAATCTTCTTTTAAAGCGCGTGTGCACGAATGATATCAGGCTGAAGCCGACTGACTTCGCCTTTCTAACCGTGATAATCAATACTATAAGTCACTGATATCCCTGACAGCTCTCGCTTGCGAACCCGCATGTTTGCACTTGTGATTGGCATCGACAAGGTATAGTATATTCATATCTGGCATCACATAGTGACTTACGATTTAATAGTACAAATCCCCCAAAGTCGACGACCTAGGTGGATGTGTCCACGATGCCAAATCATTTGCAGCGTTGCTTTCTGAACGATTTAATGTGCCGGATTCTCAGCTCTCCATACTCACCGATGAGTCTGCCACACGCGAGGCTATCATTTCCCATTTTCTCACCGACCTCGTACAAAACCCCAATATTGAACGTGACGATACCATCATTTTCTACTACGCTGGTCGAGGCAGTCGCGCTGAGGCCTCTCAACTCTTGTCATCTCAGGAAAACGCAATGGAAACACTATGCCCTCACGACGAATGGTTAGAGGATGACCATGGCCTTATTCCTGGGATTCCAGGTCGCACTATGAATGCATTGTTTCGTGAACTCGCTCGCGCCAAAGGCGACAACATTGTTCGTATTTCTGACATCTGACATCTGTTCGTCTAACCGCCGTCGTTTTCAGACTGCAATTTTCGACTGCTGCCACTCGGGCGCTGCTGCATCATATGCAGATTCCTTGCGCGACCGTTTCTTAGCGAAACCATGCCTGTCCAACATTCTAGAAATCGACATGGAGCTATTGGTTCGGGTATCGACCATCCAGAACATCCCTGCTGGGTTGCAGAACGATGCTGCACTTTCTCACATTGTTCTCGCCGCTTGCCAGCAAGGTCAGTGTGCCTATGAACTTAAGCCTAGCGCAGAACACCCGGCCTCTGGACTATTTACCGCCAGTCTCGTTCGACGGCTCCGGCAGCTTGCGATGGACGGTATCACATACGCGGAACTCATCGACCTCTTACCGATCTTCCCGGGCCAGACGCCGCAGTGCAAGGGCGCCCACACCATGCGCAACATTTTCAATGGGGCATATGACGCGGGATCTCTGAGACGATTTGAACTAAAACTGAGGCAGGACGGGAGGTACGAGATCAGCGCCGGGCGGCTCCATCGGCTGGCCATTGGAATGCAAGTGCCTGCCACGGCCGTGAGTGCGGAGTCTGTGGTCGAAGAAGGCCTCGGTGCTCTTGCAGTCGAGGAGGTCGGCGATGATTGGTCTATTCTAGCACGGCCGCTTGGGCTTCCAGCGTTGACTCTGCCGGCGGCGGTGTTTGTTCCACATAGTGTCCACGACTTGAAGGTTTATGTCGACCCTACCGAATTTCTACGCCTTGCAATCGCCTTCCTTCCTCCGGCAGTCCCTCCAGAGACTGTCCGCTCAAAGCCATACGAGTCGAAGCAGAGCTTTGTACGAGTGGACACTCTCTCGAATGCCGACATCGCGGTCAAACAGGATTCCAACGGCGACTTCATCGTCGAGAGATTGGACGCGCTCACGTTGGCACATACAGAGCACACTGTTCGCATCCCAGGGAGTGGTGACGCCGATCGCTTGCCCTCCATCCTGGACACGATCTCGCATTTCAAGCGGCACCTCGAGCGGCACAACTCCAGCAGCGGAATTGACGAGGTCACACTGGAATTGTATCGTCTAACCGAGTCAGACGTGGGGCTCAATATGCCCGACGCATCGGGGGACCTCTTCGTCGACAGCAGAGCGATCCTGAGCACAGCCGAGGGCGCGGGATACGGCTGCGCCATCGTCAACCACTCCGACTACGACCTATACCCGTATCTTTTCTACTTCGACCCGTCGGACTATAGCATACGGGTAAGCCCTGACTTTATTTGCGCGCTCGCACTCTCCTCTTTAAAGTTCTGAAAATTGCTGCCCACGTCGGCAGTTGCTGTACGCGCCCCCGTCCCGCGACTCACCACCCCTGCGGCGCGCATCTCCAGCCGGAATGCCAACATATGTCACCGTCGGCTACGGCCCAGGGGGCTTCGACCCCATCGAATACGCCCTGCCAGACGGCAAACCGACCAACACCGGTTTCCTCAAAGCGTTCGTGTCGACGAAGTGGGTCGATATGGGCTGGATGACCCGATCACCTCCCTCCACGGACATCCTGAATAGCTTTCCGGCCCCGCCTGGGGGCGCGCAAGCAGGGAGCAGGAAGGAAGATCAGGACGCCGGAGTTTGGGATGCGTATATCGCTGCGGTCACGACCAAACAGGCTAATCTTGACTGAGAGGATTCCGCATGGGTATTTATATAGGCTCGATGCTCAAACGAAGAGGATTGAAGTTGATTTTGTGATAACTGCTATTGTTGCGCATGAGCCAACATCCTTCTGAACATATGACTGCTGTTGCGTCCCTTTGTAAAGACTAGGGCTGTAGCAGATAATATCTTCAGTATGCCCGCTACCAGGCCACCAGAGCTTGAGCGCTAATAAGCGTATCTATGTGCAAGAGCACCGAACCCGAAGCAACCTATTCGAGTGTACAGACTACAAATGAAGCCGAGTCGCTGAACAACAACAGAGACCGCCGAATAGAGTATAGAGCATGAGATAGAAGCGGGGCACGTAGCTGATCGCCACAAGACGACGAAAATGGTCGACGGGACTAAGAAGGGCAAAAGAGACATGTAATTATATGAAGCAGTGGATGAACGACGATGTTCTGTGAAGATTGAAGGCCGTGACGATGTAAAGCTGGTATAGACGCGTCTCAAACCAAAACAAGAAGAATATAATAAACAGATGGAACTTGTATGAAATTGAAAAGAAGAGCAAATCCAAATGGCATATGGAGGAACTAATCAAGAAAAAAAATTGAACGCGTCACTGGAGTGTAAGGTAGCAATCTCTAGGGCGGGCATAGGGTAGTGCCAGCGAATTAGGATGCCTGACGAGGTTCGATCGTGCATAGAGCCGAGCAGCGGTGCCGAAGCGGTATACGTCTCACGATGAGAACCAGCTGAGAGCTTTGAGGAAGCCCCATATGCACCCTCCAGAGATGATCGGCAGCGTCAGATTGTCGTCTGCGGATCCCAAATCTGTCCAAAGCGCCAAAAATGTATCAAGATCAGCAACAACGACAACGAGAACACAGGATGAAGAACATGATACGCACCCAACGCCTCGGCCAACGCGGCCACCACGCCCGTCACGATGCTGATCATAGCGAGCCCGGCCCACCCGCCAACAGCCACACCCTCAAAGCCCGCGCGCTCCCTCAGCCACGCGCGCACTGCGCCCCCCACGGCGCTGCCGTCCACACCCTGCGCCGCCACGCCGCGCACAAAGTCCCAGCTCGCGCCCGCGCGGACCGCGTCCGAGCCGAGGTGCGCGTAGAACGCGGCGCAGATGCCCGCGCCCGTGAGCGCGGCGGCGAGGAAGCCGGCAAGCGACTTGCGCGGGGCGAGCGGGAGCCCGAGGATGTGCGCGGGGAGCGGGGGCGTGTGGCGCCCCCAGAGCCGGCCGAACGTCGACGCGGCTGTGTCGGCCCACGATAATCTGTACACGACAGGGAGACGCGATCAGAGTGATACGGAGTCAAAAGGAACCGAGCATGAAGCGTAGAAGCGAAATACATACATAAGGATAGATATGGTGGCGATGTCAAGAGGGTAGAGCGTGAGCACGAAGAGCACGCCGACGATGTACCAAATCACGCCGTTCGTCGTCTTCTTCTCGCTCTCGCGCATGAGAAACCCTAGGAAACGCTCATATACGCGCGCAAAGGCGGGTGAGTTGAGACGAAGCATGTCCGCGGGGACGATGACGAGCAGCGCGCCCGCGAGTGCGAGCACAACGGGTTGCGGGGTACCGTTCGAGGTGTATAGATACAACGTCAGGAAGCCTGAAATCAAAAAAAAAAAAAAACGGTCAACACCAAAAAAGCGTAGGGCACACAAGCACAACGAGACCCGTACCGATAGACGAATGAAGCGCTTTTCTCGGAATTTCCCAATCGACCTTATCGGCGTTCTCTTTCCGTGCGCTCTGCTTCATTTTGACGTCTTCATCTGAGGGCTTCAGCGTACCGTTGCCCAGAAGCCCCCTTTCGACCTCCTGCATCTCCTCAACTTCCTCGAGTCGTGCCCCCCCATCGGGCGCGCCTGTGCTCAGGTTCCCAGATGCGGACCTCTTCGGGATCCTCCTCCGCACCTGACCCGAGGGCGCTGAGAATGTGATTTTGGGCGACGGCGAGCGGGTGAGCGAGCGACGTCGTGGGACGGAATGTGAATGTGAGGAGGACGAGTCGGAGGAGTGCGCGAGCGCCAGGGAGAAAGCGTCGTTGGCAGGCAATGTCATGGAGCTGTGTATGAACAGGTGAGAACAATCGTGACGAATAAATGTGATGTTTTCTGGGATTATTTTGTCGTCGTAACGAGCAGCGAAGGCCGCGTGTCGTGAGCGTGGAGAGGAGGAGCAGGGAGGAAGAGTGAGCAACGGTGGCTCGGGCACACACTATCAACTGAAAAACACGGGATTCGCCGCACCCAGCCTTAGGCGCCCGGCCACACCCTTCTCCGCGCCATCGCCTCTTGTACGCTCATCTCACACTAACAGTACTACTACAGAAGAGGCTGGCATAACAGCGACCTGGTCATATTCAGGCATTTTATTCCCGACGGAACGGGAGACCCAGAAATACATGTAGCATAGACAGTGACACCTCGTGCAGATCGTCGAGTCAAGCGCCTAGTAGACGTAGCCCAAGATCTTGCCTCCGACGTTTTTGCGACGCGCCTCCTCGTGGTCAAGGATGCCAGACGACGTGGTCTACAACGATCAAGGCCCCTTAGTCTTGATCTTGTGCAAATGGCAACATGTAAAGACTCACGAGAATGATGTAACCGAACGAACGCGCGGGGAGGAGCAAGTTGACCCAGGACTCGATCTGGGTAACTTGGACGTTGAACCGGGGCGAAATGACACCGGTCTTGTTTAGGCGGCCGTTCAATTGTATGACGATCTTGCCAGAACGGTGATCGTCGACAATCTCGAACTCGCCGATGTATCCTGTAGATGTGGCAATCAGTATCCTCGTATCGTTTTAAATGTTGGGATGAGTGAAGAAAGCCTCTGAGTAAGGTAGCAAGATGTGGTCTCCGTAGTGAACCCAGATCCGTGAACAGAATGGAAATGTGCTATAATGGTTAATTAGAGACGTGTCGTCAATCTTTCGGAGCGTTAAAACGAGGGGCGGGTGGGAGCGAGACCTCGTCGATCGTAGTTATCGCTCCGAGTGCATAGATAAATGTAGTAGGAATATAACAAATAAAAGATGACAGTAATGACATATTTTGAATGCATGACATGGTAAATTAGAAAACGTACCGTGGCGCTGCATGACGCTGAGGAACTTGACGACGACCTTGGAAGAAGGACGGACGAGAACCTGGCGCTTGCCACGGCGCTCGGCATTGACGATATTGTTCTATGCATACAGCGATCACGTTAGCTTCGCGTGGAATACGGTACGATTCAACATCTAGATACTGACAAGGCAGTCGTTCTACGTGCAGGTGAATTCGTGAGCATGAGCATGGACTGAACAGAGATATGCGACGCACAAGGACAGAGACGCGGACCATCTTGAAGAATTAAAGATATGGGGCCAAAAAGAGTCTGTGCGGAGTAAGGATGACGGGTAAGCATATACATCGCTCGTCTGAGTGTCGCGCTACGGAGAGCGCGAGTCAAGACGAGCTGGCGGTGGGGGGATCGTGATACACCGTCGAAGCCATCGCAGTATAGCAAAGCATCAAGTGTTCCGTCGCCTTGCACGCTCGCCGCCTTGCAGGAGCCGGGAGAGAGAAATTCACCTTGAGGGGCAGTGTTGAGGAGAGCGACGAGGAGAGAGGAACGGAGACGAGGACCAGTCTCGTCTCGCCTTTTGCGCTGCCAGCGCGTGGCCGGAAAAGGCAGGTGTGGCTGAGTTGAGCTGTACAGTTTTGCGCAGCCACCGCGGACATCGCCGCACCCTCGTCCGACACGACCCTCAAGACATCCCGCAAGGCCTGCTCACCGTCCCCGCCGCTGTAACCTCCTCTTTTTCCCTACAGATTTATTGTCAACATGGTAAGCGGATAGATGGAGGCACAGAGAAGGTGGTGCTCGAATTGGAATGCTCACTTTTGGTGGTGTGTTGGTATAGGGTCGCGTTCGCACGAAGACTACCAAGAGGGCCTCTCGCGTTCTCATTGAGAAATAGTGAGTGTAGTGTCCTGAATTATCCTTGTCGGAATCCTGTGAGGGAGTTATGAGAGGAACTGCACCGAGATGCACAGAGGCAGGATTTGCAAAGGAGACGTGGCCACAGGGATCGTGGTACTAACTGATTCCTTCAGCTACCCCCGCCTCACGCTCGACTTCCACACGAACAAGCGTATCATCGACGAAGTCGTATGTCTGCGCTTCCACCCCTCCAATCCGCCGTTCTGATTCTCCGTGTGCCTATTCCTCTGGCGCTCTGCCCCGTCCTGCAGGCTGTCGTCCCCTCAAAACGCCTGCGCAACAAGATCTCGGGCTTCACAACGCATCTGATGAAGCGCATCCAGCGTGGCCCAGTCCGTGGCATCTCGTTCAAGCTCCAGGAGGAGGAGCGCGAACGCAAGGACAACTACGTCCCAGAGGTCTCGGCGCTCGACACAAGCGCCACAGGTCTCACCGTCGACCCCGACACCGAGGTGCACCCTCTCGTACTGCGCTGCAGTCACACGCTGAACCCGCTCTGGCGGTTATATAGGAGCTCCTCAAGCACCTCAACTTCGATATCCCCGTCGTCATCGAGCAGCTCGCCGTCAATGTGCCCGAGCGCCCCGGCCGACGGGAGCGACGGAACGTTCCTGGCGCCGGCCGCGCATGAGCGTGCGCCGGAGTGTTGTGTCGTGCGGGGGAGTATGCGCTATGACGATCATGCCATGTACCGCTTTATACTGCTCAAAACATACATGCTGCTCGTCTGCCGATGCTATCGGCGGGGTTTCTTTCTCACTTTGGATTTGAATGTGTATTCTAGATCTTCCATGATGAGTCCATGTTTTCTTGTGAGCTCGGATCAGGGCCTCATATAACCTGCTTGAAAAAACGTAGCTGGCGAAGACCTTGATCGCTAGACCGCTTCGATGTGTTAATTTTCTGCTTTCACCGCTTGATCTTTGAGTCTTTACGCTTCTGTGGCCTGAGCATACTGCTGCCGAGCAAAATGTGAGGATCGTTGGAATGGTAGACATTGAAAGGATCCAATCCGTCACTCATCGACATCACGTGTCACTGTCGCGCGGTATCCAGCCAAAACATGAGATTTATTTGTGGCCACTCAACGTTGGTATGTTTACAACCATGGACAATATCGTGCACAACTCCTCATAATACGTCATCCAACACAACAAGAGCATGAATGGTCCGACACGGATGAACAAGATACACGTGGTTTGTATTCCATTTTTCTTGCGAACATATCATGAACATCGAAGACCTACATTACTGTTATATCACTGATACGAAGGAATGTGGGGAAACGCTTACGGATGTGTTCCAGCCGATTCAACCTCTTTTGCGGTTAGCCACCGTTTGGGGTAGCTTGAGGTCTGCCTGCTTTTTCGCTATCTCGGCCGTGGCGTCGCTCACCCTCTCGTCATCTGCATCCTTCAGGAATTGAGCCAGATGATGGATGCTCTTCCATAGCAAATAAGCGAGAAGCAATCTGGCGTCTTTCCTCCCGACCGTAGCCCACTCGAGCGCATATTTGCCCTTGTTAGCCCCTTTTTCGACGGGACGCTCCGGAATTTTCAGGACAAGCACAGTGATGTAATCCGTGATATAGACACAGTCAACGCCATAATGATATGCGTACCGAACGCCTTGCTGTAGAATTGACATTGTACCTTCTTTAGAACTGGCTTTCTGCGCGAGGGAAACCCTTGTGGATGCAAGTGACTGAATCTCATTGGGAATGATGTGGCCAGCTTTCTGTATAGCCAATTATGTTGAACCTCTGACCACTGAGCAATGAGTATATAGCGCACCTTAAACTCCACAGCCACCAATCCCTTCAAGATCGATTTTCCCTCTTCGATAGCCTGCTCGAGCGTCGTATCCGCTTTCACATTGAAAAATTCACCAGATTTCAGATAGACATTTGCCGAAGTTGGTATCGGTCCGAGTGGAATCTCGTCCCGGCCTCGTTTTCGGAGCCTCTCTCTCCACGCTTGGGTTTTAGTCGAACCACGAGTTTCAATCCCCGGATCTGAGTCTCAGGTGGCATCCTCCGAAAATACAAGAATTTTATCGACTCGAGTAGACCCGATCAGTGGAGGCTCATTGCGTTCAATCCCAGTGGACTCTGTATCAAAGCCAATCTCAGTACGAACGTCATTCAAGGTGAGACGGGTCACATACCTTCGAACTTGAGAGTGTCGACACGCGTTGTAGGTTTGGCCGCTTTGGCGACTGCCGATGAATCTATCTTGTGCTTGCTCGTCTCAACGGCCTCGCTGAGAGCTTCCAGATCAATCTGCAGATGATTCGTATATATGCAGGCGTCAAGCTTCATTTCTTTCGCCCAGGACTGTGCGATATCGCATATAGGTACGATGATTTGAGCATCACAAGCTGAGCTGATACGTGACATCAGATGCCTGTATAGAACAATGTATAGACCAAGTGTGCATTGAACTCACGCGATATCGGCTTCCGTCCGAGGTGTGAAAAAAGTAACTCTTCCCGCACGCAGTCCCTGTGGAACCTTTGACCGGACCATCGCTTGGTGGAAGCCATTCTCCTCCATGTCAGCTCTCCAGTCCCAAGGTTCATCATCTAAATAGTACGTAGCCAGCTCACGCTTAGCCCACTCAGTAGTAGTGCCGATGCGAGGTTGGGGAGGATTGGGTGTAACAGAATCCCGCCTGAAAGCTGTAGGTTCTTCGACTAGGAAATCCCAGACGGTCAATGTCATCGTCGTCGCGTTGAAAAGCAAGAGAATGAGAAGATGCTCAATAGTAGGTGCACAGAGACAAGCACGACACAGGTGAGGGTTGGTCTTTTATATACCAGGGAACTCATCGATAAAAGGCCGCTAAGAGATGGGTGGGTGGCCAGACAGCGGTTTTCACAGAATCACCAAATCACAACCGGCCAAGTGCGCGGGCCTTCAGTTTTGCTGATGAACCGGAAACGAGGAAGCTCAACTCGGCAGAGTGACTTTTGCGGGGTTCTGTATGACAATAGGTTATCCCACGAGGAGTTGAGTCTTGCGCCAAAGGAACCAAAAATCATATTCAAATTGCCCCAGTGAAATTTTGCCAATCGAACTGGAGGGAACATCAAGAACGAGCAGCATGATGGTAAGCGTCGTTTGTCAGCTGAATGGAGATCAAGGATCACGTACATCGATGACTTCGAACCATCGTCAATAGCAAATGTTGAGTCATAGTGGGCGATGGCGGTGGGTGCATTTGACACAATGCCATGGTATGACGAGGAGCTTGGGCTATGTAACCAAGAGCTACCGCCAGATTGGCCAGTTCCACGATTGATGTGTTTACGAGGGTTTTCTGCGGTGCAGAGACAAAGGATGGTCTTGGAAAGGAAGTATACTTAGCAAAACTAATTGGCGTCGCCATGTGTTCAGGTTGGTGGCACGCCACTGGAAAGCACTGGAACTCGCTGGAGGCTAATTTCACACGCTATCTGCTCTCATAGTCCCTGTGACCCAGACATACAGCTGTTTCATCAGGCACGCCTCAGACCTCCAGCCTCAGTCTCGAGGTCTTGAGGTCGGCAGCGAGGGTGTACTGTGATACCGTGAGTCATCTGCTGATGGAAGTTTTGACCATCGAGTCCATACTACCATAAACTGTGGACTGAGGCACTTATATCGAAAGCAACTGGACTGTCTAACGCCTTGATCCCAAGGCACTCGTATGGTGGTGGACACCACTTCGTGACGTCTTGACGCCGCCCGTGGATTTGCTACTGCGTGGCCACATGAGCTCTAATGCTCCTTAAACTTGCTAAACATACTCTCATTGATGTACTGGATTGATTCCCGAGGTCAGAAATCTCTCTACATTAATATCAGTTTTTGATAGGCCAATTTAGCGCTTTTTATTACATAATACCCCGTAAATATAATATGTATGGTGCTGCATCGCAATTATCCTCCGCTGTCAAGAGTGCATTGTCTTGTGCAAAATGTCCCGTCCAAAAGCTTTGTCTAATTGTTCTAAAGAGATAAATTTTGGGCGCGGATAGAGGGAGGAGAATAATCAGGATCTCAGACGATTTGGCAGTTTTGGGTAGGGTTAGGGTTAAGAATTTTCTTTCTCTCAAAACGGCGGATCTATTCTAAAGTAGGGTATAGTTTCTTAATAGAAATTCATTTACAAGCTCCCCAAAAAATATTTGGGACTTGACATGCATGAAGTAATGTCCACCACCATATGGTGTCAGCACTGGGGACAAGCCGTGCCACACCTATCCACGTGCAAATATATGCTACAAAAGAGAAAATCGATCAATACTCTTCCTCCATCATCGGGGTCCAATGATCCTTCAACACATCCCACGAAATCCCGATTTCTGCCTGTATTATATGCATCAATATAGATGGATTAAGGACAGGATGCCCTGGTCGAGAGCAGTCTTCTCCTAGTCTCTGTGGTGCGAACGCAAAATCGATCAAAACCATGGAGTGGAAAGCAGGGTGCCCGTTGTCTCGCTGTCGATCATCGACACCATCAACAGACATATTCAGTGACGACTGTGGGGGACACAGAATCTGATCCAGATGCCAGTCTCCCTGTTCAACTCCTGCGAATCCAAGAGCTCGTACTACATGTCGAACATGCGTGACCTAGTTGATTTGATAGGGAGCAGCAATGGGACGTCAATTTCGGGGGTAGAGTAATATCGAAGAGCTCTCACTATGCAGGCTTGTAGTGCTGGTGATTTTATCCGCTGTCCAACTTCCCACAATGATGGCCCGTCGATGAGTTCCATGAAAAACCCGAGCACCTCCCATCCGTCCGGAAGCGTAAACTTTCAAAAATGACGATCGAACACGACACGCTGGAGAAGAATATAGCACGGAAAACTTACTATATGAAACCCATAGCAGTGCGGGATCAAGGACCCTTGGAGGTATTGCAAGCGATCGCAATAGACCGCTTCCTCGCGTCGCATCATATCATCTGCAAAGTTGAGATTGAGCAATTGAGTCTCTGGCCTCACATGATTCCCGTATTGTGGTTCGTGAGTGAATGGGAAAAGGCGTTCGTCAAATAGCTTGAGACACACAGCCTGAGCCACCCCTTGCAGCCTACCGACGTATACTTGTGAAAAGTATTCCAAACCTTCACGTTTGACATCCGTGATTTCGAATGAGAGACGATTGCCGCTTGAAGATGCTTCTGCTATTGCACGATCAATCGTCGAATCTCGGGGACGCGGAGATCGTGTCACAATGTCGATAGTTTCCTGAGGGGGCCGAGGATTCGGAAATGGACATCTCCAGAGGCAATGTTTGCGTCTGAATCCGTCGCAGTCGACGCTCAAAACAGACCCAGGTTCGACGCGAGTTTGCGGGTCAAGCGCCTGCTGCGCCGCCCATACTCGCCAGCGCATGAACTGATCCCAAGCTCCCGGACATCGCTGCAGGGTGTACAGATCAAAATCGCGAAACGAACGGCGAGACTGAATTGCCTCGAGTTCTGTCGAAAAACCACACTCTAGATGTCCAGGGTTGCCCAGTGCGCCCAGACATAATTCGTCCAAACGAGATGGCTTAATATACTGACCAATCGCAAAACATACACTGGAAGCAAGGGTCCATCGAATTGGGATATCGATGACGGATGATTGCAGGATGAAGAAGTTGGAGTTGGGATTTGGTGGCATTTTATCGATATATCCGAGTGGAGGGAAAAACAGCGTGGCGGTGTGGTGCTCATCCGTGAGCATGCCGTGAGGGCAGCCGAGTCGGCGGCATTCAGCGACTAGGACATCGAAGAAGGGCCGAGCTATGTTGTCTGGGGCGAGAGAGATCCTCTTGACCTTTGGATCCAAAGTAGTCCAGTCAATTGCCATCGCTGGATCCTGCAATACAACATCAACCTACATGGATCACGAATGGAAATCAAGGAGAATGCAATTACGATGACTATGACGAGGTGGTGGCACAATGTTACGAGATCGGAACTTGAGTAAATATCATCGTTTGCGCCAGAAGGACATTCGTCGGTCACGATTCTGGCCATCCAGTACTCTGCCGATAAACAACGTCTGCATCGTAAATGAGGGTTTCGGGAGAAATGATGCCGACCTGGATGGCCTGCGTCGACCTCGCATCGCAGAGTCGGCGATTCATCTACGAGAAATTCATTGTTGATGAGCTGTATTGTTGGCTCAATATACTTGGCCGTGAAACTGCCGTGACTTGAGAACGGTGAGTTCGAGCTGATGCTAAAAATCTTCATATAGATGCCAAGTCACCTTTGAGTGCTGAACGGGTCAATTGGAATTTTGTGAAGTCGATATCGCCGCAGAAAATCGTCAAACATCGACTCCTCGTTGCGTCGGTGGGCGGGCCATCTCCGTAAGCACACTAGAGGTTCCAGAGAATCTACATAGCGACTCTTCGACGATTGAGGCGTGCATGAAGACGTATTTGTTTTGGGACATATTCTAAACTTGAGAAATGCTTCGGGAGACAGAAGAGTGGTGGGAGTTTTTGCACGCATCGAGTTCAGCCGCACAGAGTACTGTAATGGTTGGACTTCAAGCTACTTTAAGAGACTTCCAAGCTGTGACAGGAGGTGACAGATCGTGGCGTGGACTGAATCTACGTCACTGACTACATCAACGTAATTGTTGTGAAATTACCGCGGCAAGCCGGAGCAGGGTTGGATACTGGCGAAGGACAGACATTCTTCGTTGACTGGGCCGTTGTTGCAAGAAAGGATGCCAGGCTACTTCTTGCCTATCTGCTCTGGAAAGCATGGACGACCTGAAAGGGCTGTTGAAGGGAGCAGACAAGGTCCGCATAGATGGTACTGCAAAGGCGACGGCTGAGACGCAGTCAACACTGCGCAGGCCACGGATAGTCAGCGGTAATAATTAGGATACGGCGTCGGAGCAGGGCTACGGTTACAGGTCGATAGGTATCAACTACTCAGCGGAGGTACAGAATGGGGCGCACAGCAATATGTATAGACTCAAGTAGAATGTAAAACGAAAGACCTTGAGTACAAGCTTCAGAAGTGATTCGCAGTGAACACTGGAGCTCCAATATCTTGACATTGAACTATGCATGATCTTCAAATTTTTATTGCGGATATCGACACCTCAGCGTACATTACATTCAGCATATGTGTGCGTATTGTTCAGCAACATAATGGCATTCCCTGTGTGTCAGATTGCAGACTACCCTTGCTAGAGTTCAAGATCATGCGTCAGTGAGTCGTCACTATGCACTCTTTACCCCAGTCAGGTCCCATATCGCTTCAGACTTATCCCAACGCTGCAAGCCTGTGCTTACTAGTGAGAAAGTAACATCTATTGAGAAATTTTGGATTGACAGATGGAAGAGGGGCACCCTCACTCAATATTCCTCTTCCATCATCGGTAGCCAATGGTCGTTGATGACGTCGTAAGGGACCCTGATTTCATCATACAATGTGAGCTTCACTACTGAAGGGTTGTGGATAGGGTACCCAGGCCGAGACCAGTCTTCCCCCAACTTCTGTGGCGCAAATGCAAAATCGATCAGGACCATTGGGAGATGAGAAGGAATCGCACTGTGTGACTGCACACAAGCATCGTCATCGTCTCCGTGGGGAGGAACAGTTACCGGGAAGTTTCTAGGACACAGAATCTGATCGAGATGCCAATCTCTCTGATCGACTCCTGCAAATCCAAGTGCTCGTACCAAATGGCGCACGCTTGTGACCTATGTAATTTAGGTTTCAATTAAACAGCAGGCATAGAGCGTGAGTTCAAATGACAAAGAAATACAGGATTGAATTGAATGCCTCTCACCACACTTGCTTGGAAATCCGGAGATCTGTTCTGCTGCCCAACTTCCCATAACGATGGTCCGTCTATGACTTCCATGAAGAAACCAAGCACCTCCCATCCGTCCGGAAGTGTGAGCTTTGAGGCTTGTTAGTCAGACCTATGCAGGAAAAGAGTACAGCACGGTAGACGTACCACATGGAACCCATAGCAGTGTGGGATCATGGACCCTTGGAGATATTGTAAACGGTCACAATACACCCCTTCTTCACGACGCATCATATCGTCCGCAAAGTTGAGATCAAATAAATGCAGCTCTGGTTCAACGCCTTCGCCGTATTCGGGCTGCTGGCTGCACGGAAAAAGGCGCTCGTCAAAGAGTTTGACACAGATGGCTGTATCCGTCCCTTCTAGCTTGCCAAAAAAGACTTGAGAAAAATAGTCTAGACCCGCGCGTTTGACATCTATAATCTCGAATGTAAGATGGTTGTCTATCTGAGACGCTCGTGCAATCGCTTCGTCAACCGCGGCATCTCGGGGACGCGGATATCGTGCTACAATGTCAAGAGTCTCTTGAGGAGGGCGTGGATTCGGGAACGGAGACCTCCATGGACGATAATTGCGTAGAAATCCATTACATTGAACGCGCAACACGGATCCCCGCTTGATGCGTGTTTGTGGATTAGCCGCTTGCTGTTGAGCCCATGTTCGCCAGCATACAAACTGATGCCAAGCTGCCGGCGATCGCTGGAGAGTATATAGATCAAAGTCGCGGTAGGAGCGGAAAGATCGAAGCATCTCAGGCTCCGTCGAGAAGCTGTGATTTAAACACGCTGGGTCACGTAGGACGCCTCGACAGAGATCAAATAGGCGAACTGGCTTCAGTGAATCAGTACCGACTGAGAATAGCACACAGGCAGCGATAGTCCGACGAAGAGGGGAGTCAGCAACCGACAGGTTGCGAATAAAATAGTTATAATCGAGATCAAGCAGACGGTAGGGGTCCGGAGGTCCGTCGGGGGGGAAATAGAGAATGGACATATGACGTTCGTCTGTGAGCATTCCATATGGGCTGCCGACTCGATTGCATTCGGAGATTAGATGATCAAAAAAAAGCCGAGCTATGTTGTCAGGGGGGAGAGAAGTCTTCTTACCCATAGGTTCAAAGATATGCCAATCGATCTCAATGGCAGGATCCTGTTATTCAATTATCAGCGCACGTTTAAATGGAATACGAGGGAAAACAGTTTACTATGAACAAGACTATGAGCCGACATTTATTTGAGCTCGCAGTAGAGTCTTCGATAGTCGGTGGAATCCTAGGGCAGTCATCAGACACAACCCTAGCCATCCCATATCCTGATTACAGCGCATAGTAGGCGTGGTCAAAGAAAGTCCACGAAGAAACAGTGTCGGACTCGCCTAGATTTATGGAGTCAATCTCGCATCGTAGAGACGGTGCCTCGTCTGTGAGAAATTCATTGTTGATGAGCTGGATGGTTGGTTCAATATACTTGACGTCGAAACCGCTGTCCCTTTAGGCGAGGCTGCATGAGTACGACAAGAAGTACTGATATAGACGAATGCTTACATCCGGATACTGGGGGAGTCGTCAGGTATGGTATGATATCGATAGCGTCGGAACAGTTTGTCCAATTTGTCATGGCCTTGAGCGTGGCGAGCAGGCCATTTCCATAGACACAATTGCTGTGAATCTGGGCGGTCACTCTTGGGTCGCAGACTGACTATCGGACTGTTGACACTGGGACACCTGGGAGGGATGTAGACTTTGAGAAATGCTTCGGGTGATAATAGCGTCGAGGAAGTTTCTGTGGCCATGGTGTCTATGAAGTTCAACCGATTGCTGTGGGCCACCGTGTCACTGGTGAACGCGGTGAACGCGGTGGAAGACCCGGCCGGAAATAAGCGCGAGGCATGACATATTGTGTATTCGCAACAGCGTTTGCACCTCTACTTACCGAAGAGAGTGATGGCCGATCGTCAAAAGGGCAGCGGCAAGTCACATGGTCCATCGTGGCTCTGAGCTCAGTTTGTCCCCACTCAATTGACTCATGACCGCAATGCTGCCTGATCAGATTGACTGAGAAGCGAAACAAGCACACCTGGATGTGAATAGCCGACAGATCAGATTTCTCAACTTTACTGTGCTTGTATCTACCAAATCCCAAATTCACCCGTCATCCATCGTACCAAAGTAGCTGCTCGGCGCCATCTGCCCTTGTTGACTGTAGCGGCTAGGTAACAACAATTCAATAACCAGATGGACATTGCCTGTAGAAACCCTGAGTTGGTGAGCTGTTTCCGATGAGATGATATCCAGGACTTCCCGAGGAGATCAGGAGATTTTGTGAATGCACCGCTATGTTGGCACGAAGGAGTCCCAGTTGATAGCAATCTCGTCTGGTGCCGTCAACCTATCATTCGAAGATGGTCAGCATCAACAAGGTCTTCGCCTCCATCAAGAGCTATCGTGCCATGCACTGAACAATAAAGTTCACTCTATGGTTCTTATTTTCCGCAAGAGTGACCCAAATGTACGTTCCTGGAGTTCGCTATGTGTCCATGCGCTAAAACAATCTGCCTTCGCATGCTGTATAGGTCTCCGTAGAAGTCTGGTGTCGAGTTTGAACTGTCGCGTCTACTGATTCTCCCTAAGCAGGTCACTTTTCAAGAATCAACTCTTGTCTACATTAATCAATCATATCAGGTCTTGATTTTTTTTTTTGAGATATATAAAGAGCCCATCCTCGTCCCTGTTCAGCCCAGTCGGTCAGACATCTCTCACTCTCCCTCTCACTCTCTCACTGCCTTGTAACCGGTCGATAACGGCGTCGCCTGTTTGGGATTTTTTGACCGCCGAACCCATGCCTTTTGATCAAGATCCCCTTACCACTCTCTCTCCACCTACAGTTCAGAATGGTACCACTCGCAACTGGGCTGCCACGTCTCTTTTACACTATAAATTCTCCCCCAAACCATGGGACTGGAAGCTTAATTTCGAACCCTCTGGGTTCGAAGATGCCATGCTTATTCAAATGCGCCAGAATCGGCTCTCCATGCGGGGGACATTCCATTTATATCTCCTAGGACAGAAGGCGACATTGTGTGAGTCTACTTGCTCCTCTATCAATGCAATATCATGGATCTCATCCTAGGACTCAGGTCTGCATGTGACGCTCAGCTTATAGTGCCTTTGTGCGCTATTACTCGATCCTGGGCACCAGAAATGAATCTTATAGATTCGTGCATCCACACAAAATATATGCACATCAATTTGGAATCTCTGAGCGAATCCATCAGACGAGTCTTGAATGATGTCAAAGCACCGCAGTTGGCCACCGTCGATGACGTGGCTAGCAATCTAGCCAATATCTCTATCACAGAGCCCGAGGGTATGTATTCACTTTCACTCTTGTATTCGTCGGCTGATCATTCTGAATGCTTGTCGTAGACCGAGGTGCACGCGTAGAGCGAAAGGCACCTGACCTTATTGGTGTCACGAGAGCCGATAAAGCCATTGTCTTTTCTCACAATCCTAACAAGGAACGCCCTGGTATTCAGACCCGTCAGAAGGAACAAAACAATGAATGGCTTGAAGGATCTTCCGTATTGAAGCGTAAAGAATTGCATCCGTTTGCATCATCCAACAACCATTATCTCGAGTTGTCTCAGTTTTTCAACATAAATACGGGTGCTGAACTGCGAGAGGAGATCATAAAAGGAAATAAGACGGTCCTGAAGGGTTTGGTGGCAGTCGAGTTCAAGGTATGCATCACATATAGCACACACACATACATTTGATCATACTTGTCCTGCAGAAAGCTGGCCATATTGTTCCTCATGAAGTGCAACAGATTGCCACTAGGGCAGCTTCGCTCGCTGGCGGCGTCGATCGATTGGAAGGCACCATGTCAATTTTACAACAAGCCGTCCGATACGGTTACCACTATGGCGTAGACTGCATCTATGTCACCGACTACCTCAACGTAATCGTCGCAAAATTACCACGGCAAGCCGAATCAGGGTTGGATACCAGCGAAGAACAGACTCTCTTCGTTGACTGGGCTGTTGTTGAAAGATAACATGCCAGGTTACTTCTCGCTTATCTGCTCTGGATAGGCATGAAAGACCTGAAAGGGCTGTTGGAGGAAGCAGACAAATTCCGTGTGCGAAGTGCTGCAGCAGCGACGGCCAAGAAACAGGCAACGTTCCGGAGGCCACAGCCAGTCAGCGGCAATACTTAGCATTAGTCGTCGGAGCAAGGCTACAGTATTGGTTGATAGGCATTGTTCCCTAGTGAAGAAGTTTAAGGTTGGTATGGAAATGGGCGCACAGTTTGTATAGATTCAAGTAAAATGTAAACCAAGGACCAAGGGTGCAAACTTGTGAAATGATCTGCGGTGCAGACCGGAGCTTAGTTTCGTTAGATGAGCTGCCTAATCTCGCTGATGTCAGCACCTCTGCATACATTACATTCAGCATGCATATTGTTCAGACGCACAATCGCATCACCTCTATATCATATTGTTTCTACTTAGGCCCCACATCGCTTGAGACTCCTCCGACTGCTGTAAGCCTGCGCTTACTCGTAAGGAAGTACCAGCTACCAAGAAAATTTCGATTGACAGATACACGCGAGGCACTGATACTCAATATTCCTCTTCCATCATTGGTAGCCAATGGTCGTCAATGATATCGTAAGGCACCCTGATTTCATCATACAATGTGAGCGTCAATACCAAAGGGTTGTGGATAGGGTACCCAGGCCGAGACCAGTCTTCCCCCAACTTCTGTGGCGCAAATGCAAAATCGATCAGGACCATTGGGAGATGAGAAGGAATCGCACTGTGTGACTGCACACAAGCATCGTCATCGTCTCCGTGGGGAGGAACAGTTACCGGGGAGTTTCTAGGACACAGAATCTGATCGAGATGCCAATCTCTCTGATCGACTCCTGCAAATCCAAGTGCTCGTACCATATGGCGCACGCTTGTGACCTATGTAATTTAGGTTTCAATTAAACAGCAGGCATAGAGCGTGAGTTCATATGACAAAGAAATGCAAGATTAAATTGAATGCCTCTCACCACACTTGCTTGGAAATCCGGAGATCTGTTCTGCTGCCCAACTTCCCACAACGAAGGTCCGTCTATAATTTCCATGAAGAAACCAAGCACCTCCCATCCGTCCGGAAGTGTGAGCTTTGAGACTTGTTAGTCAGATCTATGCAGGAAAAGAGGACAGCACGGTAGACGTACCATGTGGAACCCATAGCAGTGTGGGATCATGGACCCTTGGAGATATTGTAAACGGTCACAATACACCCCTTCTTCACGACGCATCATATCGTCCGCGAAGTTGAGATCAAATAACTGCAGCTCTGGTTCAACGCCTTCGCCGTATTCAGGCTGCTGGCTGCATGGAAAAAGGCGCTCGTCGAAGAGTTTGACACAGATGGCTGTATCCGTCCCTTCTAGCTTGCCGAAAAAGACTTGAGAGAAATAGTCTGGACCCGCGCGTTTGACATCTATAATCTCGAATGTAAGATGGTTGTTTCTTTGAAACGCTTGTGCGATCGCCTCGTCAATCGCGGCATCTCGGGGACGCGGATATCGTGCTACAATGTCAAGAGTCTCTTGAGGAGGGCGTGGATTCGGGAACGGAGACCTCCATGGACGATAATTGCGTAGAAATCCATTACATTGAACACGCAACACGGATCCCCGCTTGATGCGTGTTTGTGGATTAGCCGCTTGCCGTTGAGCCCATGTTCGCCAGCACACAAACTGATGCCAAGCTGCTGGCGATCGCTGGAGAGTATATAGATCAAAGTCGCGGTAGGAGCGGAAAGATTGAAGTATCTCAGGCTCCGTTGAGAAGCTGTGATTCAAACATGCTGGGTCACGCAGGGCACCTCGACAGAGATCGAATCGACGAACTGGCTTCAGTGAACCAGTACCGACTGAGAATAGCACACAGGCAGCGATAGTCCGACGAAGAGGGGAGTCAGCAACCGACAGGTTGCGAATAAAATAGTTATAATCGAGATCAAGCAGACGGTAGGGGTCCGGAGGTCCGTCGGGGGGAAAATAGAGAATGGACATACGACGTTCGTCTGTAAGCATTCCATATGGGCTGCCGACTCGATTGCATTCGGAGATTAGACAATCAAAGAAATGCCGAGCTATGTTGTCAGGGGGGAGAGAAGTCTTCTTACCCATAGGTTCAAAGATATGCCAATCGATCTCAATGGCAGGATCCTGTTATTCAATTATCAGCGCACGTTTAAATGGAATACGAGGGAAAACAGTTTACTATGAACAAGACTATGAGCCGACATTTATTTGAGCTCGCAGTAGAGTCTCCGATGGTCGGTGGAATCCTAGGGCAGTCATCAGACACAATCCTAGCCATCCCATATCCTGATTATAGCGCATAGTAGGCGTGGTCAAAGAAAGTCCACGAAGAAACAGTGTCGGACTCACCTAGATTTATGGAGTCAATCTCGCATCGTAGAGACGGTGCCTCGTCTGTGAGAAATTCATTGTTGATGAGCTGGATGGTTGGTTCAATATACTTGACGTCGAAACCGCTGTCCCTTTAGGCGAGGCTGCATGAGTACGACAAAGGAGTACTGATATAGACGAATGCTTACATCCGAATACTGGGGGAGTCGTCAGGTATCGTATGATATCGATAGCGTCGGAACAGTTTGTCCAATTCGTCATGGCCTTGAGTGTGGCGAGCAGGCCATTTCCATAGACACAATTGCTGTGAATCTGGGCGGTCACTCTTGGGTCGCAGACTGACTATCGGACTGTTGACACTGAGACACCTGGGAGGTATGTAGAGTTTGAGAAATGCTTCGGGAGATAACATGTTCGAAGAACTTTCCGCAGCCATAGTGCTTTCGGCTCGTGTAACGTGTTGTGGCAAGTTCTCGAATGGCAGTCTGTCGCAGTACCGCTGTGGTGATCGAGGATTGGAAATAATTTGAAATCTCTGTGAAAGTGTGACAGATCGCTGGATCACGAGAGTCTGTTCCGTCATCTTCACCACTTCTTGCCGACACAAGGCCACTGGACTCCCAATGCATCAATGCATTCTGAAGTGGGTGCCAACATCATGCGACTACAACGAGCCCATGGTGAGGTGAGACCAAAAACAAAATAACGTAGATAGAGTTGCACTCTGAGCATTGACAACACCAAAGCATCGCGAAAGTAACAAGAATACAGTGAGGCGACGGAGAAATACACCTACCCCTTCCACCCTGTCATGGCCCCGCTTACACTCCCGTTCACGCCAGCACTCACGCCTACCGCGACTATCGCGCCTGCACCGGACCCATTACCGCCGCCGTTCACACTGGCAATTGGAGACTGCCCCTTCCCGATAACCCGCCGCCATCCTGCGCCCGAATGAGAGTTCCAGAACGAGTCGTACGTGAGAGGCGCGCCACCTCCGGCTCCCTGCCCTGGGCCGCCGGGCGGATGCTGTGGGGCGGCCGTGGGGATGTCGAACGTTTTCGTGGGCCGGCTGAGCTGCGGGTATCCATAAGCTATTTGGTGAACGGGCTGGTGCCCGTGAGGATGCATGTGTGGGTGCGATTGCGATTGCAAGTGCACGTGCGAAGGATAATGTGGCATGGGCGAGGTCGGATGGGGTGGGGGTGTTGGCTGCGATAATGGCGGTTGCAATGGTAGTTGTGCTAGTTGATGTGGTGGCGGCGGCGGCAGTTGGAGTACATTTGGGGCTGTGAGAGCGGATGAGAGCGTCATGGGGGCTGAGACAGGTGTTGGAGAGGGAAGAGGCATGGAATGGGATGCGGTCAGAGGCCTTGGCTTCGGGAGAGGCATGTGTGCATATGGAGACATCTGAGTTGATGCAGGTAAAACAGGTATGGGAGGGGAAAATGGGGATGCGGAGGACATGGGCGATGCACTGGTCGTAGGAGGCAGGGCAGAAGGGGCGAAGGGTGAAGGTGAAAATGTGGTCGGGCCGTTGGACCCGTTTCTCTCCACGTCGGAGGACGAGGGGATGGGAAACGGCGACGGTGTGTATACAAATGGCGACGAAGACATCGAAATATCTTGCTGTTGCATGTGCGCGTGGTCCGTGGACACCGTGCGCGAATGAGTCGGGCGCCCAGCAGAAGCGAAGGAGGCAGGTAACGTCGGGGCTGAGGAAAGTGAGTTGGTGCGATGGTGGGTGATGAATTGCGCTGAGGATGAGGCCGCAGATGCTGAAGGTGTTTTGGCCTCGAACATGTTGACATCAAGAAGCTCGATCGACCCCGTGCCTTCGGCACCGAAGCTTGCATCCTCGCCAAGCGAAGATAAAGTTGATGTTTGTGTAAGTGCTGGAGGCGACATGCTAAGCAGCGTAGATGTTGACCTCGGTATGGATGCGCGAGCAGGTGATGGAGGAATAATAGTGACTGGAGTCGGTTTAGAGCGGCCCTTGAGAGCGGAGTGGTGAAAGTACAGGTTCTCGACCTCATTCAAGTTTTGCCGTTGCTTCAGCAATGCAAATGAGGTGAGAATCTCTTGAGACAGAAAAGAGTGTGAAACGTACCCATCCGTGTTCGACTTTGAGATGGGCATATTGCAGGCGCATCTGCAACTGTTTTGAGAGCTGCTCGGTGCATAAGGGTAAAGCACCAATACATTCAGCAGAGTAAGCGTGAATACAATAGCGTCCAATTAAAGGCACATGAAGTTTATCAGTATGTTTGGTTGCATTCAAAGTAAGCGCAGCGCACATGAGCAGCTTTAGCCTTGTCTGCTGCCGCTTTCTTTCGCTTTTGTTCCTGCTCATTGGCAGCAGCCGGAGAAGTGACGGTCACCATTACTACCGCCAGATGATATGAATGTTCCTAGCGAGGAAGGACGAAAAACGAGGGTTCCTGGGAGGAGGGAGGAGGGGGGAGCATGTGGCGCGAACAGACGTGAAGATTGTACGTGTTCTGATCACATGACAGGATTGACAAAGCGAGTGCACCTAAGTTTCAGCCGAGCAACCTGTCTTGACGATCAATATTTGGACTTCAAAATCGGCGGATGCAACATCACAATCTCATAAGGGAATGTGAAATCATGGGTCTTAATCGTAGACATTAGGAATATGTATACGGGACAAGTCGTATACATGCTTGACTAAGATAGAACACGACAGCAATGGCTGCAACCATAACGAAGAGTTCGGAATCAAGCGGAAGGAACGTGATATGGGAAAAGACGGTGAGGTGCTATGAGCATAGAGATGTTAGTGAGGAAACAAAGGGGATATAAAATAAATGAGAAGCGCACCCCCGAGGGACGTAGAGCTGCAGCTGAGGTTACGGCATACTAAACGTGCACGGCACGGAACCCTTATCCATTGGCGGAGACGTTCCCAGCGCCATAAATACCCGATGATCCAATAACAAGACCGGCGTATCATTCACCATCAGACCAACCGACCATACCCAACTGCCCAATGTCGAATGAGCCCAGATAACGCGGATGGTTTCCAACCACAGGCTCAGGCGCTGGGCTCCTCGACAGCGGCTTTTTCTTCCTCCTCAAGCCAGCTTTCCTCCACGGTCGCGCGGACCCGACGTACGTACTCTTTCATGTTTTCCCGATAAAGCTGTGCCGCCTCAGCATTGGCGGGACTGTTCGGATTCGGGTCGTGCAGGAGACTCTGAATACTGGTGAGGATGGCGGCAACGTCGTATGTTGGGGACCAGCGGTTCTGTAGAATGTCAAGACAGAGCTCGCCATTGGCGTACACATTTGGATGGAACATGCGCGACAAGAATTTCACAGTCGGGGGCTTGTTGGGATACGACTCGTCAAAGGTCAGAGGAGTTTGAAAGTCCCATCCTCGAATGGCGTTTCCGCTGAAGCAGTAATCAGAAAAGCTCACATGCCTGACGTAGGACAGCGACGCACCTGGGCCAAATATGACTGCATTCCAGAGCATGATGTTATCTGGGCAAGGGCTGCCCGAAATGCCGCCCGGCGGGTCGCTTGAGAGCCGCTTGAAGTCGCGGATGAGCCGCCTTCTGCAATTGGTAGACTGAGTCGACCATCGCGAATCAATGATTTACTACGGAGCGAAAGTATCGTCGCACACACCATGGATGATGGCAGTAGAAGGGTAAGAGATGGAGGACAAGGGCAGGCCGCCCCAGACAGCTATGACAGCCACATTAGTCAGCCATCTTACAAAGGAGCTGGGTGCGCGTCTAATCCCGTCTAATCCCTTTCGGCTCGCCGGGCGCTTGCTGGACAATCTCATCCACCTTTCTTTTCTTCCATATCCTTCCACATCATGGTCTCTTCAAGTCTCGCACTCAAGAAAGTCGCTTCAGATCACAATTTATGACCATTCAAAGATGTCGATTGTGGTTGGCAATTTAGCACGATCGATTGCGGAGAAAGACTGGTGAAAGCCCATTTCCTTTCGATAGCCCATCATGCATCATTAGTAAATATAAGGTCCTCGTTCCTAAGGCCTAAAGCCTAAGGCCCGAGCTCCTCGTGTATCTGTTATAGATCTTTATTCAATCGAGGCAGTCGCAGGAGCGCTCAGCGCACAGGATACTTCAGCTCATGTATCAAGGTGGTAATATATCATTCTTATTATTGATTACTTCGAATTCTTGTCGATCCGCCATGGGTCTCATATAGGACCGTCTGCTGCTAATCAGCAGCGTGACGATCCCTCGTTGTGATCATCCCTTCTGCGACATGCCCAGCGCAATTCGCTTGCTGAAACGACTCAGCATGTCCACTCTTCGTCGAAACCGTTCGGTCGACGATGACATCCACAAAGACGGGTTAAAGGAGCGAGATGCTGTGCCTCCACTCCCATTCCTCCCTCCACCGCACCCCATACGTGCTGCAACCACTCCTGCGCCAAGTTATGATTCTCGTGACCACGCTCTCACCATATCATCTACGAAACCTATTCAAGATCCTGATGAAGACTCGAGCAAAGATGTCAGGGATGGGACTGCTGCTACTATGGCGCTGACCATGGCTCTTACTATTCCACCTGCGCTGACGGTGCAATCCAATAACGCGATGTCTGAGATGCTGACAGAATCATGGGCCGTGGTTCAAACAGAAGTTAAGCCATCAAAAGTCGAGAAAGCTCTCAATACCATAGGTCGGCTCCACCCCGCATGACTGCATCAGCTTCATGCATCCTAACTGATGATATTCTCAGAGAACAAGGTGTCTGCCATCCAAGGACAACAGACCGCGTTCTCTCCGCTTCTTACTGTCGCCAATGAAGTGATCAAGACGACTGGCGTGGTAGAGACAATTGAGCAAGGCATCAACAGTTTTTTCGATGGAATGCCAGTGCTAATGAGCGCGCTGGATAAGCTTGGAGAGTTACATCCTTTCATTGGTGGTTCGTTTTTTTTGGGCGATAATTCCGATATTTGTATCTGACGTGTTATCATCAGTGGCTGTCATGGCTTTCAAAACCGTATACACTCTGGAGTTGAAACGCCGCGAGAATGAGAAAAAGATCATTGCCTTGTATGTTGAGATGAAGGACATGATGTCTGTGTTGCTCCAGTACGTCAGCGTACCTTGCGCCCACTATCTTACCTCAACCCATTCCCAAGGTTACAAGGAGTACACGACCCCCTCGCCGTTGCTCCGGATGGAAGTACGCTTGTAGACCGTTTGGGTGCGTTATCGAAACAGACGGCGGAGGACATCAAGAAATGCTCGAATGCATGTGACACATACTCGAAGAAAAAGCTTTTAGCGAAGGTCTTCCAAGGCCCGCTATGGGACACGAAATTGCTAGGATTCGTGACGACATTTACAAAACGCCGCACCGAATTTGAGTTTGCGCTATCGGTGCACACTTCTCTCGGCGTCGACGAACTTAATATAAAGCTTCTAGCTGTCAGTGATACGACAAGCGCTATGAACGCCAAGTTCGTTTTTTTTGTACTCAGATATCGTGATATGAATCTGAGACTGTTCTCGCAGGATGGATGCTATGCTATCGGTCTTTCATCTGTTCACAAGTCCAGAACAAAAACAGCTCAAACAGATAGTCGACAGCCAAGGCGGGCCGAAAGCCCTATTATCTCAAGATGCGAAACTACGCGAGCTTCTATCATTCAAAGATAGCAGCAAGGCTACGGAAAGTCACCGTTCTCATGGCCCGCAAAGCGATTTCAAGACAGATTTGTACGAAGAACCAGACTCAGCAATCGAGAAAAACGTAGCTGAATTCACGCGCAAATTCGACATACAAAAACAGCAGATAGTGGCGGAGCTGTCGATGGTCGTTGTTCGTGAAGGAGATCGTGTCATTAAAGCCATGAACGAAGGTCCGCATGAAAAGCTCGTCGATCCAGTGCGTATTAAGATGGCAATTTTGATGTTCATGTTCTCACCTACCGGCAGGACATCTATACTCTTTGGCGAGAGATGGTGAGCCTCTCGCGCTTGATCAGCGTGTTATTCTAATGATTCAACGCACAGGGATGGCGCGGCAACGTAAAAGCTCGTCATTTTGTGCTGGCACTGCGTGATTTTTATCAAGAGAAATCCCCCCATGGACATACCACGGCCATGACACTGGGTTCCACAGACGGAAACAAAAATTCGGACGGTTGGGCGCTCAAGTACCTTGACGTCATGCGTGTGCAACCAATCTTGGAAGCGTTCGACGATGACGCCTCTGGTTTCATATCTGTAGGCGAGATGAATCGATTCACGACCACTCGACCCAAGGACTGGAGGTGAGGTATGCTATTTCTCGTGACCGGTCTTGGACACCGACGTCTTACTCTTTGACAGTCTTCCTCACTGGATTGCATTTTGGGCGACGGGTACATTTTCTAAATCTCAAAATTCGAATAATTTCTGGACTCATGCGGGTGTCTGTTTGCAGGTTGGAAGTCGTCAATTATTCATTACAAGAATCTCATTGAACAAATCTTTGCGAAAATGGATGGCCTCCTTCCATTGGTCCTTGGTGCAAACCAAGGATCTGTGTTGTCCTATTTCTCTTCGGTGTGGACATCAGTGCGCACACTTACAGCTGCATTGGAAGGCCAATTCGCCGAGAAAGACGAGGACAAGTTCAAGGAGTATGTTGAAGCCGAGGAAGAGCGGCTGAGGACTAACCTCGAAGCTGTGAACTATATCATAGATGGTCTGGACACATTGTCGCTTATTACTGGCCCTGGTCGAATTGAAAAGGTCAGTGGAATTCCTGGTTCTGGTTCAAGTATACTCAATTTCCTCCTTCTAGTCACTGTTCCCCGTCATTTACTTACTCATCAAGCACCATTATGAGATCTTGAGATTGGCCCGGACGAAGATAATTCATCTCGATGACTTTTACAAAGCATCGGAAAGCATGTTGTATGTAGGCGATGCCGTGCAATTTCGTTATGATGACCTGAAAGGTATGTCTACTGCACCTTCATCTCTATGATTTTTTGATCATTGTTTAATTGTTCACAGGCAATTTCCGCCAGCAGAAGGTAGACCCGTCCAAACAGTTCGAAATATTTGCTTCAGGCATAGTAAATCGCCGTTTGTCTCCTTTGCTGAGCCGGAATAATTCTCATCACAACTCTTTCTAGTTTAAATATGTCCACGATGAACCCGCTTTGTGGTCCTCAGACCGAGTGAAAGCGATGGAGTATGCCGTCTTGCCATATATCGACGCTGAGGAAGACCAGAATATCCGTCCTGAAGATTACCTGAGCAGGGAATATGAAGAGGAACTTAAGCTTGATGATTGGGTCTATGAAACAGAACCGACACCGATCGAAAACAAACCAGCGAGTATCGACCAAGGCTCGCACTGGAAAGACATGTGAGTGTTTGTCCAGTACCTCACGGCACAGAAACTCAACGCGCCATTGTCATATTCAGCGCAGGGATATGGCATGGCTACCGATACGAGAATAACGGAGAATATACAAAAATACCTTTTTCGATGATGACACTGGACGTACGCGCAGGAGAGGGCGGTGGCAACGCGCTCAAGGTAGCCGCATACCACGCCGGAGGCCGTTTCAATGCCACTGGCTCCTATTCCCAGGAGAGCGATGGCACGCTCAAAGTCAAGCTTGAGATCAACTTCGCTATCGCGTGGGTTTCGACGATCCAGTTTACGGGTACATGCTATTCCGATCGGGAAGTGATGAGCGGTGACTGGGGCAATATCCAGGTAGTGTTCAAACGAATGTCGCCGCAATATCTGCGATTTTACCCGCCGCCTGTCGCGCTGACGAGCAAGGCGCGCGCGCTGTGGGGTTTCGCGATCGCTGCCATCGTCGACTCTGTCCGTCAGCGCTCGTACTCGTGGGACTACTTCCGAGAGCGCCGCGACACGCGCAAGGAGTTCATGGCCCTCCGGCTGCGCAAATTGCACTACGGCGTCCCTCTCACCGCGGAGGAGCTAGAGTGGTACCGTGAAGTCTCGCGGTCGCTTACCACCGCGGACGCCTTTTTCTATAACTCGCGCCTGCAGGTGGTGCGCGCGAACACTTGCATGCATGAGTACGTCCTTACATGTTCACAGCATTTGTCCACCAGGAGACTTGCCGGGTACTGACTGCAATGTCGGCAGCGCGGTCCAATGCGATAACTGTGGGGGCAAAATTGGCGGCGCGCGGATCATGTGCCTTGAGTGCGAACCAAAGGACACGGAGAACTGGGACTCCATCGACCTCTGTGAGAACGCAGCATGCGTGGCCGCGCGGGTCACGACTGAACAACGCGAAGACCTGACGAGCCCGCACGAACCGACGCACAGTATGATGAAGCTTCACTCAGCGATGCACCTGCGACAGACGGGGCGTGTAGACAAGGCCGCACGCGAAGCGCTGAAGAAGGCTGACCGGATAGTCAAGGAGCTGCTCGCGGCGGACAGACATGCCCCGCTCCCGGCTTCTGCGACGAGCTTGCTCTCACCGACGAGCTTGCCTTTTGTGAAGAAGCGGTCGTCGATGCTGCGCATGTCGAAGCGGGCATCTGTAGCGTCGTTCAGAAGCGACTTATCGCAAAATTATGTGCGGGGTTTGTCATGAACCAGTATCTCTTCCATGCTGGTATTGCATCTACTGCAGCGGTGCGCATCAACCATATTGCTTCTCGAATATGCACTTGCTCACATTTTTACTGGTCAATCGACAGACGACCTATTCATCTGTGAGTCCTGCGACGCAAAGGGAGCGCACAAGCTGGACCGACAGTCGGAGAAGCACGATGAAACGCACCCTCTCATACGCTGTCAGGAGCCGCAGAACGAGCAGGTTGTGAAGTCGATAGAAGAGAGGATGGCGACGCTCGAGACGCGCTTTGCGGACATGGAGGCGAAGATGATGGGTCGCATGGACAACATCGAGCGGCTGCTGCAACTGCTGCTCCCGACGAACACCACTGATGCCGTTGATACCAGTCCGCCGAAGTTGCGCGTCTCTTTGGCTCCGTAAGGATCGGAGTGGATATGTGGTATTTGATGAGGCCTCTTGCTTCTGTCGACATGCTTTTTCGGATTCTGATGCTGTGCTCTTTGGATTCTGGTGCTGTGTTTTCCCAACTTGGTCTACCATAGCTGTGTCATTCTAATGCAGATGGAGATGATATCTTCGGAGTAGCTGTGTGGATGTCCTGTAAAAGTCCTGTAAATAGCAGCTGTTGTTGCTAAGCGGGAGCCGCGAGCGGCCTTATTGTCCCCTGCGGTGTGCTCTCCATCACCACCGCCATGGTCATCATCCATCCTCTCCGCTACACCGTCGCGACATCGCTCAACGTCGCTCTCAAATAATTCCATACAAGGTAATTTAACATATATAACATGGATGCTCTGAGAGCCAAGACCCGTTGGCTGCACCGCCGCCGGTCGCCCACGATACCTGTAGCCCGCTCCGCCTCAGAAACTTACAACCCTGTCCGCGACAAGGCTCTCCCCATCAGTCCACACGATGGTCAGATCGTGCGAGCCCGTTCAGAGGACGCATATGCATCTCCGCAGCAACCGAGGCGCATGGCATCTGCGGTGCAGACAGGCTTGCCTCCGCTCCCCCTTGATCAACTGATGGACATGCACAACGTTAACGAACCTCCACCGCCTACGCCCCCAAAGGCATCTATCGACTACAGTGAGGTGATGTGCTCCCAGGTTCATCATACTGTTGATCCATGTTGACAGATATATCAGGCTGGGGGCCACAAGCGGTCTACTTCCAGCACGCGCCCCACCAACAGGGTCATCCTCTCTCCCACGATTACTATGAGCCCCCAGGAGCGCGCGCGACGGAGGATGGAGGCGCAGATGAGGCAGCGGCGGGAGGAGGAAGAAGCGCTACGCCAAGAAGAGGCGCGGCAGGCACGCCTCAAAGCAGAGAAGGAGGAGCTGCTGCGACGCGATGCGGAGGATGAGCGCCGACGGCGAGCGATGTTGGAACGTGATGTACAACAGTCTGTAGCTCTGCGTCGACAAAAGGAGGAGCGAGAGCGTCAGGAGGCAGAGGCGTGGGCGCGGGAATTGGAGGAGAGGCGACGGGAAGAGAAGGAGAGGCGCCTCGAGCATGGGCGTCGCGGAGAGGCACTGCGTAGAGAGGAACAGGCACGGTTGGAGGAGGCGGCAAGGATAGAGGCAGAGGCGAGGAGGCGGACAGAGAGGAAGCGGGCTCAAGCAAAGGCAGACGCACGAAAGCTAAGGAAGCAGAAGAAGGGAAGCCATGAACTCATCTTAGGCGGCTGGCTTACAGTCCAGACGGATCAGACCCCGGTCTGGAAGAGACGTTACTTCCAGCTGACCCCGAGCAGCCTCAAGCTGTACAAGACAGACGAGGTGCGTTGCAACCTCTTATATATTCTCGATAATTGATGAGGCTTTCTAGGACCTGAGTCAGCCCTTGGATGAGATAGACCTTGATGGCCGGGTGCAGGCAGTGCGTGAATGGCACGAAGGATTCGAGGAGCTCGAGGCTATCCCACATTCATTTGCTATCCTCCTTTCAAACGGCCAAGGGAGCATGTCGATGTTCACGAATACAGATGATGAAAAGGTATACACCTGCTTTATCAGGTCTCATGCACCATACTCCTCAGCTGATTGTCTCGACAGGACACGTTAATGGGATTCCTTTCTTCCTCCATATGATGATAGACTCGTTGGTGTTTCGGATTACGCAGCTGAGCATCCCTTTATGTGTACGATGTTTGTTTGTACGGATATCTCTTCCCACAGATCGTGTTCTAGCTTGACTATACCTTGTTATGTATTCATTTACCTTTGAGTGACTCAGATCAATACCGACTTCTTGCCCCCCAGGTTGTAAGGTGTGCGCTCTGTGGTTGATGCGTGGTATGTATCAAGCAAGCCAGCTGGCTACTACAAGAAATCGAGTAACGTGACGAAGAAGGAATAGCACGCAACGGAATAGTAAAAAATCACGATAACAATCGAGCTCACTCGGATGAAACGCTCTCCCAACAGACTACAGATGACAAGCCGCCCCATCATTAGGTAGATGCGGATCGACTTCAGACATCGGCGGGCCGGTTATGAGGATCTGTCACAGTGATGGCGGCCACATGCGAGTCCCACAGCCCAGCGCCCTGTGTTTCCTTCCCACCATCGACTTCCAGATGACTACGCACTGACAAGTTGACCGAGTCCTCGAAGGGAGAGTCCTGAGCAATCCAGCCCATGTCGACCCACTTGGTCGACACAAACAGCTTCAAGAAACTCGCGTCCGCCTGCGCACCGTCGGGGAGCGCGTATTGAACTGTGGGACCTCCATGCACGCCATAACCGACAGTGATTTTTGTTGGCGTGTTAGAGTCTAAGGCACGCCGCAGAGGCGGGATAGTACGAGACGGAGGTTTGTACCAGAGCTGATAGCGACGTCAGATTTCTGTCTGCTACAAATACATGCTGGGAAAGAACATACCTGCATTGTATAGTCAGATGGATCGAAATAGAACAGGTATGGGTACAGATCAAGATTTGAGTGATTGAAGATCGCGCCGCCGTATTCGGCATCCTTGTCCAATGCGAACGTCATCTCGTTGTCGATTAGGAGGTTCCCAATCGTCATATCAGCTGTATCGAACCCGTCCTCGGTCTGCGTTATGCGGTATATCTCCATTGTCACGCCGCCTGCGATGTCGCTGCTATTGTGCCTCTCGAGGTAAAACTTAAAATGGGCCATCGCGTCGAGGATCCGTGGCAACCGATCGAGGACGCGCTCTCCTGGAATCCGAACGACGCGGTCGGCATACGTTGATGTGAGGGTGTCCAGTCGTTCTATGATGAACTCTCCGCTGGACTCTTGTTGGATGACAACGTCAGCGTCAGATATCGAGTCAACTGCTCTGAAACTTGGCTTCGGCCAATGAGTGTCTTGTTTTCGTGGAGGGCGGGCCGGTCCTTCTATGGAAAATGCACTGCTTGCCACATGTGGATACTTGACGGAATCGACAAAAACTTTCAGAGATGATGTTTCGCCGTAGGGAGACCGTGAGATCACTGCTTTGGCGCCCTCGGGCATGGACGTGAGCCCTGGATGGCCCCTGTGCCAGTCCAGGACTGATCGGCCAGTATCGACTTCCACTGCCTCAAGAACATGTAGATCTTGCGCAATAAGAGGTCCGACACTGTCCGCTTCGATGGAGAATTTTGTGCCGATCGCGAGTCCTTGCGTCGTCCCTGCATCGATCTCGAACTTTCCCTCCGGCCTTGACCTCAACTCGAACATCCGTTTGTTCTCCTTCATGGAGCTAAATAATATGCGGTCCTTCTTCACGCCCTTACATTGGGGCTTCTGACCAGGATGGGTGGGTAACAGGCCGACAAGGTCCGCGTACGTGGTGCTGTCTAGAGGGACTTGTCGAAGACGCCGGATCAGACTATTCGTGAATAATCCACCGGAGGGGTGTCCAGCAATCGACCTAGTTTCGCAGGCGCGCTGGTCAGATCGACAGGCGGCAAGGAGGATGTGCGTGGAAAGAGTATCGTTCTGGAGCCCGGAGGAGAGATCTGTTCCAACAGCAGCCGGGTCTTCACTCAGCGACCGCAGGTCTCTATCAAAAGTCTCAGGAGACAGACAAGGGGTCGGCGAAGAACGATCGCGTAGGGATTTGTTTTGAGTGGGGCGTCCTTCAGTATCGGCGGCGTGGCAGCAGTCAAGGATCACGGTCTAGATAAATAAAATTCATTTAATGCATCGTCTAAGCTATCAGATAGAAGTGAGGACATACGATGTTGTTCCCTTTGACCCTTGCTAGTTTGCGGAGCAAAGCATTTATCGTGCGATCAGGTATCCCGGCGATGAATCCACCTTCAGGATCTTCGAGCCATTCATCATAGGGACATATGGTGTCGACCGTATTGCTCATGAACATCCAAGTGCTTGGAGGCACGGCGCGACTGCCTCGGCCTGCATAGAACAAGAGGATTGGGTCGCCATGTTCAATTCTAGGGTTCTCAACCAAGTGGGTTAGAAATCGGGAAATGATCGCCTTACGAGTGGCCAATTCGTTGGTGAGAAGAGCAATATGGGAATCTGACACTTGCATGCGTTCAACAAGCAAGGATTCGATCGCCTTCGCGTCGTTGACGCAGCCTTCCAAATTTTCGACTCTGGACGATTTGTACTGTCAAACAAATGAGCATCTTCACCGGATGACGTCAAGATAGCGCACCTCATCGATGCCAATGATGAAGGCGAATATACGAGACGGAGGACTGCTGCTCTGGTGATCAATGATTGAACAACAAGCCAGAAGCCAGACTCACTTTGGCAAGGGCATTTTCATGCGAAGGGTGATTGTAGATGAGTTTGCGATTTCGATTGTCCTATCCTGGTCTGAGTAGATTTGGATCATCAAAACGTGTATCGCTCGATGCAAGGCAGCACTACCCACCGTCTAGCTCAGATTCGAGAAATCGACCAGTAAAACACCCTAGCAAGGATTTCCACCCAACGAATCCTTTTCGATAGAGCTTGACTGTGAAGTCTTTCTCACGTGGCACTTCACTAACGAGCGAAACTGATGAGATGGTGTTTTCCAGAATGCGAGGTACACGTACATGAGGAAAACCTCGTTCCACACAGCCAGCCGTCCTCTATCAGCCACTTTGGTTTTGCGGACTTCGTTGCCAACCTCGAGTTCTATGAAACACTTCGGAAAAAGGAACCAGCTTCTTTTCAGACCACTTGCGCTGACAACTAGCAAGGAAGATGACTTGTCCATACAATCAGAATATGGATATAGACGTACCAGTGACTTCAAATTTTTCAACAGAGCTCCTGGATAAGAGAGTTAATAAGTGACTCGAGATCCATAGGTTTGCACGCGTGCCACAGCAAGATGAGTACTCTATCTCGTGCACCCATCGAATGGACCACGTTTGCTCGTGCCTCTACAAGAAAACAGCGCGTGTAGCTAAATCGAAGGACGTACATGATTTAAATTGTCTCTTCAAAGTAGTAGCTGGCAAGTAGCAGATGATGATTTGTGAAAAGAGAGCCATCCAAGACCTTTTGAGTGGTCCACCCTAAACCACGTAATCAATCGCGAGCCTCCCGTCTTGCAAGCTAGTGGTTCATCTGAGACAGCATGCATCGGAATGAGGAAAGACATGATGTAGACGTGTTTTTGAGAAGTTCTCACAGCACAGGCACAGCATTGTACTTGACAGAGGCATGATTCGAGCGGAAAGGTAGGTCGTATTAAGCGTGTTCTTTCAAGATGAGGCTCTTTGCGTGCCTCACGAGGACAGACAAGGACACAAGTTCTGATGATCAAATTTGAATCGCGACGAATATGATATCATCGACCTGTAACGCGCAGCCTGAGAGCAGCCTGAGCCAGGATTACCAGCGCCATAAGCGACGGGATTATCCATAAGATCGCTATACCCTAGGTGAGCCGCAGAAAAATAGCCTTGAAGCTCGAAAGTCGTGATTGAAGAGGAATAGCTAGGCCTTTGTGAAGATATGATCGCCAACATGCGGACATGTGGAAACCGCGCATGCTTCGTTGTCTTGTCCTGGGCTGCATATGATACCTTGCACTGTGCATCCTGCATAAGACGATCGCGAGGTACTACATGCGGACTCATGCACTTAACGTCCAGGCAAGTCCGAAAAAAAAATCAGAAAGAAGATAGTGAGTAGCGAGGCAAGTAGGGTTCCGTGAGTAACGCCGGTATTACTTACATGTTAATAAAGGACGTTATCAACATGGTCCCTTGTCAAGGTCACAAAACCTATGTTAATAATGTTAGTAATGTTAAAAAAAATTATATCATTTTGAGGCAAACACTCCATACAAAAAACAAAACAGAGCACATATGTACGAAGGCTCACATTGGTAGAGAGAAGATTGTGTGTCACAAAGGTGGCGGAGCCTTCTATTCTTACCCGAAAGCTCACAGCGCTGACTTCTGCACAAAGTAAATATATACACGCCAGTATCAGCTTATGTATTGCGTTGGTGGTGTGGTGGTGCCGCCTTTTTATCATGTGATATTTGGTTGTCAGCTGCTCGCTGGTTCGACCCCTACTGTCACGACATTTATTTGAATAATGGTCGAGGTGAGAAGCAAGTTTGGGCAAAGATTACGCTACGGGTGTAATCAGTGCTAGGAAAGTGGTTGTCCCCCAATTAATAGTTTTGCATATTTATTGGTCGAACTGAAGTATTGAGCACCTATAACTACCTATGGTTTATTTGCTCTCACTCCGAAGCACTTGCCCTCAGCTACTCCTCCTCCCACTGAAATTCCCCATTTCATTCCTAACTCCCAGATTGACTGGAGTTGGTGATTTTGTATTTTTAATACCACTTTCTTTTCTAACATGTAAATAATTCGATTTCTTACATGTTATCGATCTTTTATTTACAAATATCATTGATTTATGATTAACAGATGTTAACAAGGGCTCAGAGCCGAGCATGTTATTAACAAATGTTAAAAACTCTCGGGGAATTACTCACGGAACCCTACTATGCTGGGACCAGAGTTGAACAACGTTTAGCTATTCTGGCTGCCTAGGTCCCGCACGTTCACTAACAATTCTAAAATCACTGTACATACTTGATCAAATATATCAATTTCCTGGTTGTGTTTTTTTGTAATTGTTGAAGGCAAGGAAAAAGTGTCGGGCAGTGGCCGAGGGGGGAGACTCGAAAAACGGCATTGGGCCCAGAGTTGAATGATTCATCCGAGCCTTCAGTCACACTGAGTCACGCTTGCCGATTAGAAGTCCGACGGCTTGCATGACCGGTAGACCCTAGATATTGAATCCATTCAGCTAAGACTTTTTCTTGAGCATTGTTCGGTAACTGCTCTCTTTTATGAGCATTTTTCGGAGCAGATTACTTCTTTAGATAATAATGCCGCAGAGTGGAAACTGAGATTCCGAAAGCAATGGCAGTCTGATTATAGCTCGAGTGTATACCATCCCGGAGAGATTGACAAGCGGCTTCAATAGTAGACTCACGGATCTTCCTTTCCCTGTCTCTCTATTTCTTGCCCGAGGATGTCATGAGTTGCAGGGAGTCTACAAAGTCAGTCCGAGCACAAATGAGAGCCTGCCTCAACACTCCTGCACGAGGTCCGCCAACGGAACACATCGGAGCTATAAAAAAAAGTCACCTTTCCGAGGCCAAAGTCATTCTGAGCATCCTCCCGCGCTGATATTTTATTTGAGGCATGAACTTCCTACTGATCACCCTCATATTTTTTTCATGTTATTTTCATTCATATAAATTCCCTGATCCTTTTCTTAAATGAGGTTTAGAATGCAAGATTGGTTGGATCTGGGCTCCTTGTTGCAATAGAGAGTCAAGATTCCACATGATTTCTCTTTTCTGTCCCATGTGCTTGTTTTAGAAGTCTAAAAAAAACGGATAATCTATACGTACACAGTAACATACACGAATATTCTCAGGGCTGCCGCAACAATAGGGAGGAAGTTATATCGATTGTTCAACTCTGGTCCACTGTTCAACTCTGGTCCCAGCATAGTAGAGGCAAGGCGGATGAGTCACTAGCCTGTCACGGGAGAGCGCAGAACTGCGCGGAACAGTCACGGGAAAGCGTCAAGTTGTCGCGCCAGCACTATGTTCCAATCCTCCAACCTCTTGTACTATGCTTTTCCATTCCATTTAACAGACTATGCACCACCATCATGCATCTAGGCGCGTCTCTATATATAGATCTTACCCATACCATGAAGACTCTGTATAACTCAGACATCCCCCTTGGCCTTGACAAATATTCTACACCATTTTTGGTAAGCTTTCCGATGTCGTTCCGGGAACTAATACCAGTACTAAATCCTTATAATTGGCTCCCAGGCGATTTCATGTTCAAGCGCTTTTTCTATCCTCTGAATATCCATGACTGTAATGCGGTCTTTGAAAGACTTCTCGATTGTGTTGATTGTTGGCTCAGAGCTCCCATGCGATAAGCGGGATGCAGAATGGCCTCGGAACTCTTTCCGCGGGTGCGCAATGTAAATGACCCCAACACCTCTCGTTAGTTGGTTCACCTCTTTCTCTCTCCACGATCAACCATAATCTCATGTCCGAGTCTATGAATCAAGAAGCCAACGTGTAAGTCGTACAGCTGGCCGCGTTCTCATCGAGAAACTGTTTGGTAACGTTCATAATCTAGGGTTGTCCACAGCAGTGTTGTCAGCAGTATGTTTCTACGAAACCTAGTGCTTTGTACAGATTGATTAAATCCAGGAGCCATGACCTAGATGATGCAAGCGCCGGACAGTGAGTCGCCATACAAATAACATACTCAGCGACCATGCATACTGATCATTACAAGGTTCCATGACACCTTTGCCCTTATCATCGGTATCAACGAGGTTTGACGTTATACATTGTCACTCTTGAACGTCGCTCACTGATAGTGGTCAGTACAAGAGCAACGACGTCCACAATTTGAATGGGTGTGTGAACGATGCGAATCTGATCTACACATTCCTCCGAGAAACCCACCAAGTGCATGATTCCCACATCGTTTATCTCAAGAACGAGGCTGCTACTCGCGAGGCCATTATAGGGTGCATCAAATCTCACCTCATAAAAAACGACAACATTGATACAATGATCCTATTCTCATTTACTACGCTGGTCATGGCGGCCGAGTCCCTGCTCCGATGGGGTGGTATTCTGATGACAATCAAATCGAAACTATCTGTCCTCATGACGAGCGTATGCCGGTCAATCCCGAAGACTCTCAGGGTGGTATAATTTGCGGTATACCTGATATCACCTTCCGAGCGCTCATCAACGAGTTGGCTAAAAATAGAGGAAACAACATAGTTCGTCACCCTTTCTTGTTCACTCGTGTGCTCATTGTGACTGGGATTATTTGCGTGCAGACTGTCATCTTCGATTCCTGTCATTCGGGTGGTATTGCGCGTGACCCTGCTGCCGGCAATGTTCGGGCTATACGCAATCCAGCGCCAATCTTAAATAAGATTGACAGTGACATCTTAGCGTCGACATCTCAATCGTCTCAGGGTGGATTCCGCACTGCTATCTCCTCATATGTCCTTCTTGCTGCCTGTCGGCAAGAAGAATCTGCACGAGAAGATCTTGGAAGTCCATGTCATGGCATATTCACAGCTAGCCTTCACAGAGCTCTCACGGAATCCTATGGGCAGAGGATTACATATGCCAAACTGATGGCACGCGTCGTCTCCTTGTGCACTGGCCAGATACCGCAATACGAAGGAGCCTTCAATCGATTCCTACTCACTTTGAAACACGAGAACGTTATAGAATATGACGTGACCGTATCGGAAGATGGAAAGTATACCATCAATGCCGGGAGAATTCACGGAGTCACCAAGGGTACAGAATTCGCTGTAAGACCCAAAGGCGAGCCTTCTGTCGCTCTCTTGGCTGACAAGGTTGGCGCTACTTTATCCACCCTGGTCACTTCGCCCGAGAAAGGACAGCCCAGCTTCCCAAACGGCACGATTTCAGTGCTCTCAAAATTCGCTTCGGATGATGCAGGGTTAAAAGTCTTCGTCAATTCTACCAGGCACCCAAACCTCGCTGACGGCTTGAGGCATCTCGCAAACACCGTCTACTCTTCACCAGCGCGGTTCCTCCTATGGGATCAGCGTCCCACAGCCGACGTCGAGATCACGCAGGATTCCAATGGAGATTTCATCATCGAGAGGTTGGACAGTCTCACACAGAAATACAGCAAACCTATCTTTCAACCAAAGATCAAAGATGATCTCAATGCCTTATCCTCAAAGCTGTCTGTCATTGCCCATTTCAATTATCATCTGAGACGACAGCATGCAGGCCAAATGCTCTGCGACGTTTCAAACCCCACATCGGACGATCCAATGACGGGTGTAACGCTGGAATTACACCGCTTGGTTGAAGGCGAATACATGGTGGACTCCCATAGTCTACTGTTCAAGAACGTTGCTTGTCAGACATACGACAAGGATGCCCAATACGCAATTGGAATACGCAATCATTCCAGCAAAGCCCTATTCCCGTATGTATTCTCGTTCGACCCTTCGGACTATGAAATCCAAGTAAGATGTTTCGATTCTTATTAATCAATGGCTTGAATGATTCAATGTCGTCCACAGTTGATCTACCATCCAGAATCGCCTACGATGTCGCCTCCTTTGGCTGTCATGGATCAGAATTCCAATATGAAACCATTCATCATTGGTCCTGGACCGCATGGCAGCGGACCCATCAATTTCACCTTGCTACCGGAAGAGCAAAGCGCCACAACGTTCCTAAAACTGTTTGTCTCGACAGAGTATGTCGACATGCATGGAATTCAGACGGCCAATGAAGAGCCATTGCCGCACGAAAATCGCAAGCTCGTCACGATCACCGAGAAGGCGACAAAGGGTATCTCAAAATGGGGGGCATGGGTTGCTGTCGTTACAGTAAACTCACCAGAAGAGAGACTGCCAGGTCCCACGAACTCATCGCCAGTGGAGGCACCTCTTCCCAACTCTGGCAAATACCCAGATGTCCATAACCACGCCCTTGATTCTTCAGAAGCTTCTGAACATTCTCGTCAGGGGGTGTTTTCACGCCTGTGGAGGCATGCCCGGATGCTGGTGTGCTATGTGACCTGTAGTATAGGCTTGTCTCGATGAACATCTCTCCCCAACTTCCAAGATGTAAATTGTAAAAAGAGAACATGACTTCAACAACTAGCATTTCTGTATCCGTTTCTGGCAACTAAGTACTCGGCACGGGCAATGGGATCGAGATTGATAGAGCTGCCTACTCGAAATCCGTCGCTTAACTTACTCGGGAACGGCCTTGCTTAGTTCTACTAAATTTTTGAACATGGTGGTTCGCGAAATCCTCATGGCTGCAGAACATTGGCACACGCTTAAACCTCGTGTTCATGATACAGGCTCTACGGTGTGGGCCTGCGGTCCTGTTGACCCAGACCTGGCAAGGAAACTGTCAAACTCGTAGAGGTCATTGTATCGCCCACTAACCATGCCGGAAAGCTTCTCCTTCGACGTGCAGTCTCTTTGGACCACGTTCATGTTCATGAGGATGCCTACCGTGACACGGCGTGCAGGCATTTCACTATGCTTATCGATCGATCATAGCAAGGCATAACATAGTGCGCAAAGTCCGCTGAAGGACATACGACACAACATACAAACAAACAGACACTGCGGAGAAGCAAGAGAGGGCGTGGTCATGACTCTGCACCATTCTCCCGCGCTGCTCGTCGAGCCTTCTTCGCAGCGTTGGCAGCTGCTGCCTTGGCCTTTTTCGCCTCTGCCTTTGCAGCCTATGCGAGCGCATATTGTCAGCCTCAATATTTTGAAACCCGTGTCAAGCAAAGAAGACGCACCTGCTCTTCCTCGGCCTTCTGCTTCGCCTCTTCTTCCGCGCGACGCTTCTCCTCCTCTTGTTGCGCCTTGGAGATGGGCGTGTTTGCGCCGCTGCCCTTGATCTTACGCTTCGCTTCGCGTGCCTCTTTCTCCTCCTGCTTGATGCGTTTGATGCGCGGGTCGACGCTCAGTGCGAGGTCGACGATGCTCCGCAGCCGTGCAGTATCCTCCTTCTTGCGGCGCGCACGCTCAGACTTGTTCTTCTTTTCCGTGAACCGCTTGTCATCTCGGCTACGCAAGTCCTGTCAGCATTCAAATGAAACGACCAAAGAATCAAAGATAATATACGCACTTGTCGCTACCCTCGTTAACCTCCTTATCCAGATACTCGAAGCTCCTCCAGCTATCAAAGTTATACCAGAAGTCATAGAAGCCCTCGACCTGCTCCTTCGAGTCTGCGTACTGGCCCAGAAGCGGCACAGGCTGTTTCCGGCTGAAGCGCGCCTCGCGCTCGAATACGGGCGCGAAGTGCTTAAAGAATGCAGCGTTGGGGTCCTTTGAGTTCTTGATTTCTGACGCCGTCGGGACGTCGTCGAAGACGCGCTGAAACTCGGGGTCAACCGAGTCGAATTGACGGCGCTTCTCCTTGTTCGTGAGTACGTCCATGGCCTTCGAGATACATTTGAAGAACGCGTCGTCATTCGCGTCTCCGGCCAGGCCCGCTTTTTTGTCCGGGTGATGCTTGAGCACCTTTTTCCGATCTGTGATCGCGCTAAGCAACGCCATAGGAGAGAAATAAAGTATGATACACACGTGCGATTTTTATCTGCGCATCAGTCGCACGGTATCGAAGATGAGAGAGGCCAAGGACGGCGTAGTGGTCTTGGTTCTAAAGAGGAAGAATGTTCGCTTGATCGGGTTTCCCAGAATGATGTCAAGCCCGTACCTTCCATTCTTTTGGATCTAGAGTGAGCAGTTCTAAGGTTTCCTCCTCATCGCCAACGCCGAGATCGTCTTCTCCATTGATGCCATTGCCGTTCAGCGCCTCAAATCGCTTCCGCTCTTCCTCTACATGCTTGTCGTGCTCCTCAAACGAGAGATTATGCACGGCTCTACGCACATGCGCCAAGTACGCGGGCCCAGCTGGTATCAGCCTGCGCTCAACCAACACTAGGATTAGAATGAGCAAGAAAAAAAACACAAAGGTAAGCTGATGATCGTAGGGCAATGCGCAGGCGGACGTACGCGAGATAGACTTCCCCGAGGCCGCTGGTGGGCTCCATTTTTGCGAGAGAGGAGGGGGGACAACAGACAAAGTAACGATGTCTGCCATGATGGAGAGGATAAGAGGGTATGTACAACGTTGCGGCCAACTCGCGTGCGTCCTCGGTCTTTCAGAAAATTCACCCCGTGGGAACGTAGATGTCTTCGGGATAGCTGACGTACAGTATATTCCCGTGCTGGTCACATGGCGTAACGCGACGACGCGACAAGTTGGTCATGGTTCGCGCCACTTCACCTCCCCTCCCCTTGGTCTTCCTCAGCTCTTGACCACGAATACTTCGCTACAGGGGCTACTCATATTCTCTGACGCGGATTATCAATGGAGCAACAATATGGCCAATTTACCATAGGCAGCGATGGTGTCATTGATTTGACAACTCCCGAAAAAGACATATCGAGGAAACAAGATTCTACCATGCCTATGTTGTGAGCGCATCTTTCAATGAAATTACGGCCAGCTGGACACTGACACTCATCCAAGATCCCGTTCATATTTCAGCAGAGATGATTCAACAAAGAATAGCAGGGAGTCTACCAAGGAAAAGGACACAATGCAGGAAGACAGTCCTTTGCGAGACGTAGCTTCCGATGCTCGCATAGGGTACTCGAAGAGCATGAATAACTCGTCCGTGCAAAACTCCGAATCAACTGCGTCAAGAGTGAGCAGTAAATTGTCGAACCGTGCACAGAACAATAAATCAGAGCCGATGATGCCACTGTACACATACAAGGACTTCTTCCCGCAGCCCAAGGTTATGTACATCCGCTCCGAGACGGTAGCAGACGAACTTGTGCAGGCATTAAACGGGTGAGATCAATACGCCTGTGACACCTCACGACGTGTCTGATTTCTGTGACTAGAGCTGTGGGCTTTGACATGGAGTGGTGCTGTAGCGGAAAACGAGGCCGTGGCAGTACTCGACCAACAGCCTTGGTGCAAATATGCGACTCCACCATGATTCTCTTGATTCAATTGAGCGCAATGAAGAGTAAGGCACACCTGCATTGATATTGTTCAAGGGCCTGACAGACCTATCGTCAATCATAGAGGTCCCTGAGAAGGTTAAGGTACGTCGTATGATTCCAGAACCTCCTGAATTTTGCTTGAGCACAGCACAACAGGAACTCATTGAGTCCCCTGCAATTCCAAAAATGGGCGTCAATATTCGCGGTACGGCGTCGTCGCGTGCGTTATCCCCTACTCATGCCTCCCATAGGCGATGGCGTAAAGTTATATCGTGACTATGGTGTCGTCGCCGCGAACCTCGTTGAACTGGGCACCTTTGCCTGCCAGGCCGATCAGCGCTTCCTCGATGCGTTCAAGCGGCCTATGGTCAGCCTCGCCAAATGCGTAGCTTTTTACCAACACCGCACGCTCGATAAAGGTCCTGTGCGAACAAGCAATTGGGAGGCTGAGCTGTCACGCCAGCAGATCGAATGTACGCCACTCCGTTTCCTATTTGTTGTTTCATGCCTCTTTGTTTCGGATTGACTTATCAGGGCCGCGCCTAGATGCTGCCAACGATGCCCACTGCGCCCTGATTATGTACAAGAAGATATTGTCCATCGCGCGCGCTTCCAAGCGGCCGCTCACGCCTTCCGAGTACACAACGAACCTGGTCAAAGAGCTCGCCCGTCCCCAATCAACGCCACCAACTAGAGCACTTAGGAGGCTTGCGTTGGATGCCACGCCAGCGTCATTGATCGCACCACCCGTAGAAAGAGCGTCATCTTCCCGCTCGACCGATGGTCGAGGCTCCTCGGCCAGTGTTCCAGGGTCACGAGCCGCAGCGTCTCGCGCCACACCTCGCCCCCAACACCTCAAAGCCTACAACCTCTGGCGAGCAGGTAACCCTCTACACAGCATCTGCGCGGGCCTCCGAACCGCCAAAAACCCGCTCAAGGAGAGCACAGCTATGTACGTGCCTCATCGTCACGCTACCCCCCTTTGTCTATCTCCTTTCCAAATTCGCCTGCTTTGATTTGTGAGAGGCTGACTCCAGCGCGGTGCATCATGACGCAGATCGTATGTCGTGCGCGCCCTCGAAGCGGACGCGGCGTTGCCGTTTTCGATGCGGACGCTGAAGGAGCTGGTGCATATGGAAGCGGGTTCCTGGACACGACATCACCAGGCGATTCAGGGATGGGAGCGGGAAGGCAGGGGTATATGACGTTAGGCGGTCGCTTCTTTGGGGGGTACTCGATTCCAAGTGTGTATTTCTAAGTAACGTGTATGGGCGCAGACGGCTGTTGGGTGGACGAGGATTTCTGGATACATAGATGCAATATGGTTGTCCGAGGGTACAGTGCGGTAGCGGATATGACACAAGGGAATATGGATGCAAGGCGGAAATCTAGGCATGTATGGGGAAAGATAAAAAAGGGAGTTCTATGTCCAGCATAGAGTTCATGGTGGGGTCAGAGTGAGAATATCTACCAGGCGAATGAGGGCCCGAAGGATGAAGACAGAGATAAAGAACGACGCACGGGATCTCCAGGAGGCCCTTTCCTCCATAGGGTTTGAGGGAGGCTCCTTGCCTTGACTGCTTCTCGATATGTCTGGCACTCAGTGTATAGAATATGGTCATGTCTATATCCGTGGTTTGATTCTTAGAATTTTGGAGAGCGGATCGGCCATTGCTTACCTGGGAGAATCTACAGGCTGTCTATGTTTCGCACGATCCAGCACGCGCTGCATGACAGTCCGACCAGACCTGACGCCCTTCAGTGCGCTCCAGACAGCCAAGAGCAAAAGCTCGTCCGTGAGCAGATACACATGTTTCAACAGCGGCGAGCGGACGAGGCAATAGCGCATCTTCGGGCACGGAGACTCGTCGTCGTCCAGATGGTACGCGAGCTGCCAGTTCGTGCTCGCAAACGGGGCAGCCTTCGCTTCTGCGCGGACATGGAGCGGCAGGGCAGGGTGAAGCGGGATGACCCAGCTCGTGTGATCGTCCGCCCATCGCGAGCCCGGGAGGAAAGACGGTTCACGCGCGACGATGGACGGGGTCTCGGCGTCGGCGCCAGACGCGAATGGAAACAGCGGCTCCTCAGCCTCGGGGCGCTCGCACACGAGGTGCCACCCACGCTCGGCGTACTTCTCGAGGGCGCTATCCGGCGCGGGGCCCTCTGTAGGGCATACGAGCGCAAGGCGAGACTCGAATGTCGCGTGAGGATATAACGAATACGCGGCATCATGGCTGATGGCGTTCATCACGCATGCTGAAAGCCAAGACTAAGCATCAGAATTGGAGGAAGACGATGCCGACACGCACTGGAGTGGAAGTTGATGATGACCTCGGCCGGGCTGCGTGCGGCCGCAGTCACCTGAACCTTGAGCGGCTGGGCTCTGTCCTCTGCGTCCCAGTCGTCTTCTGTAGTCTTATAGAACGTGTACACACCCAGAACCCCTCTCCTGCGATAAAATCCGAGAGAGCGTGTGTCTAAGCCAGCATCGTATCCTTGTAGTTGCCGAAGCGCATCAGGAAGATTGCCCGGCTGCGTGTCGTCGGGTATGAACCGGTATCCGTCGCTAAGCAGCCAATTCGCTACCTCGCGCATAAATTGCAGAGGTGTGTAGATGTCGAGGTCAGACTCAGGATAGCATGTGCGGTCGAAGAATTGAAGAGCGCTGGAGCCTGAGATGAGGGTTGCCGTGCGTGCCTGGAGAGTCCTAAACGCTTGGGGATCCCGGAAATACCGCGAGAGGTGACGATCGACGTTGTATGCTCTCCGATAGTATGAGCGAGTGGCAAGCAGCGCTGCTTTGCATGTCCAAGAAAAGCGAATGACGGTCGCTGGTGTGGAATGCGCGAAGATGAGGTCATGTATAGTCGGGTTTGAGACAATGCACCTCAGAAACACATCGTTCAACTCCGCGGGTAAAGAAGTATCAGCTGTGTACATGATGCGCAGCGCAGCGGAGGGCGTTCACAACAGCTATAAACGTTATCGTCCTGCTGATGAAATGGAGAAGGTTTCTGAGAATCGTGTCTCGAGCGCTGTCTCGAACGTCTGCCAAACGGAGTCAGCCATGCTCGCCCGACAGATACCAGGAGAAGGGTTGGCTCTGTGCAGCGAAGTGGAGATGCGATGGCTCACCTGATGGAGATCCTCTCGGTAACGTCGTCAGCTCTTGTCACCTGGGCTGCAGATAAGCAGCAAAAGACCAGAGTCGCTCAAACAGCAGCAACACAGAGGTATCTGCTGCAAAGGGTTGAAAAAGCACGGGTGAATACACATAGCTTTCTTATAAGTGGTATTCTGATCTGAGCGCGCGAGAGGTACGGATCCGAGAGACGCGGTTGCTCGGAGATGACGTGCGCCTCCGGTTGTCATCTCACGTGCGACGAGCACTGTACTCCAGACTGTTGGATTCCAAGTCAACCGATGGGTTCACATGTGGAGAAGTACTAGACGTCGAGCATGTGTGCCTCTAGGATCTACCGCGTACTCGAAGGAAGAGCAGCGGAAGAAGTGGTTCGCGTCAGAGGACGAAGCTCGCGTACGCAGGAGCGTTTTCCGGCCTTACGTTACTAGATCAGGCTTCCTGATAGTACTCTACCTCCGAGGCTGTCCTCACAAGTCGGTCCTTGCAAGGCCTCATTCAGACGAGTTCACGTATCTCGCCTTCTATTTCCCAAAGCTAAATGACGCATCAATGAATCTTCCACGTTTTGATAGTCCACGCGCTTCTTTCAGACGGACTTCGCGAGCGCCGAGATAGTGTCATATTCCAAGCTATTTACGCGACGAAATCCGATGAGATTGGGCCACTGGCACAGTACCCATATAGCAACTAAATTACTAGAGTACGGACAGCCCGCTGAGTCCTTGATTTGTTATAATCGCCCAACCTGGAAGGCGATTGGCTACTTTCAGGTCAATAAACTTTCAGCGATCGTGTCAACAGTTCACCAAGGGCGTCTGTGATCAACCTCGAATGTCCATCAACGCATCTACATCAAGTCGTGAACACGTCTTCATCAGATGTTTCACATGGGATGTAATTATACTCACAGTTATTGCAAGCGCCCAAGAAAAGACTACTTGGAGGACCAAACAAATGTAGGCGGCGCTTTCCCTACAAAGTCGATATAAACAGACGCACCCTTGAGCATGAATCCTGCGACCAGCTTCTGATAATAGATAAAAGCAACGTTTGATCGAGCTCCAGTGCGGATTAATGACGCAAGTAGGGTCTCGTTCCTTTGATTCAGTGGCTGATGGAACGAAGAAATGCACTGAGGATTCAAACGTTCAAGCAGGCCTCTACGTCATGTGGAGGGCTGTATTTTGGTATATTCGCCCACCTCATCGATGAACAACGTGATCTACGAGGAGTAAGTCACTTGATTGTGTATTTGCACAGTACGAGAGATGTCAGCATCGGGTGGTGTTGGACAACACGGCCGCTTCCTATAATTCACACAACGTCGTGGATGACGATCGTCTACATGTGTGAGCGTAATAAGTTGTTTACAGAATTCATCCTATATATCGATGATCTTGATGTAGAGAGTGAGCAAACACTGTGTCGAATCATGAAGAATCACTCACTTCAGTCCACCTTTGCGACCGCGCAGACAAGAAGGGTGGAAGCTCCGTGTGCTGAAGGGTATTCCGATAGCTGTCACATATACTTCCCAAGATGCGATCATAGCTCCATGAAATGTTAAATCAATACATGGCGTCGCCGAGTATCGATGGAAAGAACTCACGAAGACTGATACACACCTCTGGGATGTTCAATCTTCAAGACGTCCCGGATGGTCCTGTTGACATCTTCTGTCCCACTTCGCACGCCTTGGAAAGCACCGCGCAGCAGCATCACCAAGAGCGCATCCGTTACAACATATGTAGCGTCCAGCAACGGGGATCGAAGTAAAGTGCAGTAGATGTAAGGCTCGCTCCAGCTCCATAGCAGCTGCCAGTTCGTGTATGTGACTGAGTCCGGCGGCACCTCCGTGCGCATGTCCAATGGCGCAGCAGGCACCTCAACGCCTTCCATGTCCAGGTCGACGACCCAGGAGAGGCCATCGTCGATCCAACGCGAGGTAGATCGGAGGGCGGGGTCGAATCCGGGCTCGCGAGATCTGTACCGCCGAATTTCCCAGCCACGCCTGGCATATTTGTCCAACGCTTGATTCAAAATAACGGTCGGGCCATCGGAACGACAGAGAAGCGCGCAGCGGTCTTCAAACGTGGCGCGTGGATAGAGGGCGTACGCTTTTTCGTGAGTGATCAAGTTCATGACACAAGCTTCGGCCCAAACAAAAATTTCGTCAGCAGCGGTCTCAAAAAGAAATAGATGTCACTCACTACAGTGAAAATCAAATATGCAAGCGACGGGACTGTTGAGCGACGCGATGATTTGCACTTTGAGAAAATCCGGTGATCCAGGACCGACAGCCTTCACAAAGTTGAAGATGGCTGCAACTCCAGGCATGCGATATATCATCCCCGTGTTAACCTTCGATGTCGACAAACTGTTGCGCTCGTGGGATTCTACCATTTTCAACAGCTCTGTAAAAAAATCCGCATCCTGAACTGTATTTGGCGAGAACACGTATCCAGCGTCCATGAGCCACTTCCCTAGCTTGCGAGAGTGTCTCATGGGTACATATAAATCAAGGTCGGAATCGGGATAGAACCATCGTCCAAGAAACTGGACCGCGGTGGAACCCGAGATCAAAGTACCGGTGCTCGCTTGGATCGAACGGAACGCGACGGGGTCGTCAAAATAGCGCGACAGAAGACGGTTAATGTTCAGCGCACGGCGTATGTAAGAACGGACAGCAATAGTTGCGGCTTTGCACGTCCTTGAGAACCGAAGCAGGACAGCGGGGGAACAGTCGTCGAAAATGAGATCGTAAATGGTTGGGCTGGCGATAATGGCATTTGAAAGTCCGCGAGGAAATTCATCTTCCAGGCCGATTCGCAAGACGTTCAAGTCGTCCATGATGAAAGAATTGTTCAACGTGAAATGGAGGGGAGAGAAGAGCGAGGATACAAACGCTTGAGTCGCGATGAAAGGTGTATTTTGTTATCGCTGATCTACAACCGACGGGTGTCGATGCCCCGTGTCGCTCTCGTGGTTTCGCTTCACCCTTAGAGAGGGCATCGCGATAGTCAGAAAATGAGAAGTGGCAGTTTGTTGTGGACACCATACAAAGGATTCACGTGCCTCAGATGTTCTCCGATTTCTCCGCAGTGCGCCGGCCTCGAGAGATGCAGAACCTGTTGATGTGCATATGATGGCAAGGAGCGCTCTGGTCGAGAGTTGCACGCAGATTATCGTGGTGTTTACGCTGCGATGCAGAAAATTTAAGACTTAACATTAGCTTCAATGTCGACGTCACTCACCGCCCATTGATGTTCAGACGGCGCCAGCTGAGCGACTTTCCCTACCACTTGCCCTAAAGTATTCATAAGGAGCATGCTCTACCGTGGTGGAGCCGGCTATCTTGGAGACAATGTGGTCGTTTAGAATCTTTGTCCAACGGCTGAAATCGCGCTGTGCTTGTGGCAACGGTCCGAGAAATATTGAGGAATATTTACTCGTATTTGGTGGTATTTTCGCCGGACATATAAGGCGTCAGGGAGGGCTGTGAATGGAGCGACTGCACGTCTGCCCTTGCCCATGTTCATTGTCCATCAAAAGCAGATCTCGCGCCCAGTGGTGTTTCTGTCCCAATAACACACGCTCTGTGAGCGTCGTGGACGGTGTCGGCTTTCGAGCGACCGCCGTCTAACGCGTCATACATATTTTTTCAATCATGGTGAGTATTCGTCTCGCCTGCGAGCCCCTGAGACGTCGATCAGCTCAGGCGTCTGCGGATTGTCATGGTGGTTTAGGTTCTCCTCGAAGATAAGAAGTACGCTTGGTGAGTATCGCGTTTTTGTCTCTTTGCTTTTATGATGGCTGATAAGCTGCCAACCTTTTCAGTGAGGCTTGCATCAAAGGTCATCGTTCCTCCTCCTGCAAACACATCGATCGCCCCCTATTCGAGATCAAGAAAAAAGGTCGCCCCATCACTCAATGCGAACACTGTCGAGAGTTGCGAAAGACGAAGCAAGTGCATGTCAAATGCTTGTGTGAAACCAAAGACGGTGCTAGCGAAAAGGCTCCTAAGTCTGGAAAGAAAGGTGAGTTGACCCATCCGACACGTTCACCTCAGGTAAATTAATCCGTAAGTGTATCGTCTACCCGTCTAGGCTACGCAAAGGTGGCGGCGAGCGCCGCGTTCCCTCACGGCTTACCAGAAGCCCTGGGAGCGTCGGTCGCACTGCACGCACCTTCCGATGCGTCCTCGTCCGATTCAGACGGAGGTATGTTATCTACCTCCTAGGCGTCATGCATGCTAAATGACCGTACATAGGCCTTTCCGCCGACGCTCCGTGTGACTGCAAGGATGGCGGTGACTGTCATTGCTACACTGCCAGGCGATCGCACCCAAAGCAAGGCGGGCAGTCTATATTTAACACGCGTGTCAAACCTGCGCCCGTCGAAACCCCTTCGCGTGCCCGTTCGAATTCTTCCCCTTTCGCAGCTAGTGGTTCGACGCCACGCGACCTTCGACCTGTTCTACCTCGTCCCCCTCAGCAGACTGATTTGCTTGACTTGCCTCCTCACACTACACATCCCCACAACTCTCGGGCCACCCATGGCATCACTTACTACAGCCCGTACACGCGCGCTTACGAAGGTCACCTGTATACTTTTGATGGCGGCTATCAAGCAGACCAGCCTGATAAACCGGAGCTCGATTCTGACATGGCCTTCTTCGATAACGCCCTGCCGTTAACTGCGCCCATTCCTCAGGGGCTATCGCAGAACTTTACTCTCTGGCCAGATCAGAACGAATCGTTCACCGACTTCCGGGCTTCGTGTGGCTGTGGCGATTCGTGCGCGTGCCCAGGTTGCTTCCAACATAGGGGCAACACTTGGACGACTGGGGCCTGTGCTAATCCTAGCGTTTGCAACTCGTGCCTCACCTCTTCGATTCCAGCCCCTTCGGCCCCAACCCCACCTACTACGCCCCTTGGGGGTTACGTTCCATCCCCATTCGAGCCCTTGGACGAGTGGATTCGGGGCATCTCTTCGACGAACCCTCCATCCATTTTCCACCCGCCCAACTCTTCTGGAGATGCGTTCCCTTACGTTTCATACGGCAATATCCTGCCAAATCCGGAACTAAGCCAGATGCCGGGTCCGTTCCCCATGGAAGTCGCCTCTGGATGCTGTGGAGGGCGTTGCGGGTGCCCTCCGGGCCGATGCACGTGTCTGGATGATTGTTGTGGGTGCTGTCAAGGATGTCAGTGTGAGGATTATGTCCACGACACCCAGCCGGTGTCCGGAAATGCACATGGCGCGCTGGCGATGTTTGCTTTGTCTGGTGAAAGGACGTCTTGTTCTGAAGGTCGATGCAATCATGGTGGTTCGGAGCGCGTAGGCGTGACGCCATGGGATTTCTCAGGGACGTTGGACGGGTTCAATGAGACAGACATCGCTTCACCATCTGTTCAGCCCAGGACGAGCCAAAGTTTTTCGGGAGATATGTCCGCTGCAGCTTTGTCGCGCCAACGAGTCATCCTGCCTAAACCTTCATCGACTTCACCTACCACCTCTGTACTCCCTATCGTGGAAACCTTCTATTCCTTCCCGTCTTATACCCGCTCGGCCGTGAGCGTCACGTCTGACACTAGCGTTAGTCACAATTCCGCCTTTTCTAGGGGGGGGACACATGCTATGATTGGGGAGCAATATGATGCGCAGAGCAATCCGCAATCGGTTCGGATGCAGGTGGGATCTGTGTTTCCTCCTATGTTCTAGTCAAACTTCCTAGTCATTTCTCAGAACCTTCTTGTATAATCCTCCTACTCTCTGGATCGTGTTTCGATTTAAGTTCTTTTATGGCCGGTACCTACTATGTTTCGTGGGGGATGTTGTACGTGAGAAGTCCTCGTGCCGTTGTGTAATGTGTTTGATCCGTGGAATGACAGTCTTGTTAGCTCGAAGTCAAGTTTGAACCTTGAAGGTAAGGCAATAGGAAGTGGACAGCTTATTTTGCAATCGGATGCCGCACTTTGACATGAGTGGCATGGCATATGACCCCAGAAACCCCTCGTTTAAATATTGAGGATTGAAATTTCAACTTTTGGCATTAGTAGATATACTAGCTAGGTCTAGAATTTCACAAGTGAAGTATAAAATGATACTAGCAAGGTATGAAGTATAGATATTAATGTTCCATTACCCTGATCAGACAATAAATGAGGTTTAATAAAAGAAAAGACATAAGCATAGACTGGTAAGTATGTACTATGGTCTAGAAAGTGTTATTTGTATGAATACTGGCCAAATATTCCTCAAAGAGTCTGGGAAACCTATGTACAAGCTGGTACACCAAATTGGGCAGGTGTGAGGGTATTCATGTATTAGACACTCAAATAATAATCATATATAAGAGACAGGTCTAAGCAATGGTTTATTCAAGAGGCATAGTAGTTAAAGTGTTGTTTTATTTGTTACAAACTGCTTGTTCAGTAACCCCAAGAGTCGGAGGTTTTTCTCTAGGTTGCTTTATGAAGAAAAAGTGGAACAATGGTCTCAACTATACATACAGCACAGAAGCCAGGTAGTATTGCAGTCCTGTATGTGATGATATAGGAAGAGCGAAGTAGACAGTATGAAGACTGCCTAAGAACAAAGAGAATAGACTAAAGATCCTTAGCCTATTCTATAGGCCTTATATACTATTTTGGGAAGGGGCATGAGAATACTGTATATGTATCCCTAGGTATTCTCTAAGTTGTTTCCCTCTCAGAACGATTACTCTTGCTTCTCTGATTGCCTCTTTCCAACCAAGAGGTCAAGGAGTTCCATGCCTATGTGTGAGCAGTTTGTAAGGCAGGGAAAGTTGCCCACTATAGTAGGCCCATAATACTCGACCAGCGATAGATGATCCACTGGGAGTGGATGACCAAAGGTAATATCTGTACCTTCATGTATGCCTCAGGATATGAGGCTGCCTGGTAGCTGTGATGATCCTATTGGTATAGACCACCGTAAAGGCCCAATAAGTTGTGATCATAATATTATTCATTTGCATGAAATTAGAGCCCTGTATAAAATATTATTCATAACGCTTCTGCACAAAAGTTTCTGTATATGAAACAATGGATAGAGCCACCTTTCTATGCACAAATTCCTTACTCATGCTCTAAGCTATGTCCTGATTGCTCTCGACTGCCTGTCCCACTCCTTGTGTTATGAACTGCTCATTTGGTAACCCAAGGGTGGTAGGTTCTTTCCTAGGTCACATGTAGACTGAGTGGGGAACAAAGTCTTGACTATATTAGAAGATTAATATAGGAGTGGTCGCAGTGGTTCTACTGTAAAAAGATAGTGGTGAACAAAGAAGAATAGACTAAAGTTCCTCAGTTTATTCTATGGGCCTTATATACTGTATAGGGCATAGGATAAGAGTCTGTGTGCTTTTCCGGATACCCATCCTAAAAGAGTGTGGATTGCTGTCTTTCTTAGTCAGCACCTACTCTTGTACTTTTTCGGTTGCACTAATCCATCCAGGTGTGGTGAGGTGCTTATCTCTAAGCCCTAAGCCCATGGCATATGAATGCCTATCTCTGTAAGCCACTCTACCTATGACTCTGTTATATATCCTCTTTCAATGTCTTAAAAAACCATCAGACTAGCTGGCTTCTAAGGATGTGCTGGATACCTTGGTGTATGCTCCAGAGTGGAGCTGCCTAGCATATGATACTTGGACTGTCAAATAGACTGACCCTGCAGGGTCCTGATGGGTTAAGTCATAACACCTTGCCACTGGTCCTAGACCTTTCCAGAGGCATCCACATTGATTGGGATAGCAAGTGCATATTGTGCTTGTCATTATCCACAATAAGAATAACTTTTGACTGTCCCTCTCCTACATTTGCTATATCCTCATAAATATATATGCTTCTAGAACCAGATTTTCATGTGAAATATATTGGAATTTGTGAGAATTTGACACTGTTATGTCATATTAGACTTCTATGGATCTAGCTGACTAGGTATAGTAGTTCTAGATGAGGCTACAACATCGTCAAGTGGCTCGACAAGTGACCAATGGCAGAGTGGCACAAGCGTGTTTCACTGAGAATTATCCGCAGTTGCAAGATAAGTATCAAATATTGATATCGGAGGCTTTGCCAATAACGAGCGTAAAAACATCGTGGAGATTTACTATTATGATGAGAATGGAAGGATGTCATCAAGCTCTAGTGCGACGCAAAAAAGATAAAATTGACATAACCTATTTAGTGTAATCCCAGTCACCCATTATATATGGTGAATCGGAGCCTCGGAGTCGACGTACAACTTTCCGAACTGATTGTATCCATATGTGACCCCATTCAAACTCATCTATCCAGCGAAGGAGACGCGTGCGATACGTGGGAGGCGGATTGCGATAGTGAGACCATTCCTCCACAAACTCCAGAGGGAATATGTCCCAAGACACTGTTTGCGACGATCCTGGAGTGTATGGAGGAAGTGGGGTGCTTAAGTCCTGTTCGGATAAGTTACGTCGAAGTGCTTCGCAGAAGTGCAATGCTTCTGCAGCTGTGCATCGACGATCAACATCGTCTGCGATCATGCGCTCCAAAAGAGGCGCTAGAAGGGGTACTGTTGGTAAAATCCACTGTACGAATGTCATCAGTGCCACTCGAGAGTCTATAATTTAAGCGATATATCCGCACATGAGTGTTATGAAGCAGCATCTATCCCATACAGCCGACATCGAACATAAACGGATTGTAGTCCAGTTCCCCTTGCTTGAGGTCTGGAGGGTGATGCCTAGGGGTCCCACACCAAGATAGATCATGTGGAAGGCGGCACATATTCAAGGGTGCCTTATGAGGAAAGACAATAGACAGGTTGAAATCAAAGAGGCAATACTGAGGCATCAGCGGCATCCGCTTGGCGCGGAACTTAGCTCTATCTGCGTGGAGAGTAGATGAACCGTATGTATTGAGCACGAAAAAATTCATGAGATGATTTGACTCTGCGATATCCTGCTGGCGGATGAGAGGAAAGAGTATCGGCCTGATGACTTGCTTACTCTATGAGCTATCCGATGCTCGTGAAGAAAGCACAGACCCTACAAACAAGAGTGATCAATTCTATGGTACAGTTCGCTTGCTGCAAAGAGATACTGACGCGAAGCAAAGAAGAGATAAAGAAAAGCAATTCACCGACATCGGCAAATGCCATTCCAGACCGGCCCCAGCTGAAGATCGGAATGATTGCTTGGCCCCCATGTTAGCAGCGATCGGAGAACTTGAACGCACCGCGGCATGACCACAAACATATAATCGTGAGGCGTATCGAGGATGTTCAGAATTGGGATGATGGATGGAAATGTTCGTGGGTCAAAGATTTCAGGGACTTCTAACAATATCCTGAAAATCGTAAGCTCCTGAGAACCTTTGACTACAGCTTTGATAACAACATCTCGGCCTTTTTCATCCTGTGCAGGATAGAGGTGTCTCTGGTGAGAACCTGGTCAAACCATGCGTTGATGACCGACACCGACAAGAGTGAACGCACTTGGAATGATATCTCATCGAAAGGTTGAGAGGGTATGTACGCGTGAAAAGCGTACGGATGCTGGAAGTCCCATTGAGTAGCTTGTGGAGGTTCACATATTGCAGAATCATATCTGTTTTCTGGACATGGATTGTACAGTCGATAGCCACGATCCAACAGCCATTGAGCACTGAGCCCCCATAGGTCAGGTAGACGTTCGTCGTCTATTTCCCAAGGCTGTTTCCCTAGTTCTTTGGACATGGATATGACATCCACCTGATTATGAGCACCATAAGTCGTGAGTACGGCGCGATTAGCAATGAACATACATAGGGCAATTCCATTGTCGACAGTGTGACGGCGTAGCCAAATCATGCTTGCGACAACATGGGCAACATGTTCGCGGCAGATGCCGGTTCAAGCCGATCGGCGCTGCGGCACCGAGCCCATGCCGGCCTTCATCGATATTCCCTCAATATATGGAGTATACAGTAACTCGATGCTCCGTATTTCATTGAAATCTGTGCCCGTTCGTTCTGCTCACGGAGAATTACAATTAGAATAAGCCTACGAGCCGACAGAGCTCAAACCATTGACTTAGTTTGAATCTTACTGGGAAGGACTACTACGCATCAGGAAGTATGACATCATATTAGCCTTGAAGCTTGAATGCGTGTCTCTGGACGAGGACGGAGACAAAGCCAAGGAACGGTCAAATACATAAGTACATGCAAACGTCGATGTGTCCACACAGATTTCCCAGCGATAGTGCTCACCTTACAGAGCCAAGAATCTCCAGCTGAAAAAATATGGAAGCTGTGGCACCGAAACAGTATCTTTGAACAGATTGGAACACAAGTCATCTTATGATATTCCATTGACCCATGATGTAGGCCGAGCGCAGAATTCTTAACTGAAAAATTGCGTCCCTAATGAACTGAGTGACAGTATGGCCTGAACGCGTCGCATTGACCCACCGGAGGACACGCGTCCAAAATGCTGTCGGCGGGTCTCGGCAGAGCGACCATTCCGTCACGAAGGGCAGTGGAAGCAACTCCCACGGTACGGTAGTTCGAGGATAAGGAGTGTCAGAAGGGGTGTCCTTGGCGAGTTCTTCCGCGGACAAGGTAGGCCGGTTGTCTTCGAAGAATCGCAAAGCTTCAGCAGCTGTGAAGCGATGTTCCACGTTATCTGTTATCATATACTCAAGCAGAGGCGCAAAAAACGGTATGGCAGGGACCATATACTATACGCAATGTCCATCAAAAACATCGGAGATAGAAGAGAGGAGGACTTGCGCACATGAAAACATTGCAGGAAAAATTAGCCCATGCAGCCAACGTCGAACGCGAATGGATCGTAGTCCATTTCACCCTGCTAAAGGTCTGGTGGATGATACCGAGGTGCTCTACACGATGCAAGCTCAGCGGGTAGGCGACACATGTGCAACGGCGCGCTAAGGGGAAATACGACTGGAAGACTGAAATCGAAGAGGCAGTATTGGAGCGACAGCAACATTTGACGATGATAACAATTGGTCCTGAGAACTGACTAAATTTTGCTGGTTTTCATGTGTCAGATCACGAGGCAGAATATGAGTGATGTTCATGACAGACTTGAAAGCATATCTCTCTGAGCTTGCGAGTGGACGTATATGCAGAGAATGCGTATGGATGAAGGGGATCTCGCGGAGCAAGCGTGTCGGGACTGCAAAAGGTGGACTCGTTTACCCATTCTGGTTCTGCAGTATAAATTTTGTAGCCATGACTGAGTAGCCATGGAGCACTCATCCCCCATATATTCGGTAAACGTGAACTGTCAATTTCCCATGGTTGCTTTCCCAGCTCTTTCGACATAGATATCACGTCGACCTAATCATGAAGGTGGGAAAGTCAGTCATATGTAATACACTCAGCGCGTAGAAACACACATAGGGTAGACTCATTACGGTAGGACATGGAAGTCATGGTTCGGATTCAACATCGAAATGCAACGCCTTCGGCGGCACGACATCGGTAAGTGCCGAAGTGCCGGCCAGGTCGTTCCCAGAAATAACAAAGCGTTTAGATCCTTAGAGCTTCTTCCCAGAGAACCGTGCGATGAATTCAGCCAATCGACGACGACTGTTAGATCTACCATGGGGATCTTACCGAGATACAGCGTCAGAATGGTATGTCCTATGACCCATTAAATGTAGTTTACAGATTCAAGAAGAAGTAGATATGAGTGAACTTTGAAGCTATAAGCCTCCGTAGCGCTTCATGAACCCCATGTGGAATTTCTCCAGCGCTCCGACATACTCCTCTACCCCTGGACAGAGACAGGTCAGTCTGTAATGACTTTCACCCTCTTTCTGGCCAAACCCGCTCCCGGGCACGACGCAGATGCCGGTTTCGTCCAGCAGCTGCAACGCGTAGAACGCATCCGCCTCCTTGCCCGCCGCGCGCGCAGCCTCGACCGCCTGATCAGGGAGGTGCAGCCGCGGGTACAAGTACAGCGCGCCGGGCGAGTCTACGCACGACGCGCCGGGGAGCTTGTTCAGGCGCTCCGCCATGAGCTTTGTGCGCGCGCGGAGCGCCTCGTGCGTCCCGTCCGTCTCCTTCTTCCACAGCGCGTAGCTCTCCTCTCCGGCCTTCGGGGGCCGCACCATGCAGTCGACGCCGATCTGGCCGCTCAGCGGAGGGCACAAGCCGACGCTGACCATCTTGTAGATCAGCGCGAGCACGTCGTCGCCGATGTTCGCGCACTCGAAGTAGCCGCCGCGCCGCCCGCACTCGCCGGTTACGCCCTTGGAGATCGAGTGGAACGAGACGAGGGGGACGGGGGAGTCAAGCTGGCGCACGACCTTTTTGAACGACGTGAATGGGTGTGTCGACGGCCGGTGCAGGTTCGTCTGGTAGACCTCGTCGGCGAGCAGTACGAGGTTGTACTGCTCGCACAGGCGGACGATGTGCTCCATCGTTTTGTCATCCAGCAACGCTCCAGTGGGATTGCCAGGGTTGATGACCACGAGCGCTTTGGGAACGGTCCCTTCGGCGACGGCACGTTGCAGGGCCAAGTCAATATCTGGTGGAGCGGTTGCCCAGTCAGAGGACTCATCGAGGTGGTAAGGGATAGGAACGCCGGAATAGGAAGCGAGGGTTGCGGTGTAGAGTGGGTACTGGGGAATAGGGATGAGGATGCCGGCTTTTGGAGAGTTGATGAGCATAGAGATGAGGAGGGAGACACCTGCGGAGGCGCCTCCAGTAAGGAAGATATGGTTGGGTTCAGACGGGTAGCCGTCGCGCTCTGTCCAAGTGTAAGAATGGAGATACATTCGCCAGACAAGCTTGCGCACCTTCAATGAATTTTGCTACGTTCTTGCGGATAAATGGGACGCCCTGACTGTGCGAATATGCGCCAACTGATCCAGTCTCGGCATGCAGCTCCTTAGCGCGAGCAATAACATCTTTTGGGAAGACGCCGTTGGTTAACTCGGCCAACGCAGGCCATTCCATCAGCGCTGCAACCTGGATCATTTCATGAATGTCAGTATCGAGTCACGACCACAAAAATAACACTGCAACGATTTTGGTTTGGAGCACTGGCACCGGCTTCCCGTTGCAAGCACATGCATCTACATCCCACAGCAGATTGAGCTCGATGGGGAACGAATGTCTCTTGATCAAGGGGCAGACCCAGAGTCATACGTCTGGATGACATAGATGCTGCTTAGAATGATGTGCGAGATTGACCTAGCCCTTGACCGTGAGGCCAAGTTGCCATGCACTTCCCCTTTGGACGCAGGTCTCGGCCCGATGCAATTTTAGCCTGCACAACGCATGGACCGTCCACCCCGTCATATGGAACAGACGACCAGAATCATCGCCCCGCCGACCTTCATTCGCCAGCGAGCACCCCGCAGAGCCCTCGACTCGGTCACCACCGACAGCGAGGGCCACGATCCCAGGCAGCGTTCAAGATCCGTCCGTGCTCACCTGGCGATTGAATGTAATCGGAGGCTGGTCGAGCCCCTTCTGCTGTGGGTTCCCAATGTTCGACGAGATGATCTTGTCGAATGGTAGGCCATGATCCGGCTGCTTGAGCTGCTCGCGGTACTCCTCCGCCTTGATGGCAAGCTCGCCCCGCACGGCGTACTGGACTTTGAGAATTGATGGGTTGAGTGAGTCGACGGTGAGGCCTCGCATGGTTGATGGAGTTCGGTAGTGGGGAGAAAGAGAGCGCATCAAGGCCGTATTACGACCTATTATACGCGTGGTGATCATGGGACGGATGTGTAAATGGTAATCGACCTGGACTGTCCTTTTGACGGAGTCGCGACGCAGTTCCGCGTCAAGTCGTGGCGCCCCGCATACGCAAAACCGACTTATGACTCGTTCAACAAATGCGGCTCAAACGTGTCTGCGCCTATGTGGCAGTCTCATACAATTCGGGGTAAAAAGGAACGTGGCCAGAAAGCGAAACGCACAGAGAGATGTAATGGAAGACATGATCGGACGCGCGACTCTGAGCATGGTGTGCATGGAATTCAAAGTAACGTCCGATGCTGTAAAGCTACAACAATTGCCCCATTCCGTGCCCCATCTTCCTTTACGATGATCCAGCGCCCAAGTCGCTGCTCCTGCCCAACACCAGCAACCAGCAGAACAGGCGCCTTTTTTACCGGCTCATCATTTGCCCCGTCTGTGGGACGCGCCCATAGCACATCATCGAAGGATCCCTTAGGAGGTGAGATGAACTGGAGCGAGTTGATCACGCCGGGCGCAGACACCGTGCCCACGAGCGAGAAGGATCTCAATTTTGCATCGAGTTTCCATAGCCGGATGTCACCGTCCCACGACCCTGCAAAAAATCAGTTCTGGGGACGAAAGAGGGGATACTTGGTACTTACCAGACGCAAAGAGGTCTGAATATCGCAGGGATCCAAGGGCAGTGATCCACCTAGGAGTTTTGACGACGCCTTCCGTTTCAGAGGGTGTCTCGTTGAGACCATGCGCGACAGCCTGGGTAAATATGGGCTTTTTCTTCTGGGTTGTCCATAGGCATATTGATCTGCCATACCAGTCAGACCAGGTTCGAGCCTCGCGCGATAGGATACTCACCCACTGTCGCCGCCACTCAGGAACGTCGACTCGTCAATCATCGCTACGCACTCCAAGCTCCCTTCCACGAACTTTTTACCCTCCTTCCTTGGCTTTTTCTTCCCCTCTCCTTCTGCACCTTCCTCGTCTTCCTCTAGCCCCTCCAAGGCCCCACCCTCAAGCAACTCCCGGATTGCACTCCGCCCTCCACCGCGAAATACGAGCTGCGTCTCGTCTATTATTTTCCAAAATCGCACGGTCTTGTCCCTCCCTCCAACGCTGACGGCTGTCTCCGAACGTAGCGCATCTACTGCCTGCACGGAATCCTGGTGACCGAATAGCGTCTCAACATACCCCATCACAGATAGATCGAATAATTTTATTGTCCGGTCAAAAGACGCAGTGTACAATTGCTGCGAGCCCTTTCTGAACGCTATTGACTGGTAAAAGTCAAGGAAAGGAGTGATGTTGAGAATTTTTTGAGACGTACTGAGATAGTGTCTCGATGTCCACCGAATCCTTTGACCCACTCGTCCTTTTCGGTGTCCCATACACCCACTCTCCGGTCCTTGCCTGCACTCGCGAGATATCTTCCATCTCCGCTCAACGCAAGAGTCAGTACCTCATCCGTATGTCCGTTAATGTCTGCTGGGCCTGCCTTCTCCTTCCCCTTCTTTTTGCTGTGACCGCTCGCCTCAGCTTTTGGCGGCCGCAGTTTGGGAAAGGAAGCGAGCCTCGAGCCGGTGTGAAGATCCCATTTGACGATGGATCCTTCTTTTCCTGAGGTGTACATGTATTTACCGTTTTCGGACGCCACGGCAGACGTGACAGAGAAACGGTGTCCCCGTGTCCGTAGTACTGGCGGCGAACGACTGAAATCGAACTGAGAGATGGTGACGTGAGAACAACGAGGCGAAAGCGAGATGAAGAATGCGCACTGTGTCGGCAACGAACAAGTGCACTTTCCCTTGATGTTCTAGTACGTCCTGTTTTAGTCGTGCAGAGATGAGTTCCTTGTCGATCTCGGCAGCGTCGAACTCGCCCTCCGCTAGAAGAAAAACAGGGCATTAATCAGTAAATGGGTGCTGTGCGCCCTACAGAATCAAGACGCAAACAAGGATGGATCACACACCTAGACCTCCCTTCACCGACTCGAGATACAGCTTCGCCAGCCGCAACCTTTTCTCTGCAGGCGTTTCCTCCTCATCTTCCTCCCCGCTCTCGTTCGGGTCCACCTCCTCCGCCCTCAGATCCATGTCGTCCACGCCCTCGTCCTGCGTCCCATCTGACTCCAGCTCCTCATCGCGCGTCCGCGTACGCGCCTTTTCTTTGCCCTTCCCTTTTGCCGGCCCTTTCGCCCCCGCTGTGCGTGTAGGCTTTTTGCTCGCGGGGCCGCCCGAGTCGCGCGCTGTCGTCGAGCGCTTGCGCTTGCGCGTTTTTTGGGCCGCGAAGAAGGAGTCAGGCATGGCGGTTGCGTTGGACGAGTGCTGGTAGGATCTCGACTTGGCTCGCACTTCAGAAATTTGTGGTGTCGGTGTTTGCCGGTGCGCACCTGGCGTCGCGGCGAGTGGCGCTTTATCTCGCTTCATTCACGGTCCCAACCTCCAGCGAGCTGGATCTTTTTCCAGGTCTCTCAAGCTTCTCAGACTCTCTGTCAAGCCGAGCATGTTATGTGCTTTTCAAAGCGAAGATAACTAAGGTATAACTCGCTCAACGACTCTCAAGACCATTGCGGTTTATGGAACTCGAGAAATTCCTTGGTGAGACCAGCGTCACATCGTTCAAGCTTAGAAGACATCTTCCTTGGTTTCTTCTGAGCACAGGGCTCCACAGAGACACCTTTTCTCTGATACCCGAGGTCACTCTTGGCCAGCCTTTATGCCCGCATGCTTATTATCTCATGCAGGATATGTACGATCTCCGTGCAATTGATTCCTCTTCTGCCATCACCCTCGCCGTTCTAATGGGACATGTGCACCCCTGGACCATCAAAGACCAATTGGCTGAGTTTGTGCGCCCTCTCCAGCTCAGCTTTGCTCGAAATTTCTGCGCACTCAGTATCCTGCTGTGTGCGTTGGCTTAAATCTTTCCTTGCGAGCCCTTGAAGATGACGAAAGCCATGACTCGACACCGCTGAACACACCTTCGTTACACTTTGGCCAATACAAGTCACCCTAGACCTCTGCACAGCTTGCAGCTCGATGGTAATTTGTCGTACGAACGACGCGTTGCTCCTTCGCTAGACACCGTGGCGTTCTTTAGTCTATTCTGAATGCTTATATCCACCTGGTTGTTCAGGCATTCCATTTCGTGTGCTCACGACGATCATCATCTCTGCTCAGCGATGCACTGCACCGAAGGATCCTACATATGCTAGATTCTGACTCAACATCTCAACGATGTAATCTCATACTCGCACCATAATTTTCAAACTTTGACACATTTCAAGGGCATTTGGCACAGTGGTAGCGCGCACGCTTCGCAAGATCCGGTGTTACAACTTGGGCTTACATATGCGTGAGGTCGAGAGTTCAATCCTCTCAATGTCCATTTTTTTCTTGATGACCGTAGCAGTGCACCTGTCGTCCCATGCGATGCTAATTCTTCAAGGGGATTGTTGCGAACTTTTGACAACCGTTGGAGATCAAAAAAAATCTCGCGCAGAGTGTGTAGGGGCGGTGGTGGCCTTTTTCAGGGCAAATTTATCTCGTTTCACAAAACGTGCAGTTGTTTAGTACAGTGGACTGCAGAGAAGCAACAACATCAAACGTTGGGGTACTACAAGGCTATGATGTGTCCAACGCAGATGAGGAATCGAATCACAGGGCGCACACATGCCTGTATCATCGCATGTTTGTCAAGCGTTGAGAATCGATAGTAATATCAATAGCTCCATGTTTGTCCATGAAAAAGATGACTGATGTCAAGCTGTGTCGGCTGCAAACCACAGAAGAATTTCACCTTACCCCGATGAAGCTCGAAGGGCACTCACAGCAAGACTTGTGAGGCCGGACTGACCACCCAACAACATTAGATTTTGACGGCTTGAGAAACTGAAGGGCACCTAAATAGCTCAATGTGTGTTCTACCTGAAAAGAGAGCACATGGCTAGCTAAATTGATCAACTCGCTGTACGGTTGCCTAAGAAAATGTTATTGAGGACATCAATCTTGGCTCATGATCATCGAAATGCAAAGAACTGTTAGATGTCAATACCGGGAAGGCATTCCCATCTGCTGAGGGGGGTGAATCGATGAATGCTGGAAGGGCTGAATATCAGACTCCTTACACCACATTCTCGAACGACGCAGTTCTCGATGTCCATACTCTTGTACTATTTGAACCCTGCATTGCACACGATGTGACGGTCTACCTCTGATTAAATGGCAGCCCAGTGAATGAGGACTGCTGAGCACCTTCTCGTCCCAATGAGACGCGATCCTGGAAGTCCGTTTCACCGTTGGTGGATTCGGATTTGCGAAGGCCTCTCATATCCCTTGCCGTCAGGATGGCTCGGCGAGGCACCACTTCCGATGACAGGCCTAGTTGAATGTGTAGATGATGAGTACCGACAGGCCCGCAGAGCACAGGAACCCGTGCAGCGACGTGATATCAGAAGTACCCGACAACGAGCGCGGGGGCAGGCCAAGCCTTGTTAAGATGAGTACATGGCGTTCTTTCCTACCCTAGTCTCACCTCCATTTGTTGACGCTATTCTGACGCTCTGATCTCTGGCAACGTGAAGCAATACGGCACGGAGCAGTTGATCCACGCACTGTTTCGATGTTGTTGACTGCTGCCAAGGTCGCGCTGCTGTACAGAAAATGAACCAGATGCGATCAACCGCGGAGTTCCGCAAACTGGTTTTCAAGATGGCAGACTCAAACCCTTTTAACTCGAGTTCATGTAATAATCCGCGAGTTCATTACCCTTGGCAGAGACTTAAGGAATTGTCGATCCAGAAAGGTCGTCATGCATATAGTAATTGAATCATTGGCACCCCAGCCTATGAACTCTCTGCGCGCAGCAAAACGGACCGCAGGTCAACCTGCATCAAGAATTGGTGGCAAGAGATATCTCGCGTTAACATTGGGCAGAGCCACCTCATGGTAAAAAAGAAAAACCGAGGAGCCAAGGTACTTAGTAGTAGTAGAGTTTGCACACTAACCTGAGTCAATATAATGTGTACGTGATCTCGAAGCATTAATACTGGGAGTCGAACTCGGGCGTACTTTCAGTATTCGGCAGTCTCTGGATTATGCAGTCGGAGAACGCATCAAGGTTCCCAGCAAACTTGCGGTCGAAGCGGGCCGATAAGTTCCTGTGCAAATCTGGCATTTGTTAGAGGGGTTAAGAGTCTCGCGAAATGAAAGGTGCTGATAGTCCGAGTAAGAGGCGTGAAGAAAAAGTTGGTTAGCAAAATTCATTTGGTATAGATGTAGGAAGAACGGGTCCGAAAGAGGAACGGGAGGCGGGAGATGGGGACGGTGAGACTGGCAGAGTTCAGTTCACAGTTCCCGGTGCTGAGCTTGTGAAGGCTGTGCGATCGCGAGGATCTGTGTGCGCACATCTGGCTCATTCTTGCTGGACTTCGGCCGAAGGAACGGGATTTCCGGGCTAGTGGAGACGAGACCTGGCATGCACGTCGAAGAGGGAGAGGCAGAGCACGGAGAGCATCCTATTGGCGGTCGTGCGACGACGTATGCGGAGAGCGTCGGCGATTGAGCTTGCGTCCTGGAAGGAGTCAGCGCTCGCGCCATTGCACAGGCCGTGGGAAGCACTGACCTTTGCGGCAGTTCGCGGCCCAGCTCAGAAACTTGGCGCCTCCAGCTGCCTCCGGAACTCTTCCGCAGATCGTCGACTAACTCTCCCTGGGCACGGATTGCCAGCGCTGGCATATTCTCTTCGCAGCCTCTTTTGTAGAGCTGATGCGTGGGCACAAGTATTTCACTGCGCAGAAGTCCCTGTAGCCTCGAATGTTGGGGCGTTCCCGTTGATTCACCCTTTCTTTCCGTCTCTCCGTCTCTCCGTCTAGTATCCACTTTCCGCAATGCTCATTCTAAGTTATCGAATACTGTTAGCTGACCCCTTCTGTGCACTTCATTAGACTGTCATCCACTCCGCCTACCAAATCCATGCAATAACTTGTTGGTACTCCCATCTGAGCTACTAGTCCGTCATGACCACGATAACGGCACAGGCCTTCCCATAAAGTCAACTCCATTCGAATTGACACTTTGAACGGCGCGCGAAGTCAAAGCCGAACCACATCACTCGTGGCTAGAATAGAACAGCGGGCTGAAGCTCGCTCATAAGGTGCAAGGCTCTGTGAGGTACGCTGGAGTCCACGACAACATATCGCCTGACGCGTCTGCATGGTGCTGTTAATGATTATCAGCCGGAGGCAGGCTGGCACACCGGCCGAATATTGCAGCCCTTGCGCGAGTAGGGGAGTACGAACTTGTTTTTACCCCATGTCCATCCGTCATGGGTCTCCACTGCCAGATATTAGCTCTCTAATTGAGCAGGCGACGCAAGACATGCATTGGAAGGACTCCCTCCTCTTCCCAACACATTTGTGAGCGCTCGACGATGCTGACGCTTCCTGCGCATTCTTCGGCTTTGCACAGATTGTGAAAGATGACGGTGGGTTGATTAAACGTTCGGTGTATCTACCTTTAGCACCACTGGGCTTAATATATACCATGTAACTTACCATCTGTATATAGTAAGTTAGACCTCCACTTGCAATACATCAAACGTGGTCCTCAATCAATGCATGTGAAAGAACTTGTATAGATACACGCAACATGGAAGCTTTTGACTACATTGTTTGTAGCACAAAGAGATGGAAGAGTCCTGTCTAAATCACTGCGGCGACGAAGGTCGATAACACTCGTGCCAAGAAGCACCATGAACAAATTGACTGAGGTCAAGTTGTACAAACTGCATTCCAATGGAGAATTGGAGCCTCGCATCAGGCCACAATCTGTCGCGGTGCGCGGTGGGCACCCAGAACAACAGTTCTGATGCAGGACCAACTATCCAACCATCGCTGTTCATGCGTTTATATATTTGGTTGTTCCATCCAGTCAGAGGGGCCATCTTGGCGCATTGCGTGTTCCAGATGACGGGAAATGAGAATTAAGACTGCGAAAAGTTCTGGTCAGGTGGGACGCTCATGCTTCCACAGTGACAACGCTTGAACTCACGAGCAGATACATCGGAAAGTTCGGATTGCTGTGTGAGAGGGCCATCGTCGGCCTTGGTCGAGACAAAAAGCGCATCCCATACCTGTATTGTAGCCTCCCACGAGCTTGACACAATTTGCTTCCCGTGTGGCGAGTATGCAACAGAAAGGATCTCTGTCTTCGCCTCGAGAGGGTTGCCCACAGCAGCATGCGTCGCTGTATCCCGGACCCAGATTGTCTTGTCGTAAGAGCCTGACACGATCCGCATCCCGTCTGGCGAGAAAGCAACAGAATTGACCGCATTACTGTGTCCCCCGAGGAAGTCGCCCACAGCAGCGTGCGTTGCTGCATCCCACAGCTGAATTGTGTCGTCGCACGAGCCTGACACGATCCACTTCCTGTCTGGTGAGAAACCAACAGAATTGACAGCACCTGTGTGTGCCTCGAGTGGGTCGCTTACAGCAGTACAACTTGCCACGTCCCACACCCCGATTGTGCGATCGCCTGAGCCTGACACCATCTGCCTTCCATCTGGTGAGAAAGCAACAGACTTGACAAATTCTGTGTGGACATCGAGAACTTCACCCACTGCAGCGCGAGTCGCTGTATCCCACACCCGGATTGTCTTGTCCCAAGATCCTGACACTATCCGCGACCCATCTGGCAAGAGAGCAACAGACTCGACAAAACCTGTGTCCTTTCAGAGGGTTCACCGACTAGACCATGTGTCGCCGCATCCCAGACTCGGATTGTCTTGTCCCAAGAGCCTGACATGATCCGCTTTCCGTCCGGCGAAAAAACAACAGAAGTGACCTGCTCTGTGTGTCCCTTGAGAGGCTCTCCCACAGCAGCCCATGTTGCCACGTTCCACGCCCGGATTGTGCGGTCTCTAGAGCCTGACACGATCCGTGACCCATCTGGGAAGAACGCAACAGAATTGGCCGATTTTGAGTGTCCCTTGAGAGGGTCTTCCACTGCAGCACATGTTGCCACGTCACATAACCAAATTGTGTGGTCGCTAGAACATGACACGATCCGCTTCCCATCCGGCGAAAAAAATAACGGAAGTAATCATAGCTGTGTGCCCCTCGAGAGGGTCGCACACAGGAGCACATGTCGCCACGTCCCACACCCGGATTGTGTTGGGCCATGAGCCTGACACGATCCGCGTCCCGTCTGGCGAGGTAGCAACAGCACAGACTGGGCCTGTGCGTCCCTCGAGAGGGGCGCCCATAGCAGCATGCGTTGCCGCATCCCACATCCGGATTGTGGAGTCGCTTGAGCCTGACACGATCCACTTCCCGTCTATCGAGAAAGCAACAGATTTGACGCGGTCTCTGTGTCCCTCGAGAGGGTCTCCCACCGCCTCACCTGTTGACACATCCCACATCCGGATTGTCGAGTCGTTCAAGCCTGCCACTATCCACAATCCGCCGGGCGAGATTGCTACGCACTGAACCCAACAGCCTGCACGGATGCTATGTTGGGCAGCTGGCCAATAGTCGCCCGCCCCAGCTGAGACCTTCAGTATCTGTAGAAAGTCCTTCCCAAACCTTTCGAATACACCAGAGATTTGTGGAGCGAATGCTAGGGCGGACAAGTAGATGTGAGGAGTGGACTGCGATATCGGGAAACCGAACACATTCATGAAGCCACGCGCGTCCATCGCCAATTTGAATATTTGCCTAGTATGTGGACCCTGCGCAATAATGGAACATCATCAACACTTCATCCTAAGGTTTCCGTGCTTCCAAAATCACGTACCGATTTACATTTCAGAATAGGAGCAACGGCTCGAGCTGCCCCCGAGATAGCACCAACAAGACTCATCACCTCGAGCCAGAACAGGATTTTTTCCTTGAGCACCACTTCCACGCCTTTCAGCAGCTTGAGGTCGGATGCAACACCTGTCTCTATAGTTTGTAAATGAGTTGCCCAGAATCGGCACGAATAGGAAAGATGGGCGGGTATTGAATTCTGAACGCGATCGGCAAGGTCAAGGATGTCCTTGTTTAAGATGTACGAGGATTCCAGATGGCAAATATTAAACACTAGTTCTTTCTCCATAATATGCAGCGACGCGAGTGCCAAGTCTCTGTGGGTTCGAGACGTGTCAACATAATATCTTCCACTGCGCGAGGGATATTTCATTTAGTGATTTAAGAGACAGAGGCTCGAACGTTGTCAACACCAGCGCCATGATGGTTTGGAAGCCGCCCATGATGAATTTATCCAATGCGACAGATCTCTGAATCGGAAACAGATACGACAGCACGGTTGTGTATATGCCATCTAAGCCTGCCGTTTCATGGACCTTGCCCTCAATCAGGAGGTTGTATCGATCCAAAGGCTCCAATCCAGTGATGCCTAGACCTATAATAAATGTGCAGGCAACGGATGCCCACTGGAATAGTCCCTCACATTTGGACACAAGCGTGCTTCTGCGTGCACTGTAGCCGGGACCGCTCAGACGGTTGTGAATGTATGTTGTGATATCGAGCTCAGTCAACTGAGGGGGGGTGTCCTGCATTCTCTTCAGAATCATGTGGGCATTCGGTTTGAATAGACGCCCGACATCTGTCTCAGGGCGAGATGTGAGAAGCATGCGGACATTGGAAGGAAAATCTGTAATTTTTTCAACGAGTAACTGGAGTAGCTCTTGCCGAGATTGGATATCGCCGCTTTCATTCAAAGCATCGATGACAATGACGAGGGGACCAGTGAGCGTGAGTTCCTTGAGCGGTTTCAGAATGAAATTGCTGAACTGCTTGTTGATGTGCAACGTAGTACGGAGCGCTGTATCGCCCTGAACAATCCTCCATAGCGTGCGTCGTATGCACTCGTCAAGGTCAGCCAAATCGCGAGCCACATGAGCAAACAGTCGTTCAGGACCGCGCCCAGCCTCACCGCGTACAAAACAAAAAGACGATCCAAGACGATTGAGGCTCTTAAACTGGTGAGCGATGGTGTGAGTGATAGCCGATTTTCCAGTCCCTGCAGCGCCAGAGAGCAAGAGAACGCGAGGAGCATCCTCCGCATTGATACAAGCGGAAATTTCGTCCAAAATTACCGTTCGAGTTCCGGGCTGGCACCCCTTGTTCTTATCGAAACTGGCCTCAGGCACGTATCTGATCTCCTTCAAATCAATATTGATCTCTACAGAAAGGGCTTTGAGTCAGGCGAAGATAAACACAAGTAACCATCACATCTGCGTACTGATCTTGTCCGTATCACCCAGAATACGCTCCACGTCGTTGAGGATATATTCCACTTTGTCGAGGATAGATTTGGCGACTATCCCAGTTTGTACAGCCACTCCGGTGTCAAATTCCTTCCTGAGTTCGATGAACGCATCGCAGAATTTGGTGATCGTCTCATCCGTCGGTGAGAGTGCATTCTTTCCTGTTCGTTTTACTACAAGGAGAAAATTAACAAATGATATGGTTCGACGGGGGATAGGGCTCACGAAATCCCTCGGTGTTCGCGTATTCAGAGATGAAGTAGTAGCGCTCTGTGGTCTGTCGAGCAATCCGTTTGAATAGGTCTTGTAGCGTAATGGCCTCCTCGGGCTTGTCCTCGAATTCCGTCTTCAAATCATTCACAATGCTGTAGAATGATTTCATTCTATCGAACAGCTTCAATATGTTTATGTCTCGCTCCATCTGTTTCTGGATGATCTTTGCAACCAGGATGCTCTCAGCATCGCCACGATATCTGTCGGAACTGTTGAGAGAGACACCTTCACAGGTAAAGATAGGAAGCTCTGGGCCATTTTAGCGTAGGGATGTACCTAACAATAATATGTAAGCGTCCTGACGTTGGGAGGTGCAAAATCAGCGCATACTTCTGCGAGCTTGTCCGTGAACTCGCAAAAGATCTTGATGTCGTCGAAGAGGGGCCCCCATGTCGTGCCAAAAGAACTAGCTTCCGAAGACACAGGGCTTGCGCTTTCGATGAGTGTACTGACAGGTCGATGTAGCGAGTGCATTTGAGATAAACGACGCTCCAGAGGCATCTTCTCTGGGATCGGGTCTGTAGGCACCTCCTGCGGTAAGTCCTGGGAGGCGAGACTGTTTGGGATCGTCGGCAGAGTCTCATTGGCAGGCGATTCTCGCACGAAATCAATGTCGAATTTGGTTTCGAATCGCAAGACGATGTAGGCGCCCGGTTCTCCTGATATGGTCTTGGTAACGTCTGAGAGATGTAAGTATCACGAATGAAATTAGATATTACAGCACACCGACGGACCTTCAGGGCCGGCTTCGAATATCGAAGGACATATGACAGAAATCGGTTCCGAGAAGAAGCCGATGTGCTGGTCCTTGCGCATCTTGCGGCGAGCAAATATTTCGATCTTCAAAGTGAAATCTCGGTGGGCGTCACTAAAACCAGCGATGCGCGGATTCAGTAACAAGACAGAGAAGAATATGAATAACAGTCGTACAAGGAGAAAATTTGGTTCCACTCAGGAGTGCTGCTTCGGCGAGCGACCTTTGTCTCTTGCCGCTCCTCGCCGATCGTCACGACGCAGTAGAATTTCCCGTTTCTTGGCCGACTACAATCGAGGCTATCGACTTTGGGCAGACTGGTCGCGCGGACGACTGTGCTAGCTATGAGGCCACTCGTCGACTCAGCCATTCGCACGCACCTGTGACTTCCAAGCTGGTCTTCTCTTGAGGCTTAGGGGGCTCTCTAGAGTGAGACGGTGAAGCTTCGGATTTAGGAACGTGCATGGCGAAGGAAATGAACAACGAAACTTACAGCGGTGCCGGGCTCGACATCGTTGGGGTGGACATGATAGTAAAGGGTTGATTTGGGGCACATGCGAGTGTTATAAAGATCGAATGATAGCGCGCTGATGAACACGCGGAGAACGGCTCCTTCACTTCGAGAACGCGCTCAATCGTGACCAAAAAGAAGTCGCCAAATTGGGTTGGGCGCTTGCGACGATAGAAATCAAGTTGTCCCCACCGCTTTGCTTGCATTCATTTTTTGCTGTCTCCGTCAGAGCCTGCGCTGAGTGGGCAATGTGCGATATAAGAATGGACGTTAGTCTACAGTGGCCAAGAGATGGGTATTTATACTTGTTGGAAGACGCGACGTGAAGCGGCAGAAGAGTGAGAAGAAGGACGACACGAGTTCAACTGTACGTCTCCGATCGATGTCTGAACAAACACCGAGATAGGGAGATACAAATGAGCGAGCTAGGAAATTGAAAAGGAGGAACCAGGAATGAAAGGGGAATAAGATGAAAGCATGATCCAGATATGCATACAATCCATTAGAAACAAGAAAGAAAAGAGGAGAGGGAGAGGACGTACAAGTTCAGATTGCACCTAATTAGGATGTTCAGGCCGTCAGAGAAAGGGAAGTAACAAAGCTCAGTCAGAAAGGTCATGCTGTCACTTCGGGCGGCCTTGGAAGCGTGCAGATGGTCATGGATCCACATCGATATCCCCACAAACAGAGCGCGAAGCGTGGTAGCCGCATATCCATCTAGAGCATTTATGACTGTGCGGCCGAAGACGGTGACACTGTTATCGAACATACATACGACATAAAATCAGTGTCAAAACGGGGGCTCATATTGGACATACTCATCTGCTTGTCACTCCTTCCAGGTTGAAACGCTCTGTGCGATATGGATGAATCGAATAGCTGTAGAATCCTGAGCTTTGTGCGGAGATCCCGCTGGGTGCACCCGATTTGTTTTTGCTTTACTTCGTTGAGATCCATAGAGTCTTTCAGAGCCAAGGGCTAGACAGAATACAAGTCGGCTCGGATGGGTGGTCGGCTAGGGATCAGAACGCGATCCTTCGACAGGTGACTATCGCCTGCGAGCAGTTCGAAAAAATCCGGGAAGCGTAGGAGGCGAAGAGCGTTGGAAACGTATAGCGGACACGCAAAGTGATGTGAGATGAGCTTGCGGACGAGTTGGGTTGTCTTGAAAGAGCATCACGAGCGACGAGTCTGACGACGGCGGAGTGTGGGAGGCATCGTGGGAAACGTTCGTCGTTCAAGTTGGTTCTCTCTGATTTCTCTCATAGTCTACCTCAAGCTCGTCATTATATTAACTGTCTCTTGAATCGCTATTCCTCAGTAGTCCTCCCCTTGACCGAGATCTCTAGCGTATCGACGACAATCGTCTTCAAAACACCCATCCCAAGCACCCTCAAGATACCTTCGTTTAGTGATGTGGGAGTCCTTTTCTTGGCTTTCATTCGTCTATCCTCCCCTCAAGACCTCAAGAATCTTTTTGGAGCCTGGCAGGAACGCCAACCACCTTCTCCAAACATCAATTAGCGCACAACTCTAGACTGAGCTTCCCAATCGTGAGCCTCTGACTCCACTCTTACTCTCCCCATGTTTCATGCTCGCTGTGCGGGGCATCGCTCTGGCATCTAGAATACAACAAAGATACACGTTGTGCAGTCTTTCCGAATGCATCCCTTCTGCGGCGTACCATCTCTCCTGTTAACGAATCGACTCCAGCACACATCCGCTGATTCACTCACAGATGCTGTCACTCCCTTTGAAACAACGATATCGAACTGGGACTGCTCATTTCGACTCGTAAACTGAGCAACCGAGTGCGGGACGTCTCCGCCTCCTGCGTTGACCCACCGATGTGCAGCGCCTTCAGCGCAATCGAATCGTGAGCGTCCTATCCTTCCATCTTCGCTCTCTTCCTCCGTAGGTGCCTTTATGCTCGCTATGGTTCTTCAACCTGCCACGGAGACCACAAGATCATTACCCATCGCTTGCGTCGTGCCCTAAAGCATCGAAATATGCGCTGTCTCCAGCTTCGCCTACCCTGTCCTCGACGGGTACCTATACCGCGTCGTGAGCCTCACATGCTGCGACGCAAACATTGCTCGAAGTCCGTGTTCTGGAGCATATGTGCGTGCACGGAGGCCTGATGGGACGAGGCCGTGGCGGCAGGGATGGTCTTTAACAAACGTCGCCCCGTGCACGCGTGGGGGCTGTGAGGGTTCGCATTCGTGTGCCCTGCGCTGACCCGAAACGAAGGGAGGTCCATTTATGTGCCTTGACCGTGTCGCTCAGAGCACGCAGTAGAGAGGTAGTGTCGGAGGATGAAAGGCGCCTTGTTCGATGTCGCTGAGACCGAGAAGAGATTGACGAGAACTGTAGACAAAAACCAAGCACGAGAGGCAGACGAGGAAATGTAGAGGCAGTATGTGATTCGCAGCAAGGGCCAGCAGGCGTCGTTGCTGAGAAACAACGACGAGTCTCAGAGGTCTCGGAACAGACCATGGTCACCAGTGCCACTCAAGGCAGCCTGCGCTCACGAGGTGCTTCCGCCTGCTTCATCCTCTGCGTCCCGGTGCTCAGCATTACGTTGGTGAACAGACAGTCCGATTCGATATTGGGCTGAACTTGCGCAGACGTCGCGCAAAGCCTTGAGCGCGATGTGAGCATCGCGTCGGACGCTGAGCCAGGCGGTGCCATGGATGTGAGTGATGATCATTCAGAACAGGCCCATTCCGCCTTCGCCGCCAAGCGAAATGACAGGGTGCGGTGGGCAGCATTGCCTGCCCACATGTCAGGGGACTGCGAGCATATCTACTCGTTGTCATCGAGGATCGACGTTGAGATATGTTGACTTACATTCGAGCACCTGTACGAACTTACAAGAATATTAGTATCGGAAGATTGGCTGGGCAAAAAATTCCTCTGCATCCTCTGCACGCTCGCAGAGCATCGTATGCACTGCTGTATCAGACGTAGTGCTGATGCACAGCAGGTGCGAGTCGACAGTGCCTATCGGTAAGGCATCGTGCGTGTTCTGCTCAGGTATCTCGCATATGCCGGGCGTCGACCCACCAAAGCTTCTCAGCAAACCGGAACTCTCTAATGCGCGCATGGATACCCACATGCTGCCATGCCAATATCACACTCACCTAAGTCTTGTTATTTCCACCTGCCCTGCACAGCACCGGGTGTATGGGAGTGACGGGATACGAACCAGGACTTGTTGTCCGTAAAGTGCCAGCTTCGGCTGCCCTCTCCAACTGTGCATCGGCTTGCCTGAATTCCGAGAGAAGCGCAAAGGAATAGTGAAGATTTTTAAAGGATGAACTTGCTGCGAGAGTTGAGAAGCCAGCACTTACCAGTACATAACGAGACTGTTGATAATGCTACCGCGAGCGAGCGAAACGGTGATGAATCTCGCGGTGCAGAAATTGCAACTTAGGTCCGTGCATCGTCGCGTACATCGCTCCGGTTACTGAGGCATTGAGGAACAAGGAACGTTGCGACGTCAATCATCTGCTGAATGAAGAACGAGAGAAGGGGGGCAATGTTTGGAGAGACAGGTCGTCGAGGCAAAAGGTCGTCGGACTTGAGAAGACTGAGGTCGTAAGCGTTTCCCACGGCCATCGACGTGCTCCCGCTTCTCCTCGTTCACGACGCTCGCGCCATCCACGCTCTCTCGAGCGCCGCGTCGACTAGTCTCCAGATGCTGGCCTAAACAGAAGACAGTCGTTCTGTTCTAATACGCGCCAATGAGCACTCTAGTATCTCATGTGATGAACGCAGGCTCAGCGCGCGTCACCCGCCGATGCGCTTTCGCTACCCGCATACGTCTCACGCGCCGAATATATGCCCTCTCTACACTGCCTCTCCCTTTTCGCCGCGCATCCTGCCAGGCCTCGCTTCTGCTGATCCCAACAGCTCCCTTCCCTTCAGCTGGAGTAAAGCAAGGGCGAGCCACACGCGCTCATTGGGACAGCCTCATTCGAGGAGTTGCTTGGAGCATACATGAGTCTCTCTGTGAGCGCCCGCGCCCAGTTCATTTCTCTGCTGTTTCAAGTTTGGTAATTTTGACGGTCTTTCTGTCCTTTTGGCTGACTAGCCACGTGCAACGGGCATACGACCCTGCTCCACCAGCGCAATGCCTTTGTAGTACCGCCTTGGAGGCACCCCCGCATCTCTTCACGATATGTGCTCGAGCAGCAAGAGATTTATTCAAGACGCTGCTTCAGGAGCGGGGGGAAATGGTTTCGGAGCTTGGCTGAAGAAACGGTCCCGCAGAACGCTTGAATAGCATATAAGTGCGTTTCCGCGTACCGCTGTGATGCGGAGGACAGGAGTGCCGCCTACCAGTGGGCGCATATGTTTTCATCCAGCGCATACATGGAAGTGCAGAAAGATGTGTACGATCGTCAAAGGCTCAGCTCCAAACTCACCTGTATCCTTTCTGACATTTCTCTCGACGAGATCCGTACATACTGCCTCGGCTAGTCACTCTTTCCTCTTTGTCAACATTGACCCGATACTGATACGATTTCTCGCACTGATGCATTGTCTTGTACCTCCCGCGCGCTTCTTCTAGCATCGCGCTTACTTTCCCTACCATGACAGGGTTGGCCGCTCCATACTTTTCTACGCCTCTCGCAATTCTCTACAGGCTCCTACGGCTCAATCTCATGCCGGTGCGGAATCAATGTACGTCTTCGTCATTTTTTGACATCCTTCTCCGTGTCTTCCTCATTCGTGTATGCATCGTATATTCCACTCATTTCGTTGACTCATTTCTTGCCCCTGTCCATAGCGTCTTATCCTCTTCTCGCTTTCACCATTTATCTGCATCGACTGTGCTCACTCGCACACTACTTATTTAATAGCCAGACGTCGACCTGGTGTGATTATTACCTCTCACTCTTCTTGCTACTTTCCTTCCCGACCGTCTCGCGCTGTACTTACCGTTCCACCTTGTGATCACAGGCCGATGTCAGGTAGTACATCGCTTGCCGCTCATCTCTAGTATCGGCTAAGGAATATCGCTACGATCAAAGGCGGAGACACGTCGTGCGTATATGTCCGGTCTACATTCTCCTTTCGTCGCATGCAAGCTGGCTGACTTGATTCAATGTACTGCGCCTGCTCGTGTCATGTCGCGGCTGCGTCTCCTGTGCAACAGGTACCGCAAGTCGATCTGATATGCGTGAGATCTGCCATGCCATCTCAGCGAGCAGTGTGAATATTCTGAGGGTCCTTTGAACGCGCAGATGCCGGAGCAGACCTCGGAGAGTGAAACAGTGCGGCAGCTGTCGAACGGACTCTGCTGGACAGGTGGTGGAGGGGAAGCGATTGAATGGCTGGGTGCGAGCGTTGGATGAGCACATGTGTCTGTGCATCTGTATACATGCGTGTCCTTTGACGGTACTTAGGACAGTCGCACGGCCTACGAGTCACCGCAAATTTATCACGACCAGATGCAGGGCTATGTAGAACGTCAGTGCATGTATCGCCGATGACCCGTCAGTGTTTCTCTGCATTCCCTAGAGCATTCGCGCCGTATCGATACCTTCTCTTATCACGTTCCTCTGAATAGTAAACAAACACTTTGTGCGCTCCTTTCCCTCAATCGCAAGTGTTCCCGTCTCGCACCCCGTTGACACGGACATCAGCATTGCGCCAGAGCCGACTGCGCGTTTCGCCCGTCTCTCGCAGCAACAGCATAGCCACTTGATTGTACTCCGCTACCTCCTCTGCGCCGACGAACTGAACGTTCATCGAACGCAGTCAAGTGATGTACATCATCCCCCTCCCCTCTTCATTGCGCACGTTTTCTCCATTTTTTCTCTCTCGGGATCTCTTGTCCGCTGCGATTGTCTAGATCGTACACGTTGTTTTTGCTCGCCTTGCTTCTCTGTTTCTCCCGCTGTCCCCTTTCTTCCCTTTCTTCCCTTCCTATTTCACCGCTCGTTCGTGCATTATCTTTCTCAGTATTTGTCCAGATACCAACTCCAACGCACATGTACAGTCCAGCTCGTGCCGTTCTTCTACGCACCCTTATGTCGTCTCATGTTGCGTCTCTCAACGGGCATGGTTGCTCACCCCTCAGCTATTATAGACCATCGTCAAAGTATGTATCGTGCATTGCCCACTTGGCGCAGACTCTGATGGAGACAGGCAAAGAGCGAATGCGAGCAAAGCAACGGAGACGCCATGACTTCTATCGGTAGAAGCGCCCAACCCAATTTGGTATCTTCTATTCGCTCCCAATCGGGTGCGCTCACTTGTCAAAGTAAAAGGCCCGTTTTCCACGTGTTCATCAGCGCGCGGTTATGGGTCCTTGTGGGTGCCCACACACGAGGCCCTCAATTAACCTCTCACTAGCATGTCCACCCTGACGATGTCGTCCCTAGCACCGCCGTGAGTTTTGTCAATGATTTACTTCGCCATGCATGTTTATGATTCTTCGTCATTCAACTCCAGTGAGCCCTCAAAACTCCAGCAGAAGATAGGGTTGAATGTCAGAGGTGAGAACGAATGGCTTGGTCGACGCGCGGCCTCCTCACGGCTAGCATCCCCTTAGTGATCCGCGCTATCGGTCTACCCAGAGTCGATAGCCTCAATTGCACTCTGAAAGTCGACGGAAAATTCTATGCCGTCATGACGATCGGCGGGGAGAGGAAAGAGACGAAGGTCGCTCGCCGGAGCAGCACCCCAGCCTGGAACCAACTTTTCTCCTTGTACGAATGTCATTTGATATTTTTCTCTATCCTCGTTACTGACTGCGCCGGTTAGTAATGCCCATCCAAATTCGACTCTCAGAATCGACATCTTCGCTCGTCGCAAAATGCGCAAGGATCTGCACATCGGCTCCATCTCGGAATTATTATCGGCTATACATCCTTCGATACTCGAAGGCAGCCCTCAAGGTTCGTCTGTGTTTATGTAATATGAGATCTCCTTCGCGATACTTACATCTCTCAGACGTGACCAAGACCATCTCAGGAGAATCTGGCGCCTGTATTGTCTTACGCATCGGAATCGAAGTACAAGATAAAAGTATAAAGGAACAGCATCCCATTGAGAACCTACCGGCACCAGAAACCGCGCAGGAAATATATACAAATGCGATCCCAGAGACGTTGGATGTCAACTTCGCGGACCTCGAGCATAATGTATCTCAGATGCACTCGCTTTCACGACCTGTCAGCACCGTCGTCAATGGCGCAAGCTCTATGCCTTCGGAGAATAGTGATTTTCTCACGACATGGAAGCCTTTCTTCGATAACATCAAGATCTTTTGCGAGTTCACGGACAAGCTCGCAGAAGTATGTCTTGCACATCACAACGACAGGACGCTTATATGATATGTTAGGTACATCCGTACGCCAAGATGGCCATGAGCATCCTGTCATTACCCGTAAAGGTGTGTTTCTGATCAGTTTCGACAGATATCGTGGCGATGCTGACAGAGCTTGTTGGTTGCAAAGATCGTCCAGAAACAGATGGACCGAGACACCAGCATTTTGAAACTGTTCAATACAATGAAATCATTCTACAGTATTGTGAATGATTTGAAGACGGAATTCGAGGCCAAGCCCGAGAAGGCCGGATTGCTACAAGACCTATTCATCCGGATTGCTCGACAGACCACGGAGTGCTACTACTTCATATCTGAGTATGTGAAGACCGAGGGCTTCTGTGAGTTTGATTCTTCATCGCACGCCACTATCTGCCAATTCCCCCTCTCTTCATAGTGAGGCGAACAGTCAAGCATGCACTTTTATCGACGGATGATACAATCAACGAATTCTGTGAGGTGTTCGTTGAGCTCGAGCATGCATTCCATACTGGAGTGGCGGTTCAAACTCAGATTGTCACTGTACGTATTCTCGACAAAGTGGGCCATATTCTCGACGGAGTAGAGCATATCCTGAGTGATACGGAGGAAATCAGTACGCAAAACGCGATGGCCAATTTTTGATATCTGGCTGACCCCGAGCTCGTCGTGTAGTGATCGAAACTGACTTGAAGGAAATCGGATACACGAGCGGGGCCAGCTTCGATCCGAACAAGGGGTGTCAGCCAGGAACTCGCGTGGCGATTTTGGACGAGATCGCAGATTGGATCAATTCGGACGACACTCACCGCGTTCTCCTGCTTTCGGGCGCCGCAGGGACCGGGAAATCAGCCATTGCACACACCATCGCTCAGCAGTTCAACGACCTTCATCGTCTTGGATCATCCTTTTGCTTCATCCGTGGTGAGGCTGGGCGCGGTCCTGACAAGCTGTTTCCCCATATGGCTCGCGATCTGGCCGACTTTGACAAGCGCATAAAACGCGCGCTGTGGGGCATTGTCCAGTATCAAACGGCACTCCGGACCACGTCGCAGATTGCTCTACAGTTCAATAACTTTATACTGAAGCCACTACAGGAACTCACACTCACAGGTCCCCTTGTCATAGTCATCGATGCTTTGGATGAATGTGGCGATGTTCTATCTCGCCAAGGGCTTCTTGAGCTACTCGCGAGCAAGATGGCAGATCTCCCTTCCAATATCCGCATCCTCCTCACCTCCCGTCCTGAGGCAGATGTCGAGCGTCTGTTCAAACCGAATGCCCACATTATTGTGAAGAAGATGCAGGATATCTCCTCGCAGTTGACTGAGCTCGATATCACCACATACATTCGCAATCGTCTGAGTGGTCCCGGTTACAGTGTTATTGATGATGCACGCAAAAGCGCGCTTGTGTCCAGATGCGAGGGACTATTTCAGTGGGCATCCGTTGCCTGCACATTTATCATAGGTCTGGGCATCACTGGATTGGAGCCCTTGGATCGATACAACCTCCTGATCGAGGGCAAGGTCCAAGAAATGGCAGGCTTAGACGGTCTATACACCGCCGTGTTGTCCTATCTGTTTCCGATTCAGAGATCTGCCGCATTGGATGAATCCATCATGGACGGCTTCCGATTCATCATGGCGCTGGTGTTGACGACATTCGAGCCTGTCTCAGTCAAATCGCTCAGTGAGATGTCTCGTAACGTCGAGGATGGAATCATCAGCCTGCGGCCGGAAAGTATATTAGGGGGTATGGGGTCTGTGTTGCGAGGCGTTGCGGAGGAAGAACCGATTCGTCCATTGCACACTTCGTTTCGTGACTTCTTGTTGGATCCCTCGCGCAGTGGAAGATATCATGTTGACACATCACGAACTCACAGAGATTTGACCCTCGCTTCGCTGCATATCATGGAGAAACAATTGGCGTTCAATATCTGCCATCTGGAATCCTCGTATTTGTTGAACAGGGACATCCCCGACCTTGCCGACCGCGTTCGAGAATCGATACCCGCACATCTTTCCTATTCATGCCGGTTCTGGGCAAGTCACTTGCAAGCTATAGAGATGGGTGTCGCATTTGATTCCAAGCTCTTCAGAGGTGTGGAAGCGGTGCTCAGGGATAAATTCTTGTTCTGGCTCGAGGTAATGAGTCTGCTGGGTAACATATTTGGGGCCGCACAAGCGATTTCTTCTGTTGTAAATTGGAGTTCGGTATGTGGGCTCTCAGAATAGAAAGATCTGGATGAATGCTCACATTTTTTTCGGTGGCCCAGACCTTACGTACTGGAGAAATATCCGAGTTAGCGCGTGATGCACAAGCATTCGTGAATGTGTTTGGGCTGCCCATATCACATGCGACGCCACACATATATTTATCCGCACTACCATTCACTCCACAAAGCGCAACCGCCTTCCGAACATTGGCGAAAGACTTTCCACAGGTGCTGAACGTATTTTCTGGGACCAACAAGGATTGGCCAGCAACCCAACACATCATACATACAAACTCTGAGGTTCCGTGTGTAGCAATCTCGCCCGACGGAACGTGCATTGCGTCAGTCATATATCACCAGATCCAGATGTGGAATACTACAACGGGTGCTGCTGTGGGTGACCCCCTCAGGATGTACCCAGGTAAGTTTGAATGTGTCGCTTTCTCGCCAGACGGCAATCAGATCGCGTCAGGCTTCGACAACACAATTTGGGTCTGGGATACAGGGACTCATGATATTGTGGGAGAACCTCTCGAGGGACACACAGATCGCGTCAGGTCTGTTGCTTTCTCTCCCGACAGGAAGTGGATTGTGTCAGGCTCGGACGACAAGACAATCCGGGTCTGGGATACAGTGACTCGTGCTCCTGCGGGCGAGCCTCTCAAGGGCCACACAGATCGGGTCAGTTCTGTTGCATTCTCCCCCGACGGGAAGTGGATCGTGTCAGGCTCCTGGGACAATACAATCCGGGTTTGGGATGCAACGACGCATGCGGTGGGCGACCCTTTCGAGGGGCACGTACGTGCAGCCTATTATGTTACCGTCTCGCCAGATGGGTTGCGGATTGTGCCAGGCTCGGAGGACGATACGTTCTGGGTACGGGATACCGCGACGCATGCTACAGTGGGAAAACCTCTCGAGGGACACACAGCACGGGTTGCTTCTGTTGTTTTCTCGCCAGACGGGAAGTGGATCGTGTCAGGCTCGCACGACAAGACGATCCGAGTCTGGGACTCAGTAACTCATGCTATTGTGGGCGAGCCTCTCAAGGGCCACACAGATCTGGTCTGTTCTGTTGCATTCTCACCCGACGGGAAGTGGATCGTGTCAGGCTCGTGGGACAATACAATCCGGGTTTGGGATGCAATGACACATGCAGTGGGCGACCCTCTCGAGGGACACACACGTCCAGTCTTATCTGTTGCCGTCTCGCCAGATGGGTTGCGGATTGTGTCAGGCTCGGGTGACCAGACGGTTCGGGTACGGGATATGGCGACGCATGCTGCAGTGGGTGACCCTCTCGAAGGACACTCAAATTGGGTCAGTTCTGTTGCATTCTCACCCGACGGGAAGTGGATCGTGTCAGGCTCTGGCGACAACACAATTTGCGTGTGGGATACCGCGACGCATGCTGCGGTGGGTGACCCTCTCGAGGGACACACAGATTCGGTGACATCTGTTGCATTCTCGCCAGAGGGGAAGTGGATCGTGTCAGGCTCGTGGGACCGTACAATACGCGTGTGGGATACCGCAACGCATGCTGCAGTGGGCGGACCTCTCAGGGGACACACAGCATGGGTTACTTCTGTTGCTTTCTCGCCAGACGGGAGGTGGATCGTGTCAGGATCGACTGACAGAACAATACGGCTGTGGGACGCAGTCACACATAATGCTGTGGGAAACCCTCTTGAGGGACACACAAATTCGGTGAAATCTGTTGCATTCTCCCCAGAGGGGAATCAGATCGTGTCAGGCTCGTCGGACAACACAATTCGGGTGTGGGATACGGCGATGCATGCTGTCGTGGGCGTCACAGGTCCGGGCGTATGTGTTGCTTTTTCACCAGACGGGAAGCAAATCGTGTCAGGCTCGCATGGAGACACAATCCAGGTGTGGGATGCGATAACGTATGCTGCATTGGGTGACCCTCTCAAGGGACACAGAAGCATGGTCACTTCTGTTGCTTTTTCACCAGACGGGAAGTGGATCGTGTCAGGCTCGTTCGACAAAACAATACGGGTATGGGATGCGGCAATGCATTGTGCTGTGGGCGACCCTCTCGAGGGACACACAAATTTGATCACATCTGTTGCTTTCTCGCCGGACGGCAAGCGGATCGTGTCAGGCTCTAACGACCACACAATCCGGGTGTGGGATGCGCCCGTTAATCAATCTGTCTTAACCAATGAGGTCGATGACCCATACGGGACGGTGCACTCTGCCCTCGGCCACTCTCCCACTATTAATCAATTCGAACTTTCCGGAATGCATCATCGTGGGTTTAAACTTTGTCATCATCCAAGCACCGAGGGTCCCATCTGACCTGAGCCTTCCACAGCCGTAACTCTTATTTCCCGTCATCCGGAACACGCGATGCACCAAGGCAGCCTCTATGACTCTGAGACACCACCTGAATGGAACTATCGTACATATAGACACATGACCAGCGATGGTTGGATAGTGGGCCCAGGACCAAAACTCTTATTCTGGGTGCCCGCCGCATATCGTGACAGGCTGTGGCCTGATCCCAGGCTTCAATTCACGATTGGAGAGCGTCTCGTGCAACTGGACCTCAGTCAATTTGTTCATGGTACTTCTTGGCACAAGTGTTATCGACCTTCTCTACCGCAGTGATTCGGATCGTACTCTTTCATCTTTTTCCGCCACGTACCACGTAGTTAGAAGTTTTCGTGCTCTGTGTATCTATCTTAGTTTTTCTACATGCACTCATTCAGGCAATGGGAGGTCAATTAAAATCAGCGGTTTGATTCGCGCTCTTCTAGTGATAAGTTACATCGAGCGCAGCTGAATGGGTATACACCAAACCATCATGCGCAATCTAGGCATAGCTAAGAAATATCCACAAAGATTGGGAGCTTTCTAGTGCCCGCGAGTACGACGAGGACGTCAGGAAGGCCTATCAAATATCTTGTGTCGCTTGATCGACTGGAGGGACCAGTGTTTAGCAGCCGATACCCATGACGGAGGGATGCTGCACTTGAACAAAGGAGCTCACTTACTCGTATGTGCTGCTACGTTGGACCAGCCCGCTTCCGGCTGATAGTCATTGACCGCAGCAGACTCAAGTGCCGGGGCTGGTGCGATGTCGTCACAGACTGCAGCGTACCTCACAGAGCGTGTGCCGCCACGGTTATAAGCAAGCCTAGCCTGCTCTCCGACTCTAGCAACAAACAATATGGCGCGGCTTTACCAGTAACCGCGCCGTGTGCAGCATTGATCCAAGTGACTTTGGCTATGCCGGTATCGTCATCATGACAGACCGGCAGCTCCGATGGGAGTCCACGGATTTGGTAGGCCAAATGGATGGCAGTCTGGATGAGTGTACAGATGGAGTCAATTAGCAAATTTCAATAATTTGGGATGAGCAGTGCGGGACGTAGACGGAAGGAGGAAAGCTCAGGGAGGGTGATTCGACGGGAGTGCCCTAACATTTGAAGATCCAGGTCGTTCTGCGCAGCGGACGACTTGCTAGAACTCGAAAACAGAGCACTCACACATCAACTCTCCAAAAGGGGCTACTAATGGCATTTGCTAGCGCTGGGAATCCATCCGGAGAGAGTTTGTCGACGATCTGCGAAAGCGTTGCGGAGCCGGGCAAAGGTCACGACGGCCATCGATGCTCCCGTCCAGTCCTCGTCGTCCCCAACCCTCGCCCTGTCCGGCCCACCTCTGGCGCTGTGTCGACACTCAGTTCGATGGCGCGCATGCTGAAGCATCCTTAGAAGCGAGCTCGACGCACGGTCCTCGCCGACACTCCCCGCATACGCCATCGCATGACCCGCCCCTGATACTGGATACTACCTCTGCGTCGTCTCCCTCTTGTCGACATGCATCCTGCTAGGCCCCGTCTCCGCTGACACCAATGGCACCCTTTCCTTCAAGTCCAGCAAATCCGCATAGAACGCGCTTACGCAGATTCTCGCGCATTGCACCGCCTCGCGCAAGCTGAGCACTGACGCCTTTCGTCGAGGAATTGTCCGTCGGAGTAGATCTGAGTCTTTTTGTGGGCATCTGTTGTGAGTCTTGTTCTTCCCATGGCTCATGTTTTCTAACCACGACAGTTTCCCTGTCATTTTCGCTGGCTAGCCGCATGTGACTACTCGACATCCTAGGGCTTCGGCATCCTTCCCTCTCAGCGTCCATCATGGCTACCTCCGTACCTGTGCGCATTTCCAAGCGCCATTCTAGAAGAGAACATTGCAGGGCGTCTGACGTACGCTGGAGCAGCAATGAAGGTCTCCAAGGGGAGAGCGGAGGGCGATGTGTGCGAGGGAGCAATCATGTAGATTTCTTGAAGCTTGTTCAGGTGCGTTTACAGTTATCGCGGCGATGCGTAGGTCAGGAGCTCGGCCGACGGGTGGACGCGCGTGTATTCTTCCCGTGCATGCATCACAGCCCAGAACGATATACGCACATATCGCACGTTCTTCGTCAGAGGCTGCATGTCATGCTAGTCCCTTCGCCTTCTGACATCCCTCATCATGACGATCTCTCATCTTCCCCTCAGCATCCGCACATTCTTGCCTTCAGACACCACACTCCTCGCACCCATACGTGGAATCGTATATTCCTGCACTTTCCTCTTCGCACCGTGCCTCCCTTCCCGCAAGCCATCTGAATTCACGCGCTTGCATTCCGTCCTTGAGCCAGCTATGGTTGTTGACGCGGGATAGGTTCAGCCATGGCTTGCATAGTTGCGAATGAAATGCAAGTCGCTCAACGCTCAACTCGCGCACCATCTATGCGATCATGTCGCGAGGCTCCGCCTGTTCATCGACCAGCTGTGTGACAAGTATGTGTACCTTCACAAGCTCCTTCTGGATGTCACTGGCATGAGGCGAGTGCTCGGGTAGTGCAAAGATCCGGAACGAGGAAGCGTGGGATATGATCCCGAATGCGCTTGAATGTCTCAGAGATAATGAGGAGCGGCACAGGTAGTGGTTTTGTTTTGGCGCGTCCACTGCAGGTCGGACGGATTTGAAAGTGCCCGAGTGATGACAAGGTTTTGCTTTTTCATGTCCATTTCCTTGTACTCCTGACCTTTGCGGTTTGCCATCTCACCATTCTCCATCTGCATATATGTAGCATACATAAGCTCCGCTGACCTTGTTGCAGCTTTGTGGAATTGACCGTGCGTGAAGGTTGTACGAAACGGCCGGCAGGCTCCTACGCATGGAGCTTACCTGTGTTCGGGATGTCCATCGATGCCCGGCCACCTCTGGAACGCATACAGGAGGTGAGAGGCACCGGACATTGCCCCAAAATATAACCTGAGGATATTCCGGGGATATAGGCAATATAACCGGAATCGACCGTGAATCGCCCAGAGAGGTTATATACTGCAAATCTCCCCTGTCGATCCAGATTGGCAGATGACTAATTCATCTTCAGGGGCAGGTGATGGGTGCGCATCCATCGACATGCTGAAATTTCTTCAAGTCGTATTCCCTTGTCGACCTAGCTAGCCAGATAGCAGGAACATCCATACTCTTCAATATACCGATTTTCATTCTCACATGTCCTCGGGCTGGAAACAGGCAGACACTCGCTATAAGCTCTGCCCTTGTAAACGATGCAGTACGCAAGATCCCCCACTCTACCAGCACCGCCGGACAATGTATACACACCTCGAGTGAGAAAGAGAGGATATTCACAACACCCTCTTTTCCGCGCGAAGCACAGGTACTATACCTCAAAAGCGAGGACGCAATGCATTGACACATCTGGCCATACTGCAGGCTGCGGAGGGACAATCTGATGGGTACCAGCATCAAGATGAAGCATTGACATCTGGAAAACCACCCCCTTGTATTAGCTCCGGATTATATCTAATAGTGTCTAAAAGTATCTAAAAGTATTAATAGCATCTAAAAGTGTCTAATTTCCTAATTGGGAGCAACACATTGTGAGCATTGGATTGGTTTCTAATTTTATAATATTAGCACTAATTCCATACCAAGAAGTCTTTAATTAGCAGTAGGAAATAGTAAGTACTACTGCTCTATCAGTGAGAAGGCAAAGATGTGGCACATTCTATACTATTTCAGCATATTACTCTCCTTCATATATGCCTGCACCATTATCTTGTAGCTCTTTTGCTGACTTTCTAGCTGCCTTTACAAGGGATATAGAAAGAGAGAAATATGCATTGATGCCCCAGCCACTTTGTTGGCAGCTTAGCAGCTGCCATAAGAGACCATGAAGACCTCAGTACTTTGGCCTTGCACACAAGATCATTGAAGTTGTTATTGTCAGCTAATGCCTGCTACTGGTCATTACAGGACACAACATGTAGGTTGGGCTTAGGGATGTGCTACATGCAGCTTTACAGACCTTGTCTATTAGTGCAGTGGTTAATACTGTCTTGTGCAGCACATAATCATCACCACTATTGATATTACAATTCTTAGTGCCATCCACATTGTCCATTGCCTTGTTATACAGAAGATGCTTAAACTTAGTGTTTTTCTCTAGCTATTGGGCTATAGAAAAGACAGTCATGTTGGTATATAGTGCCAGAATAATATATTTGCCTGCTATGTAGGAAATATGTGCACTAAGCATATCAAGATCATCTCTAACAATCTTGTGCTTATTTATACATAGGCATGCCATATATATACCCTTGTCCCCACCCTCCACCTCACTAGTGGCCATTTGGAAAACCCCTCTCTTTTATTGGATCTTAATTATTGATAATCATTAATGATACTAATTTGAGCTAATTATGGCTAATTATTCATAATTATGTTTTTGATCAAATTTGCAAATTAAGGTAGCATTGTCTATACTAGTAGAGTCCTATTGAATATTATACTCAATCATAGTTTTACACATTCTAAATCCAAATTATGTAAGTGCCACAATTTGTTTTTACCCTATATAAAGTATATTATTTATTTTCCATTGGTTTATTATCTTTTTAGCTGGTGTTTAAACTAAATCCTGAAAGACCTGACTTTTTGGGTATTTATTGACCTGTTTATTTGTAAGATAAAGGAAAGATAAATGTTGAATAAAATTTGAGATGTTGAGGTTGCCTATATTATGTCTACTTATTTAGATTACCAAGTTAATATATTAGACCTTGTGGCTTAGTGGCTTAGAGCATCTGTCCTAGGTGCTTGCATACATGAGGTTGTTGGTTCAACTCTGGCAAAAGACAAGTTTGTTATAAGGTATATTCTGTGTTTAGGTATTTAACTAGTGGTCTAATAGACATGACTCTATAAGAAGGCTATGAGAACTATGATGCTTGATTTATTATTATTATTCCAAAATTTCAAGCTATAATCAATCCTAATAATTTCTAATTTAGGAAAATTATGTCTAATTAGAACAGGTTTAGAGGGGGGGTAAGCTAAAAATGTCTAATCCTAATCTTTCATAATTTAGTATAGTAGGGCATTAATTATAGCTAATTAGAGCTTAATACAAGGGGGTGGTTTTCCAGATGGATGGAGCTGGGTGAGTTTTTTTATAATCAATGTGTTCCACATTCCTTATCGGACTCATTCTCATACTTAAACAGACCATGAACCTCGCTGGGATGTTACAAACAGCATACATGCATCTGATTCTGATCTAGACAGTAGCGCTGATGCTCATGGACTACAGAACCCCCCCTTCAATGAACCAGGCTCTCTCTCGGGGCTCACAGACAACAATCTCGCTTCTGACGACTCTCTCAGACCTTGCTCGCGATCGCACTCACTGGTCTCTGCTGTATCTGCCTCGGGACTAGACTTCAATCCAGATGGACTATACAATGATCCTGGGCAACCCCCCCCCCTTCTGATGATGAGGACCCCTTAGAAGTCATACAAGACATTGACAAAGACCCACTGTTTCAGACGTGGGAGAAAATCTTTGACAACTCTGTATCGGACCCTGGCTCTGTGGATCTTGACGATACTCCCCTTCCCCCCACTTTTAACAAGGATCCAGCCATTTGTAATGCCTATATTATAGCCTACCTACTTGCCGCCTGTCAATAATCCACGCAAGAGACAATCAAGTCCTATCTTGACTCCATCTACGAGTCGTTTGCCAGCTTGTGACAAAGGAAGGGTATTGAAATCCGAGGGCTTGACATGATGGCACGGACTCTTCTTATAGCTGAGCAGCGGTTACGAATCGACCCCGATCACTACATCATATACTACTTCCTCTGTGATGTCTGCTGGGCACCACATGATCCAACAACTCTTTATGAGCTTGATAGTCCTTCCTGTCCAAAACCTGAGTGCTCGGGCCTTCTATACAGCGTCAAAGTACTCACTGGCGGTAAATGCAAACGAACGCCTCTAAGGGTCCTTCCAACGGTGCCCATCATCCCAATGATTCAACAGATTTTGCTTTGGCCTGGTAAGTACCAGGAGTTTCAATACTGGAGGTTACCTAGGATCGACAAAGTCAGCGAGGTACCACCCATGGAAGCGCTGACGGACCTGCTTAATGCATATGACAATGTCCACTGGGTCTTGAGTGACATCACTGATAGTTGGGGCTGGCGTGCCATGGCGTGGGGTCTGGAACAGCGCAAGGTCAGTAGTGCTGTGTCTCAGTGGGGTGTGGACGACATGTTAGTGCAGGAGAAACGACAAAGGTTCGTATCATTACCTTGTGGTCTTCTGTTCTCCATTAACATAGACTGGTATGTCCATGCCCCACTCCCTTTGTCTGAGCTTGTTCATTCTCTTTCAGGTTCTCCCCAACGAAACGCTCGCGCGCTTACTTGACCGGCGCAATGTATGTTACCATCCTCAATAATTAAAGATCCAAGCGCTTCTTACCTCAAGAAACAATCCTCTACTATGTTATTCCTGGCCCACAAGAACCGATGTTGGAATAGCTGAACAGTATCACAGAACCGCTTGTTGAAGAGCTGCAGAAATTGTACAGAGGTGAGTGAAACATGCAATATTGTAGGGGGAGGAAGCAGAGGTCTGTGATCAATGGGTTGATCCTGCTTTTTGTAGGTGTTGCTATGCGTATTCATGGGGAATCGCCGACCAAGAACTTCCCTGTGCACGGCCAGTTATTCATCAACACTTCGGACTTACCGGCAAGCCAAAAACTTACCGGTCTTTGAATTGTCACCACAGAGGATTTTATGTGCACATTTTGCTACCAGAATTTTACCTCCTTTGTGTGCAAGGACTGCTTCAACCATGAAAGTGAGTTCTTTATTCTGTTTGATTTTGATGAAGTCTCTTTTTCTGGATTTTTTCATCATAGAATTCATCATGCGAGATGACCGCCGATTACTCAAGTATGCCTACCGATGGAAGGACAGCGGCTTGGAGGAACGTGATAATATTGAGACCCAATGAGGAGTCAGCTGGTCGACATTTGATGCTCTCCCTGGTTAGATGCCAGCCCATGATTCCCCCATGGATTTCATGCATGCGGTATTTCTTGGTCAGTCTAGCTTCTATCTCTAATCTTAATAACTTATTCAATGCTTTTGGAACCTTAAGGGGAAGTAAAACATATTATTCAACAAATCATCCGTGTTGGCGGCATGCTCACGCTTTGAAGTCGGACAAACGATCCATGGAAGAAGCTAGAGAACTTCTTGGCACATATCTGGTGGCTGGCAATGATTGGTAGAGTACCTACCAAGGTTCTTGTTCTATGGGTACATGTTGCGGAGGGTCGTTGATTTTTTCTTGTACAGATCATAGGGAGTCTCAAGGCTGACCAATGGCGCAACTTTGCAGTGGTCTTACCTATTGCACTCTACTGTGCATGGTAAGACAACGGAGAGATTCCTGATTATGACTCGCCTAAACCTAATACACAGTCCAAAGCAGGTGCCGCATTCATGAAAACTGAGAAGCTCCTCCGAGATCGTTGGAAAGTGTATCGTATACACCTTGCTCGGCAGGCTGGCAGTAATGTGGATCCCAAGACTTTTGAAGATGACAATTTGACCATGGACATGAATTACCTCCATCATTTCAAGGTGGTTCTTGATGCCTGTGCAGCCATTCATATTTGGACGGTGCAGTCGATAACTCCTGATGAGGCATGGCGTGCTCAAGGGTTTCATTCACGTGCCTGTCATGCATAGGCCCTCATGAATTGTCACCTAACACTGAATTTTCATTTGCTGACACACAGTGATCTCTTTATCTACCGTCTAGGTCTGGTCTACAAGTTTTGGCTTTTTGGGCCAGAAGCCAACAATGGTTGACTCGTGAAAGTGAACACAAACGGTCATACAGGGGGTGAGCTTGAGGGAACAATGATGCGAGCCTAGGTCAAGAACATCTTGATTCATGATCTGGTAAGTTCCTCAATTTTGTTGTTTATTTCTGAAATGCTCAGTATTCTGTTGAGGTGCGTGCAATTGACAACATCAAGAACAAGACCGAGGAGGAGAAAGTGATCATCCAAACCCTCTGCAATTACCTCATGGGAGATAAAAAGAAGCATTGCACACAGGGCTCTCTGTTGCACATGATTGCAAGCCGTGGTCATCGGGAAGGATCCAACGGTGAGTGCATTATTCTCAAACAATAGCTGCCCAGAGACCAAGGTAATCAGACCGAAGCGAACGAGCTGTGCCACCATTTGAACTTGCCAACCATTTACTAATCTAAGTTTTACAGAACATGACAAAATAGAGCTTCCTCAGCAATCAACATCTGTAGATATCAAGAGAATTCAAATTGGCAACACCAACATTTATCCAATTGTCTTCAAGTTCCTGTGCGACTTGTGGAGTGCCCAGGTCAACCTTGTGTCGAACACAAGCAACTGGCGCGCTGGCGAGCCCTTTGTTGCAACTGCCATGTGGTTGTACTTGCACACCCTTGTTAATGGGACTCATTTTGGTGCCTATACACACCAACAAGGGAAAGGAATATCATATGCATTCATGGATGATCGCCAAGCAATATGTATCCATCATATCTTCCATGTTCAACATGACCGCCAGGACAGCAATCTCCCTCCATTGGTGACCACTTTGGCCATTATCACACGGTTCATAAGTGAAAACCTTCCACAACTGCCGTGGTCCAATCAGTAAGTCCATGTGATTTGTTCCAGCATTTGAAACAGTTGACAGCCAAGTCTTGCCAGTGAAACTGACTTGGGCATTTACACATGGAACTTCAAAAGATTCTCCTAGCCAGAGGTTATAGGATTGCATCATCTGTGTGGGCATTTTGCACTAGCAGACATCCCCTTGCACCACAATAGAAGGGCATGGGTAACAATGTCTTTAGACCATGTGAGTTCTTATCAGTGTTTTTGTTAAGCCATTAGGCTTATCACGTGCGTTTGTCGCACTAAGAAGGGTTCCCTAGGCTAATCGTGATAGTGACGGCCCAATGTATAAAGACGACCGATCGTCTCCGAGCTTGGTTCAGGAATTCTTGATCACTATTGATCTTGTCCTTGAACAGATGGAGAAGGTGCTGGTTAACTAAATGTCGTTGTTCATCTGGTATAAACAAGTCTTCTCCTATGCAACAGATGACTTCGGAGGGATCCCAATGAATGACTCAATAGGCAGTGAGTCCTTGATATGTTGCGGGCAGTAGAGGATGATAAGAGCTTTGAGACGAGTCCAGTGCTTCGTCAGACTGAGTATGGTTCTATGGATCTGGCAGAGTTCACGAAGCGGGGGCTGAAGGGGCCAAACACCGGGTGCAGTGCAGAGATCGAGATGTATACAAAGTGAACGAGCTGAGGCTTCTAAGAAGCTCAGCTTGGCTATTAATACGTACAGATCCTTTAGGGCAAGCCAGACATATGGTCCGTGCTTCTAAACAATAATTGCAATCGATGATCGACGTATGTAATCCGCAGCTCTGCACCTTTTACCAAATATAGTAAGCATGATGAATGTCTGTCCACATCAGTAACCACTCAGGACCCGATCACCAAACATCATAACGGGCATACGTAATAGTTCAAGCCGAAGCTTGTGAATAAGTCAGCAGCAGGCACTACCATGTGGCGTTATCGAATTACGTGCTCAGCACGTGTTAGGACATGGTCCTAACACTACCCCCCTGTCTACACAAGTCTTCGGCGCTTAGGACGTGGTCCAGTCACAGGAGGTGGGTTGCGTGGGTTATTGACATCGTAAGTGGGGACGGAGCGAGTTGGATAACCAGCCCATAGTGCGGTGTCGATCATGTGCTCCCAAGCCTGCTTGTGATATCCGTATTCTTCCGCCACCTTGTCCATTTGCAGCCTAAGTTGGTTAGCAGCCCCATGATGCACATCGTAATCCCGTAAGAATTGATGTGTGGTGACGTCGGTTCGTGATTGGATGTGGGTGATTGAACATCCTGCGAGAAGATGCCCACTTCGTCCACATTCCCAGCAATAACGCACCTCAGGTGGAGTAGGAGATGTAGGAGGGGAGGGAGTGAAGGCCGGGGTTGCAGGCCAGATGAGTTCCGAGGCCTGTGCTCCTTTGCGCCAATCTTCCGAGGCAACAGGTACCATTGCAAGTTGGGAGGAGGGCGTGTGGAAAGGGTTAGCAGGGGCGGGGTCACTGCCGACAAGGGTCGGAGATGTGGGTGTAGTAGGGGGTGCCGGGGGCGGCATCGGAAGTGGTCGACTAACTTCGTGATCCCGGACAGCTTGCTCAGGGTCGTAGATAGGGCTGGTAGGATGCATGGGGTCGTCTTCTTCCAGGTTTGGGATGGGAGCAAGCCGATTTCCCGGGAAAGGTTCTGCGTGAGTGTGGGGGAGCGTGGCCATTGCCTGTTCTTCGATTGCTGTGGTTCTTTCGGCTGAGATGGGGTGCTGAAAAGGAACCGGGATGTTTAGTTGAAGAGGGGGAAGGGGTGGCGACGGTGCGATGAGTGGAATAGGTGTCAGAGGTGATTCTCTTAGCACCGGGAGGGAGATGACAAGAGACATGGCAGGGGGGCATGCCGTGTTCCCAGAGGTTCCCGGGGCGTCGATGATTTGCTGCAGCTCGTAGAGAAGTTCCTCCAGTCGCAGTAAATGATACCCATCTTCCTCCACTACGTCCGTCCTAGTCATGTACCACGGTCTCATATTGTCCGATGGGTTGGCTCCTTCTGACCAGTAGGCGGCTACGTGCTGTTCTCCTCGCCTATTTGTAGGGAAAAGCCGTTCTGGTAGCGTTCCGCCCAGCATGTATTCTTCTATAACTAGCCTTTCTCTCCCAAATCCCGTGATTCGGAACCATCGGATCATGTTTCGTTGGAAAGGGATTCGTTTTAGTGTGTCAATCCACTCGGTTGGAGAGTGACGAAGGAGGAGGTTCATACTGAGGGAGCTGTACCCGTTAGGGCAGTAACTGATCATGTCGCTCCTAAGGGCTGGGAGGTTTAGCAGCCTCTTGTTTCTATAGTTGGTAACAGCTACGTTCGAGAGCAGGGTCATCTGATGCCTGTCCAGCGGTCCCTGGTGCACCTGATACGCACAAGTCATCACGATCTGCTGTAAATAGAAAAAGAAGTTCGTTGGATCATCTAGCCCATTCTGTTCTAGCATGATTGGAGCTTTGTCGTTGGTGAATGTGATGTAGTAGAGTGCCCCTATGAGGTTGGGGTTTAGATAATGAGTTAGATCGTAGAGGGGGGAGGGGTAGATGGGAATGAGTGTGCGTGGAGTGGTGTTGAACAGAGCGAACACTTGTGCCGCGCTTGGCGTGTGGGGGTTAAGGATATGACTCGGAAGGTCGGGGATGCCTATTTTGAGTTGTGGATCGTCCACTGTGATGCCTTGATTGTGATCCACGGAGGCAAGGGAGTCGTAAGAGTCGGTAAAGGTGACCGAGACGGGACGTAGGATGAAGGAAGGGGATGTGGAATGGGGGTAAGTGGCGGAAGAGGCAGTGTGATGGAAGTCGGACATGATGTAACAGGGAGATTCAAGGAAGTGGAATTTGCGAACGGCCAAGGACATTTATTTAGGGAGTTGGAGGAAGGTTTTCGTTGTCGATGGTCCGTACTTATATGAGATCGCTGGCAATGATGCAGGATCCTTGACAGATAGCTCCTATGAGAATGATGGCGAAAGAGATAGCTAGAAAGGTGGCGGTAGCGACAGAGGTGTATATGGCGACCTCTGCTAGTGTAGGGTTCAACACGGGGGTCATAGTCGTTTGCCTGACCATGCTAAACCTCGATTCGTCTGTTTTTGTAGCTCTTGATAAGCTTGTATGTGCCAATTAGCGCTGTTTGATTGCTGGTGCTGCGGCACAGATCTAGACACGCCTAAATTGGGCTTCTTCGATTGAGTTCCTCGATCGTTGATCGTTAATTTCTTTTTTCTTGACTGCGGAGGTACCGATCGCTTCTTTAGCTGTGTCATCCGTATGTTGATTGCTTCCATGATCTGGGGAATTTCCAATTGTGTGGATAGAAGTCTTCATCCGATTGGATGCTTCTGAAGCTTCTTTTTGATCTGATCTTCTTCGGCGACTCTATTGTACTCCAGTTCGATTGTTAAGGCTAAGATTGAAGCTTCCATTCCTCTGACTGCAGAGGGGTGCCTGTGGTAGAATTCCATGATGGCTTCCTTGGCATTGATGACGTTCGCCGCCGATTCCCAAGAGTTATCTGATTCAGGATAGCCCTTCCATTTGATCAGGTACTATAGGGTCTTCCATTGGCCAAAACGTCAGGCTCCGATGATCTTCTTAACTTCAAATTCTTCTTGCCCCTTGATTAGGTCCAGGGCTGGTTTCGGGTAGTTGGGCCCATATACTATATTCTCCTTGTAGGGCGTGAGTCGACTAGCGTGGAAGATGTCGTGAATGCGCTGCCAGCTGTTGGGCAGTTTCAGCCTGAAATTGACTGTTCCAATAGTGTCAATGATCTCGAACAGCCCAAATCATTTGGGTCTTAGTTTCTCTGAGGGGTGGTCCGTGTGGATGTGCTTTCCATCTAACCATACTTGGTCTCCTTTCTTGAAGGGCGGTAATTCCGTTCCAAAACGGTCGTGTTGTATCCTCATAGCTTCGGCTGCGATTTCGAGGCTGGCTTGTGCTTCCTTCCTAGCACATTGCAGAGCATCGAGTCGCGCGTCGGCAGTGGGTACGTTTGTGTTTCCTATAATGGCTGGATATGCTCTTGGTTGGTATCCATGTAGCAGTTCGAATGGTAACTTCTTCGTGGCTGAATGCTGATGTACATTGTGGGCATATTCTACGTAAGGAATCAGATCGGCCCAGTTGTCCTGTGATGAGTTGCAAAATGCTCTGAGGTATTGCTCCAGTTCTTGGTTCATTTGTTCGGTGGCGCCATCTGTCTGTGGGTGATATGCCATGCTGAGCGCCGACTTGATTCCTAGTTCCTTGAGTAGTGCTTGCGCTACTTTTGACGCGAATTGTGTTCCTCTGTCCGATATAATTTTATCGGGCAGTCCGTATCTTCTCCAGGTGTGGTCTAGTAGTAGTTGGGCTGTTCCGTCTGAGTCGATGCTTTTCAGACATGGTGTGATTATCGCTGCCTTTGTAAATCTGTCGGTTACCATGTGGAGTGAGTCAAATCCTTTTGACTGGGGTAAATCTGTAATAAAGTCCATAGTGATCGTTCCGAAGGGTCGGTCTGGAATCTCTGTTGGTTGGAGGGGAACCATTGTCGGGTGTGTATCATTCTTTGTAGATTGGCAGGTTGCGCATCCTTCCACATATTGGTGGACTGTGTTTGATTTTCCTGGCCAAGTAAATTCTTGTCCTACTGAGGCTAGCATTCCTCTTTGTCCTGGATGTCCTGCGGCTAGATTGTCGTGATTCATCTTGATTATTTCTCAACGAAGTTGTTCATCTTGGGGAACATAGATTTTTCCTCTGTATAGAACAAGTCCTTCTTTGTCATTCCATTCCTGTAGGCCTTTCTTCATGCTGCGAGGGCCTAGTTCCTTGATTTTGGCTAGAGTTTCGATTAGCCATTTGTCTTTCTGGTTTGCCTCTATAATTCATTTCTTGAGGTCTTCGTCAATAATTGTGACACCTCCTCGTCCTGTGGCTCTAATATGCCATATCCTGTGGGGGTCTAGTTCTCCTTCTGTGGTAATTTCGTTGATGTCTGCGAAAGGTCTCTGCCCTGTTTCTTTTGCTTGATTGAAAAGTTTGGGTTCCAAGAGTGTTTCGCCTGAATTGTCAAATTCCACCCCCTCTTTATGGTCTGGACGCCATGACAGACCGTCGGATTTATTGGTGACTCCCGCCTTGTGTGTTAATTTATAGTCGAAATGTGAGAGGAATAATGACCATCTTGCTTGCCGACGGTTCAACTTTTGACTTGATCTGAACCATTCTAGGTTCTTGTGGTCCGTCCAGACATCTACTGGGTTCTCGGCGCCCTCCAAGTAATGTCGTCAAGCTTCGAAGGCTCAAACAACCGCTAGCAACTCTTTGTCGTATATAGGATAGTTGCGTTCTGTGGGTGAGAGCGATTTGGAAATGTAGGCACAGGGGTGCCATTTTCCATCTGGGGCGACTTGTGATAATACTGCTCCTGTGGCGAAATCCAATGCATCGCATTCGATGCGGAAGGGATTCCTAGTTTCTGGCATGACAAGCACTGGGGACGATATGAATGTCTTCTTGAGTGCTTGAAATGCTTTTTCGCATGCTGGCGTCCAATCCCAGCTGTGTTCCTTCTGTGTTAATTCAAATAGCGGCCTAGCTATTTTCGAGTAATCCTTGATAAATCTGCAATAAAAGTTGCAGAATCCTAAAAATAATTGGACCTCCTTGACTTTAGTTGGAGTCGGCCACTCCATGATTCCGGCTACTTTGATTGGGTCCATTTCCAGGTGTCCATGGGATATGACGTATCCCAAATAGTCGATTTTCTTTTTGTGAAAATGACACTTCGAGGGTTGCAGGTATAAGTCATTGTCCTGTAATATCTGTAAAACCTGCTGCATTGTCTTGATGTGTTTGTCCATAGTCTTTGAGAACACCAGAATGTCGTCCATGTAGATGGCTACCTTTCCTCCATAGATAAGGTCCTTGAAAAGCGAGTTCATCATAGTTTAAAACGTCGCCGGCGAGTTGGTGAGTCCGAAATACATCACCAGAGGTTCGTACTGTTATGATCACGTTCTATCGGGCCTACACGGCGGTCTATTCCGATACGATCATCACAAATATCACGCGGCCTCACAGGTTGAGGCGTACACCAAGGTACAGATATTAACCTTGGTCATCCACTCCCAACGGATCACCTTATCGTTGGTCGAGTATCACGGGCCTATTGTATTAGCGGGCATGGAACGCCGCCTTATAAATTACTCACACCTAGGGAAGAACCTCCTACTCTTGGGGTTACCGACGAGCAGTCGTAACACTAGAATAGACTCTTCTGCCCCTACCTTGCTCGCACTAGCTTGCTGCCACACCCTCTCTCATAACCTTGCTCAGTGGGGATATAGACCCCCATTGAGAAAGCGTTACTGCACACACTCTGGAGCAAGACCTAGGCCAGGAATATCCACCCGGCACTAGACGTATCAATAACCAACTCCGTCACAACAATCGCCCTATCCGGCGCGAAGGGGACTTCTGGGTCTACGAAGACAATAACGGAACTGCCCCTCCGAATTACGATAACTGCTCATACCGAAACGGGCGTTATTACTTCACCCTTGAAGACGGAACAGAAGAAGAGGATATTTGGAACGAAACAGAAGCTCAGTGGGAACTAGCCCCACAATACAGGGAACCGGCGCCGGTAATCCCCGAAGACTCGGAGCAAGAGGAAACAACCTCGGAATCAGACTCCGACTCACCAGACCAAACACCGATCAACACCCGAAACGAACCACTCGCCAAAATGTCGGGACAAGCTTCGACTTCTACAAACACCCCTTCCGCGACAGTACAACCCGGAAGAGGAAAAGTCAAACTCCCAGACAACTACACAGGCGACCGCATTGAATCCCAGAAATTCATGCTCCAATGCCTCCTTCTTTTCGCAGCAGAATCCGATCGGTACAAGACCGATCAAGACAAAATATCCCTTGTGCTCTCATGCATGAGATATGGCACGGCAGGAGCTTGGGCGGAGAACTTTCTCCTAAAATCAGTAGGAGCGGACCCCCCCACCGATCTAGGCACCTGGAAGGACTTCCTAGCAAAGTTCAAGCTACAGTTTAGGGAGACGGGCAAGACCGACAAAGCGCGAAGCGCACTTATGGCCTTCTCCCAAGGACGAATGACGGTTGATGAATACTCCAACCAATTCATTCTCATTGCCGCCGATGCCGACATCTCCGAAAAAGAGCAGGTCCCTTACTTCCAACGCGGACTAGACCCGCGCGTCATGGACAAAATATATGACAAGGAAGTTCAGCCCAAGGATACCATTCAGGACTGGATCAATACAGCCTGCGAAATAGATGGACGGCTGCGGGCCAGAACAGCTCAAAAAGCCATCCTCGCCAACTCCACCTCCTTTCGAAGCGATTATCTGAGTCGTTTCCATAACCAAATCTCTCCCCGCTACAACTCCACAAACGCCCCTCGTAGAATGAACAACCAAGTCGTTGACATGGACATTGACGCGACACGCAAGCGCAATGCCCTTAGCCAAAAACGGAAACATGACGGCAAGCCTCCTGGCGCCTGTTACCATTGTGGAAAAACAGGACACTGGAATGCTGACTGCCCGTCACTACGCAGAGGCGTTCGACCGATTCGAGGAAACTCGAAGAAACGCATGGGTACAACAGGGAGAGGAAACCGCGCGGTTGATTTGGAAGGAGAAGACGACGCACCCGCTATGGGAGACCAAGCGGGAATATATCGAGGAATGGAGACAGAGGATGTTCATCGCAACAACCAGCGGGTACCACAACCTGGTCCTTCGATGGAACGTCCTCACTCTACCCCATCCGGACGACCCCAGACGAACCATGGGCAGCGCGCTATGCTACCTAACGGACGACGGGGA